ATAATTCTTATATTTATTTTAATTTACTAGCTATATATATTTCTCTAATATCTGAATAATCTTATTAAAATTATCTAGTTTTCTTTTTACTAGCTATTTAATTTCCTTAACTAGTACTAAATTATTAGAGATAAATATCTAATTTTAATATTTCTTTTAAAGCTTTTTAACTTTAGTTAAGATAGGCTAAATCTATCTTTTCTTTTAATTAGCTCTAATATATTTTATATAATAATTTAAATAAAATATAAGAGTAATAATATAAAGAAATATATTATTAGACTTATAGTAATATATATTAAAAACCTTTTACTTTTTTCGGATTTAAGTATAAAAGTTTTTATTATTTATATATATATTTTATTATACTATAATTAGTATTATTAATTTAAGTAATAAAGATTAGTATAAAATTTAGTATAAAATTTATTATTTACTAGTAATTTATTAAATACTCGAATTAAAATATCTATTATAAAAAGCACTTAATTAATAGTTATAGTATTTCTTTAAGTTTTAAGAGTAGCTTTATAGAATAGTTTAAGAAAGATAAAAATTATCCGAAGCCTTTTCTAGTTTTCCAAATTAAAGTAATCTAATTTCAGATTTATAAGATACTTCTTATAATAAGTATTAAAATAAATATATTACTAAAAAGTAATATTAAGTATTATATACTAGCTATTTTATTATATCTAATTATTAAAAGAAATTATTCTTCTAGTAAAAGTTTTAAATCTAATAATCTAATTAGAAGAATAATATATATATATATAATAATATTATAAAGCTAGCCTAATAGTTTTAAAAGTCGAAATTTTATTTATTTTTTCTTATTATTTAATAGGGCTTCTAAATTTCTCAAGTTCTCTTATTTATTAAGTACTTCTAATTCTTTATTTATAAAAATATTATAAAATAAAAAGGCTTATATTAAAAGATTTATAATATATCTTAAATAATAAACTTGCTATTATAAAGTATTCTATTCTAATTCTTCTTCTCTTAGTAAATAAGCCTAAATAGCTCGATATAATATACTATTTATACTAGTATTATTACTAATAATAGCTTTAAGTTATTTAGTAATACTATAGTCTTAAAGTATAGGTTATAAAACCGTAAATTAGTTTTTTCCTAAATAATCTAGTATTATATAAAGAGCTAAAAGAGCTTTTATATAATTCTTATTTTATTATTTAATAAAATATATAATAATATCTAAAAAAAGATATTAAAAATAAGATAAATACTTGAAACTATAGACTAGAGTTTTTCGTTATATAATATTCTTTAAACTAATCTAGTATTTCCCAAGCTTTTTTCTTATATAAAAGTGAATTATAGAAAGAAAAAGTTAAGATTCTAAATTAAGTATTTAATAAAAGATATAAAATTCGGGCTATTTAATTACTTGAAAAGATAGATTATAAATAATAATTAATGAAATTAAAGCTTTATAAATAACTATCCAATTAAGGTATTATTAAAAGATATATATATTAATTTTAGTTATTTAGCCAGATAACTTTACTTATAAGTAAAGCTATTATAGCTAGTTAATTACTTTTAATTAAAGTAAACTAATTTCCGATTTGCTCTTAATAGTAATATTATATATTAACTTAAGATAATTATATTAATTAGTAAAGACTAAAGTCAAATAAATATTTAGTAGATTTTCCTTTTTATAAGAAAGATAATAGTAGTATTTAAGTAGTTCTTCTATATCTGGATATTTGAAACAAATATAAGCCTAAATAGCTCTTATAAGTTCTCCTTATTTGAAATCAGATTTGAATTAAATTGAGTCTATATTAATAGAGGCTTAATAGATTAATAAGGCAGATTTAGAAGCCATATTTAAATAATAGAAAATAAAGTACTATTATATATTAAAGAGAGAATAAAAGAAAGTATAAAAATTTTAATTTTTTTTAGAAGAAATAGTAGTATAAATCTTAGTATTATATATTAAATACTAGCTAGTCTATATTATATAATAGACTATTAAATAAAAAGTTAAAAAATATAATAATATATTTATAATAGTCTACTTTTATACTAATCTTAATATTAATTAGTTTATAATTGAATTAGAAAGCGAGATATTTATATAATAGGGCTTACTAGCTAGCTGGGCCCACTTTTATTAATGGTATTATTGAGGTAATAGGGCTTGCTTAAGGGCTGGCTGGGCCCACTTTTATTAATGGAATTATTGAGGTAATAGGGCTCGCTTAATGGCTGGCTGGGCCCACTTTTATTAATAGAATTATTAATAACTGGATTAAATACTAGCTAGTCTATATTATATAATAGACTATTAAATGAAAAGTTAAAAAGTATAATAGTATAGTAATAATAGTCTACTTTTATACTAATCTTTATACTAATCGGTTTATAATTGAACTAGAAAGCGAGATGTTCATGTAATGGGGCTCGCTTAATAGCTGGGCCCACTTTTATCAATAATAATTATCGATATTGATCGTTTATTGATCGCTTAGCCGATAACGATTACTAATCGATAATTTCGATCGATAATTTATCGGAGCCCACACTGCAAATATAGAACTACTCGTCGGCAATATCGTCAAAGAAATCAATGCAGTTTGGAGGCCGTGGCGGATTCAATGAGCTCTTCAATGACGACTAAAGAGTTTGGTGCTGATACTGAGGCTGTGTAAAAGTGAGTTGAAGTTTGGGAAATGATGGTGGAATATTTTGTTGGTGTGGGGTTAAGAGATTCACAAGTACTTTGTTTTTCTGTAATCGTTACGCGGGGCCGACTTTGTCATCCTGAATATAGTTGTATAGAGATGACAAATTTCACGCCGCCAAAACCGAATGGTAAGTAAATCATAATTGGTTAATGGAAGGGAGAGCAGGAACGTGGCTGAGCAACCTGAACAGTGGGTGAGTAGCGCCCGAGCAGAGCCTCGATGCTAACTAACCGCGGTGAAAGCGACGCAGGTTAAGATTCGGCGCAGGTTACCACTGTCACGCCACAGCCCATAACCAAGAACTGCGTTCTTGGCCGTTATCAGCACTTATATGCCTTACTGGCTGCCATATACTCTCGTGGAACTAAGCGTGTGATCACTCAAATGACATTTCTCCGCAGGGTTTACTACGCTGCAAGGACTGCGCTGAGCCAAACTCTTTAGGGCGTCTTACTAGATAGCAAAGATTCAATGCGGGAAGTTGCGAGTAAACTCAAATCCACAACCTCACATCCAACATCTTTGAAAAGCTCTTAAAAGCTCTTCGGTATCTCGCTTTCTGGATCCCCCTACGCAATATCTTTGAGAACGAGAGTCTGCTCGCCCAGGTGGCTCGAGACAAATCTCACCAAGACCCGTTCCAGACTTGCCGCAAGCGCTGCTCAATGGAGATTACGAAAAGCCGTAAGGATCAATCGACTTCGGTTTTCGACTTCGGTGTACGACTTGGCACGTACTCACCCCACCAAAAATCGCCCACATACTAGGCCCCCTCTTCCTGTGCCTCTACCTATTATTACTACTTAAAATATTACTCTCTCTTTAATTCTTATTTATATGTATATGAGAGAGGGGTGGGAGGTTAGGGGTAGGTGGGGGTGGAGGGCGAGTGAGCAAGTGAAAAGTGAAAAGTGAAAAGTGGAAGGCAAAAAGCGAAAAGCGAGCTTCGAGATACGCGACTCGCAAGAAAAAGGAAGCCCTATATTATCCGTTACGCTGCCGCCAGCTTTACACTTCGTGCTCAATTATACGCGCAAAATTGCAGCAAATCAGAAGGCTCAAACCCGAATTTTGGCTCTCTGATTTGCTAGATTTCCTCGCTTAAAAGTGCACGGTCCAGTGTAAAGCTGGCGGCAGCGCAACGGATAGGCTACTTATTACTAAATTTTAGGGCCATAATCGCTAAATTATAGGGTATAGGTACTAAAAATTTAGTGCTTTGCAAGGTAAATTTTTAGTAAGGTTTCCTTGCCTTACCTTTATTCCCTTTCCCCCTATATTCCCCCTCTCTTACCCCTATACTTATAAAGAGAGAGAGAGAAAATAATTAAAGAGAGTAAATATTTTAAGTAATAATAGTAGGTAGAGGTATAGGGAGAGGAGGCGTGGTATATAGGCGTGGTGTGTGGGTGTTTGCGATTTTTGGTGGGGTGAGCACGTGCCAAGTCGTATATCAAACGTCGAAAACCGAAGTTGAAAAGCTCGCTTGGACAAGTGATCCTTATGGCTTTCCGTAACAAGAGATGAATACTCGAACAAGAAATATTAGGAAGCTTCCTGCTTGCAAAGAGACCTTCATTTTCTTTCTTTAAACTTGTGTCGTCGATCCTATCTCTCTTCGATTCACTGCCGAAGCAAGCAAATATGCTTGGTCCCAAGGATCAATCGATAATTGTACCAATGTCACGTGAACCCTATTGAAGATCTTCTTTTTGATTGGCTTTATGAGTATAACTGGCGAATCAGAGTGAAGGAAATCTGGTGTGGAAATAGACATGGATGCAAATGTTAATCCTGGAGACCAAGTAGTAAGACGCCTAGGCCCACGAGCATCATGAATAATATCCATGTACCGCAATTTAATTCGTAGGAAGTGATAACAACGAAAATCCATAGATGGGAAGGGATGTTCTTACGCCGGAGAGGCCTTCCACGAAACGCAAATGTGAACATGAAAGGTGAAATTGAAATCAACCTCTTCAATAGCCGTACCTCTTCTCAGAGTCTCGTTGAGGCCGTGGGTGAGGTTGTGAAGGACCGTTTCCAACTCCCAAGTGTACGTTAAATGGTTGGAATCAAATCACAGCCAACGGCGTTCTCAAATTGAATCTGACTAAAGGAAACAGGATCGAAGGCTGCGTAAGACACCTCTGCAGCTCTCCAGGAAATGAATAAAAAACCGACGTTCGTTCTGGGACCAAGAGATGCTACACTGGTCGTGAACCGCACACTTCACCAGTGAAGAGTGAACGCATTCTGTGCTATAAGTGGAAGCGTAAGTCCGGGACAATTGGCATTAGCGAAAATGTTCGAGCAGAAGTATTTTCTGGAATAGGCATGAGACTAGCCGTTCCCGTGTGCTCTGCACTAACGGAAGATGAGTCTGAGATCACCGAAGACAACCACAAAGCACACCCACGAACTAGAAAGATCTCTACCCCACGCTATGTCATTGACACTGATGATTTATATGCCCGACTCCATTGTCTCATTCCAGTTTATATCATTCTTCGTATCTCTCTAGTAATCCTACATCCCAATCCTGAAACTTCCGAGCGCTCAGTGGCAGAAACGAAGAGGACGACTGAAGGCAAGCCTCGATTTCACAGATCGCTTCATTTGGTAGCAAAATCTCCTCCACTCCGTTGCTCCCCACCAGCTTTTCAGCAGCTTCCACTGTCAATGTCTTCCAGAAAACTTTCATAGCTAGCGTTCCGGATTCACTCTCGGTTTCCCGCAAGGACGTTGGAGAGCCACTTGTCAAATTCGTCTGCGTAGTGTTTCTTGAGAATCTTGAGCTGGGGGTCAGAATCCAGAGACTCAAATAGGTAGAACGCCAAGAACGCCGTGATTGGCCCGAGTAAGCTGTGTCGCCCACCATGGAATTCATGTCGTGTATATTCATATATACAGAAGAGAATATAGAGGCAGAAGTAGGGATAGCGTGGAACAAACCATTCCTCGAACGAGAAAGGTTGTGAGGCTGCTGGGCTGGCTCCTGCGAGGTTGGCATCCACCGCGCTGGCAATAGTACGAAGCGTGAGAGTCCTTGCGACTGCATGCTCGCTGCTAATTGTGCACCAATGATGGTAGCCAGGGATGGCAAGGTCGATGAAACAGGTGAGGTGCTCTTCAATAGCGGCTGTGACGTTTGGGTAGAACGAAGTTGCCATTTGTATAATCGGCTTCCTGTTTCTCGGTGATCGATATAACCAATGAAGCTGTGACAGGTTTTGCAAAGCATACTCTGATGCTGCGAAGTCTCTTCTGGCGAAGACTTAGTCTATTGTTTATCAGCAAACAGTCTTCGTCAAGTTGACACTGATAGGAACATCCCGAGCCGGAGATTCGCCCCGGTGAGAACTAGGTCCATGAGAAACGGAAAGTGATTGGGGAGCAGGTCTCTCCGCCAGTTTGAGTTCAGAAAATGTCCCTCGTGCTAATCCTATGGCTTCCGAGATCTCGAGGAAGATACAGAGTGAAATGCCGAGGTCGTAACCTCCAATCAAACATGTAAACCCACAGTCTAGAAAAAGGGGTAGACATGAAGGATTGCTGCTGCGCAGAGTGGTGACAGGGTGTTGATTTTGGGTACTTGTATCGGTGACCAAGCCATTGAACAGCAGAAGCAAGCCTGGCCACCTTCTTGATACCCTCGCTGTGCTCCTTGCCACAGACCCAGCTTTCAAAAGAAAATGTGTCTCTTACCTGCGTGTTTTGGCAGTCCGCATCAGCGAGGAGAAACGAGGTGAGGTCAACGAAGCCAATCCCAGGAGTGGGAGTAAATTTTGTGTTAGCTCCGTAGCCTCTGTTCGCTGCTGATTGTTCAACATGCTCGTCAGGAACCTCAGGTTTATGGCAATGCCAGAAATCCATCATTTCGGCCCAGTTCTCGCTAGGGAGATCTCTCCATGTCCCGATGCTCCCTTTCTTTACAATCTCAGAACCGCAGGCTCGACACACAAATTCTGTTTCTTTCCCTAGATATTTGGCAGACCAGGGAGCGCAATTGCTCTGCATGGTATCCATGCTTGTGCAAGTTGGCTCACCAGCCAGGGGAAGTCGCCATGTGAGTTCTTTGACACCAAACACTGGCCTCTGGAGCTGAAAACTGGGAGAAACTTGACCCGGAAGGCTCAAAGAAGACGACTCCTCACTGTGGCCGTGGCGCAAGATGAAGCGCCGTCCATCTGTTGAAAGCTCTACGTTTGTTGTCAGATCACATGGTTCTTGGAGTGCGACAATGACCGAGACTTGACGGATGTTGGAGAGCAGCTCTGCATACATCAAAGGCTTTAGAGACGACATGTTTGCGGGACCTTGGGCATTGAGTACCCAGGAAGAGAAAACATGATGGAGGACGTTGACAAAAGGTTTACCTTCGGGCCGTCGTTAAAAGGACCCTGAAAGGTTTGGCCGGGCCGGGCGGAACGGAGGCAAAGTTCGTCCGGGCCAGTGAGCTCATCCTGCAGGCATTACCATTACCCCACGATTTCGATATCCCAACAACCTCAAGCCACGAAGTCAGGAGAGGAGAGGAGGGATGTTTCCAGACCGCAAACACCTCAACCTGACAACATGTCTGCCCCGATGATAGCTTGGGTGCCTTTGGTTAACCGCATCCACAAATATCTCACAACGAGCACATATTCTGCTCAGTCCATCGACATTCCGTCAGCTGAGATTCACGATGTTGAGACCGCTCCAGAGAAACGTCCCAGGACTCTCAAACACCTCATCCGGGCAAACCATGTCAACCACTCCATAATCTACCACAACCTCCAATACCACAATCATATGCCTCATTTACTTGGCTCTGCATATCTTCTCGGAGCAGACGTCGATCAACTGCAGAAGATCTATGATGAAGAAGCCAAGGAGCTTGAGGAATGGAAGGACTCCCCAGCAGAGATATCGGACGCTGATTGGCGTGATTTTCTAGGAGACAAAAGATATCAAAGGGCATTTGTGGATTTTTTTGAAGATGAATTAGCTTTGAAATTCGGCTATGACTGGAAAAGGGTTGCAGAAGAGTACTTGTTCAGTGGAAAGGAGCCTCTCATCAACGGAGTTGTCGCAGGACGTAAGTTCACAAACCTCCACTGAGGAGCTGCTTGCTGACTGGAAGTACAAGTTGGCCACCCTCTCATACATCTTGGCTACGCCTACGAGCTGTCTAGTAAAGAATTGGCAATGGAGGCGCTCGCCATGGCTTCTTCATCATACAACTACATGCACAAGTACCTCGATAGTCCCTCATACACAAAACCCTCTTCATACTCTACGTCGTCTCCTCTTGAGATTCTACACAAGATTGCAGATGATACCAGGTTCGACGGCTTATTCAACGAGCGAGGAGACGGAAATATCGAAATCCTATTCAAGAACCACGAGGATCTGGTGCTGGAGCACTGGAACGCCTGGAAAATCGACGAACCCAACAAACAATTCCAGGATTCCCAAGAAGCAGCCGTTGCACTGCTTGTCCGAACAGTGCAGCCCGGTACTCATGGATACGATTTCTTCATGGTCCATTTACTCACTTCGAGTCATGCCGTTAGGACTCTGATACCTTTGATACCCAAGAGATTCCACATTAGTCTCGTCAGACAGTGGTGGCTATTGACAATAGCTGTGTACATAGCACAGTTGAGGCCAAAGATCGATGATGATATTGAAGAAAAGCCAATGAAGCAGTGGAATTATGTAGATGATAAGGCTGTCAATGGACCATGGGCGACTGATGCTCATTTTGTCAAGGGTACGTCTGTCTTTTACACAACATGAAACTCTGCTGACTCTTTCCTAGCCCTCCGAGCTATGAAAGTAGCCGCCTTTACTTGGTGGGATGGCCATGAGCGATATCTCTCAGCGGCAGTTAAATTTGCGGATGATTTTGAAGGGTGGACGGGATTCGGTCCAATGGACGACTCAAATTGAAAGAAGAGCTGGGAATGGTGGCTACTTTGCAGCTGCAGAGCTGTGCTGCCCTGAATAAGGTTCACGATGCAACGAATTCATGTATTCAAAAGGGCTTCAGGAAATTGGAAAGCCATTTTGTGCGCCAATACTTGTCTTACGTAAAGTAATCTTACCATGTAAGCATCTTCTTACATCATGCAGGTGCTCGCACATATTGCTCAATCATCCTCAATATCATCATCGCTCAGTACTAGCTTCTGTTCGGGCTGCTGTACAGGCAGGGTGTTTGTTGTTCCACGCCCTCTCATCACCAATCCCCCTTTCCGAGGCGACTTTCCTTCAACTGGCTTATCTGTCGCCCACTCTTCGCCAATGGTGCCAACATCATTGCCCTCGTCTGGACTATCTTCAGATTGTTTGCCAATACCATGGAACGTAGTGGCTTTCTCCATATCCCTCGCTCCAAGGGCGGATGATAAGCTTTTCCCTGCTTTAGCGATGAAGACCATGTAGGGTAAACGTTCTAATAACATCTCTTTTCTCGCCGAAGTGCCAATAGCCATCAAGGGGGCATTGTCTGCCTCCGTAGTGTTGTATTTCTTAGAAGTCGGTGTGGTTGAGGGTCTTAAACTCTTCCAACTCTCGACTGTTCCTACCTTGGGCCTTGCAAAGGCAGCCGCGCTTGCAGTAACGGCACCCAGATACTGATATTCACCTTTCAGCAGTCGCGTAACCCATAAATCGATTGTACTTTCAATCTCCTCCTTCGTTCTCCACAGTTTTAAACTTGTGGGATAGAACATCTTAAAAGCGTCGCCTCCCTTGCCCATCCTTAGCCCAGCAGCTGATGGAGTTTTTCGCTTGACAGGGCAAGGAAGTGAGAAGAGGATGCCACGGACTGCAACCTGGAAGCTGATTTCATCTTGACGGATGATGTCACCACCGGTACCCCGACCACCAAAACCTCCACCAAAACCTGTCGAGTTGAACGAACCGTCCCAGGATGGACAGAGAAGGTCACTGTCCGATAGTGCATCGATACAGCCATTTACATGATCAAGTGAAGAAAAATCGAATGAGGTGGGAGGTGCATCACATGATAGTATGTAGTTTTCATGGAGGGCGGCAATGAATGTTGCTGTATCAGTTCCAGTCTCATCGATGAGTTCATCCACCGAGACCTGGGATCGTTTTGGGCGAGACTGGGTAGACATGAAATCTGGCAACCGCTCCACATCCTGGCCAGTATTACATATGGGAGCAGGCTCGTCGCGTTTGTTATAGACCACCTTTCCAACAGCGTGGAAGATTCCCAAACTAGCTTCACGTCGTGTCACGAATTCAAGGCTTTCCTCCTCCATCCTCGTCATGGCAACTTCCCTGGTACCCTTCTTCGCCTTCCCAAAGGCTACTTTACCCCCCCAGTCACCATCGGTATCACCTCTTAAGCAAAGGAACTCGAGTGATCCAATTGCACTCCGGATGTCGCCCACTTCTCCAAGTTTCTTCAAGACGACGGGTCCAGGAGTCTTCCTTCTCCCGGACTTTCGAGATTCCTTCTGCACCACAAGCTCGAGGGCTTTTGCTAAGATAGTAGGAGCGATCGCATTGAATTCGATTGTGGCAACCCCAGGATGTTGGAGAATCTCTGGACCAAGCAATCGATGTGCTGTGAAGCTGTCTGCGGAGGCAGTCGTTGTGGTGAGCAGAGTCTCTGAAATGATCATGACAACTGGGGTTATGGGCTCGCGGGAGCTGTTGTCATACACCATAGAAAGTGGTGGAGTATTAGACGCGAGGTATTGAAGGATTGTAGAACGAAACGACTGCAAAGCAGTAGAAGAACGAGTAAACGTATTGGGGAACTCTTCTATCAGAATGAGACGCTTTCGTCGGTCAAGAGGTTTGATATCTGGTTTTGACGCAGCTGGCTGGCCGGCAGAAAAAACATCCAGTTGGCTAAACTTGCCGCCTCGGCCCATAAACTCCTCGAACTGCGCAGACATGTATTGGGGTCCGTCTGAAGAGGCGATAGACCCGACTGGATTGCGCCATTCCAATATGTCACAATCCAATGCCTTTGATAGGAGCTGAACTGTTGTTGTTTTCCCAGTCCCAGCAGCACCTTTTAGCAGGAGAAGCCTCTGCCTCATTCGGCCATTCATAACGTCCTCGAACCATGTTCGGACATCAGCGACCTTCTTTTTGTGAACTGCCAATTCATCCAAATTACTTGGTGAGAACCGTTCCGCCCACGGTCTCGTGTCTTCTTCGCTTTTGATCTCCGTTCGTGATTTCGGCTTCACGAGAAACTTCTGGCTTGCGCTGGGCATGTCTCCCTCACTACTTTTGAAAGCCTTGACACCTCTGGCTCGTTTTCTGGCGGCCAAGCCAACCAAGCTGGAGTGCTGGGCTTTGGTCTCAACAACGTCATCGTCATCTGATATCAGGTCGTGGTCTTCTGGTTTGGAGCTTTGAACTGTGTGTTTTGGCCTCGAAGTACTTCCATTAGAATCGCCATCGGCTTGCTGACGTTGTGCTTGCTTTGTAAAGAATGTGAAGATGTCCCCGCTTTTGCCCTTCTCCTCTGTCTTCCCTTTTCGCTTTGACTTTTCTGGACTGCTGCTCACGCTCTTGCTGCTAGCTTTGCCTGCACGGCTTGGTTTGCCGGGGAGATACATTGGTGCACCGTTGCGAGGATGGTTCGCAGTCTTTGTGGGAGGCTCGTTCTTTGAGGGCGTTGTCGAGCCCTGGCTGGGGGCCTTCGCGGATATTGTAGCCTTTGTATCATTCCAGGAGAGCGGGGAAGAGGAGATCGGGTCCATCAATCGCCCTTTGGGCTTTTCGTCATCCTCCTCATCAGAGGAGAGAACCACAACTCGCTTCCGGCGCTTTGCTGGAGGAGCCATGGCGTCGAGGCTGTTGGGGAGGTGGTCGGTTCTTCCTCAGTCCATGTTTGTGTGGAGAGCCCGGGGCTGATACCTTGTAAACTTGGCGTCAGCTGCGTTATCAGGTTGCTTATCTCGCTTGTATGACCCCTGAAGCTAGTCCCGAATGGTTCCTCGGTGCCCTACCTCGCTAAATCAAAACAACTCCTCTCCTCCTCAAGTCCTGACCATATTTCTAGTCTACGAAATTTTGATCGCAGGAGGGCCAGCTTCATGTACTCTAGGGGAATGTTCTCTCTGGCATAGCTTGGACGATGCGTTGACGCTTGGTGTGCAATGCCGCAAAGTGTTCCCTGCTGACTGTAGTACGCATGAAACTTTTGTTTAGGTCGAGGTTGGGATTCGGAGTCAAGTGGACCTCCGATGAAAGCCTTGTTTGTGGATGTAGGATGCTCAAGAAGTGCAGGGGAACCACCTAATTTCTTCATGTAGTACAGGACGCCCCAGGACACAAGTGGTGCAGAGATTGATGTAGCAAAAATTATCTATTTCTTCTAATGCTGTGGCAAAAATTATTCTTTTGATCCGCCAAATCATGAGAACCAGCCTCGCAGAAATGGACCTTTTTGACTCCAATACGTTTAAGCTAGCCATCCAATGCAATGCCCCTTTGATAGCCCAAACGCCTTGAAGCCAACGACAACGGTCCCCTCGTTCTCATTCAACCATTGCATCTGTTTCGTTATGACCAGGTTCCCTGTCAACCACATCTTGGACCTCAATCATGCCTCGAGTATCACTCTGGCAGCCGGGACAATTGTGGACGATCTCATGAGAAAAGACATCGCAATCAATGCAAAAGTGGTTTCCACACACCTCACATGCATATCGTCCACTCTCGCTCATACCCTTGGCCTCTCCGTCTGGCCTTGGCCCATTCTGCTCGACCTGTATCCTGCCATTTGAAACCTCTGGAAAAGGAGTAAGGCAAGAGAAGCAAACTTTTGATTTCTTTGCAGCAGACCAAGGAACCTCGACCCAGTTTCTGAGCGGGAATAGATGGTGATATGATCGCGCTAAATGTGTGGAGAGGATGAGAGTTAGGCCGCAAGCCGGACACTCAGCCGGAAGACTGCAGACTTTGCTGTCGCACCTCGAGCAGAGGTAACCGCCTCGGCTTAACTTGCTGTGACATGCGCAAAAGCTCATTGTCTTTCCAGCTCCAGAGGTTCGAGAGGGAAAGCCCATCATCAAGAGGCTGGATTGTGATTGCTTCTTAGTTCTTGTGACCGGAGGTGTGGTCAATGTCATTACCAGCTCTCGAAAATGCTGTTCGTTAAGTGCGACGTGGTAGTTGCCTTCATTACCAGCATTTGTACGGGAGCATAGCTCTGCACAGATGGCAACTTGTGCAGCTAGGCCGACTACTGAAACCCTTATTCGATCAGCAATGAGAGAAGATATGGTTTTGTGTATGTCTCCTGGATCACTGGATAATAAAGCACCGTAGATGATAAGGATCTCTCGTGTACCGTGTGAAGGGGCGTGAAAAAGAGCAGCTCTGCTCATCTCGAGGGCATTCTGCAGGCTTGGATTCCCTTGAGGTTGTTGTTCTCGAAGAGTTTTCAGTTTCTCGATATGCTCCGTCGGATTCCCACTCATGTCGCTGACTCTCACTGCTATACCATCTCGCATGCCAATAATCCCCAACTGAGAAATGGGATTTTGCTCGAAGTATTCGGTAACAAATTCAGAAGCATAGCGTACGGTAAGGAGGTATCTCGTTGGCCGTAGGTCTTTCTCAACCATAGCAAAAGAAAGATCGAGGATGAGAATAAGATGTCGAATTATGCCTCTCTGTAAAGGTGTAGTATCTCGTAATAATCTGCGAAATTGTCAGAATCTTGGGAATGTGACGACGGAGACCGGTTTACCTCTTCCTCTTCCCCGCCTCCCGTAGCCCTTCAACGGTAGAGTTGATGCTCCCATCGGCGCCCTCAACGACTGTATCCCAACTTCTCTGTATGTCCTCCCAGGCTGCCCTCCTGCGATTAGTTCCAGTATTGGTATCCCCGCCCCTCGTAGCTGACCCTGCTGCCCCTCTGATAGGGCCAGATGAACGCGTGCCATGTCTTGAGACCTGATGCGCCGCAATATCCTCATCAGAGAGGTCATCAGCAACGTACTCTCCGTCCGAGTCAGACATGATTGCCACTACTCAGGAGACACCTTGGAGACGGATGTTCGTGACGAGGCTGAAGCCTGAAAGTTTGTCTGAGTGCAGCTCCGTAGCGGCGCTGTGCTTTTCGGTTAGTGGTTCGGCTATACTTGTCGATGCTGGAGCTCTGGTGGCTCAATGCTTATTATAACTTACAATATGTTGACTTATTGCATAGGTCCTAGGATAGCACCATTCATTGGCAAATGGGCTGTGTTTCAGTTTAGGGCTTGCTCTTTCGGGGAGAAGTGAAAGTGCTGTGATCACCGTGAGAGCTGCGATTCCAGGTTGGTGATTTTGCAGCCTTGCGGCACAAGGCTCCCAACTGCCCAGCTCTTGCGCATGCTCAATTCGTGACAAGCATTCTTCCGTGTTTGATCCTTATCAATTATACGCTCGATTGGGTATACTACTAACATGCAAAATCATATACAAGCCTCCAAGCATCCAAGATGCACAGTTCTGTGCAGCTTTCCACCAGGAGCATACTTCCCAGACCCTCTCCCAAATTACCTCTTGCTTCCATGGGATTAGTTGTAATGCATATCCTCATGTTCTCCGTGCTTCATGACAGCTGTTTGTAGCAAATGCATCTTGTGATGTCGAATAATATCGTCTAACGTGTGTGGTGGTCATAATAAAACTGGCCGTAACTCCATAACCCAATGCAATTCTTTATTCATGATCACGAATATGTATTCGAGACAGGCATTGGCCAGTCGTCTTCCGTAATGCTGGACCAGAAAACCCAGATCATGACCACGGAAAGTAGGGTGAAGAGAGTTTCAAAGAGTGCTCCGTCGATTTTGCCATGGGTGCCATTGCAAATATGGACGCTGACCACGTAGTTGAAGATCTGGCCAAGTGCGAAGAGTAAAGCGGCAGAAACCAAGTAGATCATAGGTTTGCGCTCGCCAAGCACTCGAATAACTAACACCGTTTCCAGAACGAAGAAGGCGAATAGGAAGACCAGAGGGGCGAGTTGGTAGAGAACATAGAGCGCTATGTTTCTGTTGTTGCCGGATAGACTGGATTTGAAATGTCCCGTCCAGCTGTAACCAGTGTCGAGAGTGATATAGCCGGTTCCAATGAAGAGTACTGCAGCAGAACCGACCATAAGTCCGATCGACATGGGCGTTCCATCATCGAGTAATTGGTATCCCACGACAGCATTCAACATAAGGATCCATAACGTTGCAATTATCAAGCCCAGGTGGATTCCAGTGAAGGCCTATCAAAGGTTAGCTCCGCTCATAAATAAGAAGCACCCTCAACTCACTATTCGCACTTTACTACTCAGCGGAAATTTTCCGACTGTAAAGATCTCGCAGATCTCAATTAATATATATCCCACGAGGAAAACTTGCATCTCTCTAAGCACCGGAAGATCAGAGATGTGTAATGAGCCAGGACCTTCATAACATACCTTCTGCCCACGGCAGCTTGCTTGCGTTCTGATCGCCATAACAAGAAGGCTGTGACTGCAATTGCTATACCGCAGAGCATGATTGAACCTGGAACCCGTCAGTCCACGTCTGCATCGATCCAAACGACTCCACGCACCCAGATTGCCAAGGTGCCTTCCATGGCTTAACGGTATTCCCAATAGCTCACATCCGCCTTTGAAGCCACCCGGATCTTCATAACTGAACCCAGGGAAAATCTGTGCAGAAGCCCATTAGCATCGATCGACTTCGAGGGAGGAGCTCGAGGAGGAACTGCAGGCGAGGCGTACGTTGCAGATTGGTAACGTTGAGTCGCGACAGAAGTTCTGCAACCAATTCACATTAGCTGGTGCTCACGACCCCCTTAAATCCATCTCAATGGTGCCCAGTCTTCACTGCGTCGCAATCCACGTACCTGAAAGTTCCCGAACTGCGTCGACCCCATTTTGCTGTGGCGCAAGGCGCAAGGTTGCTGCTGGTAACAATTCGTATCGCTGGGCTGCAGACGGTGTCGATCAATCGATTGTCGCAACCTCGAGGGTGAAATCGCTGCTGGCCACCAAGCGCTCGATTTGATGATAGTAGCGATCGCAGTAGCGGTAGCGGTAGCAGCAGAAGGTGTGGAAGGGACAGAGACGAATGGGTTTGTGTGATCTCGAAATGAATTTCCCTGCTCTGAACCAGCCGACTGTTTTGACGCTGCTAGCTTCGTTCCTGCCCCTGCCCTGCCCTGCCTGCTTACAGTAACTCGCTGGCTGGACACTTCCTGGAAGGCTGGGGGCTCGCTCGTACTAAGTGCCGGGGCGGCGACGGCGCCGGGGGGGGGGGGGGGGGGGGGGGGGGGGGGGGGGGGGGGGGGGGGGGGGGGGGGATGGACCGTCACCGTCGGTGGCAAGCGATGTTGACAGCTGCGGATTGGTCTTCGTCTTCGTCTTCTTCTTCGTCCTCGTCCTCGAGGAGTGTTGTTCGGGAATGCGACGAGCGAGGTGGAAGGGTGAGGTGAAGTGAGGTGAAGTAAGGCGGGGTGTGTTGAGGTGTGGTGCGGCAGTGCTTCGTAGTTCGTAAAATGCGGAGGAGAATCTTTTTATGAGGTGACAAGCTGGAATTCATGCTGTTGCCAGTTCACCAGGTTGGTCTGTCGTTTACTACGATCCCTGGTCACTCAATTTGCACCTCAACCAGCCAAACGATCCAAATCTCGACGAGCACGGCAATCCTGGGACGTTCTGCGGACGTGCCTCTTTTAGGTTTTATGAAGCGCTTCATGCCGACCGAAGCTCTTTTCCTTTTTTCCCTACCTCTTCTATTAATATTTATTTCCCATTCTCCCACCACCTGGCCGACCGGTTTGCATAAGTGCGCCATTGGAGGGGGGGAGGGTCTCTTCACAATTGTCGAGTCTTCTAATAATATTGCACGTTTCAGGTTATGCAGCTGCCACATTCCTGATCCCAGAATCATTCTCCCGATCGCAATTGGTGCAGAGCAGCACGATCTCCTTCCGGACCCATTTTCAGTCTGCTGTGCTCCGAGAGGCTCCTCGAAGCGGAGAAGCCAGGATGGCCTGATCAGGCCTGTTACGGAATGTAGAGTGCAGGAATCTCGTCAGTCTCGTCAATCTTGTCATCTTCTAAATGCGCCAGCTGGCCGGGGAGAATCAATTATGTCCCGATCATTGGCTTATTACAAAGACACAAGTTCCTCTTTCCGGAAAAACAGAACACACCACAGGCAGTTCTATCATGTTTCGTCAGAGCCGCCTCCACCTTGAGGGATCTGACGCGGGAAGTCAGTCATTGACAACTTCTTCAGGAGTCCACTCCACGAATGCTACAGAGCAGTCCGAAGCGACGATCAGCTGGATATTCTGTGCCGCCTGCAGTGGCTAATCCTTGAAGCCTGAACCTCCTTTTGGGAATTGTCCTTGATGATAGCAGGGGATACGAGGTGGCAGTGGTATGGATTATGTTCTAGAATTCCACGTGGTCACTGAAGAAGAAGCAGTGCCGCGACCCAAAAGACAGATCACTGCCACCGAATGTGTTGGCAGTGAGGCTGTGCTTCCAACTATGCGTGTCTCGGCGTAGCAAGCGCACACGACCTTGTCCACAAGATCTGAGAAGTCTTGGGCTTAGTCCTGCTCACAGATCGACTTTGAAAGTTCGGCAGTTATCATCGTAAAAATGAGGGAGATATTATTTCAATGCAAGATGCAGCACCGGGAGGCTCTTACGAAATATATTCGCCTGAGGCAGTCGAACAAGAGCTGCAGAAGGATGGCAGGACACAAATATTCCAACCAAAAAATGTTGGTTATGCTTCGACTCAAGATGGCAGCAAACACGGAGGCCAGTTTCGAATTAATGTGTATCTCTGGAAAGTAACGACTACACCTCGGCTGTAGTGGTTCGTTTTTAAGTGACAGGGCAACTGTCAAAGATCGCAAACTGCTCAAACAACCCACTCAACGGTTGACACAGTAGTGAAGAAATGTGCAAGAAATTGGAACCAGATCAGGAGAGTCTCCTCGCCTCTGCGGGAAAGCCATCATTGTTGTCGGTATACTTGTATCAAGAGCATGTCGGCTCAAAACCCGTTACTCTTTCGAGAGTTACCCCCCGCCCGTATCTCTCAGCCCTCTCGTCGGCTGCCATAGCATTCCTCGTATTGGACTGCGAGCTGTATCGACAACTCTTCCTGAGAAAAACAAATCTTATCTCAGGGCTGGCACAGAAAAGGGGCAGAACGTACCTCACGTGATGTCGGGGGTTGAGGTGAGGTGAGAACAGGGTTCGCGAGAGAACGGGCAGATCCACGCGTGGGTCGTCATCGCAGTACACTCGACTCGACCAAATCTGTCTCGTGCAACTTCCACGTCCACGTCCACTGCTCAACTGCCCAGCCTTGATTCAGATATCCAAGACCAATCGCCAGCTGCCTTATCGACCTCCTTCACGCGCACCCTCGATGTAGGGCCGTCCCCGCTTTTCTCCTAAAAGTTTTCCATGGCAGCAGACTAGCTCCTCGAACAGTTACTGCCGATAGGATAGCGAGTGGACCCTGATCAAACGTCAGAATCCTACCTTCTCCAGACCTCCAACATTTCCCCAAGCGCAGAGGACTGCTGCTCAACAGTCCACGACCGTCAAAATTCCTCCCCCGAAACCCCCCCGTCGCCCTGCGAATATCCCTCTACGAACTTTATCATCAGCTGCTAGCTGGTCCGACATACACTCCGAGAGGCTGCTGGGTGCACAATCAGACGAAAAGCAGGGTCGCCGGTCCTCCCTCTCCAGGTCGTCATCTCCTAGCTCGGAGTTTTCCTGGAGTGACACTGGGGATCTTGCGGAACAATTAGCGGACGCTGAGGATCCTCTGCGAATTCAGTTGCCTGCATCTTTGGGCGACCAAGTTTTTGGCGGTAGCTCCAGACGGCCTACGCGCAGAAAGGTCCGATACAACGATTCCGAGACCGTGGAACGAAAAGAATATCATCCTGGACTCGCTAAAGAGGAGATCGAGATCCCTTCGCCTGCCCCGCGGTATATCACTAGAGCAGAGCATATCCTCGCCGCCATCATGTCTGGAGGAGAAAGGCAGATGCATGGCCTTACGGGCAAGCCATTAGTGTAGGCAGAGGTTCTCGGAACGAGCAAGCAAGCAGCTGACGGTCATCAGATACTTTACAAGTGTATTTGTATCTTTAGGGGTCTTCCTTTTTGGCTATGATCAAGGAGTTATGTCTGGCATCATCACGTAAGAAAATTGCCTTGAAAATTATCTCAGCTAATATCTTCGCAGTGGTCCTTTCTTTAGAGATTACTTCAACCGGCCATCTCGCGCAGAGGTTGGTACTATGGTAGCTATTCTCGAAATTGGAGCATTTTGTTCTTCACTAGTAGTCGGCAGGATTGGAGATATAATTGGGCGACGGAAAACGATTCTCTATGGATCCATGATATTCTTCATTGGGGGGGCTCTTCAGTCCTTTGCCAATGGAATGCCAATGATGCTACTTGGCCGCATCACAGCAGGCGTTGGTGTGGGAATGTTATCAACAATTGTGCCAATCTACCAGTCCGAGATTTCACCTCCACACAACCGGGGTAAATTAGCTTGTATCGAGTTCTCAGGAAACATTCTCGGTTATGCAACATCAGTATGGGTCGACTACTTTTGCAGTTTCATTCAACATGATTATTCTTGGAGGCTGCCATTGCTTATGCAATGTGTTATGGGTGCTCTGCTTGGTTTTGGGAGTTTAGTCATCGTTGAATCACCACGGTATGTCACATTGCAGGACTGTTTTTTGCAATATATTCTGATCGAGTAGGTGGCTTCTTGACAACGACCATGATGAAGAGGGAATTGTTGTTATCGCAAACCTCTATGGAGGTGGTGATATCCATGATGCAAAGGCACGCGACGAGTACCGGGAAATCAAGATGGATGTCCTTTTGCAAAGGCAGGAAGGAGAAAAGTCCTACCGCGACATGTTTCGTCGATACCGAACTCGAGTATTCATTGCCATGTCCGCTCAGGCTTTTGCCCAGCTCAACGGGATCAACGTCATCTCATACTACGCTCCTTATGTTTTTGAGTCTGCTGGGTGGGTTGGCCGCGATGCGATTCTAATGACTGGTATCAACGGCATCACGTATTTGATGTCCTCTGTACCACCGTGGTATCTTGTCGATCGATGGGGTCGCCGATTTATCCTTCTAAGCGGGGCCATCGCAATGGTCTTGTCCTTGTCCACAATCTCATACTTCCTCTACCTCGACGTCAGTGTAACGCCAACATGCGTTGTAATCTTTGTTATGATTTACAATGCGGCGTTTGGATACAGTTGGGGACCTATTCCGTGGCTCTATCCTCCTGAGATTCTACCTCTCAGTATCCGTTCAAAGGGTGCAAGTTTGTCCACGGCCACTAATTGGGCGTTCAATTGGTTGGTTGGAGAACTTACGCCAGTGTTACAAGAGTTGATCGCGTGGCGCCTTTATCTCGTGCACGCATTTTTCTGTGCCACGAGTTTCGTTGTTGGTAAGGACAACTGCTATTCCATGGAAGGCAGAAGCTGATGTTTTGCAGTATATTTTATTTATCCCGAGACGGCCGGTGTAAGATTAGAAGATATGGATGCTCTTTTTGGTGATGCTACTACCGCGATGCCAACCCCAGCAACGAGAGCAGAAACCGGCTCTTTGATGGGGGCCTCCTCACCTGTTCCCTCGATGGATCTTCGAAGGGGAGTACTAGCAGGTGGACTGAATGGGAACGGACTCGGTCCCTCGAGTGCTATCCCTGGGCTCGATATCGACCCACCCCATGTTAACATTAGGAACGGGAAACCGCAATATGGTACGGACGACGATGGTTCGACGAGTGAAGGCGTCGGAGGATGGATCTCTCGCATAGTGAATAGAAACAAGGGCGACGAGGAAAGCATCAAAAGTGGGAAATATAAGCCTCTCGACCAGGACGACGAGTAAGAGGTCGACCTTTAGGGGGCATTGTTGGATTTATAGAAGACGGTTACCTTAGACAGCGGGGCATAAAGGACGTCCCTGGTTATATGGATATCAGACCGATCTGAACCCATAGAACAATTGTACAATTTCGTGAAGGAAGTTGTTTGCTTTTGAAAGAAGTGCCAATAATAGGGAATTGGAGGGAGGAGGAGGCTAGAAGCGAAGGATATCGGCCGGTTGGTACAGTCTGGAGCATTCGGAAGTGGCTGGTGGCTGCATTTCGACTATAACCAGATACGTTGTGATGCGACCACATGTGGCTATCCAGGCCATTTTATACGTTCGAGGTGGAGAGCGAGACTTTAGAATAACTTCTGAGAGGTACGATGTCATCCATTATAAGGTTTCTGCTACCACGCAAGGATTGCGAAGACCCTCTTTTGCTCATCTCTCATCTCCTTCCTCTGAACGATGGCCATCAACTAACAAAATTTCCGCCTTCCAAACCCACTGCAGAATTAACGCTTATAGCCCTGCTCTCCTCGCCCGTATGATTCTCTATTCCTTCATGCCTAGTCTATCAGTCTCCCCATCTCCCCACTTACCGTGAAGACAGTTCTTAGGAGACCTCGTAAGATCAGTACCGTATCCCACCTCAGCCATCTCGAACCGATCCCCCGCCGTCCTCAGAATACAGTCCACCAGCTCAAACCATATGCCATCGGTGGGACCAAAACTAAGCCTAAGTACAGCGACCCAACCCCTATTACCAACCACCCCGGCCCCTCCGCTGAGAGTATCGTTTTTCGTGGCCGACGCCAGATCGACGAATGATGGGAACGGCAGACGTGAATAGTCTGGAAGTTCGACTACTCGAATTGTAGGAAGGCACTGGTATACCCACCAAGGCCGCCATTAACGCTCCTCTCCTCCTTCTCTTCGATTCTCCTTGGCATCGAATACCAGCCCAAGATTCTCCTTTCCGATATTTGCGTACGCTTGCAGACGTAAGTTGTTATGTTAGCTTTCCAGCTCCTTGCAGCATCCGATCAACAGTTCAAAAAGGGGAGGAACCCGACCCAACACCTGCACACTCCCACTTGCGCCTGCAGAAATTCATTCCCAAGCCAAACCTAATCACCAGAGCATCCACTAGCGCCACTGACAAGTACTTAAGCCCTGCTGTCGCCCAGCCTCCAGTCCTTCTCTTGTCTCTTTAAAATATGCAAGTACGAATCTAGGAGCTCAAGAATCTCCAGATTCCGATGCTTGCAACCCAAGCAAGCATCGTCGAACAGCTCCAGCTTAGACGGGCAACGCAATTTTTGATTTCATTCCTCGCTAAGGACTCGGGGTGGTGGTGGTCGTTGTCATCGCGAGCTAGCGGACCGGGACGAGGCCGCAGAGAAAAATGGTATGGATGCAGGCATCTGAAGTTGTACACCGCTAACGACCTCCACTCCCTATCCTCACAGAATTGTTGACTGGTTCTTCATACATCGGCGGTCGCAGGCTCTCGGCGTTGGGTTGCACATGATCGCGGAAGATGGATGGCGAAGGAGTCGGAGATTTTGGGAGCTGAGAAAATGACAAGCTGAAGAGGAAGGCAAGCAGGTAACTAGGCACCCCTTGCAATCAAATTCATCAAGCTGTCACATCCGATCCTGCTCTTGAATTCTGTTTTGCTTCATTCGAGGGCCTTCTCCCTTTACTGTTTGACGCCTTGTGTTGGTGTCGGAAGGAAAGAACGAGGACTCAAGGCAACGAGTACTTAAAGCAGACACAAAACCATTAATTACGGTCCCATCCGTGACTGACACAATAATTTGAAGGAAATATCCAGCTCGTAGTCGAGCCTAGTCTTCAGGTTCCTTTCCAGCAAGCTGGAGGGAGGACTGATGTTGCCAAACACGAGGGAAATGACAAAGGTTTGCCCTTGATGATACGAAATAGATAAAGCCAACTCTCAAATGCCATCTTGGTACCAAAAACGTTTGAATATCAGTAAATAGGCTCAAGATATCACTGCTGCGATGATGTAACCTTAGGGCAGAGCCGCATCACATGAAGAGGCGCACAAAAGGCGTTTCGAACAGCACAATGCTCAAGGACTGTACGCACATGCACCCTTATCTCAAGCCTCGTATATAGAGTATGCAAGGAGAAGATTGATGGGCCATGAATTGAGAGAAAGGCATCACGTCAAATTAGCCCCCTTTACGCGGCACACCAAGTGAAATGTGTCCGTTCGCCTAAAAAGCTCGCCCCCAGCAGCGGATTCCAAAATTAGATTTGATTCGGCATTCAGCTTGAATACGCATCTCTCCTGAGAACAGATAGTTTCTCAGCTGCAACTGCATCGCCGGAATCCCAGTGTTGCAGCCGTAGACGCCCTTCGAAGCCGAAACCTTCTTGCGCGGAGATGGTTGACTCTGGCAATTGATACTTCTTTTTAATTCACGTCACCTTTACTTTCTCGACTCTCATTTGCCAGCCGCGTCTCCTCACTCCTCATCGACAACTTCGAGACGAACTCTGCCTTTTGCGCGGTCTGTATTATCTTGCAGAAGCTAGGCTGTCCTAGAATACTATCCGCACTCTGCAGCCTTCACAATGGCTTCTGAAAAGGGAGTGCTTGCGTCCGGCCTCGAATCGGACAGTCAGTCCATTCGTCGGCGCAATGTGCTTTCAACTTCACCAGATGGAGGCATGGCGAACAGGGTGGAGATAGATGACAAGAAGACACAAATTAAGAAGGTGAGAGCAGGCAAATTTCTTTAGAAGCTGGGTCTTCTATTTTCACTAGCTGACGCTGACTTTTGTCTCTTCAACAGAAAGAGCAGACATTACTAGAATTCCTAGACGAATGGGAATTTCTGATTGCACCCCTCATCTTCACCATATTTGCATTCTTTACCCGAATGTACAAGATTGGGTTGTCACCGATTGTTACTTGGGACGAAGCACAGTACGAAATGCCCCTATTCTCAGTCCCTCCCAATCCAGCAACTAACTACGGAGAACAGTTTTGGCAAATTTGGCTCCCACTACCTGAAGCGAGAATTCTACTTCGATGTCCACCCGCCTCTTGGAAAGATGCTTGTTGGATTGTCCGGATACTTGGCAGGATACAATGGTTCCTTCGAATTCAAGTCCGGCGAGAAATATCCCGAAGAACTCAACTACACTTTCATGCGTGCATTCAATGCCTTTTTTGGTGCTGTTACCATCCCTCTGGCTTACTATACAGCCCGCGAGTTGAATTTGAAGAGGCCCGCTGTGTGGTTCGTCACCCTCATGGTGCTTTGCGAAAACTCATACACCACCATCAGCCGATTCATCCTCCTCGATTCTATGCTGCTCTGCTTTACATTCACAACTGTTCTATGTTGGGCCAGATTTCATAGACTTCAGAAGCAATCCTTCAGCCCAGAGTGGTTCGCTTGGCTTGCTCTTACCGGCGTGAGCATAGGTTGTGTTTGCAGTGTCAAATGGGTCGGGGCTTTCTGCACAGCAATGGTTGGACTATACACCATTGAGGACCTCTGGAACAAGTTTGGAGATACCAAAATGCCGCCGGTACGTCTTGAGAGTTTTTAAATATGTTGATGGCCCTACTAACATATCTTGCAGCTCACCCTTGCAGCTCACTTGGGTTCCCGGGTTGCCGGTCTCATTGTCATTCCATTGATTGTTTACATGCTCTCTTTCGCGCTTCACTTTGCCATTCTAGAGAACAGTGGCCCCGGAGATGCCCAGATGAGCTCTTTGTTCCAAGCAAACCTCAGAGGCACCGAGGTCGGAAAAGACAGCCCACTTGAAATCGCCTATGGATCTCGAGCTACTATCAAAAATATGGGCTATGGTGGCGGTCTTCTCCACTCTCACGTCCAGACCTACCCAGAGGGCTCAACTCAACAGCAAATTACGTGTTACCATCACAAGGATGCCAATAACGAATGGTGGTTCTACCCCAACCGACAACAACCAGAGCATGATCCTGAAGCTCCACCTAAGTTTGTCGCGGACGGAGATGTTCTGCGCTTGATCCATTCTCAGACTGGCCGAAATCTCCATTCTCACGAAGTTGCCGCACCGGTCACCAAGGCTGACCGGGAGGTTTCGTGTTACGGAAATACCACTGTTGGTGATGAGAAGGACCACTGGACCATGGAAGTCGTCAAAGATGTTGCATCCAGCGACAGGTCCAAGATTAGGACTCTGACCACTGCGTTCAGACTTAGGCACAATGTGCTGGGCTGCTATCTCCGAGCTGGCAATGTCAACTTACCTCAGTGGGGTTTCAAGCAAATCGAAGTCACCTGTGACAAAAACAACAACCCCAAAGACGTATATACTCACTGGAACGTCGAAGCTCACTGGAATGAAAAACGTAAGTTGCCAGAAAAGATATCTGTTCTATTTGCTAATAAGTCGTAGTACCTGCTGCCGACGCTGGAGCCTACAAGTCCCCCTTCTTCCAGGATTTCATCCACTTGAACGTGGCTATGATGACCTCGAATAACGCACTTGTCCCAGATCCAGACAAGCAAGACGATTTGGCCTCTCAGTTCTGGCAATGGCCAATCCTCCATGTCGGTCTCCGTATGTGTGGATGGGACGACTCTATTGTCAAGTATTTCCTCCTTGGAAACCCTCTGGTCTACTGGCTTTCCACGGCCTCCCTGGGCATAGTAGCAGTTATGGTAGCTTGGTACCTCGTCCGATGGCAACGAGGCTATGACGACCTCAAGCAAGCTGATATTGATCAAATCCACTATTCGGCGCTCTATCCTGTCCTTGGTTGGTTCCTGCACTACTTGCCATTTGTTGCCATGGCTCGTGTCACCTATGTGCATCACTATTATCCGGCTCTATACTTCGCCATCCTCAACCTTGGATTCGTCACCAACTGGATTCTGAGCAATCAAATCAAGAGTGCGCAATACGCAATCTATGGTGTCCTGTATGCCACGACCATCGGACTTTACATTCTGTTCATACCAATCAGTTGGGGAATGGTTGGTCCCAACCGCCAATACAGCTACTTGAAGTGGTTCGACAACTGGAGGGTAACGGACTAAATAACGACCAGTCGAAGACTCGGAATGCGAGCTGAAATGAGAAAAAGGGGCGGAGAGGGATAGAAGTTTTGGATGCTTCTATAAACAGAGACGCATGGAAACACATTTCTTCGCGTGTGTTAAACCACTTTTCATTTGTCTGATAAGGAAAATACGGGAGCTCGAGGGGAATCTTACGGATGGGGAAGAGGCGCCTAGGTACAGCAGAATCAACTCCTAATGTTGTGTACAACCAAGTTTCTGTTGCGCTTGGCATCAGTGTCCCCAACCGTTCTCGTGTACCAAGACGATCACAGATGTGAGGGGTGAATATTCATTCCACAACTTTTGTTGCACTTCCAATGCTCCAAAAGTTCCCGAACATTGAACATCCCCTGTATAGTGGATCTTCGAAGGTAAGTTTTTCTTTCGGACATGGATCAATGTCTCCGATTTTCTGGTAACCCCTTTCCCCGTGTGGATCAGATGGATTGATTGCAAGTGCTAAATGTCGAGGAACAAGAGGCGGAAGTTTATAATCACGTGACATGATTTGTTTTTCTCCTGATCAAGTGCCACACAGCCACTCGACTGCTCTCGATGCCGCTTTCGACGATAAATGAAGGTCATTGTTTGATCAACTTGGATACATTTACTGGCTTCAAGCGGTGGTACTTGCTTGACCTCAAATTGGGGTTTCTAATCATTTAGTTTTCGTTCTTCGCAGTGAACCTATGAAGTTATCTTGGGCAGGGAGTTGGGCCAAGTGATGGCTATTAGAAAGATAGGTGAATCTTGGCTGCCGCTTGATCCTTGCTTCGAAATCTTATTGAATCAGTTGAGATAATGTCCCTTAAGTTCTTGTACTTCGTCACTCCGAGTGGACCTAAAGAGGAAAATCATGATCTATTCAGGTGTCCAGGTCGCTATGCTAAGAACCGTAGCCCGTAAGCAAATACCCATGTCATAGCTTTTGGTGAACTCCTAGCCAGCGAAATCGCAAAAATGCGCCAATCTAAAGCCTCACAGCACTGAAGGCCTCCGCAGAGGAATGATGCAGAACAAGGCTGAAAACAACGTGGAAAGAAAGGAGGATGGGCATTTGTGGTTTTTAGGCGACCATGGGTGCATCGTTATCATCGCTAGTCTTGTCTGCGTTGGCTGCGTTGCCACCGCTGGTTTTGACAGAAGCGGAGGCAGTGAACGACTGCTCGAAGTCGCCGATGATGTCGTCAATGTGTTCTGTGCCAACGCTGATGCGGATCAAGTCCTCCGTGACACCAGAAGCAACCCTCTCCTCCTCAGACAGTTGCTCGTGGGTTGTAGACCAAGGGTGAATGGCAAGAGTCTTCGAATCTCCAACATTGGCCAAGTTAGAGATCAGCTTGAAGCCATCGACGACTTGGGACCCGGCAGCTCCACCACCTTTGACACCAAAACTCAGAACACCTCCGAATCCGCGCTTGAGATATCTCTTAGCAAGTTCGTGAGAAGGGTGGCTCTCGAGACCAGGGTATGAGACCCAAGAAACATGTGGGTTCTTCTCCAGCCATTTTGCAAGAGTCAGTGCGTTGAAAGCATGTCGCTCAGCGCGCAGGCTCAGCGTTTCGATGCCCTGAAGGAGCTGGAAAGCACCGAAGGGATTGAGAGAGCTTCCCAGGTCACGGAGAATCTCGACTCGAACTCGAATGGCGAATGTGATTGGTCCAAAGGCATCCCAGAACTTAAGGCCATGATAACCTGGTGAAGGTTCGACCATCTCGGGGAAGCGCTTGCCGTGCTTGCCCCAGTCGAATTTACCAGAGTCTACGACCACGCCAGCAATGGTTGTGCCATGTCCTCCAATCCACTTGGTTGCTGAGTGTACCACGATATCTGCTCCATGCTTGATTGGCTGAACGAAATACCCACCAGCTCCGAAAGTGTTGTCGACCTAGAGAAGTCAGTCCCGCAATGGTACCGCTTCTAGCAAAACTTACAATAACGGGAACACCGTGGTCGTGAGCAACCTTTGCAATGGCCTCAAAGTCGGGGATATTGTACTTCGGATTTCCGATGCTCTCGATGTAGACAGCCTTCGTCTTCTCATCAATCGCCTTGGCAAAATCCTCGGCCTTGTCTCCGTTCACAAACTTGGTGTCTATGCCCAATCGGGGGAGGAAGACCTTCAGTTGGTTATAGGTTCCGCCATATAGGTTCGTGGTCGAGACGATATTATCTCCCGCATGCGCTAGAGCTGCAATAGCCATGAATTGAGCTGCCTGACCTGAGCTAGCTGCGACAGCCGCAACTCCACCCTCCAAGGCTGCCATTCGCTTTTCGAAGACATCGACCGTGGGCTAAGAAAGAAGGAGAGTCAGCTGAGGCTACTTCTTGGAAAAGGCTATTGGCACTCCCGAGGCCCATGATTGTAAAATCGTTCCCGACGGCGGATGGTCATAAACGATGGGTCAATAGCCTCCCCCACATTTGAACGTTGGAAGTTGTAAGGGAGAACTGGACTCACGTTCATAATCCGGCTGTAGATGTTGCCAACTGGGTAATGGGGGAGTCAGTCTCCTCTTATCTCAGAAATCGGGAACAAAGAATTGAAGGAAGCCCGTTGCTCTTACACTCCTTGAGGCCGAACAGTCGTGCTCCATGGGCAGAGTCATTGAAGGTGAAACTCTACAAAGCCAATTAGTTTCGAATACTAATTAGGGCAACATACTAAATGTGATTTACTGTGGTGGCATAGATGGGGACCGCACGAGCTACAAATCGACGTCAGCGCTGAAGCTCAGTGGAGGGTACTTTATATTCAGAGGCATCTTCAGAAAGGCCGAACCAGAGAAATGACTGACCATTGGTCGTGGGGTCTGGCTCTTGACTGCAATTGCATTTTGTTAGCACTTTTGGGAGGCGAAGTTGTAGAAGCTGTGGGTCGGAGGAAGCGAGGAGGGGGAATTTATTTACCCCGCATGAAGTTGGAGAGTCTCGAAATTGGTGGATTCGCCGGCCATTGTGAAGTCTTGGATATCTGGTGTCTGGAGGAGTGGATTGGGAGTGGATTGGGAATTGAGAGAGCAGTGCAAGGGACGTGGACTTGCTGTTAAGTGAATCCGAGGATGTACGGGCTAGCGGGTTGGCCTTTTATTTTCGGGATGGTTCGATCGACGGTGGGGTAATAAAAATGGAAAACTTCAAGCACGCAATCGGGCGTGGGCAAGCCAGCACCTCTTTCGGGCTACCTGGCATGGCATGGCATGGCAGTGTTCACAGCAGCTCACGGGACACTTGATTCCTGCTCAATCCTGTTGCTGCGGCTTCGGAGCCACAGGGGAAGGGGATGGGGATGGGGATGGGGAAGCAGGGCTGGAGGGCTGGAAGGCTGGAGGGCTGCCTCTCCCAAGATTCTGTTCATCTGTCGGCCGCTGGTTAGTTGCGCAGTGTGCACCAGTCCCTGCAGCATCCAGGAGATGGGGTGCGTGGTGGATCGTGGAGGGGTCGAGAATGCTGGCGATGCTGGCCTTCTCTTCTACTGGCCATCCGCGGTGTGTGAACGGCAGAGAAGGCTGAAGAAAAAAAGAAGGCTGACGCCACAAGGAAGGCCGAAGGAACAACTTCGAATGGCAGCCTTGCGACAAAATTACATTATGCATCTGTCATCATTGCCACAGCCTGAAAGCAAAGCAGGCTGGGCGGGTTTGAGCATTCGCCAGATTGAGAGTGAAACTTCGAGGCGACGAGGCGACGAGGCCACTCTCCAGCCACGCACGGCTTTCCGCCCTTTTCCAGGAGCTCTGGTGGCTGTGGCTGGTGGCAGGTGGCTGGTGCCATTGTCGAATTCCTCTTTCCTCCCCACCAACCCCCACCCCCTATTCAGCGCGACAAAAATAGGCTCGAGCCGATGCGGCCATTGCACCGATGGCCTCAACCCACCACGCCCAAACGCAATCGCGATCGTGGCAGTCTCACGGTCTCACGGTCTCACGGTCTCACGGTCTCACCCACGTCCAGGATCACCAGGAAGAGGGCCCTTGATCTCCTCTTGGCGCGCGTGAAGACTACTAAGCCGCCGGAGAACTTGAACTCTCAGTCTACCAAGACGTCTGGGACTCCAGCGCCAATGTCCCACGAGTTCCAAGACCTATGCGATATCCGCGCGCAAGCTCTAGATTTGTCGGCAGCATTCTTCGACACTTCTCGGCCAGTATTGGCATTCTAGGTTTGTTTCATTGCTGAGCGCTAGTGCCGTCGCCGCGTCTTGCGTCGTACACTCTGTGTATCGAGGTCCTCATCAGATCAGGCGAAAAGCTTGTTTCCGTCTCCGTCCTGCAGCCTCTTTCCTTGTATTGTTTGGTGGTTGTACACGTGTTGTATTGTGTTCTGTTGTGTTGAGTCGGGTCAAGTCGAGTCGAGTCGTGTCGAAATATTGGTGGAAGTTTCTGAAGCCACAAGTCCCACAACCCCGCGTAGCACATCAACGGCCCGCCAGAGGGTGATCTCAAAGAGAGTGGAAGTGAGGCATCGCGCCCTGGCTGCTGCAGCGCACGCCGATACAGTATTTGCCGTAAGGCCAGCCGAATACTTGTAATCTCCATCTGGGCCCTGGCCCAGGAACACCGAGATCGCGTGGTCGGACCCTGCCCAAGGCCCTCCCCCAAGGCCCTCCCCATCCACTGGTGATTGGCCCCCGAGCGTGTCTGCGACTCTGCCCTCGGGAACCCTGTTGCTTAACTGGCGTGACTGGCGTCCCTCCCCTGCCCGTTTCAAAATGATACCGAAGGGTTATGTCCACCGTCCCCAGATTATGCGTCCCTTTTTCATTCATAGAGGTCGCCTGCCCCGACTGGGACCACGTCCTGCAGCCCTTCCCTTTTCTTCACATATTCCCGTAATTGCAAGTCATATCAGGCGTGTGTGTGGTCTGCGACTCCTCACGATCCATTCTCCTTCCCACTTTTTGCTTCTCTGGACCTTTCCATCAATAATCCCATTCATACGCTCATTCCACGCGCGCACCAGTTGCTGCAGCTCGACCTTTACTACTACACAGTACGTGAGTCGCTACGACGTCCAGGACAACGAGAAACGAGTTATACGTGAAATTACGACATCCTGAGATCTAGCAAGATGGCGTTTGGATTGCTCCTCCCTCTGCGCATCGCACAATTTGTCTTTGCCATTGTAATCGTCGGTCTCTCAGCATACGGTATGGACTTCTCCCCATCGAGCAAAAAGGTACAAGAGTAATAAAATGAAATAGTTGCCCACTGGTACGATGCCGACACCTTGACCGCATCTCCTTCTCAGATCAACTTCCTGATCTTCCTCCCCCTATTCTCATTCCTCTCCATCGCCTATCTGGAAGTGACACCCCGCTTCGCTGCAAAGGGTATGTTAGTATCGGCCCGATCCCCTCCTTCAATATTGACAAAAGCAGCATCACACCCATACCTCCACCTCGCTTTTGAGGTTCTAAACGTCCTGTTCTACTTCGCCGGCTTTGTCGCTCTCGCAGTCTTCTTGGGCAAGCTCCTCTTCTGTCGAGGCTCCGTGTGCGCCGCAGCTCGCGCTGATGCCGTCTTCGCGGCGTTCAGCTGGATCCTCTGGACTGGAACTACCACCATCCTCGCTTTGGAGATCTTCAAGGGCGGAATCAGCGGCATGAAAACTGACAAGCAGGCCAAGAATGCCATGAAGGAGGTGCCATCGACTGTGGGCCCATGAATGCCGCTTGACAAAGCTTATGCTTGGCCCGGAAGGAAAGATGGGATTGAGGAGGAGTATGAGGATTTTTTGGGGGTGTGAGAGAGGAGCTGAGAGGAGAGGAGAGGTCTTGATGGCTTCGGTTCTGGTTCGTTCTCTTGTGCATTTGGGGAGGGTGGGTGCAGTCTTTGTAAAATGAAAGCACTGAGTGTTTACCTATTTCCCATTTTTATGATAGATAATGAATTGATGCAATAAATACTCTATTCCCGGTTCTTCTTATTATCCATTACCTTGAATGTGTTTTGGGAGATTGAAGTTCTGAAGTTCTTGGAGTTTGGTAAGGATCGGGTGGTTGGGGTTGAGACTGGCGAGATCAGCTCGAGACGACAAGTGTTGCACCGCCCTCAAGGCTGTGTGAGAGTACTTAGCCTAAACCACTCATTCCGGATGCGACGCCAAGCTTAAAGCTCGGAAGTCCGAATTGCGAAGAAAAGGAGAAATTATTTATGACTGGGAAGGAAATAAGGAAAGGGAGTAAGCGAATGAGTGGTGTCGAATGTCTTAGCAGGGATGTGGGACCAAGACTGAGGGTTTCCCAGAGACATTTCTTTAGTCCAATGCCCAACCGGATCATGGGCATTTGAATATTTCAAAGATACCTGTCTAAGACCTCCTCGTTTTCCATGACTTTATGTCATCCAGGCCTGGGTCTATGACCAAGATCTGGACAGGGAAAGATTTGCTTTGAAACTGAGTCTGAGAGTTGAATACTCTAAGAAAGATGGCGACATGACTCCTAGAACTGAGACTTCTGCATTTCAATTTTAATTTAGAACAAACGTTCATTGTGAACATTATTCTTCTTCTTAACTAGATCAGCTGAATGCCTTGGAATTCTTCCAGACCCTATTCAATATTCTCATTGGTCAAGCCTTATAACTCTTGAAATAGCGAGACTTTCTGCAATAGATAACCTTTAGGGTCATGTAAATGTCTTTCCAACAGTAAAGCTCATGTGATATAAACATCCCAGAATCAATTGCAATAACGGTGCAAAAAAAAGTAGAGATAGCGCAGACACCCTCGCTCTGGGTTCACTCCCACTCCCAGCAGTCTCAATGTCCCATGAATTTCGGGAACATCGAAGTGACATGCAACAAAACTTCTTGCATCCACATTTAGTAGATAATCGAACAGCACAACCTCAGTGTCCTAAGGCCTTTGAAAGATTGAGACCAAAAATGTTAAAATTCGAGGATGCACATGCCTCGAACTTTATCCTCCACTTGGAGTACAGTGTCCATTAGACTAGGCGCAAGGAATTGAGTGCACGGCGCCACTTGATTGGAACATTCTTTGGTGGTGCCAAGACCAAATCTTTGAGGGTATGACGATGGTGAAATTTAGATAGAGCAGGCTGAGAGTCGAAGAAGTTGGAAAGAACACGAGGCTGCTCTCGCCTAAACCTGGCTTGGCAGTTCATCGCGAACCTCATTCAAGCTTCCTCAGCCAGCTACCAACATCCATCACATCTCTCTCACAACCGACAAAATGCACATCTCCAACCTCATCACACTGTTTAGTCTGCCTCTGGCCCTCGCGGTCCACCACATCCGCATCTCCGTCCCATCCTCGCAACAACTTCAACACCCCAACACCCTCCCAGCATCCACACACGCAACGCTCACCACCCTCTCGAAGGCCTACTCCGCTCCCTTACGCTCCGACAACACGTTCGACTTCCGCAATGTCAGCTCAGGCTCCTACCTCTTGGATGTACACTGCCACACTCACGCCTTTGCACCATTGAGAGTGGATGTTCGGGACGTTACGCCAGATGTTGTAGGAGATGATCAGGAAGTCCAGGTTTGGGGGACGTTTAGAGGGAACGAATGGAGCAATAAGGGCGAGGTTGTGGAGGCTCAGAGAGGTGATGGGATTTGGACGTTTGATGTTAAGGTGCAGGGTGGAAAGGATTATTTTATTGAGAGGCAGGGCTGTAAGTTCCGAGTCTTTCAGCCCAGAAGCTGGTTACGTTTGCTAATGACTTGGAATATAGTCTCCCCATTGGGTCTTCTAAAGAACCCAATGATTCTCATTGCAGGCTTCAGCATGCTGATCGTCTTCGGGATGCCGTACATCATGGATAACAGTTCGTCTACCTCCCATCCTTAAACTTACAGACTGACAGGCCAATAGTGGACCCGGAATTGAAGGCCGAATTTGAAGAGCGCCAGAAAGTCCAACCTAGTGCAGCAGCGAATCCTTTGCAGAATTTTGATGCGGCGGCCTGGCTGGCGGGGTCAACTTCAAGTTCGTCGAAGAGGACTGAGGTGCCGAGTCATGCGGATAGAGGAATTACACGATGAGAGGCGAAGATAGATGTTAGTAATCTATGAGACCTCAGAAAGAGGATGTATAGTATGAGTTGGTCAAGGGATAGATAGACGAAGTCATGGGCGCCTCACAAGATTAACGATGGACTCGACGCTACTGTCCCCAACTTCTGTCCCCAAAACGGGACACCCAAGCTTCGTTGTCAGATAAAGAAAATGGAAGACAATGGGAACGGATTCATGAAGTGCAAGCCCTCATTCAGCAAGTAGGCCATTGTTCAAGTAGGCCTTGTAATCAAAGCCCAAGCTTCCAAAATCCTACTTCGCCGTACCATTCTCCACCCCTTTGCAGCCCAAATATATTTGGCGACTTAGTCATGGCAGCCTCTTCCTCCTGCATGTCAGCTTAAACGTTAGCAAGGAAAATAATCCCATGCGGCTTAGAAATAAGCCCCTAGCTAGCTAAGCAAACTAAGCACGGCGACACGTAACGAAACTGCCTACACCACTCCATAGTTCACGACGGCGGCTTTACTTAGTATTTAGACATCGAATCAAGGCTAGACTAGGTGAGAGCTAGAAATTCAGATGTGCAATAAAGATTTATAAGTTCGTGGACTGACTCGAATCTGCACACGCATGGAAGCTTTGACGAACTTAGGTTTAAGGGAATAGTGAAAAGAACCAGTTTGGGAAATTGGAATTTGCTAAAAGCAACGCCAACTTCAATTGCGAGAGAAGCGTATTCTAAGTAGGTGAGAGCATATTCGTAATGCTCCGTAGCTTCTCAACTTGCCGAAAATACGACCGATATGAAAGCCTTGCATGCAGAAAATCAAAGGAAACTCGTAGGTATCATTCTCGACTCCCACGGCCCACTTAAAAGTCTCCTCCACCACCATCATCTCCTCCGCCGTAATCCCCGCCATTGTCCTGTCCTTGTTCTATAGACTCATTAGCATCTGTTGGGGTTAAAAATAGCGAGGATAGACTTACGATAACCTTGGTCATACTCGTTCTGATCATGGTCCTGAATGGCATCCTCAAGCAACATTCCACCGACCAAACCGCCGCCGAGACCCAGCGCCGCACCTCCCAGCATGCCCATTCCACCGCCACCAGACTTCTGAGGACGTTGTTGCTGGTAGTACTGTTGCTGAGGAGGATAGCCACCATATTGAGGCTGACCATACCCAGGCTGGCCGTATGCGGGTTGGCCGTATGCAGGTTGGCCATATCCTTGAGGTGGGTAAGCCTGCTGCTGAGGGTAACCCCCTCCATATTGTTGTTGCTGCGGAGGGTATTGGTTACCACCATATCCACCACTGTTCGAACTGCTTGTCTTTCCCAACAACTTGCTAAAGAGACCTCTCTTTTGCTCTCTCGGAGGAAGCTCTTGCTGCTGATAGCCGGGCGACTGCGATGGCAATGGGGTGTTCTGGTAATCTTGCATGGCGTTCCGACTTCCCGAAGCGCTGCGAGCACGCTCATCTTCTTCGGCCTGGAGACGTGCTGCCAGCGCGGCGTCGGATTCGACATTAGGGTTGTTGTGGGTTTCGTATGGGTTGGATTTCGTGTCGGTGGGGTGCGACGAGCTTCCGCCGGAATATCCTGGTGGAGGACCTGGGGGACCGTCTTCGCCGCCTTCGGGAGGATAGACAGGCTCGGTCGGGCGATCCCACGTTGATTTCTTGGTGTAGATATTCTGTTGTTCCCTTCACTTTAGCAATGGGTCTCATACAAATGTGTTTTCAGACAGCCTAAGCTGGGAGGTATGTGTGGGACTTACAACATAGAACCTGCAGATGCTGTCAGAGATGCGATGCGGAATAGTGGAATAGGTGGCCGAGGACTAACCATTCATTGTACTGCTCATTCCATTGAGCTTTCCATCCAGCTGGAACCTTTGGTGGCGGGGGACCGCTTGGGGCCACAAAATCTGCCATGTTGATTGCGTGGTAAGAGAGATTGAACTTGAGGCGGTCGCGATGGTGGAGGGTTTATGTATCGTGCGACTGCGCGGATAAAAGAGCTCCGGAGGTACTCCGTAGAACCAAATTGCCCCGCGATGTGCGTCACCGCGTTTCAGCTAAGCCACACTGTGCTGTGCAAGCCGCTGCGATTCGGAAGCTGTCACTTCCCGTACCTTAATTGCTTCTGGAATGCTCTGTTCAGCTGAGCTGGCTGTTCTGAAAGTCGAGTTAACGGGCAAGTCATGGGCAAGTCGTAGGCGAAAAAGTCTCAGCTTTTGTGTTCCGAGGTGTGAGTGATTTTTGCTTTCAGAAAGGTGATGAATAACTTTGAGTTCACAACGCCAAGACTCGATTTGGCAGTACATAGCAGTTTATTTTCTTGCCTCACCATCTCACCCTCAACTAGCACAAAGCTGGTCTCGTGGTAGATATAAAAGCGACACTGATTTTCATTGTGCTTAGTAGAAATTGAACAACGATCTAGACTTTGAGAAGATAACACTGGAATATTCTAGAGCTTCCAACATTCTCGATGATTACGAAATGTACGAGACCCCGAGGAAATATTGGGAGAGGGGCAGTTGAAATGCCCATACTACCAATGGAGATAGGGCTTGGGACATTTAGTTCCGCTTCTCATGTCCACTACGAGATAAGTTCACTTGGTAGTATAGGTTGATTGAAGATTACATTCATCCTGCAGAAGTAGTCCGAACATGTACCGCAATTAATCGAGGTCTCTCTCCATTGCTGCAAACGCCTTCCCATGCTCATGGTGTATCTCGTCGTAACTCCTTTAACGTACAATCCCGATATGTACAAGCGGCAACCAGCCACGCATTTCAACAGCAGCCATAGCCAGTCGTCTTCGCTGAGCCGTTGAGTTTAACATTCCCCCTGTTTCCGCCTCCTGCAGGTGGTCCCTTTACTCCTGATCTCCTATCATTCAAGTCGTACTTTCCGGCCTCGATGTTCTGATAAATCCTCTCTGCAACTCTTCCGAAGGCCATCTCAACACCGTCGCCGTTCTTGGCACTCGTTTCCACATACTCCAAGACCCCATTGCTCTTAGCCCACTCTTCAGCCTCTTCAATCGTAACTTCTCGCTGTTTCTCATCTCCAGCAGCCAAATCCGACTTGTTCCCAACCAAAACCACCACAATATCTGGCTCGGCAATCTGTCGAAGGTCGTTCAACCAGTCCATCACATGCAGGAATGTCGAACGTCTTGATATGTCAAACACAAGCAAGGCTCCCGAAGCTCCGCGAAAATAACTCCTCGTTACACTCTTATACGTTTCCTGCCCTGCCGTATCCCATAAACTCAACTTCATATGTTTCTGGACCACGGTCTGTTCAGCGCGTGGCGGTTCTGGAAGCCCGTCGGAGACATCTGCTAATGACGGATCTCGGGAGATGCTTGGTTTCGGTTTTGGGGGTTGTGTATTGGGAGGCCCGACTGGGACGATCCGAGAGCCAAACTCGACCCCTATTGTTACATCATGATGTGGTGAGAAGCGACCCTCGCAGAGACGGATAGTGAGTGAGGATTTCCCTGTCCCGCTATCTCCTATGCAGACGAGTTTTGCGATGAAGTCCCATGAGGCCATCACCGGTGGTATCGAGGGGTTGCTGAGAGTGGCACGCGATCAAGGCAGCGAGTAAGTCGTAGCTGGATGGCTTTGTCAGGACTTGGAGGAGGCGAAATCGTCACCAAAACGTCTGCCTGGGATTGGGAAAATCGTGCTTGCCTCCAGATCTGTCAGGGGGAGCAGTTCGGAATATACCCCCAGTTGTCGAGAGTTGAACAGCGCATCAAAAGCAGCTGTTGAGTTGCACCAGTTGAAGCTTCTGAAGTTCTGCGAGCTTGATTTGACTTGCGAGTTAGCCTTGTGACGGGGCTAGCGTCGTGCGCATGTCTGTGGCTTGGACAGGACTGGTGTGGCTGCCCCGGACCTGGACCTTTTACAGCAGAAACAATGAACGGTGCAAAGTGAATTTGCCTTGATCTGCATTTGGCCACCTGCTGGGAAAATTTATGGTCAGTATCATTTTTATTGTGAATTGGTAAAATCGCCGGGGGATACTTGGTATTTCGGACATTTAAAACGTCGTCCCGTTCTGTGTTGTCGACTGCCGGCCTCGAGCCTAGCGAGCTGCGTCCGGGATCATCCACCGCCGCTTGCCTGTGCTGCTTTGTTCATCGGTATGACTGCAAGTGACGGACTGACAGTCCCGTACTTCCTCCAAACATCCAGATAGCAGTCATTCAGGATAACAGCATACTCTGCCTCGCCGAGCATCGTCTATGCCATTAGACATCCATTCATATCTTGAGTAATTCTAGAGCAAAATTCGGGAAAGAAGACGGAGCACAGTAGCTCTCCGTTCAGCCTTCTAGGCGTCGGCCGTTATCGTCACAAACGCGGCCCGCCTCTGCCTTCTTCTCACTTTCACAACACTTGAGGCCTGAAGATGTTCTCCGAATGTGGGTATACCTCGAGCAGAGCTTCTCGAGCATCAGATACTTGAGCTAATACTCGTCTTTATAGATGCTTCACGCTTTCTCGCCCAGTCTCAGTCCCGGTTCTCGAACTTCGTCCAACCTGATAACGCCGACGCTCCTCCTCGAAACCCCAACGAGAGATACCGGCGATCGAACCAACCTTTACGGAATCAGTCTCGTGGTTATGCTACACGGCATGGTAACCCATACCAGTCGGCCTCGAATTTCAACCTTGCCTCTCGGTACTCCGCAGCTCCGGACGCGCCTTTATTTCACAGTGCCCTGGATGACTTCCGGGAGGAGGACGACGAGGAAGAACGGGAGAGGGAAACAGCAGATTACTTTGCTTTACAAAAGTCACGAAGAACATTCGCTCCCATAAGACTTGAGGAGAGCTCTGAAACGGATCCGGAGGGCAGTAACGCTTCAATAGATCACAGTAAAGACGACGACGGGAGAGCTCTGGAAGATCGGGGGAGAGGACGAGGAATCAAGAGCAGTTGGAACGGAGGTGGCCGAAGTACAAGGGGAAGAGGCCGAGGAACCGAAACAATAGGAGAGGAGGATCTCAAGGGCGAGGACTACCGTGGAACGAGCGAGGCGAGTAGCAAGGGAAAGGAACGGATGGTCGATGTTGGGCTGGAATCGACGACCGAAGATGATGGACCTCCCGATGATTTGGCTTTTGAAATGCCTATGGATGACAGCCCCCCCGCATTTCAAACGTTCAGGTCGGGGCCGAAGCCAGGAGCAATCAGGTTACCAACGGACTCCAAACATGGACGAGGTGAAAACACCGAGGATGACCCTGGTGCAGGAGCCAGAATACCACCGCCTCCGAGTTCGGTGGACACCGTTCCAGCCACGATTGCGAATGCGTTAGGAGAGGCGCCAAAACACGACGTATTTTGGGGTTCCTTGTACCTAATATGTTTAGGAGGATTATTCGCAACTTTTGTCCTAATCTTCCTACATACCTCGACATCAGATAGGAACCTTGGCGATACGATATATACCACGCTGCACGCCTCCTTCCACCTGTTCGCTGTTGACACAGTCGTCTCGATCATTGTGTCACTTGTTTGGCTTGCACTGTTAAGATCTTTTGTCCGTCCCCTGGTACATCTGATCTTACTTGCTGTGCCGATCATCCTCTTCTCCTTTTCGTTGTACCCCTTCATATCGAGTTACAAGAGTGCAGGAGCGCCGACTCTACAGGACAAAGTCATGAGATGGCTTTCATTTATTCCAGGACTCTTTGCTCTTATCTGGCTTTACACAATCTACAGAGGACGTCATTCCTTGAACAAAGCTATTGGCATTTTGGAATTCGCCTCGAGGATTTTAGCCGCAAATCCAGCTCTTCTTGGAATGGGTCTTGCTACCTTGGCAGCTGTTGTGGTCTGGACCTGGATGTGGCTAGGCATGTTCACCCGAGTTTTCCTCGGTGGACATTTTACCCAGTCCTTCACGAAGTTCATCATTGATGCAACAAGTTGGTGGTTAGCAGTTTACTTTGTGTTGATGTACATCTGGACACTTTCCGTCATCGGTGGCATCCAAAGATCAACTACAGCAGCCACAGTATCTCAGTGGTATTTCCACCGAAATGTTGTGCCCTCTCCAACCTCCAGAGAGATTGTTGCAGCAGCATTTAGCCATGCAATCACCACCCTCTTCGGCACGATCTGCCTATCCACTCTGATAGCACTCCTCATTCGGCTTCCACTGCTCCTCCTCCCTCGCCGACTGATGGGCGTTGTTACCATTTTTGCGTATTCGTTCGTTCCAACGCCAATCGCTGCACTCACCAACCCGTTAACTCTCACTTACGCAGCTGTTCATTCTCAACCACTTCATGTCTCTGCTCGTGGTCTTAGTCAAATGACTTTCCTTGCACCCCAAGCACCAACTACGACCCTCACACCACGCTCTTTCAATGCTCGTAACAACCAGACTACACCTCTCCTCCCTTACCGATTAGCAAAGTTGCTGCTCCACGCCACGAGATTCATCATGGCTATGGCGCTTGGCTTTGGCGGATGGGTTGCCACGGCTAGACAATTGCGTATCACAGTTCCAGGACAAGCAGACACGATCAGAGGAAGCGCGTATGCGTATGTAGTAGGACTGGTAGCAAGCTTCATTGGATGGGGAGTCTTGGGTGCAATGGAGGGAGTGCTGAGCGGAATTGTAGATGCGTGTGTGGTATGTTGGGGAAGTGAGAGGGGCATGGCTGGTGGCGGGGCGTATTGTCTCGAGGCCGGGTACCTATTTGGAGAGGGACGAGAAAGGGATTTACCGTGAACTTGGGATCGGCGTTTGGAGATTTGATGACAAGGCGGCGTGAAGGGATGGGAGGCGGCATTAGCGATACATTGCATTATATGAACCACAAGAACTGTATAATTATATCCTTGCTATCTCTTGCCTTTGTGACAGCGATGAACCGCAATGTATGGGGAAATAATCAAGACCCGCACTGTTTGGCGGCTAGGAACTAGGCACGAGAATAATCTTGTTGCATATTTTTATACGCGCTTCTTTAGTTTTCAGGGGCAACCTTTGACGTGGTCTCGTTATAAACAGAAAAAGAGACAGTCATTACCAGTATCTCGCTTCACATTAAGGCATTCAAAAGCTGTATTATTTCTCCCAATATTCCCTCGTATTAGGTAGGGTAGGTTTGGAGGCCGCGATCACCCCCTTTTTAAGCGAAAATAAAACGCCGCCCTCCAACCCACCGAATTTCGAATTCTCCTCCAGCCCAAAATCAAAACCAAATAGCAGATTAAATCAACGAAAAAAATAATCCGAGGGGACACAGAAACTAGCTTTTGCCCGTTGTCTGTGGCGGAGCATACCTCGTTTGGACTGCGTCTTCTCGTAAGTGACCACTATCCCAGGCTTTCGGACTTCCTAGTGATCCAACTTACAACGCGGCTAGAGGCCTCTAATTGTTGCAGTATATATCCTTATTGAATATATGACTCTGCGTCTTGAAATAGTGGGGCGTGTACAGGGCCCAGTACAGAAGCCAGAGGATTTCCACGTTGTATTTAATACCGATCCGCGTTTGTCACATATCGTTATTCAGGAGCAGTGGTCGCGGTCGTCATCTTTTCAACCCTCTGTAGTTTGCTCTCCTTCTGCTGCGCCCATAGATGGCCGCGCTTTTTGGATCTCGACTGCTTTCGATCTCGTGAATTGCTGTATCATCTATCTTCAGGCAGACGATCTAGATAGCGCCTACTCCATTCTCCATAATAGTAGTAATGGCCTCGACTTGCCTAGACTTGGGATCGGGAAAGTAGTAGCGATATTTGCCTATTGAACCGACAATTTGCTGCTCTCTATTCTAGCTTGGAGTGCACAGAACCCAATAGCACCGAGACCGCAACTGCGAATGCTTTTCGAACATTTGCGCGCATTTCCCCTCTCTCTTATGAGACAACAAGAGGGTTGGTTGATGAAGAAGTCTTTCGGTCCCTGGTCATATTTGGACAAATGTTCGAAGCTCTAACCCCTTCGAATGTCCTAGAAGTTTAGAACATTTCAGTCACCGCCCCCCAACCCGAGTTCGGAGAAGATCGAACGTCCAGTATGATTTTGGGACATTGGAAATGAGTGCAACCTTTTCTGTGCACAACGAGACAATGTAAGAGTAATTTGGCTTAATTGTTTTGGTAGTGTTAGTCTCGGAGCCGTTCCTTTTGACATTGCTGTTCCACCATCTAGCTAAGTCCACAACCGATGCGCAGTAACTTGCGTTCATGACTAGATCCGCAGATTCCCAGAATGAGGTTCGCTCACAGTCATAGATGGTCAGGCGTAACCATGCGCCGCCAGCCACTCTGATACCATTTTCGCGTCTCTCTCTTTGTATGCTGCGCGACCAAGGATCGTGTCGCTAATCACCTTGAGGGAACGGTCGTATCCCCTGTTGTCTCTGCCTTCGAAGAACACCGCGATCTCCTTCTCGGCCTCTCTGTCATTGAACTTGATCAAAGATTGTTTGATAAACCTGTCAAGCACAACCATGTTCTTTCCAAGCTTCTCCTTGATAGGATCAAAGTTATCTTGAATATACCGCCATAGGCCATTCCGAGTCTTGGAGTTGGCAGCAAGCATGATAGCGCCGGTGTGCATATCTTGGGTAGCCACTTCGTTGAAGAGAAACTCTAGATAGTCGGGAAGGAGCTCGGTATCTCGAATTCGGCCCAATGCTCGGAGGGATATCTCTCTTCCGTCGACCGAAGTGGTTGTCTGCCATTCCTTCTTGAGAGCGGCGTATTCAGATTTGCCCCCCTCACGGATGGCCTAGGACGGATTAGCAACATATTTCATTGGAGAGGAGGGAGCCAGGAGGGAGCCGCGAGGATGCCCCATCCTCCCAACTAGTGAGAAAGGGAGCTCAGGATATGGGACAAGTAAATAGGTTCTTTACAATACCGAAGATTGCACCACGAAGATTCGGGTCAACATGGCCTTTACCTGTGGTATACAGATCGAACTGGCGCTTGGCCGCAGCAACGACCCTGCAAATTGTCAGCACATTGCATGGAACAATCTGAGAGCAGTGCTACTCACTGTTCATGCCCATTCATGCCTGCAGAGAGGAGAAGTGCTGCCCTCAATTGCGACGTAAGAAAATCTTCCTCTCCCTCTGACGACTCCCAACCGATTTTCTCCACAGCGGGAGCAATCAACTTGAGCGTGAATTTCTTCAAGGCATTCATAATAGCTTCATCTTCCGAGAAAACTGACTTGACCGTGCCAAGCGAACCAAGAATCCGAGACCAGACCAGAAAATTCGTCTCCGATTGGAAGCCTTCAAGAAAGCCCAATAAACCAGGTGTCGAAGCTTCGCCCGAGAGGGCCAAAGCACCAGCATCGCCAATCAAACCTGACGCTCAATTAGTCAAGTACTAAAAGGGCACTTTTTAGTTACTTGCCAATCTTATCACAGATACTCAAGCGATTTATCTGACCTCCAAGCTTGGAAAGTCTCGTGGGAGGTAAGTTTACGCGGTAGAACCCAGCATTGTCCTTATTGAGCTTGTAGAATGAATCATCAACCTCGCGGATAACATCCTGCTTTTTAGTGAAGGCAATAGATGCAACTGCAGTAGTGCCACTTTTGCCTTCAAGACCCAGAGGAATCCACCAGGTCGTATTGTCGTCGTTGGCTTTGACATCACCTGTGGAAAGATAGCGTGTTTGCTTGACGCTGATTTGACCAGGGTCTTCACTGACTGTCAGAACAGGGAATCCGATTGACCGGATCCATGGATCCATAAGAGCTGGAACATCCTCTCCCGATGCCTGGCTGAGAGCGGACCAGAGGTCATTGGTCTTTGCATTACCGTAGGCATGCGCTTTGAGGTAATTACTCACGCCCTTTAGAAAGGTTTCTTGTCCGAGGTGGTTTGCCAACATTCGAATAACAGAACTCCCCTTGAAATAGCTGATATGATCGAAAATTTGGTCTACATCAAGAGCATCTTTGACCGGAACCTCAATTGGATGAGAGCTGCGAAGGGAGTCTAGAGTGAAGGCAGTTTGCATCCCGTCGGACACAAACTGGGGCCAGACATGCCAATCTGGATGAATATGGTCCGTGGCGAGCCATCCAACCCATGTTGCAAAGCCTAAAACATCGGCGAGTTAGCATTTCCCTATCCTAAATGTCTCAGGAGCAAGTCGGACAATACAAGCTCTTTTGGGTGGTGTTGAGGGTATAGGGGACGAAACAGGAGAATCTTGGAATAAAGGATCTACCCTTCCTCACCTTCGTTGAGCCACAGCTCATTCCACCAGTCCATGGTCACAAGATCTCCAAACCACCTGCAGAGTCGGGAGTCAGCAAGTGCCAACGAGATGGAATCTGGGATCGAAGCGAAGCTCCGCATACTGATGTGCTAGCTCATGAGCAACGACATAAGCAACTCTGTTCTTGTACTTGATGTCTGAAGCCTTCTCGTCGAACAAAACAGCGGTGGTTCGATAAGTTATCAGTCCCCAGTTCTCCATCCTAGCCATTGTAAGTAAGCAGAGACAAGTTGGATCTCGACAGCAAAGGGGTAACGGTTTGGGTCCTTACGCTCCGTGAGACTAGAAAAACACTGGTCAGCGGGGAACATCTACAAATTATTGAGAGACTTATGATGGCCTGCCTGTGCAGTCAGCTTGTGGGGAATGGGTGAGCACGAGGGTGCAGGGTAGGTTGGTCAGGTTGGGGGTATGAGGGGGATAAAGGCTTCGAATGTCCGCGAACAAATGGATCAGTCACAGTGGGCACTCACAAATTCATGAACAGCAAGGAGATCACACTTTGGCAATGGATAATCAATCTGAAATATCTCGCTGAAGTAGTCAATTATTTGAGGCGCATGGTCAAGAGCGAACTGGGCTTGGCCCTTCAATCCTGCGAGAATCGGTATTAGTAAAGGTTATAAGCCAAGAAAAGGAACAGTACCCTTCGTGGTGTAAACACGCACTGGCAAATGCTTGCCATTGTAGGTTCGCTTGGTAAAATCTTCAACATATTCGAAGTCTCCCACAGCCCAGGCCAACAGGTAGGTACTCATAATTGGTGTTCTCTCAAATGAAACGATCTTGAATCCGTCTTTGCCCTTCTTGACCGCCTTCTTAGGCATGTTGCTCAGTGCGACCTGATCTTCTGGGAACTCGATCTGGAAATCAAATGTAGCCTTGAGGTTTGGTTCATCGAAACAGGGAAAGGCCCGGCGAGCGTCACAAGATTCAAACTGTGTCGACAACATCACATGGTGCTCACCATCCTTTGGAACTGATGGTGCTGGGGTCACGGTAGGCTTGTACTTTGATCGGTAGAACCCAGCCATATCGTTATTGATTGTTCCTTGAAATGAGAGGACAATAGCAGCCTTCTCAGAAAGAGGGATCTCTTCTGGGAAAGACAACGTGACTCGCTGTCTGGGGACATCATAGGATATTTCCGAGGCCGTAAACGTCTGCTGAGTCTTCGTGTGTTCCAATTTCACCTCGGCACTATGGATCTTGAGCTGGTGGGAATTCAGAACAATCTCCTTTGAGCTCTTGATGACCTCAGAAAGGATGCTGACAGTTCCCTGATAACCGAAATCACCCCCGAGCTCGAGATCATAGATGGAGATGTCATAGTTGATCGGTTTGACAGTATCCGGGAGAATATCCCTGTCGTTGAAGTCGACAGCCATGGCTAGATGTCGAGTGGACTCTGATCTGAAAGGCCCTCGGACTGGGAAAGAGGTGTTGGTCCGGTCCGTTTCTGCAGACTTCGAATTTTCGTACCGAGATGCCTGACCAAGTTTGGTCCGAATTGGGCTCTGGGAGTTGGAACTCTGGATTGAGGGGTTGATGAGGTGATCGTTTTTCTGCAAACCAGGTGACAGCTGAGTGTGCGTATTTGGCTCGCACGAAGACTGGAAACGGTCGTCCGAGATGAGGACAGCACACGAGCTGCGAAGACCGAACACAAACCCGACTTTCGGAACATCGACGGGCTATGAGCAGAAAGGAAGGTCGCAAGGAGGCGAGCCTACGTTCGGTGGGGAGGGGATCGTTTGGATGCAGCTTCTTGATTGGCCGCCTTGACGCGAGGCTGACAAAGAAAACAAACCCGCAAACGCCGTGCTGCAAACATGTCGACTCGACACGCCGTATCCAAGAATCCCATCTTACCATGGCCGCCGGTCAAAAGCTCTACCCTCGTGCGACGGTCAAGAAGATCGTCAAAGCCCATTCGAAACGTAACGTTAGTAAGAATGTTGATGTCCTGGTAGGATTTGTCGACGCGTCTCCCCGTGCAGCAACTAATCGGACTATGCAGATTTTCCTCGATTATGCGCTCTTCTTACAAACGTACGCGATTCTATAGATACTCGATGCATCTTTGGGATATATATGTAGGATATTGTGCTGACAACGATGCACAGGTTGATGAAGGAAGCTACCATCAACGCGAAGCAGGTTGGTGAACGAGGAATCAGTGGCAAGAGCGTCAAGAAAGTCACAGAGGCGAGCATTCAATGCGTCAATCTCAATGGAACACGCTGACAGTTTTCTGCTTTAGATGTCACTCGCAAAGTTCAAGGGTTGAAGGCTTGGAACTGGGGAGCAAGGCTATATTGCACATGGAGATGGAACCAGACTTTGCAGGCTTGTTTTGATGCTGTGTCTCAAATCGAAGAGAATGAGAGGAGTCGATATTGGAAACTGCGTTGCAATAAAGGAGATAAAAAGAGGTGGTACACGGAAGTTACGAGGCTGAAGACGGGCCAAGGGAGGCATGTGTGTCCACAAGAGAGGAAACACAGTTGATGAGTGGTTCCAGGACTTACCAGACAAGAAAATTAAGGCCCATGAACAGTAGAGAGCAATTGATACTCAGATGATACACTCCCGTCCCAGTTGCTGCTGCTTGTCCGGCGATTATGACTCCAAGGTTCCTTTTGTTTCCTTGCAAGCATTCGCTTAACGAGGCTTGGCAAGATTTTCTGAGAGCTTCCTGTCACCTTGACAGCTCCACGAACTAAACACAGATCCTACAGAATTCCAGACTGACCAACTCCCTCTCATAACCGAACCTTAATACTTTCTTCGTCCTGATCCCGCAACTCTCCCACAAATATTATCCGCATCCACGCACGACCAACCCATTGTACCACAACTAGATCCCCCTCCACAGCGCGAACCTGCTCCACAATGGCTGCTTCTGCTACCCAGAACCCACAAGTCAAGTCCGAATCCAAGTCTTCAAAGAAGAAGAAGGCCAAGGCGACCTCTGCCGAGACTGAAGCTTCATCTGCCCCCGCCCCGGTTGCGGAGGTCACTCCGTCCAATGCTGCAACAGAGAGCAATAATGGTGATGGTGGCTACGAGAGTCCGTACATCAAGGAGCTCTACAAGTGAGTAACTTAAGAAGCGGGATCTGATAGCGACTAATACTTGCAAGGAACATCCGAAATGTCAACAAGAAGATCGTGAGTCCCCGAATCAACGCAGCTCGATCTCGGCGCTCCTCTACTAACTGCACAACCATAGACCAACGCCTCCAAAGTCGACAATATCCTCGCTGAGAACCCTGGCACCACCCTCGACGAGCTGGTAGTTGCGCGAAAGATCAATGCCGACCAGAAGGCCCAGATCCTAAAGAAGCCACAACTGCAAGCTTCCCTGACGCAACTGGAAGAACAAATCGCCCAATACAAGAAGTTCGACCAGGAATACAAGGCTAGATCACAAACCGAGAAGGCCGAGTTCGAGAAGACCTTCACTGACAAGGCGAGCAAGGAGTTGGAGGAAGCAGTTGCAGCAGCAAAGTCCGAGGCTGAGACAAATGCGTTGAAGGAGCAAAAGAACAACCTGCTTCTTCTGTCACAATTCCTTAAATTGGCTGCTATTCGACGAGGCGAGGATGAGGCTGCGGAGCTTGAGGAGAGCAAGGCATTGGAGGGTCTGTTAGCTCAGGTTTATGCCGGTGATGCTACTGCTGTTTCTGCCATGCTCAACCTCATCCAAGGCTCCAGTGAGACTATTGTGTCTGTTATGGGAGAAGCCCTAAGCGTTACTTGTATGACAATCCCCCCCCCCCCCTTCATGTTTGGATGGTATCTCACATTTCGAGTAGATGCCGACATCAAGGCCGCCTCCCTTGCCCAGATTGCTGCTACCCCAATCCTTGAGAGCGAAGTTGAACAGATTCATGAGGTTCCCTCTGTTGAGCATCCAGTCCAGTCTGACCCTACCATTGTCAACGCTGGTAAGCATGTTCTCGTCTCATTTTTTCTTGTCAGAGAGTGTCGCAGTTCCGATAACTCAATGCCTCTCTCCTCCAATCCTCAATGTATCAATACTGACTTGTTTATCAGGTCTTACTGAGATCGGCGAGCCTGCCGCAGTTGATTTGACGAATGGCCATAACGAGTCGGTCTTCGACACCCAGGGCATTCCACAAAATTCCGGATTTGGTGACGGGGCTGCCAACGCTGCTGCTGAGGCCAACTGGGATAACAACAATGATCTATCTACCTCTCAGGAGTGGGTTGAGATCCCTCGCGATGCTAATGAGACTGAAACTGGCGTTACTGCTACCCCGGCTGCTCCTTCCAACGTTCAGAGCTGGGCCGACGACCAGCCTGATAGCCCTGTCGAAGTAAGCTATCGCCCCGTCATTACTTGAGTACTGCTCCTGTGATCTTTAACTAACCACCCTTCTCTCACAGAAGACCTCTGCTCCAGCAGTCAACAGTAACGATGGCTTCCAAGAAATCAGCCGTAACCGTGGTGGACGAGGTAATTTCCGTGGAGGTCGTGGACGCGGCGATGGATTCCAGCGTGGCCGAGGTGGATTCCGAGGCGATGGTTACCGTGGACGAGGTCGGGGTGGAGGCGGTGGAGGTCCTCGTGGAGGTCGTCGCCCAGACGAATCCTAAATGACCAGCCAACTACCGTGAGAACACTGGATTTTTCACGCTCGCTCATGCGTTCTGTGGTCCTTCAAAGTTCACACATGTAATTCTTCTTGCTCTTTTTGCAGCATCGACGGCGTATGTTGCGGCATTGCATTTGTGTCATGATGGCTGGATAGCCGGGGCTCTCATGCATAGATTGGGAGTGAGCGTTTATTTGCGTTGTCATACCTGCATAGCATTCTCGGCACTTTCTTCCTAGGGAACTTCAGGGGTGAATGGGAAAAGAAAAGTTGATACCTGCATGGTTGGCAAAGGGGTGTGTCGTATTTCACCTCGTGAATGGCATTCTCTCTCTCTACCTGTCCCTGCTTGATTGTGCCTTGATTGTCCCTTATTGATATGGTACAATCTGGACGTCTCCAATTACCCTAGTTACCTTATGGTCCGCCTTTGACTTATTACGGTCAGGGCTGACCTTTTTGCACGCATAAATGGCTTTGATCTCGGCGAGCTGCGAGTACCAACTATCAGGAGCTCACGTGGTACCCCTTTTCTCTCCATCAAGTCGCTCAAAATAGCGTGAAATTTGGGAAGGCGATATCATATCTATATTGAGTTCTGGCAAGAAATAATTCATCCTTCCCACAATTCCAATTCAATGTTCCATCATATTCCTGCTTCTCGTCCATTACTCCTTTGTAATAAAATTAGCATCCGCGCTGAACGTGGTAATGTTGTCTGCATTGCTTGACGGAGCATTATTCAATCGCTAAGATATTTCTCCCCTCCAGTTTAGATTTCATGAGCACTTGCTTGGGGCCGCAAGGCTGCCATGCAAGGTTTACCTGCTTGTCGAAATGAACTGTAGCGTCGTCGTCTGAGAGCTCACCGGCGGCAATGGCAGGAGCACCTCTCTCGTTTGAGAGGCCAATACGGTTATTGACGTTAAGAATACCATTAACTCCACAGGGCGACCTGGAAAATATTGAGTCAGTATTACTCAAGACCAAAAGTGGGGATACAGTGAGATGCTGAAAGAAAGGGTGGAGTGCGTACCAGATTGCAGACGCTGACTTGACTATATCAACCTTCTCGTAGGCGCTGCCTTGGTTCCAATCGGTGCTGGTATCACTATCTGATATGTAATTTCTTGTCTCCGCAGTTTTAGAAGCGGCTTGAGAGAAGAAATAGGCCGAGATGAAACTAATATTGACGCAAGGGTCCAGTCTTGCCCACCCCGAGGATTCTTGGCTTCTAGAAACTTACCTGCTTTGTTCCGTCGGTTTGCGAAGCGCTTGGGCCAATGAAAGCTTGGAATTTGTCGAATACAAAGGTGACGATTTCTCTATCCTTAGAGAATTGGGTGTTCACAGTCCCTTGAGGACTATCTGGTTACCGAATTAGCATTCCTGACAATATACATTCTCAATGCACTGCAGGTCTTTCGCTCAATGCTTGTGATGGAAGAAGGCAGTGGCGGCCCGTCAACATAAATATCCACTGATGCTTTTAGACAGTAATGAATAGAACTACAAGACAATTTTCCCGAACACACACCTAGCATGCCACTTGTCTGAAGTCTTCGACATAGCACGCACCTAACCGATCCCACAACCTTTCGTCCCTTCAAACTCTTTGATATATTAAGCTTGATTCCGCTTCGTATCTTTCCCAGCAGCACTCTTCACTTCTCAACTCAAACTCAAGGATCGAGCTTCCCATAAGCACACCCATATCGCGAATCAACCATCAATCTACTAGTTCACACGGTACAACCACCATATCCGCTGTCTCATCAAGGCGCCCAAGGTTCCCTCCACATATGATGGAAGACCGCCCTTCCTACATGAAACAATTCCTCCAGTTTGACCTGACCCACCTCCTAACTCTGCAGTCTCAGCTTCGAAACTTTAAGCTGCAGTCTCAGCTCCACCCAATCGAGACCAAGATCACCTCTGCCGCGTCACTCCAAAAGCCTGACATGAAAACCCATTCCGTCTACGATCTCTCTGGAATCAACAACTGGACCAAGGAGGACGAGGCGGACAAGAGGAAGAAGGACAAGGGCGAGGTAGCAGAAGAGAAGACTGATGCCTTTTATATCTACGATCCAACCATGTTCCCCGTCCTTATTTCCAGTCCAAGCAACGACAATGTAGCCAACCGCGACCTCATGCTGGCGCAGTTCGAAAAGCTTACGAAAGAGGAACTTGATCTTCTTGTCAATAAGGCCAACGAGGAATTCTCCATGATGGTCAATTGTCCCAGATGCAAGCGGACACATTCGAAGTGCATGTATCCGGCTATCACGACCATGTTGGTTGAGCTGCAAATGAAGATGCGTCAAGCGGATCCGACGAAAGTTACGCGACTGGTGATTGATAAGTGGTCGGAGACTTTTGAGAAAGTGTACGATGCGTACCAGTGAGAGTGGGTTGAGACCAGTGGTGCTTGTGATAGGGTTGTGGAGGCGAAGCATGATAATAAAATGACTTGGGTATGTGCTTTTTCGGGCTTCACCTCTCTTGTGCAAATGTCCCGCAAGTTGTGGTCATTCCAGTTCTCCAGGAAGAAATGCTAACTCTGGGGTTACGTAGGTCTTTGATTATGACAAGACTGTGTTGTTTTGGGGTCTTGATGACGCAGAGTAACTTTCGAGCCCTAAGCAGTACTCGTGGGTTGTTGGTCATTAATGGCAGAGCTGCGAGCATTTTCGACTGTGGGATTGGGAGTTCGTGTAGAGATGGCTTTTCTTTTGCTGGAAGGTGGGGGCAAATTTCAACTTTGAAGTGCTTACATGGAGTCTGAGAAACCTGTGGCTGCTGGTGTACGGAACAAAAGAGATAGAGCCATAAGGCCCGCACAGAGAACGAAATCTGCCGATTATTGGGTCACATGCCTTATCGAGTCTTATCTGGATGTGAAGATTTTGATCGATTGTTTTCGTCCCATCGTGGAGAGTGAAGCCTGAACAAGATCCCATCCATCTCAACTTGATAGTACCAAGACCATGACGAACATTGTTCATCTGCCGTGATCACACATGGCAGCCACGTGGAGCAGAGAGAGAGGAAGTTGAGGAAGAAGCTGCGATTTCTCCGGATCTTCGGCATTCAAGCTCTTGAGCATGGACGATGTAGTGGCACAGTGTGGACATTACCTAAGCTGTACCTGTAGACCCAAGTCGGAGTGCCTGGCCTTGTCCACGGGGCTGTGAAGGCATTCGTTTGCACCACATGGGAGGTTGCATCGTGTGTTTGGCAAAGATGGCGTTTGTCTTGATCCCAGATCGCACCGAATTACTGATCAGGCTTCCCCACACAGCTCTTGCCATGGGAGAGCAGCCGGTAGCAAGATTGATTGGCTCGTGTCAGAGGGCTCAGGGTGGTTGCCCCACGCACGCTAGAATCCCGATGGGAAAAGGAAGAAGCTTATTCCAACGTATCACGGCTTTGGCTTTCATCTGATAACGTGGGGTCCAGGGACGGGGCATGGCTCTGACGTGCAGGTATTCCAGGTACAACGTGAATAATCGACAACACTTTCCGCCAAGTTGACTTGAGCCATGAAATCTGACGTGGTATGTGCACAGAATGGCAGTTGGGTACAAAGAGCTGAGCGACCTCAACTTTTGAGGGGATCGAGCATCGCTGCGACACTGGGGGAGGTTGGCCGCTCACAGTGACAAGGAGCCTTTTACCAACGATTGGACAGGATGTTGCAAATATCATCGATTGCACCGTATGCTGAGAGTACTATTCTCCCAAATAGAGGGCAAGCTCTGCAATAGCCCAACTTGGCCAGCTAGAATGCAATGCGAGTCCGGAAGCACCAGCGAGAGGGGTGGTCGTTGAAGCCGAGTTGCTCGATTGGTGGGTGATCGGGAAGCCTGCATGAGATTCCGTCCGCGCCTGAAAATAGCATCGCGTCACTACCAGCATTTTGGACATGGGAAAGTATGCATTATTTTGTACAGCAAAGCTTGGGAGATAGAATTGCGGGATGGAGGAGAGATTGAATAACCTCGGTTGCGCGAGTTGTCGAAAAGTTCGTGACTGTGGTTATCTTGTAATCACGGCAGTCTTCTCGATACAATCAATACTGTACCATCTGCATCAACATCAGATTCAAGCAATGATTGTCGATATGTCCCGGTGCATATCGAGGCAAGAAGGGGGAGAGGCTCAAATGCGATTGTGAAGCATTCACTCCAAGAGGAGGGAGGAATTTGAAAAGCGGGTCGGCGGCTTGCGCCTTCCCTAAAGAGGCTAGAATATGATTCGATTGTTCGATTAATGGTGCTGGGCTGGATTCAAGACGATGTCCGGCGCCCTCCATCCGCGAGAGAGAACGACGACGTCCTTTCTCTTTACCACCCATCAACATCGCGGACACCCTCCTGCACACGTCCAGCTTACGCCCAACAATTGGTGACGTCTCGACAATTGCTGCGAGTCTTCTCTCGCGAATCGTTCGTTCGCAGCGCCAGCTTTCCAATTCGCGCCCCCCCTCCCTCAACGCAATCCACAATCCCTCGACGCCTATTCTACGACACGGACATTCAATACTCGGTCTTATGAGGTGCCTCTAGCTATGTCGACCGATGCGATGGCCGTTGCGGCCCCGGAGAGTGAGCCTGTGGGCCTCCACTCTCCCCCCGACTCCAATTCCGCCCCCAAGGACAATGGCAGCGACTCTGAACTGTCTGATCTCGAGCCAGACCCCGAGCCCGAGCCCGAGCCGGAGACGAACGAACTTCATGACCTCAAGCCTGACCATTACTCCGACGGTGGCGTGCCAGTTTTTCGCCCTTCAATGGAAGAGTTTGCCGACTTCCAGCGATACATGTGAGTCTCCCCTCGATTTCGCCAGCTGCAGCTGCGCAGACCAGTACTGATCGCGATAGGCGCGGAATCAACTCGTACGGAATGAAATCCGGCATCGTCAAAGTTATTCCCCCTCCCGAATGGCTCGCCGCCCAGCCGTCCCTCGGCGAAGCTATCAAGACAATCCGAGTTAAGGAGCCGATCAAGCAAGATATCATGGGCACAAGCGGTACATATCGCCAAGCAAATTTCATGCATCAGCGGTCATACAACCTCCCTCAGTGGCGACAGTTGTGCGAGCAAAGCGAGCATCAGCCCCCTGCTAAGAGAGGAGAACGACGGTTGAATCAAGACAAGTACACACCAAGAACTAAATCCTCGGGGATCCCTTCCTCTGGAACAAAGAAGAAGAAGGGCCTTAGTCGCCCCAACAAGGGGAAAGGAAAGTCAGTGATAGATGAGCCGACTGACGGTGCAAGCACACCTGATCGTCTCCCAACTCCAGTCTCTCCAACAATGAAAACCGAGGAAGATACTATTCACATTAAGGAGGAAGCAGATGATGTGTGTGACACCCCAACCAAGAGGATGGGGGGACGGCAGCCTAAGGCCATATCTGTCTCGTCCCGTCGCAAGAACAACCGAAGTGAAAGTGCCGCAGTTGATGAAGCTGCGTTCAAGGACTTCAAATACGAACTTGAAGGCGAAGATTACAGTCCGGAGCGCTGCGAAGAGCTTGAACGGGCTTACTGGAAGACTCTTACCTACGCCTCACCTCTTTATGGCGCAGATATGCCCGGTACACTCTTCGATGACCGAACGACTACCTGGAACCTAGGTAAACTCGAGAATCTTCTCGATGTTCTGGGTACAAAGATTCCAGGCGTCAACACGGCGTACCTATATCTGGGCATGTGGAAGGCAACATTTGCGTGGCATCTCGAGGACGTTGACCTCTACAGCATCAACTACCTTCACTTCGGAGCTCCAAAGCAATGGTATAGCATCTCCCAGGGCGATGCTCGGCGATTTGAGGCAGCCATGAAAGCTATTTGGCCTGTTGATGCCAAAGCATGTGATCAATTCCTTCGTCACAAGACGTTCTTGATCTCCCCTGCGCACCTACTTGCCAATTTCAACATCAAAGTTAACAAGATCGTCGCTTATCCTGGCGAGTTCGTTATCACATTTCCATACGGATACCACTCGGGTTACAATCTTGGTTATAATTGTGCCGAGGCTGTGAATTTTGCCCTGGATTCTTGGCTGGAATTTGGTCGCGTAGCCAAGAAGTGCGACTGCAGTCAAGCGCAAGATTCTGTTTGGATCAACGTGCACGAAATTGAAAGGAAGCTCAGAGGCGAGGAGACTGAGTATGAGGAGACAGACGAGGAAGACGAAGAGGATGAAGAAGACGACTTACCCAATAATCTTCCGACGCCTCCTGAGAGCAGTGGCGATACGAAAACCAAAGCTCCCCGCAAGAAGCGGAAGCGGCCAACGAATGAGAAAGGCGACAATCTCAACGTCAAGCGCATTCGTGTACGCATCAGGGCGCCAACGAGAGAGCCATGCATTCTCTGTCCCAATGACATCCCATCCGAGCCTCTACTTCTCACTGAAGATGGCCAGAAAGCACATCGCCTATGCGCTTTGTACATACCTGAGACATCGATTGAGACTGGCGAGAAAGAGACTGTCATTGACGTCAAGTACATTGACAAGGCTCGCAAGGAGCTCAAGTGCAACTACTGCCGATCGAGGAAGGGAGCATGCTTCCAATGTTCGCAGAAGAAGTGTACAAGAGCTTATCATGCCACTTGTGCCGCTGCCGCAGGTGTTTTGGTGGAGCAAGGCGAAATTCCCGTCTTCGGCGAAGATGGCACCGAATACAAAGAATGGGGCATCGAATTCAGTTGCCGCTTCCATCGCACCAAGCGCGACAAGAAATTTGATGGTGATGCTCTGGATGACGATGAGCGTATACTTAAGGCTGCTTCTGAACTAAAGGTTGGCGAGGTCTGCCAGATGCAGTACTACAAAGGTGACATATTCGCTGGTGCGGTTGCGGAAAATCGCAAGAGTGAACAAATGGTTCTCGTTGATATTCTTCCGAGGGGGTATGTGCAACCCATTCAATCCTTCGACCTAGCTGTGGCCTCAACTAACAATCTTGTAGCGGACGAGTGGAGGTGGAGTACAAATGGCTCCTCATTCCAGACCCTGCGGACTATCGTTTGCCAAAACCTTCGCCTAACGCCAAGCCAATGCCGAAGTCCTACAAAGACAAAGAATCACTCAACACCAGCAAGCGTCAAGTGGATGACTTACCACGTGCAGAAGATCCTTTCATCGAGGGCTTTACTTGGGCCGAGTTCAAGAGCCACAAAGTGTTGCGCAACCCCGCCCAAGTTAAGGTAGATCTGCAGAAAGACAACCAAGTTTGGTTTTACCTTGGCAAAACTTCTACGGAAGCAAAAGCACAATTCACAGAGGATCCGGCGAAGCCACGACACAACCCGAAGGGTCATTTCTTGGACACAATTCCCAAGCCTTCCGCCACGCTACCGCGGCAGTCTTATGCTGCAACGTACCCTTCAGGTCTCAGCCAGAATACTTTGGCAGCAACCAAGGCGCCGATTCGACCTTCTCTGCCTACGGCTACGAGCTCCACCAGACCAGAGAAGCCATATGTATACAAGCCTCGAAACACTGGTGATATGTACCGTGTTGATCCACAAGCTTACCGTTCTCAGCAAAACTTCCTCCAGCGATCAACTCCGTATAGTTTTGGTACCGATCCGAGATGGCGAGCCCCGGAGTCAAATTCAACAGCTCCTTATTCGCAGAATTCTTCTCCTGCCGCCGCCGCCAACCTCACAACGTCTTCGGCGAGAGCCCCTTATTCGCAAAATGCTTCTCCTGCAGCCGCCATCCTTCCGCCATCATCAGCGAGAGATCCTTATCCGCAGAAGGTTTCTCCTGTCTTGCCTTCATCGGCGAGTCATAATCCTCTTGCTCCTCCCCTCCAAGCTCCTTACCGACCGCCATATTCACAAGCACCTCCAGTGCCCCCCAAGACAAACAATCCTTTTAGCGGGAGACCCCAAACCTCGAGCTCGAGGCCGAATCCTTTTGCGAAGTATTCATACCTGCAAAAGGAGCACAACAGGTCTCCACTTGAGTACAAGAGTCCTTACCGACCTGGTGGTGGCTTCATGAATGGATATCAGGGGAGCCTTGAGAAGCATCTGCAGCAGACTTTGTTCCGCAGCAAATCTGGATCTGGCACGCCTTTATCGAACCCTCAGATATCGTATGGCAGCAATATGAGAACTCCGTACCCTCCAAGTCAGCCTTCGCCAAGTCCATCTTACAGTGTTGGCACGTCCTCCTCTTATGGAGGATACGGAACTCCCACCCCAACAAGACAGGTACAGCAGCCAACGATGAACAATGCTGCTTCGGATACGTGGGAGAAGAAGGACACTTCTCAATTGCACCCAGCTATCCGACCTGAATATAGTTCGATGTTCCATCACCACCAGCCTCCTCAACGCCCTCCACCTTCTCAATACCAAGGACCTGTTCTGCAATCTCCCGCTTTGTATGATAGACCTCATTTGCATCAATCGCATCACAATCATGCACCTCAGGCTCTGCCGCAGCAACAAGGCATGGCTCAACCAGCGCCTCAGCCCCAAATTTCACAGACGATCCAGCTGGCATCATCCACACAATCACCCTCTTTTGGACAGTGCTACCAATCTCTGTCTCCGGTGGTGACACAATCACCACCGCATCCTCCTGTTCCACAGCCGCAGTACCAGCCTTATCCTCAGGCTGTGGTGGAATCACCAATTCAAGCGACAGCTTCTCAGCCGCGACACCAGACTCCTCCGCAAGTCTATCAGGAAAACAAGCCTGTCTATCCACATCCGCAATATTTCCGGAAGCCAGAGGCACGACTTCAAGCCCAACCGCTAGCTCCGCCTGAAGATCAACCACAAGGTCAAGGTCAAGGTCAAGAACAAGCGCTGCAGCCACTAGCGCAGCCATCCCAAGCTCGTGACTTCCCGGATGTTCCAGCAGATTCGACTTCTCTCATCGAGAAAATGATACAGAACTTGAAGAAAGCCACACCGGCCGCATCGGCGACTTTCTGAGATGGTTCGGCATGTATTGACGATTTATGGGTTTCCTAGGCATGACGCAATCGAAGTGCTATTTGGAAATGAACAAAATTAATGGCTCGGTGGGTTCTGGACGGCAGAGGCACCTGTTTTGCTTGCGACTCAGTGCAGCGACAGCTATCCCTCGTCCTGAATACGGCGTTAGGGTAAAGGAAATATATGGGAGGTTTTCTCGTGGCGTTCGTGGGTTTTTTGTTTTGCATTTTCATTAATGGCTTCGCGGTCACTCGGTGGATTTCACGGCCCAAAAGGGACTTTTTTCTCCACCTCTCCTTCATGGGAAATGGGCAAGGAGGCCTGGCATTAGAGGGCTTGCGGGTGTAAAGGAAAGCTGCGTTACGCGTGAATGCCGGTGGGGAATAAACAGGCGCAGCGCTTGGAAGTTGGCAGACCGTTGAACATTGTAAACCTTAGGTATTTACTTCGAGCAAATCCATTTTGGACACGTCTTGTGGGGTGAATGACTCGTACTTGTGCCACCATTTCACAGCTAGCATCTGCCATGTAGGACGAGAGTCATGTATCGGTCCGCGCATCTCCAGGGGTGGAACAAGGGCCCCGGATCAGCATCCTGATTCCTGCAAGACTGCAACTCCTGCTCCTCCAGGATTTTCCTTGCGATTATTGAGGTTGTCTGGACGGCAAGATTCCGCATGGGGTAGCCTCGGTTCACCCGGACAAGTCCATGTCCTTGTTGGCGCCCCCTCCTTGCTTCCCGTCGCCCAGGCGGGGATGGAGCTCGACTTTGTCTCGACGATCTGGCCAAGGAGCCAAGAGGACTTCGGAAAGTCTGGAGATTTGTGGGTCGGTTCCCCCGCTTCTGGGTGCTTTCGTATACACAAGTTTGGGTGGGCACTGGGCAAGTGCCACTTGAGTGCTCAGCTGGGCGGTTCTAGGATTTTGTGCTTTGGAGAGGGTGCTGCGAAGGTTTGCTTGCAGCTCGGATCCAGGGAGATGAGGGGTATGTTGGGGTTGGGCTGCCGCTTACTGCATTTGAAGGGGCAGGTTGTTCTTAAACTGCTGGAACTCTTCTTGAGCAATTTAATGTGTCCTTCTGTCTTCATTTCTGTACTTCTCCTCTCGAAAGGTCCCCACTACGTTTTCTTGATTCCTGTCTGTCCTTGACATCCAATTGACCGTATTCGACATGTGCGACCTACAAGAAGTTGACGTTATCTTTGCTGGGGGAGGAACCGCTGCTTGTAAGTGCATTTTGGAGTTTCCTTCCGTCAATTGAGTGTCTCACAATTCATGGCACATATCAATTTCGTTAGACGGTACTAACTTCCAACAGGTGTAGCAGCTGGTCGTCTGGCCAAGGCAGCTCCGAATCTCAAGATCCTCCTTATTGAAGGCGGAAAAAATAACTTCAATGACCCAACTGTCGTAAATCCAGCCGTTTACCTGAGCCACCTTGCTCCGGACAGCAAAACTGCTTTAGTGAGTTCCCCACATTCCCCACAGTCGAATTTCTTTGACACCTCCAAGTTCTACAAATCGAAAGCCTCGAAGCATCTCAATGGCCGAGAAGCTATCGTTCCAATGGGAGGTCTTCTCGGCGGAGGTTCCAGTATAAACTTCATGATGTATACCCGAGCTCAAGGGATTGATTTTGATTCGTGGAATACTGAAGGATGGGCTGCAAAGGATATGATTCCTCTTTGCAACAAGTTGGAGACTTATCATCCGAAGGGGCAAGCAACTGACCCGAGCAAGCACGGCCATGTAAGTCATGAAATGACAGTCATTAAGTAATTGCTGACTCTCGATCCCGCAGGATGGCCCCATTCATATTAGTGACGGCGGATTTAGGGGAAAGAGTGAATTGGAATTCGCTAAAACTGGTAGGGAGTTCTCTTGAAGTCCAGTATCCTCAATTTTCTTGGATATTCAGAAGTTTTCATCGAATCTATTGTCTCCAATGTCCTGGAACAGTGCTAATTATCTGATGCAATAGTGGAGGGAATGGGATATCGGATGATCGAAGATCTGCAGGACTTTGACGCAGTCGGCGGCTTCTCCGTAAGCTGCAATCATTGGTCACAATCCTGGATTTTGCTAATCCTCCTCAGCACTGGCAACGTTATGTGTCTCCAGACGGAAAGCGACAAGATGCAGCTCATCGCTTCATTCATCCACTTTTGCAAGACGGAAGGCACCCAAATCTCCACATTCTTACCGATTCAAAAGTCATTCGTGTTCTCTTCGACGACTCTACCCCACCTCGCGCCATCGGCATTGAATACAAGCCAAACGCTGATCATCAACCCGAACTTGCTCTTTCGAAGCCAGTTCACAAGACTATCAAGGCGAATAAGCTTGTCGTCATCAGTGCTGGCGCCCTTGGAACCCCACAGATAATTGAGAGGTCTGGTGTAGGCAATTCCGACATTTTAAGGAAGGCTGGAGTGCCCGTTGTTGTAGATAACAAGGTAAGTACTTGAACGTTGGAGAGAGCATCCAAGGCCTTCTCGGTCAGTCAAGTACTAAATGCTTTCTTGTTCAGGGCGTCGGCGAGGAATATCAAGATCACCATCTTCTGCTTTACCCATACAGGACGAAGGGCCTTGACGATGGGGAAACACTTGATGGGATTTTGAGTGGACGTAAGGACTTCATTAAGGCATTTGGAGAGAAAGATCCTATGCTTGGATGGAACGGAATTGATATATGTGCGAAACTCAGACCCTCAGATAAAGAGATCGAGGTGAGTAATAGTGATGCCCATATTAATCTGCAGTTTACAGATATTTATTAACTCCTTCTGTAGGCCCTCGGACCCGACTTCAAGAGAGATTGGGACAATGACTTCAAGCCCTTCCCCACTCGTCCTTTGATGCTTTGCGGAGTTGTGAATGCCTTCCTGGCTGATCCATCGCTTGTTGAACCGGGTAAGTAATTTGGAGAGTGTTGACTTTGCACATACTTTGAAGTCTACTTTACTCCGCAGCTACTGACCCGATTCTGCCTAGGCCAATACATCACCATGGGAACTTATACAGCATATCCGTATAGCCGTGGAAGCATTCATATTACAGACAAAGAGGATGTTCTGACTGGATATGAATTTGATACGGGATTCCTCAATCACCCCTCAGATTTGAAGAAGCAACTTTGGGGATATAAGATGTCTCGAGAGATCGCCAGAAGGCTCCCTTATTTCAATGGCGAACTAGAGCTTGGCCACCCAAAATTCCCGTCCGGCTCCAAGGCCTCTCTTACCAGTGGCAACCATGCGAGCGGCGACGTGAAGGACATCGAATACAGCAAGGAGGACGACGAAGCCATCGAGGATTGGATTAGGGGCAATCTCAACACGACATGGCATTCCCTGGGTACTTGTGCGATGAGACCCAAAGAAAAGGGGGGAGTTGTGGACAAGGATCTGTCCGTTTATGGAACTCGGGGCTTGAAGGTGGTTGATTTGTCCATCGTTCCGGAGAATGTCGGGGCTAATACCAACAACACGGCTTTGGTGGTTGGAGAGAAGGCAGCTGTCATTATTGGCAATGAGTTGGGCATCAAGGTTTAGAGGAGATGGGAAGAAATTACAGAGATTCTAGGAGTATACCTCATTGTGTGTTAAGTGTCCCGGGCATATTTAATGAAAAATTTGACTTCAAATTCCACCCTTTGCAATGAAAAGCATGATACTGTCAACTCTTCGGTGGAATTTTCACAGACGAAAGACGTGATGGCGATTAGATAAGAGAGATACCTTCAAATGAAAGGAAACTTCTCCACAAGGCGCTGAGAAAGACAATATCGGAACTGTAATTATGTGAATTTCGAGTCTTTTGGCACTTCAGTGTTCCACTTGCCTTGAATCATGGTTAGTAAGGCGGATTTTACCATGTTGCAGAGGCGATGGGTAAGGGGGAATGCAATCCATCAATTCATTATGCTACCTGGCCGCATTACCCAACACGAGCATGTGCACACAAACGCCATGATATACCCTGCAGCCCAATCCTATACACCTAATCCTCTTCCATGGCACTCAACCGCATTTCGCCAACCTCTCTAATCTTTTCCCCAAGCACGTTCCTCCCATACCGCTCGGCAACCTTCCCAGCCGCCTCCATCATCCTACCAGTCCTATCCCTCAATAAGGTAACCATCTCCAAAGCCCGCATACCCCTGTCCTCCCCCTCTCTACACTCTACAGCCATCATTTGCAATAGCGTCTTATCAATCTCAACCTCCATTCTAGCCAGCGCAGTCCGTTGGCTATGCGAGCTCTTGGTGAAATCGACCAGATCCTGCTGCTGAGCAGCCAACACACTCTTGAGTACGAATTCGCTCTCCAATTTGTTCAGTTCATCCCCTTCATTCTCTGCTTCAGCATCTTCGTCATCTCCGCCATCCGGTGTAGGCTTTGATGATAGCGGTATCTGGAAATCGAATTCTGAGAGCAGAGGGCGAGGGAAGTAGGGGTATTGGTCGCCGCCTTTGAGGATGATGCAGTGGAATTTGTTGTCTGCTACGGCGACGGGGAAGTAGGTTTCTGTTTTTCGGCCTGAGGCGAGACGCGAGAGGAGCTTGGTGTCGAGGAGGGGGACCCAAGTTGCTTGAGAGGGGGTGCGCCAGTGGAGGAGCGTTAGGAGCGTTCCGGTTGAGTCGTAGATACATGGATCCTGGGATGTTAGATTTGAGTCAAGGTTTAGGGAGGTTGGGGCTTACTCCATTGTCTGAGAAGAAAACACTCTTAATGGTCTCCCCATCTGGTAGAGCAACGACATCTTCGCTTTGGCATATTTCGTCCCTCTTGATGTTCTGGATGGTGTACAGGAGCCTCGTATTTCCATCTGCACCAACCGGGCCGTTACCCAAAGTCAAGACATAATCTCGCCAGCTTGCACATGTGACGGTTGGACTACTCTTCTGCCTGTAAACTCTGTATGGAATTCCAAATAGAGTGTATACTCTGACATAATTGGCTGTTGTAGTGACAGTGATGAATGAATCACTAAGTGATATGGCAGTGACTTCTTCCCCTTTTGGCAATTGAGTCCGCCAGTCCGCCCGAGCTGTCCAAGTCTCATGGGGACGATAAAATATGGTAGCTGGTGTATCTCCATTGGTAAGACACGAAAAGAGAGTCCCATGCTCGTTGAGGCAGGCCTTGTCGTAAAGGAAAGTATCGGTAAAATGGAAATCGCGGTGAAATTCGTGATCATAGAACTCCACTGTAATAGTGTTGTGGGTGTCTTGGTCCACAGTCCAGACGAAGCCGATGAGATTGAGACAAAGATACTTTCTGTTTCCTCGCCAAGGAGTAGAGCCAGGTTGAAATGAGTCATGGATCTGAGGTTCCCAGGTTTGAGTGCGACGCTTGCTGAGTGGACCAGCATAGGGGTCTGGAACACCATTTGGCCTCTTGCCATTTCCATTCAATCCCAACGCATAACCAGCACCATCGTCATCGACAACAAAATCATCTTCATCGCCCAAAATATCCGAGCCAAGGATATCATCCAAGCTGTCCGGAGTTCCTCGTCGGGCTCCATGGTTCGGAATGTCCTTGAGGCCATTGGTAATTGGCCTTCGGGCATTAGCTGAGATCTCAGAGAGAGGATCATGTATGAAGGGGGCTGGCTGGAGTGGTAATTTGAGCAGATGGGAATGCTCTTGAGGCACAAAATCATTGTAGATATAGACCCAGCCCTCGGTATTGGTGAACGATAGCAGGTTATTCGTTGGATGCCATGCTATGTCCATTACATCCGCGTAGTCATAGGTTGCAAGCATTTTCTGAGTCTTCGTTTCCCACAGGAGAACTTTCCCATCTTTTGCAGCGGATGCTAGCATTGCTCCATTTGGCGACCATGCGAGGGCGGTGATATCCCCATCGTGCCCACTGGTAAAGGTCCTTTGATTCTCCCAGTCTCCTCGGGACATGACCTGAATATCCCGCGTTGCTGTAGGTGCCGCAAAGGCTCGGCCATCTGGATGCCACACAACTTTCGAGCTAATTTCATCCTCGGTCTCCAGTGTCCTGATCAGACCATCAATCTTCCGGACAAGCTCTGGCTCATCGTTGATGAGAGAGTAGACATATACCAGCCCATCCGTACAAGACAATGCTATATGCTTGCCACTTGGGTCGAAGGACAGGTGCTTGACAGGCTTCGGTTGCTCTCTCAAAGACATTACCGCGCTCGTGTCATTCGTCCTGATGATCTTGACAACCAATTCGTCACTCGCAACAGCACACCACTTCCCATTGGAGGACAGAGTAACATCTCGAATTGGGAGAGAACAACGAGTGAGGTATTTCTCGTAGGACATTGTATCGAGCGAGAACTTGCTGACGTTTCCATCTTCGGAACCAATGATGAAGAATTCATCCTGGAAATACAATTAGCAGATGGTCAAGTGTTTAATCAGCATACTAACAGTTGAAGCCACACCAGTATTCTGCTCTGGGCAGTCGTCGATATTTGTAGGTTCTCCATCGAATCCTGTCTTGTAGACACGCGTAGTATTGTTCGATCCGACGGTGATCAACTTCGTCCCATCTGGGGTGTACGAAAGAAAAGTAGGTCCTCTTGTATGAGCAGGTCTGCCTCGCAGACGAACTTGAGTCGTTGTCGCCATTGATAACCTTTTCAATGGGAGTGGAATCTTTGCAAATCGAAGTTGCTGAAGCTGCTAGAGAGACGCGCTCAACGCGTCGCAGCCACTTTACGCGACCCCCTGAACAGAACCCCTGTCTACAGTAGCGCGGGTTGCACAAAACATCCCACTGCAAGGCTGCCCTGAACATTTCCAAAAACCAAGTCAACAGTCAACATGTCTCGATCCACAGATCCAGGTCACTTCTTCCAGACTGATGCTTCCGAATCGACTCGAGCTCGCAGAGCTGCAAAATCCGGAAATAAGAATGGCAACCCTATAGTCCTCCAATCCAAAATCCTGAGCGTTATTCCTGATCCCTTCTCCCCAACTTGCATTTTCATCGCAGAGAGCGCCGGATGCGTCAGAAGAGTTAATGTCGAAGTGGGTATGGTCAATATAGTGGTCGTAAAGAATTGAGCCGCTGATCAGTTTGCATAGAGTAGGGATTCAAAGACTGTTTACAGAGGACCAACTGCTCCAGTCACATCAGTAGCAATTGGCGGGCAGGGAGGAGCTACCGTCTTCGCAGGTTGCTGGGACAAAGACATTTGGAGCTGGGATAAGGAAACTCGTGCTCCAGGACGGAGATATAAGGGCCATTCAGATTTTGTGAAGACCATCATCTGTACGAGGATTGATGGAAAGGATGCAAGTTCTCTTCTGACACAAAACTGGTTTAGACGCTGACCGATTACCTCCAGCTCCTCATCTCGGGCGGGGCAGACTCGAAACTCATTGTGTGGAACGCAGCAACTGCTGATCGCCTACATACCCTTCGGGACAAAACCGACACCATGATGGCTCTCCAGGACCTTGTCCTGGATCCTGAAGCCTCTACGGATTCCGAGATCGTCCTGGTGTCCTCAAGTAGTGACCCTCAGATCCGGAGATGGCGGATAGGTCTCACGTCCGCCGCCCAGATTTTGGATACAGCTCAAGGAGCCCAATCGCAAGGCCAGCCAACCAGAGGTACAATTCTCGAACACGAGACGAGCGTGTACAGAGTCCTCTTTTCGGGTTATGGTGAAGATGCTGATCTCTGGACTGCCAGTGCAGACGGAACAGCGAAATGTCTGTCAAGAGCGAGGAACTGGACCACGGAGGAAACTTATGAACATGGGGATTATGTTAGAGCTGTTGCAGTCACTATCGATTGGGTTATTACTGCTGGCCGAGATGAGGATGTTAAAGTATGGGACAGGGCCACAGGGAAGCTGTGGCATGTGTACGATGGCCATTATGAGGAGGTCACTGGACTGGTAGTGATTGATGGTGAGAAGAAGGTGGTTAGCGTCAGCATTGACGGAACTGTCAGAACCTGGAGCCTCGGAAAGGCGGATTTGGAAAAGGCGAGAAAAGAAAGGGGGGAGAAATTGAAAGGTGTGCTGAAAGAGGAGAAGGCGAAGCCGAAGACGAGTCTTTTGACCGCGGAAGAGGAAGCTGAATTGGCTGAGCTGATGGATTCAGACGAAGACTGAGTGCCAAGTCTATGAGGGAGACCCCTTTCAGTGCGCTCCCCGTGGCGGTTGGTTACATTCTCTTGCTTGCTGCACCATCTGCTCCCTGATCCATGACTACCAGCGCTCGAATCTAAATTTAGAGAAAATTGGGCTATCAGAACTCAGGACTCAGACTCAAACCCTTATGTTTCGGCCACAACTAGATCCCGCAAGGACTGACGTACCTTTCACGGCCATGGCGAACATAAGGGCCCGCCTGGATCTTCAATGGTTTCGCTGTCTCACAGTTCAAAGTTCGGCCTGTACCTCAATGAAGGGCTTCTGATTTCAGAAGGGTAGGCTCCGTGATCGTTCTCTCACCACCAGCTAATTTTATAGTATGAAATTCAATTTTGGAGAATTGCTTGCTCAACTGTTTCCCCACGAATTTGGTCTATGCAGTGTCATGTTGAGATCGTCTTTTATCCTTTCCGAAGGGTACCTGACCCCGGCCCTACGGTACATTCTACAACTTCCATCCAGCTCATTTTGTAAGTGTTTAACTCTATGGTCTTGCTCAGAGGTGCCTCCGAGTGCCGCATTATGCCAGCAGCACGCAGCATGCAAGCAGGGTTCATCTGTTTCTTTTTCCTCGAGCTTACCCAAACATACATCTGTAGGCACAACCAGCACAGGTGGCTTTCGTAGGAAGCTATCCACGTTCGAGTCCTTGTTCCTGCCGGTTCCCATTTGTTTTCGTGCAGGACCTGCAGCGATTATGCCAGTTCCCGCGAGCTTGCAAACAGACACATCTCAAGGGAAGTCACACAAGAGTCCCAAAGTATGCCAGATCTCGGCATGTTGAGTTCCCCTGAAACCTGCGAAATAGTTTGGATTTAACTTCAAATAACCATTACGTGCAATTAAGCTGGATTTTGGTAGTCTTCCAAATCCCCCTGGCCAAGTTTGCGGCTCAGCTCCCCCTGAACGTCTCCACAAAGGTACTGTACGAGTGGCACGGCACTCGCATCCAAGATCTGTGCCCCGAAGAATTGAGTGCAATCAAGGGCGATGACCACGGATATCCGATCTCGTACGACGTGATAAAGGCAGCCTGCTACTGAATGCCAGACATCAAGACATTATGTCTAAAAAAGTTTGAATGTCCTACCATCATGGAAACATCATCTTAGACTTTAGAGTTCTGTAAGTACCATGTCGAGACTACTACGTGGCGTCTCAACTGTGGCGCTGCAGGGGTTCACCGGCGCCTCGAACGAAGCGCGCGCGACCATCTTTTCAACCTTCCCTCTTAGAATAGCACAATCACTTGGTTTGCTCTTTGCGGTCATCCTAGACGTAATTCAGAAACATAGCGAACGGGAGACGGGATAGCCCATCACATGGCGCTATTTTGATCTTTGACGGCGTCAGTTACCCTGACCTGAAGTGGTTTTCCTCATCACCTCGAATTCGCGCTTCAAAACTCGAAATATTTGATCTTCTTCTATTCTTATCCCACCCATGGCGTATTGAAGGACATAGCTATCACATACTATCATCTGACGCATTCTTAATCTTAGCGACCTCTGAACACTGCCCACTTTACAAGCTCTGCTTGTTAACATACCCGAGAATACCGACTCACGATCACTGCACAACATGGAACGACCGGTGTTCTCGTAAGTCACTCCAATGCACTTGGTATTCAGGCCCGCCATTCCTTCAATGTACCAGGCAATAGCGAACATTTAGAGCAAGTGCTTCGGATTCCTCAGCATTTTGGGGCAGCGGCACATGAATTATGTTCTTTGCACGTTGGGTTGGGCAGCAGAGAGGCTTCTGGCTATAATATAAACATGAATTTGCTAATATGGTTTAGAAACTCCTTCGAGATGGTCATGTTTCATGTTGGAAATGACGGAGATGAAGAGAAATTCATGGTCCACAGAGGTTTGTTTGCTTTGAAACAGGAGCTACCCCAATTCTACCGAGCACTGACGCATTATTCAAGAACATGTTTGCTCCTACTCGCCGGTCTTAAAGGCTGCGTTTAACAGCTCCTTTGTCGAAGGCCAGACTCAAAGCTATAGGCTCGATGACATCCGGCCAGATTCGTTTCGTCTCTTTGTGCAATGGCTTTACACGCAGGGATTTTGCATTTTGGACGAGATAAGCCTTGCTGGCGCGGAGCCAACCAGCGAGATGGCACTGACAACTACGAGGCTGTGCCAGGAGCGAGATCTAAATATCATCCAATTATGGCTTCTAGCTGACAAGTTCCTTATACCGCGCCTCCAAAATGATGCTATGAAGCACTTCGTAAAGATTCTCGAGAATCAAAACTATAAACATAAGGGCATATACCGGAGCACACATTGGATTCCATATGTGTATGCCGAGGGGAGGACGACGCTCGACAGCCCGTTGAGGCATCTCGCCGTTGACCTCTGTTTGTACAGCACATCTTCGTCGTGGTCGAATGCCCATCCAGATCACTTTCCGCACCAAATGCTCATGGAATTGAATTCACAGATAATTCTGTCACGTGAGACCGGCTACCCGGACGGAAGACATTACAGGCATATTCGGCCAGACAGAAATTACCTTGTGGTCGAAGATAAGCCGCAATGCAAAGAGGCAAAGCATTGAGTCACGTACTTCGAGGCCGGTGGTACCTTTGGTTGAACTTGCCGTTGAAGAACGGAGGACATTCAAGAATAAGACCGGAAGGAATGACATCCATCCTCCTCCTCTAACAAAACCTCGACGTGGGCGATGTGGCGCTTAGTCTTTGGTGATTTGCGTTTCTTGAGGAAATAATCTTTCATACTGGAGACCAGAGTGGCTCGCTAGGGGTAATATCAGCTGTTGTTCCGCTTCCACCATTAGATGCCTGTGTACAATACCGTTGCTCCTCGTGATTTAGTGCACTTGGCAAGCGACGGGCAGGTTTGAAGAGGAAGTTGCTTATGCACCCCGTACCTCGCTTCTTAGCACCTCACCCGGTCTTCCTCTTGCTGACAATTTTCTCTCTACTGTCACGGTGGGAAATACTGAAAATCAAACATGCCTACAGAGTCTGAGTTTTGAGGCTTCAACACGAATTCTGCTTTGGCTTGGGCCAACATATCGTTCATTCAAGCCTATCACTTCTTCGCACGCTTCGACCGCTTCGCGATGAACTCTGCCTTAGCTTCACCCCACAGACTGTTCAAACAGTCCAAGTCGTCGGTCTTGTTATTGGAATCTATATGCATCCTTACCTCCCCCGGTGACCTCACCTCGAGTAAAACTTCGTCTGAATTCCCTCTGCAAGGCACTTGCTCTTCTGCTTTGGAACTTCACAATGCCACTACGCCAAATGAAATTCTTGATCCTCACACGTATTCCCATTTCCCTTTGAAAAGCGACTTTTATGGAAGCCGGCGTGTGCAAAAAGTCGCCCATATATTTTACTTCTTCGATTCCCAACCCCATTTTACGCTGTTTGCTCCTTGAGCCACATCATGAACCAAAATTCAGGTCCGCAAGACTTGCTTCCCGGCTCAACTTGCAAAAGCTCCCCAGTAAGGTCACAAAACGTAAAATGTACCCAATCTTGGTCCGCAACGGCGACGGCCCGCCTACATACTTCGCATCTCTGACCATAAGCACATCATGGCAGTGGCAATCGTGATGGTGGAGGTGGAGGTGACGGTAGAAAAGCCACGAGCAAGGCAAGTTTTGCTCAAGTCAAAAAGAAAATTCTGCTTACAGTTATGAGGTTTAACAAATGGAACTTGAGGTTGGAATCGACACTTCGTTCCCTCCCTTTTGTTGTCAACGTTTCTTTTGCCGTCAAGAAAACAGAGCATCCCGGTCTCTCGGGAGGAAGGTCCAAATCCACGACCTTCGCAGAGCTACGGAGCTCTGTATTATGGCCTTTGCGCACTTGCAAGAATCATGGCGAGGATGGTGAAGGCGATCAAAACACAGATCTTCCTTTTCCAAGTGCTCTGACTGAATAAGAAGCTCGGGGACCTCGATTCTTCTTGCAACTCCACAAGAGCTCCCAAGACGCCCCTTTTATACCACGCACTCGCGTTGCCCTCCTATTGTACCAGCAATCTCGAATCCAAAGAGCATGAACTAGACGAGAAGATCGCCTTCGGCGTCCAAGCTTTAGTTCCACATTCCTTACAACTAGCCAAAATCCCACGATTCTCCCAGCTCACCAGCAGCCTAAAAACCGCGACCTGCAACGAAAACCTTGCACATGGATAATAACAACCACTAACGAGCCTACCGTCACGCATCAGCAGTTCATGGCTCCCTTCCTCTTCCTAACCATGAACCTCCCGTACGCGTCGCCAAACTATCACAACTCGTACCACCTCCCCTCCCCCCCACATCCCGAAATCTAGAACCCCCGCGTCGCCCCCGCGATCCAGACCACAGAAGCCCAAAAAAAGAAGCGGGAAAATGGAGACGGAATTTTAACGAAGGCGGCCTTTTGGGGAGATGTTGAGTGGAGCGATACGAGATGCGATGTGCAACAGAGCCTTTTGTCTGTCCTATGATTCGAGGATGGGGAAGAGGAGAGGAGGATGAGGAGGGGGGGGGGTGGAAGGGAACCAGCTTGCCGGTGAGGTGCGTTTCACCATCTCAAATCATGGAGAGGGCGTGCCGAGAGATGCGCCTATGTAGCTCTCAATCTGTGGAGTGGTGGAAGCGAGAAAACTGCGAGGATTCCAAGAGGGGTTGAGTATGGAGTACAGATCGAGGCCTCCTATCCTTGCCTCTATCCTTCTACTGCACGTATAGAGACCAGCAGTCGATACCCGAACCCCTCGTTCGGACATCCGAAGAAGGAACTTGAAGCTTCGTATTCTCACTGCATAAAAACCCCCGAATGACCACCCGCATACTTTCCACGATAGCGAGTAGATTGATTGAAAGACCCCCCAACACGCAAAGATGGGATCCCATTCTACGAATGAGAATCCCGGAGTCGGGGGCAGTTAGGGTTGATTGGAATCCGACCTTGATCCTGTACTATCCTATCCACCTTGCGTCGTGATTTACGGATCTTGTTACCGGTAATATTCAAGTTTCAAATTTTTTTTTGGTTGTCATTAAAACGTAAATCTTGCTAAAATATCGGATGAAAAGACCTAACTTTGAAGGTTACTCTTACACTTCCGTTTAACAGAGCACTATGCATATCAATCCTGCAAGAACTCCGTTTCTTTGACTAACAATCCACCCCTCGCTTCGGCTGGCACTCGCTATGCTGGTGCTGAAAGGGAGGCGAGTATGACACCCGGTGAAAAGTTGATCCGTCCCGTCGTCCTTCTATGATGTCTTCTGGGGGAGGTTGAGACAAGAGATTCATGCTTCACTTGCTTGAGTTGTTTTTATGACTGCGGTATTGTAAACCTATTACCAAGAACGAGGAAATCATGCCTCCTTCTCGATCATCGTGCCACCAGAAGATGGGTAAGCAATCAAACACCAATTGATGATCAAGTAGAGAACATGATTCACAACATTCAAGACAGAATCATACCACAAAGTCAAGGCAATGAGTATAGACTGGTGTTCCCGAATCGGCATAGCCGTTGTGTTGTGTTCAAGATCTACAAGAATTGAACTGGTCGATCTGCCTAAAGAATACCAGATCCAATCTGGCCAACAGTTTTCTGTGCCCCCTAAGTTTTTATGCAAGTATGTACAATGAAAGTTAAGTTCTGCCTTCCCAATTCTGCTCTCCATAAAGTAGTCGAGTTGAAGTGGTAGGTAGTTTCATGAAATTCGTGTCCCCTTTTCGCCCCTTAGTCATCTCAAGCGAGCTGACATTTTAGCTTGCAAACGCGTAGGTATTCCCAAGCGTGCTCAGCGACGTCCCAGAGCTCAACAAGTTCCCATCGCTCGCCATGAAGTACGCATATCTGGCGACCTTGGGCGAAGCATCGAGTTGCGGGAGGACGGTCTCGAGGAAAGTATTCTGAGCCGCGGCATCGCCCTCGCCTTGGAACTCAGTGATCCAGAGAGGTCTGTTTCCGCCCGCAGTGTAAGCCTGGTCGATGTAGGCCATGAATGCGGCTGCGTCGCCACCGTTGTACCAGTGGATGCAGACGAAGTCGACCTGGCAGCCTGTACACGCGGTAAGGAAATTTCCGAGCCAGGTGAGGCCCATGGGGCTACCGCCGTTGGTGACGGCTGGGGAGCCGAGCTGGGCCTTGCCGGCGAAAGGCATCATGTAGGTCTTGTATCCGGCTGCTGCGGCGGCGGGCGAGAGGTTGGATTGGCTGCCAAGGTCGGGCTCGTTGAAACACATCAGGTGGGTGGAGCCGGCTGCGATGGCCTTGGTGGCTGCGGCATTCCAGCCGGAGGTGAAGGTTGAGGAGAGGCCCCAGAGGAGAGGAACGAATTCCCATTCGGAGGGAACGGTCGCTGAGTTGCCCCAGTTGTATGCCCAAGAGATCGCCTTGGAGCCGGCGAAGCCACTCAGGAGGGACACATCGTTGAACGCAAGACCACGCTTGGCAGAGGATGAGGCGGTAGTGCCAGCGGGAATCGATATTGGGGCGGGTGTGGATGTTGTGACGGGTACGAGAGTTGTAGGAACGACAACTGGAGGAGTGGTTGCGGGGACTACAGCTGCTGCTTTGGGGCTGGTAGTCGGAACCGGGGCGGGTGTTGAGCTCTTGGGAGGCTCTTGGATGAAGACCGCGGTAGGTTGGGTGCTAGGCGAAACCGGAGTGCTTGGGCTTGGGCTTGAGGCTGCGGGGACGAGGACAGGAGTTCCGTCTATGGTGATAGTTGCAACAGGCCGGGCGCCGCCAGTCGAGAGAGTGGTGCCGAAGTCGTAGACAGTAACCTGCTCAGTCACGATAACCTCGTCGGTAACCACATAGAGGTCTCTCTTTCGGACATCATATCGACCAGCAAAGACTTCCTTGACCAGCAAAGAAGAAGCCGCAATGGCGAGGTTGGAGATAGAGTAACGCATATTGAGGAGTTGCTGAAGCACGGAAAGATTGTAGAGGGCGGTTCGCAGCGAAGGAGATATTTATGGCTCGAAGAGTAGGTAGTGGTTGTGCGTGAATTGACTCGTGAGTTATGTATGGAAAAGGAGGCAGTTTGCGTTGACTCAATCAACAAGAAGTGACTGTGAAGGGTACTGTAGTACGATAGACCTGGGAATTCCAAAAGAATGAAGAATATCCCGCGCAACGTCAAGTGCGAATGAGCGTAAAGAACGAAGAGCCAAAAAGGTTGGATGGGGGGGGGGGAGGGAAAAGAGCGAAAGCGGACGAGGATGGGGAAGATACTTAAAGGTCTCCGCCTGCCAACACACAACAGACGAACAGTTGGCGGCGGAGCCACTCACATTCGCAACCCAAGCCCACACACACACACAGTGAGTGAATCTTCGGCGTTTCACAACCCCAAAAGTGAAGGTGAGGAGAGGGAGGGTGGCCCGGCGGCGCCAGGTGTGCACAGGACAGCCTGAGGACCTGGAAGCAGAAGTTGGCCTTTGCTGGGCCTAGCTGGGCCTAGCTGGGCCAAGCTGGAGCCAAGCTTCTCACGCCTCTCTTTGACTTTTCTCCCCTTTCGGACATGGACCCCCCTCATGCTTGCGTACGTCCAGTCCTCCGCGTGCGCGCTGCTCAAAAGACGTTGCGCCTCCACTGCGTCCACTCTGAGCCACTCGCAACGTTGAAACGTTAGCCCCTCCCGCCCCTGACTAAACCCCGACCGGATCCTGTCCGGCGGGTCGCCGAGCAGGGACCCTGCTAAACGAGCGCTTCCTATTGGCGCAGACGAGGGCTAGTGCGTTTTAGCTGTCAGATGTTTCCTGATCCGATAATCTCCACCATGGATCCGCCCGCATGGGAGGCTGCTGCACCGCAAACCAAAATCAAGGAAAAGGACCTCAAAGAGCGAGATTCTTATGTACGGGTGGGAAAAAGGGTACAGCGTGCATGCTGCAGGCACACGGGGGGCCAACAACTCTGGTCACTCTGGTGCCGAGCGGCGCCAGGGCCAAAAGGAAGCTGTGCCTTCTCGTTGCGCTGGGAAACATCGGATGAACATTGAACGGACGTGGTCGGCTTTAAGGGGTCAACATGGATATCATGTGATTGCAGGAACTCCTCCATTTCGAGACGTGAGAGGTCCACGGACCACGGTCCACCTCATCACCGCGCCCTGTCCCTTATCCGTGCCTATCGCCACTGCAACCTCGGACTCCTTCTCCTGAACCGCACAGCGAGCAAGCGAGCACAGAACCGCGATCACATCTCACTTGTGCAAGTCAAGCCAAGCTGCTGCGTCGCCTAAAGTTCCAACTCTGTGCCTGTGCTGCTGGTTCTCTGCCAAGTTCAGTGCAATAATCCGGTCATGGTTTTCCCCCTAGCTGCAGTTTTCCGTCCGCGTTGCAGGACTCGCGCGCCTGCCTCCTAGGCGACCGCGTCTCGCCAGTGACTGGGCCGGAGCCATTGATTGAATGTGAATGGAGGGGGTGCGATTGCGATTGCGAAGCCCTTCTCCACACCACCACGACTTGGAATCGAAACCCTAATTTTACTGCAGTAGCATCAAAAGGATATTTTCAGCTTGCATGTAAATTATGTTCCTTCCGTCGGCTTTTCGAGGCTTTCTCTCAAAATTCCCGCTCAGCCTGTTCGATAATAATACGCCAGGAGCTGGATTCGGTCAGCGGTAACTGTTGTGGAGAGACAATTCGATCCCGCCCGATACACCACATGCGGGCTTGCTTCGCCTTGCACGTGGAGGCGTCGGAAGGATTCCACCTCAATTTCATTGCCAAGGTGGGAGAGCTGGGTTGTCGTAGACCCTTGCAATTCAAAGACAATTCGAGGAGCCAGGACATGTCATTGTGATTTCTCGAGAGTTTCGAAACACAGAAAGATACGAGGCCCTGACTCGGAACGAACAGCCAGTAAATATAAACGCTGCACTAAGTTATCCAATCCTATCGTACGTGCAAAAATATGCTCGAAAAATCATAGACCAGGCGCTGCACGAAAACATCGAGTGTTACACAATCACTATCGTATCAGGTCGTCCGTCCGTTTCGAGACCGCGATCGCGATCACCAGTGCATCAACCCCTCAATGATCCGCAGCCTTAATACTCACTCAACCTCAATTTCTTGCCGATCTCCCGCCTCCGGGCATTGACCGTCGCTCTCTCAGAAGGTTTCGTGTTCCCGTCATCGAGAACCTCACCTCTCGCTTTCAAAGCCTGAAGGAGCATGCCCGCATCAAAGAAGCCATCTGTGTCTGAATCAGCCTCAATCCGTCAAAACGAATCATCAAAAAGAACTTACAGCCTCCCAAACCCTCGTCATCGCTCTGTGCTGAGCTGTCATCCATTGGTGTCAAGTTCCCAGGCTCATGACTCTTGCCGCCGTCAGAGGCCTTGATCACGCGGCCACGAGACTTGAGTCTGTTGCCAGCTGGCCTGGCCTGGCTGGCTTCTCGCGCTCGGCTGGCTTTGGGACTCGTCCCTCTTCGTTGTGTTAATTTGAGAATCCGTCGGATTTCATGGAAGTAGCTTTCAAGTGCGTCTACGAAACGCTTCGTTTGTCGGTGTTTACTGCTTGCGCAAATGCTGAGCCCGTCCTCCTTGATGATATACCCAATGCCGAAGCCTTCTCCGGTGGTGGGCCCGAATCCGAAGTGTCGGAGTGAAGGGTTGCCGCAGTTGGATGTTGAGATGATGGTATTGTTCAGTTTGTCCCATCCACCGTCAGCGAAGAGAAGAGGCATGTTGTGATGTTGTCCTCGAGAAGGCGACGAGTTGCCTCGATTTCTGCGCCCGTTTGACCGGACGCTTCTCACATCATCACCATCGACAGACATGACCGAATTTCTCCCTGGGCTTCCAACTACCGAGGCTGGGTCTCGCTCAGACGTACCTTCAACGGGGCTGGAGTATCCGTTGCTGCTCAAATCATTGCTGCTTGCAGCCTCGGCTCCATCCTCATCGAGTGCCTTCTGCCAGACGCTGAAAAGTGCGTAAAGATGTCGATCACATCCTTGAGCTTTTGCACATTCCTTCGTGTTTGCCGTGTGCATCTGGCAGGCTTTCCTCAAGGCATCCACTTTCTGTTGTGGTGGATTCTCAGCCCAGAACGTCTGAACGAAGTCCACAGACTCGGGGGTCACGGATCGAATGGCTTCGGTGCGGCCGTGGAGATAGACTTTCGTCATCGCTGGTTCGTAAGTACATTCCACACGACCATACAAACCATAGTAAGCTGCTTGGAATGCCATCTGGACGAAAGCATCTGGTGAGAATCCCATCGAAGTCATGAAGTTCTTGCCATAGGCAGCAAAGTCCAGGGTTTGGAATTCGTTCTGTTGAATAAGATCTGCGAGTCGGGTTTCAGCGAATCGCAAAGCAATCCCGAGTTCAGGAACCATATCCCATTCGAGCTTGTGAGGTGTGGTGCTGACATCTCCGAAGCTGTCAGGATCTCGCTTTGATGGGTCGGGACTAGTTGACGCCCAAAGACTGGGAGCTTGACCATTGATCGACCGAGCAAATCGAAGGATGGTATCCGTGTACACATCGCTTGCAAATCTGAGTACAGTGTGGCCATCAACACCTGTATGTTCGAAGTTTATCCCTGCACTGCCGTTCTTGCACACGATGATCTGTAGCTTGTCATACCATCGGTTCGTGCAGGTACCAATCTGAACTCCCTTCTCGACCTGACTGGTCCCGCAAAGCATGTTCTGGCAAAGATCCGCACCGGAGTTTGGCTCTGTATAGTCCAGACAGAGAATAAACAAGGCGGAGTCTACTATTCCAAGGCAGTCCGAGTTGTTGGATCCTTCTTCCCGCGTCATGACATCTCTCAAACCAGACCAAATCTTACGGTTTTCCGTGCTGAGGACGCCAAGCGCTCCCTTGGCAGCTTCCTGGATTGGTGTTTGTTGCGCATCATCCACGATAGTCTGAAGGTTGATGGAGAGATCTTTCTCAGTCATGATCAGGTCTGAGTTGTCGTCCAGGACGTCGAACCAATAGAACTGACCATGACAGAGAACTACAATGTGCCTTGCATCTGGGTCTTGTCCGATGTGGCATCCGTTCTCCGTTGGTACACGAGCTGTGCCAAACAATCGGGAGTATTGATACATGCAAAGTGGTGTCCCTCTGATAGTGTCAGGTGGCAACTCCTCCTTCCTCACAGCACGCACGAATGACAAAGCAGACACTACTAGTGAAGCAGCACGAGTGACTTGGTTGTTCCTTGCAGGCGTAGGGTCATCTTCGAGAAGGAAGAATGGATTGAGATTCAGGACGACAGGGTTGTCAAAATTCAAGTACGAGTCGTACCCTGGTATCATGATTAGTCTTTGTTTCTATACTGGATAGTGTGGACTTACAAAATTGCTCAATATAACTTGTCTTTCCAGTTGCATACTTCTTCAATCTCTCCTGCAACTCTGGTCCCTCAGCTTTCAAAAACTCATCTACCGCTTGTTGAGTCTCTGCATGCTCCCTCGGCGTTTGTAGGGGCTTCAAAGCGGCCAGGTACTTTGACGTGCTGCTCTCCAGATCCGGGATGGGTAGCTTTGGGAGCTTGTCTTGTGCTGCAAATGTGATGCCCTGCTTGTGATCTGGTTGGTTACTGGCAAGGGGGTCCTTTTGCTCTTTCGTGTATCCCTCGCTGACTTTCTTGGCCACGTCAAGGGACCGTCCGGAATCGACGGCCAAGTGAGGTTGGCCTGGTTGGGCCAACGATTCATTCAACGATTTTGGCATCGTAAAAGTACGAATTGCTGTGGTTAGAGAAGGCATCCTGGTTAGCCTTTTTGTTTCAAGCGTATAGCGGAGAAATGGAAGTGGCGATGTTCAAACCGCGCAGAGCTGTGCGGTAGAAGTAATGACAATCTTGAAGACAGTAGGACGGCATCCCACTCTAGGTGATGTAGAGGTGCTTGAGAAGATGTATGTAAACGATGGAACTGCTGCTAGACAGTGCAGCCGGGAGCCTTGGTTATATCTGGGGTTCCGAAAGAGCTCGGCCACAGTGGGGTATGCCTCGCATGATCTTTCTGCTGCAACCAAACATAGAAGAATCTCTGAATCCGGTCAGACGGCCCATGCAATTTGGCGTACACTCCCGCACACTGGCTTAGGAGAAATGCCGAGCTAATATCAATGTCCGCAGCACCGAGTTTGATAGCTTCGAAACAGCAAGCAAAACGCTCTCACGTACCACGAGGTAATGCCTAATCGGAGGCCAATCTGCAATCTCGCCCCGAGATATCCCGCAGCGTGGCACATGTACTTGGCCACAATGGGGTGACAAGGTATCAGAACCGTGGTGTGCTGAGGAGGGGGCGTGTACAAGTCGAGTCTCTCGTCTCCTCTCGACAGAGACGGAAAGCACAGCCGGACGACAGCCGTATCAGAGCATGTGAAGATGAACTACTGCTCATCTGGGGTTGATCAGAGTTCGAATTCCCCTCAAGTGGACAGATGTCGTATCGCAACCCGAGAGTTCGGATGAGAGGATGTTTTGGTTGGCACAGGCCTTTTGCCGGGAGTGGAAAATCAGACTCTCTGAGCGCGAAACGAGATTCGCACTCAGCGACGGACAGCTGCAGCAAGGTGGAGCCCGCAAGAACGGATCGAAGGAACGTTAACAATAGGTAGGATCTCAGGATGTGAGGGAGAATGGTTCCGAGAAGGCTGGCGCAGAGCCTTCTCAGCACGGCAACGTGACACGAGGGGTGGGAGTCCAGGATGTGGATCTGGGGTGCCGTGGGAACGGGGATGCGTTCTGCCGTGGGGCAGATCCGCGAGCGGGATTCCAGGAATTAATATAAATTTACCTGCGCAGAGAAACGAGGCCGGGGGAACCTCGAGGCTGCTTTGTTGTACTCTGGCTGTTAGATATTAATCAGAAAGGATGACGGCGGCATGATGACCTCGGCCACGGGTCAACGGAGAGAGTGATGCGATCAAGTGACATGTTGACGCTCGAACCACCTCATATTCCGGGGTACGTTACTTTCACGTGATAATCATCATAAACCCTTGTCATCTCATCTTATCTCATCTCATCTCAACTTTGAGGTCTTTTCATCTCGACTTCCCTAGGCGCATGACCAGATGAAAAGGTAACCCGGTGATATCGAGGCCACAGCAGCCCAGCCTTGTTGCGCGAGGCAGCCTTCAGCTCAACTGGGGTGGCTAAGTCAATCACGTGGTTTTTACGAGTTTCTTCAGCCACCACGCGGGAAGGGCGATCGATCCTTTGGCTGCCATGGACGATGTGATTATGCAGCACCGTTTGTAGTCACACAACGTCGCAGCTGAAAATGGCAGTGCGATTCACTTTTCTTTGGGTCTGATTCTCCTTCGTCATGAGCATTTAGATGGGTTTCAAGCCCCTGAAGTCAAGCTCTGATTGTACTTGGTACCCACAAAGTCATCGTTACACGAATCTCGCAATCTAGGTACTCAGCTCGGTATTCCAGCCACAACCATCATGAGTGTCTTCTGGGGAGGGTTCAAGAGCCGAAAAAAGACTCGCCACTGTATTCATGAACACCAAAGCACACACGCAGGAGAGCCAGAAGAAGAACCAGTCGCCGAGACAACCTCTGAACGATCGTCAAATCACGTGCCTGATGCTAATGCTGGAGAGGTCAACACAAGTGGTGTTGTCCCACCCATTGCTAGAGACTCGAAGGGTCGATGTCAAATATGTCGGCAAGAACAGCTGGCAGCAAGGAGATATCGATGGCGGCTCATTATTGGTAGGCGTCATTGTTCCACGTCCTTCCTGAATAAACTCTAAGCAGAAAATAGGGATCTTCTTCCCCTTCGCCCTCCAGGCCCTCGATACAACTATCGTTGCCTCAGCACTCTCCCGAGTGGCGTCTGATTTCCGTGAGTCTCTACCAAAAATCCGAAGACATGTCTATTGATTGTCTCTCAGACGAACTCAAACAAATGAACTTTATTATCTCGATATTCAGTCTGTGTTCTGCAACATTTATCCCATTTTGGGGTCAAATCATCGATATATTCGGCCGAACGGTAACTCTCGAGGTTACTCTACTAATTATGCTGGTCGGAACGTAAGGGCAACAGGGTTCCTTAAGCTCTTTGTCCTCGATCTCTGAAATACTCCCCCCCCCCCCCCCCCCCCCACCTTATGCACTCCCAACACAGCCCAAAGAGTTTAGTTTGACTAATTTTGCTGAATTGTACTCCTTAGACATTCCGGAATAAGGAGATACTGACTCCCCCGTTATTAGTGCTTTGTGTACTGCTGCCCCGTTGCGCGCCTTCCCCGTCTTCATTCTTGGCCGAGCTCTCCAAGGATTATCTGTGTCTGGAATCAATGTTTCGACTCGAGTAATTATGGCGGACAAGGTCACGCTTAAGGAAAATGCTAAAAACAATAGCATTTTTGCTTTGTTTGCAGGAATTTCCTACGCTGTTGGTCCCCTTATCGGCGGCTTTCTCGCAAACAGCAACTGGAGATGGTGCTTCGCTATCAACCTCCCCGTTGCAGCAGTTGGTAAGTTCCAACTCCTCAGATTATCCCCTCTTGGTTTCGGGGTCTGGTGCATTGCCCAACAGCCTCCTGGAACATTATATTCGCGAAAATACTTAAAAGAAGTATTCTGACTCCGATTTCTATAGGCATGATCCTTGTCTTCATTGTTCTCAGACCACAATTATTGGGGCCACAGCCGTTACCTGAACTGCTTGGACAAGACAGCGAGCTGAGAGGATATCAGAAATTCAAGGCACAATTATCAACGATCGACTTCTTCGGTAAGTCTCGACCTAACTATCGTCTTCTAGGGAATGTAGCAATGTCCAGCAGCTCCTGAAACATTCTACACACGAATATACCTTTGGAGAGTTATGCTGACTCCGATTTCTTGGGGAATAGGCCAGTTCTTCTTCCTCTTTGGGCTTGGGCTTCTTGTTCTGGGATTGACCTGGGGCGGTGCGAGCTATCCATGGCATGATTCCCGAGTCGTAACCACGCTCGTCACAGGCTCAATTCTATCCGTTTGCTTCATAATTTGGCAATACCTGATGGCACCAGGGAAATATGTATCGCGAAAGTTTCCACTGCAACGTCCGGTCTTACCATGGGTCTTGCTTTCACAAAGAAACATGTACTTGCTCTTCTATATCAATTTCGCCACAGGCATGGGTACGTGAACCTTCCTCTGAAACTGAGGACAACCCTAATTTTACATAGCAATCACTGCCGTACTATACTTCACGGACTTCTACTACATTAACGTGAAAGGCGATAGCACGAGCATTGCCGGCCTTCAACTGCTCTATTACACGCCGGGAATCGGAAGTAAGAGAGCCCACATCTCTAAAGAATTCGACTAACCCAACCAGTCGGAGTTTATCTCGCGATGGTCTTTTGTAATTTTTGGCCTCGGCAAACATTTCTCCCTTTGTTCCTCGGTTCCATCACTGAAGCAACCGGGATATCTGTTTTAGCATGGGCACTCGACCAAGGCCATCCCACAACCATCGCTTTCATGATGGGGCTTACTGGGGCTGGAACTGGCCTTCGTTTTATGCCAGGCAGTCTCCATGGCATCGGGTTCTTCCCAAACGACATCGCCGCTGTCATAGCTATGACCTCTTTTGCTGTCCCATTTGGTGGAACGCTGGCAATGACGTTGATGAGCAGCGTCTTTTTCAACAAGGTCGGTTTTTCGATTACTGAGTCTCCAACGCAACCAGGGCTCCCAAAACTGCCTCCAGAGATCCTAGGACCGCTTCAATACAAGATTAAAAAGGGCGTCGTGTTCGCTTTCACCAGTATTTTGCCGTTTATGTGGATGTGTGTCTTAGCGGCCGCTAGCTTAGGCAACGTTAAGATTACGAGGAAGAGGAAGATAGACTCTGAGGGACAGATGGACTTCTCTGAGAATACGACGGAAGGAGCATTCTTACCTGCGCTGCTGAGGAGACGATTAGGCAGAAAGAAGCAAGAGGTTGGAACTGGTGTCGCTGTGCAAACGGAGGAGGAGAAGGCAAGAGAGCAGGTCCAGATCACTGTTGCGAACGATACGCACGTTTAAGGAATGAATGTTCATTTTGTTGTATTGCTCGTTTCCATTCAATTAGCTCTAGTTGAGGAAAGAGGCAGAGCGCTATGATTTATGACGTCCTTTTCCTCCATCAAGAAACTGTTCCCATTCCACTTCTCGAAAATCACATTATAACATTGTGAATCATTAATCATTAAGCAAAGAATCTTCTTCCCATGCTCGCTTTCCTCCACGCTCGCTTCGACTCCGTGCTCGCCTTTTCCCCGCCTCCCCCCTTCCCCAATCACCCAGATCACCCTTAGACATCAATACCTCGGGCCATGGTGATACGGCTGATAACTTCCCGGGTTCCCACCATACTGCACCCGATCACTAAAGATCAACGGCGCATCAGCTGCAATCGGAATCCCCTTCTTACGTTGGTCCTTCCGGTTGTAGTACACGAAGATGAGGTAGAACGCGTGAAAGTGACCTGGGATATAGCTAAAACGCTGCTTGTTAACAAGCCCTCGCCTTTGGACAGATCGAAGTGACGAATGCATACCCGAGAAACGTGCATATAAGGTTGATCAGTAAATCCGCACCACAGCCCGCCACGATGAAGACTCCTAACGGTGGGACTAGGTTCCTGTCAGTGCGAAATCTCGAGTACGAAAGAGGGGAGACGGACTGAAGATCGTGATGATGATTAGACAAATCAAGCCCATTAAGCCCATCTTGCTGTCTTGTGGAAGAGTTGTCGCTTAAATAGGGGAGTGGAATCGTCTAATTTTGGTATGTTTGCGAAACGGGGTGTTTTGCACTGGAACTTGAGTTGAATCGTTGTTGGATGTGAAATTTGTTGAAGGATTTGAGGCGAAGTTGTGTGAGGCTGGGTTAAAGAGTTCGCCTTCGATGGGCGCGTGTTACTGTCAGGAGATCACTTGCATTGCATCGTCAACCTTGAACACACCATTCGCACGTGATTGTGAATCTTCAGGCAACCACGTTCTGGTACTCGGTGAATGTCGGGGCTGGAAAATTGATAGGGTTATCCCGTTTCGGCTTCTTGCAAGCTGTTTTAAGCGCAAGTAACCACTCTCGTCTGTTCACCCTGTCCTCGGCTTGAGCTCAATCCTCAAGAGAGATTCTTCCGTCCTGTTCGGATCTCGAAAGCATTCAATCTTGCCATAAAGAGGGATACATCTCCACACGCTTCCAAATCATGGGAGTATCCTGGGGTGATGATGATGATGCTATACTCCCGGAATTTGCAAGCAGGAGGTGTAGGGCAGTTTATAGTCTGGGATAATTCGTGCCGACTCTTGTTCCAGGCCGGAGAGGCTAGTGATTATCGTATCTTAGGAGACGACGAAGCTGGAGATAACGACAAGCCCGCACCAGTTGGTGCAATAGGTGTTTGTGTCAAGGCGGGCAGGACAGATGGTGGGGCTGAAGTAGGAGGGAGGCACTGGGGGGTTTCGCTTTGTAGACCCGTTGGAAAACAAGGTTTATTCTGGATGTGGATATAGGTATCAGAACGCATCGGTGAAATGGATTGGAAGAAAAATATAGATTTTGTGACCTTATTACTTCTTATTCCCGAGCATCTGCCATATAACCAGCAACTATATACTGGCACACCTGAATGTCAACTGTAAACACCACTTCTTCTCATGGCATTTGCGTCGAAAAACAATTCAAATCACTTCGAGCCTAGTTACAAAACTCTTACTTCTTTTATCGTAAAGGGCTCTTTTTCACCTGTTCCTTGGATGTAACCTCCTTTGTTCCTCAACTTAGTCTCGGCTGGCTTTCTCAAGTCGTTCTCATTTCGCTTTTGCCGTCCACTATTTCACAACTTATGGAGAAACCATATTATATTCACTGCGCTTACGAGGCCTTCAAATTTCGTTGCACATCGACTCAATGTCTCCAGTTGATCTGGAACAATGAACTTCCCTCAAAGTCATATCGAAGTGGGTATTAGGTCCAGCCAAGAACTTGTGTAGATCCTTACTTTAAACTTCATCTCAGGAGAAAGATGAATTCGCATAGGCCAGATGTTAAAACATGCCTCCAGTGGGAAGTCAACATCGCTTATGAGCACTTTCATAATGGTACAAGGTCTCGCACGACGAGCTTTTTGCGTAGGCTCGACTTTAAACTAAATCGTAGGGCATTCAACTCCGCTGGGATACTCAAAATTTGGGACCCACAATGAGTTTTTGGCTTCCTTGAGCCGAAGGATGGCAAAGCATCAAGGCTGTCGATTCATCTTACATGTCACTCATTGTATCATAACTTGTTCGAACATCCAGACATTTGCAGCGAAAGCTTCCCAGAATCTCCCCCTCATTGAAAAACGTTCAGAGCAATTTTGAAGGCCATATTTGTTTCGGTCACAAAAGGCAGACAGAAACGCCCAAGTATGATTTGATGATTTGCTAGTATAAACGAACCACGCAGCAAAGCAGAGACACTCGGAAAGACCCAGGCAAAGAAAAGCGTCATATTCCCCATAATTCCCTCACACGCCAGCCAAGTCGACCGCTTGACATCGCCTTCCACCACCCATTACATATCTAACCCCCAATGCGTGGTGTGTATTGTATGTGCCCAAATCCGGAGGGACAATGAGCGAAGGGAGTAATGCAGAGGAAGTCGCTCCGAATCGATCTAATGCGCAGAGGGAAAGAAAACCAGTCATCCCGTTCGTTTCAAAGCAACACTGCGTAAGCGAAAATTGTCTAACAGCAGCCCCCCGCTGATCCCGATTGCACGCCTTGTCCTCCTCCAACCTGTACCGTTGGCTTGTTGTTCGCGGTCGTAGTTCCCATTCTCTCTTTGATCTGGCGGGCCATTGTTAGGAAAGCTTGTTCGACGTTGCTAGCGTTCTTGGCTGAGGTCTCGAGGAATGGGATGCCAAGGCTGTCAGCGAATTCCTGAAGGCAGAGTCATGTTAGTCATCGTCCTAGGCTGTGACATGATCCAAACTCCTCATGTGATACTGAACAGGTGATGCTGAGCATGTGATTGAGCGTACCTTCGCAACTGTGTACTCCACAACCTTCTTGTCCGACATATCGCTCTTGTTGCCTACGAGCAACTTGTTGACACCTTCTGTGGCATATCTGTCAATCTCTTGTAGCCATTGCTTAACGTTGTTGAAGGAGTCCATATCAGTGACATCGTAGACGACGCAGATGCCGTGAGCACCTCTGTAGTAAGATGATGTGATCGTCCGGAAGCGTTCCTGTCCAGCAGTATCCCACTATGATCCATTAGCACTCGATCCTCCTCCATATCTGCCTAGTTGAATCCTTACAATCTGTAGCTTCACGGTCTTCCCATCCAACTCGATTGTCCGGATTTTCTGCCTAGTTGTCAGCTTCAGCCTCCAAATGCCCAAATTCCAAAACGTACGAAGTCAACCCCGATAGTTGAGATGTAGCTCTCCGTGTATGTATCATCTGCAAATCGCAAAAGCAAGCAAGACTTTCCAACACCGGAGTCTCCGATAAGGAGGAGCTTGAAGAGGTAATCGTATCTGCCAAGATCGTGAGTAATGCAATTGTAGGCTTCGGGAAGAGGATGGTAGCTGCTAGCGCCCATGTACTTCTGATCGAAGGCCATGCTGGGGAAGGTGAACTCTAAATCACGGGGCAGTCAGTAAACGTGTAGGCTGGATGGCTGTAGCGGTGGTTGAAGGATGACGTTGCTGAGGGGAGACTCACTACTCGGGATTCATGGTTGCAGTTGGGTCTCTGTTTAGTGAAGGGTTGATGTGTGACGTGGATGCCGGAGATGGGAGGTGCGATGCGGTTGTTTGGTTTCTTTGGAGATGAGGAGAACCAATGTATCGCGACGTCTTTCAACAACGTCTTAAGATGGCCGCCTCGCTCCTTCCAAGGTCTCGGCTAACGAAGCACGTGATGAAACTGCTTCCTTGTTCACAAGGCCCTAGATTCACACCCACGGGAGAAGTCGTTCTCGAGGTCTTTGTTGAAAAGTCCTACAACTATATAAGTTCCATTCAGTGCTTCGTAATCTGGCTTGAGTCATTCAAGAGGAGCCACCGTGTTCTGGAGAGCAACGAGGCCTTCCCAAGGTGACCAAACCATTTAGACGCTACTCGATATCCCGCTTAAATGCACGCCCCGCATAAATGCACGCGCACCATACCAAATTTTTTCCTCACTCTCTCCTACTTCTAAATTAAATTATTAATTAACCACAAGACCAATCAGCCTGAAATCAAAAATAGAGATAGATTAATAGCTAATAAATAATATCCCAAATTAATTAGATCCCTTCTCAAAAATTACCCGTGGTTTTATCGTATGCCCCCGGGAGCTCTGTTTTACCGGTGTTTCTGGCCCCCCCTTATTAATATTACTACTGACAAAGGAAACAACCTTCTTTTTAATAACTAGTGCCTTTCTAGGTTTCGCAGGAGTCTTAGTTCTCACTAGAAGAGCCTTTGAAACCATCTTTTCCCCAGCTTTCTTCTTTTTTTGAGCTTGCAATTGAGCCTTCTCCTCGATTCTCACTTCGTCGATATTTCCCGCCCTTATAGCCGCCTGCAAAGCGTTTACTGCCTTCTCAGCATTCTCCTTTTGCTTTTTAAGAGCTTGAGTAGCCTTTTTAGCATTGATTCGTTCTCGTTCTGACTTTGCAAAAGCTTCTTTTTCAGCAAAAAGCTCCTGTACTTATCGAATGTTCTCTGCTGAGAAGAGTATGGGCTTTATATACTCCTCTCCCAAGATATTTAGCTGCTTCCCACGAGACTTGCTCTTTTTTTTATCCTTTAATGCCTTAATTAACCCTTCCTTTATATATCTATCGAGTACGGCTTGTATAGCAAGCTCTTTATTAGCTCTAAAAAGCTTTTCAAGTTTCGCTTAGAACGGATTTTTGTAAAAATCGGCTTGGAAATATCGAATCGATTTCGCAGATTATAGAGTCTTTAATTATTAAATTAATGAAAGAGTAGGTTAAATAGCTACTGGAGAAGTAATTAGACGGGTAATAACCTGGAGAATAAGTATAGGATTATATAGCCAAATACTAGGCTTTGCAAATGCCTTCTGGATATTCTCTACTATAAAAGCATTATTCCAAGCGGGACGAAATAGCTTCAGGAATTGTTTCTTCTTTATTAATATATACCCAAGGCTCTGGGCTTATTATTTATTAAGTTCTTTCGAGTATACAAGTAATAAAAGGCCAAAAAGAACCATATTAAGGGGTTAAAGTCGATATATCGAGTAAGGAGGTAAAACGAGAAGAATAATATAAAGGTCCTAGTATTTATTAATAAATATTATATTAATATAACTTGAATAGCCATTAATAATTAAAAGACGCTTTGTATAAGGAGAAGAGGGTCATATAGCTAGATCAAAGACTTTGGTAAGCTATTAAAGCCCCTATATATTACTACTCTATTTATTGCTTAATATACTAAAAAAAAAGTCATCTTACTCTTATAAATCTTGTACTCAGGTATTTCGTAAATCAAATAATCCGCCGGTATATAATAAAGTTATAGGAACTCTTTTACTAATTACAGAGATATATACTAAGCAAGTAATAAATTCTCGATTTCCGTTATAGGCAGCTTGTATAACTCTCCCTGATTTATATACCTCCTTAGATATAATTCTCTTTATTACTTATATTACCCCGATTAAGAAGCCCTTTTTATCCTAATTATATATATTATTAGCAGTAATATGGTTATATTTAATCGCCTGGAGTAACTAGAGTGGGATATATATTAGTAAGTAATTCTCGTAAAATATAAGAAAGGAATATAAAAGGGAACTCAACCAAGTTAAAGAATAGTTTATAAGTAGGGCCATATTCACCCTTGATATATTAATTCTCGATATTGCATAAATACAAGCTTTTTAGCTCGCTTTGATACCGCCGGCAAAATTGAGAGACCCAGTTCTTTCCCATAGCGTATCCAATTATTTCCTCTGCGAAGTTCTTGACCATTTGACTAGTTAGAGGGATCCTATACTCGGTAAGACGATTGATTTGATTAATTAGAATACGTTCTTGGGCATTGGTAAGGTATTAGCGGATCTGGGACTGGAATTCCGCTCGCGAGGTGGTTAGCCCTCTGGCGTACCGAGAGAGCGTAGATCGCATTAATCCATACTTTCTGGCTATTACAGTGTAATCAGGAGCTTCAGAGCTTTCGATTTCGGCCAGAGCCTTCCGCATATCTTCTTCGTTGACCATTTGTGGGTGTTTAAAGAGAGGGGGTGATTTTTTTGGGAGGCGTGCATTTGGGTGGGGCGTGCATTTAAGCGGGAAATCGAGTAATCGATAAGAGGTGCTTTTCCAGGAACTGGGTTCACGGAATTTCTCTATCAAGAGCTCAACCGCCAGCGTAGAACTCGCCGGGCACTCCCAACTTTGATGTCTTGATGTCTTCTGGGGCCGTACTCAACCATCAAGGCTGATGTCGACACCTTGCAGCCTTCTCCGCTCCGCCTCACACAATGTTCCCAGAACCCCCGCGATCACCCTGAGTTGTCGCCCACGAGTTACTTCCATATCATTTGCACACGCGCCTTCAAGATACCTCGCCACGGTCAATCCAGGACCGAATTGCCTACCCGACGTTTGGTTTACTGGATCTGCGCCGGTTCGAAATATACCACCTGAAAATGTCTATGAACCACGCAAACCAAGTGAATGGACAGTCAAACTGGGAAAAAGCAAGCAGTACTCACTCGCCTACTTTCTGATTACCAACTAACAAATAATACAGCTCTTCGTATCCTCCAGGAGCGCATGCCAACTCTCTTACAGTCTCCCCTCCCGCAAGAAATCCTCTCTCCGCAAATAACCCTTCACCTCTTCCCGTCCACACATCCACACTTGCCGCAAGTCACCGGACGTGTTGCCTACTCTGCTGCCCTGTGGACCTCACCCATCGCATGGGGACGTGTGCCCCTCGTCGGCAATGTCAAGCTGGAGATCCTGTCGGAACGAATGGTCAAACACTCCAACCTCCCAAACTCTAGCCGTCCAGGACAGCTCATTGTCCGCTGGCGTACAATAGGCAAGACACGTGGGAAGGGGATCGGAGGTCTTTATAAGGGCATTGGTGCAAGTGATAATGTGGATAAGATTACGGAGTGGCTTGGGGGCGGAAAGGGAGAGGATGACAGCAAGGAGTTTACTGGATTGTTCCTGTTTGAATTTGACGAGGAGGGAAGGGTCGTCAGTCACACGATCGAACATGTACAAGAAGGCGGTAATTGGGAGAAGGGGGTCGGAGCGAGAGTTGTGGGCCTGACGGATTGGTTACTGGGAGCTATGAAGAAGAACGGGAGAGGAGAGGGGACTCCGTGTCCTGCTTTTTGGGTTGATGATGGAATGAGAGACGAGATGAGAGGCCGGAGATAGAGTACGCTGGAGATAATTGCTGCATTACCATTGATCTATGGCGTTGGGATCATTCATAGATATGGCGTTCAGGTTTGGGCCATGTATTAAACATTGTAAAGATACTGAATACTGAACATAAACACCACTCTAACGAAGCAACAGAGAATAATACCCATATCAAATCACTCCATTGGGTCCTGTACCTATTCCTAAGAAATTAGATTCAGCATACTTCTTTTTCGTATTTTCGGGAGCAGAGTGTTCCAGCAGTTGTTGGACATTGCTACACAAGAATGTCCCGAGAGCTGGTGGACATTGCTGCACATGAGGAATTCATACTCCACGAAGTTGGGACTTACCGAACAAGCATCCGTGGTGGAGGAGAAGTATTGTTACAGTTATGCTCCGGTCTTAAACTTGATCACGCCTCTAAGCTTTGATCCTACATTTGTACCATCCAGCCCATGTTAGATGCAAATGTGAAAGGGCCCGGCGAGGGACAGCTGCCGAAGAAACATCCCAGGGACTGGTGATTATAAGTAAAAATAGTCTAGTAGCTGTTGTCTCTGGGAGACTCTGGAATCTGCTCCTTTTTTTGTTGTTTGGAGACCTGCATATCCTTGATCTAGCAGGCTCTTTGTTTTGCAGGTGTATTTTAGAAGAGGCTCTTACCTCTGAGAGCTTCTCTTCCTTTAGTCAATGAAGCACCTTTCTTCAAGTTCTTCTGTAGCTGCCCACGCAAGTCCAACCATCGTCACTACTGTCGAGAATAGGTGTACAGAGGTTCACTGCTTGTTTCATAGAATAGCGTAGGTAATGCGATGAAGGATACCGTGACCAACTTCGCGTACAATTCGTGCAAGGAACTTTGCAACGTTCATTGCAAAAGTACTGACTTTGGCAGGATATCCTCCAACGAGCTGCACATTTCTCCTTGAGAAAGTTATCTGAATGCTAGCCATTGCTAAAGAGGAGGCCAATGAGCAGATTGCCAATGTTCCGTCAATCATTCGGTCAACGGGTGTCTTCCGTCTTTTGAATACAATAGTGTGCTGAAAATGTGGGAAGATTAGTGATGAGAACACTGCTTAGACAGACTAGTCATATTGGACGATGAATTTGGAATTGGTAGACCAAGAATGTGAACTCAGAGGTCTTGAAAGTGAGGGGAGGTCAGGAGAAACACTCTTACATTACCAATATAAATGCTGTTTCGGCCAAATTAAGGAAGCATCGAGCGTTGCTTCTACTGTAATATTACTGCCCAAACACGATATTCTTATATAGTCTTTGCACATTTTAAGAGGTACGTGAATAGAAGCTCGGCTCGACGAAAGTCACTAGGCGTCGGCAAATGTGTCTAGGTGGTAGAAAATATTTGAAGCCGCAGGTGACTAGACATCAGTAAATAGTTGAATAGCATTAGGAAGTGTCAACGATTTCCATGTTATGATGAATATGATGCTTCAGTAGTGAGATATCCTTGGCACGTATCAAGGGTCGGCCCTAGTGTAGCTCTGACGAGCAGTCTACAAATATCGGAGCCAAGTCGAGTATTTGCCAGCTTTTGTTTCATTGTATTTTGTCCGCATATGATTTGAAGTGAAATGGGCGTGCATTAGTTCTTTCGCTCCCCACTGGCCTCCTTCTTGCGTACCGGTGGAACGATTTAAATAAGGGGGCTGCTCGCTTAGGCTCGGCCTCTCTTCCTCGATCCAAACCTTTTCACAGAACGATCAAATTCATTCAGAGGCAGCCTCCAATTACAAAATTACAGGAAACTGAAATACCAATGTACTCTTCCTCCTAGTACTATCAGAAACTGGTAACACGAATGCTGTAAATGGCAAAGATGGTCAGCCCTTGTGCTACTCCCGAGCCGTGCACTGCCTGGAAAAACTTGAAAGTATAGAGATTCTCAAAAGGAAGAATATCACCAACTCACCAAGGTCCAGAGCCGTTTATTTCCATCTCTGTATGATCCCCTCTTTGGGTTTTAGTTACCATAGCTTGTTTCGCGCCATCGCTCGGCTTCTTGTTATGGTCCAGAGGTCTGCTCTGCATGTTGTCGTTCAAGAATCTTCCACATATGCTTCCGAGGATGTGAAGCAATGATATTCTGTCTCGCCTTGCTCCACCAAATTTGATGCTTCCATCACACAAGCACAATTTCTTCCCAATTTCCACCCCTGTCTTCCAGCTCTGTCACAACTTCCCCATCCATGATACCACGTATATACGCATCTCCGAGGACGCTATAGTATTTCCTTGAATCTCCACTCTCTTCCGAAGGATTTAAGGAAGCTTCGGGTCTTAAGACGTATGGTACTTTTCCCCCAGCGAGAACAGCTACGACGTCTCCCTTTTTGCATTGTTTCGGAGCCCATCCAACGTACCCCTTTTCCGTTGAAATGAAGCATCTGCCATAGGTGGTGCTACTAATAACCGTGCTGACCGCAGCAACGTCAGAAGTGTAAAGGTTTTTGTTGAGAGGTGATGGTGTTTTCAGCCAAGACACCCACTTCTGGAAAGCTGAAATGCCCTGCAAGTCTCTTACACGTCGATACCTAGGGCCGGTATTTCCAAAAGATATTTCCATCTCTCCGCATACGGTGAGCCACCAGGCAACCTCTCGCTGCTCTCCTGTATGCCAGTATAAACTTCCAGGAGACTGACAGACTTCAAACAAAAGTCGACAATTCTCCAAAAATTCTTCCCATGTGCCTTCGGAGAAGCAATGGTCCAAAATAGTGTCGACTATTATACCTGTCCCAGCCAGCTTTCCACTAGCGATTTCCTTGAACTTTGCTACAGAATTTCCAGAGGCTGAAAATAAGGGAAGCGAATCCACCCGCATACTGTACATCTTAAAGTTAGATTGGTTCATCCAATCTGGAACGAAGGAGGGCAATTGAGTTGACCGTTTGCCAACCAAGTAACTAAGAATATCCAAGTTCTGATTCCTTTCAATGAATCTAACCGTAACAGCGTAGACCACTCCCCAGAGAGAACAGCTATAGTCTGCCTCAACTAGTCCAACATCGTTACCCATAGCCAACCCCAACAGGCCATATACTTTATCACGAGGATCTGTCGCCTCTCGGGAAGCGAAGAAAGATATCCAATGGATGATGTTTCGCGCAGTTCGGTGCTTGACGATGGAATCCATGCTTGTGAGTATTTCTAAGCATTCCAGTAAAAGGGACACATTACCGCTCTCGTCCACAAGTAGCTGATGGCAACAACCGTAAGAGATCGCATGATGAAAGATGGATTTTTCAGCATCCAACATCAATTGCCCACAGACGACGTGACTCCCACTTTGGAATACTACCTGCTTCGCTAAAGCGTACTCTTGGACGGTCCCTAGAGCAAAGGTAACATCAGTACTTTCATGATATAGTATATATCCAGGTTGAGAGTGCCAAAGTCAACAGCACACCTGGCGAGATGGCATATAAGGTGCGACATAGGAATTTTCGGCACTTACATAGCCTATTCCACCAGGGCGTTCTGAAGAATTGAATGAGGTGATCTCGCAGCTGAGTAGAATCTAAACCCATGCCATGTACCGAGAGACTCGGGGTCAATGGCTTGACAAGATGAAGAGAATCATCACTCCCCAGTTGCCTAAAAGCATCCATTGCGACTTCACAACCCTCCCAAGCATCAACCAAATAGGCAACGACCAAATTCGCTCTCGAATAGATTGAACTCATAAGCGATACCTGGTGCGTACGTTCAACCATATCAGACTGGTTGATACACAGGGCATCAGCCCACAAGATCCGCTCTCGGTCGTTGTACCGCAAATGGCTGAGCGCAGAATGAAGATTCTTGGTGATAAGAACTTCCTTCCCCCCGAGATTAATCGGCTTGACGGGCGTCATGTCTCCCCAAACGTAAGATAAGGCTTCGTAATTGACGTCGCCGTCGAAGGACGCGAGGCTGAAGCTGCATTCGAGACGAGACTCGTGGTCGAGTGATGGCGCGAGATGGAGCAGACGGATCTGCTTCTGGGCTAGGTCCAGTGATATGTACGCCATAGTGGTCGTGAATGTGGACCAAGGATTGTTCCGAAGTGTGTGTGAATGAATGGAAGTTAGGGAGAGCCCTTGAAATCGTTGCTGAAGTGCAGGGGTTCGTCAGCCAGCGAGGCTGTGACTGAGGCTCGCAAATGCCGGGTCAAGTGAAATTGAACCGGAGAGTAGATGTTCTCGTTTGCTGGGAACATTGAAAATCAAGCCATGGAAATTCTCAGGCCTTCTGGACATTGAATATTCTTTCGGCGCCTCATGGAAAGTTGAAAGCTGAAGGATGGAAGCAGGGGACAAGAGACAGCTCCCTAATTTTCAGCGCTTGCCGGGTAGAACTATATTGAAAATCAAAGTCATGGGAAGTCTTGGAACAGTAAACGCTCTTTCAACGGTTAACGGGGAATTGAAGATTGAAGGATGGAAGTGGGTGGTACGCGGAATCGGTCTGTTTTTACCCGTTTGTACCTTCCACAAGTTACCACTGTAAGAGCTCGCTAATTTTCAGTGCATGCAGGACGTTGTCGGAAAGGAGTGAGCCTTGAGAAAGAAGAGCAGCAAAGAACTGAATGTACTGTATTTTCTTGGACATTGGACAACTCTGCAAAACTCAGAACTTCGAGCATGGCCTGGAGGAATGGATCTTGGAACATGAAGACCGGGAACATGGGGGTGTCTTTCCTTTCATTAAATCATAATGTTACTTCATGATGGCATATTCAATATCCCAACATGATCTAAGACATTCAGCTTCTTTCCATAAGTTTCTGCGTTGGGAGATCATTCTCCTCGTTGTCATCATCGTTACCTTTCCCTTTCTTCTTGACAGACCTCATTCCCTCCCCCATGATCTCAAATTCCACGGCACCTCCCAATCCTGGTCCACTGGGTGCTACATGAGGAGCAAATACAACCTTCATCCATCTTCTCCATTTCCTCAGGACTGGCTCGCCCCTCTCGTTCTCTTCATCTGCCACTATTCCAGGCCCATAAACCGGCCTCTTTATCAAGGTTACCCGGCAAGCGATCTGCGTTGTCCAAATCAAGCCTAGACTCGGTGTCTTCATATTCTTGATAGAGAGATGCGAGGGATGGGGATCATCTCCCCAGCCTGTAAACCACCTCTGCTGATGATCAAGAGACATCGGATCCATGGTGCTTTTAAAAGGAATTGCCGTATTCTCATCGATTTCTGCCCTAACGCCAGCCACACTCGACATCGACCCACTCATCGAGCTGTCTGGCAAGGTTCCCGCACTCCTCCTGGCCAACGGACTGCTCTGCGTAGCTCTATTCAACACTGGATTTGCTCCGCCACCAGAAAATCGATCTGCAACCTGATTTGCAACCACAATTGCGCAATTCTCATCCCTCGCCAGATCTCTCAGCAATTGTCCCAACTTCACGAGCTCTGAACTCCTCTGGGCCATGTTGGCACCATTGTTCTGCCCATTGCCAGTCCCAGGACGCTCGAATTCTGCACGATAGTTGGCAGCTACTGAGTCGAGGATTATGAGACGGATACCGTGCCGTCGAACTGCGATTGGTACCTGATAGCGGAGGATATGATCTTGTGACTCGAGGTCAGGCGTTACGATACTAATTACTTTGTCGAGGGTAGGTTTTGGATTCGCGGAGACGAGAATGGGATGTGTACGTAGAAGTTGCGCGAGTCGAGTTGTGGGAAGGGCGCTTTCAGTGGAGATGTAGAGTGTCGAGCTGGAGAGACCATGGGGGAAGTCAAGTTGAGCGGCGAGAAGCAGGGTAAGAAGGAATTGCGTCTTGCCTGCGCCGCTGGAGATTGTTAACATACTGAATAAGAATCGCAATTTGCAATATCTCACCTCTCGCCGGTAACTTCTGTGATGTAGCCAGATGGTATACCGCCTCCTAATGCGCGGTCGAGATCGTCGTCCAGGGTACTGATGGTGCTCCATGAATTGAGGATGTCCTTCCCCGTCTTCCTCAACAATGAACTCTGGTGCGCCTCATTATTACCATCCGCGATCCCCAAGATGTTTTGTAATGCCTCAAGCACTGCATTGCATAGCCTCTTCACACCGAGTAGAGGGAGCTGAGCGCGTTTTGCTATCTCCACGCAGTCGAGTGTAAGGAGATCTGCCGTTGTGACCAGGTTCTTCTCAAGGGAGGGAAGCAGTCGGACATATTGGTGTGTTGGAAAGCCGGGGAGGACAGCTGTTAGGTCTGTCATGGAGGCATCTGGAAAAAGTGGTGGTCGAACTTGAGTTGGGATGGTTTAGCGGGGTGTTTTGCGGCGAAATTCAGTGGATCGCGTTGGCGCGATGTCCCGTGACTTCCCCCCTTTTCTTAACTTTATTGTCACGAACTTCGCGCGTCCATCTCCTCTTTTTGTACTCTTATTTCAGCAAGCAATCAGCACAGCAGCTGTTCCTCCCGGAAATCTTTTCGCCGCGGCTTGCGGTACGGTCTGCCCTGCTGAGCTAGCACTGCTGACAGTACATCTGCGGGGACGAAGAGACCGCAACGGTGCCCACCCAAGGCCTCCCATTGTCCGGCTTGAGGAATCTCCAGGACTACGGAGCAGCCTCCTTCGGAACTTGCCTGCTACCGAGTCGTCGCAGGCCCGAGAATGTCACTGTTGAGAGGTCTCACCGTAGAACCCGACCCGTCTTGCAGGCACGCCCGAGCAACACGTCAACCCTTGACGTCCCTGCAAGTCCACAGATTGGAGAATGAGCCGCTCAGCTGAGGACTAGCGTTGTTATATATGTTAGGCAACCTAACGAGGCTCTTTTGCCCTGGTATTGAATGCTCTAAGTGGTCGCAGATGTGATGACTTGTCTAGCAATATGCACGAAGTCCAAATTGGTATGGATGGGACTAGGTCCAGGGATCTCAGCCTCCCTGACCGGGCGGCCCAGTGTTTCCTTTCCCCTCAAGTGGAAGAAGCAGTTCTCTTCAGCGTATCCCCTCTCATTCCCTTCAACCACTACCTCTCCGTACATTCTTTAAGGCACATTGTGCGTATCCTCTGTGTTCCAAATAGTTCGCTCGTCGCAAGTATCGACAATATGGCCATCAATGCCGAGCAGGTTACCCTCGATTTGACATACGCTGCTCTCGCCGTTTCAATTGGTGCTATTATTCTATCTTCACTGCAGGCGTTATTGGCATATTTGCAATTCGATAACAGTGAGGTCGGCAGGAGACGATGTTCAGCAGAGATCATGGGAGAGTTATGGGCAAGAAAGACAAGAAGGAAATTTAAATGGCGAGAATGGAGATATCAAGTCTTTTTTGAAGTACCAGTCTTATATACTGCACCACCAGGGTATGAGTTTACCCTCGCTTTTTCCCGTTGTCTGAGCACCCAACTAAGTCAAACTTAGAATCACTGTCGGCCCCCTCACTAAAGTGAAGCCGAGAGCGAAACTAATTGATATCTCTTGACGAAAGTCTGACACGGAGTCAGTCAAAGAGAGTAGCAAGACCTATCAGGACAAGGCGATTCCAATGGAAGTTATTGAGATCCAGAAACACTTTCATCCGATCTACAAGATAACAGGCACAGAGAGTTCTTGCAAGCATACCTTGGCGAAATTCAGTAATGACGAAGAGAAATGGACAAACGTTCACACAGCAGAGGATGAAGGATGTTCATGGGTCCTACTTCTAGATGCTGTACAAGGGCAAGAGAAGGCTTCACGAGCATGGGACAACGCACTCCAACAGGGACTGAGCCACACAATCTGCTGTCTGATCCAAAGGAAGAGACGCTGTTGGGATTTCATACCCCCCAATACTACGAAACCCTTTGCAATGACAACCATTTGTCATCTTATCGAGATTATGTCAATGTTGGGTCTCGTCTGGAAAGAGTTCGACATAAAAAAGTCGTCATTGAGCGCCGAGGGCAATGGTTATATGGTCAAAAGCGAATACGTCCCAGGCCTCGGCATTCTGACCAGATTTTCCCGCTTATCGAAAGCAGAGCATAAGGAGAACAGGATCGTTCCCTGTGAAGAAATCAAGCGACTTTGCTTTGGAGAAGTGTCGTCACTCTTTGACACGGTGAGGGAAAGTCTGCAGGCAAGCCCGGGTCGATTGGAATATTGCCTCAAGCGCTTGCTGCCAAAACTGGGTCACGAGCATCGAAAGCTTATTTTGGATAAAACTGAAGAACCACCAAGATCACTCATGTTCCCGAGTAAGTACTTGTCCAAGAAGGGTCCCTCGGATTTTGATTACTCACCACACATCAGTCACTTTTGAGCTTATTGCTATGACCACGAAATCTGTTCATATCCCGGGGTCAAATTTCGAAGACTTCCAAATCCTTGCAAAGACAGTTGGAATCCGGGTCTAGACGCAGCCGCTTGTTTGGCTGCATTTGCCTGCGAACTAAAGGACTGCCCTAGTTTGGGTAACCACATACTCACGGAAGAGCTCCAAGAATTGTTTCAACATAGGCCCGTGGATGCTTTGGTGGTCAACAACCCACAAACTCAAACCTTACTCCAGAAGATCCAGGCATACTCCGATGCAGCCACTTGCCTTGCAAACGAAAAAGCTGATAAGCACTATTATGCCCAGGAGGAGGATAGACAAACCAGTAAGGACCGAGCAGCCGAGCAACATAATACTCGACTTCTTGTTCTGCTTGACTCTCTGCATTTGGCTGTCGAGATGGTCGACGAAAGGCTCAAAGGCCTGGTTGGCAAACCCCAATTCGGTGAAGTCCTCGCTTTGCACCTTGCCGCAGTGCTAGATCAACAAAACACACTCAACTTGGAGCTGGCGAATGCGACCGGAGACAACCCAAAAGAGAAGATCCTGATCAACTTCTACCTCAACAACATATTCCCAGCTGCGGTGAAGGAACCGGTAGAAGCAGTCAGTGGCACGCAAACGCCGGACTCGGCGACGTCACAGTCGGCTGGTAGTGATGAAGCCACGCTCTCTCCAGCAACAACAACAAACGAAGAAAGGAGTGCTATCTGGTTGGGATTGATGTTCAAAATGTGGTCATGGCTGTTTCTGCATGATTTCAACCCTGAGGATAATATGATTGAGAGGAGCGAATTCAAGAATAACAGATTGCCTATCTATATTGGCTAATGTGGGAAATTGGTTTGATTTATAAAAATCTTCCCTTGGTCTGTGATGGCTTAATACTAAAAGTTCGGAGTTCTTTCGGGCTGGAGATCGCAGTATCTCCAGTAGGGTTCTTTATGGTAGCAAACGGATCTGTTATTCTCTGCAATGTTACCAGTTTGCTTCCAGTGATTCGTTCGAAATAGGAGGAGAATTGCGGCACGATTCAACTGTTAATTGACCACCAGGACCTGGATCTTCGCAACTAATAGTCGGACTTGGCGTCAAGTCCGACTATTATTTGTACCAATCACATTCAATTCCCGCCGTAGCCTTGCAATCGTGTTCTCCTTGGTACCCAAAAGAAATCTTTGCCACACAAGTCTTTACAAGAAGGCCAAGCGGAGTTTTCGGAAGGTCCCCTATCTCAAAACATCACATCTCTACTCGCCCAGAACGTCGTTTGCTCAGTGGCTCAAATCTCATTGGGCATGTTCCAGCAGCCAAGTGGTTCTCTCCGACGCCTCAACACTGTGCAACAATGCGCGAGACACATGGCTGAAGGTGACATATATTGAGATCTATCTTCCCCAAACTCATCTGCGAGCTACCCTCGGTCCAACTGGAGAGGAAGACTACCCTTTAGTACTCATGGGGCTCGTTCAAGCCGTTGGAGTTGGTCCTAGACTTTCATCTACAGGTACTCGTGCGTAGGATTAAAAAAACCCTACCCTGAAGTTTGTTTCTAGCACGTTCGCCTCCACAAAACCTGAATTCCAGCTGTCTTATTCTTTTAGTACCCCGTCTTGCGGCGTCTGTGGATCCAGACAGGGGATGGGTTTATTTACCCAAGTCACCAAGTATCAATATTGATGCCAAGACGGTCGAGAAATCAGACTCATACTCGCCACTTCCAGGGCCTGAGCGGCTCCAATCCCCCGCTAAGAATTCGTTCAGCTCCTGCAGCCACTCCGCCTCCTAATACCAGGCACTTCCCAACAAGCGCAGCCCTTCTTGGCTCTTTAAGTCTTCATCGTCGATCTTGCGCTTCGAGCAAGTATTTAGCCACCTGGCGTGTAGATATGGTATCGTGCCACCAATTATGGACTGTGGCACAATGCCACTCTCTCGGAACAAGGTACGCGAGAACCCTTGCTTTTTACAACTCTACCAGAACGGATGATCTACTCTAGGGGGTATTGGTCAAATTGTCACCAGTGCATCAAGAATGATCCACCGAAGAACGAACCTCTTCCTAATTTAGAGCGGTAAGATAATGCTATTTTTCGTCTGGAACACCTCAGTCAAAGTAGTAGTATTCTATTGTTTCTGCTTTTCTTCTTCACGGAATCAAGAAGTTCCAACGAAGCTTGAATTACTCATCGTGTCCACTGTACCAGTATCAATCCAGCAGTCATGGTTTGCACGAAATCATTACTGTTTGCGGGAATTCTGTCCCTGGCCTCTTCTCTTGCTGTCGACTATGTCCCAGTAGCTACAGCAATCTCGAATAACGGGGCCTCGTTCAATTTGTCTCCCACACCAGCTCCAGCTCCGGACGAGCTTCGACGAAGACAAGCATCACAAATTACGGTACAAACCCTGCTGGCAGCCCCCGATAATACTTGCGGGTATTTCCAAGGAAACTCTGGTCCGTATCCAGCCTTGCGAATCTCGAGAACTTGAGAAGCTTACAAGGCTAAACAGATGCACCATGGGGCTGTTCAACTGGGAATTGTGTCTTCGCCACTCCAACGGCGGCGGCGGTATCAAATGGCACCAAGGGAGCAGGGGGCGTGTTGTGCTGTGATCCCAAAACTGGCTGCCCAGCAGCGCCGGCTGCAACAGCATGCGTAGGTCGAGATGACTACAACAAAACCTGTACAGGATCATGTACCTCCGATCCTGCCACATTGAAATGGTACCACTCCTACCCATTTCTCGCCCTCTTGTACGGGGCATGCTTGGACATCGATGGAACAATGCTAACATGACCTCAAACAGCACTTCAGGAATCTATCTCTGGTGCAACACCGTAACCTTCACAACACCAAACATATCCGCATTCTTCTGTAACTACATCTCCACGACCGATCCTCTCCCTGCCCAGACGGCCTTTCCCGGACAAGCAGGACACGCACTCACAACCACGGTTGCGAAATTCGCTACGACACCCGCCCCCAGCACCTCTCTCCCTTCTTCCCTAAAATCCCCCACAGGAACGCACAGCGCTTCGGCCACAGCAGGAGCTAGCACCGGCGGGGCGGGGAAGTCGAATAAAGGGGCGGTTATTGGCGGTGCGGTGGGTGGCGTGCTTGGGTTGGCGTTGATTGCTGGAGCAGTGATCATGTTTTTGAGGTGGAGGAATAGCCGGGAGCCGGACCAGGGACAGAAAGGGGCCGCCAGTTCGACTGAAGAAGTGAGTGCACCAGCTACAGCGAAAGCTGAACCAGTTGTTACTGCAAGGCCGAAGTGAGAAGCAACTAGATGTGGGAGTTTCGGTGGACAAACATAGAAGGAAAGGGACGGTTCAAGAGGGGGATATGGGACGGCGTGCATAATTTTCATGAGGAGTTAGTTATTCTCTAAAGGAGGACCGCACAAGTGTCGCTTACAAGTACCGGATATATAGTAATGTCTATAAAGGGGTTTAGTCAGCGATAATTTCCCCATTACCGGAGATGGGTATAGAATAGGTGGCAATTTCATTGTTCATCAGACGCTGGTAAAATCGAACGAATATGCAATGAAGTATCGAAGAGCATGACTCACTTGGTAGAAAGGAGATCAGATGAAAGTTTTATTTCATCAGATAGGATGAAACTCAACATCGACTTCGCAAACTCAATGTCCCGAACCAACCCCTCGTCTATTCGTCTCAGGATCAATTAATCTCAATCTCATTCTACCTGGAAAGTTGGGACAATGAACGCAATGTACAACGAAAAGTATCAATTAACATTCATTCATTCATTATCAAATACTGGGGCAAGTTAATCTCAATCTCAATCTCGACCAAGAGCCACCTCACGTCAGATATTGGCCTCCACTGCGAAAATCAATCTAGCCCGCCAACAGAACTCAAACCCTCCTCTCCATCCCCATCAAACACACCACCCGTTCCTCTTGACGACTAAACAACAAAACCGGCCTCCCTCCACCTCTGTACATTCATCTCAATCCACTCCCCCTTCAACGTAGGACACGTCCTCAGCGCCCCGGCCACACTTCTCGTCTTCTCCGTCTCGAACACTTTGCTGAAGACATGTTCTTCCACTTCATTACACATTTTCTCAAAGAAATGTAGGAGTTTGAGCCCCGGGACTGTCATTGGATTGGCGTTCGGGGAGTTAGAGAGAGTCTTGAGACGATGCACCCACTCTTTTATGTCGACTTCTTCCATTTTTATTTTCGCTTTCTCTTTGCTTGTAAGAGAGCTAGATTGCAATATGTCAACGAGCTCTTCCCACTTTACTGGGTAGGGATTGACGATATTGTGTACCGAGTACCCGTTCGCTGGGTGGAGTAAGATGTCCGTGATAGTCGAAGCCGCAACGTCAACGGGAACCCAGTCTACCATTTTCCCTGGGAAAAGCGGAAGGGCATTGATTTCTGGGTGGGCGGAGGTAGCGAACATGATGGGCCACATTTCCGAGGTGTTCCAATTTCCAGTCCGGGTTGAGCCGCAGACTTGGCCGATGCGGAGGAGCTTGATGTCCATCCCGAGAATCTCGGTAGCTTGTTGGGTGACTCTCTCCACTGCTTTATCTTAGCATTGGTCGGAAGGAAGAGTGGGCTGGGGCATATACCGATATATTTACTCAAGGCATAGCCGGTGGTGAGAGACACGGATGGGTCGTCTCCAATGGGTGTCTCTGGGACAGAGGAAGACGTGTGGCCGATTCCCAGGCAGGTGCTTACGCTGCTTGTGAAGGCAAACGTCTTTGGGCGGCCGGCGTGAGCAAGGCGAATCAGAGACATGGTGCCTATGATGTTAGTATTAGGTCTCAAACTATAAATAAAGATAGGACCGAGAAGTGAGAAAGGAAGGAACTGGGAGAGACTTACTTCGTAGACAGTCACCCTCGAACTCCTCAATGCTTCGGTTAAAGTCCATCTTCCATGCATTATGCACCACTGTCGTGACAGTCATTGCGAGCATATGGTAGTTGTGGATATCCAGACCGAGAAGAGGATCCTGCATGCTGAAGTTCAAAACCTCGATCTTGCCTCCCTGCAGAATTGAAGGGTTCAGCCCTCGTTCTTCGAAAGATGTCCGGAGTTTCTCAACATTGTTTGGACCCCGAACCATGGCGTATATCTTTGAGATCCCGGGTGAGGCGGCGAGAGTGGCGAGGAGGGAAGTGCCAAGGGATCCGGATGCACCTGTCAGAAGAACTGTCTCTTTTTCTGATTTACCCGACTGTGCAACAGCCCTTTTTGGCCAGAACGTGAACTCGGTTGAGAGTTGGTCGATGATGCGGTGGACAATTTCTGTCGAAGCAGGTTGGGTGTCGAGGGAGTGAACAGACGAGGTTGGAGTTTGTGGTGGTGTCAAAACAGCGACAAGTTTTGAGATAGAGGGGTTCTCGAACAGCGTTCCGAGAGAGACTTGTCGATTCAGGTGAGAAGAGATGGAGTAGCGGAGGGACAAGGCTAGGTGCGAGGTGATACCGAGGGAAGAGAGGGTTGTCCAATCAGTTATGCGGTCAGCAGGAACATTGACGAGTTTGGACAGGAGGTTGCGGAGGTATTCAGAAAGAGGCTCCTGGGATTCTGGCATAGAGTTAGGGAAATCATGGCCCGAATAGAGCATCTCGATTTCGGAACCGTAGATGCGTTCTGTTTCTTTTCGCTTGACATTTCCCTTAGGTGTTACTGGGAGTTTGTCGCCTTCGGGAAGGATGTATATCATAGATTGCAGGATTTGCGAATGTACCGAGTAGTATTCGTTGACTTGCTGGACCGCTTCCCAGATCTGGTTCCGCGTTAAGTTGCTGGCTGGGTCATAGTCCTCGTGGACTTCGACTAAGAGACAAACACAAGGTTTCGAGTGTCCCAAAGCGATAGCCTTGTTGATGACTTTCGTGGAGCTTTGAATGTCGATTTGAAGTGGTAGAGCATTGGTATTCTCTCCGTTGGTGTGGATGATAAGATCATCTCTCCTTCCTTGAAGGGTGAAGAAGCCACTTCCAGGGGGTTCTTGAATAAACAAGTCTCCTGTCTTATACGGAGCAGTATCGTCCTTTCCATCCCAAAGATTAGCCGCCAGCTCGAAGCCCTTATACACAGCCAACTCAAATACCCCGTCCCCGACTTCTTCCATTTTCAGAAAGGGACTGTCGGGATAAAGATTTCGAAATGTGTAGCAATTGGGACTTTCTCGCGTGTCAGGTATTGTGCGAAAGGCAGGACCGATCTCAGTACTGCCATAGGTCGTTTTGACGTTGATCCCTTTGGAGATTAGGGTTCTAACGAGGTTGGCTGAGAGTGCTGCTCCGCCGGGTTGAAGTATTTTTAAATCCACCAAAGGACTAAAATCTCCACCTGTGTATACAATATGCTCGTACATATTCTCGATGAGAGTGGGAGCGCAGTGGACGCAGTCAACTGAATGTCCCATGGACTTAAGGGTCGCCCACGCTGCAAAGAGAGCCGACGACGACGGAGGCCAAGAAAGTGGCGGGAAGGACAAAGTTTGGCCATTTGGTAAATTCGAAAGCGCTATGGATATGCCAGCAATGTGATATCTGCGCTGTCAGTGGTCGAAGAGAACGGAGGTGACAGATGGGACTCACAATGGAAATAAGAGAAACCAGTTCCCAACATCGAAAGTTTGAAATAGTCGGTACATTCTTGCAATCTGCATCATACTCCTGTTCGTATGGTAAATGGGTTTTGGCATGCCAGTTGAGCCAGATGAATGAATGATGAAGCTATGCCTTTCCCAAACGTCTCCGAAGTCTTGGTATTTAACGGCGTCGACTTTATCATACTTGGGTTCCAACACTTTCGGCAATTCTTCAACCATGGCCAGCTTCCGGACACCGTTTGTATTGGTCGTGCGATTCTTAGAATCTGTTATGACAGCCAATATACCACAGGTTTCCAGTAGAGAGTGCAAAGCAGTCTCTGCATTCGACTCGGCAAGCAGAAGCACCCTGGTACCAAGCTTTTGGAGAGCAAGCTGGGTACAAAAATATTCCAATGTGCTCCCTTGACCAAGTAATGCGACGGTGGGCTGTTTGCGGTTGACATTTGCTTCACTGAGCTCGTTCTGGAGCTGGTGAGCATATGCAAGGGCAAGTGTTTCTGTCACTTGATCGAAGTGATCCCATGTCATCGTGCCGTATGAAGTTAAGGGGTCTGTTGACAAGGGGTACAGAAACCCCTTCTCCCCCTTGTATACCACTCCGTCATGCCGTACTAGAGCGGCGAGGCTGACAAGCTTTGGGTCGGAGTATCGTTTTGAATGGGGGTGCCCATGAAGCCACCAGAGTTCTTTTGTTCTGCTGGATGCATTGGAGGAAACAACAACAGAAGGGTCAGAACATATGGGAATGCTTTTGATAGGTCCCATGTCGTAAGGTGGAGGGTCGAGTCGCATGGGAGACATATTGAAGAGCAAGATACTTTAATGAAAAGTAGATTGCGGGGACCCCAGCCTCCAGAGAGATGGATATAAGAAACAAAGGGGAAAGAGAAGACCATCCTAACCGTACGTTTCCTCCAACAGCAAACGCATGCCCATACTTCTGGGCACCGAGGCATGCTGTTCGTCGGCCGTCCAATGTACATGGGGAGAACTGTTCAATGGAGTTGAAGGCAGCTGAGCGCATGTAGCTCATCTCGAAAAAATCGATAAGACGGCAAGCAAGCATGGCCGTGCTCCACTCGGACGAACCATTTCTCTAGTCTGCGTGGTGGCGCGTCATGGATCATGGTGGGATCTTGTCAATCGTGAAGTTAAGGAGATCTTCCCCGTCCAGCGATTGAAGTGGCCCAGGGCTGGTCCTATCAATGGCCCTCACTAATCAGCTAGACGGCCTCTTACGCGGGGCAGAGACAGACCCGGCTGGACGGTTTGCCACAGAAAGGCCGGCAGCGCATCGTCAACGCGACCACCGTACGCGACGGGCAAGCAAGACCTCCATCGTCACATCGTCGCACTTCTTGATGTGCCCGGCCAAGTTCCGCGGCCACGATAAGAACGGCGGAACAAGTGGACGAGGTAGGGCTGGCTGTGGAAGTGGTGTAGTTCGAATCAGTCCTAAGCCAGCAAGCCAGGAATAAGCCAGGGAGGCGTCATACGCCCCTCGAGTGCGGCGTCAAGGGATGCTTCAGAAGCCAGGAGTGTTGCTGATACCAAGACGTGCAGTGACTGTTAAAAGCATGGGGGAAGTGAACGCAGCATCTTCAGTCTCAGTGTCCGCGATCCTCCTTGATTGTTGAAATTCTTGTAAAGCCGGAGAGTCGGGCAGCAGAGAATGGGATGTTTTCACAGCACCACTAGGCACGTGCTCTCAAGTCGCCCCCTTAAAATCGATCACAGGATTTCAATAAGAAAATAGTACCTGGACATCCTCACGATGGCACCAGCCTTTGCTGAGCATTTCCGTTTGCAAATTGAACCTGGGTCCTTTGCTTGTGGCAGTGATGATCTTCCATCGAACAAAGATCTGGACCCAATCCCCTTTTGACTCAAACGAAAGGAAATGGATATGGCCTTCCTTACTTGGTTTCTGGATGCTGAAGCATTCGACATCTCGATGTATCAAGTAGCTTCATCTGCAATCACCAGGATTAAGGCCGGGTCTCGCCATTGTTACAGTAGTGGTGGCACATCTCGTCTGCGTCCTACCATGCTGAATGGCTATGTCGGATGTATATATGCTATCAATTTCCCCGTATTGATTAGATTAGCATTTGCGGTATACGGCGCATACTTTGTGGTCTTCATTCGTGGCGTTGTGGCTTGCGTCTGGAGGTGTCCTCCAATGTTCCACTGCAGAATCATGAGTTGACCATTTGTGTGGTTTGGAACCCAATCTTTTCAGGGAGGGCAATGCATTCAAACTATGCTGCAGGCTATCTGGCAATCTTTCAAAAACTTCCCAAATCATATTCTGGCCAGCCCACATGTCATGTCAGCACAATTGCTAGGTTTCTCCCTCATCATCAGCATCCAATTACCGCTTCTTTGGCTGCACGTCTCCAAATTGAGATTCCTCTTCATGGCAAAGACGGTTGCCATGCCTCTCACTGCATTAACACTGTTCGTATGGACTTTTGTTGCAGGTAAGATCATCACAATAGTTCATTTTACCAAGACATCTAACACTTTGGTAGCCACGGGATTTGACCCAACCTTCAACAACGACACACACATCACAGACGACACCCCTGCTATCCTCGTCTTCTTCCAATGTGTTACCACAGCTATTGGCTCGAGCGCCGCCCTTACACTGAACATGCCTGACTTCACTGGCTACGCTAAACATCCCAAGCAAGTCTTCTAGACGCAGGCTGTCGGCCTTTGTGGGCTTGTCACTCTCTGCGGAATCCTCGAAGTTACGGTAACGTCAGCGTACCAACAAATTTACGGTGTCACAACTTGGAATCCACATCGGGTTTCCATCCTCTGGAATAATCAAGCAGCCCAAATCTTCTCTGCACTTTGTTGGATGTTTGTTGTAATTGGGACAACCATTTCGGCCAACTCGGTGTCATTGGAGAATGACATCTCTCTCTGGTTCCCAAAATGAGCCAATGCGAGGCGAGGCGCTTATGTTTGCTGCATCATATCCATTGCTGCCACCCCATGTAATATTCAATACAGTGCTGCCTCATTCTCTTCCTTCCTTGGCGGCTACGCATTGTTCCTTGGTTTCCTTGCTGGTACTATGATGTCTGAGTTCTGGGTTCTGAGAAACAGACACCTGAATCTCTTCTCATTGTACAAGCGCCGAGATATCTACAGCTTCTTCCATGGCTTCAATATCTGTGCATTTGTAGCTTCTATCTGTGGCATTTGCACTGAATCTGGCCGGAATGGCCAAGGCGACGGGCAATAAGAATGTTCCAAAAGAGGCGACATACATTTATAGCTTGAGCTGGTTGGCGGGGGCGATTGTGGCTTTTGTGATTTACACGATTGCGGGCAAGATCTGGCCTATGGAGGAGAAGTTTGAGGTGGGACAGGTCATGGATGATCTCCATGCCTCGAGCCTCAACCATAGTGACCAAGACGACAGGAAGGTGGTGGCGCAGGATACAGCGAAGGGCTATCAGATGCGCTGCTCATGAACCGAATAGAGACAAATGAAAATAAGTGGCTCGCAGTTGACCGTTTGTCCACCCATAAATCGAAGCCCCTTTTTTGTTTAGCGAGAATTTCCTGGACTCAAATCTTATGACCGGAATACTAAGCGTAAGGATAAACTAGGTTTCCTTGAGCATGCTATCCAAAGAGTCGATAGATTCGGGAGTTTGGGGCCATTGTGTCTAACTGCCACTATCCGTCCAAATCATCGCTAGCATCAACTCCCAGTTCAGAAGTCAATCCTCGAGGTTCAATACAAGTCGTTTCATCTTTCACTCTTTCCTTGTCCCGCACAATAGCTAGATAGATCTTGCGAGAAATACTGTAAGTAATCCTCCATTATTTATTCGCCTCCTTCAGACTGGTCTATCTTTAAGTCTATTCTCATTCAAGTGTTCACTTCACTTTCTGACTTGTCTTTCACCGACCCCAATACTACTTTCATTCCAAAGGAATCAATCACCAAACAAGAGGATGTCGGCACAGCGCATCGCACCTCGAACCTCCAAACGCTTTGCGTACAGTTCCGGCCGGGATATTCCGCTGGTCCACGTCCACTCATGCAATCCATCATCGTTTACTCTACGCCCCTGGAATCATATGCGCGCCAGGTATTGATTCCCGCGCGTGGGAGAAGGGTTGCAGCAGCTACAACCGTTTCTCGGGCTAGGTCGAAACGGTACTCTATGGAATGCCGTTCTCGTTTCTTTTGACCTCAAGCGGGAAAAGGATGGCTCAACAAGTGGTGGCGTTTCTGGGATCCACGAAATTGGCATCTCAATGTTGGACACCCGCAGCATCTCTTCGAATAAACCAGCTGGCTCTCTGACCAATCGACACTTCATGATTGGCAGACATAAGAAATTGTCCCGTAGGGCATGGAAATTTCGTTTTGGGACTTCGGAACACGTCGATCGAACTAATATCACTGAGGTTATTTTGAAGCTTCTTACATACCAGATGAGATCGAGAATCTTCCGCAGCCAGGATACCGCAACATTGCTCTCGTGGGCCACGGCCTTCGTTTTGATTTCCTCATCCTGCGGAAGCATGGAATCATGTTCGAAGAAATCAGCACCATAGTCGCCAAGTTCGACACGATATATATGGCCACAGGAGGTGCTGTGCTGGGCATAAACTTCCGGGTTCCGTCGTTGCTGCAAACCCTTCCATGTCTGAACCAGAATCTTCACAACGCTGGAAATGATGCAAATTGTGTCCTGCTAGCTCTCTTGCTCTTGGTATACTATGGTCTGCGACCATCTACGTCCTCGTCCGATGCAAAAACGCTGGCATCTCTCAAGAGCCTGGCATTGGAGCCAATATCTGACACCACGGAGCGAATTGCAAAGTTGCGAGCGTTAAAAGCGCAATGTGACGACTGGACTTTGAATGCTCTGGACATTGGAACCATTTCGTTGTTCGATGAAAGCTGAACTCTCATTCCAACAGGGACTCTTTCATCTCTGCGAGGTTTGAGAAATCGGCGTTCCTCTCCACATCCCACCACGTACTTTCACCCAACAACGCAAGACCCCCACCACTTCTGGAGGACATACAAAGCTGAAAATAAGTTGAGGTCAAGCAAGAATTGAATACGACCTAGCACCAGTAATTTCTCTCTCCGGCTAACATGCCCTTGACCTCTCCACCTGTTCTCCCAACCACAATCTTCCCTTTTCCCCTCTTTAAAAACTTTCCATCCAGCACATCTCCAACAACACCACCATTATCCCGATCCCACACCTTCTTCCCTCTCAAAAATGTAAGTCTCGGCCAATTCTTGACCCTCATCCCCTCAAAAGGAGTATAATCAACACCATGATGGAGCTCAGACTGCCTAATAGTCACCCCGTCCTTGAGCTCCTTCTCATTGTACCAAATAACAATATCTGCATCGTGGCCAACAGCAATACTCCCCTTCATGCCCTCCAGCCCGTACAACTTCGCCGGGTCGGAACTCGTCAATTGCACAAACCTCTGCAAACTCAACCTCGAATCCTTCTCCCTCCCCGCATAACTAAACAACAACGGCAACCTGGTCTCCACCCCAGGCACCCCATTCGGGATATCCCTATACCTCATAACATCCCCCTTTAAACCCAGCTTCTTCCCACCAGAATGGCCATACGTAGAAGGAGCATGGTCGCTTGAGACAACCGTGAACGTTCCATTGGCAATTCCCGTCCACATCGCTTCGAGATCCTTCGGATCATGTCTAAGCGGGGGACTACAAACACACTTCGCGCCTTCAAAAGCATCCCCATGAGTAGCCTTCAACCTCTCACTTAAAAGAAAAAGATACTGTGGACAAGTCTCTGCATGAATGGGCAGCATCCTCGTTTGCGCCTTCCTGACATGCTTCATTGCAATTTCCGAGCTCATGTGCACGATTAGAATTGGGACATCGGTTAGCTCCGCGAGACTTATGATGCGGTACGTGGCCTCATTTTCGGCGATCTGTGGGCGAGAGATGGCATGGAAGTAGGGTGCTGTGTGTCCGGAGGCTTCGAGACGGGTTGAAATGAGAGAGATAATATCAGAATTCTCGGCATGCACCATGGTTGTAAAGCCCAATGTTCGAGCAGACATAAGGACATCGAGGAGCTGGGCGTCGCCGAGCTTGAGGGGCTCGTAGGTCATGTAGAGCTTCACGCTTGTGATACCTTGTTCGATCAGGAGGGGCATTTCCGTGGCCATGATCTGAGGGGTTGGGTTTGAGAGGATGAGGTGGAACCCGTAGTCGCAGTAGCTCTGATCTTTGGCCCTGGTGTGGTACTCTTCGACGCAGCGGATGACAGTCGTTTCGGTCTTCTTTTGGGACGCGAAGGCTATTACTGTTGTTGTTCCGCCAGCGATGGAACTTCGGGAGCCGGTGGTGAAGTTGTCTCCTGTGGGACTGTTGTCCTGGGCAAAATGGACATGGCTGTCGACGCCGCCTGGTGTAATGTAGCCGCCTCTTGCGTCGACGACCAGGGTATTGTCACTTCGGGGTAGAAACATCCCCAAACATGATATTTTGCCATTCTTGACGCCGATTTCAATACCAGGAGAGAGGACTTCACTGGCTGTGACCTGCGGGGTTATCAGCAGCGCTCTCGCAAATGTTTTCGGTAACGAATCTCGCTTAAAAAGGGGTTCGAAGAACGAGAACAAAAATAAATTAGAACAGAGCAACTCAGTCGTTCACCACACCATGGATCGGAAAAGTCCGTTCTCAGTAGCAAGGAAATAAGGTTCAAAAATATAAAATATAAAAACATACAACAGCAGGTATTCGCTGGTGGTCACCCACCCAACTACTAATCTGCCGATCTGAGGCTTATGTATGGCAGAGCGGACGGGATGCCCAGTTGTCCTCAGTCTGTGGTCGTATGTGGCAGAAAAAGGCTTAATAAAATATATAACACTGTGCATGAAATACAATTTCGAACAAATTGCGACGCCGCCTTGAAGACCAGTAACCGAGCGCTTCCCTCACAGCCATCATCCACGTCTGCTCTCCAATGACTGGATGACATTATCAGAAGAGAGCTTTCTCAAATGTTGTGAAACGGCAGAATCATGCACGCCCTCACACAATGCACGGGCTATTGTTCAAAGTCCAAGCAGTACATTCCGAGCAAGTATCGCTGTCGCAGCCGAAGGGGATTTTGATACTTACAATAGTTCCGTTTGTTACTATCAATTCAAAGCCCATAAAGTCCTCAGATTCTCTTCTGTATTCGCCCATCTTGGCAATATTGCTGTCAAACAGATCCAAGCCAATTGCTTTTCTTAAATGCTTCAAAACAAATATGCGGAAGACCTCGTCCTGTTCCGGTTTCCTGCCGTGCACCCCCATTTAGGCCATTTCTTCATGTCAACCAACAAAAGCGGGTGAGTCGACGAACGCTCATTCGCCCGATAGCGCTCCTCATTTGAGTGCTGAGTTGCCCGACGGCCAAGCTGGGGGGACCCTGTCGACAAACCCGACGCCTCATCCCGCATCTAATGCAGGCGCAAACCAATTAGTCTCGCTTGAGATAGCTGTGATAGGGGGTCCGAGGGCAGCGGAAAGAGGGGTTCAACTTCAAGAACTAGTATCTTCACAAATCCACAAAGATGGAAAGGCCAACTATTGTATATTCGCCCGCGATACAGTCTGCCCACCAAGTTGTGATTGGCGGGCAGACCGTGTTCGCAACTACGACGGTTAGCCACGGCCGAGCGTTCCAACAATGATCTGGTATTTACAATCAGCAAGCATTGAATGGAGAAGAGGCCGTGGCCGAGAGCAACAAGAAGTGAAAGGCTGGGCCGTGGGAAAGTTCTCAACTCAACATGGTTCGCTGCCAGCATTTCCTTCTGTATCTGTATCTTCCTGCGTTCGTTCGTTTTCAAACCAATTGGAGTTGTTCTCGTGCCAATCTTTCTGCCAATCTTTCTGCCAATCTTCTCGTTATGCCAAGAACAATCAAGATAGCTGCTGCCCAGATGGGTCCTGTGCATCGAGATTCCACACGTCAAGATACGCTCTCGCGAATGATCAAGCTGCTGCAATCTGCGTCGACGCGTGGTGCACAACTCGTCCTCTTTCCTGAGGCTGCATTCACCACGTTTTTTCCCCGCCATCTGATATCGGCCCAGGAAGAACTAGATTCGTTCTTCGAGCATGGGGACAATCTCGCCGGGTCCCCGAACACCAAGCCCTTGTTCGATGAGGCGAAGAAGCTGGGGGTCGATATCTCTGTGGGGTTTGCAGAGCGGGCTGCAGATGGAAAGGGCTACAATACTAGTGTCTACTACTCTGCCAGCCAGGGAAAAGTGATTGCGAAATATCGAAAGGTCCACCTGCCCGGCACCAAGGAGCCATTCGAGAATCCGGATGCAGTCAATCAGCTTGAGAAGAGGTACTTCGAGCCTGGAAATCTTGGATTCAAGGCATTTCGAGCACCTGATTTGGTGCTTGGTGCTCAGAAAAAGGGTGCTGGGAGTGTTCGACCTGGCAAGGGAGATCCCATCATGGGGATGATGATCTGTAATGACCGACGATGGGCAGAAGGCTGGAGGTGTTATGGCCTGCAAGGCGTAGAAGTTGTCCTTTGCGGTTACAATACCGCTGGGTTTGCCCCTGATCTTTGGGGAACAAGAAAGCCAATGACCCAAGAACAAGCGGAAGAGGATGCAGTGTTTCATCATAAGTTGGTGATGCAAGGGAACTCATATATGAATAGCTGCTTCTCAGTCAGTGCTGCGAAGGCAGGGTTAGAAGATGGAAAATACGACTTGATTGGGGGAAGTTGTATCACTTCTCCTGAGGGACATGTGGTGGCAGAAGCACAGACGAAGGATGACGAGGTTGTCTTTGCAGAGATTGATTTGGAGGACTGCAGGCAAGGGAAGGAGAAGACATTTGACTTTGACAGGCATCGCAGGATTGATCAGTATTCTCCTATTTCGCTTCAAACTGGTGTTATAGAGCCTGAGCTGCTTTGAGACTGTTTCTTATCATACTATAGACAAGATTCATTTAGATGTGGGTTAGAGAGTGTTTAAAATTGATCATTACTATATCCAATCTTGGCCTCTTGCTTTCCTTCCATCCCGAGCAGGTCTGAAGACACCTCCTTTTGCAGTTACATGACCTTCCCTTACCAGCCCGATCAAAAGCTGCACGCCAACCCCAACCCCATCAATCACTTGAGCAGTTGCATCTTTTGCCCCGACAGTCTCTTCGCATCTGATCTTCATCTCCGTCATTCCTGCACACCCCAAAGCAATACAATCTGCCCCCTTTTCTTGGACAAGCCTTCTGGCAGCTTCGCTTACTAATCCGAGCACTTTGTCTCTTGGAAATGTCTCTAGCTCAAGAACACCTAGTCCTGTCGTCTCGCAGCCCACCGAAAATCCATCTAGGCCATAGTACCTGATAGCATCTTCATGCATGATCTTGCTCCTTGCCCCAGTAGCCACGATCCCAAGTCGGCCGCCAAGCATTCGAGCAGAATAGAGCGCCGCCTCCATGATTCCGATAACGGGGCACGAAAGTTCTTCTCTTAGAGCGTTGATGAGAGGATGAGCGCTGAAGCAAGCGACCAGGAAAGCATCGTAATTTGAAGCTATGGGTATCACAGCTCGAGCTGCTGCCGCTGCAGAGAAGACTCCGTCGAGGTGACCTTCGATAGCCGAGGGAGTTGGATGTGGAGCCGTGAAGCCAGTGACTGTGCAATATGGAGGTAGAGTTGTTTCTAGGGATCGAAGACAGGCTTCTGTCATAGAAGAAGTTCCATTGGGATTTATTAGGAGAATGTTGATGGCTTTGGTGGAAGACCCCGTGACTTTGGGCAGTGAGTCGCCCATCCCAATTCGATTCACAAAGACTCAGGGTACAAAAAAGGGGGGAGTATTTTAAGCGAGGGGAAGAGGAGACGACAGCCTGGCAATGCCCTGCAACGATTTCCGAGCTGCACAAGCAGGAAAATGGAAGTAAAATAGCACAAAAATGATATTAGATGTCTATTATTGAAGGCACATTGTACCCGTCTACAGCGAATGAACCATTGAGGTCTTCCTACGCCAGCTCAGCTATCTATCGGCCAACGACGGGCAACTCCCATCCTCAAATGGCGTCCTGAGCAACGGCTAACTGTGAGGCCGCCCCGCATGCTCTCCAGACTCATCTCCAAGCAAATAATGGATCCTCGATGAGCTTTCCGAAACTTGTTAATTCCGCCTGAATGCAAAGAGATGCGCGGCGGTGTTGCGCGACGAAAGAGAAACCCACGCTACCCGATAGCCAGCAGCTCTGTGCGATAAGGAGGCGGAGTGTTTTTTGAAGGCATTTTGTGCACGTCCAACCTGCGGAGATGGACTCCCACAGCTTCGCGCAACCGTCACTATCGCCAACCGATTTTTTCAATGGGCTGGAGTTGGCTCCCCCGGTGCCCGGTCCACGATCTTACAAGTCGCGAAAATATCGGCCATGCGACCTCTGCAGGCAAAGACAGGTGGCGTGCAAGATCGATATCGGACCGCCGTGTTCCCTCTGCGCGTCTCACGGGCGACAGTGTACCTTCGTGGAACGGCCGAAAAAGAAGAGAAGGCCGAATGTCGCTGCCAGCAATGGCGAGGGCAGTGGAGTTTCTGGTAAGCTGCGCAGAGTGTTTGCATCTCAAGAGTTACGATGCTGACCTCTATTCTCGTGTAGCCTCGATCCAACAATTCGATGTTACGGCGGCTCAACTAAGCCCCGGATTCATCGCACAGTACGAAAATGAACAAACCTTCAATGGCCTGAACGGGCACAACGGCCTGGGTGTAGACCCGGACTCATCGCCGAACCAGCTGCACCATCTTGGCCAAGATGCGTCCCCAATACACTATATGGATCCGTACTTGCAAATGATGCAAGGAGGAATACGGATCCGGCCTCTGGACTCCCAAGCAAACAGGTGTGCTCGATTTATTGGTGAAACGGGGGAGTCGAATCCATACCTGCTGCGCCACTACAGATACGATGACAATGATGAATGTACGATTTCAAAATTGACATACCGCCGGATCAAAAGCACCTCAAACCAGAATGCAATGCCAGGCGAGAAGGGAGAGCCTCCTGTTGTCTTCATGCTCGCAGATGACAGTATGGCTCAGAAGGGCGAGCCCCGAGTCGAAGAAGACGTCCTTGCAAAGGGCCGCTCCGATATCGCCAATATGTTCACTGAACAAGAAGCCCTAAGATTAATAGGCCTGTTCTTCCGATTTGTATACCCATACTTTCCTATTCTGTCTAAAAGCGAAATGTTCCTGAACGGGCAGATATCCCCCTCTGTACTGCACACATTACCCATATCGTTATTATCTGCTATGTATGCTACAGCCTTGCCATTTATGCTTTATGACGATCTCCTTGCCACGACTATAGTTCACTCTCCTCCTTCGACCAACCAGCTATATCGAATATCTTGGCTTGCCGTTACTCAAGAATTGCACACACCTCGACTGGCCACTTTGCAAGCCTGCCTTCTCCTCCTCCAGCGAGCACCCACGAACCGATACACGACTGATACCCCTTGGAAAACAAGTCTTGTAGGATGGTCAGTTAGTTTAGCACAGATTTTAGGTCTCCCCAAGGAATGCAGTGATTGGACAAGCATACCAACATGGGAAATGACCTTGAGGAAACGACTCTGGTATGGGGTCTTTATCATGGATAAGTGGGCCTCTCTTGGAGCAGGAATGCCTAGCCATATACGTTCAGACGACTTCGACGTCCTTTCTTTGACTGAATCGGACCTCGAGCCGCCATCCCTTGATCCCAACTCCAACGCCATTCCTAATTTTCTCGATCCAGACACTGACAGCAGTCACTTCCGTCTGCTCTCGGATCTCACCATGATATTGAGCGATATCATGGACTCGTATTACTCATTACGAGCTACGCAACGGACATCTAAAGACTTCACACTCTCCCTAGATCTTGCTCGGTCGCTGAGGACTCGATTGAAGATGTGGAACGATTCCTTACCTCCTGGTCTGGCTCTACGGCAACCAGAACGTCTGGATTCGAGAGGTATGGCTCGGCTTAGCGGCAACCCTTCCCTCTCTCTAGCATATATTGTCGCGACAATGACTTTGTTCCGAGCTCTCCTTCGACCCCTCGCCAACTTGACGACTGTCGAGGAAGAAGATCACGGGATTGTGGGGAGCCGACTTGCTGTTCGAGCGGGAGCAAAAGAGTGTGCCAAAGAAGTCGTCGAATTCGCAGAAAACCTGGGACGAGGGGCTTTGGATGCATTTTGGCATTCCTGCAAGCCTCCCACTGATGCCTAACTATAACCTTTATGCTAATGAAAATCAGGGTCACGAGCAAACTTCGCAATAGCCTCATCATTCCTCATGCAGCTCCTCGTCACGTCCGAGTCTGAATCTGAGCAGAGCGAGATCAACGAGTTACTGGCGCGCTGGCGCTGGGCCATGCGGATCGGGAGCGGGAGTACGGGGAACGGGTTGATGAGTCTGGGTCTTTTGCGCTTAGATGGCTTGCTCTTGGAAAATGGGACTATGCAGCCAGCTACAGGATGAAAGGGTCGGAGCTCAAAAAACGGAACGGAATAGGACTAGGAGTTTTGGTGGGTAGGTCGGGAATTGGGTTTACACGATTGGGATGATCTGATGGGTGAAGGACATTAAGGGTCGGGGATGCCTCACGGCATTTGGGGCGATAGTTTGTTGATACGTTCCGAGTCCACCATGGAGGCAGATGTCGATTAAAATTTGTTCTCTCCTGGGTCCTCTGTCTGGCCACTGTCACTTTTCCTGCCCCGCCCCCAACAGTCTGCCTCCTCATGACGCTCTCGTAAGTACGGGCGAATAATCTTGCTACTGATTTTTCTTTTTGCTCCTCAATGTTCCAAGTATTTTGGTGCAATGATCTTAGTTGACAAGATTTAAGCGAATAAGACCTCCCGAAGTGAAATTCATCTGATAATCTGCGTTAATATTCTGAACAATCAGATGAATATATCTCTCTTTCATCTTAAGCTTGAGATACATATAATTTCATCCTATCCTCGATCTCAAGAGAGTGAATGAATTCGACCCGAGGATTTTGTTGCACATGTTTCGTCCAATGTAACAACCTCATATGCAGATCAAGTCCGTTTTGGGTTTGATGAACTCGCATCTGCAGAAAACAACTTGCCGCACGGCACACAAACTCCGAACCCCGAATCTCAGGCAGATTCGCTCCCCAGTGCAACTCGTCTTCTGTATTTCCATTGCTACATGGGTTATCGAGAGGAAAGGCGGTTTCAGCAGCATACTCCTCGAAAATACCCATAGCTCTGAGGTGTTGGCAGATATGTGCTTGCAGGCTGTGAGGATGTTGCAGTTGGCTTTTCGAAAAAGGACATGCGAATAATCCACAACAAAACGTATTTTCCTCTGTTGTCTCGAGCTGGATCGGGAGTTTCTCGTGCTTGATAAACTTGTGTTCCGCGGTGACCAAGTTCACTTGCTTCACGTCACCGATGAAGCGTGGCTCATGTTTGAGGTTCCTCTGGCACAATGAAGGATTATGTGATATCTTCGGAGTTATATTAATAAAGTGAGGACCGTCCTTGAACACGTAATCTTTCAACGAGAGTTTTTCACGTTGTTTCTAGATATCATGGAAACTTTATTCTGGCAACGCAAAGAGTCATCAACGATGCGTTGGAAGTGATAAGAAATTTCACTTTCGATATCGAGAACAAACTGTGTGCAAAGCGGGCAAGGAGACTCATGGGCAATACTTGAGCGAGTGTCAAGTGAAGACTGAGGTGAATTTTGTTCAAAGCCAGAAGGTAACCGAGTTCAGAAGAGGCTGTGGAGGGAGATGTCTGACAAGATTGAGAGGTTGTCGCCGGGGGCACTGACGGTTGTGAATTAAGAGCTAGTACAATGATCCACATTAGATCTAAATCTCCTACAACTATCTAGAACAATAGCTTGGACTCTTGTAAGGAAACACAGCTGGTGGCTTAACTGTTATTTGTCCAATTCAGTCCCCAGTCCCTATTGGATGAGTTGGTCATGTCTTCAAGGAAGTATCTCAAGCTATCCATGGTAGGCCGTCGTTGTGAAAAATCACCATTTTCGTTTGCTGATCGTTGTGGGTATCTACAAACCCATACAAATTACTGTTGGGTATGGCTATAGACGCATCGGGAAGGTCCGGATTTAGTAACTTCCCGGGATCTTCCCAACTACTCTGAGAAGAAAGGAAGGTGAGATCGGCAGTACCATTCACCGTGCTGCCTCTCGGTCGCTCCACTCGGCTCATGAGCTTAACAATTGGTCTTCAGACATAACCGACTCGGTGTCAGTCACCACCGCAGTATATTGCGCAACATTCTCTATCACCGCCAAGTACGAACGGTCAGTAGTCCGGCTATTACCAGAGCCACACAATTCCGCAAGTAGCACAGCAAGAGCATACCATTTGACCCAAGCGAATTATGCCCAAGGAGTGAAGTCTGTATTAGCTAGCTTGTTCAGTGATCGCTCCAAGATATCAGTAGTTCCTCTCATCACGTCGAAATTGCTGCGAGCTTCTCATTCCAGCTAGCCCATGGATCCGTTGGGTTGATATCAGTTCCGTATAGTTTCTTCAGACACATCATGGCCCGATGGCCCATTGACAAAAATGACTTATCTGTGCAGTTTTGTGAGGGTGGAGGCAGAGTACACGTTGGGTGCAAACCCGAATCGTTCACGGTCGAAGGCGGCGAGGACTTGAAGTCTTACAAAAGAGGAGTCGGAGCGATCCTCTGTCCAGAGCAAACCGAGCATCAAGCATTCCAATGGAGAACCACAGCCGTCGGCGAATCTCCAAGTAGTAAGGCGAGTATCCTTCCGTTTCTTCAGTTCCAAGTTTGAGTGCGTTTGCTAGCCTTGCAGCTATTGAGAGCAGTGTCCAGCTTGATCCTCCAGTCGTAGAATAGCGAAGGCCCGTCTACTAATTGTCAGCTCTGGCTTAAAATGTTGCATTATACACAATACTATGCTGTTATTGTATACCTGCAGCAGCAATATTGATAGGTCAACTACTAAGTATATAACAAACGCCTGGAGGAAGTCAGGTCTGGGTACTCTAGGAGCTTTGCCTTCGAGATCGCAAACACCGCCCCAATCCTAAGCTGCTGCATAAGTGAAATTCTCCTGCAATACAAAAGGTGTTCGCATTCGGCATCGGTCATGTGCACAATGCCATAAAATGTATTGCACATCCCAGAGCATGGATCCGAGTCCAGTGGCCCTCGGTCTTGGCTTCTAAGTTTTCCTTTCAATTGCGGCGAGAACTGTAGGCTAGGGTAGAACTTTGAGAATACTATCTACGCGGTGCCGATATATAGACAGCAGCGTGTTGGTCATCTGCTTCGTGAGAGGTTGCGAGGTGTCAAACTCGGTGCCAGAAGTGCTGTAGCTGAAGAGGAGGGTTTCTGAGTTAGAGATATGGCTCCTTTCTAGACCCTGGTAATGCAGAGGAACTCTGGCTTGAGGGATCTTCATTTTCGAACTCTCCCAGGCTTTCGCGGATGCCACTGGCCTAGATAGAGAATGAGCGGTGCTGGAGATCTTGGAGGTAAAACGTAAGTAATCAGAACCGACTCCTGTGAAAGCGCTTCCCAGAAGTCGGAAGCAACATAATTCTGCAGGGCATTAGCACTTTTGGCCAGCTGACCCCCAGGTCCCAGGAGATGGACATCCTCCTGGCCGGCATTATGTTCCTTGCTGGATTGTACTTGAACCTAGATTCCAGAATTAGCTACTCTTCTCACTCTTCGTACCAAGTCAGACGTACCTTTAATTGCCTCACAGGATCTTCAAGACGAGCGACTCTAGTATCAATTTCGCATTCTCCGCGCTGAGCAGTCCTTCCCCGAGGTCGGCGAGCGCGCTGGACCGTGGCTCATTTAATGCGCGCAATTTTGCAGGCCGGGCATGGAACCTGCTTGTCGCACTTTGTCTTTCGTTGCTTGCATTGCTCGCAACTCAGACAGACTGCGAGAACAGGAGAAGAGCTCATATTTGAGACGCGGGAGTTTTTAATTGGACAAAAGTGTGTTGCTCTTATATGAAAATTGAAATAGGGGTGCATAATGACGTCCGCAATATTTGTTTACTCTTGTGGAGTGTACGAAGAAGTAAAGGCAATTTATCCTCCATTGGCCGAGTATTTGCAGCAAAGTCAAGGGTTTGTTTTGATGCAGACTGCAGTTGAAACTAACACGAAAACTTGATGAGATTTGTTTCTAGATTTTCCGTGGGTCCTATGTCCCATTCACTCTCATTCGGGTTTGAAGAAACCTCAAAGAGTTCTATTACGCATCGCTTCAATGTCCCAGGAACTTTCTGTACATTGAAGATATCTTCTGTCTTACTCAAAGGGGATGATCAGCTCCTCTCCAACTAGACTTGAGATGAAAACAATACCATCAATCCACCCCCTCTCTAAACACCAATTCAATTCCGCGCCACCGAGATCCACTCACAAACAACAACCCACTTCTCTTCCAATAAGCTAAGCATACAATTCCAGCGCACATGAGCAAGGGAACAGCGTACTCTTCCCTCCTGTGGCGAAGTAACGTGCTTTTCGTGTGATTATGGAGACGAAAAGGAGACAGGCGATGCTGGGAAGGCGCAGAGGCAGATATTTGCTTGGATTAAGGGAGAGTGTAGAGGTTATGTAGCGTTTAGAGGGGGCGTGGGTGCGGATGAGGGAGTAGTAGCTTCGAAGGCCGATTGTCGTGCGTTGGCGGGTGGTGAGGCGAGCTAGAAGGTTAGGTGTCCATGATTCGCTTGCTTGGCTAATGAGTCTGTTGGAAGTTGGGGATCGGATAGGTGTGTGGCGGGGATGGGAATAGTATGGCAAAAGGAGGTGTAGCAAGTATACGTACCTAAGGGAGAACAATGAAGCAATAGCAAAGGTTTCTTCGTATACATCAAAGCTCAAGCTCGGCCTGGCCAACACTTGTTGGTACAGGCATCGCTATCCAAATCAAGGCATACTATCAATCTTCAAATTAAACTCTGCCCTTCCGCAGTCCGGAAACCCAACCCATTTCAAGTCCGAGAGCGGACAGAAAGCAGCAAACTCCCTTCGTACTTCTGTCCCAAGGAAGATCCAGAGTTCCAGCAAGAAAGCCTCATCCCAATTTCAGCCCCTTTCGCCAGCCCCTTCCATGAACGACTTGGGCTCAGCCCTCTCTGGCAAGCTCGGAATGGCCTCAGCTTCTCAAGCGACAGGCAAGAGAAGCTATGCAGAAATGGTCAAATCGATGCCGTCTGTCCTTGCGACAGGAGCCTTTGCTCAGCCGAAAGCTCACACCCCTGGAATGGTCCCGAGTGGCCATGCAACTGTTCCACCACAGCTTCTGGCTTCCACCCCCCAGCCCATGGAAGGACAGAAGATCAAGAAGCAAAAAGCAAAGACAGAGGGTGCCCCAGCAGGAGCAGCACCGATGTTCAAGCGTCCTAGACACCTCCCTGAAAACCTCACTGAAGCTGCAGCACTCCAAAGAGAGAAGGTGAAGAAAAAGGAGATCAAGAAACTCCAAGCAGAGGTCGAGAAGTTGCAGCAGAAGGGCCAACGTGTCCAGGATGAGTTGGAAACCGTCCGCAAGCAACGGAGCGAGTTTCTCCACATGTCCCAGCAACTCGTGAAGGCTTGGTTCTCGTATGGCTAAATGCTAGACCTCTTTATAACTCGTCGGAAAGTTGTGTTGTTGCATATCGACTTATTATTGGCTGAAGTTATTGGGGCCAATTGAGATGAGAGATACAATATTCATCTGAGCTCAAAGTGAATCTTGAGAGGCACAACTTGCAACTCATTTTATGCCAACTTTAGATGAAAAGTAGGAGCTATTTCCACTTGAAAAGACTATCTTATCTGACTTTCTAATGTACTAAGATTTCTGGAACGTCGAAGCGTTGTGATTCACTTTGAGAGAAGAATAGCGCCTTGGATTCATCTCAAAAGGGCTTAGAAGAGGCTCGTAGAGTGACTTCTGAACTTGCCACTCGCACCTAAAAGCAAACATTTCCCCTACCATTACCAATGTCGTTATGAAGCTAGAGGTATCTAGTGTTGAAATGAGCGACACAGGCGAGAGACGAGAAAACAGGCGGATGCTACTTGCTCCATCGGCCCAATAAAGAAAGTTGTCACACTCGTAGTCAAGTCGAAGGAAGCACAAGGATGCATTATCACAGTAACTTCGCATTGTGCAATATATTACAATAAAGCATTATACGACATCTCGTCCCCTTGTCCTCTTTCTGGGGTTCGCTCAACTAGGAATCACGTAATGACCTTATCCATTCTCTTTTTACCATATTTCCCATCCCTCTGGCATGCAGAACCCATGACCTGATCCAACCTCCGATGCATATAGAAGCACCACTCGTGAAGCCTAAACAAAACAAAAGCAGAAATCCCAACCCCTTTCCGTAATTAGACGCCCTGTAAACGCCGTCTATGATTTGTTTTGCCTGGACCCAGAACCAGATATCGTAAAGTACCGGTAGTATGCAAACTCTGTCGTATGTGATCATTCGTATTCTTTCGTTTGTTCATAATGTCAAGGTCGCCAGCCCCATCTTTTCGTAATTATATATATATGAGCCATGCATGTGCTCTTTATTTTAAGTTGTCGAAGAGGAAGCAGGAGGCGTGACAGCCTGCTCCCTTGTGCGGACTCGGAAGGTGTCTCGTAACCTGCTCGTTAATCGCGCTCTTCGGCTAGTCTCTTCGACGTCCTCGGGTTGCTCTCCCTCACGTTGAGATTGCTCTCGTAGTTGACGGAGCGCGGCTATGCGCTCATCTGGTGGTGCATGACGGAGGCGATTCAGATCTAATAGTCTGGCCACACCTCGACGCTGAGGGTTTGATCCACTAGCCTCATCTGTGTTGCCCGCTTCCTCACCCTCGACACCAAGTGGTGGGGGTAACTCGCTGCCTTCGCCCGTGGTAGAGGCAGCATTTTCTGTATTCGAAGTTGCAGAGGTAACTGGTCGAAGATCGTGGCGGCTGGGCTGGGTTAGTAGTTGATATCAACTCGGAGAGAATGACTTACCATAATGGACACGTCCCAGACACGTTCAATAGCCAGGGATCAATGCAAGCAGGATGGTACTTGTGATGACATGGCAACACTCGCACATCCTCACCAGTCTTGAAGTCCTCTGTACAGATCGAACATCCCAGCTCGCCTTCTCTTGGTACAGCTTCGTTACCACTTGCTACCGACTCAGCTTGCGCAGCTCCCAAACCGGACTCGACACCCAAAGTTGTCGTCCTGGCTGCGACAGCGGGAGATTTCCCTTCCTCGTCTTCATTGGCTTCTGGCACCGTCGAGAGATGAGTAGCTGTAGTGTGTTGGGTATTGTTACTGCCAGACTCCAATTCGACATCTCGGCTTCCAGGTTTCACTGGCTCTGGGTCTCCAAATTTCACAATTGGCAATGTCTCCAACATAGCTCTTGCTAGTCCCTTTGCTCGACTCTGTCTCGGTCTCCCTGCATATCCGTTTCGTGGCCCATATCTCTCTGGATGTCGATGGGCACGGATGGCACCAGTGGCAATGATGATTAGGAATAGCAAGGTGATGATGCCTGTGATACTGTATAGAATACTCATCGCAACGGCAGTTGTTGGTGCTGGGCTATTGGCGTCCGGTGAGCCTGAAGGCGAACTCTGCTGGTTAGTTGTGGCATTGGCAAATATCTGAGCTTGGATTGATGGCGAGTCTGATGATTGCGGGTAGAGCTGGATCATTGCCATCAGAGCATTTGATGCCTCCAGAGATACCATCGTATACATCGTTGCGAATTTGTAGTCACCCGTAAGGTTACACTCCTTAGCTGTTTGGCTGTAGAGCAGAATGGCCATAGGTTTGGCATCTCCGGCCGTTCCAACCACTGTTGAAGAGTCGATATTCGAGCCATTTGGATCGCAACTGATGAAGGCGATATCGCTGTGGGAAACATTGTCGGCATTTTTATAATCGACTGGCCTCAGCATCCCCGCAAGGTTGATTGCCTGCGGAAAGTTCTGTCAGCAGTGTGCCATAAGGAATGCCAGCATTTCTGTATTTACTTACAGCAACGGCAGTTGGACTGCCACCCTTCCCAGCTGCAGCCGTGAGGGGAGCAATGTTGTAGTTCGTTTGCGAAAATAACGGACCTCCAACCAGGTGCAAAACGGTCTCTGATGCGCTCTCTGAGGCCGGCAAAGTTGCGTTCGAGGGTGACACGGATTGAGCGGAAGCGAGTGAGAATCCAACAAGGGCGATAGTGAGGAAGCTTGCCATGGTTCTCGTTCTCGCAACGGTCGACGCTGCCATTATTTACCAGAAAGGGAAGAAAGGTGAAGGGGATTCGTTGGTTGCCCTTGCTCACATATCCAGATGCTCTGGGAAGCAAGATGTTGAAGTTCTACAGAGGCCAGGCCGGTTGAGGTTGGTGAAGCAAGTGAAACCCGACTTCCACGAGTTCCGTTTTGGAGGGTGCTTAGTAACGGATAAGGTTAGTACGTCTCATGCGATAAAGATCGATATGCTGCCGATGAGCAGGGTCTGGGCGGAGCGAGGGTGATGGGATTTGCTGGGTCAGGGCAAGCCAGAACGGGGCACGATGGGCAGCGCTGGAAGTGATGTTTGATCTGGTCTGGCCTGGTCGGGTCGGTCTGGTCTCGACGGGGATGGCTTGGTTTTAAAAGCACACGACCGAAGATCGAGAAGCTGGAAGGACAGTCAGCAGCAGCACAGCGCCGAGGCGCAGGTGAATGTTGTGGGGTGGACACTCACGCTTCCTCCCGCCCACTTTTCACAGGAAGGCCCCCCAAGGCCAGCACCAAGACCACGACCTCTGCTGCTCCACAGTCGGTCTCTTTGGCGTTGCTGGGCGCGGGGAACAGTTGGTGGTCAGGATCGCCACCAGGGCCGCAGCCCGGGTTCTTGGACCTCCGTCGCCCTTTGCAAATGCACCACCAGCTTACGCACCACGGCTGCCGTCTCAGCAGCCACGCGCCTGGTCGAGGAGGTCGCGAAAGGACGTGAAGATGGGCCACTATGAACCAGCAACCACTGAGAGGGGCCGAGGTGTGCGACAGCGGGTTGTCAGACGCGAGCTGGATGCCACGAGTGGACTGGATTCTTGGGAATTGCGGATTGTTTGGAATCTTTTGGTCTGCACTGCCTCTCTCCTCTCTCCGCCAACCCAATAACGCAAATGGTCAGTATTTGCAATCATCACAGAACTGTCATCGGCCCACAGTCACCAGCGCCATCAGGCATTACCATCATCTGTCTCTCGTCTCCCTTTCCAAGCGAGCATCGTAGAGTCGCATTCGCGGTCTCCCAAGGCGTCATGGCTTTAGGGTTTGGAATCAGATCTCCGGCACTTCGAGGGCAAATGCCTCAAAGCAGGTCACGTGCGCATAAAAAAAAGCTAATGCACCGAAGCCTTCTGGTACATTTGCTCTTTCGCAAATCTTTCCGGCACCTGCATCGTCCAACCTTCCGCATACAGCACTGCTCAGCCCTTGGTGCATGCACATGCGCATGCAATAGCAATAAGCAGATTCCCAATTCATCCTCCAGATGCGTTTTGCACGCAATTCATCAATTCATTTATTCACACGATTCGTCTGTATCCTGGAGAAGCTGGGAAGTCTGCAAGCCTCCGGACTCTTCGGACCTCCCTCGTTCTCGGCTGCTTCGGATGAGAGAGGAGAAGGTCTCGAGCAGAAGTCATCCACGAGACATATGTGGTCGCTTCACAGCCTTGCTCCTCGCGTCCCCCCACACCTGCCAGCCATTAGTTTGGCATCCGTGAGAGCCGGCCTCCGTGCTGGCCGACACCATCCTGCCATCCGAAGCATGACGACTGGAGCAGAGCGTTTGCTCTTCAGACGAAGTCATTCCGGAGCTTGGTCCACAGGAAGCAGAAGCGCTGTCGAGTCAAAAGTCAGACTCGGACGACCAGATGAACTGTACCCTTCCCATGGCCCGATTGCTTCTTCCCAATCATTATTATCTTTTTAAGGTTTTGGCAGGGGTTGTTCTATTGTCGCACGTGACAAGTTGCTCAGGATGGTTTGCCTCGGGTTCTCAGTCCTGGCGGCCCGTTCAGTTGCTCAACGGCAATAAATTTGGGCAGAGCTCACAGGCTAAAGGTAGAGTAATGTATTCATAACGTTATTTGAGTTGTGAAACCATTAAGCTGATTTCTCAAACCAAAGCACAGGCTGACTTGATGTTTGAGGTGGTCACCCCCGCATATTCGCGTAAGTTTGATGACCCAATAAATGCTCCTCATTTGGCGACAGAGCCAGGGCGGCCAATTATCAGATCTTGCTGGTTGGTTGATACACAATCATTTGAGTTCCATGGAATAAAACCATTTGCTGATAGGATAATGCGTAAGATAGAGTAAAGTTTATGGAGTTTCAGATATCTACCGACCCGAAGCCGAAGGAAAAGGAAGCTGGCCCAGCAATGGCTTGGGCTTACATAGGAGGGAGGTCTCTCTACGACCTCCCCCCAAGCCCATCTACAAAAATAATCAGGATCTTCTTCTAGTGAAACTATCCTCTGTCAATTTTTACAAAAGTCGTACGGCCGTACACTTCATGATGCCTCAGAAAATCGTTTCCACAGGCTCACGGGCGCCTCAAGGCCCTCAACCCAGACCTACCGCGCTATTCAGAGTTCAATTTGTCCTGCGAATCATTGGAATAATCGCAAGTCTCGCTGGAATCGCAATCGCTGGTTTTGTCGTCATCAAGATCCATAAGACATGGGGATTTGTCTTCGCCTCAGTAAGTAAACAAGGAAATTGTGGATCCCCTCAAGCGAACTCCCCTTTTTCGCTGCCCCAAATATCGCGACATCGTCAGTCACCGAGCGAGCAAGATAGACTCTAATCTTTTACAGACGCTGTTGCCATTCTTCCTTGATACCGCCGAAGTCGCTGCACTCATCAGCCGTCACACTCTCAAATTCTCGATCCACCGCGTCAACCCTTTCGTGCTCATCGGGCTCGATGCAATCGCAATAGGCCTGCTCGTCTGGAGCTTCTTCATGCTCATTTTCGATAAATGGGGCAAGACTCAAATTGTAAGCACTATAGACTACACGGCAGATCCATTCAATGGCATTGAAATTTGGCTAGCCGTGACCTTAGCGTGAGTAATCTCCTTCTGTTTCTAGAACCAGATGCTAAGAGATATAGTCTTTCGCATGCAATCCTTTTCGTATTCGACTTGGTAGATTGCTGTTCCTGGAGATCAGCACCTAGCAGCAAGCGGTCTGCAGAAGAAATCTCTCTTCCGAGAAGAGGCCGTTCGAATCGCAGCTATCGTGACGGCCGTGTCGGTGACGTAGAATGGGGTTGAGACGCTCCAATACCGTTCAAAGTGCTCTGTATTTTCTTTACCCTCCGCAGCGCGCTCAATTCGCATGTGACTGGCAGGTCACCATATAATGACAGAGAGAACGGCACCGCCACGGCCTTCGGCTTTTGGCAAGGCTAGTCACGGCGACCTCTATTCGTCTCGATGTACAACCTTTCTTCAATTCGACACCCCTGTATTTGTATAGACCGCTACGGCGACCTTTACGACCTCCACAGTATCTACGATCTTTCATATCCTCTCCGGCCGCCCTGGGATTCAACACATCCGGTACCTTAGGACTAGCCCGTTTCTAACAAATTGTCAGGGTCTACAGTGGCAATGGTGTATTAGAAACTGAGCAACCTTCGAAACTCCACCGGCAGGAATCCAGCTGGCGGCATGCGACTTTGGGTCCCATCTTCGATTTCTCTGCAGTCGCAGTCGGCGATTTGAAAGGATCCCTCAATCCACCACCGGTCTTCCGCCGCGCCAAGTCCGCGACGCCAGACTCGCATTTTCCTCGGTACGGAGAAGGCATTCTTCACTCCCGGCGCAGACCAAGCACGATCGGCGTTGCGATCAGTATCCAAACAACGCTTCCCCCCGCCGTGGGCTTTTTTTTTACCCCGATATCGAAATTGGCAGGGGATCAGGGCCATGATCAAGGCTTTCTGCTTCGTCAATGTCTGCTTGCAAGAGTATCACAAGCCCTCCACGGATTGCTGAAGCTCTTCTCGATGTTCGATTCTGTGTAGGCATTTCGAACTTGCATGTTTGGTTCTGTGAAAATCGTCGGGATGTTGGTTGGCTCCGCATGAGCTTTGTGCCGACGCCGGAACCCCGAATCGGATTTATGGGCAGTGGAGCGAGGTTCTCCCCTTGGGACAAGGTAGGTGGCAGGTGGACTTTATAGGCGGGAGAGAGAGAGGAGGGCAAGGAAGTTCGAAGCGCTATGGTGGCGCTGCACGATGAAATGATGTATGACTATATGCTGGGAGAAGCTTCTGAAGCGGTACCCAGGAGATGTCTTAATGGTAAAGAATAATGTTTCTCTCTTCAATCGAATTCTCCAATGTCCCAGATCCATTTGCACAAAATCTGGATTTCTGGGCTATAAACCCCTTCAGCACAGCCAGCTCTCAAGCCCTCTCTCATTGTTCCAAACATTACCCCAGTCTCCCCAAACATCTCAACGGAAACCATTCACGTACGAACCAAAAAAGCGCTCTCCTCCGCATCCAAATGTGACTGCACTTCCATCCCCACCAAACTCACCCAAAATACCTCACACATCGCCCCTCACCTACTCACAAATACCTCAAACAGCATACATCCGCATGTATCTGCACAACCACCTCACTTCACTTTGCATAAAAAAGCTTTCGGCCTACCCCAGCCGTGCATACGTCACTTAACGTCTTGAGTATTCTTGTCCCCCTTGAGAAAGGGGGTTTATTTTCGTGTCAACGCGCTGGCTTCGCCTAATGTGCCCCTGATTTGCTCGCTTGGGTAAAGGGAGTACCTCCACCCCAAGTAAGTACGGAGATGAGGGCGGTATTTTACTAATCTGAGATGCATCTCAGATTCGAAGTGCGTGCAGATGTATGCAGACACAGATGCAGACGCAAAGCAGAAAGAGATCGATCGAAACTTGGATCCCAGGGATGGGATAATTTTCTTTTTGTTGAGGCTCCGAGTTTTAGCGGGATACAAGGAGAATATCCGGTATGCCAGTTGAACGATTGAAGAGCGCGAAACGAAACACACAGGTTGGGACTGCATTCCCTTCTTTGTAGATTATCTGGCCTCTGAAGGTCTCACCCGCCATCTCCTCTTCCTACTTTGGCCTTCAGATTTTTCCTTTCCTAAGATAGACATCCTGCTCTGCAATTGGTGAGGAGGGGTGGCCGACGCGAGATAGGAGGCTTAATATAAACCCAGATCTGAAGCTTTGACTCTTCCTCCTCTCCCCCCTGAGCCGGATGCGGAAGAGGATAGCCTCCGAGGGAAAGATCCGAGACTCTTCTGCTCGGCGGCGAGGGGGACTTTACTGTTTTCTCGTTGGTCTGGACAGGAAGGAGAGTAGAGATCGTCGTCTGAGATGGGCTCATGCGACAATTCTTGGAGTTCGCCAGAGTAATCGTCGTCGGAGTCATTGTCAATCATTTGGATGCCGCCTGCGTCGGAGTCGGAGTCGGAATTGTGGGTTTGAGATTTTGGGGTAGTGAGCGATTGGGTGAGGGCTTGAGTCTTGGAGGGAATGTTGGGTGTGCTTCGATGTTCGAGAGCGAGGTCGGATATTCCGCGAGTGAAGTTTGGTACCTCTGTGCTCGATATCGTAGGCTGAGGTGCAGAAACTGCAGTGACTGCTGCAGGTCGTATTACCGGCTCTGCCATCAACTCTGCGAGAAGGTCCATATCGGACTTTCCACTGAGTGGGTCCAGTTCTTCGCTGCCAGAAATAGGTGACATTGCAGGACTCACAACAGGCCTTAGAACATCAGCCTGGCTTCCAGATTGTACCACATCTGCGTCGACTTTCAGACCCTCCGCCTCTACGTCAACCAATTGAATATCCCCCAAATCCCCTTCAATATCCATGTCACCAACCGCAATTCCCTGAAACCCGGCTCTTTTCAGAATCTTTCCGATCAGGTCCGGGTATCGCAGATGGCCAGACACCTCCTTGCTGAGGTCGAGGTTACTCACTCCCTCAACGTCAGCAATAGATTGTAAGCCAGCCACACCGAATTGAATAGATGTTGCCCGGTACAGGAAGGCAAGAATATAGTCGTTGTTCGAGTAAACGTTGTACATCTTACCTGAAACAACACTACGCATGGCTCGCCAATTGTCAGGGGTAGAAGGAACAGGAGATCCGATGAGCACAACATTTTCGATCAGACCGAAGGCCTTGCGCTCTGCTAAGCTGCGTAAGCAACTGTAGATAACTCTCGATCCAAGAGAGTAGCCGATGAGGGTCACTGGACGTTCGCCTTGTGCTTTATTGATGAGAGCGTCGGCTAAGACTTCTCCTGATTTCTCGGAACGGTTGCGTGCCACCGCAAAGGGATTATCGATGCTTGTTGCCATCTTCAACAGGTGAACTGGCCAAAGCGCCGCCCAAAGGGTTGCTAGAACCGTCCGTTTGAGGATTTCGAGCTTGACGAAGGACCAGGCATAAGATGAGACCATGCTTTGAAGCGACTTCCCCAGTTCGAGCAGAGCTTCCATCTCGTAGCGCAGTGCAAAAACTTCGCTGTCACGTCCTAATACCCTCCAAGGTTTGACGACGTCGTCTTTGGCATTCAGCCATCCGTTGACACCAATCGTGACCCTAAGCCTGCGAGCTTCTACTTCTGCATCTTCTTTTGTCCCAAGTTCTCCCCACTCGGATGCTATCGGGATGAACTTAAAATCTTCTACCTCTTTCGCATATTTATCTACCATTTGCCTGCCACCGAATTAACATGGCGACTTCCTGATACCACATGGTGGGTTCAGTAGCTCGGGTTGAGCTCCCATAGAGAAAAAAAGTAAAATACTACGAAATCAAGGCTTACCCTGTCATCTTTCCTCCGAAAGCTCCAAACAGACTCCCAACCAGTGCCCCATTCATTGCGAAGATACCAAGAAAACTTGCCAACCCACCCAAGCCGACGCCCCCCATGATTCCTCCTATGGCACCAGCGACGATAGGGGCCGCCAGACCACCGGTAACACCTATAATCGCTGCCCCAGCGACTGACGCAAGACCGACTTTCCAGCGTCGAGAGGAAGCGTTCTCAGTTCGCCGCTTTTGTGTCTCGGCATCAGCAGTCAGGGTTTTAGATGCCAACAAAAGAGCCTGGGCGATTTCCTTCTCTTCCGTCGTGAGAACGCTGAGCGGAACAGCAAAGGCCGAAGTAAGATAGCACAGCAAGACCCTTGAATGCGCAGAATAATGTCCCAGACTCAACAATACAAGCACCATACAACTGATAACACAGATCCGGTCTTCTTTTGAGATGGTGGTAAGACGTGTCTGAATAGGATGGAACTGCGATTGCAACAGTGTGACCTCCTTCACTTCTTCGAGTTCCTTTGCTTCAAATTGAGCCTCAAGCTCAGGATTCTTGGTATCGATGTCTGAGTTGCGGGTATAGGCAGGAGGCGTTGGGTTCCGCGCAGCCTGCCATTCTTTCCTCCGTTGCTCCGAGCGTGGATCTTCGCTACCATCACATATTTTCTTGAACTGCTGATGGACTTCATTCGACCAAGTATCGAAATAGAAGAGAGCTGCTTTCTTCAACTCTTGTAGTTTTGGGGTGGACATTGGCCTTTCGAGACGGGCCTCCAATCGTCTTTGCCGTGCCTCTTCTTCTGGGTCTTGGGGCTGGTCACGTGGAAGTGCTATTTCGGCGTCTGGAGAGGGATCGAATGATTGTTCGATTTTGAAGCGCATGTGAGAGATGATGGTTCCAAGCAGAAGGGAAAGTGCTCGGCGCTTCGCTGGATTCAATACTAGCTTCAGGTCTTTTGGATCGGAAGCGATTGGAGCCATCTTGAATGGCCGAATTTGAGTCGGCGATTGGACAGAGGAGTCGAGTACAATCTGCAATAGACATGGATAGCAGGAATAATTTTTAGAATACTGGAACCAATGTCTTGAGGCTAGATGGTTTGGAGGAAGGAGCAACCTTTATCGACAAGCTATACCGAAATGCTGTTGCCTGATGGTACTGTACAGGTTGGGATGGCAAGCTGTTATATTCGGCGGCGCAGCTTGCAGCCACGATATTCCTTCACGTATGAGATCGAGGAAAATTTTGACTTCTGGCTGTCTTGATTGGATGTTTGTTGAAGGATGATTCAGCGCGATCCGTCGCAGTTGAAGGCTTGAAGCGGAGAGGCACAAGCCAATTTCAGCCTCGCTCGCTTAGTGCCTCTGGTTGAGCTTTCCTCCTATAATTCTTGCAAACAGGGCGGATTTGGAAAGATAGCTTGGAACAGACTACTTGTATACAGTCAAGGTAGAAGGGGGCCCGTGAGCAGTTTGTGTATGTTCTTGTTTCATCGGACGCTCTGAGTAGCTCACTAGACGGGAGGCAAGGAGCATGGCCATCACGTGACATGAACTTGAGTCTTGAATGACGGCAATTTTTATGTAGAAAGCACCTGTAGGCTGTCGGGTATCTGAGCAACTGACGTGAACCTAATCCGCACTCGGAGGCCGCGAGAGTTATCAAATCTCTTCCATGTCCTCCAAATCATCAATGACAGGCCAATCTCCGACCTCGACCCTTTCTGGTCTCACGAATACTCCGGACTTTGGGTCGCCGTCCTTTCCCCAATACCTCTTCCCCCCAGCTAAACTTCCATCGTTGCGCCCAACTGGCTCATCCAACTTCACGCCGATCCACTTTCCTGCTCCACCCGGAATCTCCTCGACCTCCCCAATATACATCACCACTCCTCTCTTCGTATCTTGACCCCCAACTCGACATCTCTTGCCAATTTCGATGCCTCTATTCTTGATCTCAGTCTCAAGAGCCTGGAATTTAGCCTGCTCGAGAGAAGGGGCAGCAGGATCGAAACGACCGAGTTTCTGTGCCTTCTTCCAGGCCAGTACACTATCGGTCTTTTTCTCGTATTCATCAGGGGGCAACTCATATTTAGCTACTTGCGAGGCATCGGTAAAGTTTGGCCGCATTCCCGACGGGCGGATGTCAGTAACCTATGATATAGATACGTTAGAACTGGGCGGTAAGGCTGGTTAACAGCCTCGGGGCGTGAACTCCGGCGGCTGATATAAAATTCGGACCGTCTTTTGTCGAGAAGTAAGAAACATAAAGCACGGCCGGCAAATAGTAGAATCACCCACTCGGGTCGAATCAACCTATTCAAAGGATATAAAAGTCCTCTCATCCTCAACTGTGATATCCTGAAGTATTTGAATGTTGTCCGCATCCCTGCAAAACAACGAAAGCAGCGCACAAGACAGATGGCCCGTCACTTGATGATCATTCTCCATCGCAACCAAAGCCAAATACAGCCGGGAACGCCCCCGCAATGCACGCTAGAACTTGTGCGGCCAGATTTTGCACACCTCCGAGTAAGAGATACTAGGAGACAGGGGCCGGACGTGCAAGGAAGGAGAGTATCACAACACGTTTCGCGAAGCGACTATCAATGGACTCAAAACTCACGTGAATCTCCGCATACGGCGCCAATGGGAAAACCCCAAGCTGGGTATTCTCTTCATCAGCAGCCTCCATAGGGACGGATTGCTGACTTCCGAGCTTCAACGTGAGCTTCTGTGACAGAGGCGGGATGCCAGTGATGGGCTCAAGCTTCGCCTTCAACTGGCCGATGGTCCATGATGGGGTTATTCGGCGTTCAGAGGAGGAGTTTTCCGACGTGATCTGGAGGGGTATGTCCCCTGCGGCGTGCATGCTCATGCTCATCGTGGAGGGTTGCGATGTTGATCTGATAGGGAATGGTCCGGAGTACGGATTCCGCGTTTTGGATGTTTGGGCTGACTCGGCGATCGACTTTGAGTTTGGCAGCAGTGATTAGCATCGAAGTTTGGAAGCTCCGTAGCACGTTCCAATGTTCGATTCCAAGAGGCTGGAACTTGGAAGCTCAGAACAATCTACGGAGTAGTTTGTTGCGGGGGAGTCGGAGAAGATGCAAGGGATGCCTGTCGTTGCCTTGCCTTGCCTTGCCTTGCCCTGCCCTGCAAAAACGTCTCGAATTTTGGCGACCCAATTCAGCCTAGCGTCTTCCTCTTGCAAGAAGCTCAACTTTTATCTACGTCCAGCAATAGCAATAGCAGAGCGGCTTAAGGTTCAAGAATCATTGTTCCCTGCGACCATCGCGGGACCTAAACTGATCGACGAGCAGACGGGGCGGTCGACGCGCACATCAGCCACACCTCACCAGCCATCCCCACCAGCCACAGCCACAGCCACAAAAAGTCCACAAATGTTGTACCTCCGTACCACACACATCTCCCTGGTAGCGAGGATGATCGACAATCAACGACATCTCTTCTTGCAAGCAGCACAAAAGCTTGACTCCCGAACGCGTTCGCCCTTTGCGTCCCATCCCAACTCTGTCTCCTCACGCCGCCGCAGCAGAGCATAATCTTGGCCGAACGGTTCTCGACCACGCCGTTTCACGATCTGACGCTCAGACAAATCGCCGGTTTCCAACACTTTCCGCCCCATTGGTCAATTGCCGTTTGTAGATCAATTCTTCCGCTGCTTTCCATTGGGCCCGCAAACTTCAGCATGAATCTTCGGTCCCTGCATCGAGGCTGTCCGGCGCTCCTCGAACGCTTGACAGGTCGGATCGGCCACCACGGTGACCCATGCCGTTGCGACGCAAGTTTCCAGCGGAGAATTACCGTCACTGCCTCACCGCTCAAACCAGCATGGGGTCGAGACGAGCCCGCCTTGCCAGCCCTGCCAGGCTGCCAGCCCTTCCAGCCACAACGATCGCACGAGTTCGATCTCAGTTAGGTCCTGCCCTGGGCGTGCTCTGAGCTCTCAAAACGATCTTCTTCCCCACTCTGATTCAGAGCTGAGAGCATCCTGCGGGTCGAGGCAGCTACTACGGTACTAGGACGGCGGCTTGACTTGCGTGCTGCGGCGAGGCCAGGACAAGGCATAACATCGGCAGGGGTCCAAAGGACGCTTGTGCCGCGAGCCTACACTGCCTAACGACGAAGAGAGAAAGAGGGCTGTCGATGTCCGCCTGCCACTTCCGTTCCCTTTCTCCGCCCCTGTCCATCAATCCTACAATCCTATTGTTCACACTTCCGAGCAAACGGGCAAGCCCCCGCAACGGCTTTGGGCAGCAGCTGCATGCCAGCCCTAAGCCCTGAATGCCACAAGTCGTGGCGAAAAAACAATGACAGCACGGCCTTCTCCAGTAATGCAGCCCAGCTAATGCACAGCATATAGCCTTGAATGCAGCTGTATTGCTGATACCCGCGTTGCAAATCGGCACTCGTCTGATGCTGAGGTGCCAATGTACGAGCTAAAACTCTTCCATCATGGCTCGAAGGCAGATGCTAACATTCACCGCTTCCATGGAACCCATTTTCAGTGCGGGATAATGCTTCTAGGCCAAGGCGTCGTTATTTTTAGGCCGCGTTTCCAGAAACGCCCTCTCCGCCAGAAATTGTCTCCCGCATTTGCTGTACCTTCGGGTTCTGCTGATGCACTTCTTGCTTGGGTGCCCGGTCTGCGTCTGGGCGGGAGAAGCCCACCAACTCGGTCCTCAACCATCTACCCGTTAGGCGCATTCGCACATGACAAGCGCGTTTACACCGCCATATGTGAGGACCCGACAGCGTCAACCGACAATGGGCAAGCACCGCGTTGATTGTGCCCTTTGTTTTGAGGGCAGGTGAAGCAACCCCGGTGCAAACGGAGAATTCTTTTCCTTCGAAACCTGAGCGTCTGACAACGCAGCAGCATATTGCTTTGTTTAGGCACCAAGTCTCTCCAGATCTATTCAAAGATGCGACCCAAGCTGTCACCAAGTCGTAGGCCTATTCAGCCACCGGCGCAGGATTCAGTGGCTTAAAGTAGCTGCTCAACTCGGTCACCTCAGTCTGGAAATGGCCTAATTTTTCCCTCGGTCACCCGGCAAGAAAACGAAGATCGTGGTTCATGGCATCCTCTGTGAGGCGCTGCAAGCCATTGAGATCATATACCTTGATCCCTGAGCCTCTGGACTGAGCCCTTGCAAACTTGACCGCCAGTTCGTTGGCTCGAGAGGGCAATCCAAAATCTGATGAGTTTGGAGGTCATGCTAACTGGGCCCTGGAACCGGACTTATGAATTTCCCGGTGCGGGCGGACAAGCTTCGTCTTAAAGTAACAATTAGAGGTACAATGCAACAATAGATGTCTGTGATGTTGGGATTGCGCACAGACATACACCCAAAACGGTCTCGAGGGGTTGCACCGAAGTCAGAGATTATATAAGAGTTTCAACACCTCGACGGGTGGTTTCAACCGCCATTGCCTTGGATCTGCCAGGGACGGCGCCAACACTCAGCAGCCCAAAGATGGCAAGCATTTCTCTTGTTCATGTTCATGCATGAAGTCGTGGCCACGCCCCAGCACACTCCTCCACACTAGTTCACCCCTGTTGACTCCCCCACCATGGCTAGCACACTTCATCTGCATAGAGCATCTTCCCGACTGTCCGTCCAGCTATAACCATGTACCCGCTGGAGATCATGAGTTCGAACAAGTTCCTTGTCTTCTCAAGCTCAGCAAGCACCTCTTGACGTATTGTTCCGTTGGCGCTGGCATTTCCCTCCTACTCTCGTCTCATCTTTTGCGATTGGCTAGTCCTCACGCGTCTTCTTGCCAATCATGCTGAGGGCGGCTTTGATCTACGCGAGCCCATCACTTTTTCATTGAAGCCCTGAAATAGGAACGGTGTCCTCGTCGGAAGTACCTCGTCTCAAGATTCCCTATCGAATACCCTGACAAAATCTTGAAAACTTCACGTCTTGTTTCACCCCAGTGACATCTATTACATCTCTCGGGAGAGCCTTTTGTGGTTTCTTGCTTTTGATGATCTGATAACTTGGACTCGACAACACGGATAAACTGCAAGTCAGCCTCCCTCGACTCTCGTTCATCTGGCCTGGTATCGACAAGGCTTCGCATTACGAGCCCAGATCTACCCGGCAACTTTTACTTACAGACCGTGCCACCCTTCGCATATGATCCTTCAGCCTTGACGGCATCGGCGACCTCAGACCGCCACCGTGGATATCTCCCTTCTCCTCAAGGCTCCAGACTCAAATGAGTCCACTTCATCATCGCCCACACATAGACACCACACCAGATCAACCTCGATCCCGTCAACAGGACAGCCGGCAGAGCTTCCCTCCTATGCCCTCGCCAGTAGTGGCGCCGGTGGGAAGCGCAGTATGCCCGCCCATCCAGCAGAGTCTCCTGCTAAAAAGCAAAGCAAGTGGTCGGCAGAGGAAGATGCTCTGATCATCGATCTGAGAGGAGGCGGGATGAAGTGGGAAGACATCTCCAAGAGACTCCCAGGCCGTAGTGCCATTAGTTGCCGGCTCCATTATCAAAACTACCTGGAGAGGAGAAGTGAATGGGATGAGGAGCGGAAGAACAAGCTTGCAAGACTCTATGAGAGGTAGTACCCCTACAGAGCTACTTCCCAACACTGTTGTGGTGGCAAAAACTAATTTGGTGATTCAGATTCAAGCCAGAAATGTGGTCCAAGGTTGCGGAAGAAATGGCGGTTCCGTGGCGCGCAGCAGAGGCTATGCACTGGCAACTTGGTGAGGCCGACATGGCGCGTCGAGCTGGTGTAGTTCCATTCTCTCTGTCAAGTGTCACAGTGGATGCACCGCCAGGAAGCCATCGATCTTCGCCGACTCGGGGACACTCGCACAGCCAGTCCCAGTCAAGCGCCATGAGTGGTCACTCATCATCTGGCGCACACTTCAGCAGACCAGCAACTGCTCACAGCGGCTCAAGCAGCACCAAGGGTAGTGGAGGAGGCTCGGCGCGGACGATTGCTGCTCGTAGAGACAGCACTCCAAGGTCTGTCCCACCGGCAAGTCCAAGCGACGGTCTGGCTTTGGCGGCTATTGGTCAAGGGATGGCGATGGGTATGGGAAGAGGAAGTCAACTTCTTCCCAGCGTAGCTGAGATGACCACTGGAGTCAGTCCGTACAATACGCCTGCGTATGCCATGTCGATGCCGATGGGAGGGGGCTACTCCAACCCTGGCCCTCTGCTACCAGCTATCGGGATGATGGGTGGTGCTAGACCTGAGGGCAAACGGCGAGCAAGCCCCGACATGGGACCAAGAGAGACGAGTCGTCGCAGACAGTGAAAAGAAGGGGCGAGGAAAGGGAAAGAACGGCGTTGCCAGGATTGCTTTGGCGAGAAATAGATGGACGATCGCGAGACCTTGTGCATTTAGTATTGGGTTTTCGAGCATTGAGCATTGCGCAGCATGGCATTGCATGAGAGATATCCATTGGTGACTTGCATATGATTGGGGTTACGGTAGGATGGGGCCATTGGTAAACTTCTTAGAACTGTATTAGGGATTTTGTACAATAACATCAAGCTTTTGCTTGACGAAAGCAGGCCCCGACTTTACCTCGTCGACCTGACACTGCTGATCCCCGAACTTCTTAGGTCAGAGTCGTTGGATTCGTTGCTCCACACCCGGCGATGTGATTGTTGCTTGCCAGTAAAATTTCTCTTTTCTCGCGACCAGCCACTCTCTCGATTATCTCGCAAACATCAGCCAGCTTCAAGGCTTCAAAGGTCTTCGGCATATCGCCCACCAATTGTCCTTTTCATATCCAGATTCAAACACCTCGCTGCCAACTCCGACAATATCTTCCTCTAGTTCTCCAGACCGGTAGAGGTGGTAATACCTTTGAAACGTCTTCTCTGTGGAACCATCCTCATTTGGATTCTTCTTGCCAGTCTTCATAACCCAAGGAACTATGACATCTTGCTCATGACCCTCATCCCACCCTCTCCTACTGGTCTTCTGTTCCAACGCCCACACATAAATCAAAGCCTTTCCACCCTCCTTCAGACATTCCAAGATAGCTTTGATAGCCTCCCTCCTCCTCTCCAGCGTCGACAAGTGATGAATAACAGCAATACTGATCGCGAAGTCAAACCTGCCTGTTTGATGCGGTAGAGCGAGCGTGTCAGCAACAACAGCAGAATGCGGCTCATGCTCCGCCGCAATCTTTACCAAGTTCGAGGACCGATCACTACCAATGATGAAGACATCCCGGTTGACAGTGAGATATTTGCCATTGCCACACCCCACATCCAGCCCGACGGAGCCGGGGCTGAGAGATTGTAGAAACGTCTCGACGATAGGCCACGGCTTGTATCTCGTCGAGGAGAAGTGCGACGCGATTTGCTCGTAGACCTCGTGGACGTGCTGCTCCTCGTACTTTTCCGGGGCAAGATGATCCTGCTCAGCGGCCATACTTTCTTACGTACAGAAATTGTACTGAAAGAGGTGTCGTCAAATCAAGCTCTTCATTGTCTCTTGCCGACTTTCAGCAGCTTCCCGAGACATACAGATCCGGTATTCGTCATTGTTGAGCTTTTCGAAGCAAAGAAACAGAGAAATATTTCGGATAAATATGTGTTCCGTAGCCTCGCGCTCGGGCCCCCACTAAGCCCCTTTCGGACGCGGGCTGGGCCGAGTGAGGCGTGGAAAAGTGACAAATTTCTTAACCTCACTTCATCAGTTCAGAGTCCCATGAAATCTTACCTACGACTGGATTCAAACCATCCAAAGCTTTATATGAATGCCATCATTCGTTTTCTTCTTGGGACATTAGGTAGCCAAAACCTAAGACTCAATTAGCCTGCAATCGACAAATATCCTCGACACCAAAAATTCGCCTCGATGCCATATTCAATAATTACCTGTACAGAATTATTGTATGAGCTCCAAAGGGAGCATTCTTTCATTCTAATATATATACCGACATTCAGGAGAAATTTTAGGGGCAGGTGAAAAGAGAGATTAGGAGCTGGATTCCCGCTTGGGGATCCAATTCACTTTGACAAACATACCATTGTCGAAATTCGGCTATTCAGGAGACTGTCAACCAAAAATAATACGGCAACACCTCAATTGTCGATCGAGGACAATAAGTATTGTCCCTATTCAAACCACGAACACCATATTGTGCAGGACTCACAATATATATCGCCATGGCGAGAACATATTTAAAGCACCAAAGCCCTCAGGGTTTTGGGAAGTTTTCTCCTTCTTCCTCGTCCGACAAAGCGTACGCTCGATTCCAATCGAAAGCTCACAACACAATTCTCAAGAACCCACATCGAAAGTCCGAGAGACCCCAGCCTCGAAATCTTCCTCTTCCACTTCGTATCAAACAGATCAAGATGTCGACTTCGGCTTCTCCCTCAACAAAGCGTACCCGCCCCATCACTGATGTCGGCAACCACCCCATCAAACACAGAAGAGTATCGTCGGCTCCTGGTACCACCTCCCTCTTCCACTCTAAATGGAAACTTTGTACTGACCTGTTGCTCTTAGTAATCGGCTCTTTTATTCGTGAGCGTCCCGCCAGATGTTCCTCTGAACCGCGTATGGCCCTTGTTCTCCCATTCTGAATTGAGACACCGTACTGACTTGTCGTTCGGCAGCGACTGGTCTTGAAGGCTGTGGCATCCTCGAAGATGTTTCTTCGAAGTGTAACCCCACACCAATTACCAAGGCCGACAAGGATCATTACCTTCGTCGAGCCAAGAACTTCTCTCACAACTGGACCAACCGACGCAAACGGCATTTGGTAAGCTGAGGATCTATTCCTGACCAGAACATTCATTTGTTAATGGACTCAGGCCAAGAAAGTACGATCAGACTGGAGCGGTATGCCCAGTTCTGCCCAGCAAGGAATGAAAAACTTGACTGGAGTTCTCTGTTATCGCCACAGCCTCTTCCAAGCAATTCTCCATTGCCCCCAAGTCGCACATTGGTTGCGCACGTACCATTCCGAGGAGTCTTGTAAGTTAATACCTGACCTGGAATTTCTTGGTACAATGTCTGACATTATCAAGGTATTGTAGACAAGCAAGCCAGCTGTGCTGCCTGCCAGTTGCGTACTGTCATCCAAACCTACTGGTCTGGAAAGTCTGCCGAGCTGACCAAGGCCCTCGAGAACGTCAACAAGGTCTTTAAGACCAGTAAGAGTCCATCTTCTGGTTTATTGAGATTTTCCTGACAAAACCCAGATGGTTGGAGCCAAAGCGGCCAAGCCGATCCAGATGAGCAACTCACTTGGCTGATCGGACAGATGCGCGAGCAGTTACCTCAACAGTAAGATGCTCCTCTGCTGCAATGACCGAATACCCACAAGCTAATCTAGAACAATCAGGATATATGCCTATCTTGACGCCTTCATCAACTTCAGCCTCGATTCGTCGACTAGCTGTACCAAGTGCGGCCACGTCTGCACTAACTTTGGTGAGACGGAAGGTGTTCTCTCAGTCGAGCTTCTGCCGAGAATCAACGGCGATCTCTCAAAGTACTTGAACAAGTACTTTTCGTACTCAGTCGAAGGGTATAAATGCGACGAATGCAAGGAGACGTCCGACAACCGGCGTTCTCGTCTGATCTCGCACTCCCCCGACGTCGTCATCCTTCAGATGATGAGATTCGACCCCATGGGGCGAAAAGACAAGCACCCAGTCCCGTTCTCGTCCACCCTCGATCTGAACGCATATCGGACGAGTACAAACAAGACCAACTCGACATACAGCCTCGCGGCTGTCGTCCAGCACTCGGGAGGAACGGGTGGCGGCCACTACCGCTGTGTTGCGAGAGGAAAGGACCAAAACTGGAACATCTTTGATGACGCGAGAGTCATCAGAGGAAAGGAAAGCGTGGCACTCGACCCAGGAAGTAAGGGAAAGAGCTGGACCCCGTACCTTCTGTTCTTCCAGCGAGAGAGGAAGTGAGGAGGTCATACCTCACTTCCTCTCGAGCTTGATCCATGATTTACTCTAGGTCGGAACGAATGTGGCTTGTTACTGTAAAATAGATAGATTGTGGTACAATGAAAAATGGCCTCGTAGTGTATTATGGTGGCTTTGTGGCATTGCAGTTCGGCGGCTGTTTTTACTGTTTTTCGGTAGCGCTGGCATTAGTGGAGTTTGGGAAGATACTATGTGGAAAGGCGATACAGCACATGAGTGAATTGATTGCTCCTGCCCGCTGTGGCCTCAAAAGCTTCATCTTCGATAGAGTGACTTGTGTCTGAGCGTCCTATGAAGTCTGAATTTATGTGTTGTCTAACAAATGGCCAGACGTGATATGGCTAATGTTCTACCCGATCTTGAACATTCTCATAGATCACACTTCCATTGTTCTAGGAGCTTTTGGGACATCGACTGACGGGCGTGGTAACATTTGACTTGAACATTATTCTTAAAATGTATCAACTTTCCAGAAACATTATGTCATCTTTCATTTCCCCAATATTCTGGTTTCCAAGGAACACTAAGCATTTACTTCCTTCCAAAAGTTCTGCAGTTCCAGGACACATTGGCATCTTCATAGCCTCAGTGTCCTATCTTTCATGGAGCATCTGGAGACTTACATCACCTCGAATGTATTGGGATTTCCTGTGACCTCTACACTTTCAATGTCATAGTTCATAAAGTACATTGAACAACCACGTCTTGAAACCTTTCGGTTTCTATTCCTACTGCCCCCCGTTTAGAGGACTATTTTCATCATACACAGCAGTCTCGATGAGCTCAGGATAAACGAGACCACCCTGCTTTCTGACCTCATCCATCGCCTCCATGATCGCAATGCTTTCTTCCCAGTTTAAAGTATCACTCTCAAGCTTTCCATCCCTCAAGCACCTCGCCGCCTCATCTGCCTCCCAGAACATGCCATGTCCCACACCCTCATCCCCCTTTCCCTTCCTCTCCTTATCTTTAGGAATCGGACAATGAACGTCCTCAACATCACCCCTCTTCCCACCAACTTTGATGACCCGATACAGTTGTGGTCTAAAAATCGGCCCAAAAACTTGAATCTCGCCCTTCGTCCCCTGGATCCTAGCCGCTGGTCCTGCAGCAGGTGAGCCCTCTCCATCAGGCTGAGTCGCCACCCTCAAACTCGTGCTCGCGAAGCCCTGAGTGTTCTGCCCCGGCCAATTCAGCAAAACACTCGTCAGCTCATCCGCACCGGTCTTATACTTCTGCACAGCCGCCAGAACCGTCGGCCGCTCCCTCTTCCCCTCCTGACAATGATATAAAATCTGATACACCCACGTCAAAGAGTAAATCCCCAAGTCCAACAGTGCACCTCCAGCAAGGTCCATATTAACCATCCTGCTGCTATCAGGGAAATTCAACCCTCCATCCTCATTGGCGGTGGCTATCGAAAGGTCTGCTGTGACCCTATGAACTTTCCCAATCGCGCCCGACTTCACCAGCTCCCGGATCTTGATACTGAGAGGGAAGTATCTCGTCCACACCGCCTCCATCAAAAATAACTTTTTCTCCCTCGCCGTCTCAACAAGTTTCTTCGCTTGCTCCGCGTTGACCGTGAATGCCTTCTCACAGAGAACATGCTTTCCATGCTCCAAAGCCAACATTGTGTTCTGGAAATGGTGGGAATGGGGCGTGGCGACGTAGATGATGTCGACGTCGGGGTCTTTAACGAGCTCGTGGTAGGAGCCGTAGGCTTTAGCTGTGCTGGGACCGTCGACATCTTTGATGAAGGCTTCAGCCCGTGACTTGGAGGAGGAGGATGCGGCGGCTGCGAGGACGTGGTGGACATCGTGCACGTCACGAGTTGCAGGATTGGTCAGCATGTCTTTTGTGAAAGCTGGGAGGAGTTAGGAGAGCTGTTCAAATGTTGAGAAGAGTGGGGTTACTGGTTGCGATTCCTCCTGTTGCGAGGATACCCCACCTGCAAGTGTATTTCGAGGCCATTGTGATGTCGAATTTGGGAATTGGTGAAGTTAGAATGGTTTCAGTTTGGAGGAGCGTCTTGATAACTTCTTTAGACAGATCAACAAATAAATAGAGAAGATTGAGGATCCCAACCAAAATTATACGTTCCAGAAAGGCGGGCATGGTGGGGTATTTGACCCCTCGTTTAGCCTCTCGGGCCTGTCAATGTGACGTTGACTTCGGAACGTCGCCGATCACGACCCGCCAAACCAGGCCATCACTTGCAAACATTGGTGCGCATCACCAAGTGACATGCCAGATTAACAATCAACACTTGACTCATTCGGCATCTAACTGCCTCAATTGATGCTGTCACGCCTATCACGAACCTCTCTCGCCCCTCGAGGTCATTCAATCAGACAAGCCGGACCGACGACCCGGGAGATGGCGACTAGCTCTGGTCCCCTGCCCGCCTTACTGACACCCCTGGTCTCGAAGACCAGCCCAGACGTCAAGATCCCAAGAATCATTTATGGTACGGCATGGAAGAAGGACCAAAGCTCCGCGCTTGTTCACAAGGTACGGATATTCCACGATCAACATGTCTCAAGCTAATTCTCTACCAGGCTCTGAAAGCCGGATTCCGAGGGGTTGATACCGCGGCTCAGCCTCGCCACTACAATGAAGCTCTCGTCGGGGATGGGATCAGTAAATCCATATCGAGCGATGGGATCAGAAGAGAGAACCTCTACGTCAGGGCTATTCTTCTCAAGCTTTCTGAACAATGACTCCTAATATCTTCCAGATCCAAACCAAGTTCACATCCATTTCCGGGCAGGACCCTAAAAACATGCCCTATGATGCATCTCAACCCTTAGAACAACAAATCCACTCATCAATCGCCTCATCACTCAGAAACTTAACTTTCCCAGGATCAGGAGAGCCATATATTGACTGTCTAGTTCTTCACTCACCGCTGCAAACAGTAGAAGAAACTCTTCAAGCCTGGAAAGTCTTTGAGTCTTATGTTCCCTCCAAGATCCGCACCTTAGGAATCTCAAACACCACACTTGATGTTCTGCAAGCCGTGTGCAAAGAAGGGACCATCAAGCCTTCCGCGGTGCAGAACCGCTTTTATCCTGCTACTCACTGGGATGTCCCGCTTCGGGAATTTTGCAGAGAGGAAGGGATTGTGTTTCAAAGCTTTTGGACATTGACTGGAAATCCGGGGTTGATGAAGAGTAAGGTTGTGAAGGATATGGGGGAGACGTTGAAAGAGGCAGGAATAGGTGATGAGAAACCTGTGGCGTTATATTCTTTGGTTTTGGGATTGCAGGGGACGAGCGTGCTGAATGGGACTACGAATGAGGAGAGGATGGCGAGTGATTTGGCAGGGCTGCGAACTGTAGGGACAATGATTGAGGGTGTTTGGAAGGAGAAATGGGAAGAGTGGTTAGAGGAGTTCAAGGATTTGATTGGAGAGCCTTGAAGCTGTTTGCGGGTGGAGTTTTCGGATGTGGAGTTGCGGTTGGACTTGAGGGAAAGCTGCCTGCTGCGCAAGGAATTCGAATCTACGGCATCGAGGGATTGGAAAGACACGGTCTGAAAATCAATCAAAAGAAAAAGTTCCATGCATCTAGGATTCAATTGCCATCTTCAACATGGTTCCCTTGAAAGTTTGCATGACAGAACAATAAAAGCCAGGAAATTCAGCTTACGGCAACTCGCATCTCCTAATATCAAACTATGCACTTTCTGTCCCGTCGCTTACCAGATTACCGCATAAGCGAAAGACGTTGAAGCAAAGATGTTCTGGTGAGACTTCATGCGAAGTTTACTCCGGTGGGCAAAAGGAGAGGATTCATACCTCACTTGATTGGACCCACTCCTCCCAGAACAACCAAAATGGCTTGCGGGAGGCGCCACGATCAGCCTTGCCGTCTGTCCCCCAGGCTTGCCAAATCAGAGTCTAGAGCTGGAGAATAGAGTTCGCGCGGAAACGGCTCGGCTCCTTCAGCGAAGGCTATTTTTACCTACTCTTTGGTCTCCAATTTCAAGCCCAGACTTTCTTCTTCACTTTCATTGAACATGTTCTTTGCCCCCTGACAGCGTCAGCGTCATCCGGGCAAGCCACTGAGCTTAAATTGTGTGGCTGAAACAACCATCAATGCGCATTTTCGGCGTTTACGCTGTGTAAGGGCACAGCCGCACAGAAAAATCCCCTGTGCAATCTTATTGGCCAGCTCGGCCGTTTTCTGTGGAAATGGCATAACTCCTGAAGCGCCTTCTCGACGTCAGCCTTGAGATGTTCTGCTTTTCGGCCAACGAACTGCCCTGTGTTTGTTCTATCGATCCTTTCATCTCTTCTGCCGATCAAGGGCTTCCCCGGATTGGCAGAGGAAGTGCTTCCCCTTGCCGTTCGTCAAGGTCAAGCCTTACACTCAGGAGGATCATCGGCCATATCACCCATTTTTCAGGGTTTGCCAGCGCAAAAACATCAGGTGCATCGCCACCACGAGAAGAGCACTGGAGTTTCCGGGGTCATCGCCAGGACCAGTCGTCCTGGTGAGCAGATAGGCAGCCGCCTGGGGTCATGACCCCTCCTCGAAATAAGTGCATCGTGAGTTCCATTATAAGAGTATGGACCTTGCCCACCCCTATAAGCTTCTGCACCTCCAACTCCTCTCGATCAATCCCACACTCTCGTTAAGTTACGCTTACACACTCGTTTGTTCTACAAAATATACCCGGTGTAATCAAGATGCTCTTCAGCACATTCGCTATCTCGTCGGTGTTCGTTGCCTCTGCTGTCGCAGCAGCAGAGCCGGCACCATACAAGCTTGGAAAGATGAGCATGAACCAGGCCTTCGGGCTCATGAGACGACAAGCAGGATACCAACCAGGACAAACAATCTGCGGTCCAGGAGCAGACTGTGCTTCATCCTGCGGAGCAGGCTATTCCGAATGCGCTAGCTCCGATGGAGACCTCCACTGCTACAACCCGACCGTCCAGCAGACTTGCTGTCCTGACGGTACTGGAAACAGTTGCGATGTTGGATTCTTCTGTACTTCGGATGCTGAAGGAGGAACTTGGTGCTGTCCTGATGTACGTATCTCCTCAGTCTACACGGTCGCATCGTCCGAAGCTAACAACACCAGGGAATGTCCCTCGCTGCCTGCGCTGCCGCATACAGTTTGACGGGAACTCTTGTCTCCGAGACTGCATCAAACCCAGCATCCACTCCATCAAGCTATCCAGCATCGGTGACAGCTTCTGTAAGCGGATACCCAACAACCACAACGGCAGAGGAGACCTACATGACCACCACGACATCGTGCTCTTCAAGCAGCAGCAAAGCCCTCTACACGACATCATACTCATACTCGAACATCACGGTCTCGACGACGACTTCTGCTCTTCCTACTCAATTCACGGGTGGTGCTGCTCACCTTGGATTCCCAGCGTTAGCACTTGCTGCTGCTGGTGCTGTTTTGGCTCTGTAAGGGAGCATTGCGTAGGGATGAGGAATCTTGGGCGTTGGGGCAATTATGACGAGTGATATTGAAAGCGAAATCACGCTTCTTGTACACTGTAATTTTTCAATGAAAGAATGGAACCACGGGATTAACCCATTCACGTGACCAGACCTAGGAGCCCATTTTAGCGTGACAAAGAACATTTCCCCTAATCAGCATCAGCACATTCTCTATGCGCTATATACAAAGTGCTAATATTGAATGCAATTAAAAATCGGGGTTTTGGCAATATAGGGGTTAGAGGCCTCGGTACCACTGCCGTTTTATATAATACTGTTTTCGGATTTCACTGCAATTTTAGCGCAGACGAAGAGGGTCGGTTTGATAGGTGACCAACCCTCCCTAGAAGGTCCGTGCGTGATGCCTCTTTTACCGGGAGAAGTGTTGGCGACGCCCCTGAGCGTCAAGTGTCCCCCCCTTCTTCTTCTTTTTGGCTTTACCTTCCAATGTACCAACGTCTGGATCGAGATCAAAATTCTCGGCAAGACCGTCGAACAACTTCTACTCAGCTGTGACTAGTTCTCGCTACCCATTTCTGGGCACGACCGGCACGTTGTACAAGACCTCCTGGCACTCGCCGAATCCGTGAAGTTGGATCGCTCCTGATCTAAAAGTGGATGTCGAGAATGGCCGGTCGGGCGTTCCCTCAGCCTTGGAGGTCACTCCGATATTCTGGTGTTCAGCTTGAAGCCAAGGCGATCAAATCAGACACAGAGGAAGCAAGAAATGACGAAGATCTGTCACACTATCTCTCTTCGCAAGCCGTGTCCCAAGTTATCGGTCGTATTAGGAAATATCTTCTCGTGCTCGCTTGTAGCCAAACGTCGATCCATGCCGGAAAGCTGGAGCAAGCTCGGGATGAGTATCTCATATCAAGATGCATGCCGAACGGTTACCTCATCGCTGCAGAGCTCTGGTTCGGGCACGCGATTCTCTTCTGCGGTCTCGTGGTATGCAGCAAGCCGCGTCGCGTATGATAATTTCTGTTGGTACTGTAGTCTCCTCGTGAAGAAGCCCATTTCCCCAGAAAATCGGACCGACACGACGGTAGATCTTGAGAAACTTCCGAGATCTCCAACAAGGATCTTGTGTTGCGCCGGGCAGATCTGTTCCGCTGGGTTGTAGTCAACCCCTGGCTGTGGCATACACTATCCCTGCTCAGCGTACCATCCTTTCCAAGTTTTTGTACATCAAATTTGGGGGTTACTGTCTTCGTTAGAAACTCGATGGCAAAACGGCGATCTCGTCGACAAATTTCCCGGAGAGGAGACAGGGTTGGAAATACCCCAAGTTCAAAGACTCCTTGTGGTTTGTGGTATTTATATCTTGTCTTGGATAAACATTGCCAAATCATAATCAAGTGATGATGAAATAGTTAACTTGTGCGAAGGCTTGAGTCCAGATTCTTTCAATGAAGTTCGGGTCGTTTCTCTGGTTGTCCAGTCTCTTACAGAAGCGCTCTTTCTTAATTTGGCTTATAAGGCAAGCGGCCCGCTCAAGGACACTTTCTTAGTCTAGCTCACAACGGCCTTCATCTCAATCCCCGATCATGGCAGCTCTTCTCGGTTTGCTCGGCCTCGGGGAGCTTTTCTCTACACCTCCACCGCAGCCATCAATGGCGGCCTGCTCAGCGCTCGCGGCAAATTGCCCCAGCTTCACTTTGACATACCCCTCAGGGACAGCCAACGCCAATTACCAATATGCAACTAACCATTACTGGTCCAATACCAACATAGACGGAACTCCAGCCTGTGTCGTGTTTCCAACCGGCGCTGAAGATGTGTCTGAAATCATTCGAATCCTTTTGCATTATCCTAGTGTTCCTTTCGCCGTCAAAAGTGGTGGACACAATGCCAATGCTGGGTTCTCGAGTGTGGATGGAGGCGTCTTGATCTCATTTCAAAACTCGTATGACACCGTTTTGTCTGCTGATAAGAAGACTGCCGTGGTTGGTCCAGGCGCGCGATGGATGGATACAGTTGGAGCTTTGGAGCCGTACGGGTTGACTGTTGTTGGAGGACGTCTTGGTATGTTTCAATTCCAATATTGGAAGAAAATCAAATACTGATAATCCCAGGTGATGTTGGCGTTGGAGGGTTGCTCTTGGGTTGCGGGCTCAGCTTTCTGAGTGCACAATACGGTCTACCATGCGACAACAGTAAGCATTGAGCTACGAGAAACTAGGAAGATACTGATCAAAGGCGAAGTCGTCAACTACGAAGTTGTACTCTCAGACTCCTCGATCGTCAACGCTAATGCAACAAGCCACACTGATTTGTTCGGGGCTTTGAAAGGGGGCGGAAACCAATTTGGTGAGACTCATTACTGAAGTATACATTCTTGGCCTAAAGTTTTCAGGTATTGTCACAAAGTACACTCTAAAGACTTACCCTATCGGCAAGGTAGTTTATCGGCCCGGTCATCTAAGCTGTGATATTCGCTGACTCTCCCAGGTCTGGGGTGGATATATCACATACCGGACAGACTATGCGAGTCAGATATTGAGCGCAACTCAAGACTTCATTGAAAACTGCCAGGATCCTCGCGCAGCCATGTTCACAACTGTATCACTGCTTCTCACGGGTCTCGATGAGTTTTTTGCCGTATTCCTCTTCTACGATGGGTCGAGCCTGCCAAGGGGGATGTTTGACAAGTTCTTGAATATTCCTCACATACTAAACCAATTGAAGATGCAGTCATACACCGCCTTGGTGTGATTCCAATTGTATTTCTTCCTATTAACCCCTGCTGACGAAGACAGCTTACGGCCAATGCAAACTTTGGCAGTATTTACGGCTACCGATATCTTCTTCGAGTATGGATGCCAACTTGAAAGCCTTCCAGTTCATGCTGACTTCTTAGGGAGCCACGATTCCCAGTCTTGCCGGTAGCAACGGAACTGATCTGGTTAATGCAAATTTTAACGACTTCTTCAAATACGTCACAACTCGAAAATCCCTCATATCGCTGGTCACACAACTCGATTTCGTCTGGACGCTGATCTACCAACCTATGCCAACCATGATCCCAGCCGCCTCGGCAAGAATAAACCCTTCTGGCAACCTCCTCGGTCTCTCACCCAACGCTGGAGATCATATGTGGATGGCATGTACCGTAGCTTGGAAAACAAGTCTTGGGGACTCTGACGCTCGCAACGATGCTGTCAACATCATGAATCAAATTTCAACTTATGCTCAGAATGCGTATCCGGATGTTTCAGCATCCAAGTACCAAGCTGGACACTTCGCGCCTGAAGGGTATAATATGATCTTCATGAATGATGCCATGGCAGACCAGTCAGTATTGGGAAGTTACGGTGATGCTACATATCAGAGACTGAAGAACATTCAGAGGGCATACGACAGGATGGGAGTGTTTCCTCAAAGAACTAATGGATTCAAGCTTACTTGAACGTTGGCTGGACATCAGAGGAACGTCAAAATTGCCATTTGCTGTATTCTCTGCTGGATTAGGTTCTGGAGCTACTGCAGATTGATTTTGCATCCGTGGGATGTTTGGAGGTTTAGGCAAGAGGTAAAACTAACCGTTTGGGGACTATATGGGCGTTGTTCTAAACTTTCATGACTTAAATAATAAATAATAAATAATATTTAATAATTAGTGTTCTGAGCCTCTCTTGAGTCTAAGCCCACCTATCTTCGAGGCTCTTACAAGAAGCGATTGGCGGCAGAGAATCCAGAAAGCCGCTTTGTAGAAACAAATTGTAAACGAATTCTGGATCTTATATTGTTGATTCTCAAATACGGGGAGAAGGCGGGGCCAAGTCTCCAATTTTATTTTAGTTTGGAATTACAGGGTTGTAACAGTTTGTGAATCTCAGTCAGCCTTCCCTCGCCTTCGCCTTCCCACAACGAATCTCGTCCTTGCTCGCTTACTCCTTCCCTCAAAGGATAAAAGGGGAAGAACAAAAAAGTGCAAAAAAAGTAGTTTGTTTACAGTTCTCGCCTCCACTGGTTGTCAATTCTTAATCAAGGAACTTTTAGTCAACTTACTTTAGTGAAATGTTGTGTTTAAGTTGCGGGGTAGAAAGGGAACTCGGCGAAGGCGGCAGATTGGGGGGATGCCTCCCACAACAAGCAGAACTCGTTGTATTAGGTAGGGCTACGCCTCTCTGGGCCTTGTTGATACGATTGCTGTGTGATTGGGAAGCACATTAGGAGGCTGCAACCATGGAGGGTGCAGTGAATGTGGGTTTACGTCCGATCGGGGTGTGGTTTGGTTCTTCACACTCTGCAGTCTGTATATTTAAGTTTCTGGATTCGTTAGTTGAGGCGATCTTAGACTGTGAATTTGACAAAGGAAAGACATGAAGGTGACGTCCAGACCGGACGAGAACTGCTTTTTTTAGACGAAAAGGAGCTTATTTTGACTTATAACGAAGGGAGCTTTTGTTTCGGAGTCAAAGGTTTTTCCAGTTCCGGGTCTAGCGATCAGTTAAGGGGAGGTGATGGTGACGGTTCACCTTTTTTGTACCTTAACCACGGTTAAGCTAATGTTAGTTGTTTGAATATGTGAGTTGTGGACGACTCGAGACAACCTTAAGAACGCAGACATTTGGTAAATCAATACATTTTAATTAGTTATATGACGAAGGACATGAAGCACATCCACTTCAGCTGGGTGGCCATGAGCAAAACTGGTTCAGCATGGTACAGGATAACGTTGGTACAGTACAATGATCCGGAGGCGTGTAATCAGGGAAGATGCCTGCCTTAGCGAGGCCTGGATGATCCAAATTCGAGTAAACCAAGGCCTTGCATGGAAAAGTGAGCGGCAAGCTTCCTATTTATAAGCATTTTCGTCACCACCAGACTCATTCATTACGCCCCCCAACTCGGCAATGAAATCCAAAGCTTCCGGTGGCCGAAATCGTATCGAGATATTGAAGGGCTAAGGCAGGGCTAGAGGTCACTGAGACGGCTATCCCACCGATGGATATCGTCTTTCGATCACCGAGGTAGCCTTATACGTAGGAAAAAGCCTCGTAGTCTGGAAAGCGGTCTAGGGACACTTGGATTAATTCACACTGTATAATCTCATCACCGATGCCCGGGAGTAGCTTGATGAGTCTGGCTTCTGAAGCAAGGCCGTCGGGCGGGGAACATGTCACTTTATTGTACGAACCGCCAATCCTAGCCACCAGAGAAATCTGAACAGGCCATCAACAATCTATCTTTGGAATGTATTTCAAATGATTTTGACCGCCGAGCAAAATCAAGAATGGGCAATTGGAAGATGGAAGCAGGGCAGCGGCTATGAGCGAGATACCATGTTGCAGATGTTGAAAGCCCAAGCTTGAGGCTCTTTGCTGCTTTGCATATTTGAGAAGCAACGCATTAAAACCCTAGTTTGGGCCATGTATCTTATTTGAGCAAAGACGTGCGGGATATTCTTTATGCAGAAGCGCAGCAGTAAGTCCAATAATATCATTGTACCGAATCATTCAAGGCACACGAGGTTTTGTAACCTTAAACACCACACCTCACACTTCTACAAATATCTACGACAAGATTATTTATGAATCTGGAAGTTGACCGTATGCCAGCTTATGCCACAACCTGTCCAGTACGTAGTTATTGAGCCCACTTGGTATGTGTACGGGGAGTTCTACAGCTTTGCATAATAGTGATATTACACCGAACACAGCGACTCCCAGGAAGACGTGCCTTGACTTTATTGCAAGCTCTATCGAGAGAGAAAACACCAATAACAGATAAACAACGTCCGAAAGTTCTATATTTGTCTATGAGAAATGAAACCAAGAACCTCAAGGTATGACCTTGGGCACAATCCACCAATCATGATATCCCTTCCCGGCCGCAGGTATCTCAACTTTCGCCTTGACTTTACCATCTTTCCCTGCTGCTTCAACAAGTTTCTTCACCGTGGAGATGGTAATGCTAGTGAAGATACATGCTTTCAAGCAATCCTTGATGTTCTTCAACCAGCTGTCATGAGAACCCTGGCAATATGCATCTTTCGCATTCAGCTTACTGAGGATCTCGAATCCCTTCTTCGCTCCCATCACTGATTCGGCAGCAAAATTGATGATATCAATCGTCGATTCATTTGGCTGTGTGATCAATTGAGTCAAATCGTCGAATTGTATCAGCTCTGGTAGGCCAATGGTAGAGAACGGCTTCATTCGTACTTCATACCGCATGCTATCATCGCTGTACGGTCGAGATGGTGAGGGGATCAGAGAGAGCCTGTTTAGAACTGTATATAAACAGGAAAGAGCGTCCGCAAAGCCGTATGTCGCAGCAGCTTCCATGGTGGAAAAATTGACGAAGGAGAAAGCATTGGCATATTCTACCTGCTTTTGCCCTGCTGTTTCAGGATTTCGGCGAAAGGAAGCATAGCTTCGCATGATGAAGCCTCTCATTCGTTCAAGGTGGCGGCTTCTCGTCTTTGCCAGGTATTGAAGATACCAATACATTCCTACCAGCTCATCCGGCTGATACGTGTCAAGCTCGAATCCAAGCTGCACAATCCATTCCATTTGCCGTAGTTTGTAGAAGTAAGCCCAAGAAGATAATGGGAAGGAATAGATAGGATCATTCGAGATTTCAGGATCGACGGTTGGTTCTTCTTCTGTGAATTCTCGCAACTCTTGATCAAGCTCTTCAGCGTCGAGCTGCAAATTGTCCCAATCTGCGATGGTATGGCACAATGTACGACGTATCCTACACCGATTCTGGCAAATGGTACGTAGAATATCTAAATATGAGCCCGCTGCACGAGACCGGAATATCTCCATTCGGGCTGCCATATTGTGTCGTGGGTCATGCGGTACCTCAATGTCGTCATTTCCTCTGTCGAGAAGCTTATGAGCTGGCAGAACGGTTGCTGCCAAGTCGTCATCCAGTACTTGCCGAATGGACATGGTGCCGAGGATTACCATGTCACAGAACAAGTAGTGTTGCAATAAGGTGCGGGCATAGACTGACGGCTGGGGCTTTCGAGTCTGAAACAAGATCACAAACGTCTGATGTTTTTGTTAGCTGCGAAAAAAATATAAAACGGCACACATACCATAAGGCTATGACTCTCGTAATATTTGAGCACTTCAACTACCACTGAAGCATCTCGGCAAAGTCTCTCTAAGTGTTCAAAAGCCGCACCTTGGCTGACTTGAACAATTGGCCGTGGCGGCACCGTACTGGCTAATTTCCGCTGTATTTTGGTACTGAAAGACGCTGGTACTGCTTTTCCAAGGTGGGTTGAAGATTTAATATCTGGCAAAGCTGCTAGAAGATCTGTCCACAAATCTTTGATATTTGTGGGCATCCTTGCATCTGCCATTTCGACTACTTTAAGAAATTGAGCTCTGAATCGAAGTCGGCACCCTAAGGCTATCCTTAGATTAGGTCCCATTTCCTGTGATGAAGAAAGCAGCTCCGCTGTTTCATCGAGGAGTTTCAATATAGACTCATGGTCAATATTTTCCAGTAAACTTCTGTTGAATGTATGCGTAACGAAGTCTTCTTCCTATCTTAGGATGAGTGCCTGATTATGTGGAGGAATGTGAGAAATGATCATACCTCGTAGTAGTGTTCTGCTTTGACTCGGTTGTTGATATATGAACATGTTCTGATGAGGCCAAGGCAGTATGCTCTTAAGATCTGGAGGGTCAGAGGCTCATTCGATGAGCAACTCTCACTCCTATCAAAGTAGGTCTGATCCAGATTGAGGGGACATGGTGACAAAAGTCTGTCGATGTAAAGGCTGGTGAAGATAGTTTGTGAGAGAGGGTGGCCCATATGCCAGGCCATCTGTGAAATTAGTTTGTGTTACGAGTACACCAGATAAAGTCATACCTCATGGCATAGAAGCTGATCGATAATCCCAATGATTTCTTCAGGAAGTAAGGCTTCACTGAAATCGTACTCATCTTCCATGGTTTCACCTGATTCTAGGTATCCACTATCCATCTTGCGGTCCATGATCTGAAACTGTTAGCCATTTCCTTTGAATGTAGGCCTCTGGTATTACCTCCAAAGCACCCACGGACTCAAATAGAGTAAAATATGAGTCTTTAATCAGCTGGCCCATATCCAGCTCTGGAGGTGGTCAGCACGTGATCCACAGAAAAAGCTGCCGCAAACGTACGCTGGGCAGCGTTGGTGAACTGCTCTGTGATATCCATAGCTATGACCCCTCGACTCTTCAACTTGGGCGGCGGAGGAGGTTCGGAATCATATGCCGCGAAGGGGGCCGGGTTCCTTGGGCCATCATCGAGAACAAGGTTGGCAACGTCTGTCAAAATATTTAGCATGCGTCTACGAGGCGGGCGACGGCAAACACGCCTTGAGATATTGAGTTCAGAGCCTCACCGCCCATTCTGATAGAGGCGTCGGTTCCTTCCTTTTCCAGAAGTTGGTCCCTAAAGAATCTTGTTGCGCGGTGAAGGAGTCGATGTCCTGTCTCCAAAGGCCCAGATCTGGAAGGACTCGCTTCGAAATGACCACCAATGTTAGGGGGTCACATAACAAACGGAGTTTGATATTTTACGGAATTATGAATTGGCCTTGCAAAACCTCTCTGGACACTTTCTAGGTGAGGCCGGATTCCACCAGGAAACTTTACTTCTAGAGTAGGATTTCAGGCCGAAGTTTACGTCTAAGGATGGCATTCTGGCCATGTGTTGAAGCATCAGCCCGCGCAGTAGGCATCCACCTAAAGATCCTTCTGCTGGGATTCTAGCCCTTTTAGCCCCTTTAAATTTCAAACAGGAGTACGCATAGTCTTCGGTATCATACTCCAGCAACTCCGTCCGGCCGGAACTTGATTCTTTGGAGCAAGTGTGAGCATATGTATCGCTCCTCACTTCTCATATCACATCGAAACAAGGCACAGGGGATGCTAGTCGAACGATTTTCGAATTGATGAGCCCCCTAGGCATCAAATGATACAATGTACAATCCCTTTCTACTGCTCATCCCGCAAAGCTCTCCCACCCGCCTCTCTTCCATCCCTCAACGTCTCTATACACCTACGATGACTGCGTGCTAGCTTCTGCCATCGACGCAGCGTTTGCATCCGCAACACTCTTGTTATCGCCTTGCTTTCCGTTCTATAACAATGGCACCGTCAGTAAAAGTTCATCAAAGGCAGCCCCATCGACTGAGAGCACACTCACATTCCACTTGGCGAATCTCAGTTCCATCTCCCCTCTTCTCTCAGCTGCCAATCGCTTGTCATCCTTCAAGCTTCGTCGAACGACTCGTGCTGCGACCGAGAGGTACTTGTTGTAGCTGTTCGAAAGCTTCGTTAGCTCCTGCTCTTGAGTCGGCCCAGCGGCTCAATTGCGACGCCGGAAGAGTCAAGAATGGATTAGAACATACGTGAGACCTGACGCTTTCCACGCGAATGTCATTGTGTATGATGGGAGGTTGTGAAAATAGGCGTAGCGTTCCTTTCTGTTTTGTGGCTGTTGAGCTTGGTTTTCATTCTCGGGAAGCCGCGAAAATGGCGATTTGAAGCGCTCACGTGATCCAAATCGTCCAATGCGGCTGGAGTCACCTTGAGTTTACCTACTTTCCTACGGATATCCTTGGTTCCGATGGGATTATTACTGGCGTCCACTCTTGCAGGGTGAGACAATCTAAGCAGTGAAAATTTCTCATATATCTACACAATACACTCTAAGAGCTGTTGATACAACCCATGCTCCGCCAAATCCACCCATCTATATCTTGAGACCCAATTCTTCCGCATATGGAAGCACATACAGATCTCCAACAGCCGAAACAGTCGCCTTGCCTTCTAACAAAGCCTTTGCTGCCTGTGAGATTGTTAGCAATCTGCAATCTGAGGAAAGCTATCATCTAGAAGCTGGAAACCTACCGATTTCAACTTGTCAGCACTCACACCCTCGATACTCTTGCCAATCTGATCAATTTGGAAAGCCTTGCCACCGTGGACAAGACCAGTTCCAGTCGCAACAAGACCTGCCTCGATATTCTGACCCTCCTCTAGTGCATTGTACTTCGCAGAAGCGACAGCCTTTATGAAATCCTCCTTACTGATCGAACCGTCCGAGATACTCCGGAGAGCCTTAACGGCTTCAGCAGAGGCATTCCGGATGGCGGAAGCAGAACCGCTGAATTGAATGCTCAAAAGACCGGCGTCAGAGTAAGTAAATTGAGTTGTGGCAGCGCTGGCTCCGGGGAAAGATGAAGCGGCCTTGGAGAGAAGTGAGAAGCCAGGTGACCATTTAATGCTAGATTTACCGCCGAGTAGAGCTGCGAGAACGGCAATTTCGGGCTTGTATGAGCCTCCTGCGGTGAAAGAGCTTGAACCTGGGAAAGCAATGACCAAAGAGTTACCACCATCGTGAGCAATACGTTCCTCTCCTCCGTGGTATTTTGTTGCTTCACTTGACAAAGTGCTGGCGGACGAGCTTGGGACTTCAGTAAAGAATTCGCCGACCCATTTGGCCAGCTCGGCTTGACTAGCACCGTTGGCAACGACGGCAATGTTTGGCTTGGCATAAGCGCTACTGGCGAATTGAGCGATTGACGATTCATTGAGATACCTCGTCAGGGGGGTCGATGAGGATGGATAAAGAGACGTTCCGAGACCTCTGTGGAATGCAACTCCATGAGCTGAGTTGATAGCAAGCTCAGATACGTTCCCAAGCAGCTTCTTTTGGCCGATCTTGATGATAGGTTCAACCTCCTCATGGTACTCGTGAGCTACACAGTTTCATTAGCACCTAACTCCAGAATCTCCAACGACAATTCCTCGGCTTACCGGTATACTTCGTTTGAGTGATGACTTCGCCTAAAAGTTCCGTGAAGTATGGCAGGTCTTCTCTCAGGAATTTGGCCTCGATGACAAGCGCTTCTCGGGTGTGATATGAAGTCAATTGACCTCCAAGGAGTTCAGATTCTCTCGTGATCCGAAGGGCTGATCGTTTGTTGGTGTTCTGAGATCAGGAAGTCAGAATAGGTGCAAGGCCTTTAAGCCGGAATATTCGAACATATACACACCTTGAACGCGAATTGCTCGAGACCCGAGATCAATCCTGGCGCCGATTGATATCGCGTTCCGGCTTTTGCAACGACTGCAAGCTTCGTAGTTGGTCCTGCAACATCTCTGCTGGCTACCTTGACGCCGCCGACATCCGCGGTGTCGTACGAGAAGCTGGTTGAGCCAGAGACAGCAGCGGCAAGGCTACGACGGTTAGCTGGCTTGACGCAGCATTGCCTGCGAAGGGCAAGCTGCGCGTTGCCACCAATCGCCGACCGGGAGATCATTGTTCAAGGGAGATTGGTGAGTGTGGAATCACAATGGGCTTGCTGGCTATTGTGAGGTCGTTGCCGGAAGCTCTGAAGATTTCGGTACAGGGTACTAGCGCCGAATTTAGCGACACTGTGACTGACTTTTTGGTGGGGGACTGTTCTTTCTCGTTCCCCACCAGCGAAAAATATCCTCAGAGCAACTCCACGATATTGCACGCCAGAATCGTCAATGAAGCACCGGTAGTATCTGTGGAAGCTCTAGAGATCTTGACATAGTCTCTAGCAGCAAAAAAATGTCTCAGGTGAGTTCGCACGGTTGCAGCAGATCGATCTGTTCTGCGATTACCGCTTCTTCAGCTCGAGCAAGAACTGACTCAGAACCAGTCGAAGCATGCCGTAGAGCTTTGCGCTCTGCTCGTCGACGAGACATATGGCGAGCTAACCTCCGTATGTGTGCCATTCAGCAAAGTTGAAAATATTTTCAGCATCAGCTTTCCATGCTTGACCGGGCTGGGTAAATCATTTTGATTTGATCAAGTCTGACGATGCATATAGCGGATATTCACAATACTTCTTCGACGAGGACGATTAACTATACCACTCCTATCGAAGCATACCCGTCTAAGCCCTCACAAAATCCGACATGGCCTTGCCGTGCTTGTCCAAGAAAATCTGGTTTACCACTGCTTCGATGAAGATACGAATACTACCCACTACGAAGCAAATCCCGAGGCAGCATATATGTTGGTTCGATCTGGGAAAATTGTGGAAATTGCACGAAGCAGGTATGGGGACCTTGCTGCAGAGATTGTGGGAAATTTGTTTCTTTCAGGTCACAGCACGGTGAAAGAGCTGGTAAGCTGGTACGTAGCCAGGCTGGCAGAGGCCGAGGCCAAGAGGAAACGAGAGGAGCGTCTCGCAAATGGGCTCAATGGTCAGAGCAAGGCTCCTGCTCTAGTCCAGGCTCCAGCTCACCCTTTTCCAACTGGGCAAATGCACGGAATGTTGACCGAGTTGTTGGAAAGTGGTTTAATTCAGCCTCTTTCTGGAGACATGTTTCTCAGTCCTACGGATACCTACGACAAGATTGCGAAAGAAACTCTTAAGGAAGAATATGGGGGAAATATAAAAGGTACCAAGCAGAAAGAGGAGCTGAAGGAGAAAATACGAGAGCGTTTATACGCTCTGAGGTCCGAACGGGAGTGGAAGTCGAAAGGAAAGAAAAGAGCTCTGAACGGGAATCATGCCAATGGAGTGAACGGCGCTAGTAAGCGAAGAAGACTTTCCAATGGAGCTGTCAATGGTGATCATTACTTTGAGGATGATGGCACAAAACTTGACGTGGGTTTCCCGAGAGCCTCGGAGTAGGACACAGTCGAATGCTAATCTTACATGAAGCCGAATATGCTCGTACGCGTTAATTATGAGAAATGCACAGTCGTTTTGCGGAACAGTCGGTTAGCGGCTCTTGCAAGTAGCCGGATAGGCTCCACAACTGCACAGGTTTATGAAGCAGGTCTCCGGCTCATAGAGAAGAGTATTCCCCGTTGTCGCTTAGACCTAAGGATCGACGACATCAAAGATCTTCCTGACGGATCCACGTTCACCACGATGGAGCTCACGGCTACTCTGAGTAAGTCTGTCAAGACTGGGACAGGCATTGGAACGGTGTCGAGCGACAAAATCGACACCCGAAAACTTGAAAAGGCACGCAAGTCCAGAAAGCGGAGCGATGAGGCTGAGGCTGAGGGCGAAGCTAGTGAAGATGAGGATGTATCAATGGAAGACATACCCATTGCCAACGGGAATGGAAACATTTCTGAGGCTGACCCAGACTCCGATAGTCATGGAGATGATCCTTTTGACGACGAGGATACCAGGACGAAGTCTTCAAGGCGTGCAAAAGTAACTTTCCAGGACCAGCTACCGAAACCCGAGGCAGCTGAAAATCGCGAAAACCGGATGCTGCAGGTTAAGAATCACCTCCTGCTTTTGGCTGGAGATGACTGTGACTTTCTCCGCAAATGTGGAAGTCGGGGGCTCGGAGAATGGACTGTCGACTTTGAAGGCATGACCCAGTATTTGCAGGAAGTTGAAATGGACACGATGCTCTTGGAAAACTTTGGGAAAGTAGGCCACCGCCTAGCACGAATGATGAGAAAGCTGGGGAAGCTCGACGAGAAGCAATTGCCTAACCTAGCATTGGTGAAGCAAAAAGATGCCAGGACCAAACTGGCTGAGATGCAAATGGCGGGTGTGGTCGATATTCAAGAGGTACCGAGAGACAGCGGCCGCACGACTGGCCGCACGATCTTCCTCTGGTATTTCGATGTGGAGCGGGTATCGACGATACTGTTGGATAGCATCTACAAGAACATGTCCAGATGTTTCCAACGCCTTGATATCGAGAGACGACGTGTTCAGGACGTCCTTGCGTTGACTGAGCGAACCGATCTCTTAGACGAGCAGCCAGAGAAGTACATGGACCAAGAGCAATTGAATACGCTGCATGAGATTGAGGACAAAGAAGAGAGTCTTTTGGGGCACATAGGCAGACTCGATGAATTGGTTGCCATCTTCCGCGATTACTAGAGAGCGTTCGCATTGGGTGGTTGGACGGAAGAGAATATTACGGTTGTGAGCATTTTTTGCACAGGGACGGCGTCATTTTGCTGCATATGGGTGGCGTTCAGTCACGGCAATGAAAGTCCAGGACTATGTTGATACCACCACAGGTTTGCTTGATCGCTCTACGGAGTGATGAAATAGGCAAATACATATTCGACTCGTATGATTCATTGCTTCATTATCGCGAACAATTCGTATTCATTCTGAGCTTTATCCTTTCTGCGGAATTGTGACTGCGTCTGCCATCAGAGCAATGAGAAGTGCCAACCCAGCTTGCGCAACTGAACCAAAGAAGGAAACAGAGCACTCCACATCGTAGATGCATAAAGATACAAGGTCATACTAGCTATTGAACAAGATGCCCCAAGAACCGCAAGACCCCGGGGCCACACCCAAGCGTGGGATTCTGACCGTCGGTAGATTGGAAACCTGGCCGTGAACATCTCCAAAAGTTGCATTGTCGAATTCTAGATGAGAAGCCAGAAGTCGACGTCTTGGACTGAGCCGGGGGGGTGAGTGGCTCGGTGCCAAGCGAAGATCATTAACACCCAAAAATCGTGGTAGCAAACACAACGGCGATTAAGGTACGGTTGCGTTGCGGTTGGGAATGTTGTTAGTTTGCTTGTGCTTATATTTTGCTAGGACATTTACTTACATTCTGTTGATCCTGTGGGTGCAACGGATAGAAAACGCTGCTTCTCCCCCCTTTCAGAAAGCCTTACATATACGTGTATTTTCTGATCAAGTCCGTCCCCCGGTCCGGCTCTCTATTATACACACCCTCGAGTCCATCAAGACTGTGAAGCCTGCTCCTATATTCTACAACAGACATATCCAAGCTTTTGCTGCAGAAGCTCATCTTCAATGACCTTAAATAAGCCTAAGATATTGGAGCGAATATCCAATATAGCCCTTTCCCTTTCCCTCGCTATTACATGGGGAGGGTAGTCGTTGTAATGACTTTTGAAGCGCCACTTGCTTCTCCCTTGACGACAGCCCATATCCTGGGTGGTCCCTGAAACTCGAGGAGACTTGTAGCTACCAGAGCCTAGATATTGTTGTGTATCGCGTTAACCAGTGAATCAATGCCAACGTTATGGATGGTTTCGCTAGTGATGTCTCGTGCTTGAATAGTTGCTTCAAATTGCCTGAACAGCAAAAGTGTCCTGTGGAACATGCTCCGGTTCCTTACTGTGTGGCTTTTCTTATCCTTATGGCCGTCGAGGTTTTTGTAAAACCCACGGCCAAGTTGGATCTCTCGTATAATAGCCCAATCGATATCATAGAGAAGGACGGCGATCTCATAGAGATTTTTCTGACACCGAGCAGACAATCTCGCAGAGGAGTGCTTTCCTCATCAGAGGCTGTTGACAGTTGATCAGAGACATATCAGACCACATCATATGGCTATCGCAGGCCTGTCCAAGATGGCCATGAGATGCTGCAACCTTTCTTGGAAGGAGCCAGCTTCAGGCTGAAGACAAGAAGCGTCCACCGTTTGGCAATCCTTCAGGGCTGATTTTGTCGGACTTGAGAGGCAATAATCACCAGCTTCGTGAACAAAAACTACCAGAAAAAAACAGGAGATAGCTCTATACGAGATGGAAATGGATTTGAAGAAGATGGAGTTTGACAGCTGCTTCCAAGAAATCTATCTTGACAAGGCTGAGCGCAGCCACAACGAAACCTGCAGGCAACAAGTCTGCCCCATCCAAAGCATTTAAACAGGCTGTTTTGAACGTATAGGCTGGGTTCAAGCAGTGACTTCATTGCAAGAATCGCAAGACATTTAGAATACTTTATCAATATGTGAATTATAAAGGAGATGTTCTTGTGGTGGTTCACGAGAGCCGAGCTCGGACCAGTCCTTCAACACCCCTGCAAGAAAGCATGCACCTCGAAGCACGCGCAGCTCTTTTTTTGCAGCAAAAAAGTTGAACACCGCTTTTTCTCTCCGCAATCCTTCAACACGCAAATCCGACCCATCCTCTCTTCGGCCTGTCATTGATAAGTCGCCCCTTTGCAACTTGTTCCGATTCCTCGAATCTACGATATCGAGATAGGATGTCGCCAATCGCTGCAGCTAAAGGGGGTTCAGCCTCGGGAGACTACAAGAAGGAGTCGACGCTGGCAAGATTATTAGGATCAGGTATGGTCTGGCTGAAGTAAGTGGGTTTGAAGCAGGAACTGAATTTGTGCAGGATCTGCCGGTATTGCTGAGCTCGCTGTCTTCCACCCAGTATGCATGGAATGAGCACGTACGAGAAGAGCATCACTGACCCATTGAAGGTCGACACAATTGCAAAGCGGTTAATGAGCAATCATGGGAAGGTTGGCTATCTGTGGCAGACTATTCGAGACCCGAGTTCTAATTTTCTGCAAGATCACTTCGGCGGCACAGTTGAATCAAGTCATTTTCAAGGACAAGGCAACTGCTCCAGTCGGACGGAAGTTCTTCTCTTTGTTCCCAGGCCTAGGATATGCTGCTGGATATAAGGTTAGTCTGAGTCATTTCGAGGAAGTTCTGTTGCAATGCTAACTTTAGAGTAGGTTTTGCAGCGAGTGTACAAGTATGGTGGACAACCATTCGTTCGAGATTACCTTGCAAAAAATCACGGCTCGGTATTTGATAACACATTTGGCCCAAAGACTGGAAAGGCGATGATGCACTCATGTGCAGGAAGGTCAGTTTTGTGATTGATTGGTTCTGCAGAGACTGACAAATTTCTTGAAGTTTAATCGGTATTGGCGAGATTGTTCTCCTTCCGCTCGATGTTCTCAAGATCAAACGGCAAACAAATCCCGAGGCATTTCGAGGACGAGGCGTGCTCAGGATTGTGAGAGATGAGGGCTTTGGTTTATATAGAGGATGGGGCTGGACTGCCGCTAGAAATGCTCCGGGATCATTCGCTGTTAGTCTCATCCACTCCCATATATGTTTCATTGCTAACCACAAGGTCAGCTCTTCGGTGGTTCTGCGTTCACCAAGGGATACTTCTTTGGATTGTCAGATTACAATAAGGCCACATGGTTCCAGAACTTCATAGCCTCAATTGCTGGTGCATCGGCTTCCCTGCTCGTTTCAGCTCCTCTCGATGTTGTCAAGACTCGAATCCAGAACCGAAACTTTGAGAACCCAGAGAGTGGATTCAGGATCGTTGGCAGTATGATCAAGAATGAGGGATTCACAAGTTTCTTCAAGGGTTTGGTGCCTAAAGTATGTTCCTCTGATTCGCACTCCTAGCTAAATGCTAACCTTTTCCAAGCTTCTGATGACTGGACCAAAACTGGTGTTTTCATTCTGGCTTGCACAAACTCTGATCCCGGCCTTTGACATTGCATTCTCGAAGGCTGCTTGAGGGCAAAAAGAAGATTTGTACATAAGAGGAAAAGTAATGGGGTCGGAAAATGGCGTTGGCGTGGATTGGAGAGATAACGTCCTCTTCCTGTACATAGCTTGCAGTAGCTATATCTTGAAATGTAAACAGACTCGACTCGGACAGAACATACCCTGCTTCAAACTCTGAGGTAGATCATGTGATATGCATGTGGAGCTTGAGCTGGGCTCTGGATGGACGGAACAAGCAGCACACATTTCCAATGCCTCAAGCGTAGTTCTAAGTCAGACATTTCGCTGGACTTCGGGAAGGGTGACTAGAGAATTTCGCAATTCGTGAATCCCAGATTTGCGAAGGAGTGCACTTTGAAACTACTAGAGCTCAAGGGTACATTCTTTGGACAGGTACCCGAAATGTTCCAACCTGACTTGGGGACATTCAGTGCCGCTTTTCTGTCCACCGGAAAACCAGGGTTCTCGGGTGGAGCCGCAGAACTTCATTCTTTCACCACAACTTCAAATTGACATCAATCTCTTCCCCAGAACACCTTCAAGCCCCCACTTTCCAAAATGCCATCTCCAGCTCATCTAATTTCCAAGGTTGGTGACCCAATGTTCGCCGCGGTCATTGGGCTGTCAGCAGCTGCAACTCGTATCAATCGGGAAGAGAAAGAACTTGGGCGCAGTTCCCAGCAGACCGTTGATGCTGGACTGAGGTAGGCTTGCTCGAAACTTTCACCTAGATGTTGCAGGCGAAGCTAATTATTGATCAAGGCGAATTGGGTTTCCTCGGCAGAGCGACCACCCAGAACTTAAGAAGAATTGAGCTTCGTAGAAATGGAGCATCGACGGGATGGGGGAACCACAACGTTGGGAAGGAGCGTGCTGCTACGCACTTTCTTCAAAAGCTCTTCTTTCTCAGAGACCGTCAACACACAACAATCACGCACATTTTGGGGTCCAACAGTCGTTGCTCAGGACTATTTCTGGTATCACTACTTTATTCGATCACGCAGCACACTTGCTGCAAAAGCTATATCAGAAGCTATCCTTCGCTTTACACAATACAACAATCCATCGCTGCATATTACGACAAATAAGTGATGGGGTTTGGCAGACCCACCCGTGCGTCCAGCGGGGTTTCGCGTTTTGGAAGTTCGGCCAATACAATTGGATATCCATTGAACTTCGTCTTCTACCCACATCCAGGAGTTCCTTTGATCCCGTCCCATTCTGCCAACCAAGGAGATTCCGGGCATGGCAGACCATTCTTCGAGGACCCTGAACCAACTCCATATCCTACGTCTCCCGTCCTCGCAGGCTCAATACCCACAGAAACAAACGAGGCCGCAAGCATGCTCGGGGTCAACCTTGGCCCATCTTCCCTCAGCCACGTATTTCCTTTCAGTCTTCCGTCCTCCACCGCCCCAGAATCAAAAGTCGACGAGAGAGAGCCTACTCTGGCACCACCAGCACCACAGCAAGGGCTTCCAAGAAAATACTATCTCCATCGCACACCTACTGGCAAATTAACTGAGATCGGGCCTTCTCCATTATGCCAAGAAACTACAAAAAGCTTGTTGGAGGAAGCCGCGGAGAAACCGGGTAAAGGACCGATATGTGCCGGGCATAGAATATTCAATGAGGATCCAAGGAAGTTTCTTGGGCTGAAGTCTGGTCCAGAGCAGGACAAGCCTAACGAAAAGAATTTGGTTACAGGCTTCAGTGCTTCCTCGGAGGAAGTTGAGGAGAAATCGGGCAACGGATTAGTATACGCAGGGTACAGAATATGGAACGAGGATCCAAGGAAGTTTCTTGGGTTGAAGTCTGGTTCTGAACAGGACGAGGCTAACAGAAAGGCTGTCGATACTGACTTCAATGCTACCTTGAAGGGAAAAGAGTTCGTGTATGGCTTTGATATCGAACTCCCTCCTGATGAGCCTTCAAGTTTCCCGTTTCTGCCAGACAACGAAACAGCCGATGGCTATGCGTCTGAAAGCTCCTATGGATCCTCCAGCATACGTCGAACCTTCCCAATTTCTTCAAAGAGCCTTGGGCCGCTTGAGCTTTGCTCAGAGCCAATCAATTTCGAAGAATCTGCTCAGTACTCACTTGTGAACGATCAATCCCCCGAAGAGACGAAGCAAACTAGAGGCCAGAATTTGACTATCACTATCCCGACTAAATCCCAACCATTGTTCAACCCGTCGTTGAAGCAAGATGTCAGATTCAACCATCAAGTGGCTGAACGTCCCATTGATCCCGACTCTCGTGATTTGGCACGTACCCAGTTCAAGCTTCGCAAGGGGGCTCTGTGGAACATGGCCAACAAAGATCTTGAAGAAATCTTTCTCCATGCAACCCTTTTGTTCGAATCAGAATTTCTGGACTTAATTTTCTGTGAGGAGGATGAGGTCAAAACATGGCTCGACCGACACGGCAATCGTCTCATTCAGCGCTCCATGCAAAAATGGACCCGGGCAAATGACGCACTCAAGAACGCTGGCATTCGGCCTTGCGAAATTAACGAAGAGGTCAGAGATATTTTTGCATTGATGACTCCACAAGAGCAAGCGGAATTCATCAAAAGATACCAAAAGCTATTTGCGCTTGTCAAGTCTTCTCAAGAAGGACTTCATCTAACCCCGTCAGAGATGGAGCATTTCAGTAAATTATCTCTTGCAGATAAATACGACTTCATCGAGGAGTACAAGACCAGGAAAGAGGAGCGCGAAAAGATAGTCAGAAGGAATACGGCCATCTTTACAGCGAAATTACGACGAACTCACCGCGAGTCGGATGAGTTGCCTTTCGCAGATTGCTCCAGCCCCGCCTCTCTTCAATCCTTGAATGGTCTAACTCCTAAGACCCTCCGCATGTCAGCCAATACCACTGTGGATAACTTGCATATCAAGTTTCTGCAATCTGGCATGGGCCAAGAGAAGGTTGGACCTTTGGATTCTTTATCGACTTCTACTAATGATCTGCCGACCCCTCTCTTCGCGTCCCCAGTGATGACAAAAGCCGACAGCAAAGTTGATTCTTCTGATGAACAGCAGACACAACGGCGTCCCACTACCTTTACCGGAGATGGTCGCACCCGCCACTGGAAATGCGATGAGGCCAAGACCACTGACAAGTTGGTAAAATCGAACCAAATCTCGGGCTTGGTTGTAAAATATGATACCGGCTTCGGTTCGGAGGAGAGTTTTATCAATGTCCGCGAGCTTCTGGCTTCAGATGAAGAAGAGACATCTGAAATTGTGAAACAGGCGGTGGAGATCAAGTCATATGCGGAAGCCCTGAAGCAGGACCTCAAGCAGGAAGTGAGCACCAACAATCTCGAGAGCAAGGTGCTCGACAATCCCTTTCAGGATTGTAGCCGAGTTGCAACATCACTGCTCAGAGAGGTACTGAACCACCAGAACGACCACAAGGAAGACGTCGACACGGAGGAAGATGACACACCTGAGCCACTCTGGTCCAAGCTTGTGTTGGTAAGATCACCAAGAAAGGAGTGGCTTGGGCTGCACCCCGGCGCAAAAGTAGCTGTCCCATCGCCACCGCCGACAGAGCACAGTGCCGAGGGAGTCATATCACCAGTCACCTCCGAACACCCGCTGGTCGATGAGCAGCCCTTGAATAATCTGTGCACCCAAAATCCCCTGCCAGTTGCGACTGCGAATCCAACCGTTGCAGGCACAAAATCCGAACCATGCACTCCTGGCACTTGTGGGTACCGTGATATCCTTACGAAAGACCTCGAAAAATGTACGTTTCAGGTCGAGGTCCTCAGGTGAGTAGTCAGCTCTCTACCATCATACTTCCTGACTTATTATCTAACCACTGATAGCAGCCCCCATGCAAAGGCTCCATGCACTCGCAGCCCTTCAATCAGCTATGTCACACCTCCTCGTTGGTTGCGCCGTTCATTTCGTGGGTCGCCATCAGCCAATAGCCCAGAGTGTGATTTGAAGAAGGATAATCTTTCCGAGCAGAGTCCTAGGAGTTTGAGAAAGAAATTTAGCACCTTGTTCGGTCGGTCCTTGACATCGCGGAGAAGTCGAGGCGCTTTGAAGGATTTGAGCTATGATTGAGTTCCTGTATCAGTTGGGGTGTGAATTAATGATGGTGTGTCGGTGGGTAAGTCAAGAGGACTTATGAGAGGCTCTTGATTTTGAGGGCTAGAGGGGTTTTGGGATCGAGATAAATGGCCCTTAAATTGTGGGAATGGGGCCGTGTATGCATATACACATCGTTATCATGATTCGCCCGTGGAGGAGGCAGTGTGGAGTAGCTTTTACCAGACCAGTCGTGGTCTTATTCTCAGACGCAAATCAAGCATGATTAGATCACTCGAATCTCCAAATTCCATTCCAGTCTCAGAAAAGTGGCAGAAAGAATCGTGTTGTACCTATTCCCAAGCCAGAAGAGATCGAAAGCAGTCTCAGTCCCCAAACTCCGTTCAGGTCCTAAGTATTAATCTTGTCCCGCAGTACGTACGGACTGAGCTGAACGCAACGAAACACAACGATCTCTGCCCCCGTCTACATCCAAACCCAGCCAGCCCCCGAACCCAAATAGACTATGTCTGCAGGTAATGAACTATTTGGCCGGGCGCAAAACAAGGGAACAAAGGAAGGAAAAACTGCCGTTGGTTTGTGATTTACTTGATTTGCCTTGAGTGTGTGGGTGGGACGGATGGGTGACCGTAATCGTCCATCTCACCGCCACCGTCCGAACCGAAACGCCTGCGATTTACCGGGAAGAATAACATGGTTGGAGAGGGCGGGAATCGAGGAAAGGGCGCTTTACAAGGACTCAAAACCGAAGGTGTTTTCCCCGGAGTAGGAGATGTAGAGAAACCTGTTCGCAGGGTTTGGGTTAGCTGTGGTTCCTTTGCGGGAGTTGCCGTGCTTGGGGTTCCAAACGATAAGGAAACGGAGGGGAGGGAAAAGGGAAACGTACCCGTCCTCGTCCTTGTGCTCCTCGTAAATGGACGACATCAACGCGGCGGTGGGTGGCAGCACCTCATCGACGAAGATGAAGATCGCCTTCTCGGGGGAGAGCTTGATGCGCTTGCGGATTACGTAGACGAACTGACCGACGGTCAGGTCCGCGGGCACCAGGTACTTCTTCTTGTCGATCGTCGCGATGTCGGACTTCTCGACCTTCTCGCAGATGACGGGGATGCGGTCGCTGTATTTTTGGCGCTGCGAGACGATGGTTAGTTTGATGGTTTGGAGGGGGTTGGTGGGGATGGAGGGGGGTACTCACGATGCGTTCGGCTTCAGCCTTGCGCTTCTCGAAGGGGTGCTCGTCCTTGAATTTGGATCGCATGGTGACTGATCTCGAAATGCGGTTCTTGGTGTTGCGGTTTTGTTTAGAGGAAGGAGGAGTGCGGCGGTTATGGTTGTCTTTTATGAAGGTTGCTTTGTGATGGAAGTACGAGGTGCTCTGCCTAAAAGACGGCGGGGGGAACGCTAGTGTCATTCGCAGCGGTGAATCAGGGCGTGTGCCTGGGAGTCACGGGATCCAGGATAGCCACAACGAATGACACGCTGACCGAGTGGAGGCGATGCTTGCAAATCAGCTGCCCTGAAGGCTTGCCATCCAGTGTCTTTCTTGATTCAAAGTGCCAAAACAGTCACGTACAAGTACAATGGAGAAATTGAAGTATTCCCTCTTAGCCAATCACAGCGGTCACAATTCCTTGTTGCCTGGTTTCGTATCTTTATGCCTCAGGTCTCATAAAAGCGGCCGCATCCATGGTGGCAGAACGAATCCTCGCTCAAGACGGCGAACTCGTTGTCATTACTTTCCGAATCGTCAGACTCAAATTCGGTCATAAACGTTCCACTCTCGCTCTCTTCATTTTTCCTTTTCAATAGGACCGCCAGCTGCACCCGTTCACTCGGGTTTCCCCTAAATTGTGGTCTTATGTTCGTTGTACGATAATCGTGGCCATTGCTGCTTTCCAGCTCCCTCGAACACAATAATGTCTTCCCCCATCCGACCATGTCTGCGCTTCTCAAGCTTACCAAAGCTCTCCCCGCGAATTACCCAGCATATACGAAGTCGCAGGGCCTTTGCAGATTATCCCAAACCTCCAGATCCATCGAAAGAAGCCCGCAAGGGTGTTGTAGCTCCAAAAACTCGAATAGCTGTCGGGATCGTCTTTATTGGAGCTATGATTTATTCTATGGTAGCTTCTGTCCCTTTGACGGCGGGTTTGGGCATGTTGTATTAATATCTTACAGGTAACGGAGGAGCCCACGAAGGCTGATACGGCCACAATTGCCGAGAGGGACTCTCAACTCAAAAGGGAATCAGGCGTCACAGAGAACTCCCCAATGCGATTACGAATGGAAGAATTCATAAAGCAGCAACAGAAGGAGATTGTCCAAGAGTTGGAGAAGGTAGATGGGAAGAAGTTTCGAGTGGATACTTGGACACGAGAGAATGGTGGAGGAGGTATCTCGAGTGTTCTACAAGATGGAAACGTCTTTGAGAAAGCTGGCGTAAACATCAGCGTAGTCTATGGAACCCTTCCCCGACCGGCGATCGAGAAGATGCGGGTTAATCACAAGGCTATTGACCCCACCGTGAATTCTCTGGATTTCTTCGCGGCTGGCTTGAGTATGGTCCTTCATCCTGTCAATCCTATGGCACCCACAGTTCACCTCAACTACCGATACTTTGAGACCGCAAATCCAGATGGAACCTCGAACGCATGGTGGTTCGGTGGTGGAACGGATCTTACGCCCAGCTACCTCTTCGACGAAGACGCCATCCACTTCCACAAAACGATAAAGGAAGCCTGCGACAAGCACGACAAATCATACTACCCCCGCTTCAAGAAGTGGTGTGACAACTACTTCGTCAACAAGCACCGCAGCGAGTCCCGCGGTGTAGGAGGGATCTTCTTCGACGATCTAGATGAGCAGGAGAAAGATCAAGATAATACATTTGCATTCGCGCAGAGCTGCTTGAAAGCCTTCCTTCCGTCGTATATCCCGATCATCATGAAGAGGAAGGACATGCCGTTCACGGAGAAGGAGAAGGAATGGCAGCAGATTCGGAGGGGCAGATATGTGGAGTTCAATCTCGTGCATGATCGTGGAACAGCCTTTGGGCTAAATACCCCTAGCGCGAGGGTCGAGAGCATTCTGATGAGTCTGCCCCTGACGGCGCAGTGGAGATATATGTTCGAGCCGGAGAAAGGGAGTCGAGAGCAGAGACTTGTGGATGTATTGAGAGAACCCAGGGAATGGATTTGAATGTTAGATACCGTGATGTTTAGAATGTACATTGTACATTACAGAGCAAGAACAATTGCTCTCCTTATAACGAATGAATAGAGTCACCCATCTGCTGTCTCTTCTCTCCTCGCCAAAAGAAAGGGGTCGGCTATTGTTAGCGAATTGGAATTGGCACCTTGTTGACGTTGACGTAACTTCATTTTCCTCTGCTCTTTTAACAAACACCGGTTTTTAAAACAACCTCGGATGCGACTCCTAAAGTGGGAATCCCAAAGGTATCAGCGTGAGAATGAGCATTATCCACTCAAATCCCCATTCACTTGGCCTGCTCACCTCAAAATGTCAACTTCCCTTCCAACCACAAGAAACCTCCTCACCTCCCTCCTCAACACCCTCACCGCTCCCACCATTCAACAACCATCAAATACCATGAACGAGCCATACTCCACACCCAATAACCCGCTGAAAACCCTCCCTGCGGCTCAGCGCGCTTTGCTCACAACATTGCACGTGCTGTTCCCCCCTCCGATGCTGTTGCAGGCTCTCGACCTCCTAGATCGGGGACTTGTTTTACGTCTTATCGAAAGAACTCCTCTTTCCGCCTCCGAGCGGAACCCATCCGGCCAGGAGGAGATGGAGGATGTCGGGCAACCTGTCTTTCCACCGCAAGCCAATATCCATCTCGAAGCAGGAGCCGGAGAAAGTTCAACAGAAAGACCTGAAAAAGAGATTAGGAAAGGAGAGAGGAACACGGTATATCAGGTCCGCTCCTCCCAACCCCCAAAATCACGGTTTCGAGATAGTGGTGCGACGGCAACGGGAAGCAATGTCTACACCGTGCGTCTCGGAGCGTGGAATTGCTCGTGTGCTGCTTTTGCGTATTCTGCGTTCCCGGGTGGTGAGTCTAGTGGGAGGCCTTGGGTGTTGGATCGCGAGTGGGAGGGTGAGGGAGTGGGGAGGTTGAGAGAGGAGGTTGGGAAGGGTGAAGATGGGGAGTGGGAGTTTGGAGGGTCGAGTTTTAATGGGAGGGAGGGGGAAGGGGTGCCGGTTTGTAAGCATTTGGTTGCTTGTTTACTTGGGGAGAGGTGGGATTTTTTGGGAGGGTACGTGAGGGAGAGGGAAGTGAGTAGTGAGGAGATGGGTGGGGCTGGTGGTGAGGGTTGATCTGGTGAATCAGATTTGCAGTCAGTGGAAGGTGAGGAATTCTGCCTTTCTTCAGGGGGTTTTGAGAAATATGGGAGCTGGGTATTATTGCGTTTGGAGTCAGGACAAGACATGGCCAGGAGTTACGGAACGCAGGAGGATGATAAAGGCACAATTGCGTGGCTGTATTAAGCTACGCATCTATGATACAATGGCACATATCCCATGAATTGAAATATACTATGCCGTCTGATGTCCCATGAACACCCGGAAGAACCAAACGCCATCTTCATTATCGTCATCACTTCTTTTTGTCTTTCTCCTCTTTCTCCTTTTCGGCTTCCTTTCCCTCCTTCACTTCTCCATTCACGCCGTTCACGCCATTTATCTTCTTGTCTTTGTCATCTTTGACTTCGTCCTTCTTTGCCTCCTTCTCCTCTTGTTGTTGGCGGTTCTGGATCTTGTTCTCGATCAGATCGTGGAAGGCGGTGATGGCTCGGATCAAACTACTGAGGTAGATGGCCATCAGCTGATCGTTGGTCTTGATGCTCATAGCATGTGCGAGCTCGCTGTTGTTCTTTGCAGGTGTGTCAATACCGTTGGGGATGTGTGATGAAGCCTTTGGTGTAGAAAGATTTGGTAGGAGGTTGAAAACATCTTGCAAGTTGCCTAAGATTGCGTGGTTGACAGGCAGTTGTTTGTCGAGGACTTTTTGAAGGTATTGCCCAATGTCTCGTAACCGTAAATGCAGCCCTTGCAAAGATTGTAGTTGTGATGTGATTCTTGTTGACAAGGTTCCAACGGCAACATCTCGAATATCTCTCAGCAAATGCTCAACTCCAATCTCCTCCGCCTCTTCGGCTTCGATGATCGAGGGCGTGTGCACGAAGGTCTTGGATGTAGTGGTTCCGTCCTAGGGGCAAACATCAGCACCATCTTATCGAAAAGGTTGCAGCAGCGATCCTTACATCTTTGATCTCTTCAACCGCAAAGTATGCATCTGTTGGTACACCCGCCTCCTTCGGTTGAACATCGATAATAACCAGTAATGGATTAGGTGTGTATCTCTTGAACAGCTCGTTGATCTCCAAATCAGAAGCTCTCAGCTTAGGCCCCGAGTGGTACCATCCTATCAACTTCTCTCTTGCATTGATCTTCTTGAACATGTCGTTCATCGACTCGACGTAGTTGTGATCCAGAAACCATACTGAAGGGTCCTTGTCATCTTCTTCGAAAGGGACTGGAAGGCAAACGATCAGGACCAAGCTCCTAGGGAATCTCGACATCTCGATTTTAAAGCATAAACGTACCAGCAAAGCTGTTTGATACCCTCACGTTCTTGCCATCATTCTGCCCTAGCAAAACTCCAACCACTCGTTTGCGCGTGCCCTTGGCTGAACGGCCATAATGATCTGCAGCTGAGAGAAGGACGAGGGGGGCAACCGAGACGGTCCTCGAGACGAAAGAGAGCGTTTCCGCTGTAGTGGCAGGCATGATGGTTTGGAGAGTTGAATGGGGATTTTTCGAAGAAGTTGTTGATCAGGCTGCTTGGATTTCGCGGCGGCTTCACAAAGCTCGCCAAAAGAGGCCTAAGCTCACAGAAAGTTCAATGCGGCATCACGTGAAAGCAAGCAGTTCAAGACCAGGAAGGAACCAACAGCGTCTGAGGTTTCTCCGGACAAACGCGGAGCACTTTTGAATTGCTTCTTGTCTTGAGACTGCAGCCCGAAGTCGGATCTGGTCAATTTCAGTTCTGCTCTTGTCCCAGCCGGAAATCTGTCACTCTCATCTTCGGGTCACAGGAACGAAAGGCTCGGTTTCCGGGCCCCGGTCGCCGTGGACGAGCCGAGCTTAGGTTGAGCCAAGCTTCTTTAAATCCGCAACATAATCCACATTCTGAAGCTGTCGCAACACCCAACAACTCTTCCCCCCTACGCGAGTTGCTCTTGAAGGAGGCTACCAGCATTCATCTTCACCTTGGTCAGGTTTGCACGCTCTTCACCATTTCACAATGGCACCAATTGGCGATGATACTGTTAAGGCGCTGCAAGACTTGGTCAATAAGCTTGAGTCGCGAGTAAAGCAGCTCGAGGACAAGCTCACCCATGCCCAAGGCGGTACGAAGCACACTGTAGAAGAGGGCGTTCGGATGATCTTGATGGGTCCACCTGGGGCTGGTATGTTTTCATGATCTTTCTGCCGTCGATACACCGTGCTGGGCCGCCGGCTAATTGGGGTTCTGCAGGCAAGGGCACTCAAGCTCCCAAGATCAAGGAGAGATTCAGTTGCTGTCACTTGGTATGTAGCCTTAAAAATTATGGAGGTGTGTGAAGCTGACCTAACATCATGTAAAGGCAACCGGAGACATGCTTCGATCACAAGTTGCTAAGAAGACACCATTGGGCAAGGAGGCCAAGAAGATCATGGACCAAGGTGGACTCGTCAGTGACGAGATTGTCATTGGTATGATCAAGGCGGAATTAGAGACCAACCAGGAGTGTGCCGGAGGGTAAGTTTAAGCCAGGATCAACATCTTGTACTGCACAACTCACACAGGATACAGCTTTATCCTTGATGGTTTCCCACGAACAGTCGTACAAGCACAAAGATTGGACCAAATGCTGGCGGAACGCAACCAGAAGTTGCAACACGCTGTCGAGCTTCAAATCGATGATGGCCTCCTCGTCTCGCGGATAACAGGGCGTCTAATTCACCCAGCCTCCGGCCGATCATACCATAAGATTTTCAACCCACCTAAGGAGAACATGAAGGATGATGTTACGGGCGAGCCATTGATTCAAAGATCGGACGACAACGCTGACGCCTTGAAGAAGCGACTGGTCACCTATCATCAACAAACTGCACCTGTGGTTGGATATTACCAAAAGACGGGTATCTGGAAGGGTATTGATGCCAGCCAAGAACCGGGGCAAGTTTGGAAGAGCCTTCTCGGAGTTTTTGAGGCGGAAAAAAAACAGCAGGCCAAGAGCGGGAGTCTGCTCAGCAGGATTACAGGGCACTGAATCGAGCGAACTTTGTAATTGGCGCGGCGGCCAAGATTTGCATAGATTTCGAAAAGTTTACGGTTACTGCTTGGGGTGAGTGAGCATCTTGTGTTCACAACACTCAGGGCGGGAGGGCAACTGCACGAATTTGTACGACCACTTACCACGTGGGTTTGATGCCCATTTTTTAAGGGGCTGTATGTACATTAGTGTCTGGGAACAATGGACCAGAATGTTAATGTGGCCCGCATCATCTCATGCAAGATCTCAGGTCCGGATCCGTGGACTCAGGATCATTGTTCCTCTTCCCCATCGCATCATTGAGACCGGGTGGCTACGAGTTCTGCAGATCGGTCGACTTCCGTTCCAATCGATAGAACGCTTCCATGCAGCGTGCCGCTGAAGATGTTACACCACGCCTGAGTTTGGATGCACACCACGATCTCCATTAACATCAGGGCTGTGAGACCCCAACCATATAAGAGAGGAAGTCTCCTGCCAGTGGCGTGAGTTGTACCCATTCGAACTGTCACCGTCGAGCGAAATAATCAAACTGTAACATTGTATTTTTTTTCCAAGCTTCAAGCTCCAGCATCTCATTGAGTTGACCTCTTACTTCAGAACGAAATCCAGAACGAAAGTACGCCTTCAGCTCGGTGCTATCAATTAGGATTGTACTCAAGATGCCTGCTCAAGCAAAGCCCTCGAGAGCATCACAGAGGCAAGTCTCAACTTCTTGGAGCAATAATCCGCATGGAATCAATGTCCCACAGCTCTGAGGATATCCTGCTCGTAATGTCCCAACAGCACTGGGAACACTCTACTCCCGAGAACACCCGAAAGAAGTACACTGACTCCGATTCCTTGCGAATAGGTACTCTGCTGGCACACAATTTGATGTACCAATGAGTGTCTTCAACGCGGATCTCCTGGCGCTTGATAGGAGAAGTGGGAGTCGAAGTTCGAAGGGAGCGGTACGCCACTTTTCTCTGATGCTCATGGTTTTTTCTCTCCTGGTCGCGTTGATTTCTCCTCAAGTTCTCCTTCAATATTCACCGTGAAGCGTGACCAAATGTCGCCCGGACTTCACCCTTGACATAAATTCACTTGAACAGTCAACCTTCTTCGCCCATGACTTCGTAAGCCGAAAAGATAAACTTGAACGGAAGCCTTTTTCTTAATGTCCACAAGCTGATTGGACAATGGGCCAACGACAGAGTAAGAACAAGGCGGTACCCATCAGCCTTGACGGCGTCATGGACCAGTCATCGAGTGCTCCGAAGGTACAGCAACGTCCAAGAAAGAGTCTTGGCGAGATCCAGGTCAGCCTCGAGTTGTGATAAAGGAGCTCAGTCGAGAGCTTGAATCCCCATCCTCTCCTCTTAGTCTGTTCTTTCTCGGCCCTCATCGTCACTCCCTATATCCCATTGGTAAGACACTGACCATAATATTAGAACCAGCAATCCCCCAACAGCACCCACACTTACGCCCGTCCGATCGGCACCGAGCTCGTATGCAAAAAGCACCCCTCGTGCTCCGGCCTCCCTCCAACTTGGAACCACATCCACGACCGCTTCATCACCTACCTAGCGACCCACGCACCGCTTGACAGGAACGGCAACGTCCCGCGGCAGGAGGAGAATCGGGAGCGTTGGAAGAGCGAAGACATTTCTCGACTTGCGATGGAGAGGTTCCCGGAGATCGGAAGATACTACGTGAGTCTATTCCTGCTTTCTTGCTTGTCAGTTTATAGAGACATCAGTGTGGCCGAGGGTGGTGGAAAAAGGAAATCAGTTGGAAACAAGGTCGAGGCTAACATGACGAAAAGCAAATCAAGGTTAGCATGATCGAGAAGCGTCTTGCACTCCTTGACCAAGCCGAGAACGACTACTTCAAGATGCCGTACGGAGCTTATGCGAGTGAGGAATGGGGACGTGGAATCTGATCATCTCCTTCCGGAAGAGTTTCTCGGCGTACTTTCTTTCAAAGCGTGTGCATGCAGACTCTGGGAATTGGGCTCTGAAGATCAGTTTGCTTTTGCGTTTTTTGGAGTTGATTAATAGAAAACGGTCCCCAATACAGTATCTAAGCTTGTGAAATAGGGGCTTAGGTTCGGGCAATCGAAGATCAAGTTCTGCTTTTCTTTTCCTTCCATTTTGACTGTTCTTTTTGCCACTTACACATATTCGTTTGCGCCGATTTTGTTTTCCGCCGCCGGCCTCGAGTTCCGGTTCGAGTTAGCAGGGCAAACTCTCGATCTCAAGAAGGCACAAAACCATCCACAGGAAATAATGAATGTCCGTCCCAAAGTGCCAGCGACGATTGAAGAAGAGCAGACGTAAAAGCAGACCAGCAACCGAGATGTGGCATTCCAAACATTCGGCGCTTCGCTCGATATGTCCACGCGCGCTTTATCCTTCTGCACCGCATCACGGATCTTTCATGTCCCCCATCGACGATTCGCGATTCATCGGACTCGGGCCATCGCTCCCAGACAACATGCCACGCTCCCTCGTTTCGATGTCCTCCACCCAGTCACACGCAAGCAGGGCCTGTAACTGACTCGCATCTCACGTTCTAGGAGGAATAAATGGGAGATTTTTGTTGCACGTAGCAATTCCCGTCGGAAGTGGTGTCCGACGAATGTTTGGCTATTTCATAGATGGACTGGGGGTTGTGTCCGATGGCGAGGGACATGATGAGGGGAGGTGAGGGGAGGAAGTTACCATACTGCATTCTGAGTTCGGATGCGGGAGCCGTGATGGGCGAGTGCGGGAGCGGGGTGAGCGCCGATTGCAGGGGTTGGGGTCCCTTCTACTAAAGTACATGTCTTGTCAAGACCTTGGGGATGTTCTTGGCTCGAATGTGGGAATGATTTCGCTCTCTTGTCCCAGATGGAATAACGGCAGTGAGACGGAGTAGCCAGATGACCGTGTCTTCACGTGTCTATTTAAAGTGTATCGTCTAAGAACCGGTATATGTGGGGAAAAGGGGTATACGCAAATTCTGGAATGACCCTGCCCACGAACCCGAGCATCCATCTCTGCATCCAAAAAACAATGCCCTCGTCCACCAAACCATGCAATCCATCAACTTTAAAAATGCCCAACAAATTCTCCAATGCGAGCATAAAGTCATATCATCCCCTCATCTCATCATTCATCGTCGCGGCGTAGCATTGACCATCTGCCTCTGTTTGTTCAACCAACTCCTCGGGGCGTCCTGTCTGCGTTGCAATACCACATGATTGCTCTGCAACCGGGTCGTGAGATCGTACCATGCAGTAGAAATCAGGGCGTTTTCGCGGGTGAGGTTCTTTATCTTGGCTTCATATTCCACCTTCACAAAGTCATCAGATCAGCACTCACAATCACAGGGCTCCAAAGACCGCTAGGTATGGGGGGACAGGAATGGGAAATGTGTATGATTAAGAAATTAGAGGCCCTCGCATAATTTCGAACAACAAAAGAATTACGACTGATTGAAGGAAATGATGGACGGGGTACCTTCTGAGCGTCCGGACTGCCTTCTTCGGCGCTTTTGAGTCTTCGTTGAAGGTCTTGAATGATTGCATCCTGGGTCTTGGCCTGCTGTAAAGGATGTCAGTTATCGTCGAGGCCTCGTGGTTTTGTACAACGTTTGAGATCTGTACGCTCAAAACGAGGTCGAATTGGTGAAGCAGGAAGAGGGATTGTTCTTGGTGAAATGAGAGGACGCGGGATCGCTGGGACACCACCGAAAATAGATCGCTCTCGCTGGAGAGTAAGCTCTAGATTCTCGAGTGATGCTTGATCTGGCTCGGGCGTAGGCCCACGCCCGGTAGCTTGAGCGCTAGAAGTATAAGGGTGGAAAGAAAGACGTTGAGGACGCGGAATCGTTCGGGTGATACCGACGGCACCATTCTCTCGCTCGAGATTTTCTGGACTACCAAGTGTTGCTTGATCTGATTCAAGTTCGGGCTCAGGTGCAGGCTCAGATGCAGGCTCAGGCCTGGTAGGTTGAGCTCTAGGAGTGTATGGAAGGAAGGAAAGACGTGAAAGTGTTTTCAAAAAACCCCGTCCTTTTTTGGCTGGACTTGGAGATTCTGGTGGTGGAATGACTTTGCTCACCTCTTGCAGAGCCTTCCGGGCATTCTCCTCCTCGATGATGGCCTCAGACTGAGCTTTTTGATAAGCATCGTCCCCATTGGTTCCGGTTCGCTCTTTGAAGGAGGCTAAATCTTTCATTGATTTGTCCTTGGACAACAATGCATCGATGAGCTGCGTTTTCTGCTGCTCATGATCAGTTGTTAAAGCTTTATGCTTGCTCTGGAGTATTTCCAAGTCATTCTTGAAAGATGTAGTGATTATCTCGTTTGTTCGTTTGAGATCTTCCAGAGCAACCATTTCTTCTTGATCGATCGCGGCCACTGCATTTCCGTTAGCTTTTATACTTTCAGATGGGAACTTTGGGGGGATGTTTTACAGTCTGCTTTTGCAGCAAGCAATTCTCGGTCTCGACTTGATAGTTCAGCCTGGATTTCGGCGAGCCTGCTCTTGATAGACGTGAGCTCTTGATTGGCTTCGAGGTATAGTTTTCGTGTAGACATAACGGCCTCGTTCCTGTAGAAATCATCTGTAAGAATCTGAAGAGAACCAAAGTTCATTACACAATCGATTGCTTGGACTAACTTTTCGCCTGAAGAATTGCCAATCATCGCATTGAGCTGCATCTGTCCAATAGTGTGCTTCTCGGTAAGGTCTCGGAGGTTCTCTTCGAGTCTCTTCCGGATTCTCTCCACATCTTCAAGCTCGATTCGAAGTGTTGCTTTGGTTGCTCCAGCATTGGAACTCTTCAACACTTGAATCTCTGCTTTGAGCCTTGAATTTTCGAGAGCGTAATTCGGTCCTGCATTGTCGCTCTGCTCGAGCTCTTCCTCCAAACTTAAGGGACCAGACCTAGCAGCACGAGGCGAACTCGGAGATGGAGGAGGGCCTGCCGTATTGGTTCTAATCTGTTCCTGTAATGTCTCAATGAATCTTTCGTCGTGTTGCTGCCTCGATTGAAGACGGGCAACTTCGTCGTATTGGTTCCGTAGCTCTTCTTCAAGATTTCTCCTCTGATTACTTAACTGAAGGACATCATTCTCATATGATGCGAATCTCTTCTCGTATTCTGTAGCCGTCACGACGTGTTTTGCATTCTCTTCGTGGACCCTATCGAATTCTTTCTGGTTCTCTTCGAGGACGTCAATACGGCGGCGCAAATTATCATTCTCTCGCTCTATACTCTTTTGCAGTTCGAGCTTTTGTTTGAAATGATCCACCATATTGGCTTTCTTAGTAAGAGTCGTGATGTCGTTCTTCAGTTCTTTTAGTTTGTCTTCGGCTTCTACTAATCTTGCTGCTGCTGGACGAAGAGAAGCAAGCTCCTTCTGATCTCTCTCCTTGATAACACGGTCGGTCTCCATTTGCTGCTCCTGGGTAGCAATAAGGTCGTTCTGTTCCTGGACTTGGGCCTGCAAGCGGGTGATGAAATTTGCCCTGTCATCATTATTGGAGCTCCGAAGAGCCTCCAGCTCGCGGTCTGCTTCTTTGCTATGGGAAAGTAATTGCTCGTGACTATCCTCTAAACGTTCAAACCTGGTGAGGAAGTCTGCATATCGCTTCGTCAGGGCTTCGTGATCCGCGGAAAGTTTAGCATAAGCGGCTTCGGCTGCTAGGTCAAGGTCTTTTGTTAGTTTTGGGGGCATGGATGCATCCTCAAAGTTTGACTCTCGTTGCATATCTGTAGGCAACTATACCTTGTCAGCTGAATCAAGACAAATAGGTTCTTTGTGGTTTACTTCTTGCTCTGCACATATGGCCGCAATCCGTCCTTGATCTTTCTCATCAAGACGCATAATTCGACTGACATATTCTTGGGGGTCGGTGTTTCTCGTTGCTGCCATGAGGAAAATCTTGAGGAGCTGGACGCATAAGTCAGTTACGTGGGAATCGAGTTGTCTTGTTTTGATTTGAAGAGCTACCTGCACCGTCTGTTTCTCGTCATCGTGTTCTGCAATAGCATTGAAATCTACCGGGTCTCTAAGAGCGGTTTCGATATATTCGGTGCAGTGGTTTTGGATAAACCGGATGAGAGATTTGTAGACAGCTTCCAGGCTCTTTTTCTTGGCCAGCCATTTGGACGGACTCGTGTGGTTTTCGGCATCAACGGCGTATCTGGGATCGAGGTCCTCTGCAGCAATCAAAAGTCAGGTCATGGACATAAAAGAAGGGGAGATGTAAAGAGGTGGCCTATTCTGCACCTACCCAGCATTTTTGAAAAGACGAATCCATCACTAAGCTCTGAGAGGGACTCTACTTTCGAGTCAAGAGGAAATGTGTTCACCTGCAAACAAGGTAAGCAAATGCGTACAACTCAGGATGTCACGGAGGGGTAATACCCAGTTGAGCAGAGTGCTCTCGGTTCCCGACTTGGCCAGCATTGTAGCTGCCCGGGCCCCTTCTATTCGGGGGTTTGCGGTTGTCAAAAGGGGACAAAAGGTGTGTAAGGGAGAGAGATTGGTTTGGTGATTGTGCTTCGAAAGTTGTATGACATCTTGAACAGCCGGCCAGCGTTGGGGCTGATTTATGCCGGACTGTGTTTCATTGTTCGAGTCGCAAGCTCGAGCCCAATTCCTTGTCGCGATCTCGTCAGCGAGCTTCTAGACGCGATTGTCCTTCAGCGAATCCCAGGCTGTTGTCCTTTATCGGCACTTGTAAGTCTAACAAAGGCATTGTTCAAAAGACCTCTATGCAATACTTCAATCTCTCTCCTTTATCAACTCAACAATGAATAAAGAACGGGCGCTCCATAATTGCCTTTGACCCCTTGCTGTCCAATGACATCACGCGTTCAGGGCACAGCAGCAGCCTGCAGTTGGATTCTCAAAGACTGCAGCCAGTCAAGCCACTTTCGACGGTAAGCATCAGAGGAAGTGGCTTCTTTTACTTTTCCAACAGCAACTACTATGCCTCAAGTGACATTGTCCTCAGTCAAAATTATAATTTAGAGAGACTTGGAGCGATTAAGATTTATTCTAGTTCGAGAATCTCATGATTTCGGGAAGGGGTAGAGTTTTGATTCACGACAGCTCCAGGGAACAATCGGACTAGAAGCAATTGAAACGTCCCCAGTGGGCATGGTGCACTTAGTCCCGCTTTTGCTGTCCACCGCGAGGATGTCTCGCTATATATTGAAAGACATTCGAGCGGGGGAAGAGAATATCCGTGGTTGGAATTGGAGAAGGGCCTCCTCATCGACCGTTAATCGTTCAAAGAACCAATTTTGTATGGTTTACAGTTTTCCCTCTGCGCCAACCCTCCATTGTGCTTTGCGCCATGAGAAATCGGCCCGGTTGTCCATATTGCCAAACTCCATCCAGTACCCATCATGCATGTTCGTTATGTACGCCGTCCCAGCCGGCCAGTATTGCAGCCTCCTCATCACGAACTCTTGCCCCCGGCGATAGAAACCATTTGGTCTTCTTCAATCACGGCGTGGTAATCATTTCCCATTGTCTGAACTGTGTCGAGAACTTTTGCGGAAGCTTTTGCGGCGAATCCCCTGGAAGGTCCGTTAGATGATTACTATACGAAGCCATGGAATGATACTAACTTGATCAACTTGTATTCGTGTGTAATAACGCCTCCAGCTGCAAGAATAGCATCCTTTGCCTGGTCGACAATGCTATCTGGGGTGTCGTTTGGATATGAGACGATGACGGCTTTCTGGGGTTGTACTACAGCCATTGCGACAGTAATGAAGGCAAGGATCGAAAGAATGGTGAATTTCATGGCATTCGTTTTCTTTTGTGTTCAGGTGTTGTTGGTGGTATGTTGAAGAGGAAGGGTGAGGGAGGCATCCACGGCCTTATGTCGGAGCCTGATGTGCCGCAGCCAAGCATCCCATCCGGAGAAAGCGGGTGGGTCATGGTCACGTGCTGCTTGTCATTATGCCATAGTCTATAGATCCGTGAGTGATTACTTGATTTCATTGGAACGGGCGAATTTAAGCATAGATAGTCAACTTAGTCTTTCTAAGACTATCCTAAACATTTACGATTAAGATATCTTTGAACAATCTTGGTTCTTGGTTGCTCATTCCCCAAGCGGAGAAAAGTGACGCCGCAACCGGCAGGCTAAAAATAAGCCGGCTCGAACAGACAAGAACCGAACTGCAAATCATCTTTGTCGCCATCCACCTTCGGCAACCACGACCCTCCTCAGCACCAACAACGACAAGACATCGAATGCGACTCATACACTTGCGCGATTCCGACTGACCGATCGGCCGCCCGAGATTTCATTCATTCTGAGGACTTGAGGTTGCGCAGAGGAGGTGGGCGAGCGGAGCAAGGCTGAACCGATTGACAAACAAAGGCGAGACGGCGGGAGGATTGGCAGTCATCAAATACACACTTCTAGTTCTCATCGAGTTGAATACCTGTGCATGGATCTAGCTAGCTGTCTTTGAAAAGATCTGTTCTCGAGATCGGAAGCCCGGTGGTTTCCGTGCGAGACGTTCCGTTTTGAAAGCCTTTCTCTTCACCCTCCCTCCTAGCACTTCTCCTGGCTTTGCAACAGCCCAACATGTCGTACGGTCAAGGACCTGATGATATAGCGGAGGATTTTAAGTCAGCCTTGCAGGACCTTAGCGTAGGTGACTTCTCTGATCCCAACTCTCCTTTTAGATGCATGGCGATGTTTTTCTCCTCTCTAGAGTAGAAACTCGCGAAACAATGTTCCAGCTCTCAAAACTCTCCCAGAATAGGCACCGCTGACACCTAGATCATCTAGATAAATGTACGAATCCCGCCGGAGCTCCACATGTCCTACTGTAATCTTGGACAGGCAGAAGTCTGTCCTGTCCACGAGACCCTTATTCCATAGACATCCTCAGATCAACGAATGCTGACACCACGGCAGTCAAGGTTCGAAATAAGTAATCTTACGATCATTGCAAAGGAGAATACAGAGCACGCCTTTGCGATTTCCGAAGCTCTTAAGCTTCACCTCAAACAAACCTCCCCGCAGAAGAAACTCCCTGCTTTCTATGTCCTCGATTCCATCGTCAAGAATGTCGGCACGCCATACACACTGTTCTTTGGTCGGCAACTCTACGCAACCTTTATGGAAGCTTACGCTTTGGTTGACACTAGTGTACGGAGGAAGATGGATGAGATGTTGAAGACCTGGAAAGAGCCTGTGCCTGGTTCAATGGATCCTCGACCTGTATTCCCCCCTGAGCTCACACGTCCAATTGAAAATGCCTTGATTAAGGCCAAAACTTCCTTTGTTCAGGCCCATCAGGAACATCTCAAAAACCAACAACAACAGCTGAACCGAGGTCGGTCGACCGCTTCTCCTGCTGGATATCGAGATACTCCAACCCCACCAAATGCGTATCGACCGCCCCCACCCAATGTTACGCCAGGATATGGCCCAAACTACCCTCCACAACAACAATATGCCTCTCCTCCCATAAATGGACAGCAATACCCGAATCAGCCAAATGGTCAGCAACCATATGGACCCCCGCCAGTAAGAATTCTTGAATTCTTATCATCGTCCTCTCACTGACAATTTCATAGGGACCACCTAGTCAGCAGTATCCTCCACAAGTAGCTTCAGGGCCGCCTTCATGGCAGCAACCACCATCTCAGGGGTATCAGGTGGCTGAAAATAGCATAGCAAGATTGAATAGTGACATTGACAAGCTTATCACTACGTCAAAGGCGGAATGGGCTCAAAATCCTTACGATAACAGTATTGGAACGAGACTGAAAGCCTTGCTTGATTTGCAGACTATTTTGCAAAACCAACAACTGCCACCAAATCAAATTGCCCTCATAAAAGATCAAGTTGATCAGCTGTCTGAAGCCTCTCAGGCACCTAAAACCCAGCTCCCTCCAGCACCAGTATATCCTCCTGCACCCGTAGCAGCTACTCAGCCGCCGGCTCAGCAGCCCTCGTTGAGTTCAATTCTTGGTCCAGGTGCTCTTGCAGCATTGGCAAGAGCCTCTGCAACTCCTCAGCCCGCGGCCCCTATAAATGCAGGGGCCCCAATTCGCTCTCCTCAGCCTCAGTATGCTCAACCTTCCTATCAACAACCTCCCGCCACGGCACCGGCTTCTACGCCAATTCCGGAAGCTAGCTCTTTGCTCGAACGACTGCGAGCTGCTGGAATGCTTCCAGCCGTTTCAACACCAACTAGTGCACCAACTCCAATGAGCTCTTTGCCTGTGCCACCAGGTTTCCCTCCGTCATTTCTCAACACTCCGCCGAGCGCCTCTCGGACGCCGCTGGCAAACTTGTCCAATGATGTTGTTCTGAAGCCTGCTTCCCTCAAAGAGTAAGCTTGTAGTCTCTTCCATTAATGTTTTCGCATCTAATATTGTTAGGAAACGGCCTCATCTCATCTCCAGCCTTTATGAGCGACTGGGGGCGCCTTGCACTCAATGTGGCCGTCGCTTCCAGGCAGACGAAGAAGGCAAGAAAAAGAAGACCGCTCACATGGACTGGCACTTCAAAGTTCATCAACGGATGGCTGAAGCAGAGGCGAGAGGACAACATCGAAGTTGGTATGTTGACGAATTGGTAAGTCTTGCTCTAAAATAATTTCAAAGCTCTGCTAACAGTACTCAGGATTGGATCAAATCCCGTGAAGTAGAAGACGAGTCAGGCACGGCTACCACAGTTGCAAATAACTCAAGCGCCGCCTCTGCAGCAGCAAACAACCCCAAGCTCCAGTATCTTGCAGTGCCAGACGATCCTGCTCTCGCAAACAGTCTTTGTCCCATCTGCCAAGAGAAATTCGAGATGAAGTGGCTTGATGAGGCGCAAGAGTTTGTCTGGATGGATGCGAAGAAGGTCGGAGACCGCATCTACCACGCAAGTTGCTACGCAGAGGCAACGAAGGATGTAATTACGCAGGTCAAGAGGGGTACGCCTGAGCCTGCAGGCGTGCTAGGAAAGCGGAAAGCTGAGGTAAGCCGTTTTCTCCCACACATATATGAGTTATAGTTGACTAATATAGAATTAGGATGATTACATGGCGTTGCGAACGAAGATCAAGACAGAAAATTAGGTTAATGGTGCACAGATACCATAGACAGATTTTGCATGGTGGGACCGTTTCTTCTCTAAAATAAGCATAGCATAGGCGTTGCAAGGAGCCAGATTAGATACCAAAATAATCAAGACTTTAAAACAGGCTTCCTTTCCTTAAGCCCCTCTCTTTGTTCACTATCGTGCCCGGCATTTCTTGTGTCTTGAGCCGACCATAGAGCCGTGCAAGCGCCAACTATTGACCGCCCTTCCACCGCCAGAAGACAAAGCGCCTCATCATCCACGACTGGGCTTCCTAGTGCAACTTTCCACATGAGCCTTGAGAAAGGCTTCCCAACATCACTGGCAGATGATTTGCATTTAAAAGGACAATCTTTGTCTGGGTCTACTTGTCCCACATGATAAGTGAAGTACTCCTATTTCCGCAGACTTATTCAAATCGCTCGCTTCCAAACTCTCCCTTAATGCCGATTGAAAGTTTCCCCTCCTTGACAATTTCGTCTTTTCGCTCCATTAATTCATCAACGGACCAATTGACCTCGACGTACTTCCCACTTAGGAACGTAGCATTTTCCGTTGCCAGCCACACACCAAGACCACCAAGGAGCTCCGGGCTATCTTTTGCAAACGGTTTGAAGTAGTTGAGTGTTGCGTTGGTAAGGATGAGACCTGGATGTACGGCAACCGCTGTGACATTTGGGTTCTCAACAGCGATAAAAGCTTGAAGTTGCGTGAGAGCTAACTTTGAAATCGAGTAGGCTGATAGACCTGGGAAGGGCATATGGGCTGCAAAAGTGGTGAGACTGATGATTGCTCCTTTCTTTTCCTTCCCCAGGAGTTTCAGGAATCCTTGGGTGACGAGAAACGTCCCTTTCACGTTTGTTTCCTTCGATATGTTAGTACTATGCTGAACAGTCGCAGATCACTTACGAAGTCATTCCACCAGGAGTCAAGTGGTTGCTCCACAATGGTCCCCCCTGAAATAACTGCGGCATTATTGACGAGGACATCTGCATGGCCAAACTTCTCTTTGACTTTCTCCCAGAAAGATGCGACGGATTCAGCATTCTTGATATCAGTAGTTACGATTTCCACCAGAACATCTTTGTTGATAGCATGGATCTCATCCTTCACCTCCTCAAGGCCAGCTTCATTTCGAGATACAAGTACCATAGCTTTGGGTACTGCCTTCGCAAATGATTTCACAAAAGCCTGATGAGATCAATCATTACCACTGTTGAGCCTCAAGCTTGTAGAGTCCAGAATTTGTCATTTTTCCGACTCTAAAAAGGACTTACAAGTCTTCCAAGCCCCTTGCTAGGTCCAGTTATGACGATGACTTTTCCAGCCATACTGTTTGCTGGATTTGTGGGGTCACTAGAGCCAATCAGCAATATGTTTTCTTTGGGGGAGGGTGAACTGGGAGCTGTGAATTCCTCCCGGCCAGTGAAAATAGGAGCTCGGGGTACAGGCCAAAGAAATAGGTTCTGTACACGGTGGGGTAAACATCTCGGTACACAGTTTTTGTAAACTGTGCTTTCTTGACAAACATGTCACTTGGAGGATCCGCCATGGCTGTGTGTTTAAGGCGTGGAACGGTAGAATCTAGATTTGGAGGGTTCTCGGGTTCCTTTAGGCGCAGACAACGGGTTGTTTTAGAGTGGATTGATTTACCTAGCAACGCCGGACTGGCAGCGGCTGTATATATACAGGTTCTTAACTGCTATCACGGATGCAGCAGCCAAAGAGGCGTCGAACTGAAGATGATGCATCTCTGACAAATGCGGGGTTCTTCGAGGCGCGAGTGTCTGGGATTCCACCTCTGGCCATGTGGGGCTTCAAAAATCAATGAATGTTGTGGCTCCTTTTATGCGAGCAAGTCTCAAGGCTTGCTTTCCAGGTCTGGGTATCGAGCAGAGAGTCGTCTGGAAGGCTTGTTACGAGGTTTAGGGCGAGATCAAGCCAATATGTAGATTTGCTCCAGCCAATCACAGCTGCACGGCTCTCTGGACCGAATAGGTTTGGCTCGGAACGTCCGCTACTCGGACTTCGCGCATTCGCGTCTTCGCGTCCTGGGAGACACGGGGAAGAATTATAATTTCAAAGTACAGTGCATCCAAGTCCTGTACTTCGAAATCACATTTCTGATGGCTCCAATTGCTTACTTTGCTCACAAGTGTGCGTCTTACAAATGTTACCATACCAACAACATGTCGGCCGCGAACAGTAACATAAGGTAGCATAACAAAGTAAACAACGTTCAATGGGTGCAATTCATAGCAATCGAAGGACATTTTAGTTAGTTTGGTACAAGTATTTAAGGTGATTGAATTTCCTCTCTATTCTGTGTACAAGCCTTTCTCTTCTCATCTTCATTGAATCTCTACAAACATGGCCTTCAAAAAGATTGCAATTGCTGGTGCATCAGGATATCTTGGGCGCAAAATCTTGGACCATCTCCTCACTATTCCAATAGTCTCTCGGGTCACTGTGCTCACCCACTCGCCCTTGGCGGATTTTCCCTCCTCGCCCATCTTGACCGTCATCTCAATCCCCTCCTACCGAGCTGTTGCTGCCCTGACGTTGGCTCTTCAGGGTCATGAACTCTTGATCTCTGCTCTCTCCCGTCTTAGCGCCGATGAAACCGACGAATTTCTCATAGCAGCAGCAATTGCTGCCGGCGTGAGGCGTTATATGCCTTCAGAATACACCGTTGATTGCATGCATCCGCACGCGATTGCCGTCTCAGGTTCCACGGTCATAGCAGGCAAAATTGCAAGTGCTCAGAGGGTTCAACATTCAGCTGAAAAGGGCGAGATCGAGTATACTACGTTAGTGACTGGTGAGTCCCAACTTCTCGATGTGTCAATCCCTCTTGTAGCAATGTCCCAAAAGCTCTTGGGATATTCTACTCCCGAGAACACCTGAAAGAAGAATACTAACTCCGATTTCTCGGGAGCAGGTGCCTTTTTGGATTTCTGGTTTGAATACCCAAATCCCATCATTGACACCAACGCAAAGACAATCACCTTGTTAGATGGAGGTGAGAAGAAGATGACTGGCGTGACAACTGAGTTCGTAGCAAGATGCATTGGGGCTATTGTTGCAATGCCCGAAGAGTCTACAAACAATCAGCGGATCAGGATTGCGGAGGTCGAATATACAGGGAAAGCACTCCTTCAAACATTCGAGGAAGTGACGAATGAGAAGTGGACTGTAGTTGACAGAAGCACTGACGAAATCCTCAACGAGGCTGTGAAAGCAGGGGGGAAAGGAGACATGCGAGGGTTCTATATGGGAAATATCATCAAACTCAACTTTGATGGCGAAGGGGCTGGCTATTTCGAAGAAGGCATGGAGTGGTTAGATGGTGCTGTCAAAAGGCAGAGTCTGAAAGAGATAGTAGAGAGAAGTATTTCTCGCTTGAACTGGTAGGCTTTAATTGTTGAACTGGCTTCTCTGAATTGAATTTATAGGATTGTTTGGGGATTTTGGCTAAGCTGATGAGAGGTGTGGTGATTTTTCACTTGAATAACAAGATCCCCCAGATGGCTTCAATTTTACTGGTTCCTACAATCGAGGGTCCAAGATGTTTGGGGATATATGGACTTGCTATGCCTATGGACGAGGAGACGCGCAGGCCGTCGATTCCGAGGAGAGCTGCGGCCAGGAAAAGTTTCTGATGAGAGGTTATTGATGGTGATGGCTCATGATTGCAAGGAGAGTTACTTAGTTTATGTTAGTGTCGTCTCCTTGTTTGGTGCAATGGGAATACCCCGTCAAGCAGCGGCGTTGTCGGATTCTGAAGGGAGTCCTAAGAGGGGTTGGAAGTGCAGGCCAGTTTCTATCCTTGAGGCTTTTTTTAATCTTACCTTCTATACCTTAATAAGGGCTGCTGTCGATCGGCCTCTTTCCTATCTTCCGTGTATCTTACATTAGCGGCGGAGTCGGAGAGGATGGATTTTGGTTCTCCTGTCCTGAACTTTTTTGAGCTGCGGCTTTGATAATTTATTTTTCAATCACATTTGACAAGAACAACCTTGCACTGCCTTGGGTTACTTCTCAATCATTTTGAGATCTCAACTATTAGTTCGCAAAAACTGTAAGAGCAATCTGGCCCGATTAAGGTTATTCTTTAGTCCGAGACCTAAATATAGTTACCCTACACTAAGACACGACCATCCTCGGGAAGTGCCGTTCGAAGATCCTTTACTTCTACTCCCCCCGCCCACCCCTAATTAAATGTAACAGTGGGTCAAAATGCAGAGGTTTTTTGGTATGGTCCCAGGCTGGTTTTGCGGGGACCCACTATTACATTTACTAGTTGGGGGGGGGAGCAACATTTTTGGGTTTTTAGGAGCATTCTTGTGCCCACGAAAAGGGCCCCAGTTTGAGACTAAACTGGCCGCCTGACGGGGATTAGGTTAATGCCATCCACTCTCAGAATGCCTGCTTGGTTGATTTCGGAGGAGCTCAAGTCAATCTCAATAAATTGATTTCGAACGAAGGGACAGGACGTCAGTACATAGTTGTACTCACAACTCTCATCCACAATCGGTGGCTGGCTGAATACCGATTGGTAGGTCATATTTCGGTACGACGTGCAGCGGTGCAGCCGAGCCAAGACTCACTGACAGGGGCTGGCACTGGTTCCCCAAACCGCTAAAAGCAATTTGAGCTGCTTGACTTTCAGCTCTCCACGCATCGCAAGTTCTTAACATCAAATTCCTCAAGCTAGCGCTCTTTGTGGAAGTGACAGCGGCTCTGAGTGGAGCCAGCTCTGGATGACCAAACCATACCATACCAGGACAATGGTGTAGGCCACCCCGCATAGGGCTGGCTTACCCAGGACCACCTCTTTCCTATAATTCCTGCGCCTCTGCTGCAACCTCACTTATATCATCCTCCCCGTAGTGTGTCAGTACCATTTCCCTCCATTGTGCTTTGCATGGATAAGGAATATTTCGAGTCATGAGTACTCCGGCAAGCAAGTCTCGCTCCGAACGAACGAGCTGGTAAGTCTGCCTGTTCGTACCGACTTCCGGACAATCTCCGTCTTCGGGCTCACAGAGACGCCCCACTTCGTATATAGAGGCTTGCTGACTTGATCTTGCTTAACATCAGCGAAAATACTTCGCCTCAGCTTGTCTTCATTGTACAGACAGGAAGTAAGAAGAGTAAAGATGTTCAAACACAAATTCGGAAGCATGTCATGAAAGATATTGGGAAGTCGAGGCGTAAAGAGAAGCGTGGGCGCAAAATAAACTTGGATATCCCTTTTGGCGCCCCTTCTTATCCAAAGAACAATCCTGCTCCCCCCCGGACGTGGTCTGTAGACCATCAGAGGAAGGATGGCATCGATTCTCCGATAAACATGCCGGACATTTCAATAGATGCCCCGGGCCCTTCATATAAATCAATACCCGATGTAGAAAATACATCCACCCCACTACCGCACCTGCAGGGTGACCTGCATGATATCTTGTCACCTGCCATTGGGTGGCACGAAACCAAAGCATTTACTCCTGGTATTGAGAGGCTGTGGCATGGAAGCATGGACCCGTTTGTTCGATACCCGGTAGAGCTGAATGATAGAACCCGTGAACTTGTGGATCTTGGTAAGCAAAATAGTATCAATTTTGTAGCAGGATGTTTTTAACTCTTATCACATAGCATTTGACGACCGTTATATCAGCGTTGGGCCCTTCAGGGACGCATGTCTTCCTGTCGGCACGATGGACCCTGCTGCATTTCGTCAAGTGCTGTCCAATGCTCTTCTCAATATCAGCTGCCGTCGAACGGATAGCCCCTCCCAAGAGACGAACAATTTCATCAGACACCATGCGCTGGCTGTGAAGTCCGCCAACGAGCGGATTAGTGATGACAATTTTGCCATTTCGGATGGATTTCTTGGAGCTGCCATCGGTTTTGCCTGCTATTATGTAGGCATTGTCTAAGGAGCGAGAACGATTCGGTACTGACATGCATTTATAGTTTTATACGGGCAATCAAGCTGCATGGCGGATGCATCTCCAGGGCGTTGAAGACATTATTCGAATGCGAGGTGGTATACACACCCTTGACAAAAACAAAGCCGTGAGAACACTTCTGGGATGGTATTCCTTCCCCTCTTCCATCTCGAAATTGAACATTCCATCTTACGCTAAGTAGGTCCGACATAGGAGGATGCTCCATCGAAGACGCCCTCCCTATCTTTCCTCTTCCTCTCTCGATCCTCCCTAACCAAAACAATCTCCGCCCCTGTCCCCAAATCTCATCACAAGCCTTCCACGTCTTCCGCGCATGGATAACTCACTTCCCGCGCCACCTCGAGACCCTAGATCTCCTTCGTTTCGTCTCTCGATTCTCCTCTCACCTAAAAGTCGAAGTCATCAACACGAACAGAAAGATCTTCAGCGATGGGGATTTTGGCACCGGCTACTTATTCCCTTTGCTACATAGATGTCTCAGTCTGCCTCGGTACAACGCAGACGTTGACGAAACCGACGGAGCGATATTACAAGCTTGCAGACTTGCCTGTACCTTGTTCCTAGCGGATATCAAACGGATTTTTGGTGTCAACGCCGTTAGCTGTAGTCTACAAACTCAGAAATTGCGGGGGTATCTTGAGAGTAGTAAGGGGCATTGGGGAGAACTTCAGTTGCTGAGGTTGTGGTGTTTGGCGATGGGTGGGATTGAGAGTATTGGGCCCCTACGGGATTGGTATGCGAATGAATTGCGGGATGAAGGGGTGACTATGGGGCTGTATTCTTGGAAGCAGGTGGAGGGTGAGGTGAAATCGCTGCTGTGGTTTGATGAATGTCATACGCCTCTGTTTGTAGAGTTGGGGTTGGGTGTCAAATGAACGTCTGGGCTGAATGCGCTAGGAGGGAGGTCATATACCTCATTTCATAGCCCGCTTCGCTGCTGATGGGATGGACATCCAAATTTTTGCAGGTTAAAGTTCAGGGGGCCTAAGGGGCTTGGGGAACAATTTGTGCTCACTACAAAACTATGTATATTCTATCAGGACAAAAATCTTGATTGCGACGGTCCCCATTCCTCGGCGAACTCGAAATACTCTATGTATATCTACGTCTGATTTGCCATTCCATGTTCTCAAAATCTTAGCAGTCTCAACTCAAAGCAGTTAGAGACGACGCCTATGCCCAATGTCCCATACCCCACCCATGCAACCTCATTATCATACATCATCTATCGAGCACAAGGTGCCGCGCTTCGTCTAACTTATTTTACGCCTTTGCGGGAATCTTTCTTCGAAGCTTGATTGTCTGCTCATAGAGAACGTCTTTGAAGGCAAACAAGAATGCGGCAGTGAGGACACTCTGAGTAACCTTTGGTCCAATTCCTACGCAAGTCAGCGATATTTCAAACATATAAAATCATGACAGCAACATACCCTTGTAAAACCCAACATAGCCTTCCTCGTTGGTAATCCTTCTCATAGCATGAACCATATTCTCCTTACCACCATCGCGGCCAGCAACATGCATGCGGCTCTTGACCGTGATGTAGGGGTATGTAATGCTGGTAGCAAACAGCTTCCCGAGAGCACCCAACAAGAATGCAACGGTTGGCGTAATCCTCTTCTTCTTCTCCAACATGTTCTTCAGCTGCTCAAAAATCGTGTATTGAAGAATCGGGTTGATGACCAACACCAAAGCCGGTACAACGCCAGCAAACAAAGCTTGTGGGCCCTCCTCTCTGATCAAAGCAAGCAATGTACCTACGGTCGTGGGTGCTCTCGGCGCCTTAGCACCAGGTAACAGACTCTCTTCAGTTTCATTATTTCTCTTCCTTGTTGTCATCCGCGTGTTGACCACCCAAATCGGATTTGTGAGCAGGACAGTCGCAGATCCAGCAATCGCACCAGCGATCATCGACTCAATTGTAGTAAGCCTTTTCGAGGCCCGTCCGGCTTTCACAGCTGCCTTCTCGAACCCGGCACGAGTCCATTCGTACCAGTAATAGTATACGAAGTTCGTAACGCTGATGCCGAAGAGCGCAGAGTCGAGTCCGGCGTAGAGACCTGTTATGCCTTCCCTCGCAACAATGCGCTTGACAGCGTTGAGGAAGCCGGAGTCGGCGCGCTTGGATTCGACTTGTGCGCGTGTGGAGAGGGTTATGAGGGGATATCTGCTGCAGTTAGTAAAGGGAGAGGCATTTATGAGAAGAGAAATTTTACGTCAACGCCATAGAGAGAATGCCCCCGCCTGCACCAGAAATGGCGTGGATGGCAGCATCAGAGGAAGCCATTTTGGGTTGCTTGACTGATGTGAAAGGTTGTGAAAGAAGGAGAGCACACACTCATTTAAATAAGATACAGAAATCCAAAACGAATGGATTTCCTTGTGAATGTGAAAGGAGAGAGTTAATATCCGTCTATCGAGGTAACCTTACTGCATATCAAAGCCATCTCCGACGAGTACCGGTGATCTTCTCTTTTGCCTCGGCAGCATGAGTGTGGAGAAGTTCGTCACGTGGGGTGGCTATTCTTATCCATGATTATTCATCCTTTTTACCTCTTTCCTGAAGCTACTTCCATTTTGATTCACCAAATGCCATCAATTAGGTATCATTTCCAACCACTCCCCCTTTCCATCTCATACATGGAGCGCACTACCAACTACTGAATTTGTACGTTCGTAGGGAATTGTCGCGGTGTTTTTGAGAGCTTTCTGTCGCGTTGAAGTTGCTTTGAGAAAGACGTGGCTTCTTGTTTCATATTAACTGCCGATTTCATCAAGTCAAGTGAGGTTTCGGAGGTTGAAGCTGTATATCTTTTATTTCTTTCGAGTAAATACATTTTGTCTTCTCATTTGTCTTTCCTTGGATGGATTTTATTTGCTGTTGAAGAGGCACGAATTATGCCACCTGTTCTTCATCTACCGATGATGAATCCAACACCAACAAAGCGTCTGGGGCTTCATTATCCCCCAAATCAGGGTCTCCTATCGCCTCTGTCTCAAGACCAATCAAGCGGCGGACAAAATGGCCAGCATGTCCTTCCTGCAAGACCAGCTTCCTTGACGCCAAATAGCCAGGGGTTTCCTTCACCACGCCGAAGTCTCCCCTCAAAAGACGTAACGGACGGCAATTTTGATGATGCCTATATCAACTTTGTCATGTACTGCAATCCAACTGTTTCTCCTGACACCGATACGACCGAGCTCAGAAAGATCTTTCGAGGCCCCCCGAAGAGTGATGGGAAAACATTTAGCACCTTTACTTTGTTTGAATTGATACGGAAACTCGATCAGAAAGAGATTAAAACATGGGCACAATTGGCTATCGATTTGGGGGTGGAGCCGCCGTCTTTGGAAAAGGGACAAAGTGCTCAAAAGGTTCAGCAGTATGCAGTGAGGCTCAAAGTGAGTAGATTTTATTGGCACCATCGAAACCCATCTAATGACATGTTTTGTTTCCTTTCAAAATGTTCTTAACAACCCCATCCGTACGACTCAGCTTGTCTCAAGTCTCCTGCTAATTTTAATAGCGATGGATGCATGCCATGCATGTGGATGCTTTCTTCGAGTTTCTATTGAACAAACCCCACGTATATTATACTCAAGTACCTCCGATTAACGACCCTTCATCCGAGTTTGGACGGGATGGAGTTGCCGCTGAGGAAGACCTGGCTCTCCGTGCATTACTACCAGAGACTCGGCCGAAACGAGGACGACGGAAAGCAGAGGATAGGGATGAAAGTGATACAGGAAAATCGCCATCACAACGTCCTCGTCTGGATTCTCCTACGTTATCCGAAGACTTTATGATGGCCAGAGCTTCATTGATTGGAGATAACACGACTCCCTCGACAGCTCATCCAGACTTTCAACAAAGCTTCAACGATAGAATGGCCCCGTGGTCCGCAACTGAAATACGAACCGCTGCTTCAGATACATCTTTCCGGTGGCCACCAACAGAGAGTAGTCAACCTCTATCAACACAACCTTTATCAGCTTATCCCCAGTCTGCCATTACGCCAACAAGTCGAACAAATCTTTGGAGTGACGCGAACGAACCTCGATCAGCTGTCACACCCAAGACTCGGGTACGGCGGCGGCACGGGCCAGCAGTTTCCTCAGCATGGCCAAGTAAAGGCGGCATGTCTTCGGGCAAGCTTAGGGGGAGACCACCAAACAACCGTTCCATTACAGATGGACCTTTCTCCACCTTCCCCGTAAATCCAGGGGGCGCCAGAGACGTCCCGACAATAAGTCTTGGAGACAACACTCCAACACAAACTCCTGTTGTGGGAAACTCCGATGTGTCTCATTTCTTTTCTGCGGGAATGCAAGCAAACGATCCAAATTCGCAAAATCAGAACGGGAGACCCGGTCGGCTACAACTTCAAGTACCCGAACGGCAAGGCGGGGCAGTCCGACTTGCTACGCCTCCGCAGGTACTTGTCAATGGCCCAATGGACACAGGTTCGGTGGACTCGGAAATGCACCAAGAGCTATCATCAAATCCGCAGCACATCGCTCCCATGATGGAATATTTCATCAGTCCTGGGGATCAAGACCCCAATTTTCCCGGTTTTGTGAGCTTTGCTTTTCGCCAGAACAAGGATACAGGTAAGTGGTATAGGACGAAGTTATCGAGCAATTGCTGACCATATGTGGCAGATCGCACCAACATGGATGCTCTGGAGAGCCACTTTATCTGCGAGATCTTGTCCGCAGAATGGTATGATGGAGCAGGAAAAAATATTGATAGGTGCAGTATTGATGAGGCTGACAAGATCTGCGAACAAGTCATCAAGAACCTGCAAGCCGAATCAAGCAGTACCGAAGCTTTCTTGATCAATCTGTCAGCGCTTGCTGGTGGTCCTCTGATGAGTCGGCTTAAAATGACGAGACGTGATCAAGGTACTGTAAGCCATTACGAGTGCCAGTGGAAAATGAGGTTTGGCTCCATTGAGGGCGACTTTACGATCAGAGCTACTGTCGACCACAGCGTTAATTCAGCAGCCTTAGAGCAAGGGCCAGAGGATGCGGAAGATTCATGGAAGAAGAGGTATCTAGATCTTCGACAGCAGATCAAAGAGAGAGATTCAGTGGTTGGAGGACTCAAGAGAGGCATTATGGATGCACTGGTTGTCTCGAACAAGTTCACGAACATGTGAAATGGGCCGGCTTAATTTGGGATAAGTTATGGAATACACTTTTTGCAACGTTTCCTGTCCGTTACCCAGCCGGCACTGAGACGTGAAGGACCGTGCCACGTGTAAACACTACACGGTAGCACATCACAACGACCTCATAGAGCATAACGTCGAGGCCTGCTTATGGTAACACAAGAAGCCGGATTCCGTATTCAATGCCCCAAACCGTTGGGAACAGATCTGCAGCCCTCTCTGCGTGCAAAGGGATCATCCCGCATCACAAGCTTCTCGAGTTGGCCAATTGGCAGAGTTTCGTGCTTTACCGCCCATAGGACCGGGGTCTTATTCTGCTGCCTTGTGGGGCAGTTCTCTCAAGTCGCCCGAAGGCTCTTTGTGTGGAGGCTCAGCGATGCTTTGCAAAAAGACCAGGAATTCGATGCGCCCGATGTGCTTAGAGAGACTCTCTCACGAAGTTGAGAACGTGGGAGAGTCTTTTGAAAGCTTTCGTATCCCTGAAATTGGGGGGCAGGGCAAGTCTCTGGGTACGTGGTCTCGGGAACACCCTTGATCTCGTGAGGGAGTTGGCTAAGTACGTCGGAAGCGCTGCATAGTGTATTAGATTGGTTTCTTCTTTTGTATTCTTGGGGGAACCAGGGCCTATTTCAAGCTGGTCGGGATCTTGGTGCTGTCAGAACATTGAAGTCGACTCTCCACAGCTGGCAGCAAGGGGGTTGATCGCGCGATTCATCTTTTGGCGGCTGCCTGTGGCGGCGGCCGTGCTTACTCGTTACTCGTTACTCTGCTGGGGGGAAAGCCCGCAGCGGGGCCCCATACCAGGAAAACTTCGAGATGGACTGTCCCGAATTTTGAGGTCACTTGGCTTCAGTCGAAGGACTCCGCCCTGCATTGTCTCCCTATGAATCAATTGTGTTCCATCATCAGCCTCTGGATATTCTTCCAAATGGGGCTATGCATGCTCAGGCCAGGCGGTACTGAGAGGAATTCCTGGCAATCTGGCGTCCTGCCAAACCACGACAGGACCCCACTCCAGCCGGATTGAGGTTGGATTCACACAGGGTTTCCGCAATCTTTCTCAGATCATTGGTGTGGTGGTCTTGCTTTGCACCACCCACTTGATCATTTTCTCCTCTGGGAACCCACTTGTGTCCCTCGTGGCGCACCTCAAGGACAAAATGCACGCGACGCTAGCCACAGGCAAGGCAAACGGCCTGCAAAATGTGTACCACCTGGAATCCAAGCAGAAGCGGCAGAAAACGACCTGGGACCCCTGCAACCGGCGAAGTTTATAACAACCTTGCATCCCTCCCCCGCTCTGGAATCTGGACAAAATCGAGCATCGCCGATGAATGTTCGAGATCATCACAGCATTTCCAGCGGGGGCGAGGTTCTACAATGCCTGGCTCCAAGCCGAGTGTCACTCATGTGGATGGATCCTCCCTCGATAGGTATGCGACGGATTCTGCCCGCCACTGGGAGCTTGACTGACTGCGGGGTAGGTCTCAAGATGAGAAATACCGCGGGCTCAATATCATGGAGTCGCGTCCTACACAGGTCAATTTAAACTCTAATTTAGAGGGGAGGTAAGTATTCCAGCCTTCTGGTAGCTGTCGTCCTCTTCTAATGAGCAACTAGAATACAGAACCCTTTAGCTGGCATCTCGAAAACTCTACTTTTGCAAGACGTTGACGATTTCGCAACCAAGCATGGACTTACGGATGCGCTTCCACTGTTACGGAAAGGCGCACTGGTTGCCCAGGATCCAAACTCATATGACGAAATAGGAGGAGCGGAAGCTTTGGATGATTCTGAGGTGGATGCTCTGCGTGATGAGGTCCTTCACAAGTGGAAGCAAAGTTCCTTTCTGTATATCACCGTTATTATGGTGAGTCCGAGCTCTATATCCAACACCGGACAAGATTTCTTCGACGCACTTGCTCCAAACTGAGATCAAGAAATCTTCGAGACGACTGCCCGAGAAACTGCTGACGTTGGTCTAGTGTTCAGTTGGTGCTGCGGTTCAGGGTTGGGATCAAACAGGTAAACTCCTGTTCATTTTTACCTGTTTTGATTATTTTGATATAATAAACCCCATTGAGCTCGAGCCCTTCTCTAGAAACTGTTGACTCACTTACGAACAGGTTCCAATGGCGCCAATCTATCCTTTCCCGAATACTTCCATCTTGATAAAGACACGACTCGCGGTGCCTTTCTCATCGGTTTGATAAATGCCGCGCCTTACCTTGGAAGTGCTCTTGGCTGTTGGTTTTCGGACCCACTCAACAGTTTCCTTGGGCGAAGAGGGACGATATTTATCTCTGCAAACTTTTGCTTATGGTCTGTTTTCGGCTCGGCTTGGACCCAAACATGGCAGCAATTGTTAATCTGCCGTATACTGTGGGTGTTGGGGGAGAAACCCTTTCCTATTCTGGCCTTTTTCATGAGTTTCTCCTGAGACAATACCCTCTCCCGAAAAATCTGCATCGAGCTATCACTAACTGCCCCGTTACCTAGACTCGGTATTGGAATGGGTGCGAAGGCAAGCACGTAAGTCACCTATTTCTCGGAGCATTACTTCCTCCTTCACATACTTGTTTTGCGAGCTGTTCAACTCCCGAGGTAGTCTCAGGAGCAGACTACTCAGAAAGCACTGTCTCAGCCCCAAACTGTATTCTTTGAAGGTAGTACTGATCCGAGATTCCGATGTTTAGAGTACCTATCTATGCCGCCGAGAATAGCCCTGCCAGCATTCGTGGAGCCCTCGTGATGTCATGGCAGCTATGGACGGCTTTTGGCATCTTCCTTGGATTTTGTGCAAATCTGGCCGTCGCAAATACTGGCCCGATCTCTTGGAGGTTGCAGTTAGGATCCGCCTTCATTCCAGCTGTTCCGCTCGTATTCGGTGTTTATTTTTGTCCGGAGTCGCCGAGGTGGTACATGAAAAAGGGTCAGTATGGCAAAGCTTACGAATCGCTCCTACGGCTTCGGAACCATCCGATTCAAGCCGCCAGGGACATTTACTACATCCATTCGCAGTTGGAATTGGAGGCCGAAATTCTGGGCACGAACACGTACAAGACACGCTTCATTGAGCTGTTTACTATCCCTCGCTTGCGCAGAGCAACTGTGGCTGCAACCACCGTCATGCTCGCACAGGTAAGACATCACCTCGATAAAGGCCCACTTCATGTCAAGACTAACACAAGAACGTAAGCAAATGTGCGGAATAAACGTGATGGCATTTTACAGTTCCACTGTATTTGTTCGGGCAGGCGCATCACGTATCACGGCCTTGTGGGCATCTTTTGGCTTCGGACTCATAAATTTCATCTTCGCCTTCCCTGCAATCGTGAAGAACCTATTTCTTTATCCATACCCCAGGCTCCCTACTCACGCCCTCCTCCCCGATGAAACATGTTGCTAATTTGTTCTAGTGGACTATCGATACCTTTGGACGTCGAGCTTTGCTGCTGTTCACTTTCCCCAACATGGCGTGGAGTATGTTGGCAGTGGGCCTCTGTTCTCTGATCTCGAGTGCAGAAAAGACCCACCTTGCACTCATGGCGTTCTTTATATATCTTTTTGCTGCGTTTTATTCGCCAGGGGAAGGTCCTGTCCCTTTTACTTATTCGGCCGAGGTGTTTCCGCTTTCCCATCGTGAAGGTAAGACTTATTCCATATGGACATGCTATTCTTGGGTCTGAGGGTTCAGAGCCTAGGGCTTCCCTGGGCCCACCATGTCCATATGCCTAAAGAGCTTGGCTCCCCAGCTCCTGATCTCCCTCTCAAGAATTGAGAAAGGACCATACTAATTCGATCGTAGTTGGCATGGGATGGGCCGTTGCAATGAACCTTTTCTGGGCCGCAGTGGTTGGCATTGCTTTGCCGTGGATGTTAAACGCCATGGGTACCATGGTAAGTTCTTTCTGAATGAGTGGGGATTTCAGGACTCATCTCAAAATGTCCCAATTGTCCGGGAGATTCAACGGCGCTTGAACATCGCTGACAAGATATCACAGGGCGCCTTTGGATTCTATGCCGCAATGAATGTACTGGCATTATGTATGATATTCCTCTGGGTTCCTGAGACGAAGCAGCGGACGTTGGAAGAGCTGGACTATATCTTTGCTGTCCCGACCCGGATTCATATAAGATATCAATTGAAAACAGCTCTCCCATGGTGGATCAAGCGATACGTCCTGATGAGAAAAGGACCTGGGCTCGAGCCTCTGTATCACTTCGACTCGCCTTCGGGGCGTACAGGGACTGACCAAATCTACGTTCACGACAGAATACGAGAACACCATACCAGCGAGGTGAGGGAAGGCGCTGCTGAACTTCCGGCGAACGGGCGAGAGATGTCTCAGCAAGGTTATGTTGGATGGACGACGATGAACTTTTAGCGTTCGTTTTTATTTGGGTGAGCGAGGAGTTCAGGATGATTTTACCATGGGTGGCGTTATGAGCTTTTGTCTACGTGTACGCACTAGAAATCTGACGATCGTTGCATGGCAGCTTTAGCTTGTTGACAACTTGTAGATACCCAATATGTATTTCTTGAAGCCACTGAGCACAGAAATCATACACGAGATGTCGGGTTCGTCGGCCGGCTGGGAAGTCAACCATCTCCTCGGCAACTTGCTTACCGAGCATTGCCTTATCCAGGGGGGGTCCATGGGGAGCCGTTCGGCCACTCGACCATTGGACGTTCCAGAAAAGTTATCTCTTTCCCATTATTAACAATGCCGCCACCAACAGCCGGTCTCCATGCACGGCCTTTCTAGCAAGCTTCTATTTTAGAGGGGCGGAAAGTTCCCCGCACTGGGGCGTCGTTAACTCTACAATCCCGGAGCGGACTCAGTCGGCCGTGTCAGACTGGATTCCAGACTAGATCACCCCCAGAAAATACCAGAGGCGAGAATCACTCATAAATGGCGACAGTGCTCTGAAATCTAGTCATTGAAATCAACACTTCTCCTTCGACAAAATGATTCTCGAACGACTACTCAATATCTCGCCCACTACTCTCCTCATCATCCCTCCCGTAGGCATTCTCATTTACGGCTTCTTACAATACCTCCTCGATCCTCTCCGCTCGGTCCCGGGGCCATTCTTGGCACGCTTCTCACGCCTGTGGTACTTCCTCGAAATCTATAAAGGGAGCTTCGAGGAAACAAACATTGGGCTGCACAGGAGATATGGGCCCATTGTGAGAATTGCTCCGCATGAGTACTCAATTGACGATGTTAATGCTGCTCGGACAATTTATGGGCACGGGAATGCCTTTGTCAAGGTTCTATTCTCTCAGGTCTATAAATTATAAATCGAAGAAGTGCTGATTGTTCCCAGGCACCTTGGTATCAGGCTTGGATGCCGCCAGATGTCAACAAAGCTTCTCTGTTTTCTGATCTCAACCCACATCGGCATGGGCTCCAACGCCGGAAGTTCTCTTCTCTCTATAGCATGAGTGCTCTCATTGGCTATGAACCCTTTGTCAACAACTGTACCTCCCTTCTCTGCCACCGTTTCAACGAGATTGCCCAAGCTGGGAAGACGGTAAATCTACAACATTGGCTGCAATGCTATGCCTTTGATGTCATTGGAGAAATAACCTTCGCCAACCGTTTCGGGTTCCTCGATATGGGAGAAGATAAAGAAGGTGTTTTCGGTGCTATTGATGAACGAGGGATCTACAGTACCTTTGTTGGAATCTTCCCCTGGATCCATGCTATCTTGTATCCGTTGCTTCCGAAGACTGGCGGTCATGGATACGTGTTCAACTACACATTGAGGCAGATCGAGGAGCGGCAGAAATCATTGAAGGATCCAAGGAATGCTGGACGAGAAGGACCACCTGATATCATGACGAAGATCCTGCTGGCGCATGAGGCGGATCCGAATAAGATGACGAAAATAGATCTGATCACAATGTGTCAGTCAAATATTGGAGCTGGAAGTGATACGACAGCCATCACTCTCTCCAGTATCCTATATCATCTCCTCAAATACCCCAGGACCTATCAGGTACTTCGAAATGAAATCGACACCGCGGCCAAAGAAGGAACAGTCTCCGATCCTGTGACATTCAAAGAGGCGCAAGACTTACCTTATCTGCAAGCCGTAATAAAAGAAGCCCTCAGAATGCACTCCGCGACGGGCCTCCCCATGCAGCGCGTTGTTCCGCCAACAGGAACAACAATCGCGGGTCACTTCATCCCAGCCGGTTCCTCAGTTGGAATAAATGCCTGGGTTGCCCACCGGAATACTTCGATCTACGGGCCCGACGCAGAACAATGGCGTCCTGAGCGCTGGCTTGAATTCGAGCAACAGGGAAGAGGTGCAGAGGTTGAGAAATACGCACTAGCGTTTGGGATGGGGAGTCGTACTTGCATTGGTAAGAATATTAGTTTGTTGGAGATGAGTAAGTTGGTGCCGCAGCTGGTGAGGAAGTTTGATTTTCAGTTGGATGAGGAGTTGGAGAAGGAGGGGTTGAAGAGTTGTAATAGGTGGTTTGTGAAGCAGATGAATTTTGAGGGGAAGGTGTTTGCTAGGGGTGAGGAAAAGGATGGTTGAAGGAATGCTGGGACATTGTGGAGGGAGGAGGGAAATTTTGGAATGAAATCGAGCACGATTTCCTTTGCTCTGCGACTGAATGTTCTATCACTGCCTCGACAAATATAGCCGTACCTCTCTCACAGAACAATGCCGGCGATTGTGTTGCCTTGCTTCGCTTCAATTCGGTCCCTTTTTTCTTCTCGCTCCATGCTGCCGTCTCCTTCACTCGATAGTTTTGCAGGCTGTTTAACGAGTATCGAAGAGACCTTGATTTCGACAATAAATAAAACTCGTTAGAAATCCATAGAGATGATTCCGTACCTCTTGATGCAGGTGATGATCAAGGAACGGTCTCGGTTTCGAGGGATGTGGAGATAACAATGTAGTGTACTGGCAATGTTCCAAGAATGCATAAGAAATGACTCTCAACATGTAAGAATTCCCTTTCCCAAGATTCAATCCGCTTCGATGAGTCGGGATGCGGGCATTGATCAGGAGAGAGTGTACTATTCCACCTCACACTTGTGCCAGCGCTTGTACCAGCGATAGGTGGGACAATCTTCCTGGCCGGAGCATCCCCATTGCCCATTGGTTCGGAGATCAAATACCGCGGTCTGTAAATCGCACAATGGCATGCATGACCGAGTACAAGAAAGAATGCAGTCGCAGCCGTTCGGCATCTGCGCCCGCCGCGAATCTAGGAGTTGCAGATCAGCGTTTTCCCATCGAATTGCAACCGCTGCGAATCCGACGATTAGGAAGGTGGGGCCGAGGCGTTACGAGTAGAGACAGCTTATTTGGTCATCATTGCTGAACTACCTTGAGAGGAAATGGGAGGTGCGAGTGTGCAAGCTTAAAGTTGGGGTGTGCTCTTTCCTTCTTCAATATCGGAGGCGGAGTCAACTTTCGTTTTGGTTCAACTTTAACCCTCAAAAATAAGAGCGCTCGATCTGCCAGCAACCAGCACAAAGTCAAGATGAGTGCGTCGAACTCAAAACCAGCTCGCTTGTCGAGACAGAGGATTGAGGAGGATCGCAAGTTAAAGCTGAGCGTTATCGACCCAGAGCCGGTTTCCGGTGGAGATGATGGTGAAGTCGAGGTTGAAGATCTTTGTCTGGAGACTGAGAGGATGGAACGCAGACTGGTTAGGAAGATCGATATTAGGCTTTGCACTATCGCTGGAGTGCTCTGCTCATTGAATCTGCTCGATAGGTTTGAACCTTCCAGGAATCTGTCTCACAGTGAAGTGCTGATTATGAGTTTTGAAGTGGGATTATTTCGAGCGCCAGTGTTACGAGCATCTTTGAGGATCTTGGATTGGGGGTGGGGAATCGATATGTAAGCTCACAATCTGTGATGGGTGAAGCAATGGGGAGCTGATGAATGTGACAGTCTGTTTCCATCCTCGTGTATACTGTTGCCAGTGTAGCCTTCCAAATGCCGGCAACAATCCTGGTCAGAATGCTAGGCCCAAGAGTGATGTTTTCTCTCATCACTGTTGGCTTTGGGATAATCACTCTGGTAAGTTCTCAACCTGTTTTTGAATGATCGGATATTGATGGAACAACCAGTGTACGGCGTTCATTCAAAATTACAAGCAGATGATAGTTTTGAGAGTCTTACTGGGAATATTCCAGAGTGCTATTTTCCCTGGACTGAGCTATCTCATCTCAACATGGTACACAAGACGGGAACAGCAGCTGCGGTACGCATTCCTCCAATCTGGTGAGGTAACCATCGTGGGGTTGGGAGCATTTTTGAACTACGGATTGAATCACCTCGATGGGAAGGCTGGCTTGCGTGGTTGGAGATGGATGTTTCTTGTCCAAGGACTTCTAGCAATCGGTAAGGAAGATCCGGAGACCTATTGAGGTACACCAGGATGCTGATCAGTCGCCAGTTATTGGATTTGTAACTTATCTATGGATTGTCGACTTCCCGGAGAACTCTCACAGGAGCTTCCACTTCCTCACGGCCGAGGAGCAAGCTTTCGCAGAAAACCGTATTTCCGATGATCGTGGAGACGTGAAAGCTGAAGATTTTTCGTTGTTCCAGTCGTGTCTGGTGCACTTTACAGACCTGAAACTGTACGGATTCTGTATCCTATTTTTCTGTCAGAATGTCATCAGCACCGGGTTGTCCTATTTTCTTCCGATAATCCTTCAGTCCGGGATGGGATTTTCGAGCGATCAATCGATCCTCCTCTCAGCTCCACCCTACTTCTACGCCGTCATTCCCGTAATCATCTCCTCCATTGTTGGTGATCGGTACCAACTCCGAGGACTGGTGATCACTTTCAACTGTATTTGTACTATTACCGGTTTCAGCATGCTGGGGTTTTCTACTCAAGTCGCAGTTCGGTATATAGGAACATATCTCGCAACTGGCGCATATGTCAGTAATTGGGCAGCGATGAATGCCTATCAAGCCAATAATATTGTTGGACAATGGAAAAGAGCCACTTTTGCCGCTTCTATAACAGCTTGCAATGGCTTGGGTGGGATTGCGGGAAGCTTTATTTTCAGACAAAACGAGGCTCCAAGGTATGTACAGACTTCTTGAACCCATCATTCTCCTTGAAGTCTCAGATCATGCTCGGCACGGGATTTGTGGATAATAAGATGCCCTGCTGTCTTGTGCCGAGACCATTCTGGATTTTACTAGACTTTCTAAGGGGTCGATGTCTGAACCACCTCGAGGGCACTGACAAAAGACTTCCTTGACAAGAACTTGAAGCTGACTGTGTTCAGATACATGACTGCAATCTGGGTCAGCATTGCATCCCACATCCTGATAATTGCCATTGTGGCACTTTTCACCATGTACTTTTGGTGCGCGAATAGAAAACAAAAGACGGGAACAATGTTACTTGAAAGAACGACGGGTTTTAGATACACTTATTGATCGGATATCGCTTTAAACCGCATGGAAGCGGCTGCTCAATAGCATCTGACACGACTCAAGGTTCTGTTTTGCATGATGCTTGTGCATTGACAGTTTGAGACTCCTGTCATGCCGGTAAAGAATGCCAAGACAAGAAACTTTAATAACTTGGGACCAGATTTGCTCGATCTGGTGAAGTAGACACGTGTATTAGAAATTCGAACACTTGGTTCTTCCCGTGATAAGCAGTTCACTGAAAATTTACCCCTTTTCCAAAATGTCTTAGGTAAGAGTTTATGTGACGTCGGCAAGGGGGTCCAGAAGCGAGCCCGGGCTGGCTTCCACTACGTTGCCCACAGAGACACTTGATGCCTTTCATAGATCGAGGCTTCGGATATTGTTGCAATCTACCACAACAAAACCTGCGACTGTACACATCACTCGCTGTGCTTGCTTTGAACCTCTTACCAGTGCGCCGTCGAGTAATCCAGCTTCTCGATATCACCAGAGGCCCGCCCGACAAGCTCAGCTGGTGCAGGACGGTAGAAGCTTGACTGACCCTGTCGGTCCGGAATCGCGGCCTCGAGCTTGGAACAGGCATCCCGAAATTACATATGGGGCTATCCTCAAGACGGCTCGCAGGACAATAACAACCTCACAGCTATCGCGAGAGCTCTCTAGCTCTGCCAGTTCAAGGTCTGAGGATGGGTTTCCTCGGTGTTTACAAAGCGGTTTACGACTATGTACCGCAGAGCGAAGGGGAGCTGGCGATCACCGAGGGAGATCTGCTCTTCGTGCTGGAGAAAAGCGGAGAGGACGACTGGTGGAGAGCAAAGAAGAAGGCATCCGGCGAGGATGATGACGAACCTACTGGATTAATACCCAACAACTACATCGAAGAGGTACGTGCCTGCTTGGCGTGATCCTTTTGTATGAGAATACATCTGCCTAGAAAATCCTGATAGTACATGTATTGCTTCACTAGAAGTTTGATACGCTGTTGCATCTGTTATGCGAATTCAGAAGAGTGGAGATTGCTGATCGGTATGCAGGCACATCCTACGGGCCAAGCGCGTGCGCTTTACGACTACGAGAGACAAACGGACGAGGAACTCTCTTTCACAGAGGATTCGCAGCTGGAGGTATTTGATACATCGGATCCGGATTGGATATTGGTAGGGCTGGACGGTGAATATGGCTTTGCGCCTGCAAACTATATCGAGCTTTCCCATGGAGAAGCAGCTTCTGAGCCACCGCCACCCAGCCTCCCAAGACGACCTGTTGAGGCAGAAGAGGAGCATGAACCCGAGCAAGCCCCCGAGTCCTCTCGAAGTCTAGTTCAGAGCCCAGCGGCGGCTTTGGCAGGTATCATAAATCAGCAGCGAAAGCCTTCAGCTCCACCTCGAGCACCAGTACCCCAATACACACCTGAAGCTTCGGATGAGGATGAGGGACCTACACCTTCCCTGCCAGCTCGGCCACAGGTCTCGCAACCTAGAGCCCCTGAACGTATAGAAACACAAAGTCCAAGATCGCCGTCTCCACATGGAGGCCCGCGAACCTCCCCCCCTTGGAACAGAGCAACCAGTAGCAGAGATGTTGAAAGTGGAAGCCGTTCACCTGGTGGATTCCATATGTACAACATCAATGAAATGGTGTCAGTCATGGGGAAGCGGAAGAAGATGCCAACAACTCTGGGGATCAACAATGCAACTGGAGTGATACTTATAGCTCCTGAGAAAGCTCGAGATGGTGCCGAGCAGCGATGGACTGCAGAGAAAATGACACATTACTCGATTGAGGGCAAACATGTTTTCGTCGAACTTGTACGGCCGAGCAAGAGTGTGGACTTCCACGCAGGAGCAAAGGATACTGCCCAGGAGATTGTTAGCGCTCTCGGAGAGCTAGCGGGTGCAGTGAGAGCAGAGGGGTTGAGGGAAGTGATAATGGCAGGAACTGGACAAGGTCAAAAGAAAGGCCAAGTCCTTTATGATTTTATGGCACAAGGGGACGATGAAGTTACAGTAGCGGTTGGCGATGAAGTGATCATTATTGATGATTCGAAGAGTGAAGAATGGTGGCAAGTTCGGCGGTTAAGGAATGGAAAGGAGGGTGTGGTCCCAAGCAGTTATGTCGAAATTACCGGAACAGTTGCAACGCCTAGTCAAAGCGGCATCAACGTTGGGCGATCGACCGTGGAACAAAACAGACTTGACGAGGAGCGACTTGCAAAGGAATCTCTGAAAACAGCAAGGATGGAAGAATCGAGGGTGCCCGAAAGGGGGAGCAGTTTGACGGCACGAGACAGTAGTAACGATCATGGACAACAGAAAAGCAGACGTGAAAGCGGCCGGCATGAGAATGGCTCATCACGATCGTCCAAGTCAAGTGAGTTGAGTGGCAGGATAACTGAGCACAGACTAATCACACCTAGAACCTGACCCTTCGAAAGTCCGAACATGGACAGACCGTTCGAAATCCTTTAGTGTTGAAGCTCAATTCTTAGCGCTAAAGGATGGCAAGATCAACCTCCACAAGATGAATGGTGTGAAGATTGCAGTCCCCGTTACTAAGATGTCTATCGAAGATCTCGAGTATGTTGAGCGAATCACGGGGGTATCCCTTGACGAAGATAAACCACTTTCAGATATCAAGAGGCAACAAGCCCGAGCGGCCCAAGCGGCTGTGCCGAGTGGTGGTGCTGGGGTGACGATTGAACACAAACCACCACCAGGCTCAGATTATGATTGGTTTCAGTTCTTCCTCTCTTGCGATGTTGCTGTTGGGCTATGCGAACGATACGCGCAAGCGTTTGCTAAGGATTCAATGGATGAGAGTGTCTTGCCGGACATTGATGCTACAAATCTGCGGACGTTAGGCTTGCGTGAGGGAGATATCATCAAAGTGATGAGATTCTTGGACAAGAAATACGGCCGTGCCGGAGCTAAAAGAGGGGTTAGTTTCGGAGGCGAGGAAATTATCAGCCCAGATGGGGAATCTGGTACTGGCCTTTTCTCCGGGCCTGGAGGAACTTTGAAGAATAACACCCGGAAAGGTCGTCCGGCACCAGCAGTCCAGACCAACGATGTTGTTGATCCGAAAGCCTTCTCACAAGAACCGAAAGATAAGCCTACCCACGAAGGAGTTGCGACGCCACTGGCTTCAGTGCCAACTCCTGCGCAGAAAGACGTTGTGAGAAGCGGCTTTGACGATGATGCTTGGGACGTTAAGCCGTCCAAGCAGCAACCACAAGCAAGTTCAAGCCAACCCTCTCAATCCACACCAGCTCCAGCCCCATCGCAGCCCACGTTGACTGGCTCAATGCAAGAATTGTCACTTCTATCTGCTCCTTTGGAACCCGTCAAGGCACAACCACCAGCTCCTCCTCAACAAGCCCAGCCAGTACAACAGCAGCAGCAACCTCCACAAGGGGCAACACCATCATTCTTTGCTGGAATTGGAGCACAACAAACGGGCATGCCTCAACAACAGACAGGCGCACCGAATAACCAATACGCCCCTCAAATGAATTCTGGATTGAATATTGCTCGTCAAAGACCAGCACCGCCGCAGCAGTTCCAGAATCAGAATCAAGTTTCACTCATGATTCCTGCGCCCCCCTCAAGGCCTCTGTCTGCACCCCAAGCCAATCAGCAAAGTGCATTCCCTCTTCCTCCTCTGCAACCTCAAACGACAGGGATGCAAACGTCTGCTGGATTCCAGTCCCGGATTGCGCCCCCAGGTCAGAGCTTGAATGATATAAGACTGCAACAACAGTATACAGGCTTCAATGGACCCCAAAATCCCCAGCAGAATATGGGAATGATAGGTCAGCAACAAAACTTTGGACAAAATCCTCAGCAGAACATGGGGATGATGTCTCAGCCGCAGAACATGCAGTATCAAAACACCGGCATGCTCAACGGTTTCCAATATCCCATGCAAACAGGCATTGCCCAACAAAACTTTACGAACAACATGAACAACGGGCCGAGCCCGTTTGCGGATCCACGACCTCAGCAGTTCTCGCCTATTCAGCAACAACCTACGGGCTTTCAGAGCTCGTTCGGTCCACCACAACAGCAATTTCCACAGCAGACTGGAATCAACTCCTTCCTGCCTCCAGCTTTGGTACCCACGCCAACTGGTGCTCAGGGCATACAACAGCAGAACGGATTCAACTCTTCTTTCAGCCCGCCGCCCGTGCCGCCAATGCCTCAACAACACTCCATGATGCCATTGGTTCCTCAGAAGACTGGCCCTCCACCGCCAGTGAGGTTTGGAGTCTCTGGAGATACCAAGAAGCTCATGCCTCAAGCAACTGGGCGCAGAGCGAACCTGTCGCAAGCTAGTAAGCCTCCCCTGTCCTTGACTTATGAAATGTGTACTAATATTCCCAGCTCCTCAAAATCCCTTTGGATTCTAAAGCCGGCGGGGCCTGTAGATCATCGAAGCTAGAGTTTGTTTCTTCTGTAGTATAGGCAGGCATAGCTCAGCATCGAGTTGTTAATAATTGTTTCGTCCAGATTTCTTCCTTTTCAAAGCCTATAGTTGCAGATCTTAGTCAGGGATGGTTTATTCGTGAAATCGTGGCATGGGTGTCCTGCATGGAGGATGGCGTTGGTGAGGAGCAACTCTGGCTTTTTTTTTTTTTCGAGAATATGGTGGAGCTTGCATTCGACTCGACCGGAATTTCTTAAGAATCTGGTGCAAGTCTTCCACTTTCAACGTCTCTGTTTCAAGGAATCTTCCAAGTGGACCAGGAAAGTCTAAATTTACACTTTTAAGAATGCAAGTAAACCCCGAACAAGAGCTGCTCGTCTATTTTGTTCCTTGACAACACGTGTTACTAAACATGTTTTGACTCACTGAATGCTTGGAAACGATCGATTAGATCGTCAAAGCTCTCTGATTCCCAAACAGATCGCCGTTGCAGCACATCCCGCACAGACTTCTGCAAGCATCTACCCTGCTTCTTGAAATATCTTATTTCAACTGCGTCTTACTTAAGAGGCGAGATGTCACTGGTTCACAAATGGTTTCCTCTTACAAAGTTCGTTTGATCTTAAGCTGAACGTGTGAACACTTGACAATACCTCCCGGAAGCCGGTCACGACCTGGGAGCTTCAATCATGAGTTGTTGCAGGATCTAACTTTGTGCTGTAATAAATTGTTTGGCATCTTCCCTGGACTGTTTATTTGTTCTGCATGCGTACAACGATGGGTTGCCAGCCTTGCTTTTTAGGATGGAACGAGGTGCATCGAAACAACTCAATCGGTTTGTCATCGTCCAGTGATATATTTAGATTCATGCGGCGCGGGAGACAGTGGAGGTTGTGGAGAGGTGTCACTGATGACCCCCGGCGCAAGCACTGCCTATGGATCTGATTGACCGCTGGCCAAAGACCTTGATTCAGATCGTGTTTGAGGGAGTGACATATGCCAAACCCCTCTCAAGGCTGATAGAAGAAATCTTGCTTGCCCCCTCTTTACTTAACACTCCCTAAACCTTTGCCTCTTTTTCTCCCTTTATATTTGTTGAGAGGCTTGACGTCCAATTTTTAATTAGTTTTTTCCTTCTGTCTAATTTATCTTTACATTCAAAATGCGTGGACAAATTTTCTTCTCCTACGCGCTGGTCGCTTTTGCTACTACGGCATACTCTTCTCCACTTGTTGCACGAACAGATGAGGTGGAGGCAAGATCGCCATACGTTGTGGATGGGAAGGCCTTCAATGGAGGGATTGTGGATGTCGGAAAGGAATTCGTAGAGCGTCGAAAGTACATTGTCGCCAGAGCTGGGTGAGCACAACTAGGATATTCTTAAGCTCTCACTACTGACTTTACCTTAGAACAGGCACGGTCTCCAAGGCATCAGCAACTTCTAAGCCTGGCGTAGCCAAATCCACTGGAGCTGCAGCACCCAAGGCAACTTCCAAGTCTGGCGCGGCGAAAGCCACGGGAGCGACGCCTCCTAAGGCGACATCGAAGCCAGGTGCAGCCAAGGCCACCGGAGCTACCGCATCGAAGGCATCTGTATCAAAGGCAGGAGCAACGACGAAGCCTGCTGCCGCGAAGGCAACCACACCTGCTGATCTGTAAGAATTTCGCATTACGCAACTCTAGTCCGTACTATGGAATGATGCTAATAGTTCGACTTTTCAGACCTGGATGTCCTGCAGTGGGTGGGGCTAAAGCTTCTGTTCGTACTCTCCCTGGCACACTGCTTCATATTTTTGGCGAACACTTGCAAAGACAAACCCACTTCTTTTCCATTCGCACCGTTTCTATAATCACATGGCTACCTAAAAGAAGGGAACTCTGCTGATGCCATTCCTCCCCAGGCTTCCAAATCTGGTGCAGCAAAAGCAACCGGTGCCGCTAGAAGGGCAGACAAACCGCTTGGCTGCGATCCTACCAAGGTATGAATGAACCTAGTCTCCAACTTTGTGAGCAATTTCTGACCCTAGATAGCTACAAGCAAAGTGAGCAGACACTACTGCTGCTGCTGATCCTATTTCTGTTCTCTTGAATGGACTTCTTGGCGGTGGTAAGTCCCTAGCGAAATGGTATATTAATGATAGAAGAGCTAACTATATATTCTAGGAGCAGCAGGTACCTCGCCGTCTGGTGCCGCAGGAGGTGGAGATCTGTTGGCCGGCATCGTCAACGCAGGCTTGATTCCAAGGGATGTCGAGGCATAGAATCTTTCTGTAATTATTTCTCGTTGACAAGTTTTTAACTCGAATTATTTGCTTTGAGCTGCAAAAGACACACGAGCCCACTTAAATTACAAGTCACTCGTTGGAGAATATGCTGTACATATTATGTTTAAGGCTGGCCTTGAGCAAAACCCTTGTGGGGAAGAATCGTTATGACGGATAGGCCGTGACGTTACTTCAAGAAAAGATCGTATATATGTCCAACAATGACTGGAGCATTCTGCCCATCCGCACCGAGAAACATGAGAGTACTTTCATTCTCTTGGCAAGCCTTTATCTTCCCTCGTTGTCTTGGTCAATTCGCTCTGGGCCGTATTATCGGCGTAGCGCTGATAGATTGGAATATATTTATCTCTCACTCGTGGTACTCACAACACCCTCCATTTTCTCTACAGCACTCAACCACTTGTTCCATCTATCAACCCATTTATCACCGTCTGGAAGCTTCAACCCTCCTTTAAAATGATCAAACACTCGGGTTCGTACAGCCCACGGAGCAATAACCAAGTCAATCAAACTGACTTCTGAGCCAAGTGCGGTCCTGTTGCGTCCATTTCTTGCGTGAACTGTGCAAGCTGGTGATGGAAATCAGACCGGACTTTCTCAAGATCAGGATCGGAGGCTGATTTAGGTTGGTATTGCAGAAAGCGGTGGAAAGAAGGGATGATGCGTGAAGTCGCGGAATCGATCCAGATCCTCACTCGTGCCTTTTCGTATGGATCTAGAGGGAAGAGTTTGGGCGTTGAGGAGGGGTAAGCATCTTCAAGGAATTCGCAAGATAACGGTGCTTTCGTAGAGAGGCTTGTTGTCGTATTCGAGTGTTGGAATCAGATCTCGGGGATTGAGGGAAAGGGGGATTCAGGCTTGTGGTTAGGGTTTACTTCGATATACTGGAATGGGATTGTCTTCTCGAGGAACACGAGGAGCCCGCGTTGGACGAAGGGGCAGAAGTTGATTGTTTAGTAATCTACTTGAACAATCCAGAGAGAATGAGATATACCCCCAGCCAGAATAAAACTTGAGAGCTTCTTTTTAGGGCGTCTTCACCATTGCCCATGTTGATTTGATTTTACAGAATAAGTCTAGGCGAATGTTTCTAGAAGAAAACAGCAGTACAGAGGAACTTGTCTTTCAATAAGTAAAACTGGATGTTTTACTCTAAAGGGAGGGGCAATATGTAGACCTGATCTCTAGATTGTGCGGGGCAGTTTCATCAAGCTTCAGCTTCACTCACTTGAAGTGAAACCTTAAAATGAAAGAGCGCAGAGGATACAATATCAAGATTTGGAAAGACAACTTTCTATTGGACCAGAACGATTTCAGACAACGAATCCCCTGCTCAGCTGAGAATTCATTGCCAAGGGCAGTGTGGCTGAGAAGTACAGTAGCGGGGGTCGAAAATGCACAGCCTCCGTTCTTTTTGACATCCTTCGAGTGCGACCAAAACACAAAACCCTCGCACTTCACCCTGATCATCCTGTTCCCCATTTCCTTCTCTCACCAACATCGAAATCAACAGGGAGGAAAGCATAGCTGCCAGACAATAGGAAAGCTAATAATCATGACCGGGCCCGCGACGTACGTCTCCCCACCACACAACATCTTCGCGACAGGGAGAATGTACCAAGCTGACGAAGAACAATAGACCAGGGCAAGAAGGCCCCTCCTTCGCACCTCCCCCGTTACCTGAAGGCTGGATCGCTCAGTGGGATGGCATGTCCAAGAAATACTACTTCGTTCAGCTGTCGACGGGAGCATCGCAATGGGACACCCCTACACGCGCCGCCCCCACAGGCCCTACACCACAAGCTACTCCCCAGGGAGGGCTGGAACATCCGTACGGCACGCCTGATCAGCAGCTAGACATTATTACGAATCCCGATGGTAGCCAGAGCATCAGGAATCCTGATGGGTCATTGGAACCGTACACAACGGATCGAAGTCTCTCGGGCAATATTGGGGTTAGCTTCACGTTTAGTGTGCTAGGAAGATGAGTATGCTGACGAAGTGGAATATAGCAATTTGCCATGAACCAGCTCTTGGGTGGAGGAAAGAAACCGAATCAAGGTGGCGGAGGACTGGGTGCATTAGCAGGTCAGTTCCTGGGTGGTGGTTCGAGCCACAACCAAAATACACATTCGAGTGGTGGTGGCATTGCGGGTGCTTTGGCTGGCCAGCTTCTGGGTGGCGGGAAGAAACCAGAGCAGCAACAGAGTTATTCTGGAGGCCAGAGCAATCAACAGAGTCATGGCTCGGGTATGATGGGCACTTTGGGCGGAATGTTTGGCGGGCATTCAAGCTCTACGGTATAGCCTGCGCTGTTCTTCGATAGGTACGAAAATGACTGACATTTCGTAGCAGGGAACCTCTTATGGATATTCTTCTCATGGAGAGCAACAGGGTGGATACTCTGGATCGGCACCCCCAACCTCTTATCAACCCAGCGGAACGGCTCATACACAATACAACCCTCCCCCGCTAAACCAATATGCCCAGGGTGTAAATCAGTCTCAGTCTCAGTCTCAATCATACAACCAACCTTCCCAACCATCCTACGGGCAGAACAAACCTCAATCTCAATCATACAGCTCTCCACAACCTCCTTACGGAGCACCCCTAAACTCACAACCAGCTTATGGCACACCTTCAAATGCCCAACAACCACCATACGGAGGTGCCCAACACCAAGACACTTATGGCCAGCAATCTCAGCCGTACTCAAGCCCCTCTAGCCAGCAACCGCCTTATGGTGCTCCCCCAAACAGCCAACAGCCACCTTACGGCGGACCCCCAACCAACCAACAACCTCCTTTTGGAGGTGTTCAACATCAGGATACCTACGGAGGCCACCAAGGGACCCCGTCCTTGCAGCAATATCCGCCACCTCCAAATCATCAAGGAGGTTCAGGATATGGTGGCTCCGCCCCTCCTTCAGGCAACCTTTCACAGCCGCAACATCAGCACTTTCAAAGATTGCACAATGCTGAGCACTCAGGTGGTTTGTATGGCAACAACGGCGGCGCTCCTACTGTCCCCTCCGGCTCCCATCCGTACCAAGGCCAGAATGCACCTCAACCACCTCAATATGGTGCACCTCCAAACCAATACGGAGGACAACAAAGATGGTAATTTAAGGAGGATTCTGGGGTCGCAAGGCGAAAAAGTGATGGTAGGTTTTCGGAATGGGATTTGCATTTACTAGCCCGATATCCAGCAGTTGCATTGAAGCTTCATTGTTCTTTGTACATCGTAATTGGTCCCTCATAATGGGATATATTTGGCCAAATGGAATAAAGCACACTAAGACTTTTTCTTTTTCTTATCGTTGCTGTGTTGTGCAAAGGTCTGAAACCATTTGCTGATACATTTTGCCAAATACCAGCTGCCAATTGCCAGAAGTACAATGTATACTGCAGTTGGGACCAAGGATCGTGGGAAAACATTCAAGAAGTATGGATCGAGGATAATATCGGCGTAGACCGGCGGAACATGCTCCATCAAGGTCTTATTCATAGTGTAGTAATCTGCAGCGGCAAGAACTTGCAGGAAAAGGGTTGATTCAAGCGACTTGGCAGACCATTTTGTAATACCTGGTTCTTGGTCTTCGAGTTCTACAGGATCTGGCTGGCGACCCTCCAAATACTGCGCTAGAGAGGTGACTAGTTCGGGTGTGTTGAAGACGGCCTGAAGAGTATATGCATCGAGACGAAAATCAGTAGGTTGCTGAACTCTGTTAGCTCACTCGTCCCGCAGCAATAGAACGTCCACCTTACGGTTGCCGCCCAGCAGACTCGGACTTCGTATCTTTGGCCTTCTTGTAGTCCGTGTAGCAGATACCAAGATGCTTGACCATATTTCGAGGATTTCGTAGGAAATTCTGCTCGAATGTGTGTTCTCAGGGACCATTGTTGGGGGGAGAGAGTTTCGAGCTTGAGGTCTTCGAGGGTCGGATGTTCGACCGGGATATGTACCTCGCTGGGCCCGAGAAAGATGATTTTCTCGGTGTTGCAAAAGACAGCATGGACTTGCAGAAGCAAAAGAATGAACTGAATATACCCCATAGTAGATCAATTGCGCTTCGTCTGAAGTCAGCTGCAAATGTCTCCCGGAATTGTGCATTGAGGCTTTGTGGTGACAAATGGGGAGCTTGGACCAAGGTGTCCTAAATAGGGCAAGCGCGGCACAACGCGAGTCCCTTTCGGCGATGGCTTTGTTTATGCAGGGAAAGACCCACTCACGCCCATGCCGCACACAAGCGACTCTCTCAATCAATAATCCCCTGCTTCGTCCAACCTTTTCCCCACTACTCCTTCGTAGACCACATCCAAGACCTCTGCACGAATTTGCTTGTGATCTTTACATCTACACTCCGCATCGCTCTCAATAGCCAACCGCCAATATGAGAGAAGTCATCAGCATCAATGGTAGGCTTCCCTCGACGCGCTCCTCACCGCTCCTCGCCCGCGTTCTCCACGTCAACAAAATTTGCTAACGTATCTACCTCCCATAGTCGGCCAGGCGGGTTGCCAAATCGCAAACTCTTGCTGGGAGGTGAGCTTCGACATGACCCGATAGAGCTTTCATTCTTTATTGTTTACTTCTCCGTCCTTGGTGTGACTAACGCGATGGATTTCATTTAGCTCTACTGCCTTGAGCACGGTATTCAGGTACATCTATCTTCTTTTCCAATGCCCGTAGACTCTATCTGCATATTGAGGGAGCTCTTCTGACGCGTTCTACCACAATAGCCTGATGGATACTTGACCGAAGAGCGCAAGGCCGCCGAACCCGATCAGGGCTTCAGCACCTTCTTCTCCGAGACTGGTAAGCTGAGCTACAAACATCTTATCTAAGGCACAACTAACGCGTTCTGGCGTTGTAGGTCAAGGCAAATATGTTCCCCGTACCATCTACTGCGATCTCGAGCCCAACGTCGTCGATGAAGTCCGTACCGGCACCTACCGCAGCCTGTTCCACCCAGAACACATGATCACTGGCAAGGAGGATGCTTCGAACAACTACGCTCGTGGCCACTACACTGTTGGCAAGGAGTTGATAGACCAGGTTTTGGACAAAGTTCGCCGTGTTGCTGATAACTGCTCTGGTCTCCAAGGTTTCCTCGTCTTCCACTCTTTCGGAGGTGGAACTGGTTCCGGATTCGGTGCTCTTCTCATGGAGCGTCTCTCGGTCGACTTTGGCAAGAAGGTCAAGCTGGAGTTCTGCGTTTACCCTGCTCCTCAGACCGCAACCTCTGTTGTTGAGCCATACAACTCCATCCTGACCACCCACACTACTCTCGAGCACTCCGATTGTTCATTCATGGTTGACAACGAGGCTATCTATGACATCTGCCGAAGAAACCTCGGTCTTGAGCGCCCCAACTATGTCAACTTGAACCGCTTGATTGCTCAAGGTATGTTTATAGTCTGAATCGGATTTGACTTGATAGCTAACAGCGGCTAGTTGTCTCCTCCATCACCGCCTCTCTCCGTTTCGATGGTTCCCTCAACGTTGATCTCAACGAGTTCCAGACCAACTTGGTCCCATACCCACGTATCCACTTTCCGCTTGTTGCATACGCCCCGGTTGTCTCCTCATCCAAGGCTTCCCACGAGGCAAACTCGGTTCAGGAGATCTCCATGTCCTGCTTCGAGCCCAACAATCAGATGGTTAAGTGCGACCCCCGCAACGGAAAATACATGGCTACCTGCTTGTTGTACCGTGGTGATGTCGTTCCCAAGGAAGTCAACAACGCAGTTGCTACCCTTAAGACCAAGCGTACCATTCAGTTCGTTGACTGGTGCCCAACTGGTTTCAAGATTGGTATCTGCTACCAGCCTCCTCAGATGGTCCCCAACGGTGACTTGGCGAAGGTCAACCGTGCTGTGTAAGTTTGGTGGTGCGCTCGAAAGTATCAATTGCTAACAGTATTAAGCTGCATGCTCGCTAACACAACCGCCATTGCCGAGGCCTGGTCTGCTCTCTCCCACAAGTTTGACCTCATGTACTCCAAGCGTGCCTTCGTTCATTGGTATGTTGGTGAGGGCATGGAGGAAGGTGAATTCTCCGAGGCCCGTGAGGATCTGGCTGCTTTGGAGCGTGATTACGAGGAAGTCGCTACTGATTCGCTCGAGGGCGATGAAGGTGCTGAGGCCGAATACTAAGTCATTGCTTTGCTGAGGCATATGTTTATCTCTTGTGGGATCACATACTTGGTTGGTGGGCCAGATTTGGTACTTGATTCGGCTACATAATACTTCTCGGAGTATTTGGAGCTTGGTCATGTCGAGCGTGGGGGTTCTTAGAACCGTTTTTCTTTTCACTGCTACCGAATCCGTTTTTGTAATTCAGACAGCCATAGGCAAATCAACTGACAATATGCCGTACCATGCACCGCTAATATTCTGTGTGAATATGGCACAATTCTCTGTACAATGCGCTACCCCCAAGGTTGGGTGAGAGTATGGGACAATTCTCCGTCCCTCCAACCAAATTGTGCAGTCGCCCCGAGATGCATTGTGACCTTAAGCATGCGAACAGAGCCCAATGATGCTGACCAAGGGACGCGGGATTCCATGTGACCTGCACAGCTTTGCAGATTTCCTGCATGTTAGGCCGAAAGTGATAGAAATTGGGGTGGCCGGTTCAATCATATTGCGGTTGCTCAATTGATCCCCAGCGAACCCAAAGGGTGAGGCGCGTCAAGCGGCATCCGAACTTCTTTAGCTCCGGCCGCCCACAGCTCAATCTACCTCATTGACGTCCTCTTGCCAGCCAAGGACATTGTCTATCGCCAGCTGTTGACTCCTCTGACGGTCTGAACATCTTTACACATCATACCTACAGCTCTAGTATTCAAATTGACTCCATTCACGAATCGTATTGCATTGCTGAATAGCAAGTCCCGGAAGCGGAGGCGCTATGGCCGAAGACCCAAGTAAGAGCTTGTTTACTTTTGAGCATTTGATCGTTGAGGGGCAGCGGGGTATTGCTTGCGACTAGGCTGTCTCTACAGCGGGTTAGGGACTGAAAGAGAAGGCAGAGTTGATGCTGTGGGACCTGGAAAGGCTGACGTATTGATAGCGGCTCCGACGCTGAATCTCACACCTGAAGAGAAGCGTGTATTTGGACAACTATTTCGAGAAGCAGACAAGGAGAACATTGGAGTTGTGACTGGAGAAGTTGCGGTCAAGTTCTTTGAAAAGACAAGACTCGAGCCGCGCATACTTGGGGAGGTGTGTATTTCCCACAACGCCAGCCGACTTCAACAGAATCCAGCGTATGGAGCATAGCTGATGCAAACGATCTTTCTAGATATGGCAGATTGCGGACAAAGAGAATCGAGGGCTTCTAACACCCGCGGGGTTTGGGATTGTCCTGCGATTGATAGGACATTACCAAGCAGGACGAGATCCCACTCCCGAATTGGCTTTACGCCCTGGCCCTCTTCCAAGATTCGATACGGGATCAGGTCCTGGAATAAGTCCTACGATTCAACCTCCTCCAGGTCCCCCGCCAAGCGCCTTGCAACCCCAAGCTAGCGGGTCTGGACCCATTCGAGTTCCTCCACTGACGCCGGAGAAGGCGGGCCAATACGCAGCATTGTTTGAGAAGTCTGGAGCGCAGAATGGTGTCCTCCCGGGAGAGCAAGCAAAGCAGATATTCGAGCGCGCGGGTTTGCCAAACGAGATACTGGGAAGAATTTGGAATCTGGCAGACACAGAACAGAAAGGTTCCCTGCAGGTCACGGAATTCGTAATTGCCATGCATCTGTTGGCCTCTTTCAAGACAGGGCAACTTCGCGCACTGCCTAATCTTCTTCCTGCCGGCCTCTACGAAGCAGCGGCTCGCCGACCACCAAGCAGGCAAGCTTCGGGAGCCGGCGCAATGTCAGCTATCCAAAGACAGTTCAGCGGCGCACCTCGAACTGGCAGTCCACTTAGTCGGCCAGCTTACTCTACTCCTCCCCAGCAGTTCCCCCAGGCTACTGGCTCAGGTATGGATTGGGCTATCACTACATCCGATAAAGCCAAGTTTGACAACATCTACAACGGTTTGGACAGGGCTAACCGGGGATTCATTACTGGAGATGAGGCCGTACCATTCTTCAGCGAATCCAAGCTGCCCGAAGAGGCTTTGGCTCAGATTTGGGATCTCGCTGATATCAACTCAGCTGGCCGTCTAACCAGGGATGAATTCGCGGTTGCTATGTACCTTATTCGTCAACAGAGAGGCAAACGAGATGGACGAGACTCTTTGCCAGCCACTCTGCCACCCAACTTGGTCCCTCCGAGCATGCGCAATCAGACCAGGCCCGTAGCTACTCCCATAGCCCCGGCCTTTGATACCCCGGCACCGACAATGGCCAAGTCAGCTGCCGAAGACCTATTTGGTCTCGATGCACTCCAGACATCACCTGGTCCGGCTCCCAAACAGGCACCTCAGTCCACTGGGGGCTCTGGATCCGGATTCGGTCATCTGGGCAACGACCCATTTGGAACCAGAGCGTCAATGACTTCTACCTCACCGACCCAGAGCTCATCGATGCACAATTCGACTGTTTTCAAACCTTTTGCCCCGTTGTCCACTTTCGGTCAGACATTGACTTACCAAGGTACCGGCGGCTCTAGTGGCTCAGGACCAATACAGCAAAGAGGCCTGCAACCGCAGTCTTCAGCTACTGAGGATTTACTTGGTGACAACGACCCTGAAATCAGCAAGAGGCTGACGAACGAAACGACTGAACTTGCAAACCTGTCGAATCAAGTTGGAAGTCTCTCGAAACAGATGCAAGAAGTCCAAGGTCAACGGGCAACCTCGCAAAATGAATTGACCCAGGCCAGCACTCAGAAGCGTGAGTTCGAAGCTCGTCTAGCTCAGCTTCGCACACTTTATGAGCAAGAGGTAAAGGATGTAAGAAGCCTGGAGGAGCGTCTTACAACATCACGTAACGAGACCAAGAAATTACAGACCGAGATTGCGATGGTGGAGGGGACTTTCCAGGATCTCCAGAACCAGCATCGGCAAACAGTCACCGCACTGCAAACCGACCAACAGGAAAATGCCAACCTGAAGGAGCGTATGCGAGTTGTCAACGCAGAGATTGTACAGTTAAAGCCTGCGTTGGAGAAGCTGAGGTCAGATGCTCGCCAACAGAAGGGTCTGGTCGCCATTAACAAAAAGCAGCTTGCAACCAATGAAGCAGAAAGAGACAAGCTAAAGGCGGAGGCCGTGGAATTAAACAAGAGCATTGAGGAGGATACCCAGGCTCTTGCGGCGCATGCAGCCGCTGCAAAGGTTCAAAGTCCGCCCCAGGTCGCCAGTCCAGCACCATCAACAATGAGCGCCAACAATCCCTTCTTCCGGCGTCAGGGTAGCTCTTCTGAGATACCTACCTCACCTTTCGCTGCCTCGCCTGCTGCCAGTCAGCAAAATGATAGGTCTTTTGAGAACGTCTTTGGTCCATCTTTTGGTGCAGCTGCTGGTCTCGCTACTGGTGTCACTGTCGCTGAAGCCTCTCATGCTGCTCTGCCCGTCCGCACGCAGACTGGAAGTGGATTCCCTACTCCTTCGGCTTCGCCTCCTGCAACAGCAAATCGGGAAATCCCTCAAGCTAATGAACCTCCCCCTCCACCAGAGTCACGGCAAATCAGCTCCAGCTTTCTTCCATTTCCCTCGCATGACGACTCCATGACCTCTTCACGACAAGTTTCCGCACCGAACAGTCGATCTGGAGAGGGATCAACTGGCGCTGACACTCCTACCAACTATATGGGGACAACGCCAACAGGGTCCTCGGCGGCAGGCCCATCGGAAAACGCACGAGCTGTATCTCCAGGGCTTGACCGAAAGTCGAACGCCTCACCAACAGGTAATGAGACTAAAGAGACGATTCCCGGAGCATTCCCTGGAGATACAAATTCACACATTGTTGCTACCCCCACAGGTGGAAGCACATTGAGCGAACAAACTGCAGCGGATCCATTTGCGATCAAGGCCCCGGAACGTACTGGTACGGCTAAAGTTGACTTTGATGCTGCCTTCGCTGGCTTTGGAGCCCTTGCCAAGACTCAGGAACGGTCCAACACTGGCAACTCTTCTGCCTCTGGTTCGGCAGTTCCTGCTTCCTTTAGCAAGGAGTTCCCTCCCATTGCGGAATTGGATCACGATGATGATAGTGAGAGCGCCAGTGATGGTGGCGGCTTTGATGACGACTTTGCTCCTGCATCTCCTGGCCATGCTAGAAAAACAAGTTCTTCACAGGTGCCAACCACAGCGGTACCAGGCTCCAGCACAAACGACTTTTTAGGTGCTAGACCAACCGCTACACAGCAGTCCTCTGCGCTTAGTGTTGGAGACAATCCTCCAACTCCTAATGCCCAAATGTCACCCCCAGCTTACGATAAGGCGGTGTCTCCCGCCGACAAGGCACACTCCGAAGTGCAGGAATTCGCCGGACTTATTCCGTCCCGTGAGATTCCGGCGTCCGTGTCTCCTGAGCATGCTTCAAGCTCCACCGCAACCGGACAAACACCTTTCGGAGCCCCACAGGTCTCATCACAGCCTGTGCCACCTGCAAAAGTGCCGTTCGACAATGACTTTGATGACTTCGAGGATCTAGAAGATGCCAAAGAAGGGGATGCCGAAGATGACTTTGCGAACATTTCAGTCCATGACCGATCTGGTCTAGACGACTTTAATCCCATGTTCGATAGCCCTCCGCAATCGAAGGGAACAGAACATTCTACTCATGGAAATGGCTTTAATAGTAGCGATGGTACATTCGGAGACTTTACCTCTTCCCCTGGCCCGACTACCGCAACCACTGCAGCAGTCAACGATTCCCACGATTGGGATGCAATCTTCGCTGGTCTTGATGGCCCTGGAACAGAAGCCGCCGCTCCACCGGCAACAGAGCCTTCCAAGCCATTAGGCAATGGCACAGGTGCTCCTGAACGACCGCAAATTGGAAGGGCACTCACGGAAGCTGGTGTGCATGATGACCCCATCCTCAAGAATTTGACAACGATGGGTTACAAGAGGGCTGATGCTCTAGCTGCATTGGAGAAGTACGACTATAACTTGGAACGGGTAAGTTCCCATATCACGTAGCGCTGATATTGGTTCTGACGGATCGTAGGCTGCAAATTACCTTGCTAGTCAATCCTGAGTTTTTGGAGGAGCGGTTGGTGATTCATGATGAGAATGAGAACGAGATTGAGAGTGAGGATTATGGTGATCATTCGAGATGTGAATAGTTTAATTAATGTCAGTCGATTGTGTAGTCTGTTGGCATTTTGCAAGCGGCATTCTTTTAGCGAATTAGCTATCTCCCTATATGAAAGTGATGAATTTGAATGTACCAAGTATCCTGGGACAAGCTGCTATAAGACTCGTGACAAATATGAAATCTCGAATAGAGAACGATTCCAACCAAAAGATATGAATTCATAAACAATTTCGAAGTCCCTCTGCATAATCTACCGTTCCCACGTCTAAAAACGCCTACTCAAACAAATCCATCGAAGTCAATGTTCTAAACTTACCGAGTACCAAGCCTCAGCTGGACTTTAGCTTTTCATCTTTAACAATCAATCCTCCACACCACCCGCCTCCTCCATATCACCATCGCTTTCCTCTACCTTCTCATCTACACTTCCATCTAAGCCAGTATTTCCCTTCGCTCTCGTCTTCCCCACACTTCCCTTCCCAACACTACCATCCCCATCAGTCTCACTCTGACTCCCCTGCCTAACCTGCCCTGCCTTACTGTCCCGCCTCTGAGTCCTACTCACGACCCCCGGGAAGATCCTCGGCTCACTACCACTCAGATGCAAATCACCGTATCCTTCCACAGGCCAGGTAGTTTCTCGCGCCAGTCCAGCCAACTTCGGACTAGCGACTATGGAGCTATTCTTCGTGTTATCTCTTGAGGCTGTAGGTTGAAGTGGGCTGCCGCTTTCTTGTGGTGGTTGTTGGGGATGGCTGTCGAGCTTGGTTTGGGAGTGAGTGGCTGGGATACGGGCTGCTTGCGCAGGGAACTGTTGGTATGAGGGTAGAGATTCTGCTCCCCCAATAGTGTTTGAGACCATTGACTTCCTTGAAGCAATTGTAGAAGGGACAGAATGCTGTGCTGGCTGGAGCGGATAAAGGTCTTGCTCAGCAGTCGCTGAAGTTGCTGTTGTTGGAGTTGCCAGAGTAGTGTATTTATCGATCCTGTATCTATTAGAAGTGCCAAATTGTAGAAAGGACAGGTGACTTACATAGAAAACTCCTGTAACAAGGTCTCATGTCTGAACCCCTCTCGAATATTTGGTACATTACTCTTTGCCATTGTATTTCCTCTCACGCCTGGCAAGTGGAAGTCAGGACCCAACCATCTCTGCTTGATTGCAAATTCAAATCCGCTCTGGACAACAGAATTCTTAGCCAGCTCGCACATATCCACAGCACTAAGTTTGTATATTTGTGCTGCCACTGAGTATTCCTCAATCAGCGGCTCTTTTGTAAACGCGAATTGAAGAGGGTCATCTGTAGACAAGGAGACATTAAGTCCTCTCTTGAAATATGATAGGAAAGGATTGCGTTCGTACGCCAAGAACAAGGCGTTGTTGCTTAAAGGCGACATCGCGACTCCAATCTGCTCAAGATAGAAGATGTATTGCAGCAAAGGCACCTTCCGCAGAAGTAAACCATGACTGATGCTATGACAGCAGACAACAGCAGCTGCCAAATGATCAGTATCACCGGCCTCACCACAATGCGGTCTCAGTACGAAAGTATTGAAACCTCGCAATTTCCGCCAAACATTCAAAGAAGCCATATTCGAGAACAAGTAATAGATCCAGTAGCTGTAGGGCGGATTCTGTTTCGAGTCCCACATCTTCGGAACGGGGAATTTTCGATAGAGTCGACGTTCGGGCTTGCTTTCGTCGTCAACACTATCGAAACCAATGACCCTTTGCAAGAAGATGTGAAGCTTTGGATGACTCGTTGGATCCTTGGTTACTTCAAACAAAGGCTGGAACAGGTTCACAATAACCTCTTCAAAGTTTTCCATCAAACCAGTTGATTTGTAAACATCGAACAGTCGAGGGACCTGGATCAGCCATCGGATATTGTGAGAGAAGAGCTTGTTGTCGACAACCCAAGCCGCAAGCTTGTCCCACTCATCAATCGCCCGGCCATAAATTGAGATCCGCCACTCAGCCATCTGATACTTGCTAGATTCGAGATCAGAAATGACTTCTTTGGTGATCTCGGCTAGATATCTGCCATTGATGAAATTGTCCGTCTTGAGGAAAATAGTCCTCAATCTAGATTCTCCAATTGGATTATATTTTAGATTGAACTTGTCGAATCGGTGGAAAGAGTCCGTATGAGCCTGCAATATATTTAGTAGCTGTTGGTGCTAGGGGTGCCTAGACTTACGTGCATATCGAGCGTATCAATACTCAAATCGTACGCCGTCAAATTGATACTCTGGAAAACTTCTTCCAGTGTAAGATGTTTTCCATCCCTGAACATCACCACCTCATCTGGACACTTCTTCATCTTACTCTTGATGAACCTCAACAAATGCTTCTGATTCATACAAGCTGAGTGATGTACGTGGGTATCCACCTTTCTCACATTGTAGAAATCTCTGTGCGGGACTCTCTTGCTGTCCGCCATTTCCTGGTACTCGTTAAGAAGTACGTAGAGGTTGAATTTGCCTTCTAGGTATTGAAGTCGGCGGAAAGCAAAGCTCTTGCTTGGACCATCCGAAGAGATGTTCAGCACTGATTCGAGATCCATGTAGAATTCCCGGATCGTAGGGATGTTAATGATAGGCGTATCGACTCCCTCCGCTTCGGAGTTCTCATACACTTGGTACACGCTATTTCCATCGAGGCGGAAAGCCATATCGCTAGGGCCTGGGACGGGCAAGACGTCTTCAATATCAAAGTCTTCTCCAATCTCTTGTCCTGGCTTCCGCTTCTTGCGAGGTGGTTTTGGCGCCTGCGGTTCCTGAAGCGGGTGTAGCGCTGTTGTAGAACTGGAAGTCCGGACTTGATCGTTACCTCTCGTCTGAGGTCTCTCGGGAAGAACCATACTACTTGCCAAGCTGTTACCCTGATCACCATTTCTTCGATCCCTCTCCTCATACCATGCAGGTTCAGGTGGAGGAGGATAAATATTCCAGTTCGGATCATCTTTGGGATTGTCTCCATCCTGCTGGAGCGACAAGCGCATATACTTGTGCCGAATATCCAATATCTTCTGGATATTAGTGTATATTGTGCTCAACTCCGAAGTGATGTTGGCATCATTGTCCACAAATCCGCCTGCACCATTCCCCAAGCCAACGCCAGCACCGGCTCCGTGCAGCCCTTCGGTCTCAAGCAATGGCTTCGGCTCATGAGGAATTTCTGGATGAGTTTTGTGATCCCTCGCCTCCCTATCGGCTCTCAGCAACGACGCAATCCTGGGCAAACCACCCGGCCGGGTCGAAAAACTAGGTTCTTGTACTGTATTACTTTCCGGATGTTTGGATGGATCTGCGAGACCAATTGGAAAAGACGCTTTGTAGTTTCCAGAGCTATGACCATCAACATCCGCAGTTTCAAAATATTGTGTATCAGACAAACCTTTGTGCCATACTATGTCCGCTCAGCATCGACTTCACGCTTCCCGACCTCCTCATCTCAGCTTGTTCTGCGTCGAATACATTGGAAAACGACCTTGGGACCAAAACTGGGCTCCCCTGCGGTGAGCTTTGCGAATTGCCCCAATTGCTTCCACCAGTCTTCTGGGCCTCCAATTGACTCCGCTGGTAGAAGAGTTTCGCATCTGCTTGACTCAATTGCTTCTCCGCAGCATAATCGTAATAGGCCGTCTTTCGTTGTATATCTCGAGGAAGCATTCCGTCCTGCATATCCGAGGGAGTGCTTGTCTGTGGCGTATCACCTGGTATTAATGCAGCTTCCGGAAGCATTGCTTCGTCTTTGTCTCGTCTTTCATCCCATGATTCCTCCGACCCAGCTTCCTCGTTATCGTAGTCGTGTCCACGAACTTCCTCTTCATCTTCTGAAAGGGCTTCAAAGTCTGATGGTCGCAAGGCTCCCAGCTTTGGCGAATTGACCTCCGAGTCTTGACCGCGGGGTTGGGTTGCTGATAGAGCTAGTTAGCTCCATATGTCTCTGCTGCATCAAGTCGTGAGGCTGAGGAAGTGTTCGGCTTTGTTTGCAACTTACCAGGAGTCATTTTTGACACGCGCAATGGGTAAAGGTATTGCTCAATACGGTAATGACGTCCTCTGTGTCAAGTAGTTGAGTCTCTACGGCATGAGCCTGGTCGTTGTCAAAAGAACGTCTTGTTGAGTTACTTCGCAGTTCTTGGAAATTTACAAGGCTGCCAGACTAAACTTTGGTCGGCCCGACTTGCCTCCTTCCACCTTCGCCTATTCCTGCTTCAATTGGACCACATTCACGGAGTTTCGAAGTCTCTATAATTCATCTTATTGACACGGTCTCTAGTTGAACTGATTTCTATCCTACTTTGCCATTGGTAACAATGGCTCTATATCTCGCCCTGCCGGAACTCTTGGATCCTTCTAACCCATACATTCCTCCAGCGAAAAAGACTATGAACGCCCCTATCAAAGTCCCGGGTGCCAACCTATTTCCAAACAGCCAGATGCTCAACAAGAGACTGACTAGTTTTCGAACATTGAGCACAATGGTAACGGTGAGGGCTGATGATGCAGAAGCAAGGAGATTCACGCCACGAATGCACGCATATTGCGTCAAAACATTCATGACGAGATATACCAGTTGGCTTGGGAGATGAATAGCCCCCAAACCCTTTTGAAGTTCCGCCGGTAGGTGGTTCATTGAATCATAAGCCGGCAGGCCCAGTGGTGGAGACGCAGCTAGCTTCAAAAATTGCTTATACATCGAAGGGATGAAAGGCGCGAAGAGCGGTAATGCGAGTAAATGAGAATAGAACAGGTTCTCTTTCCAGTGTGGTCCATATTCTCTGTACGTTTCCTCGGTATATAAACCCATGATAGCTGACAGGACTTGCGCAAAGAATAATATGGCAAGTCCTGTGCTGAAGGATGGAAGTCCGTGGGCCTCTTCGACTTCTTTCTGTAGAAATTGTTAGTCCTCACCCACGCACCATTGAGATGACCATACTTTTGCTTGCTGATCCGTCCAAGCTGCAATCACCACACCAATTGTTAAGAGCGTGACTGCAAAGACTTGTAACCTGGAGAATCTCTTTCCCCATAAATAACCCGCGGCAAGAGTTGTAATACTTCCCCCCGATCGAAGAATAATGTGTATGGGAACTGAAATGTTGTAACTGAATGCATGGTTGTTCAGGACGTTAATTGTGAAGAACAGGAGGATATTGATCAGCCAGCGGCGGATGGGAACTTTGTTTGGTCTGAGGAAGTGGGGAGGTCGGTTCCGGTCGAATTGTGAGATATATCCAGTTGTTGCCACGAAGAGGAATTGGACGAAAGTCAAGAGAGTCCCTTAGAAGATCAGTAGCTGGACGGAGCATTGTCTTAGACCTTGACCATACCACTTTCCGGTTCAATCCTGAGTTTATAGTTAGCATTGTACTAAAAGTGTCCGGTAAATTGGTCGCATACTTGACAATAGCTTCAAGCGCGAAGACCTGGTGTGTTCCGTAAGCTTCACTTCTAACTCCAAGCCGAATATTCCGCAGCAAGTACGACATTTACTCACATTTGAGCAACATCCACCGAATATGAGCCCAAGCATAGCTCCAATAGCAAGCCATTGTGGAATAGTCTCGATAAAGATGCGGCCAGCTAGAGCCATCATCCGCGAGGATGCTGGCCTGAGATCGTCTATTCCATACATTTCTGCCTTTTCCAACGAGGGCCTCGCATCAATGACCTTCGGGATTATGACATCGCCATCTGCGGCGGAGGCTTGGAGGTCTCGAAGTGTAGAGCGCCGACGGGTGGCTGTCATGGGGGTCGACGGTATGCTGTTGGAGGAATCAGCTCTGCGTTTTCGTGCCATTTGGAGCGGTCTGCACAGCAGCGCGATGTGAGGCCGGCAGGACTTTTTTAGGAGAAAGGATTCGCGATCTGACACGTAGGTGAACAGAGGACAACACGGCCCTCATGCGGACTGGCAATGCACTTACTTTAAGAGAGTGCGATATCACACTAAAGCAGGCATATAATGCCGGGTGAGGTAACTAGTGAGAGCAGCAGGCAAGAGCAATGGGCAGTGGTCGGGGTCGGAGGAGGGAGGGGAAGGATGCTGGTAATGATGGTAAAATTGATCATCCAGCATCACAGGGAGGAGCCCAATTCGAGGAGGGGGCCACACCCTGGCACGCTGATCAAGTTGTTCCGTCCGTAGAGCACAGTGCAGAGTGCAGCAATGCAAAAAGCCTGCGGTGCTAAAGTTGTGCTTGGGCTTGGGCTTGGGCTTGGGCTTGTGCTTGTGCTTATGCCTATGCCTGCCAGTGTTTCCTTAGGGCGAGGGGCGCACTTCGGCAGTAAATGACACGCAGCCGGCACGGAAGCGTTCGCGCGTGCCTGAATCCGCGAAGCCACAACCAGGGCAAATCTCCGCATGTGGGCCGGTTATGCTTAAATAATTCTATTCGTGGGTTGAAGCAGCAGCACTCGAAAGGGGGCTGGTTGCATGCACAATCTTGAGAGCCTGAGATCAGAAAAAATCAGGGGCAATCTGTACAATAGATAAATATGCTGTGGGCATTTACAAGTCCAGCCCAGCATGACGCGTACGGAGCACATTGAAAAATCAATAAGAGTATTGGCCATCTTGGGTCAAGTCGACATCCATGCTTCACTTGGCGTGAGCCTCTCGCGTGAGCCTCTCGCTCAAATAGGCGGGACCTGGCCTTGTTTTATTCTGAACACTCCACCCCTTCGCTAATAAGGAGAAACTGGATTCCAGCTGAGGCATTCGGAAACGACAACGGATCTTCACTATCAGAAGCCACCTCTCAGTCATGGACTACTACTGGAAGCTCTTGCATTATTTATCTGCGAGTTGACTATTCTACCTGATTGCTGAAAAGCTTGCCGAAGTGTTAAACTTTGCAAACTTGGCATCCCTTGGAAAAGCTTCGAAGGACGCTCAGCAAACTACTGAACAAACAAGCCCCTGGGCAGCCGGAACGACTATTTGCGGCTTCATAGTCCATGCCAGCCACCGCCCCATCAATATTTGTCTTTGTGGTATCTTCTTTACCATCAACGAGGTTGTATTCGTTCCTCGTGACTAGCGGATTCTGGAGTAGGGGCGAAATTCGGAATCCATATGGGGACAAAGGATTAGGGAATGCTAGCCACGTACTGAAACGCCGATAGAATTTGACCAAGAGATACCTTCCGCGCAGCACCAATGTCTACAACGCTGAGAAGACAAAAAGCTATCCGGGGGTCAGTAATGTTCAGGAGAGCTTGGCCTTCACACTCACGTTGTTCGTCGCCGCAATAGCAATGCTGTCTTCAAATGGATGCCAGCTCATATGCAGAATCTTCTTGTTGAAATCGATCTGGTCCGCATCGGTCTCTTTTCTCATTCTACCACCCTGACCACTCGCTCCAGCTGCGGGGCTACCAGCTCTTGAGCCACCCTTCTTGCCTCCGTTCGTGGCTGTCGGGCTGGTGGACGAGTTAATAGGCGTTGGCACACCCACCTTCTTAGCCTTGAATGCCGATTTGTCCGCTTGCAACACAACTTCCACTTCCTTATCCGGGTCAGAGGGGTAGATCATGAAGTTGTTGTTATAGCTCCCAGTCATAACATTCTTGGCATCACCTGAAAAGACCACCTCGAATTTGTCAAAGATGCTGTCGTTCTCGTAAGTGTCGCAAAGCCGGGGCCTAAGGTGCTCATGAATAGGGATTGTCTTTACAGGCTGCCTCTCCATGTTTACGTCCCAGATTTTAACAGTGAGATAATCACGTGACAATATATATCTCCCGTCGTGTGAGAATCGAACATCGGAGATGGAGGAAATGATTTCTGAGAAGAAGGAACGAGCGGAGGGATCTTCCTCTTGTTCGAATTCTGTATAAAATATGTTAGCGAAGACCGTTCCAGGAACTAGGCTGCGATGCTGCGATGCTGCGATGACTTACGTTTTGCATGTTGATCACACAGAGCGCTCTCTCTCATATCTGCAAGCTTGATTGTGCCCTTTGAGCTTGCGTACATGAACCAATTGCAGCTCTGTGGGTGAAACTCTGCAGCTGTAATGACCTCTGTCAATTCCTCCATGTTAGCAGGTTTGATATCAACAATGTTGAAACTCTGGTCTTGAATATTCAAGTTCCAGAGGTTTATTCGCAAATCGTCACTGCTAATGAACGTCTCCCCGTCACTGTTCACCGAGATGCTGTTGATGTGATAGGCATGGGCATTGGCGTATGTTCGACGTGGTACTGCTGCCACAACAGTGTCATGGTGCGTAAGGCGGGGTAGTTTGAGATCGTGAGAGCTGGTGAAATGGACATTGGAGATAGGTCTGACGCCACCTCCTCCTGCAACACTTCCTGGAGTCAAATCGTGTGAAAGATTGTTCTCCGCCACAACCTTTAGGGACTTCTCGAAGACCTTCCATAACTTGATCGTCTTGTCGTTCGTTGAAAGGAGGTAGTGAGAAGCATTCTGCCTCCGGCACCACTTTATCTTATTGATCTTCTCTTCTATTTCAAGGGATTTGAGGTAGTCGAATTCGGGTTCGTGAGATTGGAATTCGGTGTGAAACTTATACTCGCATGTTTTTTTCTGCAGAATGTCAGTAATTTTCCGGAAAGATTCCTCGACCTTGTCAGAATATGGCTTTGGCATACGGTCTCGTTCCTCTCAAACAACACAACTCTCCCTCCTTTGTCACCAGTTGCCAGATAGTTGCCTGTGTGGTCGAACTCGACGGTCGAGATAATGTCGGCTGGGGAGGGTGGTATGTTAGCATAAGGCTGAACCACATAAATGAACACGAAGGGCAGACGAGGCCGGACTGTGTAATTCGTATGGGTAGCTTCGATCTAAAGCCAGAATCACTAACCTTCTGTAATGTCCTCTACATCACCCTTATCACCAAAGCATCTGATGCAGAAGTTAGCAATGGATACTCCTGCAGGACGCGCCCCAATAAATCGAGAGCCTCCAGTATAAGGACATCTGAAGAGCGATGTCCCAAGACAAGCAGCCGACAGGACAGGACTTCAGCAGGTAAGATAGGTACTGACTGTGTGAACTTCCAAGTTGGAGAGTTCGGTTCCCCTTCTACCATCTTTTACAACCCTTGTGGACGAGAGTGTCTCCTCGCCAACAGGTATATGATCAGAAAGCCGGTGCTTGTAGAAGAAGCTATCTGTAGGCTCGATCGCGTCGAAATGTCTTCCAGATCTCCGGAGCTGACTGACGCACGAAAGGCTGAGGGTAAACCTGAGATCAGCAAGGGTATGTTCCCGAAACAGGATCTAGAAGTGACGGTGTGCGCCCGAGGTGGGACAAGAAGGTCGTTAGACGTGATCGGCAGGTGGACAAGAGCTGCAATAGTGAAGTCCAGACTCGGATCTGGCGTTGTTGTGATGCGGCGATGGGAATTTGTTGCTCAGGGCGGATTTAGGTGAACGGTCGTGGGGTTTGATGGTCCGCTTGGCAGGAGTGACGAGGACGAGCAGTTCGCCTCTCTAACTGGGTGTGGATTACAAACAGACGAGCCTCCCAGATCGAACAAGACTTTGAGTTTCTCAACCTCGAAGTGAATCGTCCTTACCTTAAATTTTTGCAGAACAAAGGACAAAACTTCCCTATTTTATCATGCGCAATCCTCGACTCCTCCTATCAACACCTGTTGGTCGATGTGCTAGGCGGGAAGGTCACGGATACAGCAAGGAGTTCCCGCTCCTCAACATAACACCCCTCCCCAAAGTTGTAGGTACACAAATCAATATATTTTATTCTAGGCAGTTAAATCGGGCAAGACGTTCAGCTCGAGTCGACCAAACCGTGCCACCGAGGTTGATTAAATTCCAACGAATTCCAAATATTTGAAACTTCCCAGAGCTGGGGCATATCATTTTGGATTACACGTGTTTTTGGGCTTCCTCTAAGAGATGGCCTTCTCTCCTTTTAGTTCTATGTGTTGTGGGCTTTATCTGATTTTCTTATTCGTTTCGTTGTCCACTTCCCCACATCGGTCAACTCTTTCAACAGCCACCACACTCAAAAAATTCGAGGATTTTTAATTACAGTTTTAGGGAAATTCCATTCCAAAAGCAAAGATGAGTAATTGTACAGTTGACATTTGCCCCATCAATTACCCGTCACGTGTTGGTGTTGGCACGGGCATGTGCAAATGCAACCATTGTTCCAGCCAAAATTGGGTCATCCGACTTTACGTTCGACAACCTCCCAGCCATGAGATTTTCAACCCCAACGGATCAGCATGAGCGACGGCAATGGCAATGGAAAAGGCAAAAGCCGTGCCCCTCCTCAAGAAGCAGAGGAGGCACCTTCTTCAAATGAGCCTTCAAACTCACAATCTCTGTCCTCACGAATCACAGCCTCGGCAACAGGGCTGACACGAAGCGCCTTCACAGCACCGACCGCGAACGAGCTCAGAAATCAGGCCACAACAGCTCTTACTAATTCTGGCAAAGGACAGTCCATTGGCAGTAATAGTAATGGCGGCTCTGCTTGGGCTGAAAGTTCAAAGACAGCCCAGCAAGCAATTCATGGTCAAGCAAGTGGCGTTGGATCAGCTGGTCTGAGAACTGGACATCATGAACAGCATATCCAGCAATCGGAAAATGAATTTTCTTCATTTTTGGATGCTATCGATTCTTTTACGCCTTCTGAGAATCTTGGTGCCGCTCCAGGTAGAGGATTAGAGGATGTCTTGGAAGAGGATGCCTGGGAGAGGTCTCAATCTTCTCATCTACACAATTGGAGGGCGCCAGAGAGAACGGTGGCTGAACAAGAAGCTCGAGATGGAGAGGAGGTTCTAGCCATCTTGTCATCTCCAGCGGGGTTAGAACAACTCGAAGCCCCACTCGAGGACCAGGATGACGATTGGGGACTTTCTCAAGAGCAACTCATGCAAATTCGAGCAATGGCGAGGGAGATTTTTCATCCAGCGGAACCACATGCCAGCGTTGCAACAGATCACCCTCTAAATTTGAGACCCAGTTTTGAAGGGGAGACGATGGAAGCTAGGGAGCACTGGAGAGAACAATGGGAGGGTGTGTTGACCAGATATACGGATGAGGTTTGGGGAGGACTGCTACCGCTTGTCAAGCAGGCGAGACAAGAGATAGAGGAAATGGGGAGTGAAGGGTCTGTGAAGGAGAAACCGACAGCACTGAGGAGACTGGAATCTATCTTGGGCCATCTTCAGAAACGATAAGTCTTGTTATTTCTACGGATATAACTCAATCAAGTCTTAACATCGCTCTGCGTGACAGCCGAGCAGCTGAGAAGTAGATCAATTTCCCAAGGTTTCAAAGTTGTTCACTGCTTTCTGTTCTTCTCAATGAAGTAATTCGCACCAATGACTTGGAGGCCTTCCATTTTAGCCCAATCACGAACTCCATGTCTCTCCTTTCCCGTACCCCAATGCTGTCGGATTTCCGGAGCTGTCAGATTACTGCTGTCTCCTTCTAAGAGAAGGAAAACATATCGGTGATATTGTTGTCTCTAGGAGACTCTGGAATCTGCTCCTTTCTTTGTAGTTTGGAGACCTGCATATCTTTAATGTGATAGGCTCCTTGTTCTGCAGGTGTATTTAACAGGAGCTCTTGCCTCTGAGAGCTTCTCTTCCTTAAGTCAATGAAGCACCTTTCTCAGAGTTCTTCTGATATCCGGTCTCTGTAGGCGGGCTAGGAGGCTTGTCTGAAATTGATGTTACTAGATGCGGAGGAACATTTAAAGGAAATGCTTACATTTGACGAGTTCTTTTGCGTCTGCACTATCTCCTAAGTTGTTTTCGAAACCATCCTGACTCGAGGTTGGAATTATGGCAATCCAATGGCACATCTCAGACCATTTCGGATCCTCTCTTGAGGGCGCATCAGGATCTGTCAAAGCAATCGTGAGACCCGGAGTGCTCTTGATATGTGGGCAATAGATCTTCACTGATGGCTTCTCCTTGGTCGTTGACTCCTTGAAGACATTGCCCAAAGCCACAGCTCTTTCTTTCTTTCCATAGTACGGAGCTACTAAACATTTGACTTCGAAGTCATCTATCACTTCATCGATAATGCTCGCGCGTTTCAATCTTCAGCGATGTTAGTTGGAAAATGCTTTCGATGTTCGACGTAGGAAAGGAACATTGAACAGGAAAAAAAGGGTTAGAAACCACGGGGTATACCCACGCTTTTCTGACCGTGTCAAAAACACTCTGGCTTTGCCCGATAAGCTTTTGATGCTCAGGGGACGTGAGACTGGCGCGGAGGCGTGCTGCTCCTATGATAAGAAGGAGAATTTTTAGGAAGTTAACGCGCATTCTGAGAAGATGGAATGTTCAGGTCACAGATACTTAGTGAGCGAAATACCTCAGGTTCAATTCTTGCAATGTTGAAAGATTAGCATCTGTGATGTCGCGTGCGTGGACCCCGCATCGACGTTGGTGGTGATAAAACTCAGAGGGACGTCATCGAAATTGCCTGAGAAGTCTGGCCGGCGTTAGAGAATTCTGAAAGCCGTCCAAAGAGAAATTTCCCTTGGTTTTCGCAAACTTCGTGAACTTATGAAAATGGTCTCCATTTTCAGTTCCGGACCTCAAGCCTCCTTCGCAAAGACCAATGACTTCGAATACTTGAGGGTGGCTCGAGGTGGACAAAAAAGCGGCACCGATTACCAAGGCCCCAAGTCAAAGCCGTAGATTTGGCTGGACTTTAGAGAGGCACGAATCGTATCCTTCTTGATTTCCGAGATAGTCGAGGAGGGATGCTTTGATTCTACTTGCAAGTCGAGGGAACATACTAATTAACATAAGACATCGAGAGTTTAGTACTGCTTTTTCAGTCCACCGCGAGGTTAATCCGCTAAAAGTTACCCAAGCTCGAAACGTGAGAAAGAAAATTCGATCGAGAAGTTTCCTGACGTCGAAATCATGCTAGAAAACTGTGCAACAGATGCAGCCAGTGGCAGCCAGCCGATTTTTGGACTTCTCGTTGTGGACTCCATCTGATAGAAATGAGTGCGTGACAGATGGTATCTCTGATTACAAGCCTGAGATTGGGCAACGCGCAGTTGAATGTCCTCAAGCTTGTCCATCCTCTGGCTGTGAGATTTGGAAGTTGAGAACTACTACTTTCTTAAGAGCCCGGTATCTTGTGATCGATAGGTTCAGTTACCAACAAAATGACACAGTTGCGAACGGGCGAGAACGATGTAGAAGTGTCCTGGTGACTATTTTCAAAATAGATGCAAGGATTTCCCACGCACTCATCCCCGCCGTCACATGAATCGACACGACTAACAGAGAGAGAAGGAACTTCACTGGAAGCTCACGCGCATTTCAACTTGACTCGTCTTTGGTAGAACCTTGGTCCTTCGGAAGTGAAAGAACACTTGAACCATCGAGCATTTCGAGGATGTCAACAATTCGGTGTGTTGCCATAAGACGCAAGAGATAAGTTTATTGGAGCTGTGGCTGAACTAGTGGCGGTGCAGGCGAGAACAAGACGCATAAGGTTTAATCTTCAAGAGCCTTGGAAAACACCGAGCATTTTATCAACAAGAGCCACAACAACAAGTCTTGCTGGGTAGTGCGACCTGGAACCCCCTGAAGAGCCCCCTCGAGCGGCATATTCACGCGCCAGCATCGTTCCTGTTCGGTCAGAGAGAACACACGTCTGCGAACTCGTTCGACGCGACGCAACAAAGTCCTGAGCCCGTTTCCCTCCTGGACGTTTTCGCCTCCTCTCCATCAGCAACATGGCATCTCTTGGTGAGGACTTGCTCGGCATAGTCAACAAGTTGCAGGATCTTGTTTTCAACACTATCGGCAATGACAGTTTAGATCTTCCTCAGATTGTATGAAACCCCTCATCGTTGCCATTATCTCTGACCCTAGCTAACTTTCCCTCAAGGTGGTCGTTGGCTCGCAGTCCTCTGGAAAGTCATCCGTCCTCGAAAATATCGTCGGTCGAGACTTTCTACCGCGCGGCAGTGGAATCGTTACTCGAAGACCACTCATTCTCCAGCTCATCAACATACCAACCGATGACGATTCCCCAGAAGCTCACACAGCTGCCGCGGTAGCTACACAACCAGAATGGGCCGAGTTCCACCACATCCCAAATCGAAGGTTTACGGAATTCCAAGATGTCAAGCGGGAAATCGAAAACGAGACGGCGAGAATAGCAGGCAATAACAAGGGCATCAACCGACAGCCAATAAACCTCAAAATCTACTCTCCACACGTTCTGAGCTTGACATTGGTCGACCTACCTGGCTTGACAAAGGTGTCTAGACTCTGGTTCAGACATATATAGCTTGATACTGACTTCTAACTTACAGGTCCCGATTGGCGATCAACCAACCGATATTGAGAAGCAGACCCGAAATCTCATTTCCGAATACATTGCCAAACCTAACAGCATTATCTTGGCGGTTTCTCCTGCTAATGTCGATATTGTGAATTCGGAGGCACTGAAGCTTGCCCGCCATGTCGATCCTTTGGGCCGCAGGACGATTGGGGTTCTCACGAAGATTGATCTAATGGATCACGGAACAAATGCTCTAGATATCTTGTCCGGGAGGGTATATCCCTTGAAGCTCGGATTTATTGGCGTTGTCAACCGGTCACAACAGGATATTCAAGGCAACAAGTCTCTCGCCGAGGCTTTGAAATCAGAAGCAGACTTCTTCAAACATCACCCAGCGTACCGAAATATGGCAAACAGATGTGGCACTCAGTTCTTGGCAAAGAGCTTGAACACAACCTTGATGGCACACATTCGAGAGCGGCTACCGGATATCAAAGCGCGACTAAATACGTTGATGGGGCAAACACAACAAGAACTGGCCAGCTACGGAGACATGCACTTCAGCGGCAAAGAGCACAGAGGGTCTCTCGTACTTCAACTAATGACCCGGTTTGCTTCTTCTTTTATCTCTTCAATAGACGGTACATCAACAGAAATATCAACCAAAGAACTATGCGGAGGTGCCAGGATATACTACATTTTCAACTCAGTCTTCGGAAATTCCTTGGAAACGATAGACCCCACAACAAATCTCTCTGCGCTCGATATACGAACAGCGATTCGGAATTCCACAGGACCACGGCCCAGTCTCTTCGTTCCCGAGCTCGCTTTTGATCTCTTGGTCAAACCTCAAATCAAGCTTTTGGAAATTCCCAGTCAAAGATGTGTCGAGCTGGTCTACGAAGAGCTCATCAAGATTTGCCATACTTGCGGCTCAACAGAACTTACCAGATTCCCTCGCCTTCAAGCTAAATTAATTGAAGTTGTCTCTGATCTCCTCCGGGAAAGACTTGGGCCAGCCTCGAACTATGTCGAATCGCTGATCGCTATACAGAGAGCATACATAAACACCAACCATCCTAATTTCCTTGGTGCCGCAGCTGCTATGAGCAATGTAGTCACCAACAAGCAAGAAAAAGAGAGAAAGAGACTCCTGCAAGAGGAAAGAGAAAGAAGGCAGCGAAAAATACAAAAGGAGCTTGGTGCTAATGGCGCCGATACACCAGAAGATGATGAGGAGAATGGAGAGAAGATTGAGAATTTGGCGCACCGAAAACAGCTTCACAAAGGAGGGCGAAGCATGTCTCCAGCGATTCGTGAAAATGGTGCGGGCGGCATCGCTGCTACAATGAACGGTGCGCGATCTAGCTCGCCACCTCGATTCAACGGTCAAGCTGTTGGTGGTGCCCGAGATTCATTCTTGAACTACTTCTTTGGCAAGGAGGGCGGTTTGCCGGGCGGACCTGGAGCAGGGCAAGGATCATCTTCAGCTCACAACCCTAATCTGGGACGACACGTGAGTCAGAGCACAGAGCCAAGTTTCAGCCAAAGCATTCGGAGGCAAGAGGAACGAGCAATTCATAGGACTCCGGCTCAGCAATTACGGGAAGATGATTATGAGTTGGGCAGGGCGCAGAGAGACTATGACTATAACTCTCCATTCGTAAGCTTGCTAACACTTTTTCGTGTGACCAAAACTAATCTCACTTAGGGCAACAACAACGAACCTGCTTTGACGGACCGCGAAGCCATGGAGACGGAGCTGATCCGGGCCTTGATCTCATCCTACTTCAATATTGTGCGAGAGTCGATAGCCGATCAAGTGCCAAAGGCAGTCATGCACCTTTTGGTCAACCACTCAAAGGATGCTGTGCAGAACCGCCTGGTCAGCGAGCTCTACCGGGAAGACTTATTCGAAGAACTCTTGTACGAAGACGACGCCGTGAAGAAAGAGCGCGAGAAGTGCGAGAAGCTGCTTAAAACATATAGAGAGGCAGCCAAGATCGTTGGTGAAGTGGGCATATAGGCCTGCTCAAGCTTGTGGCGTTAGACGAGTTCGATGGGCGCATGCATTTGGGGGAGGATGGAAGTCACGGATGATGATTGTAGAACACTGTATTGTTGATCCTGGGTTTTGGGGTGGAAACTGTACTTTTCCCACTCTGGTACAAGATGTTTGAGCATCAAGGCCATGTCTATACTGAATAACCCCACCAACTGACTACTCATTCTTAAATACTGACCAACTGCCATTCCAAAATGTAGAGTCGTTTTCATCTGATCTGCGTTCAAGGCGCGGAATATCATCCGTGCGCAAGATAGGGGGCCTCAAGGATCAGCATCGGCATGAACCTTAATTTCTCACAACCAACCTCAACTCCCTACAGCTTCGCTTTTTGAAGCTGAAAAACGTGCTTCCACCACTGGGTAACTTGCTTTTCAGAGCTACAACGTAAAACTCCCGGAGCCTTCCCCCTCATCTTGAGCCACTCATCTCGCCACATATCAGAGGGCCAAGCTAGCCAAGAATCCATGTAAGCCGCATGCAGATAGCGAGCGGCACGGAGTTATCCCAAATCTTGCATGAGACAAAACATTCTCCCATCGCAGCGAGAACTTTCGAACATGTCATGAAAGGACCTTGACTGAAAGTCCGTCTTCACGCTAACATACACCTCATCAGACCGCAATGTCCAGCACGCCGACAACCACCACCGGCGTCACATTGTCCAGTGGGCACAGTCACAGCCATCACAGGGCCAAACGACAACGCCACTTCGTACTCCCCGATGGACGAAAAGTGCACATAGCTCTCTCCCCAGAAGAAGCAGAATCTTTACGCCAAAGACTTACCGCTATCAAGAAGGACGAGCCTTTCGACCTTGTGATTTCCGGCTCACCAGAGCATTTGGAAGCGCTTCGTCAAGTGCACAGCCACTATGATGAAAGACGGGAAATGCTCAGGGCCAAGCATGGTCCGGATTATGATGAATTTGAAAACGTTAGAGCGGAGTTGGATCATTTGAGCTCGGAGCTGCATATGTTGTCAGATCATGCTGTCCAGCTGGATGCCAACTTCTCCAAGTATGGGTATTCTGCACATCTGAGAACGTATGATGACCATTCTGCTCCGGGCTCGAGTGCGTCGTCGATTAGTGGGTTCCATGACCCGGATCATGAGAAAAAGGATTGGGAATCGGAGAAGAGAAATGGCAGGATCATGAAGATTTATAAGAAGGTATATCACAGAATATGTTATTCTGCTGTGATTGGATGAATGGGAGTACTGATCTTAAACAGCCTACTGTCCGGCAATACTTCCATAAAGGGCTTCTGTGGAGAGCCTCAGAAAGAACAGAAGTAGCATCTTTTGAGCTTTTTGTTGACCTCCTCTATGTTGGAATTCTCGCTATCAACGGAGATCACGCAGCAGAGGATCCCACAGGACATGAACTTCTCCGGTTCTCGATTACTTTTATTATGAGCTGGAAACTGTGGAGCGACCTCGCTCTTATAATCAGCTGGTTTGAGACCGACGACATCCTTCAGAGATTATCAGTGATGACGATTATGGCGTGCCTTCTTGGGTGGGTGTCTTCTCCGAACAAGTCGTTTGGCAAGGTCACGACTGACAATGGATGTAGGCTCACGACCAATATGCTGGATGCTCTTGGGGAGACTTATTCTATGCTTGTTGCCTTCTACCTTGCTGCCCGTCTTTTCATGGGAGCCTACTATTTCCTCCTCGCTTGGGTCATCCCCATGGTCCGAGGCATGATGTTGGTTCATGTCGGTCTGACCGTCATCCCCAGTGCGATTTGGATTGGCTCGATATATGTCGACATGCCTCAGCGACTTGGGTTAATCTGGGCCGCCATCTTTATCGAGCTAACTGGACCGATGTTCGTTATTCTGATCATCCGTGGTCTAACGCTTCCAGAAGGAGCACAACCCATAGCGGGTGGCCCGATGTTTCCGAGACGCATAGTAGAGTGGATTAGACGTGTATTCGAGTTTTTCCCTGCGATGAATATCGAACATAAAGTGGAGAGGACAAATGCGTTTACGACGCTAGTGTTTGGATATTCGGTCGTTGCCATCATCTACCAAAACGCAGCATCCTTCGGGCTCAATGCGTTCTTTGGCAAAGCTGCATTAGGACTTGTCCAAGCATTTTGCTTCAACTGGATATATTTTGAGCTCGACGGCGCAGATTTGTATACGCATGCTATCCGTAGAACCGTTACTTCTGGCGAGTTTGTTAGTCCAACACTTTCTCGACAATCTGCTAACAAAGACCTCTAGCAATGGCATGGAGCACAGCACATCTCCCATTCATTATGAGCTTCGTGCTCGCAGCCGGAGCCCTCTCAAAACTCGTCTTGGCGACCGACTGCAGAGACACGAAAATCGAAGACCTAACAGAAACCTATATACTCAAATCCGACCCCGAAATCCCCATCGGGCTCCGATGGTTCTATTGTGGTGGACTCGGAATAGCTCTCTTCTGCATGGGCAAGTCTCCACCCCTTCTCCCCGTTCATCTTTTATAACGAAATCAGGCATCATATCAATCTGCCACGTACACAAAGACCCAGCAATGGGCATCCGAGTCCGAAAATCAAAACGCATGGCGAATCGTTTTGCTGTCTGCATCATCCTATGCTGCTTACCAACAGCACACCACCTCAATTCTCTCCAGCTTATCTCGATAGTTACGGGACTTATCATCTGGGTGTTGTTCGTCGAACTTTTCGGCTGCAGTTCTCCTGAGGAGAGTTTTTTTGGGGAGAAGAAGCAGTGCAAATACACTGCGAGATGCAAGATTTCGAAAAAGGACCTAGAGTCTGCGGTGAGAGGAGGACATGTGATTAACGTCTCGGAGTTGAGCGATCGGGGTGAGAAGGGATTGTACGAGATGAGTTAGAGATGTTTGGATATTTGGGTGGAATTGGATACGGCATTGTATTTTGAAACCAATGCTGGAGTTTACTAAATGGGGCAATTGGGTAGTTGAGACGTACGATATGTTCAGGTAAAAGGGGAGTCGTGTATGCATGTGAGATTGAAAATGACTCGATTCAGAAAGAAATCTCAAGAGCTTCTATACTAGAACCTATACGGCGGCAGGTAGACCGCCATCCGCAACCCATTCCTCACAAACCCATGAGCAAGGTAAAGCACTCCCTTCGACTCATTCCACAAATCTGTCACACGTCTACGTAAGTCTCTTTTCCCTCTCTTGAAGCTTCGAAAGCAGGCAGTGGCGCGGGATTGTTATCCCCCAGGAGATTGACTGGAAATAGTCCATTGCTCACTAGTCCATGGCCGTTGTTTGGTCGGGTTTGAAAGGGGGGATACGGAAGGATGGAGGGGAACGGTTCTGATGTTTGAACAGGGCTGATATACTCTTCCGCGCTATTAGGACTTTGCCAGAAATGGGTTGGGAATTCGTGAGTGGGCTACATCGCGGGCCTTCAGTAGAAGGGTCGGGATTGATCCGTCGGCGATCCATTGGTCGGAGAGTCACTTCAATTGTTAGTTATCGAGGAAGGGAGCCCATGTTATGGAAATGTGAGAATTTTCGGTGATTAGTACGGGTATGGTCACGGTGCAGAGTCTTGATTTCACATGCTCGATACCTGGATGGTTGTGTGAAAGTGCTAATGTGTTCATATCTTGAGCTAAGCTGTTGGTTTTGGTGGGGGGGGGGGTTAACCAAGAAATTTGCATTGTAATGAATTAACTCGAGTGGAACACCTAAAATGTAAGAAAGCTAACTCCTTTGTTACCTAGTTATGCTTCTACGAACATATCACAATGAGTATTTTGAACGGGGTTGTAAATTCTAGAAGCTCGTGAAATATTCTGAGCGAAGAACTTCAGTCTGCCAAAAGTTGCACAGCATTCAAAGGGAAAGAAGTCATGGTTCTCGAGGAAAGTCCAACAAACTTCTAACTGAAGGACAACTTGCAACCTCGCAGAAGGCAGCAATATGAAGCTTGGGGCTCCAGAAGCTCGCTAAAGCTTCCTGGAAGGTGGCTCCTGAATACCCCACTTCCTCGGACACTGTTCAAGAGAAGCAATTCATCCGCTGCAGCAGCGCTTTTTAGGAAATCTTCCCAACAAAAACTTGGAGGGGCAGGAGGGGCAATGCCGAGGCCTTAGTTCCTGGGGAGTCGGTTGATCACGTGATAATTTCATTAGAAAGAGGTACGAAGTGTGTCCCTGTGGAACAAGGATAGTAGGCGATGCTCCATAGTATACTTAAACCAAAAGTACCGTCAACGCCTCGGCACGCCGTTGTAGCCATGCTGTGATCGTATTTCAGACTTTCACAAAGGCATGTGCGTGTATGTCGCTTATGAAATGGCGGAGATGCCTTCTTCCTCTACCACCTTTCGTCTGCGAACCTCAGTCTCGTCCACACCGATTCTGACTTTGCCGTCTGCGCCCGTCGTCTTGGCTGCAATGGCCTTTTCTTTCCTTCTCTGTTCTTTTGGCGGTTGGAATCTCTTTCGAACCGCATCTATCATCTTGCCAAACCAGTAGAAGTTCAATGTATTCAGCACAACATTGCTGCCCAAGTATGTAAATGCGAGCCACAGCGGGACAAACTCTTCGCCTGCAAATTGCATGATCCCGTCGTGTATTGGCGCTGCACTTTTTCCGGTTGCTGCATCGAGTGCTGCGGAGGTAGCATTGTTCAGCGCATCAAAATGGATGGTTGCAGCAGCGGGTCTGTGGTGGAGCGCACGCCAGACGTCTTGGTACACACGGACAGATTGATATGTTCCCCAAACAAGACGACAGCAGAAGAAAGTAAAGAGCAGCATAAGTCCATTATAGAGTTGAGGTTTCGAGCCGGTCATGTCGAGTTTGTCGAAGAACCAGTGGAAGTTCAGGAATGGGGAGGAGAGCTCGTAGAGGATAAATGTGCAGCCGTAGAAGTTAACGAATGGTCTCTGGAATGCTTCGTTAGTGGACATTCCACAGGTATTTCAAAGGCACCTACGAAGCCAAATGAAAATACCAAGAGAGCACTCAAAGCATGGGCGAGCATGCCGAGTCCGAACACGTTGACATGCTGCAATGTGATCATCAAGTCCCAGAGGAAATATCCGGTTGCCATGCCCTGAATCATTCCAGCCGCTCCAGTGTAGCCCCAAACCCGTTCCTCCCAGCTCATATTCTTGCGCTCCTCATCTACGAACATAACCCACAGGGCGAGGAAGTTAATCGTTGTGCTTTGCACCAACGATACGACGTGCACATCCCAGTTGATCTTGCGCTCGGCGGAGAGCTTTGGGTAGCGGACCGGAAACAGCCATGTTGAGATCCTAGGAGCAAAGACGATGTTGATGAAGGTGTATGCGAAGAACGATCCGAGGACCTCGTGGATATGGAGAGGGAGGGTCGTCAGAGAGAAATAGTCAGCGAATGGCTGGACAGCCTTGCTTAGCCAGGGCAAGGGTGGAAGAGGAAATGGGTCGTGCATTGCAGGAAAAGGGTTGAGAATGAGGATGTAGGGTGGGCGAACAATCTGGTCGGTATTTCTATACACACTCCAGCCGCGATGGAGTGTGCAGGCCGTGTGAGTCGCGCTGTGCTGGAGGTTTGGCGGCGGATGTACCTTCGTAAAGATGCTCGTCAGCGTTCCCAACAAATCAACGGGTGTGCTAGTCCGCTTTCGGCACCGAAATTCCAGGGGTCAAAGTATTTCAGGGTCTTCGATGACGCAAGATCTTGAAAATCAAGATGTTTGCGTCTACTTATATATATTTATGAAGACCCTGGAATTCATTCTAGGGTTTATTCCAGGCAGACCTTTTTAGGCAGACGAACAGGCAACATGACTTGGGATGTATATCATGCCCAAGGCTGACCGCCGCACGTGAGCTGAATGGGCGTCTTCAGACACCACGTGAGTCAGAGGCACGAGGAATGATTTAGAATGGAAAGCCACGGGGGCCGTATAAGCATGATTCGGAGGTAAAAGTTCGACTCAGCCTTGATCTTAATGACATTAATATTAGTTATCAAAGCGTGGGGAAGATATGTGGAGGCGTCGCGAAGCAGTTCTTCCTGTAAAAAGTGAAGGATTGCCAGTTTCTTTGAAGAAAGACCACCCCTCTTTCTCTTTCATCCGCCGTTTTACCTCCTAGCCCAAGCGTCAGGTTTCTGCTTCAACGACTTCAGCGGGGCTGGTTAGAGACGTAGTCTCTGTTAACAGAACAGTATCTCGTGGTGCCGTAATGTACTCGACTGTTTCTGGGTCCTTCGGCCAAATTTCGTCTGGTCTAGTTTTCTGTTGTTGTTGACTTTGTGCAGAAGCAGGCCTGTCGCGTTGACAAGTCCCTTTGCATCGTGATGTTTGAGGACACCAGGAAAGAAGCACCCCCAACAGCCGCGGCAGTTTACTAGGAAGCTTTTCACCTTGCTCGAGGGGGAGCTCTGCATCTTCTTCATCCCCAGGGCTGCAAATCCTGCTGTTGCAACCCTCCAGGCAAGGAGGAACCTTATATTTATCGTACCACTGCAAGTGGCAGGTCCAGCCATGAAGATGTCTCGTATTCGTGATGAAATCCATCAAAAGGTACACGAAACAGTAGAAGAAGGCGAAGACAAAAAACCAGATGAATGTGTTCCGATTGTCGGTTTGCCCAGGGCCAGCTTCCTTAGACGTCGGACCTCCTTGAGAGAGGCAACCGAGATACACGCCAAGGCCGATTGTGTATAGCATCAATGAGTGCTCGAAGAACGTTCTGGTGCCGGAGAGAAGCAACACCACTTTGAGTTTGGGCTTCGCTGGGTCTTTCTTTTTGCCATCGTGGAGGAACTTCTTGAATTCCCAGAGATTACGCTTGTCTGCAAGCAGAAGATTCCCAATGAAGCGTTGGTGTTTGCAAGAGAAAGCCACCGAGACGAAGGCTGATAACATGCTAGCGATCCACAAGCTACGGCTCAGCCAGTTCACTCCACTAGTCAAGGGGAGAAGCAGGGAGGTAACCGCTATGAGGGCCATGACTGTGCTCTTCCTTGGACAGTAAGCATAAGAGACACGTGGAGATGCAGCGGAGTGGACTTCTACTCACCCCAACAGAGGCCATAGCACAGTTCTTGTTTTGTATCTTCCAGACTATCTCCTGACATTCGTGGAAGTGCAGGACTTTCAATATGGTGCAGAATTGGTGGCTACTTCCAAACCAGAAGAAGAAGAGGAGGGATTTCTTCTTATACATGCTCCAGATGAGCTCGAAATAGCTCCGGTCCCAGTAGAACATGTTGATGGTTATATCTCAAGTCGAAAAGCGTGTATGGACTGCAGAGACTGATGTGTAGGAGAGGGAAATTAGTAAAATGCAGGAGGGATGTGAGTGAAGTTTGATTTCTGAAGGAGGTTTTTATGTGCTCCAAGACCCCATCAGTCGGAGTCTGACCGCTTATATATGCTTCTTGTCAGGTCCGAAGACTGCACGCGCAGTATTCCTCTGCCCTGCAACACCACCCCAGAGCGATATTGATGTTGTACGGCACAGGCCTTGGTCAATCAACATCGAGGAAGATGAAAATCTCTCACAAATCCATAAACGAATCATTTTGCAACATGTGGCTTTTTATGATGGAGTGAACTTGATGTTGGGGTCCAGGCGGCGAGGCTCTGCGCTGCATGGAGATACTTGTCTGGTCGAATAACAAGCCTATTAAGACCATTACTAAAGACGGGTTTCAAGGGTCCAAAGTACCTACCCGCCTCTCCTTTATCGGCGTCTGGTCTTTATTTATACTCATAAGGCTGTCGTTCGTTCAAAGCCCCAGTAAGGTCGTCTGCAATGGCCTGTTTAGGTTGCAGAGTCTCGCATAAACCACTTTCTCCACCGTTCTTGAAAATGGTAACTTCGGGAACGCTGTAATGATGCCCCACCCTTCAAGCTGAGCTTCTTACGGCATTTTATTTGTGACTTATTGCATACACCCTCTGATGTCTCCCGTGTGTGATTACCGGTGTGTGATCGCCGGTGTGATTGGACCTTGTCGGCCCCTGTAATGTGGCTGCATCTTTTTATTCGGCAGAGCCTGGTTGGAATGACTGATATTCAGCTCGGAATTTACTCTTGCCAATCAATGCCTCAATCGCGCCGTTGTTGCTGAATTTCTTAGCGCAGTTCCGCATGCTCAATGGCACCCTACTCGGGCCGGTGCATGTATATGCATGGAGAAGCCGAAAGCATCACAATATTCCACGTCATGCAGTAGCGGCTTCTGGATCTTGTGTACTGGCTGAGGAGATGTGACAAAAATAGGCTTTAAAATAAGAATATAACAGACGAAAGGGACAAAGCAAGTACATCTTTTGAAACAAGAGGAGAACAAGTTACCTTGTTGTGGACGGAGACCCTCACTAGGGGGCACGAATAAAGAGTACCTCACCTGTGAAAAGAAATCGTAAACCGTCACAGGAGAACATACCAAGACTAAATCATGCTTTTAATTATCTGCTCCGCAAGCCACGGTTACTGGCTGACGATCCTCCCATTGAAGACGGTCGTCCTGTCTTGGCACGGATCATAGATCAGCTCTTGGACTGTTTTTCTAGACCTGAATGATCCAAGCCCATTGGCAGACTCGCCACCAAAAATAACACTGATATTAAGTTAGTAACTCAACTCGAGCTGGAAAACAAGAGTAGTAATCTCAGCACAAAATAGGAAGAACGTATAAGATGGGGGTCCAAGTAGAGATTAGAAGATTGTACAGAGTCCCGACAAAACATTGGGGTTGCTGGATGGTTACCATATGGAGGAGTACACTCAAGGATACTTACAAGTCCGCAGCGTCTCCGATATCAAGCTCAATATCATTAGATACCGAGAGATTGATGCCTATAGCCAATTTGGCTCGATTAGAAACACATTGCTGGCCACTTTAGTCACTTCAATATCCTTCCAAAAGAAGTACGTCGACACTTACTAGCAACAGCTCTGCGTCTGCCTTGGTCCCAGCCTGATATACACCAACAGCGAGGCTTGCCAAGCTGAGAGGGTCACAGCTGCCTTGGGGTGTGAAGGCATTGCCAACATTGTTAATGCCCATAGCAGCGTTCAGCCCATACTTCTTAATCATCTGGAGAACCTGGAGTGTGCCTCGAACCCTGTGACCTCCTCCCTCTTCCTCTTTCGGTCTGCCCATCATAAACAGATCTGAAGTAGGTAGGCCAACGAAGGAAACTGGCAATCCTTGGACTTTCTCGCAGAGGTTCAACCACTCGCTATTATCAAACAGGGTGAGCCGAGTACAATGACCAAAGATGATGGTTCGATATTCAAAATTGTTCCAGTTTGATGGCCAATTCATGGCATGGAGGAGTTTCAAAGCCTCCGTGACCATACTTTGCTTGGCTGGATCCAAATTGTAGTCGATGTGAAAATCCAAGTGCAATTTATAGCGTTTGGCCGTCTTTATACTAAACTCCATATTCTTGATCTGTTTCTCCTGGTTGCCATCTTTTTCGACGTAGGGAGTACTGCCAAATACCTCAACGCCAGGCATACTCGCAGCACCGTCGAGTAGTCTCATCATGGCTCTTCCCTTGTCCGGGTAGCTGAAGATTGGATCCTGAGCAAAAACGCAGATTTGAATGTAGCAACGGTCGCGGAACAATTCTTTGAGAGCCAAGCCAGCCTCTAGGCACTTGTATTTGACTCCAAGATCGACTTCGACAAAGGCTCGCATGTGTGTGACTCCAAAATTGACACTCTCTTCGATGAGAGCGCGGCCCCGATCCATTAAATCCTCTGCTTCAAATCGAGTCTTTGCTTCGCCTGTGAAGTATAAGAGATGAAAGTTGAGAGTAAAAGAAATAAACCTACTTGTTAACTTCATTGCTTCCGCAAAGTCTCCTTTCTCGATTTGCAGATCAACATATTTCGGATGAGAGAGGAGGAAGCACTTGTCCAGATGGATGTGAGGGTGACAAAGACTTGGAGACAGAAATCGTGGTCCAGATTCCCCATCAGACTGGGCTGGCTTGTGCTCTTCGAGCGAAACTATGACCCCATCTCTACAGCATATATCGAACTTGCTGCAAGTAGGCTTCCCAGCAACATGCACACCCTCGAAGCTCAGATCTGGCGCCACATGATTTGCTTCTTGAGTCGACATCTGTAGGGGAATACAAGGGGAAGAAGAGACACCTCAATAACGCATCATAGTATAGGACTGAAAGTGCAGCGCGGAGTACCCACGCGAGGATGAGATGACGCAGTTGAGGGATAAAGCTTCGGGCCCGCGAACTTGGAGAAAGCTTCTTTTTCTTTAAGCGAGTATCGATAGCTGTACAACACAACGCAACATATCACAGACCTCACAACGGACAACGGAGAAGTGGACTACTGCTCAACATGGCAGATCCACTCTATGAGCTCTTGGTCCCCTATTTTGACACGCCATCACCTCGACCTGTACCGACCTCCGATGATCCAACCACCAATGCCTACCTGAACCGCCTCACCGCCCTCCCGCTATCTTCATTGACAAGTACTGAGCCACAATCCCTTTCGCAGACCACTCACTCTCTCCTCCTCTCCCTCCAATCCCTCTCCAAGCGCTCCCATAAATCCATAATCGATTCCTCCACACATCTCTCAACGTTGAGCACAACTCTCCCCACACTTGCACAATCGACGGCCTCACTTCGAGACGCCCTCCCCAAACTCGACGATGCCGCCATCCACTTCAGCGAAACCTACAATATACGCGCAGAGAACGCCCTGCTCGACCGGCGAAGAAAGGCCCTCCTCCTATCCCGCAACATTGACCGCCTCGCGGACATCCTCGACCTCCCCACCCTACTATCCTCCGCAATATCTACATCCAATACTGCCTCAGCATCTGCGGCAACTTCTGGAGCAAGTTCCAATGCTACATTAAACTACGCCTCAGCATTGGATTTGAACGCACATATCAGACGTCTGCATGGCTTATACCCAGAGTCACCGCTCATTTCGAGCGTGGAGAAGCAGGCGGGGGAGGCGATGCAAGATATGGCCACAAATCTCATTGCAAGCTTGAAAACAAATTCATTGAAGCTGGCAGGTGCAATGAGGACGATATCCTGGTTACGGCGTGTAGCGCCAGAGCTCGATCCGACACCATCTTCTTCAAATATTGCATCTGCAATGAATCCCATTGAACGGGCCGGGGGAGGGGGAGGGGGATCCAAGGAAGGAAGTCTGGGGTCATTATTCTTGGTCTGCAGACTAGCGAATTTACAACAAATGCTAGGAGCTTTGGAGCCATTGCGAGAATTGGCAGATCAAGAGACGTTACGGCTACAAGAGTCCAAGCCCGACAAGACGGAGTCAGGAAAAGAGAGAAGTAAGTGGGAGGGTGGCCAACAGACAGAGAGATACCTGAAGCGCTACATTGAAATTTTCCGTGAACAAAGCTTTGCGATTATTTCTATGTACAGAAGCATATTCCCTCCGACCACAAATGTTCATGAAGAGAGTTTACTGAAGGGAATGGGAATGGCACCGGCGGAAGAAGATCCGTTGATGCCGTTGCCCAGTGCGCTGGGGACGTTCCCGTTGACATTGGTAGGCATGCTCGAAGAGACACTGAGGAAATATCTCCCAAATGTGAGGGATAGGAGTAGTCGGGACAGCTTGCTCACGCAAGTTTTGTATTGCGCAGGGAGTTTAGGGAGATTAGGTGGGGATTTCAGCATGATCCTCGCAGTCCTCAACGAGCCAAAAGAAACCGAGGAGGAAAATGAAGATAGCGAAGAATGGGTAGAAGTGATCCGAAAGCATAGAGTGTTGGCAGGTAGATTAGAACTGATGGTTGGGTCACGAGAATCATAAGGCTTAAATGAACTAGACAAAATAGAAAAGATAATAGATATTCATGAAAGCAAGGCTTGAGTCTCAATCCCAGAAGGAAAGCCAAGCCCCCCATAGTAAAAGTCAAATGAACCTCGCTCTTCCCCCGGGTGTGGATTAATTCTTGCGCCGCCCGTTTGTGGGAGCGTGCCACGACCAATCAGAAGGGCCGGATTTCTCAGCATCCCTGCAAGTGGCGTTCGCCCACTTTTTCTTTCCTTCCCTCTTGAAACCACAATACCACCACTCCGCAATTTCATTCTTTTCTAATTTAGTTTGGAACTGCTGCCCTTGGCCCTGCTGTCTCTTCATACCGATTTCAGCATCAAATACAATCTTTTTGGAGTTTTCCAGTGCGAAGTCGATCGACAACCTGGAGTTAAGGGAAATAGCTGAAACCTAACCTTCTGTCTGTTGCCACGAAACTAAAGAGACATGGAAGGAAAGGGACAAGGTAAAGGACCCCAGAGGTGTGAAAATCGTCTCGTAACCCAATGTGGACCAATCGACACAAGAATTCATCTTGCGGCACCTCCAGGCAGCGAAGCTTGCGCAAACCATGGCAAAGTCACTGACACGATCCTTACCTCTCATTCCACCCACCTCCATCAAACGAACGCAAATGACTCGCAAGACACTCTTCCACCATGGACCACAGAACCAACGGATAGGACCAGAAAAAAGTTAGAGGCGATGGTGTCGTCTTCTTCTGCCTCCACTCGGGCCAACTGACTGAACAGGTTTGGACTACACCAACACTTCACAAAATACAACGCAACACACCGCTGACAGAGCTACACGAAAGCGGCATCAAGAAGCAACAGGTAAAATTTCAATGTCCGCGCCGAATTGTACCGATTATCCTATAGATTCATTTTTGTGGTACCCCCACGGCCACCGGACAGTTGTGAGCACTACTCAAGTGGGAAAGTCGTTGCCGATACACATCATGGAGTCCAGCCCTTTCCTCGCAGCAAAACCACGGACCCTCTTGGGGTGCCTCAGCACCAGGCAGTCAAAAAAAAAAGAACAAAGACCACAAAGCACACTCAGCCAGACTAGTCAAGTTGCCAGCCCAACTTGGACCAACATATCTGGATGACACCCCAAAACTTTTAACACCAGGCGGCCAGCACTACACGAACATGGTCTCGGCCATGAACAGGACAAATTTCAACTTCCGTCCCAGTCTGGACGTGTCAGCATTGGGTGGGTCACAGAGCACGTATTTGTGGCCTCAGGAGTCACTGTGCAACGCCAACAAACCCCTAACAATGGACATCGACCGGGACGCCAGGGTATGTACAATGCTTGTATTTGCTCCATGGCAATGGCAATGGCAAACAGTGCCAGTAATCTATCATCAGGTCAAGTATGTACCTCTGCAAAAAATATCTACAAGGGAGAAGCTCGAAGTGATACCTTCATAGATTGTGAGCATGCAGCCACCACCAAATGCAATCCGAACTCCACCCAATGCTTTATCTATCTGTTCGCTCTTTATCCCCGGTTCATCATTAATATATTTTTTGTTCACTCTGAATTGGTTCTGGCAGGCAAGGCCTGAACAGTTGCAATCGCCTTCTCGGGGTCTGTTTGGGAGGATATTCCTCTTGTGTCAAAGATACCACTGCTAGTGCCGCTCGCATTCTCTACGCTAGAGACCTCGACTTTTTGGTGGTCAGGGGTTTTGCTCTTCATGAAGGGAAGGTGGCCAGTGTTCTCATGGTATCGCAAAAGCAAGAAACCGATGATGACAGAGAGCCAGTACAAGTTGTACGATATGACCGAACCATAGGTGGCCGAGTTCTGCCATCCGAGGATTGCATTGAATATACCCCATCCTCCGCCACCATTGATCTCTGGATTGCCGAACTATAAAATTTGAGGGACATGTCATCAGAGAGGTTGAGGACAGCTTACGTTGACGTGCCAGACACTTTGGTCTATGTCATAAGAACCAGCTCCGGCTCCGAGTTCCGCGGCATCACTTCCAACTATCTGGTTCCATTTGTTTGCTTCCAAATACCACACGCCTCTGGAGAAGAGACTGGCAGCGACGAGATAGAGGAAGCAGGTCGAGACAACCAAAAAGAGCTGGAGCCTGGACGAGGCACCACCCCTTGATCAGGGTTAGATATGGCTGACGGACTCAAGGGCAGGAACTTACTTATAGATCAAATATCCGACGACGCTTCCAGCAACCAGACCCATGACGACAGGGATAGGTACTGCAGTGGCTGGCACCGAGAATGATACACCAGCGACGAAGACCACGCCCTCAAGACCTTCTCGGAGAACGGTAACGAACGGCACAACGAACATTGCATACTTCTCACACCAGAGTCCAAACGCAGCCCAGCAGCCGAGCTTAGCCATTGGTCCATATTCTACCTGTTTGGCAAGCTTAACACGCCACTTCTCCTGCATCTTGGCCACGCGAAGGAGGGCAGCACCAACTAAGGTGATGAGTATACTGGCGAAAATGGCAAAACTTCCTTCCCAGATATATTCCGCCTTAGCCCACTTGTTCTTTCCGAAGCGATAAAAGACTCCAATGATGGCGCCTCCGATGACCATAACGATTCCAAAGCCTATCAAGGTGCCAAGCCAAACCTGTACCAGTGTGAGAAGGATGGTATCAATGGTTGAAGACCGACCTTACCTGCCGGACCAGCTTTTTGTAAGTTGGAAGATCTCGATTTGGACCGTCGAGGGTTTGTTTCAAGAAAGCAAGAAGCACTGACATGACGACCACAGTTTCCAGTGTCTCCCGGAAGACCACGAAGAAAACGGGTACGGCAAAGACGTTCACGGTCATGACTGCTGATGACTCGAAGCCGTGTCGCGTCAGCTGATCGAATGGGTTGGTTCCTTTGGATGAGGAAGATCAGGACTGATGCCCGTGGAATGAGAAAGGGGAAACCGTATGGCACCAGAAGTCTCTTTAGGATTGTGTTGTTCGGGATTGAAGATAGTGTTGAGGAGGATCTGATTATGCAAGAGGATCTGATTAAGCGGGAGCGGGAAATTTCGTGCCTTCGTAGGGGCAGCTCTCGAGATTGTACGACACCAAGGATCCCCTCTGAATAGCAGGAAATGCGCTGCCAGTGGATAGAAGTCAGGTCGACGATCGGAAGGTAGTCGAATTGAGCTGGCTGGGTCGAGGTAGGCGTAGATCGCGAAGGGGGATCTGATTGCTGAAGTGATAGTCGAGCCCCGCGGGAATCGGGGAGGTTTCAAGTCTTGGCTGTGGGGAGAACGCGAAGAAGAATGAAAGGATGGGAAGGGACAAGGACCACTAACGAATTGAATTCAGAAACGACGCAAAGCCGGGATTTGACTTCGTCCTTGGATTGCTACGGTGCGGATTATCATCATCGGGATGGTCTCAAGGATTTCCAGGTTGTCTTGTTGAAGAATCATCCGGCTAGGATTGCCCTAAGTGCAGAGTCAGCCCGCCCCTGGAAAAAGCAAGTGCATGCCGTGCGCCCGCTTGGGCCCAAAGAGGGATAGCGGCAAAGTTATCTGATCCGACAGCGCAACTGGCCGTCTGGCCGTCTGGCAGTCTGGCAGACTGGCAGGCATCTGGAAATTCAATGGCGCAGCGGCAGTCCTTGGCCACACAGCTGGGAACAGCCAATGCTAGCATCGGACTGAATCTGATAACAAAAGCAAACATCCGGCCGACCTGCATCCCCGCCTGCGGGCTGCAGCTGATTGGAACCCAGGCCCAGCCCACGAAAATCAGACTGTGAATATCGACTTCTCCTACAATCGTTCGTTCGTTCATCCCCGCTGTGTCCACAGGACCACAACAAACCCCGCCCCTTGACACGCGACGAATTGCCAGCCAGAAGCTAAGTTCAGAGGTGGGTACTCCTAAACTCACAGACCTCCCTGTAAAAGACATGTGCAGCGAGGGAATTAACCGTGCTGTTCTTTGCCAGGAAGGAACCCACAATCTTCAATTCTCACCAGGGTTCTGGCAGCCTCCGCAGCCTCGTCAATGCAGGCAGGTACCATAACGCGCACGATTTATTTAGAATCCAGTCTGTTCTCGCCTTCCTTGCTACATCTTTCGACTGCCATACAACCCCACACGGACTTCAATCTTTGACGGACTCGACGCTAAAGAGAAAACCACCCCGGAGCCCCAACATAGATCTCATACGTCCTGTTAAACAACGTTCCACCTCTCTGGGTCCTGGATTCATTCTTCCGAACAGCCTCTCCCGAGTTGCATGTCCCAGCTGCATGCAGTTACCGAATCATCACGTCCACCTCCTGCACCACAATACGGTTCTTCCGTCACACGGGGATCTTTCGAAATAGGTGCATCAAATTATAACCTCGGTCCTGGCAGCCACGAAGGCCAAAGGTACCATTTGATAAAGCTTCGAGTAGCATTCAGCTCTTAATCAGATTAATCTAATCAATTATCTGGTCGATCACCTCGACTTTCTCCCCCCCGGTCCCTAGTGTGGATTATTCGTTCGTCTCCACTCCTTCATTAGGTTTGTTCTTCTAATCACCGGTGCTGCTTCGCTGATAGGCCTCGCTCTGAGACCTCATTGGCTCTTTGCAAGACTGGCTGACCAGAAGCCTAGAACTCGAACTTCGCCGTCAAGTCAAGCCCGTTGAAGAGGCTGACTTGAACTCAGCTATTCTGATCACCATCCCACGTCTACGTCGAGGTATTATTTGAGAAATAATATGGCGCTCTCGCTGTCTTTCTTCCCCATTTTTTCAGTACTGCTCCTCGCACTATCTCACATTGCAGGAGCAGCTACTGTCATCTACGACTTCAATATCACCTGGGTCAGAGGTGAGTGTTCTTGTTCGACGGAAGTTCATGGAAGTTTAATTGACATTCGCAAAGCAAATCCCGATGGACAGTCTGAGAGACCAACCATTGGTATCAATGGACATTGGCCATTGCCAGTTATGACGGCAACAATTAATGATACAGTTGTGGTCAATGTCAACAATCAATTAAGTAAACACCCGCTTACACCTTCCCCTTTCTCGAAGGACCTCTGTCTAATTGATTGTCTCCAGGAAATCAAACAACCACTCTCCATTTCCATGGTATGTTCCAAAATGGTACCACAGATATGGACGGCGCTGCTCAAGTCAGCCAATGTGGGATTGAACCTGGATCTCAATTCACTTACAACTTCACCGTAAGTCAAACGCCAAGAGAAAATCGAATTCGCCACTAAGGTGGTTTAGGTCAAGCAAGCTGGCACATACTGGTATCACAGCCACTCCAGCGGCCAGTATCCTGATGGACTCAGAGCTCCATTCATCGTCAGTGACCCTGACCATCCCTACAAGGACCAATTCGATGAAGAACTGGTTTTATCTGTCTCAGATTGGTACCATCAGGAAATGCAGGTCCTCTTTCCAAAGTTTATGTCCAAAGCCAATCCGACCGGGGGAGAGCCCGTTCCCCAGGCTGCGCTTTTCAACGATACACAAAATCTGACTGTCGCCGTCCGACCTGGCAAGACCTATCTTTTCCATGTTGCCAACGTTGCAGCTTTTGCAGCACAGTACATCTGGTTCGAGGGACACAACGTGACCATCATTGAGGTAGACGGAGTTTATACTGAGAAAGCTGAAGCTGAGATGATTTATCTTTCTGCTGGCCAGCGATGCAGTTTCATGGTTACTACGAAGAACGAGACATCTACCAATTATGCTTTCGTCGGCAGCATGGACACAGTTAATAAACTTCCTTCCTTGACATGGAGCTCTGACTAATAATATCTAGAAACTATTTGACAAGGTTCCAAAGGGCTTTAACAATAATGTGACCGGTTGGCTAGTCTATGGTAATGACAAGGCCCTGCCAACTCCAGTACTTGTGAATAAATTCAACGACTTGGATGACTTTGGATTGGTTCCCTATGACAAGAAGCCACTCCTACCAGAACCTGATCAGATCATCACTCTTGATGTTACGATGGGCGCTTTGGGAGATGGAAAGCCATAGTAAGAATGCGTTCCAAAGTATTCATAGCAAGTACTAACAATGCCATAGTGCCTTCTTCCAGAACATCACTTATGTTTATCAGAAGGTCCCAACAATTTATACAGTGATGACGACTGGAGAAGACGCAACAAACCCTATGGTCTATGGAGAATTTTCTAATTCGTTCGTATTGGGTCACAACCAGATCATTCAGATCGTTGTCAATAATCACGGTAAGCATGTGCTTCGCTCGTTCGTACCTTCTGATATTTTAACAGACGCTGGTAAACATCCGTTCCATCTTCATGGCCACAATTTCCAGACTGTCGCGCGGTCCGGCGAGGAAGCAGGAGATTTTGATTCAAGTAACTCGAGCCAAATCAACTATCCAGCGATCCCAATGCGAAGAGACACGGTTGTTCTGAATAGGAATGGCTACTTAGTCTTTCGCTTCGCCGCTGATAACCCTGGAGTATGGCTGTTTCATTGCCATATCGAGTGGCATATGAGTCAAGGTTTGATCGCGACCATGGTCGAAGCTCCTTTGGAGATCCAAAAGAGTTTGACTATTCCCCAAAACCACCTCGACGCGTGCAAAGCTGCGAATGTACCAACTGCAGGTAATGCCGCTGGCAATACGGTTAATGTACTGGACTTGACTGGAGCCAACGCGCCCCCCAAGCCATTACCCGCAGGGTTTACAGCACGTGGAATTGTTGCTCTTGTATTCAGTTGCATCTCTGCTCTGGCCGGATTAGCAGTCATTGCATGGTAAATCTACCTTCTTCGTTGCCTGAGATTCTTGACTAATCGCTATTAGGTACGGCAGTGTCGACATGGGAGCAGCTAGCAAGGTCGCTGAAGAGCGACGCATTGCTGAGATGAACCAACGGGAGAGCCGCGACCCTGTTACTCCTGTTACTCAGGCAACGGCTCTGGTCGAGTTACCCGAGAGGTCGACTCAGACGGCTAGATGATGGAGGTGGGTGTTATTTGGACTGTGAATAGCTGGCAGTGGCGTTGCATATGGACGGATGGAACAGTGCATGTGTAGAATAGATATATTTTGATGACGATTACGATGGCCATGAGAATAGATCCAAAAGTCATTGAATAAAACTTGTTTTCAATCATGAATTAGAAGTCAATAATTATAAATTCTGCTTCGGTCGAGCTAGCAAGTGCGACTGCATCGGCTCAGCTCGGCCCCTGCCTTTGTCAATCGTGAATTGTGGGGAAACCCTGGTTCAGCAACCTTATCGACGTATCTTTACAGCTGACCTCCGCTCTTGTGAATAGTCCCAAGCCCTGGATACGTCTTCTTCACTTTCCATCAGATGGCCCTGGCACCCTTCCTCTTAGGCGTCTCAATTGGCTCTCTGCCATACGTTTCTGTGCAGCAGACAACTCTCTGAGCTGCCAGCTGTACCTCTCTGGCATGGCCGGCAGACAGTCTTCGAGCAGACGAGAGCTGTGGTCACTGGCAGATTCATATGGTATGAATAAATGCCATCTATGATGTGTTCATGCTGATGTATAGACTTTATTGCTTCGTTCCTAGGCAAATCTGAACTATACCGCCCACCAGTGTCTCGCCTCAATCCTCTTGAACAAAGACGCGCTTTTCGATCTTCCCGCGACCAGCACAACAATGTCAACCACAGTAGACTAGATAAGCTACATAAACTAGTACCGGTCTCCCGTAATTTTGCTTCACTTCGGCAGCAACATGGCACAAGACGTCACTTCCACGACTACTTCGTCACAAACCTACCGTCCTCCTCCCTCCATCCTGATTCCAAGTCCTCCACTGGGCCACACCACAAGCTCCCTCGATCAGCTTCAACGCCCCATACTCCCGGCTCTGGGCGATCTCCAGCAGCAGCCCCGCCCATGATTGGTGCCTCTCGGGAGCTTACCGTCGTACGAATTCCCTTACGAAGCGCGAAACATCATTTCGGGGTCTCTGTGTCACGGGGCACGCGGCCGTACAATGAAGATACGTATCAAGCAGGAACAATAGAGATCCCAGCATTTGCTAAGAGGGCGCCTATAAGTTTGAGTCGTTCGGGGTCGAAGATCACAGCGGGCGGGGCGACGTCGGCGGATAGTGCTAGTGGAGATCCGCAGGTTTTCTACTTTGGCGTGTTTGATGGGCATGGCGGGAATGAGTGCAGTGATTTCTTGCGGGAGGAGTTGCATAGCTATGTTGAGAATGCTGCGGAGATTTTTGAGCTTGGGTCGAGCTTGAAAGCGGGGGGGAAGAAGGAGGATAGAGATGTTGGTGCGCCGAGTGCGGACCATGGGGGTGGTGAGAACGAACTTTCATCCCAGGGCAAGAAAAGTCTAAACAGACATGAAATGAAAGGCGAAGGAGAGTTCGAAGGGCTACAGAATGTGCCAAAGAGAAATGATGATAAGAGCGTCAAGGACCACCCAAATAGCCCGGCTCTGTCTGGCGAGGAGCCAGTTTCAGCAGAATCCAACAAACCGAAGGCCATCGGGCTTGAGAGGGATTTGGTGGCACAGTGGAAAGACACAGTTGGAGGCTACTTTCGCCGATTCAAGCCTGAATACTTCTCTTTGGCTGCTAATGGTTCACCCCCATCCGACACGCCAATTTCCATTGAGACAGCGTTGATGTATGCTTTCCTCAAGGCAGATCTGGATTTTGTTACGGCACAAGCTCGCAAGCCAGATGCCGAGAACCAGCACGGCGATACACCTCTGAACGCAGACGACATTCTCGGCGAGCCTGCCCACTTAACTCCCTCGAAGCATCGGATTGGAGGCCCGAAACAATTCGTAGGAGGCTCAACAGCTTCCATAGCTCTCATCTCCACACCGACACCAACACCATTCTGGCATCCGGCATCCCCATCCACCATCATCGTTGCCCACGTAGGGGATACTCGAATTCTCCTCTGCGACACCGCAACTGGTCTAGCAAAACCTGCTACCACAGATCACCACCCAAGTTCTCCTGTTGAGAGCACAAGACTCCGTCGATACGCGGCGACATTCGTCACCGACTCCTTCGGCGAAGAGCGGATGTCCGGCTTAGCTAACACTCGAGCCTTTGGCGACATGCGCTCTAAACGAATCGGCGTCTCCGCTGAGCCTGAGATTAGGCGCATAGATCTCTCTCCCGCGGAGTACAGCTTCCTCGTCCTTGTATCTGATGGTGTGAGCGGTACGTTATCGGATCAGGAAATCGTTGACGTGGTTAAGGAGGCGAAGACTCCGGAACAAGGGGCGAGAGACGTGGTGAGCTATGCTACGGAAGTGAGTTCAGAGGGTGACAATGCGACGTGTTTGGTGGTCAGACTTGGTGGGTGGGAGAGGAGGATTGAGGGGGGAATGGGGAGTATGGGGACTAAGGAGGTGAGAGATTTTAGAAAAGGCGATGCTTTAGATCCGAGAAGAGGGAGGACGTAAATATGAGGCAGAGAGTGCATATAACTTATATAAAGCGTAAATTCCTTGCGAGGTGTGTTTGGATTACCCCTCTCAGGCTCTTGATCTTGATATATGTGTCACGTGCAGAATTATTACATCATGCCACTTGCAGGACTCGACCTTCCACTTAACATCCATTCAGTCTTCGAATTGTTTCTACAAGACATGAAAATCGATGAAAGGGGAAAACATGGCACCTAAAATCGACCCAACGATTCTCAAAGCACTCTTACTAGATGCGGCGGACACTTCAATAGCGTCTCATGGCGGAAGCGGCTTTGCATCCACATTCAAGATCACGAGTAAGGACAATGAAGGAGAAGAAAAGCTATTTTTCGTCAAACAAGGGAAAGGGAAGGAAAGCCAGATTATGTTTGCTGGTAAGCATCTCATCTCATATCTTACCTTTTCATCTGAATTTCACCTAAAACATCTGCCCCAAAATCGGACGAAACTCCCAACACATGACAACGCAAACCAGGAGAACACGCGTCCCTAAACGCAATCTACTCCATCGTCTCCAGCCTCTGCCCTAGATCTTACGCCCACGGCCTCCTCTCCTCCACCACTGGCGCCTTCCTCGCAACAGACTTTCTCAACTTCTCCGCACGCTCCTCGTCTTCCCCATCCTCCTCCTATTCAGGTCTCTCTCTCGCCCAAAAACTAGCAAGACTCCACAGTACGCCAGCACCCATTCCTGATGGCTACGATAAACCGATGTTCGGTTTCCCCGTCCCGACTTGCTGTGGCGATACACAGCAAGACAACAGTTTTAAATCTTCGTGGGCGGAATTCTACGCCGATAATCGGCTGCGACACATCCTGAAATCAGCTGAGAAGAATAATGGGAAGGATTCCGAGCTTTCTAACCTCGTGGAAAGGACGACGAGTGTTGTGGTTCCGAGACTGTTGGGAAATGGGAATTTGAAGACCTCGAGTGGAGGAGATGTAGTTCCGGTTGTAGTGCACGGTGATCTCTGGTCCGGAAACCATGGCGTTGGAACGATTGGGAAAGGGGGTGTTGAAGAGGTTGTTTTTGATCCTAGTTGTAGTTACTCGCACAGCGAGTTTGAGTGGGGGATTATGCGGATGTTTGGCGGCTTTGGGGGCAGTTTTGAGAGGGAGTATTACGAGTTGAAGGGGAAGGATGAGCCGATTGAGGAATGGGATGATAGAGTGAAGTTGTATGAGTTGTAAGTGAAAATCTAGGGGAGGGGAGAGAGGGGCGAGAGGGAGGGGAATGGCTAATAAAGGATAGGTATCATCATTTGAATCATTACTCGATTTTCGGGGGTGGGTATCGCGGGGGTGCGGTGAGGATTATGGAGGAGTTGGTGAGGAAGTATGGGGATGGGGAGTAAACGGAAAGTGTTCCTCTTGCAGCAAGACTCCCGAAACAGAATTCACTTGAGCGCAGCAACATCAGAGGAATGCTTGTTTTCATTTGGGATGAAAGCTCGACATTAGCTTGAAAATCGATGTCGTGAGAATTGTGGATCATTGAGTGCCAATTCATGGGAACTTGTGGAAGAGTGACTGACTCCATACGAGAAGCACTGGATCATTGTGAGAAGGTTGTACGCGCTATGAGCACCCGGCTTTCAGTAACTTGCTCCAAATTGAACTCATCAATTATCGAAGGCTGTATGAAGAAAGGCATCAAATATACAGAAAGTCAAAACACCGAGGAGAAAGTGGATCATCGCCTCATGACCCATAGCCATCAACTCCTCGCCCCCAGAAAATGCTTCCCATAACCTGGCATCCCGGCATGCACCTCGTACCAATGCAATCTAAACAGCCCTTATTTCTACTTCAAATTACTGGCCCTCTGGAACCTCTTCCTGGACCTCGCATCCCTGCGCGAAAAATATTCTCGCCGGCTTGTCGTAATCATTCACAATGCTATAGAAGTTGCCTGCAAAAGTTAGAACCCGCCCAGCCGTCTGGCTGCAAACAAACATACCTCGAGGAACTTGCCACATCCCACCCTTTCCGATCCTGAACTCGTTATCATTGACGTTGACCTGAACTCTGCCCGAGAAAACGAAAAACACCATCTGCATCTTTCTTGAATTCTTTGGCTTCTTCACTGCTCCTGCTGGTAAATCTACCATTCCAGATCCAAAGAACGGATGGGTAAGTGTCTTGGCAAACTTGAAACTAGCACCAGGGATTTCTCGAGTGATTATAGCTGCTGCGGAAAGGGCAAGCTCTTCCTCCCTCTCCTCGGCCATCGAGCCAAGTTGATCTTCTGGATCCCAGTTTCGGATCTCGCCATATATGCGACCAGGTTCCGTCTCCCAAGGCTCAACCTCATCCTCTTCATCTTCGGATTCTAGCTCTGGTCGGTGCTTCTTTGACTTTGAAGATTTGGATTTGCTCTTGTGGCGTCTTGGTTCCTCGACTTCATCGGCGCGAACCACTTCTTTGATTCTAGGCATCAGAAACTTGCCGTATTGATCTTCGTTCTCATCCTCAGAATACTCGACTCTCTCATTCTTCCAATAAGCAAGAGGCTTGATCGAGTTTCTGCCCGAGCGGGTTTGTTTGAAACCATTTCCCTCCATAGGAGTTTCTCGTCGCAGTATGACGAGCCCACGATTGGTTCTGGGCATGGGAGGGCCACGTTGAACTTGGGGAGAGTCTGCTTCCGATATTGTGGGCAGTTTTGGCTTTCTACCAGTGGGATTTGCTTTCGATGGATTAACAGCTGCAGGAGCGGCAGCAGATGCCTTTTTTGGTTTACCACCCTTAGTCTTAGAAGCCTCAGAGGTATCGAGAGAGCGTCGGGTTCTCTTCGTAGGTCTCTCTTCTTCTTGTTGTTGTTGCTCCTCCAGCTGCTGCTCCGGAGGAGCAGATTGCTTAGGTCTGCCACCCTTGGCCTTGACAGGTTGCGGACCTTCAAGAGACTGGCGTGTTCGCTTTCTCGGCCTCTCTTCTTCCTCATGGACTACTGGCAGATCTTGCTTCTTCGGTCGACCCATTTTCTTCTTCGGAGGCTCAGGCTCAGGTTCAGGTTCAGGTTCTTCCTCCTCCTCTGGTTCCTCAACCTGGCCAACCTCCTCATCATCCCCACCATCAAGCATTTGATATGAGTCCTCCCCGTTCTCCATACCAGTATCATCTCGATCGTCATCCACACCATTCTCTGAGTACGCTTGCCGAACAGGAGCGAGGCGTGATCCGTTGGTAAGTTTCGCTGGTCGTCCCCCCGACATGGCAGAACTAGCTCGCTTTTGGGGCGACGACATGGTGACCTCTTCGATACTAACGTTCGAGAAATCTAGCTTCCTCCGTACAGACGCTGAGACTGAGGCTGTTGTAGGAGCCACGATCGAGCCTCTGACCGGGGACGATACGGGGCCGAGAGAGGGGTTTCTTCTTGCTGGTGAATCGAGGTATGTTTTGATCGGAGATTTAGAACGCGGTGGAGGCAATCGCATACTTGCTCGTTTCCGGTCGGTGAGGACTGCTGTCGGTTCTGGAATAGTGCCTGCGCCGAAGTCAATACAAATATACATGATACACACGCTTATCTTGATTGTCACATACTATCTCCAACGTCCATGTCCTCCTCGCTCGATATGGTCGCATTGGCATTCTTTCGGGCGCCGTTGGCCTTCTGAGTTGACTTGTTCTTGGGTTTCTCTGGTGATGAGAATAGACCATCCATGGGTTCCAAGCCATTCTCATCTCGGATTCCAGTGTCGGGAAGCGTAATGCCAGTTTTCCTGCTCTACGGTTAGCCGGAAGTCCGCAATAATATAGAGAACTACATGCCTTCCTCTTTCTCCAATGTTGAAAAGGTACTGGTTCTCGCGCGGCTTGCGCCTCGGTTCTGGCGCCATCTCTGCTAGTCACTCAACTTCAACAGGCGTATTTCTCTTCTGTAGAGCCAAAGATATGCTGTTGCAAGACGCGATTTCGTGTTAGAGGGTCTCGATTAGCCACAAATCAGGTATGGCGGCTCTTGCGGTGGGCGGTGTTGAAGGAAGACATATAATGATGCTCAAGAGGGGTCCCCAAGGCCACGAATTTTGAAGTCGCGACCATAACAATTAGAAAATACGCTAGTCGGGAGACCCCTGACGCGTCCACTCAGAGCACTCTCTCGCTCTGTCCTAAATTCGTAAGAATCCAATGATCTTGAACTCTGGGAATTCGTCGGCGCCTGGTGAGGCAGTCTTCACAATGAAATATCAGTTTATTGTTCAATTCAGACACTTATTTCAAAGTCCATACATACTCTTTGATTTAATCATTTCAACATTTTACGGGTATATGATCACGGATAAATAATTCCGTGCAAATAAAGAAATGAACATGCTATTTAAATTATCAATCCAATTTATGAAATTTTCTAATATTTGTATTCAAATTCAATATGCAAGTAGAGACTCGTGGTTAGCGTTATTAAGGCACGAGAGATTGTCAACAGTTTGAGAAGCGTGCAGGTGGTGACCTTGATACGAAGATCACGGCAAAAAGTGACGGGATTACAGGGCATTTGGACCCTCGACATCCCCAAGAGCAAAATTTAGGGGATTAAGCCCGCTGTAAGGCGTTATGACTTTAGGCCATACGCCCTAAGCAGACCTTAAGAGGCGCAACGAGACACTCGCAAGGAAGATCCTTAGGGGTAAAAGCACTGCTAGCGGAACAACGATAGCGGACGCTAAATAGGTAGCTAATAGGGCTCTTTAGCGAAGTACACCTTGAGTACAGGGGGAGAAGCCCCAAAAAGGGGTGGTACTCCTTGCCCGCGGCTTATAGCGTGATTTTAGGGCAATAGCCTAGAAGCATAGGGCAATTTAGTGACCGAGGGCGCTAGAAACAGACAGTGAAGTGCTATTAAAGCCCAAATGCCCTTTAATTCAGTCACCTTATAACGTGATCTTCGTACATGGACTCACTACAACTGGAAGTTTTTTCAATCTCAGTGACTAAGCTCTGAGTTTGTGAAATTGCCAAGAGGAATATCAGGGGGGCAGGCATTCAATCCGAAGGCTTGTTATCCCGGCTTTCTTCACGTATGCCCGAGCAGAGGGCCCGCAGAGGCAGATGCCTCGATTTAAGTCTTCCCAATCTTCCCCCTTTCCGGTGCTCTGGCAGCTACCTGGGCCCACGAAACCTTCTTGTCTTGGCTAACAACTGTAGTCTTAGGCTCATTTGGTGGCTCCATCACAGGACTCATGGGTGGGGAAATATCAGACTCGGAACCATATCCCGCACGTCGATTCGGGTTGCCACCTGCACTTGACCACCCACTGACAGCACTCCCGCGGCTGAATGCGGTACTACTAGTAGTAGCCGTAGCTTGACTAGGGATGTCATCGTCGTATTTAGGGGCTCGTTCGTGCGCTGGTCTGAGTGGTGTTGATGGCCGTACGGGTAACGGCAGCCCAGATGTTCGCTTACTGGGTATGTTGTAGAGAGTTGGAGTTAGCATTGCTGATTTTGACGTTGAGTCCGTTAATACAAAAGAACTTGGTCGAGCTGGTGGTTTTGGTGGTACTGCAATGTTCCCCTGAGTTGCAGTAGCTGGTCGCCTACTCATCTTCTGCGTGTTTGTTGTTCGCCTGTTAAGTGATTTCTGGGATGCACTCAATGCGTCCTCGAGTCCCTTTTTCATCTCAACTTCTCTCCTATACTTTTCCTGCAGAGCTTTGTACTGCTCGCCAGCATGTTTTCGCTCATTTTCGAGGCGCTTTTGCCATGTTTCTTCACTTAATTCGATGTCCACACGACCTTTAGTCTCTGCTAACGAAGAAACGAGCCCTTTGACTGGAGCTGCCTCGGTGGCAAGAACAAGGCTATTCCTCGACCTGGATAATCTCAGGTTAGTATTACCCAACCAGTAAAATCATTTATGTCTCACAACTGGCGGCACATTTGGAAGGGAAGAGCCTGGCATGAATGTCCACAAAATAGCCAAGCCATTCAAAATACGGAAGAAAGGCTCGTACTCAACATATCCAATGAACGAAATAGCCAAATCGTCCCGAAGGACGTCCCATATTGGAACTGGTAATGAGACGAGAATCATGGTGGAATGACTCCGAAAAACGCCCTCCACCAGTACGTATTTTGCAAGCGCAGGAAGGTCGCTCATCCAATTGACCCAAGAGTCAGGGTCCAGGGACTGGTCTTCTTCCAATGCAACAGACAAAAGCACGTGTGGGACATCCAACTTGCCTGATGGCAGCTTGCTGTTAAGTTTTGACAGGTCGAATATGTTGTTTCTGGTCGAAGCGTTAGGTGTCGGGGACTTCTTTGGCTTGCCAGACTTGGAAACACCAGCCTCTACCAATGGCCGAACGGACAATTCAATGGATTTTGATTTCGGGTCATTCGAAGTAAGGATATAGATGGGTGTTTTGCGGCTTTCCACTTTGTTGGCATCAGTCCATTTCCTTCTCTCTGGTCTGTCATGCTTTATTACAGACAGTATCTCGGAATGGAGCATAGCTGCCGAAAAGGATGGCTTATCCATCCAGTCATCCAAAACCTCAACGAGAGCATTGGTAAAAGAATGTCGTCCGGGCCCAGGAGCCCAAGTCTCAAATCCACAGGCTGCAATCGTCTCTATTACACCTTGCCCACTATCCGGGGCGGCTCCTGCGGCAGCACAGCAGTCAAGCAAAAACAATACATCGCATGCGCATTCTTCGAAAACGGTTTGGATAGCTGACCATTTAACAGTTGGAGAAGAAGGCTTTCGGTTGCTGTTTGGAGTCAGCAGGTGGATGTGTTTTGGGATGGTCTTACTTACCACAACCAAGTGGATTGCCTCGCATTGTTGATTAAACCATGACCACCATAGTAGACGATTATCAGGTTGTCGTTGCTGTCATATCGCCCCACAAAATCGACGACCATACGCATGAGTTCCCTATGCGCAGACGTTGATGGAATGGTCCAGATTTGAGTTTTGAAGTTATAGTAGTCTTTGAACACATCGTATAACTTATCCACTTCCGTCTTAACATTCAAGTCGTCTTCTTCCCAGTAAATCAGAACGGCAATTACGTCTGAGTATCGAGACCGTCCACGTTTCGAGCGATTTGGGAAAGCTCTGGCTGCGGCCTGGACAAGTTGATTAGTCGGAGACTTCCTACACTTTGCACTATGCAGTATATCTCAACTTTGAGAATACATTTCATTTCTCTATCGAGAGCTGGAACCTAATGACATCCAAATTCGTCTCCCTTTCAAGACCCCGCCAAGGGCGACTGAACAATGAAACTTGATGCTCCCATTCTTTAGAGGGGAGACTTTTTACATAAAATAATGCCTTACCTGCTCAACTCTTTCAGCAAATATCGAAAGTTCCTTTATATGGTAGCTCGCTCGACTTATATCGTGAGTAGAGGTGGACACAGAAGAAGGTGCTGTGGTGTTGTAGGACTTCGGTACGCGTTAGTACTGTTGTAGCAGATGAGTTTCACGGGATCAAAGCTGGCTCGACATGGTGGAGGAAAGGCAGGTCTCTATTAATCTCCGAGACCAGAGGAGCTTTTCGAACAGAGCAGAGGGTGTGAACGGAATCGGAAGGATCGCTCACCTCCTCATCACTTCCAGCTGCATTGACGGACAGGCTGCTTGCTGTTAAGTCCGTCATCTCGGCCCAGACAAGATTTAAGACATCGCTGGGTTGATGAATCTAATGCTTAAGGTGCCCGAACATCGCAATCGCTCAGAGCCTGGCCAGACAGGCCCGGCGGGGCTGCACATTCAGCCCCGTGAGTCGTCCTGGATGTGGCTGAAGCGTGGCGTTTCGCCGGTTACAGGGGGTGGAGTCGGTTCCGAATAACGCCTTTCCCAAACTTCATATTCCATTTGGTCTTGTCTTTTATTCTCCCGAGTCTCATCTTGTTCATCAGACCTTAAAAATTCATCATTGTTAACATCAAATCAAATACTGTGAAGCCGTCGGTAGGCACGGTGCTTACCTTATTTCGGGACACTCCGTCATTGGGGTCCCCTGTATTGCGCCACACTCGTATGCTATCATTAACCTCGCAATTTTTCCTCTGAACGCCTTAGGAACGAAACCACCCGTAATGGATTAACCAAAGACAGGACGATCTTCAACGTTGTTAGGCCTAGCTAACGCCTCATAGCCATCTTCGAATGAGGATGAGAGCGTTTTCTTCACCAAAAATGTAGCCATTTGGGCTTCGTTTGCGATATTTGCACTTGGATCCCTCACCAGTTTCCACCAAGCTCGCCCCCAAGACCGCTAATGGCAATAGACTTCTAGCAAGGGAGATTGGAACAATGGCGCTCTTCAACGACCTAAGGATCTCCAACGAGCCAGAACCAAACTGATCTTCCGTACTATGACTGCTGGCCACTTCATGTTACTCGCTCTGCTCTTCGTGAAGATGGACGTTGAGCCACGGCTCTGGGCCCTTGCGGGGGATTTTCAAACGGCATTCCTGCCGTCCTTTACAAACGAGCTCTGGAGAAGCTCCTTCCTTCTGTCTTGCCTCTTCATCTATCTAGCTCTGAGCTTACCGAATTTCATCTTCCGATCAATGATTTTGAAGGATGATGTCATGGCAGATATCACGGCTCCTTGGAAATCAACGTGGAGACTCCGTGATCTTGCTCGCGACAACGTAATGCCGACAGTGCTACTCTTCGTAACCGTCAGGGTTTTCTTCTACCAAGCGCTCGGGATCAAGCTCAATCAATATTACGTCCCGGTCTTTGCACTTTCTCAGCTCGCGTTTGGTATCATCTATCCATAGGTTACGCAACTAAACAAGAAGCAGCTGTCGCTCCTGGAACCAGGAAGCCTGACAGAGGAAATTCACGAACTCGCTCTGAGCGCTAAGTTGAAGCTCAAGAACATCTACATCAGCGCTAGCCCTCTACGACAATATATTGAAAAAGGAATTCAAACATTCGGCTGGCCGCAAATGAAGTACCTTGCCATCCATGATCGTGTAATCGAGCGGTGCACTGAGGGAGACATCAAGGCTCTCACCGCGTAACAATTTAGATGCTGGAAATACGGAAATAGTGTCCCGGCTTTTATCCTGTCACATATACATCCTCTGGATAGCAGAGTTGTAATAAATGATGACATTTTCATTCAGATAGCTGTCACTCACGTCTTTCTATGGTAATGCTCTTCATTCGGCAGAAGACAAGCTACACCTAATGGAACTTTCCCGCGGAAGTATATCCAAAGATCGCCGGAATTGTGATCTTCTCTATTTGTTTTGCCCCTATTTCCTGGTTGTGGTTTACTCTCCAAATACATGAAATGCACCTCAAGAATGCGTTCGTGGCTGATTAGCCCTTGCACTTCCAATGTTCAGTGGAAGCTCGGAACATTGAAACTATTATTCATCCCTGCATTCCGCTAATTACATCCTAAAACAAATTTGCCGCCACACATGGAAATGATCTCAGCACTGCGTCGAGCAAGATTCCTGCTGCAGCTTCTGAGATGAAAATCGACCAGTTGTACTCCATCTATCATAATCCTGCGCCCCAAATTTCAGAACGCCGTGAGGCATTGGAGAAGTTGAGAGAGAATGAAGAAGGTGCCATTTCTTTGCCAGCAGTTGTTGACGAGAAGTTGTAGATTGGAGCTCTCAACTTGATCCCCAGCGGCACGCTTCCCAAAATGCGGGAGCCTCTCGATGGGGCATACGTGAAGAAAGATTGGATAACAAACCCGCGGCAGGAATTCCTGGACCCTGATATTCCTTTAACAACTTGACAGTCCAAGAGCTTATAGTCCCTGAGGTTGAACAAAGTTACAATGCAGTGTAGTGCGTCTATGTATCAAGATGGGTTTAGGAAAGGGGTTGGGAAAAGGGTTAGCGAGCGTCAATGATTCTGGATTTAGCCTACAATAGATGGCGAAACAATGAAATCATCTATCCTCTACAATTTGTAAATGAACAAATAAGGTGAAGGCGTCTTTATCTTTCAATCGAGACTGAACCACTCAGCTTCTAAAGGACCCAGCTAGGTCAGGTTGCTCAAGGCGATATAGAATCATGTGACCTGCAGCTAAACCACTTTCGGAGGGCCCATCGGAGTCTCGTGAAATTTCCCGCCGTGATTGAATCAGATGCTACTCGTCAAGGGCGCCTCTCAACGTCACAAGATTAACAATTATTATTGTACCGCCTGTTTCGTGGCTCTGTCACCATGGCACAAACAAACGGCCACGAAGCACGAAGGCCATCTGCAGCATCTCGTTTCCCAACAGCTCCTTCGATCATGACCATGAATGGCCACTTTGCAGGAGTTGGCGATGCGCCGACCAAGGAGCAGTATGAACATGGCATTCAGGTTATTGACGAAGAGAAAGAGTTCAAGTACAACCCATACAATGATGTTCAGCGTTCCAGCGGACATTAGAACAATCTGCAAGACCACGCTGACAATGTACCAGTCCCAACCTGAACACTTACCTTCAACTTACCAAAATCGCACAATCTGGCTTTAACTACCACCTTATTTCAGTATTCGGGTCGCAGTCCACTGGCAAGTCGACACTGCTGAACCACTTATTTGGCACAGAATTTGGAGTAATGTCCGAAACTGAACGGCGGCAGACCACAAAAGGGATATGGATGTCGAAGAACAAGCGGGAGGGCACTGATGGGAAGATGGCCGACAATATCTTAGTAATGGATGTGGAGGGTACGGATGGTCGGGAACGAGGAGAGGATCAAGATTTCGAAAGGAAGAGCGCCCTCTTTGCATTGGCAACCAGTGAGGTTCTCATCGTCAACATCTGGGAGCATCAGGTTGGGTTGTACCAAGGTGCCAACATGGGCTTGTTAAAGACAGTTTTTGAGGTCAACTTGCAGTTATTTTTGAAGGACAAGCAGTGAGTTCTGCACTTTCTAGATATGCACCGTCCCTCTAATGTGTTTCAGATCCAACCCTCGGTCCCTCCTATTTTTCGTCATTCGCGATCATCTCGGCACCACACCTCTTGCAAATCTTCGAAATACTCTTATTGCAGACTTAACGAATATATGGACCGGTCTCTCGAAGCCTGCTGGTCTTGAAAAGTCACGAATAGAAGACTACTTCGATTTCGCATTTGCAGCCCTACCGCATAAAATACTGCAACCAGACAGATTCATCACGGAAGTAGGAAAGCTCGGGACACGATTCAGGGCTGGTCACCGCGCGGCTAGGCAACATGGTTTAGACCAAGAGTTGGAAGGGGGTGTTTTCCTCCCAGAATATCACCGACGGATTCCTGCGGATGGGTTTTCAGTATATGCCGAAGGAGTCTGGGACCAGATCGTCAATAACAAGGACCTGGATTTGCCCACTCAACAGGAACTTCTAGCCCAGTTCCGATGTGACGAGATCTCGCGGGAAGTTCTGGAGGCTTTTGATGTATCCATTACGCCCTTGGAAGAAAAACAGGCGGAAGGGGTCAGGCTAGGGAAGCCGGCAGTATTGAAGGATTTGGGTACGGCTGGGAAAGCTGCGCGCGTAAAGAGCATCAAAGCTTTTGAGGCCGAAGCCAGCCGTTATCACAAAGGAGTCTACGCCAGGAAACGAGTCGAGTTGGAAGGCAAGATCGATACCCGATTGAAGGCTTTATATCATGGCCAGCTTTCGGCTGCACACAAGTCAGGAGTCGCCTCCTTCAGTGATGCAGTGTCAAGTGCCGTCAAGGCCGGTCAAAAGAAAGGGGCGTCCTACGAGTTTGCCGAGATCGTGGAACGTGAGAAGAAGGTCGCACTCAAACAGTTCGAAACTGAGGCCAGAAGTCTTGCAATAGAAGGAGTCCCGTGGACCAATTTCAAATCGCAATACAATCTGTATGAAAAGGACTTGGATGAAATCAGTGGGCGCCTCCGTAAGGAAGAAATGCGAAGACTCGCAAGTCGAGTTGAGAGATGGGTACGATCAAGGTTGGGCGACTCGGTCGGGCTAGAGTTCAACAAATTGGGCTCTGGACGTGGTGGCAGCGGGGCACCTGAGAATGGCGAAAAGCCTTTGACTGAGAAGGATCTGTGGGACCGGATATGGAACTTATTTACAGATACAGTCAAGGAAGCCGAGACTCGATTTACAGAGCGAGCGAAAAGCTTCGATGCCAATGAAGACGAGATTGAGGTAGGACTATGGCGACTGAGAAGGAAGAGTTGGGGTGTTCTGAGAGCCAAAATCGATGAAGAGGTCATGGAAGGCAACATTCTTCTCAAACTTCGGGAGAACTTCGAAGACAAGTTCCGATATGACGAAGCCGGCGTACCAAGAATATGGCGACCGACTGATGATATCGAGGGCATGTACACCAAAGCGAAAGAGTCCACTCTCACCCTCATTCCTCTTCTGTCACGATTTAGGCTTGCGGAGACTTATGGTCCTCCTGATCTTCCTGATTGGATTGGAAATGCACCTCCGAGCGTAGATCCGCAGGACGAGGAAGATCTCGCCCCGATTGGTGGGGTTGATGAAGAAGAAGGCAAGAGCTTGGAGGAAGAGATGACGATTCTCAGTGAAGCCAAACGCCAAGATCTCGTTGTGAGATTTAAGAAGACAGCTGATGGAGTATATGTGGAAGCAAAGCGCAGCGCTATTGGCGGCATCACCCAAGTCCCACTATATTTCTACGGCTTGCTTTTGGCGTTGGGGTGGAACGAGATCGTTGCTGGTAAGTTCAATATGGCAGCCCAGGAGCTTCTCATGACTAACATCCTTCAGTTCTTCGCAACCCAATGTACTTCATACTCCTCATTCTCCTCGGTGTTGCAGCGTACGTCACCTACAACTTGAATCTCTGGGGGCCAATGCTGCGCATGGCAAATGCGGCATCCGCACAGGCTATCGAGATTGGCAAGGAGAAACTCCGCGAATTCTTGGAAAACTCAGATACAGGACGACAAGCCATTGGCATGAAGGGGAGAGACGACAGTGATAATGTTAGCTTGAATACCCTAGATAGCAGAGGCAAGAGGGTAACTGCTATCGAGGATGATGATGATATATAAGGCGTTGAGGGTTCTCCATGTCTTTGAATTTGTAGATAGGACGACGCCCTGCATAGCGTACGTGCAGTGTACTTAGGTGGAAGGGTTATGAGACGTATAATGATGTATCGATCTGAGATTTGGAATGCTCTCCACCATGTGAATTACATCGAAATGCCTACCAGAAAGTGTCTGACGTTATGGCACAGGTCAGGTCGGTCGAAATTGTCCAAGACAGATATCCAACTGACGCGCAACTGCCCAAAATATTCTTTGACATACGACACTCGTGACTTATCATCTGGAAACGGAACACGAGACCCTGTCAACTTCTCAGCTTTATTTCCATAGCTCCGAATAATAGAATTCTCAGAGCTTGCGTCTAACTAGAATATGAACCTGAATGTGCTTGATGCTTGAGGTCTTCGGCAATACTCGAAGGCAATCTGTGTTTTCCCTTGACCCCCCTTGCCGATCAAGACCACACACAGTTCTTCGATCAGATCTTGTGACTGTGGTATCTTCTAAGTGGCGAGCGGGCTGCCGAATTATCTCCTCTCGTCCAACAAAGTATGAAGATTTCCTGGCGGGTATATAGCGGAAGCTTTGGATATTGGCTGTGGAAGGAGTAGGACGAGCCGAGCCGATGGAGTACATGTGAAGTGTCGTCTTGTACGTCTCGAGAATCCTCAATGCCTTCATGGTCTTCTTTTTACTACCCACACTCCCAAATGCCTTACGAATGCGTTTCATGCTCGATTCTTTCGGAGCTGGTACCCATCCTCAATGAGACTGCTGATTTCAGAAATTTGCCTAACACAACCGCTGACGGTGCAGGAAAATGAACGCTCCTCATCTTGGCTCAGCGAATCTTCGGAAATACAAAAGCGCGGCTTCTGAATGATATCGAGTAGCAATGGAGTGGTTTGAGATGTCCTGAAAGGCCGCTGGTGCCTGGCTACTGTTTGTTTTGAATTCATGGGGCCCACCAACAATTTTGGAATCAATCTCGATCAGAGGCAATAGAGGAGATGAGACCAACGATCGTAATAGCTTCCGCCATGTTTCCCCGAGGAATAACAATGCGCTTGCACGAGAGGAAATAGGAGATGCTAGTCGATTGATTCAGCCGCAAGGCGCTTAATGCCAAGACACTCGCGCTGCTCAGAAGGCTGAACGATTGGACTAGCTCGTGGTGGACCAAAAAAAGCGACACTCGTTTTCAATGTCCCAGGTCCAAGTGAGATCTTTCAAATGCTTCCCCTCTTAATGTCCCTCCCGGCCTTACAGATGTACAATCTGCTGCCCCTTCGTATGTCCCGGCAATTCTAGAACGATATCCTCCGAGTATAGATAGTTGCCCCAAGTTGATTAAGGACATCGAAAATTCAGCTCTGCTTTTTTCGTCTACTGCGAGACCGGGAAGGAAGTGTATCTTGTGTACACCAAGTGGGGGGCGCAAGATTATCTTGGTACTGTATCAGAAGACATCTACTCCCACAGGCTTTCCAAACCATGATCCCAATTCATCAGTATCCTTTTCCTTTCCAGCACTGAAATAATCCGTCAACCGACTCGTCTCATCGTCATCCTCGACTGGCCAGTCAACTTTAGCAGCAAGCCCTTTCAAATCCATCATATCCTTTGCCGTCCCCCAACTGAATCTGCACTCACTTCCCCACCCGAACACCGGATGCATATTCCTCTTCAACCAAGACGTACACCTCACATCAGAAGGATATCCCGAACCCCACGATTCCTCCTCCGCAACCTTCGCCTCCTTTGTGCCACTCATCTCCTCATCCCCATCCCCACCCTCAGGCTTAACCACATAGCTCTCATACAACACCTCCAACGCCGCATCCCTCGTAACCTTCGCACAAACACTCGCCGCACTAACACAGGGATACAAGCTATCCGCCTTCTTCGCAACCGTGATCTTCGCAGTCGGGAATACCCTCTCCAATTTCCTCTGATAACTCTCTGGATTGCCAATCGTATCAATATAAATCTCCTTCACATTAACTCCCCTTTTATACACTCCCTGAATCAGGGCAATCGTAGCATCCATCGCTTGAGCATTCAGATTGTACGTGCCAGCAGGCTTCATCATGTTCGCGCCGATATCTCGCGCGGACATCACGTCGACGGCCCATCCGCATTGTGTGTGTAGGTCTGTGGATGGCGTACACAGTTTCTCCATGAGGTTTGAGCGTACGGTTGGTGTGAGCACTTTGCTGTCGTCAAAGTGGTGGGTTTGCCGGAGGAGGGGGTCGGAGAGGGGGAGGGGGAGGTAGAAGAGTCCGTAGACCATTGGACCGAGGACGGGTCCGCGCCCCGCTTCGTCGACTCCTAATGCGCATTCTGGGCCAGGTTTCGTGTTTTCTGGATCTGAAGGGGTCGGGTCTGGTGTAGGGAGCAATGGTGAGGGGACCGGGGAGAAGTGGCTGTACGAATTCCCCTTGAAGAGGAGGGTGGGGTTGATCGAGGGTGCGATGAAGACCTCTGAAGCGGGAGCTTCGAGCGCAACGTCGTCTTCCATCTGAGAGTCTGCCATATTGAAAGGCAGTCGTGGATTAGAAGACACTCATGGGATTGGAGCCAGTTGTGGTTATGTAAATACTCGATAGATTTCGAGGTTGGCTGTGACGCGTTTTACGCGTAGCTCCGCGTGACGCGACAATTGTCAATCGCACGTGCCTCGCTACCCCTTTTTCATAGTTTAAGGGGTAAATCAAGCAAGTTAAGTTTGGGCACTGCTCTGGAGTGCCAATTAAAGCCCTATTCCGATTCATTTTTGCTAACTCCTCCATCTATACTTTTGTCTGTCAAAGTCACGCCAACTCTAACACCAAGACGGCAACGCTTCATGACTGCTAGACCAGTGCCTGCTCAAAGTCTGCTATAATATCCTTCTATACCGTTGTCAGCAAATGTACCAATGGTGATATATTCCGGGAAGCTATACAATGTTTTCAAGTCCCACAGAGACATAGAGTCGTGTTGGTTCTGGGTCGCCCTCGAAATGCTCTCTCAGGATGAATACCGTCCTTAGGAAAAGTGGTTAGTACATCTCTAGACTTCAAAGATTATGCATACGTACTTGCTTCCCCCAATACTACGGATGAAAAAGTCAGCTTCATGCTTGAGCTCCATCTTGAGCGATCTTCACCTACCTTCCACTAGGAGAAACGAGTTTGAATTTCTTAGTAATTAAGGCAAAGTAATCTTCGGAAGACTTCAGCGTAAAGTAAAGCGCCCCACCATAATTACGATTCAAGTATTTTGTGCTCACGTGGTACAATGGATTTGAGGCGAGACCTTGTGCTGTCAGCAGACGGTTGTGGAGAATATTGGAGTTTACAGACCCGGATGTCCTACGTTACCAATCTTCTCATGGCTCTCCAACCAAATTGCAAGTTGTAAAGCATTGATCGAATTCCTCTCAATGCGCACGGAAAGGGTTTCGAGTCCCGAGAGCAACTGGAATGCTTCGAATGGGTTCAAGCAGGGACCGGTATCCCGCATAATGGCCGCTCTTGAAAACGATATGAATGAAAGATTCCCAAACTTCTCAAACAATTTTAGACCGTGGAATCCAGGAGAGGGCTCGAAGAATTGTGGGAAACGGCTTTTGTTCTTCGCCCAATCAAATCTGCCACTGTCAATGATGATGCCTGCTGAGTTCAAGCCAGAAATGCTGAGCCATTCTGCTGCTGAAGCAATGACGATATCTGCTCCGTGATCGATGGGACGAAGAAGAAACCCTCCCGCTCCTGCGGTGTTGTCACTATACGCGTCGTTAGTCAAAATCAACTGTACACCAAATTTGTTTGTACACACACGACGAGGGGGACGCCTAAATTATGGGCTACAGCTGCCAGAGCCTTGATGTCAGACATAAGAAGGTCAGTGCTTGATATACTCTCCACAAATACAGCCTTTGTATGCTCATCAATCGCCTTCTCCACGTGATTGATCTGGCCATTTTCGATGAATCGAGCTGTGATACCCAAAGGCGGCAATCGATGTCTGAACTGATTCGCAGACGATTCCGACAAACTCGATGCTACAACAATGTTGCTACCAGCCTGTGCCAATGCCGTGGTGGTCATGAATAGAGCTGCTTGACCAGATCTAAATCAATGGTCAGCGACTTGGGCTAAGTTAATGGGAAGAGCTAACGAACGACGTTGCCAGAGCCGCCTCTCCATGTTCCAATGCTGCCATTCGTTTCTCGAAAACGTCGACCGTAGGCTGAGAAGTTAGTGGTTTGGTACTTAGGCAAATGTGGGGAGGAGTCAGACATTCCCGATGCGGCTATAGCAAAACGCCTCTGCCGTCATATTAAAAATAGCTGCTCCATGTGCGCTATTATTGAAGTTGAAAGACTGGAACACATGTCAGGAGTCGTTTTCAAGATTATGTGCAAGAGAGTCTTGCCGTAGAGGCATAAATTGGAGCGTCTTTAACACCATTTTCGGATCGAATGAGGCTGGGATTGAAATCAGCAGGAAGAGTGCCTCAATTGATCGGACCTTACCCTGCATGCACTCCTACGGTCTCAAAGTGCAAGGAAGGGCCATCCGGCGGAGTAGAAATGGCCATGGTCGAAGGCGCTCCAGGTTGTGAAGTGCGAGACAAGGCACTTTTGCTCTTGGAGAAATGTTGAGATTCCCCTTTAAGAATTGGCGACCGCCAAACGGGCTTTGTGACCTGAGACCAGTTGAAAATAACGGTCCGAAGTCACGAACGTATCACGGGACCGTTGAGCATTCGGGTATATCCGCAGTGAGACGCGACGCTTCGAGCATCCCGATTTTCGAGTTGTTTGTTGAAAGTGGTGCACACGACACCCGCGTCAAAAGTGGAGTGGGGTGGCGCTTCAAAGGTGGGATCGACATGGAGAGACACGCAATTCTGCTCACGATGCTTCCATCAACTCGGCTCTCAGACGTGCACTCCCGGGTTGCAACTTCAAAACACTCAGTCGATCAGTATCACAAAGCTTAAGTTCATCGTGTCTTACCTCCATTAGTGGGTTGCGGTCCAGACTCTTCCTCTTCTCGCTCTGAATGGCGGCTGTGCGACTCGTAAATTTCGAAGTCGACAGCGAGGTCCCACCGCACCAAACAAAGGGGTAAATGAGCAGGTGGACTCCATTTTGCATTAAGTTTCCTCGATGGCGAAATTTGTAGCCTGTATTTTGCAATCCAGCGTGCGCAAGCTGCGCGAGCACCGACAAAGCCTGGGGTCGCCGACATGTGTTGCACTTGTACTCCGTAGTTGCATGAGATAAGCCTCTGTGTACATATACTTATCTCCTCTTTCCTCTTCGAGGTTGTACTTGAGCACTTCTTCCTTTCCATCCTGACAGTCCTAATTCAACATGGCATCTTCAAGTCTCATCAAGCTCAGATCCTTTCTGTGGGGAAACGATCCCAAAGACGCTTCACTTTTAATCAAACTCGATTTCACTATCCTCCCCTACTTTTCCCTGATATGGTTCCTTTTCGGACTGAGCAGGGCGAGTTATGGATCTGCATACATCTCTGGGATGGGCGCAGATTTGGGCTTCAAGGGAAAGGCGTACAATTACATGAATACCGTGTATCTCGTCTTCTATGCGGTTTGCCAGATGCCTGGAACTTCCTTACTCACTATTGCACCGCCAAAATATGTGTTCGTTGGAGTGAATGTGACTTGGAGCATCCTCACCCTTATCACATTTAAAATGACACACTTTTACCAAGTCATTGTGTTAAACGGATTTGAAGGCTGTTTATCTGCAATCGCGTAGTAAGTGCCATCTTCCCTAACCCGGTTCTTCACTGACCAATATCAGCGTCGGTGCTCATTTTATATACGCCTCCTGGTACAAGAAGTCGGAGCTTGGCACAAGGGCTGCTATCTTTGTTAGTTGTGGACAACTGGGGAGTATGGCAGGAGGTTGGATTCAAGCAGGTCTATTGGAGTCATTAGCGGGAAAGAACGGATTGCCAGCCTGGCGTTGGCTATTCATTATCGTTGGCATCCTTACAATACCCACTGCTATCTTCGGTAAGTTTTCATCCTGAATTGACATCGAATCAACTCCCATTCAAGGTTTTAGGCTGGGCCTTTATCCCTGATCTTCCATCTCACAGGAGTGCGTGGTATCTTACCGAAGGAGAAAAAGAACATGCGGTTGCCAGACTTGGGCAACCCAAACAGAATACCTGGGACAGGACTGTATTCAAACGGGTTATCTTTAGCTGGCAATTTTGGTTACTTCCTACCATCTTCATGCGTAAGTTGGGACAATGGCCGATTATGGCTAGCGCTAACACGGCCACAGTTTACTCGCTCGCGATCCAAATGGAGCTCAACAACGTCATGCAATTATGGTTGGCTTCTCGCGGCTACACAGTGGTGGAAGAGAACAACTACCCAACAGCGGTCTATGGAGCTGCCATCTTTGGAACTGTATTCTATTCGTTCATCTCAGACAAGATACAATCTCGTTGGCAGTGTTCTCTGGCTATTGGGGTAACATTCATAATTGGGAGCGCAATACTCATCGCCAATCCTCGTGCAGATGCCGGTCACTTCTTTGCTTTCTATCTCCTAGGAACGACATACGCACCCCAAGCGCTGTGGTATTCTTGGATGGCTGATGTCACGGCACACGATTTTCAGCTACGAGCGATTACCACCGGCTTTATGAACTCTTTCGATTTTGGATTCTCCACTTGGTGGCCCTTGATCTTTTATCCAGTCACTGATGCTCCGAACTATAGAAAGGGATATATTGCGAGCATCATTACTGGAGCGCTAATCATACCGACGGTATTGGTGATTGCGTATTTGGAGAAGCAAGGTATCAAGAATGGGACACTGGGAAGGAAGTTTGATACTGAAGAAAGTGCGGGTGACGAGTCTGTCGAAGCTGGTACTGAGCAGGTGCCGTTGCCAGAGAAAGCATAATTAAAATTGGGAATCGGCTGCGGCTGCATGAGATTCTGAGTGTTCCACTTTAGAAGGGAACAATAGACAGTTCACTAGGGCAAAGGGAGGGAAGGAGCAGGAGTGGAGACTGAATCCCAATGAGGGAGGAACTGGGGGAGTAGTTTAATTCAAATGGCACCTTCCCCTATTGAGATTTTGTTTCCGAGAATGAAGCGTAGTGCGATAATGAAACCTTCCAAAGTTCCACTTCAACTTCATAAAGTGGTGTGTATTGTTGAAGGCGCAATTGGCGCTAAATCCTGCGACTAGCATGGACCATCCCACCGGTACCATTCCGTAACTGCAAAAGCATCCATCCTCTTCTGAATCAAGCCCTAGCCATGTCAGACACTGACAGAATAATCATCGAATTCGAAAAGCCTGGCTTAAAGGCCCATGGCATTTTCAAGAAAGGCAGGAAAGGCCTCAGAAACCTGAAGCCCTTAATCGTTCTCATTCACGGTGGAGGATGCAACGCTTCATATTTCGACAACGACTTCCACTCGTGAGTCAAGCCCACAGTTGAAGAACGTGGCTGATTGAACCCCGGTGTGCCAAAAGCTTTCAATGAATCAGGCTTTAATGTCTTGAGCATCAACCGGGTCGGGTACGCTCACAATCCACTGCCGCAATCGGCCTCGCCGGTTCTGGATTCGATTCCTCTGTACTCCGCTCTCATCAAGAAGTCCTATGAAGAGCACTCAAATGGCAAAAATGGAATCGTTCTTGTCGGTCATTCTCTTGGTGCTGTAACTTCGCTTTCGATTGCTGCGTTCGAAGGCGAGAAGCTTCCCCTGCTCGGAGTCAGCGCGTTAGGCATCATTCCTACCAAAGATCACCCCGCTGGGCTAGTTGACATGTTGAAAGCGGATCCCGAAAACCCACGGTTTATTGTTGAGGCTTCGCCTGAAGCGATCGAGGCATTTATGGGACCGCCTTCGGTCATTGACTCATCAATCCTGGTGCATCCAACGATGCCGTTGATTTTTGAACCTGGTCAGCAGGAGATATTTCCCTCTTGCTTCAAAGTACTCATATTACTAGGTCTCAAATCCGAATTGCTTGAATGGTGGGACTTGTCTTGGTACAATCGTTTTGTGAATGAGGTCGCACCTGGAGTTCGAGTAAGGTAACCTTCTTTCTCTTTGCCACTAAGACTTACCGAAGTGCGTAGGTTCCTCTTCAGTTTCTAGCAGCGGAATATGAACTCGGGTGGAAAGGTATTAAAGATGGTCAGCCTATTTTCGATCACGCTGCGGGATTGTTTACCAACACCCCCAAACTTGATGCGAGATTGCTTCCTGGCGGAGGACACAACTTCGAGTTCAGCAGAAACGCCTCCCTTTTACAAAAAGCTCGTGAGGAGTTTGTCAATGGCTTAGTGAGACGAGTATCTCACTATTTCCAAGCATACAAGCTGACACCTTCCAGATCTCTTCCTCTCCGAAAACCGCCCACGACCCCGATGCCTTCAGTGAGATCCCTCTGTTGGACTTCGCTCTTGCCAATGATATTGCAACAAAACCAAAGTTCCTGGAGTCTCTCAGAAGAGCAATTGTCAATGTCGGCTTTCTCTATATCAAGAACCCACCAGTCTCTATCGCCACCCAGGAGACTTTGATCAAGAAAGGAATCGAACTTTTTGATTTGCCCTTGGAGGAGAAGTTGAAGATCGAAATGGCGAACAGCAAGCATTTTTTAGGATATGCCAGGCTCGGAACAGAGATCACTGCCATGAAGCCAGATTATCGAGAGCAGTTTGATGTGAGTACGAGTTATTGTTTGATTTTCCAAGTCCGTGCTGATGTAGTTAAGTTCGCAACAGAAGTCCCAGCGCCTAGACCAGACGAACCTGTCTGGCAAAATTTGCGAGGCCCGAATCAGGTAGAATATCAAACCCTCATAACGGCGGCTTAGAGACTTACAGAAATGCAGTGGCCTGATGAATCCGTCATTCCAGGATTCAGAGTTGCGGTGGAAAACTATATGAACGAGATTCAGAATCTGGCTTTATCTTTCAGCCGTCTCATTGCCGAAGCGCTCGACATGGATCCGAACTCTTTTGACAAATTCTTCGATATCCCACAGCACAATAAGCTAAAGCTGGTAAAATACCCAGCACCTCCATCAGATGCAGAGAACCCTGAAGGGGGCGTCCAAGGAGTTGGTCCACATAAAGACGGCTCCTTCCTCACCTTTTTATTGCAACTCGCACCTCACACTGGGCTAGAAATCCAAAACAAGAGCGGAAACTGGATCAAAGCTCCACCAATACCTGGTACATTGGTCATAAACATAGGACGTTCCCTCCAAGCTCTCACCAAAGGAGTGTGCACTGCCACAACACACCGGGTAAACCTTTCACCAGAGAATTACATCTCTGAAGATGGAACACCTCTTGGCCCGCGATACTCATTCCCGGTATTTCAAGGAGTCAAAACGGACGGTAAGGATAACTCGCTGGAGATCCCACAGCATATCAAATACTTGGTAAAGGATGAGAAGGTGAGGAGCGAGGCAGAAGCTACATTTGATAAAATGTTTAATGGAGGGGAGAGTGTTAGGGAGGCGATCTTTATATCTAGAATCACGAGCCACCAGGATGTCGGCGCGAGATGGTATCCTGATTTGCTTGCCAAAGCGTTGAAGGAACAGGGTAAATTTAAGGCTGGAGCCTGAACGGAAATGACTTGGCATTGACATTGTGTAGCCCAAAAAGGAATTACGTAGCTCCTGCACCTGGACGCCATCAAAACTCCAGGGACTAGCTTGACGCCGACTTTTCTGTCTTTTTATTTGATATTGATCAATCATCGCCAATCTTTAGCGTCATTTCTGCTTCAATACCGTTGCATTTTTTCTGAGATCCAGGTTTAAAAAACTCAACGCCATACCTCAAATACCTTTCTTTCAACTAATCACGACAGTCCTCCCAAGACTGATTGAGCACAGCAACATACGCAGGAAGAGTGTGCTCGAATCATCTGTTCCGGGGAGGCTTCCTCCAAAGATCCTGATAAATATCGCTCGGTTTCTACAACTTCATTCGGCTACCTCTTTGACTCTTTGTTGTCATTCTATATACGACATCCCTGCGACACAATATTAGGAAGAACTTCAATTAGACTACCTTAGAGGAGAAAAGAAGGAGTTCTTATCGCTCTACGAGAGAGACCTTCCAGATCATATTCTTTGTTACCACTGCTCGATCCTTCGTTTTTTCAACGTAATCCCTACAGACTCAGCTGCTTGTCGCCACCATTAATACAACGGATTAGCGTCATGCTATGATGAAGAGTTTTTAGGAGGGGTGTCTGATTATACCCACGACTGTTCCTGATTCAGCGTCTTTCAGCTGATGATGAAGCGTTGCCGGTTGGGACTTGACTACGAATCTCATTTTTGCCTTCTGGGAAAAGGAGTTACCAAACCAAGAATAGCACACTGGTGTGGGCTACCGTGTATGCGTACTGCAGAAGCTAAAATTATTGCTGGATCCTTCATTCTTCGGGTGCAGCAGACAATCCTGATATCTTCTTACCAACCACTTCAAAAGCTCAGAGATTGTTTGATCATCACTATCTCCCTCATAAACTTACAGGCATTGTATCCAAAGGTGTGGGCATGCAACTATCACCAAGGTCTAAATGCACAATGGACCTTCAGCATGATGCCCAACAATGCGTACGAAGCTCTGGATTAATGCAATGTAACTACTGCACGACAGAATCGGGAAGGCGTTGTTACTAAGTGGCTAGATCTCGGCGAAGGACGAACCATACTAATCCAAAATGGTGGAGTCACCTTTCAGAGCAGTATAATAGCCATCATGCCTTCTTCCATGCTATGTCTGGTTGGATTTATGAAATGAAGGAAGAAGATATAGCTGCATTCATGCCCCTCAAACCCCGCTCTATATATGAAGCATTTGAGAAGGAACCGCATTTGGATTTGGTTCTCACTCCTCTCAAGACAGTAGGAAAATTGTCTAGAGTTGTTAAGTTGAACCTTGCCAATTCAGTACACCCCGGTTTATCTCTTAACTTGGTGCGAGGCAAGAATAGAATCCATCACTTGACTAACATCTATATCTGAAGAATATGCCCGTCCTTTGATATTATCTTTCTATCATTTGGCTTGCTAAGGTATAGTTTAATCAATGCTGATTCGTCTTTTATTTAATTGGTGTTTTCTGAAATCTCTCTCGTGGTTGGCTACTAAGCGAGACTCGCCCCTATCCAGTTGAACGTCACCAGATAACAAAGAAACAAGGTGCAGGCTTCACTCACTATAAGATAAAATTGAAGCGGATACAATCAGTAATGGTAAATATGGATTACCGTTACTCATTACGTCGAATCCAAAAGTTTGTGGCTCACATGACTTCTGTGAATTTGAAAATCAACCTGCAAAAAAAAACAACTAAACAACCATTCAACAGTTCAGCACCGGGGAACAATGTTGCTTTACAACAGGGAATTGTCACAAACATTGTGTGAAAGCCTTCATCTACTTCGGAATTTGCCACTGAAATGCCGAGACTTTGCTCTCTCCTTGATGAATGACAACAGAGCAATACGCGCTCCATTGCTCTAATCATATACCGTACAATCCGCAACCAAAAAACTTGCTTGACTGACAATCCAAAGAAAGGACATAAACGCAATTAGAATTGAGATGAACCCAGTTACACAAATGAAGTCATTCCATCATCATTTCCGGATGATGATCGCCAAGGAAGAAAGCCGGCTAGTACTTGCCTCTTACGTATTAAAAAGCCTAGTTTCCTTCTCCGCTCTTTCGACAGCAGGGGCCCTGAAATGATTGACAGATGCCATTGACTCAAGCTCCTCTCTATCAGTCTCATCTTATTCAACCGATATTTACGCGTTAGACGTTATCGCATGTTTTGGTTGTGAGGGTCCATATAAAACACTGATAGGTGGCTATCGGCGTCGATGTGCGGACAAACCAGGCCACTTTCCTCAAGAATTCTTTAAATTTTAAAAAATTTCAGAAAAGAGGTTGAGCGTTATTTGTTTGTTGAGATGGCAGATGAATTGGGTCGCCATGGCTCGAGAGCCTCAAATGCAGATGCCGTTCTAGCGGGTATGGGGTATAAGAGCGAACTCCCGAGGTCGTTGAGCATGATGAGTATATTGGGACTGTATGCTATCATTCAGATAGCTCTCTTCGTGACTTTGCTGATGACGAGTAGTTCCTTTGCCATCATGGCCGTCCCATTTGGTATGTTGAAAGTGCAATTCGACCAGGAACACTCGATATTAACAGAAGCAGGTCTCAGTACCACCATGGCGATCTCGTTGACAGACGGACAATCGGTCACCGTTCTCTATGGCTGGATATTTGTCTCCCTGATCTCCCTCAGCATCGCAGCCTCCCTTGCAGAAATATGTGCCGTTTATCCAACAGCCGGAGGAGTTTATTACTGGAGCGCCATGCTTAGCACCAAGAAATATGCTCTAGTAGTTAGTTGGATCACAGGTTGGCTCACACTTGTCGGAAACTGGACTGTCACTTTGAGCATCAATTTTTCCGGGGCCCAATTGATCCTCTCTGCCATCACGTTATGGAACGAGGATTTTGTTGCCAAACAGTGGCAGGTGGTTCTCATTTTTTGGGCTGTGATGCTCATCGCTTTCACGGTAAATGTGTCTTGTGCTAAGTACCTGGATTTGATCAACAAGATCTGCATCTACTGGACTGCAGCATCCGTCATTATCATTGTCATCACGATTCTCGTTAAGTCTGATAACCGCCGGAATGCAGAGTTTGTTTTCACTCATTTCGATGCTAGTGCTTCAGGCTGGCCGAGCGGGTGGGCTTGGTTTGTTGGTCTCCTTCAAGCAGCTTGTGAGTCTTCACACCTACCCTTTCCAAAGTTACATGTACTGACTAGAGAAGATACTTTGACTGGATATGGCATGGTGGCTGCCATGTGCGAAGAGGTCCAGATGCCAGAACGAGAAGTCCCTCGCGCCATGGTGCTATCAGTCGCTGCAGCAGGAATGACCGGAATCATCTACCTGATACCAATCCTGTTCGTGCTTCCAGACGTGAGCCTTCTTCTCAGCGTCGCCAATGGGCAACCAATTGGACTGGTCTTCAAGATAGCAACAGGATCCGCAGGCGGTGGATTCGCCTTGCTCTTCCTGATTCTGGGAATCCTATTCTTCGCTGGAGTTGGGGCTTTGACTGCTGCGAGTAGATGCACGTATGCTTTTGCTCGTGATGGTGCTATCCCCGGCTCCAGGTTCTGGGCTCGTGTTGACAAGCATTTGGATATTCCACTCTGGGGTTTGGTACTCTCAACAGTCGTCGATTGCATCCTGGGATGCATTTACTTCGGATCCACAAGTGCGTTTAATGCTTTCACTGGAGTAGCAACCATCTGCCTCTCAGTGTCTTACGGCATTCCTATCCTTGTGTCACTTATTCGTGGTCGAAAAGCTGTTCGACATTCTACCTTCTCTCTCGGTAGATTTGGTTTCGTTATTAACGCCGCTACGGTTGCATGGATTCTGTTGGCTATTGTGCTATTCTGTATGCCGACTGCCATTCCTGTTACACCCGTTAGTATGAACTATGCGTCCGTGGTGTTCATGGGCTTCGCGTCGATCAGTGTGATATGGTATGTTATCAGAGGTAGAAAGGCGTTCACGGGGCCGCCGGTTCCTGCAGATATTGAGCCAGAACACGATGGGGAGGTGGTTGGGGGGTTTGGGCGGGTTGTAACTGAGAGAGAAAAAGCTTCAAATGGTAGCACGGCGAGCAAGAATGAGCCTGCAGCCCCTAAATAGAATCAGCTTGAGCGCAATCCATCATATTTTTCCAACCAAGAGACGTGACAAGGATGTAGGATTTGATAATGCCCTGATATTGTTCCGGAAAAGGTTGATACAAGGACGAACCCGGAGAGGAGTCCACCAGTAAGGTGGGGCTGGCTGGTGCGTTCTCACTATCTTTGGTGCGTGGATTTTGGAATCGAACCTGTCAGAATTCTAAATTAGATCTCGGGCTTCCTGTTGATGTCGGTTCGTCTTAATGGGCTCTTTTTAAATAGCTGACCGGAAAATGTTAATCTCAAAGTGATGCCGCATCCGTGATGCAGTCAGCCCGCAATACGATAAGAATTCGAGAGCCTTGAGAGAAAATGCTTGTTCAACTATGGCACAGGAGGTTTGACAAAAGGAAAATATTCTGTTTGCTCTTCAATCCTTTCCTCGTCTATTGTGCTTTGGATGCAACGATTCCTGTTGATTGAATTAGTAAAACCGCAAACAAGGCAAATGTGTAAATACTCACGCTCGACATCTGTAATACTCTGTTGCAGGATTTGTTGAAGAACCTTGGGATTTTCGAGCTCTTTTTGGATCTTGGCAATGATGCTCTCTGACAGCTCCTTTTGTTGGCGGATCTTCACTTGTCCCTCGTATCGAACCCATGAATCAAGGACAGACTTTGCTTCCGCAGCAAGAGCGGTGGTTTGCTCGAGCTCGAAAGCCTTGGCCTCGAGTTGTGCGGTTTCCTACCAAATGTCAACAAATCACTCATAGCAGCCTATCACATCTGTAACATACCTTTGAGACCTCAAAGAGAGTCTTGGTAATGTCGACAACGCTGCCTAATTGCTGCACGCTCTCAATTCGTGTCTTGACAGCCTCGGTATGGTCTGCACGGGCAGCATTCAAGATGCCTTTAATCTTGTTGACCTGGCCATCCGCCCACTCCTTGTACATTGGTCCTCCATACTTGAAGACCGCACCCCAAATGCTCAGTAGACACAGCGCAACAATAGTTTCCTCGTTAACAACATAGTATTCGTTGCTGAGAGCATAAATCGCGACACCGGCTGTTGAGGAAAGGATTGCGGTCTTCGAGATCAACGAGTTGCCTGGCAATGAGTCGAGAATCGATTGTGCCTTCTTCTTGGGATCCTCTGCCGGTACGCCTGATGCTGATCGGTAGCTTGTGAGGGATGTGGTGAGGGCCGGGAGGGTGCGGGATGGAACTGAAGGTCGAAGACGAGCGGCGCCTGAAGCTTGTCAGTGATTGTTACCAGGCCCAATTGCTATTTGAAGCTTGGGCAGGTACTTGGCTACATACCTATGGCGTTTCTTACCAAGCGGGATGCCATTGTGGGATGGAGGAGATGAAATGGAGCTTCACGACAGCATGAAGGTGATCAAAGATTTCAATTCGGAATTCGGTTGGAGCTGCCAACACGTGATCTAAAAATTGTTGCCTGAGTGCCTTGTTGATGCCTCAATCTTTGCCATGGCCAGGAACTTTTTTTCCCTGAAGTCTCAGCCTTGTCAACGAAAACCTCAGAACTCGACGTTGAAGCCAAGATGCGCTCAACAATTGACATCTCGGGCAAGCCTGCCAAGAGGAAACGAAACAATTCCGAGACAAAACCTTCGAAACGAGCACGATCCGAAAGCTGCGAGGAAGATGTCCAAGCCCAAATTCTTCTGCTGGAAACCGAGATTTTCGAGTCGAAGAAAAATTACAATAATATCACAGCATTGATCAAGTTGCTTCGAGATGATGATGAAGACCCAGAAAACTCAGTTGTTGCGGCAATTTCTTTATGCCGAGTATTTACAAGATTAATGGTGTCCGGAGACATGGCGAAAAGAGAGGGAACAAGTGAGAAGGAAGTTGTGGTCGTCGAATGGGTGAGAGAACGCTATTCGGAGTACAAAATGGCAATACTGGCGTTGCTAGGAGAAGAAGGCATTTCCTCAACAGCATTGAGTCTGTGTATGAGACTATTGAAGACCGAGGGTCAGCATCTTCACAACAGCAAGGAATACAACTTTCCCACCAAATTTTTGATGGCCATTGTACGGGTATTGCTGAAGCCCGGGTCGGATGGAAGCACACGAAAAGAGTTCGGCGAAAAGTATGTGGAGGAGAGTGATGATGTTCGATTCTATACTTTAGAGGCTATTGAGTCGGTCCACTCATCTCTTATGTTTAATTCATTTTTAACACCTGTAGGAAAATTCTCGTCGAAGCGCCAACTCAGACTTCCGAGCCCGCCCTTCTAGACAATGCTCTAGAAATCCTCACTGCGATTGAATCAGTCCCAGAATCCAAAGATGAGCTTGAGGACTTTTACATACCTGCGCCGAAAAAGACTACACACGCTCTATTCTCCCTCTCCCAACACAAAAGACGTGCACAAGGAGCTTGGTTAGCTTTGATGAACCTGCAAATGGGCAAGGAGCAAAGGAAGACAATTTTAAGGCTCACGGCGACTTCGATTGCACCGTGGTTTCTCAAACCCGAGCTGTTAATGGATTTTTTAACCGATTCCTATGATGCTGGTGGATCCATGTCTCTTCTGGCACTCTCAGGCGTATTTTACCTAATCCAGGAGAAGAATTTGGATTACCCCTCCTTTTATCGGAAGTTGTACTCATTGCTTGAATCGGAAATATTGCACTCGAAACACCGTTCGAGATTCCTCCGCCTAATGGATACTTTCCTAGCATCGACTCATTTGCCAGCCGTTCTTGTGGCCAGTTTCATCAAGAGACTTTCACGCCTGATGCTCAACGCCCCGCCGGGAGGTGTTGTTGCTGTTGTCCCATGGATTTACAACCTGTTCAAGAAGCATCCGACCTGTACTTTTATGATTCATCGAGAGGCTACGACCGCTGAAGCAAGAGAGAATCTTGAAAATGAGGGTATGGATGACCCCTTTCTCCCGGATGAAGAAGACCCCATGAAGACGCATGCTATTGAAAGCAGTCTATGGGAAGTAGTTATGCTTCAGTCGCATTATCATCCTAATGTGGCAACTTTGGCGAAGATCATTTCAGAGCAGTTCACGAAGCAATCGTACAACTTGGAGGACTTTCTAGATCACTCATACGGAAGCGTGAGTTGTTAAATCCCAAGTTCTCACATGGAATTTAACGAACCTTGCTAGATGCTTGAAGCCGAAAGTGCGAAAGACGTGAAGAAAGTACCCGTTATTGAATATGAGATACCCAAGAAGATTTTCATGAAGCAAGATGCTGCGTCTGGGGCTGACGACACCTTACTGGTGAAGCTTTGGGACTTTAGTTAGATCCGCATAGAAACGAGATCCTTCTTCCTTCTATATTTTCTTGTGTTCGTTCGTATTGTGTAAATTAGCTATCATCATGATTGTGAAGGAGCAATCAAGAAGGAGCAAAGAATCTTCGAATCCGAGCCTACTGGGGCAGGTCTTATTAGAAAAGGGGGGATTTGGCGAGCTCGCACTTCAAGATCTGTTGCACTAGACGGCAACCCCGAGCACGAATACCATCTGGTACAACAGAGTTTCCCCGCATTTTCATTCTAATAGAATCCTAAAAACCCATTAGTAGAAATGTGAAATGTCGCACCCCATTTATGCTTAAATCTTTAACTAGGGCCATCCATGATGCGGCTATTAAGATTACGGGGTCTCAAGCCGCCGAAATGCGCTGTTTGGCAGCCGCCGTTCCGACTTTCAGGGGCGCAGGTTCCCCAGCTAAGCCTCCACGGGTTTGACGATCAGCAAGCCAAGCTGCCAATTCAACGATGAAGGAAGGCAGTGCTTTAAAATTGGGACGTCCAATGTTCCTTCTCACCAACTGCCGGCGCTTCAGAGCTACACGCCGAACCAGATAATAATAAGCTCGCATTGCTTATTTCGACCTTCAGACTTCATCTGCTTTTGTGCACGACACGTCGCCATTCTACACCCTCTCAACAAGCTCTCAAACTACGAAGCTTCTACATTAAGATGCCTTTCAAGGATCTACTCAAGAAGAAGGACAAGGCAGAGGCCCATACACCGGTGGAGGAGGACAGGCCCGATACGCCCAAGTTCACATTCATGCGCACCGATACAACCACCCAAGAGATCATCACCCCTCCTTCGTTCTACGGCGATGACAAGGCGCCATCCTATCTAGATGGCAATACCGACTCAAGGACAGGCAAATTGTTCAAGGCACGCCCCCGCAGCACGTCTGTCGCGTCCACGGGATCCGCATCTTCACGCACGAGCCAGAGGTCCAAACAAGACTCTCCCAAGACGAAGCGATTATCCCAACGTCTGCATCTGCGGAGAAGTGAAATCAGTTCCGCGAGCGTACCGGATGATCTGCCAGAGATCCAAGGGCCAGACGAGGGTCAGGATGGGGGTGCAGGAGTAGAGTCACAGTGGGAAAAGAGAGCGACGATTCTGGCCAGAAAAAATGAGGAAACACAAAGTAGGCCGACAACCCCTGTACCAAGATCCCCAGCAGGCCTAGAGTCATTTCATGACATGAACATCAGTGGAAGCCCTGGGAAGGAGAAGAGTGTAGCGTTGACGAAGTATGCGGACGATAACATCCAAGAGGCTATCAGGCTTCATGAGGCCGGAGAATTGGAGACATCTACACGCATGTTTGGGCGGTTGGCAGATCCCAATGGCGAGAATAATGCATTGAGTCAGGTTTTGTACGGACTTGCTTTGCGGTATGTTAATTGGCCCCTTTCCATGTAACACATCACTCCACTGGATGCTGTTCATCTTTGGTGCACTGTTCCGGCCCAACAGTTAAGGCGGTTCTGATATCTCATTCTTTAGGCATGGCTGGGGCTGTAATCCAGATCCAGGAGAAGCTGTAAAATACCTGTCCGCAGCGGCCTCAAACGCGGCATCGATCGAGGACCTGGCGCTCAGGGCGGGCTTAAAGAAAGGGGGAGCAGCTAAGGGCGAGCTTGTTCTCGCAATTTTCGAACTGGCCAATTGCTTCCGACATGGCTGGGGAGTTCAAGTTGACAAAATTGCAGCCAAACAGGTGAGGCCCCTTTAAGTATTGGATCGGGAAGCATCCTATGTTCCGGAGACTGACATTTGGGGGCAGTATTACGAAACGGCCGCTAATCTGGGCGATACTGGTAAGTGCATCTAATTTGAGCCTGGGAGATCAAGTGAGACTGACGATATGACAGATGCCATGAATGAGGTCGCTTGGTGCTACCTTGAAGGCTTTGGATGCAAAAAAGACAAGGTTAGTGACTACGAGTCATTCACGAGGCCGAAGGGCCGAGCTCTCCGAATAGCTTCATGGCCATTAGGCCATCAGCCTCGCAGAACGCAGTTTGGCTTGCGCATGCGTCTTGCCTTCCCTATGCCCTGCCGCATTGGGCAGCAATGGGGCTTTCACATTACCTGCGTAGCCCACGCGACTAGCATCTACCATTGAAAATACGACGAGGCTGACTTCAAACCCACAGTTCGCGGCAGCGAAATACTACAGGCTCGCGGAAGAAGGAGGTAGTAAGACCTTGGGCAATTCCTGGTAAGTCATGTTTTATTGCGTCTCCTGCTCCCAAGAGCCATGATCATTCTGGTCACTCAGGTGCATGCATGCGCGCCGCGGCCCGGTGGCCATCCCATGCAGTTCGTTCCAGATGACTGCTGCGATACAAGTCCGATAGGCTCTCGCGCTCCTGCTCCCCCCATTTGCCTAAAGTCCCACTAACGGCCATTGGTGCTTCCGTAGGATCTGGAAGGACAAATACAATCCCTCGAACGGTCCCGCGAAGAAGTGAGACTGGACGAGTCCTCAGCCTGAGTTCGCTCGCTCTCGTGTTGCTTAAGTTCCTTCGTGGGGTGGGACAGTATTCGGTTGGGTCGTTGCGAGACAAGCGGGGTCGCTGCTTGGGTCTCGCTCGTGTTCCCGAACGCCTGCCTCCTCCCTCGTTGAGCCCTCAGCTCCGCAGGTATCTCGGGCTGCATATTCTATTGTTCTCGGGCTTGAGACATGTCCTTTCGCGTGACGGTGATTTGCGAGGCACAGCTAGGGCCCTATGGGCCGTCTTGGAACTCGGCAAGGCAAAGTGTGGGATGTAGTATGGCGCAGACTCGCAGGAGTGGGCTACTTTGGGCCTACAATTAAATTCATTGGGCTTTTCACCGGTTTGAGCTGCATGATTTTCCTTGGGATCGAAGCTTGGTCGGGTGAGATATCACGTGTATGGGTCTCACCGTATCTCTCCTCATTCGCACGTGGGTCGTCATACGCTGCCCATTGTATTGCCTAGAACTTACTCGATTGGAAAGAGATCCACGTCGGGCTCCAGGAATCGCTGAAGGTAAGACACGGCAGTTGAGGAACGGTAAAGACATGATCACCAAGTCGAGTCAAGGGACTGAGTCCTGACGGTAGGCAGCAACAAGGATAAGCTTGAATTTTCCTTCTTGTTGACTGACACAGCATTCGTCAAGGCTGAGTAAGTACAATGGCCTCCCCATGTCATTCAGTAAATACAAAGGTAAATCGTCAGTTTAGATCTTCATGATCATTCACTATCGCTTCCGCTTTCGCTTCCGTTGACAAATAAGTCAAGCTATTCATATCATATCATTCCATTCATCATACTTCATGCGTTCGTGAGAATCATTTGTGTCTGTGTGTTGTTTGTGTCGTAAAATGTAGAGGTAGGGAGGTATCTTTGGGATCGTGAGATCGTGATGTTCGTTATGTCGTTTATTGTAGAAGTGTGATGGATATGTGATGGATATGTGATGGATATGTGACGCCCGATTGACGTGGAAATGAAAAATGCCCCGTGCCGTTCGAAGGGTGTGGGAAAACGTAATCCCTCCTCTTTCCCTGAACAGCAAATAAAGTATCCAATTTACAGGTGCCCCAATGTATGATTTGCTGCGAGCTGCGTTGTGGCTCGTGTTGCTCGCTCGCTTGCTAGTGTGAGCAATGCTGAGCTGGTACCGTTCGGATTCCCCCATCCTTTCCCTCCGCCCATGATGATGAATGCAATAAGGAAAATAGGAAAGAAAAGCCAATCAAAAAAAAAGACAAAAAATCAGCGCTCAAAGATCAAACTCGCTTGCTTGCTCGCTGAACAAATGAAAACACAGGATGCGTGAGCTGCAGAGGTCTGGTCCGTAGTAAAGCCGTAATTCATAACCGTAGACAGATAGAAACGTGATGTGTAGTAACGTCGAGAAATTCAGCCCACGGCGGAATTGCAGTCGTTGTTACTTTGTCCGTTGCGTGAGTTGCATTCAGAGACAAGCTTGGCAAAGTCGCGGACAACCTCACTGGACACCTGATCCCAGAGGAGAGAGCGTGTATAAACTTCTGCAGCAGATTTCTTGCTGTTACTTCGCATGGCAGCAAGGGTTTCGCCGAGATTCCTTCGCCCTTGAGAGGTGGAACGCTGAGGTGTGTGTTGCAAAAAGTCCTGATTGGTGAGACCGTTGTACTGGGCAGCTGACAGGGAGAAGAGTTGCTCGTGGTTCTGCTCTTCGGTGGGCTGAGCCAGACTGTCGGCGAGGTCACCAAGGGTTGATGAGGTGACACCAACCATTTCGTTCCCTCCCATTTGGGGAATAGAGGTGGACCAGGAGTTGCCAGATGGAATGGGGGCGATGGCCTCAGAGACGCCAGACGCGGATTGTTGAACACCAGCATCTTTGAAGATATCCTCAAGGAGAGTCGCGGAAGCGGCTCGGACATCGTCGGACATTTGAGGGATGGTTGGAGAGGAACCCTTGGAAGCGACGAAGGCACCGAAGAGAAGAAGCATCAATAGCAGGCCTTGAGCAGCAGGCTTTTCCGGATCGCTGAGGAGAGAGTTCTCTGGCTTCTTGAGAGGAACCAAAGAGTTCTCAATCTTGACCTCAGGCTCAGTAGGGAAGTCATTGAGGAACGAGATATTGTCCCAAGCACTGTCCATGGTAAGGCTGTCGATATCGGTGTAGTCATTGGAGAAGCCATGAGAACTGGAAACGTTGTTCACGGGTGCACTCTCCAGTCGCTGGACGGCCTCGGTGAGGACGCTGACTTTCTTGCGAAGGTCACCGGTCTCGAGGGTATGGACGCGAATCATATCTTCTTTCTCCATCTGCATGTTTTCGATGAACTGCTGATATTGTTGTTCCTTGCGAGCCCACTCATCGAGAGCGAGCTTGGCTTCAGCGAGGTCCTCTTCAAGGTCGTTGATCAATGCAGTGTAATGCTTCTTCTCATCCTCAAGTCGTTCAGTGTGTTGCTTTTTGCGTTGTCGAGAATCAAGGCTAAAACAAGTTAGTGGGCCGTGTAAATTAAATAGGGTAAAACCAAAATAGGGGAAGCGTACGCTGCTTGTCTGTTCCTGAGTAATCGCTTCTGCTGCTTGAGCTCCTTGATCTCTTGCTCATCTGTGGACTGAGCAATGAGTTGATCAATGTTGTTGAGGTTCCTCTCTGCCGGGATATCAAATCGAGCATTCTTCTTTCGGATGCCATCACCCCTCCTTGTCATGTCTGGATGCGACCGTAGAGTTGGGCTATGAGGCCGCATACGTTTTGGCATAGATCTGTGATCCATAGCATCTACTACTGACCATTCCTTTTGAGGCGAAGTGGGGATCGACCCGTTGCTGGTACTGCTCGACGAGAAGAGGGGCAGTTGCTGATTGCCAGGATTGGTGAAAGGGGTTTGGATCGGCCTTTGGAAAACTGGTGCGTTGACCTCGAAATCCGAAGGAAGTCCATCCTGTGCCTGCATGGGAGTGCTCATGCCGGAGCCGTGGTTCATGCCCCATCCGTGACCTTGGTGCCCATACGACGAAGACTGCGAATCGACCCGCATGAATGGATTGTGATTTTGCTCAACAAACGGATTGTTGGAAGACATCCGCTGCATGTCGACCGGTTGCCAGTCGTCAGTCTTCGGTGAGAACAATGCTGACGAGACAGCAAACGAATCCCGCCGGCTGCCGTCCATGGGAGGGGACATCTCCAATCCGGAGTCTATTGCGCTGGGGTCGAGGATATTGTCGTCCAGAATGCTGCCCTCGTCCTCCTCGTAGAAATTTTGCGTGTGAGTGTCGACCGTCAACACCGACGGCCGGTAGAAATTGTTCATAGGGTAGGTGGTCATCTTGCGATTCTAGTAGTGGTGGTGGTAGTTGTGGTGTTGGTGGGTGGGGGGTTGTCGTTGTGGTTGTGGGTGAAGGAAGCGAAGTTCGGACGGGACGGGGTGGCGGTGAAGCGATGAAAATAGCTGGGAACGGCCGACGAGCACGACGATTGAAATAAGAGAGCAAGCTGCGGCGCGAGCCACTGCTTATGATCGAGTAGGTTCGTGTGATGGCAAAGAGGGAAAGCCTTCCGGAGCAGGAGGAAGACAAACGGGCGTGAGCTGGAAGAAGTGCGCAGACGCAGTACCGTTTGGTGTGAGTGAGATCGACGCGATAAAGAACGGGCCCTCCTGCTTCTTATCCATCCCATGAGCCTCTCTGCCGAGATGGCAGCGGATGTTCGCTCAGTGAGTAGCCCGAAGCAGCCAAGTGAGTGGATGAAGTCGTAACATGCCCCAACCTGGCCGGACTCCCATGCGTCTGCAGGCAAGGAGAGGCCAGGGAGGACGGGAAAAAGCAAGGCGGGTGCGGGTGCAAGCGACGCCGTCGCGGTAGCCCTGATCAGTTGGACGGAGGGCTTGCCTGACCATCAAGCGTGGAGCACGCACTGGTGGACTGGTGGACTGGTGGGAAGCAGGAGGCAGTGGGAGTGGGAGTGGGTGGGATAGGGAGAGCTCGCGCTCGTGCGAGAGCCACCCCCCGATCAGGCGGGGGGTTTGGCTCAGTGAGTTGGGCATCTATGGGGTCAACTCTGCGAAACTTCCATCTCCGATAGGCCGCCAAATGCGCGGTTGCATGACAGAGGCCGGGGCCAAGTTTGTTTCCGCAGCTCACCCATCGCCAGCAGCTCCCATTGGAGTCGCCAGTCTCTGGTCCGGCGAGCTCCCGCCAGAAACAGTCATTGTCTTTCCCAAGTGATAGGCTGGAGGCTGTCGTGCTCGCACCTGGAACGGACTCCAATCGTTCTCTGAGGCGATGGACAAAGCTGTGTTCCCCTTTGGGCGACGATGGGGGACGAGGACGACGAGGGACTCCCATGTCACGCGTCGACTGTTGACGGCCACCACGACCACCACAACCACGCCTTTGCTTTTTGGGCCGAACTCTTCGTGATCAGGCGTAGTCAGAGATCGAAATCCTAAATGCCGTCACTTCCCCGACCAACCCCCAACCCCCAATATTTGCACAGGCACTGCGGCCTCAAACTCGACCGTGGTGCAGCCTTAACTCGTAAGGGGGAGGTGACTGAGAATTCCCCCTTGCTGGCGACCCATTGGTGCTCAACCGTACCTAACCATAAAACAAGCTGTGCCCAACGCTCAGGGCAAGACTGCGACTGGCTCAAGATCAAACTCTTCATCTTCGCCCTGTCACGACTCACGATCCACAATCCACAATCCACAATTCACGCCGACCCGACCACACCCTGAATCTTGGTACGGTATCTGTACGAAGGTACTCCTGCCTGAATCCTGATGCCCCGTCGGGCTGCTCGTCTCCCACTTGCTGGAGACGGCGGAGAATTTCGTCAGGATTCCCTTGACGGGACTAGCATACCCCTAGCATACCCCTGGCTCCGCGACCTTATTTGGACGCAGATATTTATTTCTCGTATGAGAGAGTCATTCTCCGGCCACAAGATTTGTTCTTCCGCGGCCGCAATCTTGGGGGGCGCAAGGCGATCTCAGATCGTGATTGCCCGTACAGTAGGACGGCAGGCAAGATCATCGAGTTGGGGATAATGAGGCCGAGACGTTGGCGTGGGAGCGAAACTGCCATGATCCAGGCATTGGGGACGTTGAGGATAGCGACCGGGGTAGTTCAGGGGCATTCTGTAGCGGGAATCCACAACCGAGGGGACGAGACATCCTTCCAGAACCTTTTCAGTTTTCAAAATAAACAAGGCCCGCCAGGACGTGAAGCGGTGAACCTTGCGGTCGGGTTCACGCCGACTCATACTGTCAACACAGTGGAGCCCTTGGAAAATGTCTTCCGCGTCCCCGCTGTTGAGTGGCCATTCCCGGATCCAGATCGCGACGTTGTGGTCTTACAACAGGCCGGAATCACGGAGGGCATCGTGCCTTCAAACGCTCCCAGCCCTGCTCACACTCTTCCTGGTGGACCTCGGGAGTGGAAAGGCACCTCACATCACACTGTTGGGACTCCACCGCCAGGCTCAATTCCGGACAACCACTGATCGAGAGCGTCCGATGGGATCCGAGAGCAAACACACCATCTCAGCACAATCGGATTGTTGGTCTGAATTGCTTGCTCCCTTGTTCCTCCTCGTATGACTCCAGCCTATATCGCGGCCGAGTGGTCAACATTCCGTGGTGTTGTTGCGATTATCCGGCAAACGGCATCGGCGTTTGGAGCTGCCTTTCGTCCCACCAGGTAGGATCAAAATGCAGCCTGCAAAGCTCCCGACGGAAAGCCGCAGGGCCTGCAACGCACCATTCGTCACATTGTTTTCTATTTCCAATTGTTCCTGGGTTGTTTTCTCTGCATCCAGGGGAAATCTCTGCGCCTGCGTCTGTGCCGCTTATTCCTCGTGTTTCTTCACCGCTTGGATATTTTTAGTCTCATCAGCTCTATAAGAACTCGAATATGGTTCTGTAGCGGCGACGAAATCCTCCCTTTGATTCTTTTGGTTCCAATCAATTGAAACATTGACAATGGTCTGAAACATATATTCCAGCCTGGCCAAGTCCGGTGGACCTACGCGTCTGTTAGGTAACTTAGGTTCCTTCGCCAGACAATAGTGTTCATGTCAAAATTGACCATCCAAGGTACTGGCAACTCTCGATAGACAGCTCAGATGAAAATTAGAAAGAAACCGAGGTAGTTCCGTCACATTGTAGCCTTCCCAAAACACTGATACTTGAAACGGTGACCGCAAAGCTGCAGGCTATCCGCTCAACTCCGCGTCACCGCATGTTCCTGAATCTCGAATATTGCCGTAAGAGTCTGTGGCTGGTAACCACGCACATGGCAAAAAAACACATGCAGCAATGGGTCTTTGCCGATTCGTTTCCCGTGTCTAGGCTATTGTGTGGGTTTCGTCCTTCAACAGATCTGCGAAAACGCGCTGTAGATTCTCTCAAACCCCACTTGAAATTTTTGAGATCACTCTGTTTGACTGGAATCTCCTCTTAGGTCGCAAGCTCTTGCCACATTCACAAGCCGGCCAAGATGCTCAACCGAGAGGAGTAGAGTCATAACGTGGTTACGAAAAAGGCACGTGGCAGAGTTGGCGGTGAAGAGGAAGCCATACCCCTCTCCTTCAAAGACTCCTGCCCTCCCCCGTCGTCATTCAAGGCTGGTGTCTATGGACGCGTCATAGTTTGTCAAAATTGTAAGAGAAACAGCGAATCTCTTTTCAGACGGAACAGAAGAAAGAATCAAAATGCAAGAGTGCAGCAACGGCTCGCTGGAACCGAACATTAGAGAACGTTGAGCTTGATACTCCATGGTTCATAGAACCAATGATCCCAAATCCAATGAATACAATTGCAACATACTTTGCACTTCGCTCCAACAACTACCCATCTTTGCAATCGCCCTCCCTCCGGCTATCTGATGGTAGACTGACGATTGCAACATTCCCAGCTCACACTTCCAATTATCAGCATTTCCCGGGTTCACTTACCACTCGCAGCTCTCTCACTCTTCCCTGCCCATCACTTCACTCCCATACCCCTTTCATGGTCTGTCAACCTTGCTTCCATTTCCTCCTTCCTCCTACAACTCCCGATGTTTCCGAAGCATCCGCATCTGCACTCCCTCCCCCAACCCCCTAAATATCTCATATAACACAAACCTTCCTCCTCGTCTTGACCCCCAAACAAGGAAAAACCTTGATCTCGCGTCGCCCAATCGCAAACCTTCCTTGTTCTCCGCCTACACCATAATAAACATGCATGCCTTCACCTGGGGCCCCAGCTCCCCCAACTCCCGATCCCAAATCCCAGGAATAGCACCACTGCAATAGCAAGCCTTATATAACTCACCTCACCTCACCTCACTACACCGTCACAGTGACGCATTCCACAGTCCACAAACTCAAATCGAGGCTCAGAACAAGACAAGACACGACGATACATGCAGCTCCAGCCTCCAGCATCGCTATTTTCAGCGAGAAATACACCTTTGAGCGCAAATTCAAGCGCGTGCGAGATAGATACGCGCCGTTGCTTCGTACCCAGCACCCAGGATATGTCTCAGGCAGGAGGCGTTGGGAGATGTGGAGTGAGGGTGACGTGATCTGTCATTCTGTACTGTAGGTATGTCTTGGACTCGAGTCGACATGAGGTGAGGAGTTGGTGTTTAGGTGCAAATCAGGAAAACGCGAGGGGGGAGATACGGAAGCTAAAGATGGTGGTCTGCCGAAGACCGGAAGAATATTTACGTGGGGAAGATGGAGGTGGGGATGTCAAGAACGTTGGAGGTTGGGTTGGGACACTGGGCGCATGCGAGAACTGAATTTTGGATACGTCGTTGGAGACCGAAACATAGAAAACACACGTTTTTATGAATTTCAAGTCACGTACAATTGAGACAATCTGAAAATTCCATAATCATGCTTTTATTCTTTCTTTCTTCTATTTTCTTCTACTCAGACAATACAGCAATGAGGCCGAAGCCAGTCGACGCGGATTTGGGGTATCTCAAGCTCCGATGACGATAGCAAGCCAACCCCCCCTAGAAACCACGCCCCAAATGCAAGTTCGAGCCTAACTCCATCCATGATGTGAGCATAATAAGCGTGATGAATTGCTGAAAAGAAAATTGAAACCAGCCAAGAACAGCTGGCAAACAGGTTGTAAGGAGTGATGCGACGATCACCTCAAGTGAACGTAGTCTTGTTGCATGGGGATATCGGAATCTATCTTTCCATCCTCATCACCGAAGTACTCCTCATCGAGGTCATCAGAGTCGACATCATCGCTACCGATTTCTTCGTCCTCGTCGTCACTGGATATATCACTGCCTTCTTCTGGCGATGATTCTCCATTTCGAGCAGTGATGTTCCGCATGACGCTCGCCTTGTGTCGGTGGGGCAATTTGCATCCTTTGGTGGTACATGTACCTGTGTTGCTGAAATCCGGACATTCATAGACATGGCGCTCTGTGCAGCTTGCACCTTTCTCGCAATAGCCATAGATACCGAAGGGTCGACAAACTGAGGCAGTTGGGGAGACCCGGATATGGGTATAGCGACAATTCGAGTTGGAGCAATTGCCTTTTGCAAAGTGCAAGCAGGTGGGTGTTCTCTCTGGGGTCAGTTCATGTGAGAGGTCACAGGAATCTCCACTTGGACAAGATCCCTTCTGAAGAAAGTCTTTGCACACTGCAACCCTTGTCGGATCATGAATATAGCGGCATCTGGGGCCTTTTGGACAAGAACCTAAAATCGAAAGTTGTGTTAGCTGCAGCCCAAGTCGATCATCAAGATTGAGAGCGTAGAATAACGCTCCGCTGAGAAGAAAAGGAATACCCGTAGTTGTGAATATCTTGCAAGGCTCGTTAATCTTTTTAACGACCCCAGTTCTCCTGCCACGAAATAGATTAGCTTTGCGGCGATCTCGAAAGTCGATGCTGATCGAACTGCCATTTTCCATACCGGTAAGCTTTGATAATTCCGGATCGATACATGTTGCCACTTTTGCTTCTGTAAAAACGGACACCCCCAACCAATGCTGATTTGGGAGTGGACTTTGCTGCGTTAAGGTCTCCTGGATACTGTAAGCTCATGATTGATCCACCAAGCCCAACGGTGTCGCTGGCGTTTTGGGTCCCTTCCTCACCAGGGACTTTGACCAGTTTGCTGCCGCCTTGTACCACTCGAAATCGGATGCCATTCACATCCAGTTCATTATTGGCTGTCGTTCCAGTAGCGCGCGTCGAAGGACCATTGTAATTTCCTCGTTGAAGGTGCTGGACGATTCTCGCCTTCTCGCGCTCATCTCTCTGCTTCAATTTCTGTTGCCGAGTTTGCTCTATAGCTTTTGCTCGCTTTTGGCTATCTTTCTCGAAGATGGACGTATTGATGAGTTGAAGGTGGCGGTCTTGCTTCGTGACCCAAGCAGCTCCTGCATTACTGTCACTGGCGGAAGGTCGTTCAGTCTCATTGGATGCGGATGCATCAGTTCCTGCCGCTGGCGTATTACCATTCAATACAAGTGTTCGATTTCGGTGAACTTGAGGGGTCTGCCCTCCTCTAGGGTATCCGCGAGAGGGATAGCCACCGCGGTTTGGTCGCCATGAGGTGCTTGGTTGTTGGTATCCTTTTTGATCAGTACTGTAGGTTGTCGATTGCGTGAGACCCTCCATACCTCCGTACTTGTTGTTTCGCGCGTAGGGATGGGATCGAGATTGCTGATCTGTGTTCTGTCCATTCTTGTGTCGATTTATTTGGCCCGGAGCGTGACTTGTAAGCTCTTGCTGGCAAACAGGTGAGCGTGTGGCGAACTTACCGGCAAGCTGACTGATCTTCGCGAGGAGGACATCTTGATCGTCTGTGTCCATGATTATTGTATTCCCTGTGGTTGGTCAAGAAGCTCGGTATGAATGCTTATGGCTGTTGTTGTAGTAGTTGTTGTGGTTACGAAGTTTTGTTATTGAGGAAGGAAGCAAGTTCTGAGGTGAAGGCGTTCACAAATAGCGTGGTGACACCAACCTTTTAGCGCGCATTTAAAGAGACGACGAGTGGCAAACTCTGGCCTATCATTGACATCCTTGTCCCATTCACATCCTCGTACACCAGGTATTTTCCCCAGGCGACCGCCAACAAAGAATTACCGCCGACGACAGAGGCACTGCACCTCAGCTTCTACATGGACGAGCTTCGGTAGTCAAGCAATCCACGACAATGGCGGACCCTCTCATCAAGCCGGATCCGGAAAACCAAGGCGCGTCACCGGGGCCGTTCAGCGAAGATGATATCTACGAAGATGCTGGAGACCTAGAATTTAATACAGATCCCCACTTCCAGAAGTTGTATCTTGCGCGAGTACCGAAGTTTCTATGGGAAGCATGGGAGAAGCTGGACGACGATGCTGAGATCCAGATTGGGACCATCAGACAGACGCAAACTGTAGTAGACGGGGAGACGAAGGTATGCATGGCCTTGTCAAGATTGGTATTGCTGTTGATGCTTACCTCAAGTCCAGCAATTTCTTTCTATGCTATTATCCTCTAACCTCGCAGAGCATCAAACTGTGCCCAAGGAGTACACGCTAGACGTAACGGACGAGGCTGTCAAAAATACATTTGTTTTCACTGAACAAGATCTCCCCGGCTTTAAGTCGAAGTCGAAGCAAAAGTTCGATCCCGCCAGCGCGAATATGCCAGCTAGGCTGACACGCCCGAAGAACGACAAACCGATTTCCAAGCAGCCACATGATCCTAACAAACGCTTCCAACCATACTTCAGGAAGGCTATACCAAGTCAGTGTTCTGATATTGAATTAGTAAGACTCTAGTTAACGTCCCTCATCAGAACGCACAACTATTGCTGGGAAAGTAGCCCACGAAGTCAACTGCATTGCTGTTGAGAATGCAGAATCCGAGCGTCTTATTGCTATGCGAACGTTGGAAGCTATGCGCCCAAAGAAGTTTACCAAGTTTATCAACGAGGACCTGTCCGTCACAAGCAAGGACTTCATTCAACCTGGTACCATCAGCGCCCAGAACGCATTCCAGACGTTCATCGTAGGTTTACTTACCCTCCTTCCGAGTATTACAGCTGACAGTAATGTAGAAAACGAAGGGCCCAGCTGCAGGTCAACGACCACAACTCATGAAGACTGCCCGTATGCCACAGAACGAGCTGCTGGATCGTATATTCGATTGCTTCAAGAGATACAACTATTGGTCTATGAAGGCTTTGCGCGCAGAACTCCAGCAACCTGAAGCCTACCTACGAGAAACGCTGGAGAAGGTTGCGGTGCTGGCAAAGAGTGGAAGATTTGCTACACAATGGTCATTAAAGCCGGAAAACAAGATTGCCAACTATGACCAGATTGGCGATGCGGTTGCGCCCACGGCAGAGGGAGATCCGGGAGGAGACAGTGATATGGGCGACGAGGAAGATGGAGAGGATGAAGATGACGTAAAATTCGAGGACGTGGTCTCTTAGATGGTCGACTGGCTGGCATCTATTCTCGTGACATTGCAAGGCGTTTTGGGTCGGGGGGGACGTCTGCTGGTCTGCATGCGATGGCGTTATGCATGCGGGATGCATTTGCGGTGTTTTCACAGTCAGCAATCCCTGAATAGGGGCAGAGACGCATGGTCTTCCTTCATATAGGGAATGGCATAACCCATTCTATAAGCCAAGATAGCGTGTAGTAATAATCTCAAAAGATCTCAAATTGGTAGACAATGGGAATGCGTGAAATTATTCTAATAATCAAGGAGTGTTAGGAGAAGCCTATATACGGGACAATTTGCTCCAGAGTCCAACCATTGTATCAAAGTTGTATGGCCAAAGATTCACAAGAATTCTCCAGACATGTTCCAATCTTCAAGACTTTTCCCTACAATTCAAAATGCCAATATGATCCATCAAAACCAAACGACCATGCCCAACGATGCAAGCGATACTCAAAGCACCAAAAAGTACAAAAAAACAAATATCTTAATCACTACGAAACAGTCCTCTCATACCCCACCACCCTCTCATTGGCAATCCTCTCCACATTCTCCCGACTCCCCTCAATAGCCCACCCAAGATCCCTCTGCAGCCCACTATTCACAAAGTCCACCGTTCGCAAGCCTTTTATCCCCGTTTCCTCCCTCTGCGCCTCCCTCAGTAATTGCCTCACCCTCGTAGTATTCAACCACTCCGCATGCCGCGCCTCAAGAAATTCCAACTCTCGCAACTGACATATCAAAGCCGATGAGTGCATCCGCATAAATCAACTCTAGCTCAGAAGCTTGCCAAGTCCAGGATTTCGGCACGTCAGAAACGAAGGTGATGACTGCATTGCTCTGCTCCGGCTCGCAGATGTAGAAGTTTGGGGAGGGGATGTCAGTCCTGGCTGGACGCGGGTTTATAGGCGATATGACCATGAATCAGACGCTAGATGAAGCCGAGACATCTTGAGGCGTTTGATCCTGGTGCAAGCTCCTAAGACGTGGTACATTGTACCGATGGGGATGTCTCGAGTGTGGTGGAAGCTTGAGAGGAGTGGACTTGGGGTGGGGTGAGTGCTGCTTAAGAGAGAGAATGGCTGTCCTCAGGTTTGTTGTTCCTCTAGGGATCTGTAGGATAGACAGGTACAAAAACTTGGGCCGTATGAGGACCGGCCAAAGACTTCAAACATTTGGTGGTGATGGTATTTGAATTCGCGCCACCCATCCATCTCCATGAGTTTTCCCTCATTGTCCCTGACATTCTGAAATCTGCTGATGTCAAGGGAGCGAACCATTCGAGAGCAGTGCGGGCGATTGACGACAATGAATGCGAACTGGAGGTACGTTAGTCCTTCTTGAGTTCAAACCCTAGAAAGGCTCCTTGGTCTTAGGGAACTTACCTGTGCGAATCGATACGTGGATGCAAATTCTGGCTAACAATCGAATTAGTATGGGAGAGATGCAGGAGGGAGCTCAGGAGCTGAGGATCCGGGCTCTGGAGACAAACGCGTATGCAATCTCCCATGAAGCTCCTTGGCTCTGAGCTCCCAAAATAAAAAACAGCAATTCGGTATGGAAAATAAGCTTACCTCCATGTAAAGGTACTGAGCTGCCGACTCACTGAATTTTGAATTGCACAGCATCAGACTAAAGAGCCCCTTCTGCGACAGAAACTGGCAGATACCTTCCAACATCTCAATTGGGATCGTCGACGTCAATTTGAGAATGAGCGTAGCCATTAGAAAGATTTTCGGTTGGGCAGCATAGTGACAGAAAACGATGGCGAGAGAGTGCATGGCCGTTAGAGCACTCTGCCGCTTGCAATGCGTGGGATTCTTCCTTTTGTCTTAACCTCCTGAAGAACATGTTAGAAATGATGTGAAATATGGACTGTAAAATTATATGAAACTTGTGCCTACATCTTGTAGGTCTTTAAGTCTTAAGAGCAGAGAATGATGATGATGTCAAGTCCAGAGCTACGACTAAGAGGGTGTTCGAGAAGGACCAGACGATGACTTTAAAATGTACAAAATTACATCAGATAAAGCGGAAAGTATCAAAACACACCTATGACGTCTCATTGGCCTCGCTCCAAGAAAGCGAAATCAAATGAGTCAACACTCCCTTTTATAACCCTAGGAACTCTGCGGGGCAGGTGCCTGTATGCAAAATATAAAAGAGTTGAATATCAGGGGAGGAAATGAAACGATTATTCAGAGCGATGCAGCTACATATGTAGGTGTATGGGAGGTGGTATTCTAGCGCTTCCACGCAAAGTGGAAAAGAGTTGAGGCCTAGGGAACTCGAATGTTCTCATCCGAGAGGAAGGGTGGAAGATTATTTTCGTTCCCTTATCATGGCACTTCAACTCTCAAACAACATAGCTCTATTCGCCAATGAGCTAGGAATTTCCGTGACATTCTCCAAGTATCCACATAGTTGTCATTTAAGTGTGCTTCGCTGATAAGGCGAAAACGAGGTTCATTTTTAGGACCGGACTCTATGGCCAGAATTTGAACCGAGGATTCCTCACCACGGCCGAATATTAACCTCGAAAGGTTCTCTGCATTGGACTGCCGGAATATCAGGTTGATGATTTGTTCTAGAATCGCCAACAATAGACGCATGTCTTGAATTTTTCACACTCCTACTTTCAACTGACATCAGCGCATGTTCCTTCTCCGTGATAGAGGAGGGGTCTCGTATGAGAGCTCACGCCTAGCTGAGTGATGTCCCGGTGCTAGTTACTGAGCTACTGTTTCGATGTAACTCAAAGAACTGAAAAGAGCCCCTGACTGCTCAGCTGAGCTGAACTCACCAGTACTGGGAAACAATAGTTCTTTCTTGGTGGCCGCTACTTGCTCAGAATCCAAACTTTTGGAGGTGGGGTTGAGGCTTATCGACTGATAACAAATCCGAGGAGGAAAAGGGGCAGCGGTTATTTCGAAGACTCGGTTGCAACTTCCATTCAGTAGATTTTGTTTAGAGAAGCGGGTAGGACGGTCTTGCACAGCCTCCGTGCAACCATGGTTCATCTGAAAAGTTGACCTGTTTTCGAGGACCACAAGGCTGACATAAGGTCATTAATGGCAACTTCATTGGGTTTAGTGACTTTTCAATCCCGTGCTCTGGGCTCAAGTGTCCCCAACAGCTCAGGTACGTTTGAAATGACTTCAACATAAACGGGGAACTACTTGGATTGAGGCAGTGCACCAGTCCGCCATTTTTTGCACTTCTACTCGACGGAGGGCCGCGAGGAAAGTATCTCAAAACTAAAGACGGATGTCAACGTGTGGTAGAGAAACAAGCTTCCCCACGTTCCACAGAAAACCGGCCTTGGGAGTTCACTTGAAGTACCCAAGAGAAAGGCTTGAAAGCGGACGAAGCCTGCACAGATCAGCCCGAGATAAAGAACAACATTTGAATAGATTAAAACTTCAGATTTGGGTTTCTGGTGATGCGGGCCAGACCACCTTGGAGAGCTGGGCTCCTTGTCCGGCCTAGCATGGAAATGTTCTTGGATTTCTCGGTCCTCAACGCCACTGCAGAAATGCAAAATTCATGGATCCGAGTTTACTCGTAAGGTGCCGAGACTTCTTAGATGAAAATGAATGCCATCATGCATACCTCAGGGGTTTGCCAATGTAGGTGTGATCACTGATCTATCAAGAAAGCCTTCCTTCCAAGTTAAAGGCAGACATTGGAAAATGAGGAGATTTTGTTTTCGAAGACTGGGAAATTGACGGCCACGGCTACACGGCCTTCAGGGGTCTACAAGCGAAGCCACTAGCGTGTGTTGCCTAAAGCTCCGATGAAGCTCTCCCCGCGATTATCTTCAGCCTCATCAAACAAAATTCATCATTTCAACACAAACCCATTTGATGAGCGAAGCCCAGCCCTGACAGTACGATGGCTTCCCCGAAGGTTTCTCAAGCTCTCAAGAAGATTGCATCCTCTGCAGACAAGCAACAAGGCTACGAAGCTCTTCTCAAAGACATCCGCTCGTTCTCCACCCCCACCGCCCTGTCCAAAGACCTCATCGCAATCCTCGACGCCATCTTCGACGGCAGCCTTGGTATCGTAGCCACGCGATCTCTCGGTGTCGCCTACGTCCAGACCCTGACATCCGTCCCCAGCAACGAAGTCAAGATCGAAGTCGGCGAATACGCTCTCGAAAAATTCCAAAGCCAAGCCTCTTCTTTCGAAGAACAAAATGCACAAATCCGCGAGCTTATGGCAACAGCCTATGAAGATGATGAAGATTTCCTAGCCTCGGCGAAGATCCTCTCTGGAATTCCGCTAGAGTCGTCACAGAGGAAGGTCACAAACGAAGATAAAGTTCGGTTCTGGATTCGCATCACAAGAAATTATTTGGAGGTTGATGATACCACGCTCGCAGAGCAGTATCTTAATAAAGCTAAGAATTTGATATATACGGTCGATGATCGGGATCTGAATCTGCACTTCAATCTCTGCCAGGCACGAATTCAGGATGCGAGACGAAACTTCCTGGCTGCTGCGCAAGGGTACCAAGAGATCAGTTTAATGCCTGTGATTGCTGAGGAAGAGAGACTGCACACTCTTAGCATGGCTATCAAGTGCGCAGTATTGGCTCCCGCAGGCCCTGCGAGAAGTCGTGCTTTGGGAAGACTTTACAAGGATGAACGGGCGAGCACGTTGGAGGAGTACAGCATTTTGGAGAAGATGTTCCTGGATCGACTATTGGCTCCTGAAGAGGTCGAGAAGTTCGCAAAAGGGTTGGCACCTCATCAGCTGGCAAAGACGGGAGATGGAAGTACGGTCCTACAAAGAGCAGTGATTGAACATAATCTGAGAGGCGCATCGAGGCTGTATAACAATATTAGCTTCGAGGCTTTAGGTCTGTTGCTAGGGTTGGATGGAGACAAGGCTGAAGATACGACTGCTAAGATGATCGAGCAAGGCAGATTGGTGGGCCGCATCGACCAGATCGAGAGAGTTATCTGGTTTGAGGGTGGAGAAGCAACAGGAGAGAAGGGAAGTGGCAGAGCAGAGGGTGTGGTCGGACGAGAGTTGAAGAAGTGGGATGCCAATGTCCAAGGATTGGCTGAGGAGGTTGAAAAGATAACTTCTGAATTGCAGTTGCGATATCCTGTGAGTCTTATCCTTGAGCTAAACCAAGATTATATGCTAATGCCTCTTTAGGACTTCGTGGCAGCAAACTTGGTTGTATGAACCTGGCGTGGACCAATGAGATATGACACGGCGTTTATACGGACAAGCATGGATGTGAGGAGCGTTTGACTGGTATCATTGCAACGGCGTTACGAAGAAAATGAGACCAGGATTTGTCAAGATAGCAAAATAGAACGCAATTTCTTCCGAGATCAGGTCACTCAGCAGCCAATTCTCTTTTCTACAACTCCATTCTTCCTTCAGCATCCTGTACTTCGCCATCGATGCTCTGAGCTTGAATGAGTCCCGTGAGTCTCTCTGCAAGTAATTTCCCAACCAAATCATATCCCTTCGGCGAATAATGCACAGGATCACCCCAAAGCTCACTCCTCTTCTTGTCAGGGATACCCCGAAACGGAATCGCAGTGTGGAGATCGAAAGTATAACTTGCTTCCATCAGCCGCCTTCCCGCCCTCTCCCTCATTTATTCTAACTTACTAGTTCTCATCTTTATGCTCCATAATCAACTTATTGAGTTCATCGCCGTGGGCAGTGATCGGTGAATCATCAAATCCGCATTCCGGTACAGTGAGAGCCAGGACTTTCGTGCCGTGGTTCAGGGGAATAGCCCATACTTTTTGCAAGGCCTCGTAGATGTCTTCTGTGTCATATTCCATGGAGAGGTCGTTCGTGCCGCCGAGGATTATGGCCCAGTCGTAGGGATTGTGAGGATGAGTTTCCTCATCTGTGTTGGTTTCTGGATTAGAGAGGCTCAGAAGGTCTGTATGAAGTGAGGGTTGAGAAGCTCTACTCACACGCCTTTTCCATCCGTGGCAGGAAGCTTCCTGGCGGGGAAGTGGCTCGATCGCCACTCACGCCTTGATTGTCTGTTGTGATGTTGAAAGATGGAAAGGCTTCCTCCAACGAGGACTTCAGAGCAATCGAGTATGGATGCGGATGTGGCCTTCCCAGAGACATGCCTTCTGTCAGGCTGTCGCCAAAGCAGAGGATATGGAGTGAGTTGGCGAAGAGCATTTTAACTACTTGCAATGAAGGCTTCCAAGTAAACTCTCGACAGCTTTTCAAGGCTCAATGTCCAATATAGGCCTGGGAAGTTCGAGCGCGCTTAGCACAGGGGAACGTCCGAACGTTCGAGAAAGTGGGTTGAACTCAAGAGCTTGACTGTCCTGAAAGCTCAATGCGGACTCGATACAGTGAGTGGTGACTTGAAAGCTTCAGTCGTCCATATCGATCGGAACAATCGAATGTATTGTTCCGAAACATCATTTGAGATGTTTGAGTTTCCACACTTCCCCAGGCCGAGGCTGGCGATACCGCAGCGCACGCCACACCACTGGCAAGCCTCCACTCCACTTGCAGATTTGACAAGGATGCGCGTTGCCCGGCAACCGGGTAGGCCAAACCCACAGCCCAAGTGTACAACTTTCAACACGCGATTCTTCTCTCATAACGACGTGCATTTCTTCCATTGCTTTTCCATCTTCAAATCCGAGCATGGGGCTGCTGAATTCGACGTGGTAAATACTCACTCGAAGCGAATACGACCAATTATTATCATTCCCTCACCCCTCCCTCACTATGGCCATGGCTTCACCAACACCAATGGGCGCATCCCATTTTACATCGCTCTCCAGACGTCCCTCTTCACGACAAGCATACAGGCAAATTCCCTCGCGACCTCAATTGCATCGCAGCGACTCAGTACCTGTCGAGAGCCATGCGCGAACCTATTCTCTGAACGATAGCTCCGATGATGAGATAGCTCCACCGATGAGCTCAGCCCTAACAAATGCTTTGCTTAATGCCGCAACCCCTTCGGTGGACGAATCACCCATAACAAAGGCGCGGATATCACCGGGACGGAATGCGAACGGAATTTTTCATGGAAGGGCAGCAAGTGTCAACACAGTTCCAGACAGGATATCACCCAATGGCACCAGGGTTCACAGCCCGTATCCTCGAAGAATTGTACGATTAAGTGGCACGCCTGGCTCGTCAACTCTACGCAGAACGTCGTCATTATCAAGTGCGGTTCGAAAGCATAACGAGATAGCTCCAGTGAAGGCTGAAAGCCCATTGGACCTAAGTACTCCGGCGCCAGTTCCAAGAACTGTTAGGATAACTACTACTTCGTCTGGGAATCACGGAATATCTGCTGGGTCGTCTGGAAGGCTGTCAAGCAGGACGGACTCGGCTTCAAGGAATGAGGAGGCATCGCCAGGATCCCAAGAATATCCAACAACAGCCGCCAGGTCAAATTTAGCTACGAGCCAAGGGAGTGTTTCCAGATATGGTACCGTAGGACGTACAAGATATGGTGAAGAGGCGGGACTACAAAGCTCAATGCGAGTTAAGAGAGTGGTGAAAGTGGCGGGACAGTTTATGAAAGGGCCTGCGCGAAGAGGAAGGAGAAGGATGGAAGATGAGGACCAAAGCCCAGTAGATGAGCAGGGTGACGGTTTGGATGCTGCAGGGTCAAGCCAAGAGCCTCAAAATCCGGGATCACAAACATCAGAACCACAGAATCAAGATTCAGGATCAGGTCGAGAATCAGATGCGAAAGCTGGATCATTCTTCGCCTCCAGCTATAAAGACTTTGCATCCGGGAGTCCTATAAGTTCCAAAGATATAATCGATTCGGTATTACGGTCAAAATCACCTCCACCTCCCACATTGGCCAGCTCTCAAAAGTCAGGAGAGTCGAATAGTCGAGCAGCTCCACAGCTAGCTCAACCAGTATTCAAAGTACCAGCCCCCAGGCCAGACTTACCTTCAGCGCACGATCAGGAAAATGAAGCTCCTCCAACTTTTAAACGGAATAAACAAACACCTTTGATACTTATGGACAAGATAGAAAAGGTGCCCGTCCGTCCTGAGAGCATGGATCTCGACGTTTTGCGTGCCGCAACTCCTTCAGATCGAAGGCCTTTAGCGCCCAGAAGTCAAAACACGCCTCGAAGACCGGCACCACCTCCTCCCAAGATGTCAATTCTCGATGCGGCGACTAGTACGGCTGGAGCAGCAACTGCGTCGAATGCGGGTGGGAAGAAAAACAGGCTACGAGTCAATGGCAAGCACTTCACAAGACTCGATTGTATTGGTCGCGGCGGAAGCTCGAGAGTTTACCGAGTCATGGCAGAGAACTCGAAATTCTTTGCTTTGAAGAGAGTCTCGTTGGACGATGCCGATGAGGCAGCAGTCAGGGGCTTTAAGGGGGAAATCGATTTGCTCAAAAAACTGGAGGGAGTGGAAAGAGTCATTCGTCTATATGACTACGAGCTGAATGAAGACAAGGGGACTCTGAGTGTTGTAAGTATTCCGCTTCCGAGCTTTGGACGCCACTAACATTTGTGAAGCTGATGGAAATGGGAGAGCTCGATATGAACAAGATCTTGGACCTCCGGAGGAACGCGGATGACGCCAAATTCGATGCCAGCTTTGTCCGACATTATTGGAAGGAGATGCTCGAATGTTTACAAGCTATCCACGAACACGACATCGTTCATTCCGACTTGAAGCCACATAATTTCGTTCTCGTCCAAGGTCGCTTAAAACTGATCGATTTCGGAATCGCCAACGCGATTCAAACCGATGAAACTGTCAATGTTCACCGAGAGACGCAAATTGGAACACCAAATTACATGTCACCCGAATCACTAATGGACTCCAACGCTAAGCCGGACTCGAGAGGACGAATTTCAAATGAGCCGAAACTCATGAAGCTCGGCAAACCATCCGATATCTGGAGTTTGGGATGCATCCTCTATCAAATGGTGTATGGACGAGCACCATTTGCCCATATTCAGAATCAAATGCAGCGTTGCCAAGCAATCATCAACTTTAACTACGAGATCGAATATCCTTCGGTAGGCCTGGGCTCCGTGCCAGTGCCTGCATCCCTCATCAAAACGCTCAAAAAGTGTTTGAGCAGAGATCAGTTTCAACGACCGTCGGCAACTCAGTTACTCAGTGATAAAGACCCGTTTCTAAACCCTGTCGAGTGGGACGACAATGCTCTACCCATCACTGAGGAGCTGTTGGGCAGAATACTCATAACTGTAGCAGCGAAGATCAAGCAAGCGAATCCCACCGAAGCAGAGTTGTTAAAAGTCTGGCCACAAGGCTACTTCGATCGGCTGAAAAAGAACATGGCGGCAGGAAGACCACTGTAGAATATACCACCCTGTTGGGTGATTGTGCGAGTCTCTTTGGATAAATGAGACCGAAGGAGAGGAGAGTGAGTTTTGCATCTGTGGTTAGCGTGAGGCGTTTTTCAGTTATTGAGGCATGGATACCATCTTTATTAAAACAGAGCGCTCTGTTTTTTTCTTAGCTTGACTTGACTTGTAGAAATTAGGGAGTGGGACGTGTCTGGATTGTCAAGCAATTGAGATCCTTATTTGTTTCGTTGATTATTGTTTCTGTTGATGTGAGGACATTTGAATGAGGTCCGCCTAATTTCTTGGGACATTCTGAACTCGAGCAACCACATCGTTGCTGTATATGTCAGCAGGTTGAGGCCAACTCCTCCTCAATGGCCCAATCCAGTTCAGGACATTCTAAACTTCCGCAATGACAAAATAGTAGAAAATGCCGTTCACAATTGGATTTAGTTGGGGATTCAAGAGAGGTTGATTCCCACGCTAGGCCGGTTGCGGCACCAGAAAGCTCTTGGCGTTCGCAACTCGAGAAGTGACGACGGAGCAACCCGATAGCTTGCAAGGAACCTTCCAATTGAATTTCTTTCTTGCCGCAACAAACCTTTGCTTTTATATAAACCAGCCCACAGATTCAGGTGTTCATTCCAGCTCTAAAAGCCAATATCGTCCAACTCGACTTTGAGCGCCGAGTTGTGCCATCAGCCTTTTGCTGTCTTCATGAGTGTTAGGATGGCTTCCACCACCAAGAGCTACCTCGATCTCATAAATGATTGCGATAGGTATGTCACTTGATTCAGCACCCAGTCAACTCCGTTGAACGCCTTTTGTAGATTCCCATACGACGATCCCTTGAAGCCTCTGGGAGACCATTTTTGGTGTCAGATCTATCAATTTATGCTACCTGAAGATCCCAGAACACATGGTTTCATGCTCGCTTCCACGGTCAAGAAGATGCCTTGGACAAGTGACTTCGTCATTGACCATAAAGCCAGAACAGTTCGACTTTTTTCCTCAAAAGATAACGGAGACCCCGCTACCGCTTGCACAACAGCCTTCTCCAAGCTCATTCAACGAATTATTGATGAAGACACCTTTCGAGTGATCCACGGCACGCATAGCGAGCCGTATCCAATCATTGGAGCCAACTTCTCGGTTTCCATGGAACGTTATGCCAGCACCCTGTTTGGGATTGTTTCACGTGGTGCACATCTCACGGTGTATACGAAGACCGCATCCGGGATGAAGATCTGGGTACCTCGTCGATCTTCAAACTTGTTTACTTATCCGAACTGCCTCGACACGACTGTAGCTGGCGGTGTGGCCTTTGGAGAAGGGTCCTTCGAATGCATTGTTCGTGAAGCGGATGAAGAAGCTTCTCTTCCCGAGGACCTGATTCGGAAACAAGTCGTACATTGTGGATGTATCTCGTACATGGGCTTAAACGACCGAGGAGGTGGCGGAGAGACTGGACTCATTGCTCCTGACATAATGTTTGTTTACGACCTCGAAATCCCCGAAGGCGTTGTCTGTAAGCAGAACGATGATGAGGTCAAAGAGTTCTATTTGATGACCGTCGGTGAAGTGAAGGAATGCCTTGCCAGGGCAGAATTTAAGACGAACAGCGCACTTGTCATGATAGATTTTTTCATCAGACATGGGATCATTACGGCCGAGAGTGAGAAGAATTATGCAGATATTATCGCCCGCCTCCACCGCAGGTTACCTCTTCCAACCACGCCTCAGTAAATAGTTTAGAAGGGTCGTGAGAGATTGGGCAGATGCTCGAAGGAAGCACAAAGGATCGTCCCGGTCTTGACGACCAAAAGTTGATGAAAGAGAATACTCTGTTCTTTGTTCGCATATCGAGCAACAAGCAGGACAGTGTGGACAATGCAAGCAAAGACCTAAAGGAAAGAACAGACATTGCACAATGGACATATAGCTACCAGAGCCAAACTTCGAACTCCATAAATCGATTTCTCAACTTTCGAACCTTACAACCTCGACCACCACTGTCACTTCTCAATCATGTGCTGGCATCAACGAATCGTTTTCTCTTGCAACCACTACAAGTGGGGACTTGAAGTTTCTCCTTGTGCCTTCCAAAAGCTCTACATGGGAGGCGAATGGTCCGAACATTGTGAAACGATGAATTCGCATCCACTCCACTCTCTTACCGTTCAGCCAATGTGCAAGAAGTGCGAGCGGAAGAAGGCAAAACTCGAAGGAACGATGTCGAGAATGAAACTTCTGATGAAGGAACTGAATGAATCACTGTCGAAGTTGAAGAAGGAAGAGAAGAGGGAAGGCGGGGAGACATCACCCGGTAACCCTGGAGCGCTATGGATCCCAGTCTCCCCTATCGAGGCAGCTCACGAAAAATGGATTTGTTCGCCTTTGATCCTTGACCCGAAAGCACATTTATTGAGAGACGAGAACTTAGGAGATATTATGGAGAATGTACAAGAAAAGAAATAGACTCTCATTTTAAGCCACCCCTTAAAAGCTGCAAATTCTTCTCATCGCCATAATAGACCTCTGAAATATCAAAAAAAAACATCAATCCAAATCATCACCCTGTAACAATGCGATTCCCACATGACTCCAAGCACTCCTCTCATTCCTCTTCTTCCAAACTTGAAACAGTGACTCCAGCATCCCCTCTTTCATCTCACTTCTAATTACCAACTCCCTCCTTTCGCGAAGTCTGAACAGCATTCTCTCTCCTCTGGGCCAATATTTGCCAACGAAAGCAGCAACCAAAACCAGCCCCGCACCAACCAACGGGGCCCATTGACCCACCAACTGCATCTCCTCACTCTGCAAATCATACGAAAGGATCCACTCGACCCAGATCAAGAAAATGACAAACACAAATGGCATCAATACCTTCCCGTAAAAGTTGAGCACCCTGACAAGATAATTTAATCCCCTGAGCTTCAAGCTGAGAGGGTGAGAATGCAAGGGAATAGAGGATGACGTGGAGCGATGACCCCGCATTCTCAGCATCAAGATCGTAATGCTGAAGATAATGGTTAGGGGGACGCAGGACCAAATGATAGCTGCCAGGATGTACATCCCCCAGTATAGCGGGCTTGGGGCTTCAATCTCGACGAATTTGACGACGTGGAGATCACCCGGCTGACGTAGGAAGTATGTGGCACTAAGACAGGGGTAGATACAACTTGGCGGGTTTAAGGTTGAGTTCGCGAAATAGGTCCAGACTGTTTCGTTCCAGTTGTTGGCTGGTGGCGCAGGGTTGCCGCTGAATGGGAAAGTCTCGTTGTATCCCGGAGTGCAAAACCGATGCTGTAAGAGAGGGCCAGTTCCAGAGCCGTTCACTCCGTACATCACCGCCATGCAGCAAAGCATGCCGACGAACATCAAGACGATCCAGAGAACGAGGATGGGTACTGCTCCGGAGTGGCGGAACTGGGCCGACCAGAGAGCCATCGGGACGACAATCAAGAAACCCGTACCCATGATTGCGAGCGTGGCATCAGTGTCCAGATCAGTTGCGAGAGCTTTGACGAAGATATTCGACCCATTCGTACGTGTGACGATACCATCAGCTACGGAGGATTTCGCTAGGGCTAATGATGGTGCAAGTAGCAAGGCATGAATAGCAGTAGTGCCACCATAGATCAGGCAAGCTGCCGCTGCTCCTGCAGTCAGCCAGTCTTGTCGTCTGAAACCGACGACGAATAGAATAAGGCCGTAATATAAGACTCGTGGTGCTCGTCCGTACTGGCCACTCAGGGAAAAGACGCATTCCACATCATTGAAAACAACAAAGGCGGCCATTTTGGAAAAGGTCCGCATGGGCATGAGACTGATTCGTCTTGTCGAATATGGAGCAGCTCATTACCTATGAGTTCGCCTCTGTCGTTCCCTCCGTCCTGTCCCCTCTCTCCCCCTCGGTAGTAGCACCCTCTGTGTCCTCCGCCGTCTGTCCAGCCAGAAATATATTAAAGCCACCAGAAGTAATGCCCCAATCGGAATGGCAATACTTATTCCCAGGACTGTGCCCCGAGTGCCCCGAGGGAGAGGATTTGATGCAGCGTAAATGACTGCATTCGCGGTTCCGCTAGTTAGAGGTTCAGCTGTTCAATCAGGTAAGCTCAATGATACCGCACAATATTGAACACGAACCATTTGTGGTAATAGCGGCTGACGAGCTATATTGAACACGAACCATTAGTGGTAATAGCGGCTGACAAGCTAAGTCAGGTCCAGGATCAGCAAAGGGTATCTCATATCAAAATGAGAAGGCTTGCCTTGTGACCACGATCAATTTCGGTTCCTCCAAATGTTATATTTCAAGCAACAAGGAAGGTAATAGGAGGTCAGAAAACAGAGCGCAACGCGAGCCGCAGATTCAAAAATACAGCGAGTATCTAAATAAGATGGAACGGGGATCGCGAGGGCGATGTTTGCTGAGTTGGCAAGAAGAGGGCCGTTGCTACCTTTGCGGCTACCGCGTGCACCACCACAGCTCGAGCAACACTCTATCAGTAGTTCCAATTGCAGATTGTAATTCTAAAAGGTTTCATACATTGAAACAACGCAGAAGCAAAAATGCTCTCTTCGCCCTTTGGCGTGCTTTGCGAGTCAGGCCAAGCTCGACGATTGTGATGAGCGGGTAATGAGGACGGGTTGGGAGAAAGATAAGAGGTGATGACTGGTAGAAATGACATCAATTGCAGTCCGATATTTGATCAGCGAGGTTCTCTCAATGATGTAAAGCAGACGAGAGAAACAAGGCTGCCGCACTGAATCCGGAGATACTTATGAATCGCGATGTGGCAGTGCAGAAAAACCGAAAGATTCATCAGGCTGAGAAATAGAAGGTCAAAAGTGTGCGAACCTAGCGCCGGTTCCGATTTGGTAATGGCAGTCACGAGGCATACAGCAAGGCTTGGGGCAGCTGAAAACTGCAGGACGGTAAACACGAGGTGCAGTTGCAACACACCTATGGTTGGCCCGAAATATGGTTGTAAAATGCTCGAGAGCCAACAACTTCCTTTTGATGCTTGTGGATACAGTACGCTTTCAAGGGCAGCTGAAGGAGGGTTGAAACGTCAGGCTGGGATTTTTATCGCCGTCCGTTGCGTACCTAGATGCCGATATCAAGGAAGATTTCGGCTTGGGCGGGGGCTGGGAGATGGCCGCCGGACGTAGATGGTTGTGCCCGATAACAACCAAAAAGAACGAATCCCCCTATTCCAGGAGTTTTCGGAACATTTGGAGACGGTCAAAGTCCCACACTTCTCCAGAATATTTTGATTTCGAGACTTTTCGCCTATATCGACATTGCCAGTCAAGCCAGCGATTGTGTGAACTGGAAGAGCTGACAAATCCAGCGAATCCAGCAACCTCTTTGCTCGAATACCCGGCGAATATATGGTTTCCACGGGTAGAATGCAAGTTCTCCTGAGCTCGCAAAGCCTGGCCTCCCTGCCACCTACGAAGGAGTAACTTTTATCTCCCCATCCTTATTATAGAAAATTTCCGTCACCTTAACACATCTCAGATGGTTCTTGCCCGAGAGTGAAGTATCATGATGGAACAAATACCACTTCCCCTTATGCTCCACAATTGAATGGTGGGTCGTCCATCCCTGCACTGGTTCCAAAATCCTCCCACCATACGTAAACGGGCCAATTGGATTATCCCCAACCGCATAGCACAAGTAATGCGTATCTCCCGTCGAGTACGAGAAATAGTATTTGCCGTTATACTTGTGCATCCACGCTGCCTCGAAGAAGCGACGATCATGGTCAGAGGCAGCCAATGGCTGACCCTCCTTGTCGAAAATGATAACGTCTTGAACAACGCCGTCGAAAGAGAGCATGTCTTTGCTCAATTTTGCAACTTTGGGGTACAGAGCATTTCCAGATTGGGCCTCCATGCCGCTGTAGGCCGCTTTGTCGAATTCGCCAGATGTCCAGCATTGCACTACCACTGTCAATAGGTTTGCGTAGAATTTTGAGAGCGGCTACGTACGCTGACCGCCCCAAATCCCGCCGAAATATAAATACGCCTCTCCGTCATCATCCACGAAGCTGGCAGGATCGATACTGAAGCTCCCTTCAATCGGTTCCGGCTCCGGCTTGAAAGGTCCCTCAGGAACATCGCTCACAGCAACTCCAATACGGAACACACCCTCCTTATCTCTTGCTGGGAAAAAGAGGTAGTATTTGCCATCTCTGGTTGCCGCGTCTGGGGCCCAGAGCTGCTTTCCCGCCCATGGGATTTCTTCTAATGCCAAGGCTACCCCGTGATCTGTGACCGGTCCACCGACCTCCTCCATCGAAAGCACGTGATAGTCATTCATGGCATATTGGTCGCCATTGTCGTTGTCTTTGATATCGGTGCTGACATCGTGGGACGGGTAGACATACAACTTGCCACTGAATACGTGGGCTGATGGATCGGCTGTGAAGATGTGCGTTACGAGAGGTTTGATGTCCGTCGACGCCATGGTGGGCAAATTGCTTTCTTCTGACGGAAGATGAGGTGGACTGATGAGGTCTTGGGCAGCTTGCGGTCTTAAGTAGGCTCAGAAAAAAAGGGTTTATCCAGTTTACCCATGGCGACGGTTAGCAGGAATAACATTCGAGCGGTGCTGGTGATTGTTGGTAGTGGTATGTTTGAGGTTGAAGTTCGGCGTCGATCGTGGCGGGGGAGTTTATCCGAGCCGCTAAGCCTAATAGCCTGAAATGTTTGTTCCGTCCTTCCGGGTTGTACCACGTTCGTGAAGTTTGATAGGAGGAAGAGCCGATTCAAAATTCCCAGAATTGGTGATGGCGATTCTTGGCAGCCAAGCCAAGATGCAGGGGGCTAAGGAGTTACTTGAGCCTCAACCTTGGTCCGAGTGTTGACCCCCTATCCAAGTCGCTTAGACAACCAATCAGCCGAGGGTGAATTAAGTCGAAACTTCCCCTGAAAGGATCCACAGTCTGTCAATAAGATTAACTCGCACTCCGGACGATACGATAAAGAACCCTGGTAACTCGGAATCATGATTTCTGAATATGAAAGTGTCGATGTTGCAGGGGGACTTTTAGGCAGAGGTTGAGGTCCTTTCTGATCTGGTGCAAATGCAGCAGAGCGAGCTTCAACGTCAACGCCGTCTCCATTCAACATCCGGACAGTACACCTCCCATGCCCCCGCATATATCCCTTCTCACCCGAAAGCCCATATTTAACCCTCTTCTTTCAATCTGGAATTACAGGGAGAGGTTAAACCGCTGAAAGAAGAGCTGCAGGCGGTAATGGCTAAGAAGATATCTTACCCCAACTACAAGCACGATGGATTATAAGCATACAAGGAGCAATTTCGCTTTCTACTGGCGAGACTTCAGAATTGGAAAGACAAGCTCCCACCCAAAGATACTCATGAGAACTTGAGCACAAAATTACAAGAGGCCAAAAGAGACCAAGACGAATTGAGGCAATAATTGGAGCCGCTCGAGCTCGATCACCGTCGGCAAGAGCATGTTTGCCAACAGAAGCTTCAGAGTTTGAGAAGAAACATAGAGATACACAACAAGAGAATGGACACAAAGGCTATAAGATCAGGAGGACTAGTCGGCCAGCAGGGCGGTGCTTTTATCAATGTAAGTCGGTATGAGTAATGTTGAATTGGTGGTACACTAGCTTGGCTAGACTACCACTCCTCCCAGCACCAGGTTCAACCACTAATTTAATCTTCTCCACTCTCGCTTGTAATGCGTCACCTGCGGAGCTTATTATAAGCTCATTAATATGTAGTCATCTGCTTTACCAAATAATGTGTAATGTATCGGAGAAAGTGGGCTTGGCATTACCCATATCGCAGAGGGTTAATGGGCATAAGAACTGTGTTTCTGATACCTTTCTCTCGATTTCCTTCCTTCAATCTGCTGTATCTAGTCAACTTACGCACTGTCAAGTCTCAATATATCGCTTTTTGCACCCATATATTGTTCCCATTTCAATAGATTGGGAGCCAGCGAGGAAAGGTGGAATATCCTCACCCGGCGTAGCAATCGCCATAGATTCGGGTAAATACGCATCGCACACAAGTTCCAGCGGATGTGTGATATGGAAGGCTAACCCAGAAGTGATTTTGGTGAACGCAGCATGGATCTTGAGGTCGCGATCTGGCGATGTACTCTTCAGTACCAAGCAGGATCTGCGAGAACAGCAGGACGGAAGCTAGTTTTCATTTGCGGCTGTCCTCGAGGCAGCAGTTTTATTCTGCCAGCAGTTCGGCAGGGTTGAGGGTTGGTGGGCGATGGGCGGTGGGCGGTGGGCGGTGCCGCAGACGTTGTTGCTGCTTCAGTGAACGGAGTCTTGCTCCGAAGCATGCTTTTCCAGTTCGATTTGTAAATATCTACTGCAGTGCGACATGTAGCAAATGGAGTGGAAATCTGGGCGCATGGTGAGTGTCCAGAAGCCGCGGTATTACTTGAGAGAATCGAGCTGGCTCTATTCCCAAGTATTCAGCAAACCCAACTCCCAATTATTGCAAAATTTCAACGAACCTGGAAGCCAAGCACCCGTCCCTGTTTCACATGTCGTTTCTTACGCCAATTTGAAGCATGCCTCATATCATCTTCCATTTCCGGCCCATGGACCTTCCATCTCGGCCATCAAATGTCTCACTTCCCAAGCCTAGAAACATTTCGCCCTGATGACCCATCCATTCTTCGTCCACAAATCAAGATTTAAAAAGCGCTCTACTGTAAGTCGGAGGAATTATATATAAATCTTATTTATCCCTCGTACCTCGCGCAAAACCAAACCCATTTCCTCCTGATGCCTCCCGCTCCCACGCCAACGGGCTTAGCGCTGACATCTTGCCTCGTATCTTCGCATCTTACTCCTCGATTCGTCTCCCCAAAGACCGAGAAAGGAAGGTTATTTTTTTTTCCTTTCAAGAAAAACGTTCGCGAGGGCGGCAAGAGGGCGGCAATCCCCTAGAGGAAGTTAATTCGGGTACATTTTGCCAAGGTTTGCTCCTGTCTTACGCACGTGAATCGTGCTGCTTAATCACGTAGCCCTACGGTAACCCCTTGGGCGGCTGAAAATGGAAACGTCCATTGGTGTGTTCGTTTAGGGGGTGCGGAATGGTAATCCTTAGATCTTCAAAGCCCGCTTTTCGAAGATTGTAGAGTTGAGAGGTTTGCCTGGTGTGAAGAGCGAAACGGAATTGCGAAGAGGTGCACGTGGATACTGTTGGAACTTGGCAGGCAAGATCTTTAGAACCTGTGCGTTGTGAAGCTTGAGGAGGAAAACGATCCTGCTGAGAAACTGCATGTAGGTTGAGGTCCACTTGATCCCCCTAGTCCTACCACCTGCTTCAAGTTGGCATGGAAGAAGAATTGATATGAAGTAATCCCGAGGAGACACAGCAGAGGTCTCCTCGACAAGTGAGAACTCACACATGCATCTCAAAAGCCAAAGTAAAGTGTCAACATCCAGCCGGCAAAATGCAGTGCCGGAATCAAACTGGTATTGTAAACTCATCCCATGCCATGCAAACGCTCGATCCAACACCCAAACGCCATCGGCTTCTTTATTGCTGCCATAATCCCATTCCTCTATGAACCAGTTCGCCATACTATACACACTTGATCAACTCCTCCGGTCTCTTCAGCCCATCCTCCGAGTACCTCCTCCTGCTGAAAGGCGAAATACCACCATGGACGCCTCGTAATTGCAGCATGGAATACCAACTACACACTAACACGAACGTGCCTAGTCCTACGAAGACCCATAGTAGGTGCGATCCAGCTTTGCCTATCGACACGATCAAGAATGCGTCGAATGAATGCCATGATGAGGCGCCAAGGTGATGGAATAATGGTGTCTCAACATCGCCGTTTAGCGCGTGGAGATTGGGGTTTCGTCTTGTGCCAGAGAGAATCCGAAGATCGGATCTGCTCTTCTGTTGAGCGTGGATAGTACTAATTCAGTTGGTCAGCTGATTTGCTCATCATGGGATTGGAAGAACCTACGAAGCATAATGGCATCCGGTGCTGAACATGACAGTTGGGTACGGCAAGCCGAACCATCTCCAGTTATAGACTGGTAGATTGCGTACTAATTCCCCGACGAAAGGATGGCGTTTACTGGCCATCATGAATCCGTTGGAGAACCCAACTGGATGGGCAGCCGGAGCGGTGAAATTGAAGCGTCGAAGAGGACCAAGTGAGCGTCGGCAATCAAGATCCATATCGAGAACCACTCCTTGAATTTTCTGTCAGTATGGGTGAATATATGGAAAGGTGAGACACGGACCGCCATACTCATACAGAACGAGATACCTCAACGCGTCGACCCTTTGGATAGGATACTTATATCCATCCCACATCTCCTTCAACAGGGGAAACTTCTCGTTGATGAAAGCCGCCGCCTTCTCGTCTGTCCATAGATGGGCCTCCCATCCTGGGTGGTAGGCGAGGCAGTTGTTTCTCGCGCTTGACCAGTCCGCCTGCTCAGCGTCCGGCTTGTGGCCGAGCGCGATGTGGTGTAAGATGGGAGGAACCACATCCGGATGTTCTGGGAGAGAGGTCGCCCTTGTAGCTGAGTAGTTGGTGAAGGTGAGGTCGAAGTTATCGAGGCGTCGCGAGATGAGGAACGTCGAGGACCTCAGATTCCACGTGATGGGCAAGGAGAAGATGGACCAGGCCACCGCGACCGGAGCACGGAGCCAAAGGACAAGCAGGAAGAGGACGGCAAGCACGACATAGAGCCTTTTCCTGGGAGAAGAATGCATGACGCCGAGCAGGACGCCGTATGGAGGTTGAAGAAGCGCCGCTTTGCCGAGACCCAAGACTCAAGGCAGGCACATTGATGGGGGGAGTTGCTTCATCTTGAGGGCCCTGGTAGCACGGCTTGACAATCAGGCAATCTGTTCGGAAACCACGGAGGAAGAGGCGAGGAATGCAAATGCAAACACCAACCGACCAACCTACCAACGCACGAATCAAATAAGCGGAGGCTGAGTGACGCCGTGCCCCTGGGGCATTGGTCCTGGTCCGCGATGGTAAAGTATGGCAATGCAGCCCCCGATGCCGAATGACATTGCAGATCGCCTCGAAAGGCTCGAACCCAGAGGGCAGGGGAACGTCCGACCAGGGGCTATGGAGTGCACGATCTCACGGAGATCCTAGTGCGAGGCAGCAGCAAGACAGGGTGCGTGCTTGTTCCATTGGGGTCTAGTTTTTCTAGAAGGGAAAAAGCCATCGAAGCACGCGAGCTCGAGGGGGGGTTCTAGTTCTACACAGGCTCAATCAAATCAAAATGGATCAAATGGATCAAATGGAGTGACATCCCCGGCAAGCTCCATTGGCAGCAACGAGGAGCGAGCGAGCAAGCAGGTCAGCACGCGATGACAGCGCCGCATCACGCCGCAGACCTGTTCCAGCGCAGCGAGCAGCGAGGTGGTGAATCGTGCGTGATATGATAAGATGGCCATCCGGGGACGGGTCGGTCAAGACTCAAGACTCACCTGAGCGCCAAGGCGAGGCCAGGCAAGGCAGGGCAAGGCAGGGCAAGGCAAGACCCGGCCAGTGGCCATGGATCGAATCGCAGGGATGCGGCGGGCTAAAATGATGGAGGGTGAGCCTGTGAGGAGCTGGCTTGCTGCGTGATTAATCACAGTTACACGTCGCAAGAATACGAGTGGGCCACGATGGTTTGGCGTGCGCAGAGGAAGCAGGAAGCAGGAAGCAGGAAGCAGGAAGCGGAGGAAGCAGAGTGCGGGCACCCTGCAGGCAGTCAGCCCGGCAGAGCGTCAGACCGTCAGACCGTCAGCGATGCAGACAGACAAGCTTTCCTGGGCAACGAAACGTTTGATTAATTAAGCTTCCATCAAAGATTCAAAGGGCTTGGCGGGCCCAGATATTTTAGTTTTGCTCTCAGGGGACTGGTGACAGGGGTGATCCCCCGTCCAATGGGGCGGTGCCTGCGCGTCACCTTGCGGGCCTCAGGCCTGGATACCTGGATTTTTCTCCCGCGTCCGTACTACATCAGTCAGTACTGCACAGTCTGCACTTGTTTGTCGTCTGGGGCACAGCCGACCCCGGGAGTGCGAGCGTGGCCGCCCCACCGCCCTGCCGAAATCCATGCTTATTGTTTTCTAGACCCTCGCAGACTCGCAGACAATCCCCATCGAGACGGCGCATGTCACTCTGCTGAGACCTGAGTCCTGACTGGTGTTTCGCAATAGTCACAGCCCCCACCGCTCGGCTTCATCACCTTCTTCTTCACTTCATCTCCTTGCGCGCGAAGGCCCAAAGCAGCTCCCATCGAACGAGGGTTTGGTGCGACTCGTAAAGTCCGTATTTCATCCTAGATAAACATGGCACACATTGCACAATCCTCCTCACCTCATCCTCGCTAAGGCAGATTATGCGGGACGCCTTTCCACCCTGCGCAGATCGTTGAACCACACGTATCGACTGGCGATCATGTACAGGTTGCGGTCCCACCCGTACTGTGATTCGTGCGAGGCGAAAGCCCGCCGGGTCTTGAAGTACATGTTCCACGTACTCGCAACGAGCGCTTTGCTCTGGTAGCTGTCATCAATAACATTTGCCGGTGTGAAGAGCGCTTTAAAGATGCGCCACGAGAATGACAGTGAGGTCAGGGGAAGGTCCAATAGGAATGTGTATTTGCGAGGGAGGCTGGTTGTTGTAAGGGTATATGTCGGAGGAGCTTTGGGATCTGTAGCGGCGTAGTGACTGCATCCAAACCTCAGTACGAGTACGACGGGCTGAGTTTTCTGAAACGCAAGCACGTACCTGACAGCAGTGCTCACTGCCCTGTGATTAATATGGCCGGACACACCGCCGCTGTCGAATGTGAGGATCTGGTTAGGAGATTAAGCAATGGTACGGCACAAAATATGGTTGCCTGGAAGAACTTACCACATCGACCTTCCACTTTGCCACGTAGTCCTTGACCACAGCAGTGATCGCCGCCTCATCCCACCAGACATTCGGGTTGTCTTGAAGATCTGGTTTATCCAATGCTAGACACCTTCCTGAATCGATACTCAAAGCTTGGCAGGATCCTTTCAGCTCCACTTTTCTCTTTTCTCCAATTCCATAGTTGTTTCCTGTAAAATGTCAAGAGAAATATTCAGAACAAATGCAAAGACAAAAACGGACCTGAAGAGAGCACTATAAGCCCTCCTGTGGTGTCTGGATTGCCATCGAGGACGCCAAGGATAGCGGGTGAGAAGAACAGACACTCATCATCGGGATGGGCCGTCACGATCAAGAGATTCTTCGCCCTTCGAAGCGCTGGTGGTAATATTCTTGGATCTTTGGCAACGATGTAGGCAAGAATAAACTGCAGCAAGATTGATAATATCAAGACAAACGTCAGGATGCGTAACAGGAGGTTGACGTATCTTCGGACGGCTTTGCTCTTGGAGAGTGAGGTAACGTGATTTCGCATGCGCGCCAAGGAAGCCATCTGGAATACAGGTTGAGGACCCCACTTTGTCTCCTCCAGCACTACGATGTTGAGTTGAGTTTGAAAAAGGCGAAAGATCCTCGAAATGTGGTGCTCTGTACAAGGTGGCTTGTGGAGAGAAGTTCGGAGGCTTCGGATCCAAGACTTTGATAGGTCGGTGGTACTATCACCGGAAGAACAATAGCCCTCGAGGTCGGCGGCGCTGTGCCCTTGCAGCCAAAGGCATAGGAAACAGATGGATCGAGCAGGCAACAAATATTCGACCTTGTTTGTTGACAAGAGGATTTAGAGCAGAAAGGAGCGTGGTTATCCGATAAAGGTTAGTCAGCTATCTTAGCGTCTGATATTAGCCTGCCCCGGAAGGAGACTTCCTTCCTGCTCCTCTGCGCTCAACAACATTTTTCAGTACTTTCGGATGCTTAACATGGTTGTCTTCCTGCAAAACTTCAAGGTAAATCTTCTCTTGAAATATAAAGCTTTAGATCTTGTCATCCCCACCCTGTCCGAGTTCGGGGCTGCCAATAGGGCTGGCTTGCCTTCTGGGCTGGCCACGCGTCTATCGGGATCACCAACAGGGATAGTTTCTTGGCAACACCCCCCTGGCTTCTGTGGAGACAGGAGATGTTGAAATAAAGGTTTAGATCCCGCTTTCTACCCATAGTAGATCCTGGAATCTGCAGGGCTTCGTCGGGAAAGACCCAGAGCCTCGCAGCGGGTTGCTGAATAAGGCTTTTTTCTCCACACCATTACTCTTGACCTTCGACCTCCCCCCCCCCGAACAACAGGCAGCTTTGCAACCCCACTATTTTTCTGAAACTCATCCTTTGGCGGACCGCTTCGGCTCACTGCCAGAATCTTATCTCTCGGCAAGCAGCTGAGGCACAACTCAGCCCTACACATCCGAGTCATTTTGTTGAAACAAATCAAGTCCTATCATGGCTCGATATTCTTGCCTGCCGCTCAATGTACCAAAAGTGAGATTAGACTCCTCATTGTAAAACCAGGGATTGCAAGCTCAGCCGTCAAGACTGAGTTCGTCCACGAGTCTCTCGACAATGCTCCATTTTACGAGGCACTTTCATACACGTGGGGCGATCCTAGCATCACAAAAACCATTCATCTCAGCACCCAACAGCCAAGTGTACAGCATGTGCTTCGAGGTCCTGTGCAAATATATCCGCAAGCCAGCTCTTTCCCCTTCGACGTGCCGCCAATCTCGAGTCTACTCTCAGACCTCTCCGTCTGGAGGATCTGCCACGAGTGCTTTGGGTCGACGCAATCTGTATCAACCAAATTGATTCCGCTGAAAAAAGGTCATGAAGTTGAATTGATGGGCTGGATCTATCAGGATTCCTTGCGGGTCTACGCCTGGCTTGGGATGCTACAGATGAGAGTGACCAGGCGATGCAGTTGATCAACGACCATGCACAGCTGTGGCTGATGATGCCTCATCTGCCGTCACTCCTCGACAAAGAGGAGCTTATTCCGCAGTGGAGAGAGCTCTTACGTTTCTCGCTCTCCGCCGTGGTTTACTCGTTTGTGGGCTGGACAAGAAATTGCGCTTGCCCCAGCAGATGTTGTTATGTGCGGAACGGAGATCTCAAGCTAGGCAGCTCTCTTTACTGGCGTTGGTCATCTCGTTTATTTCCGACCTCCTGGAAGTAGCGCTTCTGGGGAGTCTCAGCTCGGTGAACACTCTCTCCCGCCAATGTTTAGGGATTGGCATGTACCAGCCGGTCATTACGACAGGTGGCCACGGGCAGCTGATGAATATATTATCTCAAATCAATCACCAGGACCTTCAAGCTGGGAAAAAGACAAGGCTTAAGACAGTTGCTAGCACGTTGTCATGGGAGGAAAGCCAAAAGAGAGAGGGACGCCGTTTTTGCTCTTTTGTCGCTAGCAGAAGACACCTCTCCAAGGGATTGGAATATCGGTTACAAGATATCCGCATTGGATGTCTATCAAGAAGCGGTGGTAAACATTATTCGGACCGGCAACCTCGACATCATCTGCCAAGCCAGTTCATGCCATCCACATTCTTCGCTTCCTCGCTTTGGCAGCTCACCCTATGTGCAAATGTCCGGCATACCCCAGAAATTGCTTTCAATGTCATTCGAGGAGGAAACTTTACTTACATTAACGGCGGGAAACAATAAATCTCGATATTGTGCTTCTGGAAATTCAATCGCTTTAGCAAGGAATAAAAAAACCCGCTTCGACTTGTGGTAAGGGTTGTGTAAGTTGGTAGAGTTCACTTGGTGCTGGAAAAGCCTAAATGGGGTTGCTCTCTGCTCATAGTGCCTCGAAGCTGGCTGTAGGCAGACCCAGAGACACAATCCCAAACTACCTTTCCTGGACTGAATCGCTGCTGGCGAACAGTGGCTGCTGGTCGTGTCATGTCCTCGACGTACTTGGAAGGCAAACCGTGGTGAAGGCGTGGGAAGGCGCCAGAGGAATAGGCTCAGGGATCTGAAGAGTGGACATCTGCCGATTTATCGCTTCCTTGGACATCCCCTTTGGCTTTGAACACGCACAGGCAATAGCTATGACTAAGTGAGTGCTTGGTTAACCACGTGGGCTCTGCCCTGGATGTCGATGCTTCAATGGGATACTTTAGAACCCTCGCGGTAATAGCTGACTCCCGCCTGGCTTTCGTTCCACTACAAGTGAAAGCTGGAGATCATATCTGCATACTTCTGGGCTACTCCGTGCCCGTAATTCTCAGGCCAGTCTCCGGCACGCAGCAAAAAGAGTTGTGTTTCGTGGGCGAGAGCTACGTGCACGTCATCATGGACGGGGAGATAATGTTGATATTGGACGGAAAAGATTACCCCTGTGGTCAAATTTACACTCGTGTGACCAAAAGGAATTCTTTGCCACAATACTCTAAAGCTAAGATTGAACGACATTGAGAAGAGAGAACTCTTCGGTTGCCTTATACCAGCTGAAACTACCTATGCATTGCAAACCTATCCTCGTGGGAAATATCAAGGTGTCACTGTTTCCCATTCAACGGCAACTATATGAAAAGCATACCTGCTCAGGAGTTTCCCTCCTATCATCGTCCGCTGAAGCTTCTGCCTTATTCACCAAGAAAGCTTTGAAGCTTGGATACGTCTGCATATCAACAGCTCCTCCACTAGCCCAAGTCATCACGCACCATTCCAAATTCTCAAATTCTCCGAGTGAGCCCGCCCATGCTGTTACGGCATTTTCAATCAAAATTTTGATCTCCGAGCCTCGCTCTCTTTGGTCGAGATGAATCGCCACAAGTTCCTTCACCTTGGGCGGCGGCAGAAGCCACACCTCGTCGATGTCTTGGCTACCGATCTCCAGTGGCATCCCCACCGTCGGCCACTCCCCATCATCGTAGATGTCCCGGATCAAATGAAAGACGTCGGGAAGGATATCGGCTGCGAGATCAGTGAAGTATTCTTCTTCTTCAGTAATCCACCGGACTTCGGAGCCTGCGAAGAGCGGTGGATCTGCAATGATGCCGCCCCAAGAGGCGCCCATGCCGTTGGTAGCTGCGAAGAAGTCTTTGTAGTCGTCTGGAAGGGAGATGTCGAGGCGTTTCTCCAAGGCGGCTATGTCGTTACGAGAAAGAGGGTCTTTGAGGATGGTTGTGAGATGCTTACCTCCATCTGCCTCCCCGCCACTTTTTTCCTCTTCTTGCTCCGCTCCATACATCTCGTCTCGGTAGCTTTTAGCAGCCTCATTGTTCGCAGTGTTGTGTGAGATGATTTGCACCAGCTCGCCCACAGACTTATCCCACATGCCGCTCCTCTGAACCCCTTTCTCGTACCGCGTTCTGAACGTCTCCAGGACTCTGCCTCCAAGCTCTTGAACCTTCTCATCTTTCACCCCCTATCGCCTTCGCAAGCGCACCACCCTTCAACACCTCCCACGCCTTCGCTGACCGCGTCAGATAGACGATCATCTGATTAGCATGCAGCCGTTCCGCGATCCAACCCAGAATCTCGTCAACCGCCGGCAAGCCCTCTCCAGCATGGGAATCTCCCTGTCCCTGTCCCTGTCCTCTCAACACGACAGCAATCTCCAACGCCTTCACCAAGATCGAGCTCTTGCTCATAGCCATCCCCCCGGTCGTCGCGTCAGCCACCCACTCACTCCCCTCCCCCGCGAAGCCCCTCAATTTCTCAACGCAACCTCTCAGCCCCGTCTCGTCATACACCTGCTCCCCCTTCTTCTCAAACCCTGCAATCTCCCAACAGCTCATCTCATACTGCTCCGCCAGTTCAGCCACTGCGTCCCGTTTCCGCTTGCGGCCTTTGCCTTTCTGATCACCGGGATCCGCAGACGACTGTTCCTGTTCCTGTTCCTGTTCCAAGTGGACAAGCGCCTCCTCGCCTTCAGGCCAGGTCCCCGTCAGATCCCAAACTAACCAGAGAGGCTTGAACACAGGCGTGTTTGCACGGTAGAGAGGAGCATGTTTGTTGACGAGACTGATGAGCTGCCGCGCTGTGTCGAGATAAGCTCCACCTAGAACGGCGAACTCGGCAACGAAACCGTAGAGGGTGTACCCGAGCTCGTGGTCCCCTGTGGTGCGGAGAATCTGGGCCGGGTGGAACCTGGGATACATTTTGGATGTGTGTCGGTGAAGGATGCTGTGAATCTTTAAGAGTTTGTGACGGCTTCTAATGTGGAGGTCAACGTTGGGGTCTGCTGGAGAAGGGGGCGCTCATTCTCCCTCTGGTTAATGAGGTAATATAGAAGATCATTGGCCAGTCTGAATCTGTGGGGACGCAATACATACGGAGGAACTAGTGGGACAGCTTCGAGTTGATCCTTCTGTCGATCCACCGAAGGCAGCAATGGCACAGCCACCCCGCACTCACGTAAATAGGCGGAACGTTCCCCGCTAAAGGACCTTTGACCTTGTCAACCTCTAGTGTTTTCAACCGTCTATACTTAAGCTCTTGTATACTTCATCTTGCTCAAGATTACAACATTGGAACAGCTTACTCAACCAAATTATTCAGCAATATGTCATTAAATTCAAACATAACACTATCTCCAACGCTCCTCAAGTATTACCACTCTCCCTTGGATTAACACTCCTACATCCAATGTTATCCTCACTCAACCATCCACATAGCTACTCATCTAGCAAGAATCCCCAGGACAGCCAGCCTGCGTCCCATAGATATCACCCGACTTACCAGTCAGCTGCAAGATGGCGCCGATGACGCCACCCATGCCCTCACCAGCAATCAGACCCGCCGCAACGGCATAACCGTAAAGCTCCCAGTTCTTCGGCTTGTACTTAACCCACAGCGCCGCAATAACGGCACCAATCAACGAGGCATTCGTGAAGACCGGGAGAGGGATGACGAAGGAGAGTGCGATTGCTCCCCAGTTGGGAAGGTAAGCGCGATATTTCTCGCGTGGACCGACAAGGTAGAAGTGACGGAAGGCGACCTGACAAACAGCGAATGCGCCCATAACCACAGCGAAGATGCCCGAGGAGAGAGGGATCGGGATCTTGGGTTGGGTGACAGCTTGCGCTACGGCAGCCCATGCCGCCACTGACGGGGCCAGGAAGGCGCAGTGCTCGTACTGATCGGGATGGAGGATGCACGGGTAGGCGGATGTAAAGAGCACGAACAGGCCAGGCGCCAACCACACGGAGATGAAGGTGCCAAAAGCTTGGGCGTACCATTGCTTTATTGGGGGTGTCCTCATTAGGAAACCGGTTCGGAAGTCACCCGTTAGACTTGTTGCAACGTCTGCAGCTCCTGAAGCAATACCACCAGCGACCAAGTTGAGCTTTTGGGCATGCTGAATGGCGCTGGTGCTGTACCCTCCGCCGGCTGTAGCTCCACCGAAGACGAGCTGCGATGCTTTCGAGGCGGCAGTAAGCGGCGTTTGATCAGTGACCGCTCCGATCTGGACACAGAGGAACGAGAAAAAGAAACCAAGAAGGCATGCGAGGATAGTTAATCCTGGGTGCATTTGCTATTCAGTATTCGTTAGTCCACGACGTCGAAAGGCAAGAGAGGTCGAATTACCCATTGGAAGTGGCAAATAATCATCGCGATAACAATGGTAACAAGCAGACCAAGCATCCACATCCAGTTTTTAACTTGATCTTCAGGTCTGGTAGGGTCTTCGACGACGTCGGCATTGTTATGTTTAGCGGCGTGTTTCTCGATGAATGGGTAACTCTTGCCGCGCCTCTGGGCGGATGCCTGGAGTGAAGCGCAGCCGCTTTGGAAGAGTGACTTGAATGCGTAGGCGATGATCTTGTATTGAATGAACAGCTCAGCCAAAGACACACACACCATGATCATGACACCACTATCAATACTTTAGCGGGTCAAACGGGATGTTGGAACATGCAAAACTTACGGCCAGAGCAGCCAGTATCTAGGGGAAGGAACCCAACCAGGTGCTCCGATCTTGCTGAGTGAGGTGAAACTCATGTAACCTGACCACTTGGGGTCATCGGGGGGGAAGTATGGTTTTCCCACGCAAGTCCCATAGTGAACCAAGAGAGGACCGATGATACCCCAAGCAAGCACCGACCCAGCAAACATGGAGATGGCTGAGTTGAGACCGATCAGCATTCCGCTGCCAATGAAGGCCGGTGTCCACTCGATGAACCATCCCCAGTTCTCGATATTCAAGGCCCAATTCTTGTACCCACTCCAAATAAAGAACCTGAAGAAAATCAGTTAACGACCCTTAGTTTTGTTCAGGTGATTGGACCATACCATGTGAAGACGTGCCAGTCATATAATATACCCACAGCATAATATGATACTACTCTGTGGATGAGGGCTCCAGAGAACGCAATACCGATCGCCTTCAATTTTGACATTGCTTCTTTAGCACCAGTAGCTGAAGCATGCATGGTGCGAATCGTCAAAGCAGTTGCAGTTGCTATGAAAGTCAATGTTATTGCCCATATCCTGATTGTCGAAAAAAAGGCCACTCACGAGTTGGGAACATCATTTTCAACTCTCTCGCAACCTGGATAACGAAAAACCTTCGCAGAGGGGTCACGAAAAAGAGGCCAAAAAAAGAGCAAATGATAGTGATGGTGAAGATCCTTCCAATGTCCTGCTTGGGACTGTCGCTCAACAAATCCAGCTTGTACATAGCAGGGAGACCCGCAACGAAGATGCCAGCAATTCCGCCGGCACCTGTGGCTGCGGCCTGGACGATGACATTTTCCTGGGGCCCAAAAGCTCCCCCGAGAATTGGCACTCCTGGAGTCCATTTGGAAAATGACTTGATGATACCGTAACCAAAGATGGCACCGAATAGCGTAGAGCTGAACGTGAAGCCAGTCTTCAAACCTGTAGGAGGTTAGCATTCTATTATGCCCGAAGGAGCTTTGATACAGTACCCAAGTAGAGATTGGATGCATTGACCAGAGATCCAAGAATGACGCCAGTGACAATAGCTCGAATGGTCAGAATGTGGTCTTCGGCTGCAATCTGGTCGTTGATAGGGAATGGTTTGTAGAGATCTAAAACCTCTTCCTCCAAGAGTTCCTCCTTCAAGGAGTTCTGATCGTGGTCTCCACGGGGAGCTGGGTTTGCGGAGAACTCTCCGATGTTGATGTTATGAGAAGCAGCATCGTAAGGCTCATGCGAGGTGACCTGTGCTACGCCGGCCTCGTGCGTCTTCTCGTTGATTTCCTTGCTGTCCGGACTGGTGACATCCACGAAACCAGCACTGGCGATCTTCTCGTCCGCCATGTTGTGTGGCTATCGAGTAACTGTGAAGCTCACAAAAAGCTGGCTGCCAGGGAGGGGATGCTTCACTTATGAATTCAACCGGGACGAACGTGGCGAATGTCGCGGAATGCTACATCCTTCGTGGGACGTACCACGAATAGTATTCGCTTGAACGACCCAGATAAGGGTCCTTCCTGAAGTGGGGTCTGAGGATATTCAAGCTCATCCAGTAATGCCTGGGCTACCAACGAAAACATTGCCAATCCCCCTTAACCGCCCTTAGCCGGCTGGAAATTCGAAATAAAGATTGCTGGGAACAGGCATCGCAATTACCCGGAGGCTCTTATCGCATAAGAAGCGGTGTTTGGGCTGCAGAGCTGCATCTGCTGGCCTTGGCTGCTGGTTATATTAGGAAGGTCTGGAATATAGATCTACGTTCTGGAATACGAAAAGAACACCCACGGACCCTTAGACCCAATCGACCTTCGATAATTGGCATCTTGGCGTGTTCATCAACGCCCTCCGAGAAGATCGTGAAGTGCCAAGCGAGTAGCATCTCACGCGAGCATCGCCGACTCATTCCCAACTTCATCACCTTCTTCATCCGGGTGCGCCTCCCTTGATCAATTGCCATGAACATAGGGAACCGCATATTGCCAAGGAGAGATAACGCCTGATGGTCGGCCGTTGCGACGCATTGGCTTGTGCTCCATCTCGCAACTTCACAAGAAGGCAGCTGCTGCGGATCAACCACGACTTTGCCGCCTTGGCATAATGTAATTAGTGGCTAGTGGTTGGTGCCCTCTCTTCCTCCACAAGCCACAGTCTCACAAACGGCTGTATCGCCGAGATTTGGGCGACAAAGCGGTGCCACAAGACCAAGCCATGCAGAACGCGAGAATGCTTGTTTTCATGAAGAGGAGGCATCGCACGTGAGAGCATCTTTGTGGTTGTGTACTGTACTACAGTAGCGCCTGTGTTTGCCCTGAATGCGGAATCTTGCCCCGTCTAACAACCTCGGATTCCAATTCTCGAAATACGTAAAACCAGAGCACTGATGATCGGAGTGTTGCAACCCACCTTCCTGTCTGACAAGTGACGACCAGACAATCTAAGCAACTTTCGTCCTCCATTGGCTCTTTACTTGCTCCAATCTGAGCCGATCGCTGATCCTCATCCTCGGAAGTGCACGTGTTGCGAGCACTCAGGAGCTGGGCTGGGAGAGAGCTGAGGGTTGAATCGTCTCCTGGATAGTGGTCGACTTCGTGCTGCCTGTACGCTTGTTCCCCGAAGGCTATATTCCTTTACCTGATCCTGCTCTGCGAAAGAATCCAAACGAGATTCAATACTTTGCTATCGCTGGTGTCTTGGCCGCGGTGCGCCTTGAATATCAACTGTTGTCGTGGACAATGTTGCGAACCAGCCGAGCTGTGGCTCATTTAAGGTTACCGGGAGAAGAGGGAAGCTCGAGTAACCATAATGGCCTTAGGCATCTATATGTATATGGGCACTCTCTGACAGACTACAATCCTACCAACCTTTCCACCCAACCTTCTTTTCTGTAACCTTACCTGGTACGCGGGGCATTTCACTGGAACTGCGCATCCTTGTTTCAAGATTTCAAGGGACAACGGCAAAGTGCAAGAGACGACAGACGCGCGAAGATGACGGAAAGAGCAGTTACTCGGTGCTGGTTCCTTGGGACTCTTGCCCAGAGCACACTACTTGCACAATTCTCCGTCTCGGCGAAACCAGCAAGCAGTCTTTCCTGCCCCAACCAACCCCCCTCCCACACCCCCCCGCGGTCGATTGAGGGTGTCGATTGGGGGCCAGACTGGCCACAAATCAAAAGTAGAGGCGCTCGGACAGGAACACCAAAACTCCGACTTTTTCTTTAATTTAATTCAATTTTATAAGGAATTAATATAATTTAATACTTGCTTAATTTTATTATAGCGCTAATTAAGGGCTATTTAAATATAAACTTTTTATAAACTTTGGTTTAGTAATAGCTCTTTAAATTAAAAAAGTTAAATTTTTTACATTTTTAGCCTAAAGGCAAGCTTAAGAAAGCCTGGAAAGTTAGCGGATAAGTCCCTAAAACTAGATATAAGAACCCTGTAAGCCCATACTTTATAGGGCCTTACAGGGCTCAAAAACTAGAACTTAATTAATTAGTATATAGACTCCCTTAAATTAAAGTACTATTTTAAGGAATCTTTTTATTATATGTTAGGAAGCACGTGATTATAGTACAAGGGTTATAATATACTAGCTGATACTTATATTAAAAATCTAACTTAAGATTTTAAAAGAGCTTAGGTAGCCAATTACAAGTCGTCAACACCCCTGCCCCAATCGACACCCAGGGGGGGTCGTTTTACATTTTCCCCTCGATCCAATTGAGATGGAAAAGTGGCTATAAGAGAGAACACCCTTTAGTGGTCCCTACCGTTTTAAGAGGAGTAAGGTAGAGCAAGTAACTTGCAAAGCCAACCATAGACAATAAAAGTGCCTTGGGTTATAACTGGTGTTAGAAATAGGAGAAGAGGAAGCATGACAAGATCTGGTCACGTGTCACGATTTCTGCCCCACTTTAGGTTCCGCCTCAAAAGCAGCCCCGCCAAATCCGATCATCCAACATCTCATCAATGCCAATTGGACTCCAAGCTCCTTGTGTGTAGTTCACGATATTAACCAAATACCCTCATCTTCAAATTCCATCTGGGCAGTGTCTGCGAAGCTCCCAAGATGTCTCCAGCAGCCATAATCGCACCGTCTATTCTGTCTGCCGACTTCGCGAATCTAGGAGCAGAATGCTCCAAGATGATTGACTCCGGCGCTCAGTGGCTTCACATCGATATCATGGACGGGCATTTTGTGCCAAATATCACGTTTGGAGCTCCGGTTGTGACGAAGATTCGAAGTCATGTTGACAAGCCGACCGCGAAGCATGGGAAGGGGACCTTTGATTGCCATATGATGATTGCAGAGGTACAGGTCTATATTTCACCAATTGGAAGGTTGTATACTAACCTCTTTTTAATACAGCCAAAGAAATGGGTCAAGGAATTTCAAAAAGCTGGCTGTGACCTCTACTGTTTCCATTACGAAGCTGCAATCTCTAGCACAGCAGCAGAGAGTCCGGAATCAACGAGCGAACTGAAGACGAGTCCGAAGGAGATGACTAGATATATTCATGACTGTGGGATGTTGGCAGGCATTGCTATCAAGCCAGATACGAAGGTTGGTGTTTTATGGGAGATCTTGGAGACGAAGGAGGATAAGGAACGTCCGGATGTGAGTGATCAGTGCTTCAGGAGTTGATCAGGATCGAGACTGATTAATTGCAGATGGTTCTGGTCATGACAGTACACCCCGGCTTTGGCGGACAGAAATTTATGGCTTCAGAGTTACCCAAGGTTGCAGAATTACGAAAACGGTATCCGGACTTGAATATTGAGGTCGATGGCGGATTGGGCCCTGGAACTATTGACCAGGCTGCCGATGCAGGAGCGAATGTCATTGTAGCTGGAAGTGCTGTGTTTGGTGCGAAGGATCCCGCGGAAGTGATCGCCAAGCTGAGGGAAGCTGTTGACAAAAGGAGAGGGAAGGAATCGTTGTGATTCCGGTGTTGAATTGGGAAGCTAATCAAGATGACTGGACATGGGGCCAGGTTGAGAAGAACCAAAAGGTCAAGGGGAAGGGAAGGAGCAGAAGAAGTAAGGCTGACTAGAGTTCGCTACGACCAATGACGATGAACATAATTCGAGAATTCAAGCCGTTCTGACTGCATAGAATTCATGCAGCCAACTGCAGATTGTGGTTTCTGTTGCCCCAGGTATTTCCCAAGGTACGAATATGCTCTGGACGAACTTACCAGTAGGCGTCTCACCGGCTATGAGCTATTCTTTGTTCAGCTCGGACTAAACTCGTCAAATCTTCTCCACCTGATTGGATTGGCCAAGCCGTCACACCCGCAGTCCGACCGGCTCCAACTTAAGGGATTTGAAGAGGCCCGTATTTCTTATAAAAAGAGGAACACTTGTTCCCTGCTATGGATCCCGAAAGATCACCGACTAATCAATGCCGAATGATTGGCTGTTTCTCATCGGATCTGGGGTCGTGGCTTCGGGTCGTCATATTGCGGGGTCATCCCTGAGCCGTGGCGCTAGAGCACGGCCATTTTGAGCGGCATTTCAAGGGAATTCACATCGCCAACTATAATTGAACCTCCTCTTTCTTTATGTTTTCTATATGAACATCCACGCAACCTCCATGTTCCAATATTTTATGATATATTGAACCTTTTCTCTCCTCGTCGGAATCTCCCACAGCTAGCCTCGTCACAACGATGGCGGTGACAGACATCATTCTCACTCCCTGGACAATACCCATCGCCCTTCTACTCTTCTTCGTTGTCCCTTACTTCACTTCCAACACAGAATTGGGAGATATCCCAGGTCCATTTTTTGCCAAGTTCACAAGACTATGGTTGATGCTCCAGGCTCGACAAGGGAAGAGATATCTTAGCGTTGATGAAGCCCACAAGAAGTATGGGAAGCTTGTCAGGATCCAGCCAGACCATGTTAGTGTAGCAGATGAGTCTGCTATCCAGGAAATCTATGGCCATGGGAATGGTTTCTTGAAGTCGTGAGTATATCAAGTGCCTCAGATTCTCCCATATAACAGGGTACAATAAGTAAGATTATTGTTTTATCTTATATTAACATTATTCTTTCCGCAGTGACTTCTATGATGCTTTCGTCTCAATTCAACGAGGTCTCTTCAACACAAGAGACAGAGCAGAACATACACGGAAGCGGAAGACAATTTCACACACCTTCTCCACCAAAAGTATCGGTCAATTCGAAACCTACATGCATCAAAACCTCGACATCTTTGTCAGACAATGGGACACACTAAGTAACAATTCTCACGGCCAATATGCCAAAATCGACTGCCTCCACTGGTTCAACTACCTCGCGTTCGACATGATCGGTGATCTAGCATTCGGCCAACCCTTCGGCATGCTAGAGAAAGGCAAGGATATCACCGAAATCAGAATGACGCCCGACGCACCCATCAGCTATGCCCCAGCGGTCCAAGTCCTGAACCGCCGTGGTGAAGTGTCTGGAACCCTCGGCTGTCTCCCGCAGCTCAAGCCATATGCCAAATACCTTCCCGACCCATTCTTCAGCCAAGGACTTGAAGCTGTCCAGAATTTGGCTGGTATTGCGGTGGCACGAGTCAGCCAACGGCTAGATGGGAAGCAAGACCCTGGCCGTGTTGATCTCCTCGCGCGACTTATGGAAGGCAAAGACGAGAAAGGCGACAAGCTTGGCCGCGAAGAACTCACTGCCGAAGCACTCACTCAGTTGATCGCCGGCTCCGATACAACATCAAACACTTCCTGTGCGATCCTTTACTGGGTGTGCAAGACCCCTGGTGTGTTAGAGAGGCTGCAGAAAGAGCTCGATGCTGCCATCCCAGAGGGTCTTGGTATGGATGTTCCAACATTTGAAATGGTGAAGGACTTGAAGTATATGCAGAATGTCATCAATGAAACTCTGCGCATTCATTCTACCTCCTCACTTGGCCTTCCTAGAGTTGTGCCTCCTGGAGAAGGCATCACGATTCTAGGCCACCACTTCCCAGCTTACACCGTGCTCTCCGTACCAGCATACACAATCCATCATTCAAAGGAGATCTGGGGACCCGATGCGGATGAGTTCAATCCTGATCGCTGGAACGATTTGACAGATAGGCAAAAGATTGGGTTCATTCCCTTCAGCTATGGCCCGAGATCTTGTGTTGGACGAAACGTGGCGGAGATGGAGTTAGCGCTCATTGTAGCGACTACTTTCAGGCGATACGAGTTTGATCTTTACCAGAACACGCTGGAAACCAGAGAGGGTTTCTTGAGGAAGCCATTGGAGTGCATGGTAGGGATCAAGAAGAGGAAGAATATCTGAGTTGATGGTACGGAGTTCTGAGGCATTCTGGTTGCATCTATGGGCTTGCACAATGAAAATAGTTCGTCATCTATCTGTTCAAGTATTTGCATCTCAATCTTCTGAAAGCAGATGGTTCATTGTTAGTGTTTTGTTCTCCTTGTCCTGAGGGTGTAGATTGATGTCGAAGGTTTTATTCGGAGCCAGTTCCCCCTTTTATTAAGCGACGACACACGTCACTTCCCCTTTGGCTACAGAAAAGTCTCATTTCGGGCCGCAGGCGCAAGTGGCCACATAAATTTCCCGACCTGCTTCGGTAAACCGCCCTTTTTCCTTCATCAACACCAAGCCTGGTCTCCACTTCCCCAACTTCGTCTTCAACCGAAATTATCGAGTCCACGGCCTTACCATTAGCTGACGACGATTCTGTGATTCCCGTCCAGCCCTAAATACTTTCACAATTACCCCCAGAGAGACTCACCATGATTTGGGTGTACCTCCTCGAAATTAGACACACAATCGTACCGCGACGGCAATATGTCAAAAGTCGAGATCCTTGAGGACTGCCCAGTCGTGCTTCACATGTGTCACGCAACCAGAGAGTTGGCACTCCAAAGGTACTGAACCGGAAATGAAAGCAAAGGGATGGGACATCGCTAAATACCAAACTTTCTGTCAATTGCTATCTTTCCTGAGAAGACATGGCGTGAAACCGGCGCGCACAGTCGGGGACATGTTTACTCAGATCCTGGCATACATAAAGGATCACTGTGGCGAAGTCGAGAAGATCTCGAACTTCGCCCAGTACAGCAAATGATGACGACCTGTCATATCTCCTTGCTGGTTTGGTCCAACTTCTGATACCCGCCTGGTCAGACCTTTTCAACACAACACCCAAGATAGATATGGTTTCAAGAAGATGCCATTTATCAAAGATCCCCAGCTGAAGTTCCTTGCGATCAAGTTGCTACCTCAATCCGAGCACTTGCTCGTGAAACAAAAGCAGATTGGCATCAATTGGCACTTCCCAATCTTGTATTCTGCTTGGCCTATTGATCACCTTTTGCCGATAAATGGAGAGTTGCAGGAGATTTTGCCTTTTTATATTTATTACAGTCGCTGACGCTGCTATTTCCCAGAAAACGTGAGATTATAGAAGTTGCTCGAGACACCGAGGGCCTTTTGAAGGCACATGTAAGTCACTAGGAATGGTCCTTTGCTTTGGACACTAAGTCGGAGCAATTTCGTGAAGAAATGGGTGCCCAATGGTCAAACGTCACCTGGCGAGTAACGGTGCCTGCTAAGCTATCCTTGTGGATTCTCGCGATCCTAGACTGGGAGCAAGAGGAACGGCAGCTTCGTATGGACAACCTGGACGTTGGCTCCAAAGTGGAAGGAAGTCGAAGACAAACTTTTTCCGCAGAGAAATTCGATACCACAAAAGAAGCTATTGGAAAATGGTGATGGACGCATATTCCTGGCCGCTCTGGAGATAATGCGCTCACTGGATTGTCGTTTGGTTCTTCTTGCTGTGGTATAGAGTCGGCAACGACTTCACCAACATCGAGTGTTAAGGGATTTGGGACTTAACATAACAGAATTTCATTGTACATAACTCTAAGTCCAAAGATCGGGCTCAGCTTTGATTTGGGATATTGGAATTAGTGGCGCTTTTTCTGTCTGCGTCGAGACAGATGAAACGTTGATATCAATTTCGAAATTTCTCTGCTTGAAGCCATACAAATATGAACACAAACTCAAACGGCAGATGGGAACCTTGTTCCAAAGGATATGACATGCGCACCATAGCCTAGGTCGAAGCAGTTCAGGATATGGGTCGGTTTATTGGTCTATGTGCATCGCAATCTTGTCTTTGTATGCTACGCTCGACGGATGAAAGGACATACGAAAATGTCGAAGGGGTATACCGTGCCACCAAGATCAGAAACTCCTAGCAATCGCTTTCTATACTCAGATCTCGGTCTTGGCAAGCTTGTCAGCGACCGCATCGACCTCGCTATCGTCCTCCTGGGCAACTGGCTCTTCTTGAGCTTCCTCTGCCTCCTCCAAAAGCTTCTCTCTCAACTCCTCGGCTTCCTCTTCCTCTTCCTCCTCCTCGGACTCTTCATCGCTTTCGTCTTCGAGATCGCTGAGACTGTCAAGACCCCAATCATCTTCCATAATGACTTCGCCAGCCAACTTCTCCTTACGCTCCTCCAAAAGCTCTCTCAAGATCATGATCGACTGATCCTCCTCAGAGAACTTGTTTCCGTTGAGCTCGATCTTCTTCAATGCCGGCAAGGCTTTCTTAGCTGCATTCGTAAAAGCTTCCAAACCCTTCGCCGTGATATCATTGTACTGCAATCTCAGCGTCTCAAGTTTCTTATTTCCTCCCTTCGCCAACGCATTAGCAACGGCCACACCACCCTTGGCGCTCAACAACGAATCTCCAACGCCAAGTTCCTGAATCTCAGTCCAACCAGGGGCAACAGTCGCTAAAGCCTTGGCACCAAGTATCGTGAACGTATTATCCTGTAAATCCAGCACCCTGATACCCCTCGCATGTCTCAGACCGTCTGTAAGAAGGTGAGAGATACCCTCTTGTCGAATACCATTCTGAACCATCTTGACCTCCTTAACACCCGTGTGCAAGCTATATGCTTTCGCCCATGCTGTCATGCTACCGTTTTCGAGTCGATTGCGGCCACAGATTACGGTCTCAAGATCTGGGACTTGCTTTCCTGCTTTCCGTGCCTCCTCTTTCTTGGCATGCAAAGCAGAAAGCGCATCTGCAATCAAGATTCCGGCATGAGGACCAAGTCCATTATTATTGAGGATGAGATGTTGAAGAGGCACGTGCGACGAGAGGAAGGCCACAAGGGGAGCTTGGGTGTTCAGTCCAAAGGCGTTATCGTTGAGATTGACAGTATGCAGTTTCGGTAAGGTGAGCAGTGATGTAAGGAGATGGGAGAGTGCTTGTGGGATTTCGTTGAGGAGTCGTCCTGTAAATATATCTGCCAGGTTCGCGATCTATCCGAAGAGTCGGTCAGCGCAAGCTCTCATGTATGCGAGTATAATATGGAGATGGGATCACACCTGTAATAACTTCTTGGTTTCCAGAACCTCTCCGAGCACTTTGCAGGCCTCCACTCCCAAAGTATTCCCCAGCAATCGAATCTCCTCCACGTCGTCCATCTCTCTGAGGGCCTTGATATGTACCTCAACATCCTCCTTCGTGTCCAGCTTCAACCCCTTCCCCTCTAGCGAGAAAATTTTCGTCTTTGGTGCCATATTTGCAAAGTGTGGTGTGTTCAGTGAAGTTGTGGAATTTTCGAGAGTAAATCTTGTTTATGGCTGCTGGCGAAATTGAAGGTTGGTGGGGCAAGAGCGGTTATTGACTTGAAAGCTGAAAACAGCCTAGCCCCGGAACTGGCAAAACTTATCACCGTGACATCTTTAAATGTCGCATTTGTCATTCGCAGAAATCGTCGAGGACCAACATTTGGATGTACTACTACCAGAGTCTACAAGTTGCGGATACGAAATATTCAATGGCTTCCAAATCAATCTCAATGCGTAAGTAGCCCAAAACAAACGCAGAATTCCTGGCTTACAAGTTCCAGAGACCGCCACTGGCGCAAATCTGGGGCAAGATGTCAAGCCAGCAGGTCAAGCTGCTGCCAACGTCAAGGTGACTGGTTCTTCCGGACCTACTGAAAGAGGAATTTTGACAATCAATAGCCATGCTGTGTATGCAAAGACGAGAAAGCTTTCCGAGACGAATGCATGCTCTTCAGCAATGCCAAAGATCCCCAAAAAGACTGCGCTTCAACAATCGATAAATATAAGAGTTGTATGGCAGGCTTTGGATTTCAGCTTCCTTAGCGAATCTTGGGGCTGGAAGAATTGTACTGAGAAGCAATTAGACTTGTACAATACAAACTGGGGCGTTGCATTGCTACGGCGCATTGGGATTTAGGTGGAGATTTTGGGATCAGGGAATCACAACTCTTGAAAAGATCACAGGATCTGAAGGATATCAAAGCTTTGAGATCATCGTTATTTCACGGGTCTACTATATGCCCATGCAAGGTGAAATCCAGCGTTCATAGGTCCATCCTTAAATGCCCAATCTTGGCCGAACTCTCCGGACGCCCTATTTTGGAAAATGCCGTGTCGAAAAAATTGGTATCATAGCCCAGCAAGTACACTCTGGATTCCTACACTTCCTGAATCATCTCTTCTCATCACGAATGCCCTGAAATCAGTCTTCTGCAGCTTCTTTCCAGCACCGCCTGGTGCAAAATTGCGTGACCTCTCACGAAGAGCTTCTGGCCCAATGATGAAAATGTTGCCAATTTCGCTCAATATCTCCACACCACCTTCGGCTTCCTTGCTCAGGGTCAATGTCTTCAGAGTCGACACATATTTCGAAATATCCTTGGTGACCATCAAACCACCTGTAGCACTCACTTGAAATTTCTTGAAATGCTCAAATAACAGATCTCGAATACTGATCGCAACCTCACTGCTGAAAACTTCTAAATTCTGGCCATCAATTGCCTGGGAGACGAGCGAATTGACTCGATTGAGGAAAGCGCAAATTGAGGAACATGTTGCAGTCTGCAGTGTTTCGGCGAGATCGGTGTCTTTAGGACGGAAATCCGCCTTCTTCTGCCCTGCTAACAGTTTGGTGACCCAGTTCAGGACCACAGCGATCGTACTGCGCATGATATTATTGGTCTTTGACTCAATCCTCTCTACCCCAGACTTCGTCTGAATCTCCATTGCTCGTCGTACTGTAGTGTTTGACTCGGCCAGACGGATCAAAACGGTGTTGATGAAACGTGACATAATGTTGGTTATTGTAATTGCTGGCTGCAAAGAAAGAAGATAGCTCATATCAGGCTCAGTTCTCAAAGTTTCTTGCGCAGTAGCTTGATCGACAGCCGCGTCTAGAGCTGTCTCAATATATACCTGACCCATACTCGTCAACAGCAGATTGAGCAGAGCAGAAACGTCCTTGGGAGTATCACTGCCGCTACCAAGTTCCAAAGCTCGTCGAACCCCCTCCGCAAGCCATTTGAGCATACGCTTAGAGTTTGGGACGCTGAGAACTCCATCTTCATCCGAGACCTCGATCTCGTTCTTGTTGTTGTCGGTGTCGCGAAGTCCAGCAACTCTCAACATCATGGCCTTTTGAGTTGGTGTAAGTTCTGACGAATCTAGACGGTCGATATAGGCATCCTTTGCGGTCGCTAATAGCTGCGTACCCTGCTGAGCAAGTGATGCCATGAATCCAGTCGGAGTCTTCTTTCGCCGTGAGTGGTAGATTGTGAATTTGAAGAGCAAGGAAGAATACAATTCTTCTAAACTCTTTCTTTCTCGATCGATGTAGGAATTTCCAACCAAGTACGGAACGAAAAGCTCCTCTAATTGTTGGTCCAGGCTGAGAGCAGTCTGAGCTGAACACGGTTCCGGATGTTCTGTCAAGCCGTGCGTCTTCAAATCCTCAATCAAGTTATTGATATAACTCCTCGAAGCATGCAATGAACGTAAAAAAGCGAGTGATGATATCGTATCGGCCTTCTCCAAGACCATCTCCAGTCGTTGTTGTATCGACTGCTGGAAGACTCGTTGGATGAATTTGGTCAAGACCACTTCGTAATAGGGGAAAGCCCGCTTGATGATGAAAGACTCATCTTGCATGACTACCCTGATTTCGTCGATCAGTGACTGCAAACTGGGCTCAACACCTGGGGGATCCGAATCCGGATCTGCAAGTTTTTCCCAAGTTTCATTGTCCGTTGTGACCTCTTCAGTGATCAGTTGACTTCGGTCAATGAAGAACTGATGCTGGTTGACGAATAATGCAACCACACTTGATCCTCCATTGAAATCGTGCAGAACCTTGGCACACTCCAACATATCATCGAAGTTCTGCCTTCGGTAACTGTCATCGAATTGCTTCAAGAGGTCCTTCTCCAGAGTTTCTGAGAACTTTTCGATCAGCTCCCTGGTGTTATGACCTCTGTAACCAACAACACCATTCGTGATTCCATTGACTTTCTTTGTGCCATTCGTCTGGGTCCATGAGGCAGGATCTAATCTTTGGCTCATCTTCATCAGTTGCCGCGCGATGACAGCGCAGCGGACTTTATTCTCCCCACTACTCTGTCTCCGGATCATCTCATCGAGTGACGTGAGCCGGCCCTCTTCGCTAACCTCCATCCAGCATTGTATTAAGAAAGTTGCGTCCAGTGCCCGTCGTCTTTGCTTGTCCAACTCCTCCAACCTTTCACCGATCTGAACAGCAATCAGCCCTCCCGCATCAGATGGTCGGCGCCCGTTCTTGTCTATTCTATTGATACCGTTTGGTTGATTGAGAGAGATGTCCAGTGCATTAAAGGAATCTATTGACTGGTCGAGCTTCCTTCCCAGTGTATCTAGTGTTGTATCGTGTTGTATCTCCGCTCGCCGTACAGATGTAAGAAGGTCGGTTTCCACTTCCCCTAGTTCTTCTGAAAGGCTTGCAAGTTGCGATAAAGCGTCTTCAATCTGTTAGCATGTGCCTACACGGTGGGTAGGGGCGCAATACTTTCAAAGGTCCTTATTAACGGTTTCGGATCGAACGCCTGCTGGGCCGGTCCTGATCGTCGATTGACGGGGATTGCACTCTCTGCAAGGTCTTCGATAAAGTCCCTTACAATGAAGTCTTTATTCGAGAAGTTCTCCAAGGTGAAGCTGGGACCTTTGGGGAAGATCGAGCGCCCGCTTCCAGTGCCACTGATCAAGGACGCCATTGAATACTCTGAAGAGCACCCAGAGGCTCTGCACTACATCGAGGCCTGCAAAGCTCCGTCGTTCATAAGCTTCGTCAACACATAGGAGCTATGCGCTTTACAAGTGTAACATTGGTGAAGTCAAATGGTCGTCGTGTGCAAATGGATGTGAGAAGGGCAGCAGGTTCCATCGGTGTTTCGCTTCGAACCTCCGATGTCCTCCCTTGCACTTTCAGCAGCCTCCCAGAATCTCCAGATCTCACCACCAGGCACTTCTCAACAACCTGGCAACATCTCCCTCTCATTTCTCAAGTTCACCACTCTCATTACTGGGTACTCTCCACAGCATGCCTCGCGCGACGAGAGAAATTCAGATTTACAGGAAGGATGCCAAGCTCAACCACAATCTGCTGACCCCAGCTGAACGAGAGAAGCTCCTCGAAGTACGTGTACAGTCAATCTTGCATATGAAATACTAACAGAAGCTGTAGCCATACCTGCCAACGCCTCCCTCGCGATCTCCCTCCCGTCGCAGCAAAAATGGCACCATCCCCACCATCCGGATTGAGAAGCCTAGAACAGGATCAAGATTGGGGGTTCGGAAGTTCCTGAAAAGCCAGCTGCATGCTCTGTGCTATGCCATCATGCACACAATATTCTCGGTTTACATACGGATTCGAATGGTATTTCATGCTGTGAAGGACAGGATACTGGCTATTCTATACTACCACCATCGAACGCCAGAGCTAATCCAGAAGGATGTCAAAGGATTGAGCAGGTTACCAAAGCACTTAAGTGTGATTTTAAGGCTTGAGGATGGGGGGCGAGGAGGAGCTGCATTGGAAGCTTTGGTGGACGAGGTGGCTGAAATTGCAGCTTGGTGTGCTTGTGTTGGAATTCCAATGCTGTCCGTACACGAGCAGAGTGGTAGGTGATGATTCAAAATCGACTTACCATTATTCTAACATAGTTTAGGAATACTCAAGGGCTATGTCCCAGCAACTCACAGAGCAGTTACAAGGAAGCTCTCGTCATATTTCGGCCCTCAACATCCAGCCGTGTCGCTACGAGCCCCTCACATACCCTCCATGGAATCGGCATCTAACACACCAACCACCGAAGCCCCACGATCACCAGTACCTCACTTATCAATTCTTCTGCTTTCAGCTGAAGATGGCCGAGACTCATTAGTGGATCTTACTAAAACTCTCGCTGAAATGTCTCAACGATCTAAGCTCTCATCCAACGATATCAGCCAAGAGCTGCTTGATGCCGAACTCACAGAAAGCGTTATGGGCGAGCCGGATCTATTGGTACTTTTCGGACCAACGGTAGAACTCTCAGGATATCCTCCCTGGCAGATACGACTTACAGAGATCTTTCACGTGCAAGATAATCATGGCGTTGGGTATCAGGTGTTCTTACGGGCTTTGTACAACTATGCCAATGCTCAGATGAGATTTGGCAGATAGAGCGGAGGAAAAAAAATCATGCTTTCCACAGTCTCATCTCGCGAAGGCTATTGTCCCATTTGTAGACGGGTCCTGTACCAACGTTGTAATTGTAATAGTTCTCCGTGCCTCCTTTCACCATGGCTCGTCTGAAGGTGATGTTGATTCTCCCTCCGTCGTCTGCGTTCTTTCCTGTTCTCTTTGGTATTGAATGAAGCCACTTGAACAAATTAGCAACTTGTTTCATGAGAGGGAAGGAAACTGGGAGGCAGCCCGGAGTATGTCTCATTCTCCCGACCAGTGGAATAGGGGACGTGGGGTATGGGACAAAGAAATAGGTTGGTCACGTTGGCTTGAGTCGTCCCTCTCATCAAGATCATGTCTCCGCTAGCTAGTGGAAGCTTTATTGGTTTCGTTTCCGGCGGTGGTGGCGTATTCTCGTTAGGAGCAATTGGCTTGTGCTTCATGAGGAAGTCTCTCCTGGCTCCAAGGGAGAATGATGCTATGGCTGGTAGTTCTCCAAGGAATCTCTCATCGTCACTATGATATGATATGCTGTCTGAACCGGAGGCATAGTAGTTGACCAGGCAGAAGTTGAACTTGCATCCCGTTGCAGCTTCGGTTGAGCGTCGAAGATCGTCCAGACATTTCGGGATAGGTCTTGGTGAATATTTGGCGTAGTCCTTGTCTATTTGCACCTTCTCGCCAGACTTTGCATCGACAATATCTCCGCTCTCGTCGAATCTTGACGTTTCGTCAAGCCCAAAAACTGTGGTATATCTGTTATGGTTCAGTTTTCAATTTGATCTCCTGGATCCAAAATGCCTACCTCGGTGTCCGAATTTGCGTCTCGACACCTCCACGCTTGATCTTATACTCCACCCTGTAAAATGGCAACTCGGAACGAAGGAATTGGAAGACTTGGCGTTCAAGATACTTTGGTATGAAGGGTTCAAAATAGAGAAGATCAAGATGGGCCTGATCTTTGATCTCCCTACCAATTGTGGATGGAAGAGAGGTCAACTCTTTGGAGATGGATTCTGGGAGATATGGTATTGGAAAGAGATATGTAGGATGTCGAGAGAATAGCTGTCTTGATTAGTTTTCGAGATGCATAAATCCCGTAGTTAACTCACTTGGTCTTGGACATTGTTCCCTTTCCCTTTTGAAGCCTCGACCTCTTCTGAGATCCTTGCTTTCTTCGCCGGAGGTTTGAAAAATGCGTCTAGAGTTCGCTTCTTCGTAGAATCAGACATCTTGTGTCAGTTAGCAGTTAATTTGTGTGTAACGTGAGGTTGACGAGACGTGTTGAACACTAGCCTCGTCGGTTGATGACATCAAGGTGACCAATTGGGGAAAAGCGTAGCCTCGTCGCGTTTTCATATGACTCGTCTCTCGAAAAGACAACTCAATTGCCAACATCATATCACTATGCAGCCATGGCAGTACGCTCACTCCCTGATGACTTGAAGAACCTTCCTGACGTTGAAATTATAGGACGAAAGCTTAGCTGCCAGATCCGAATCCATGTCTCTCTTTCGACCTCCTATGGTTCGATCAGCCAGCGCAACATTAAATCGAGCGCTCTTCTCCAAGACGATACCCATTGCCGCGGCGAGGGTCGCGAATCCTAAGAATATTACTAGATTTCGAACACAGTTGGACAAAAGCGGAGAGCTTGCAAAGCTTGAGAGGATCACGAATATTCAATTGGATCCTGATCCAGCGGTGGCCAAGAAGGGTGGGAAATGCATGCTGCTGAAGCCAGAGGTCAAACCTGAAGGTATGAGCAATAATGCGAGATCAAGAAACTGGAGGTTAATCCATTTCTAGATCCAACAACATGGAGTACAATTTTGCAAGAAGCTGTAAAGACAGAAGAGCTGAAGGTCATACCATATAATTTGACGGTTGATTACAATTACTGGACATACCGTACGTACGCTGGGGAAATATAAGAGGAAAAGAGAAGCTGACAAAATCAGATGATATTATGACATCTCTATTGCCAGAAGATGCTCTAGATGAGATCCCTGTTGGATTTGCAATTGTTGGACATGTTGGTATGCGTCCTTCCCTGAAGGATGGGTATTTCTAACACCGACTAGCACATTTGAACCTTCGAGACGAATATCTACCCTACAAACACGTTATAGCGGAGGTTCTCATAGACAAGAACCCGACAATTCGAACAGTAATCAATAAAATAGACGACGTAGGCACGCATTCAGAATTCCGAACTTTCGGATACGAAGTCCTTGCCGGCCCGGACGACATGAACGTCGAGCTCAGCGAAGAGAATTGCATATTCAAATTTGATTATTCAAAAGTTTATTGGAATAGCAGACTCCAAACGGAACACAAAAGGCTTGTGGATTCGTTCAATCCCGGGGAGGTGGTGTGTGATGTTATGGCAGGCATAGGACCATTTGCCATCCCAGCTGGGAAGAAGCGTGTATTTGTCTGGGCCAATGATCTGAATCCAGATAGTTACGCCGCTATGGTGGAGGCTATCAAACGAAATAAGGTCAGTTTTCGCCTCTTGTATAAGTTCTTCGCTTGTTCTGCCATGATGAGCATCTCCTGGCCTTCTACGGTCGTGCCAGTACCAAATTATTGGTTCTGAAGATTCTCATGGTCCATCTATCAAGTATATCAAACAATATTTTATATGCCAGCTAACTCTATCTAGGTTAGTTCTTCTCCTCTCTATCCCCTTCATCCATCATATTGCAATAATAAAGTGGTCGCACAACAGGCGGAACCGGGCCCATTAGCTTTTATGCAAGGACCGAAACGGCAGGCAGCTCATGACCCTTGATAACAATCTCTGAAGATACCCAAATTTTCATCCATCTAGCAAACACATCACCCTATCTAATATATCACTAACTCCCTCCAGGTCAACCACTTCGTCCGTCCCTTCAACGAAGATGGTCATACATTCATCCACCACGCAGCCGACTCTATTCTGGACCTCACCACCGCCAACCAAAACACCATCTCCATCCCCGCAAAACGCACATTCAACGCTAAACCCACCGACCCCGTCCCAAACCCCACAGTCCTCACGATCCCGCAAACAATCAACCACTTCGTCATGAACCTACCCGCTTCCGCTATCGACTTCCTCGGGTCCTTCAACGGCCTATACCACGGCCACGAAGAGCTCTTCGAACCCCACACCAGCACAAAGCTGCCCATGGTACACGTCCACTGCTTCTCGACCAAGAGCGAGGATAACGTGAAAGAGGGCCTCGAGATCTGCGCGCGGATCTCGGCGAACCTTGGCTACGCCGTCAGACCGGGGGATGAAGAGGTAGTCATCCATGAAGTCAGGGACGTCGCGCCGAAGAAGAGGATGTTCTGTGCTAGTTTCAGGATTCCTGCAGAGGTTGCTTTCCGGGAGAGGATTAGCAAGATAGATAGATAGATAAGTAGTTGTTTTGGACTAGAATACAGTTTTCCCTGGGTGAAGGAAGAGCGGCGCCGTGTTTTTGTTGTGCCGCTGCCGCTTTTCTGTTCCCCTGTATATCATCGGCGTAGAGCGACCTCGGTCTGCCGCTCTCAAATTTACGCCTCCTTCTCGGCTCACCTTTGCAACTCACACACGATATATATTCACGCACTTCCTCTTCGCAAGTATCTCATATGTTGCTATTACACACTGCATCTTTTCTTGTGCTTCTTGCACCAGTGCTGATGCCAATCCCTTGGTGCTTGTCCAATCCCAGCACTCATCGCGCAAGCCCATGCATTTGTGACTCGTGAAGTAGTGCAAAAGCCACCCCCCTTCCACAAATGGACACCGCTGGTACAGGCTTACCTATGAAGTAGCGCCGCAACGCAACGCATCTCCCATACACAAGTCGAAGGTGAAGGAAGCTGAGAACGAGGGAAGACGACCTTGCTACAAGGGAGTTGGTCTGTCTACTACAGGTGCTCTCCGTAGGAAGAGCAGCAAGAGGACTCGATGAGCGAAGAGGGAAACAGGTGAAGGAGGAACGATATTTGCATTGGGGGTAGCAGCGAGCCGCTTCTTCTTTCGAGGCACTTAGTATATGGTTGCAATCCAAATTGGCTTACAAAGTGAACCCATTTGAACAAGTAGATCAGCAGGTCACAAATGCAAAGGTAAGAAACGCCTGGTTTCAATCTCAGTCCGTCATTTAATATGTATCTCAACAGAAGGTAGCTAGCCAGCTCAGCTCAGCTCAAGCTCGTTATCAAAGGGAATATGATACAACCCAACCTCTCTCCCTATCTTCCGCCTCTCTCGTCTGATCTGCCCCCTCTCTCATAACTTCACACAAAAAGAAGAAAAAGAAAAAAGCCATGCCATCATCATAAGTTTCAGCCCTCGCTCAATTTCCCTTCAGCTGTACTGTTCTGTTCTGTTTTTGATCCGGTGAGGGATGTAGTGCCAAATTTCTAATCCATCCATCCCAGCCTTCCCATTGCCTTGCGTCAAATCCATCATAAGTCGAAGTGCAAGTCCCAAAGCTGCAAAGTGATCCCATCGTGTATATCTTGTCTCTCTCTCTCGCTCTCGCTCTCTGACTCCCCGACCTATCCCGCAAAAAAGGTCAAGTCAAAAACAAACAAGAGAAGGGCCGATGAAGGACGGCGGTAGAAGAGAATGTATCAACAATCGCTAAAAGCAAAGAGGAAATGCAAGTGTAGAAAAAGGGGGGGTATTGTAGTTTCTCTAAGTGAGTGACAGACAATGAGAGGAAACATGCAAAACGAGTGTCCTGTGCAAAAACCACCGACCGTCCATATGCAGCCCAGTTCATCCATCTTCCCTAATAAGATAATGCAGCCAGCCCGTGAACTCCGCCCCACTACTATCCCGGTATTGGTATCTCCTCCATATCCAGAGAGACAGTCCTTATGCGAAATCGATTACCCAGGTCGCTGATGAAGTAGATGGAAAGGCAAAAGCACGGTAAAAGCAACGCTGTCGTGATATCATAAGCAGACAAAGGAACAAACAAATGAGACTTTTGCGGGGATCGATATCTATCCAGGGCATGCCGGATAGATCATCAATCTGCGTCGTCATCCTCATCGTCGTCGTCATCTTCTGCACTACTTCTCGCAGGTGGTGCAGCTGTCTTTGTCTTCTTGCTGGGCGTAGCATTGTCCGTGTCGGCTTTTCGCTTCGTGCCAGATCCAGCGCCACCACCGGAAGTGCCTTTAGCAGGTGTCTCCAGTGATCCCTTATCACCTTCACCCTCGCCATCTCCCTTTGTTCGCTCGATTTCCGCAACTTCATCAGCAGTCAGGAACCGTCCGCCTGGCCCTCTAGGTCTCCTCATTGCATGATTGTGTCTGCTCTCATGCAAGTATGGTTTCCTGCCTTTTGATGTCAAGCGCAAAGCCTCTTCTAATCTTTGTCTTGCTACGCGACGTTTCAGGATTCGGTGAAATTGCTTTGCATTAACATATAGTGGAGATTCCTCTACAGCACCGGACACGAGTTCTGGGGACTGTGGGTGTTGTTGGTTGGGTGGCATGGGTGGCACCGACGGCCGAGAAGCGCCGTGGTTCATGATCGGTTGTGTATTTGGCACGGCTGGACTACCACCAACCTGGCTCATTCTCCGATTTTGTTGCGCGTGCCCGATCTGATTGTTCATCTGTTTCGGCGAGCGACGGCCTGCCTCTTGCTTCACTGACACTCCCCCACCCATTCTCGGCGAGGTTTGTGGTAAACCGGAATCTGGCAGGGTATATGGGTATCCTTGACCGGAAGCAGCCGCGGTTGCGGCCATTGCTGCAGCCTGCGGGGAGATACCGGTCATGCCATAATGCATGCCGGCTTGCGGAACCGGGTACGCGGGTTGGTAGTTCATGTGCTGCTGTTGCCCAGCTTGTTGTGGTTGAGAAGAGAGTATTGGCGATGCCTGGGTGTGGACGGCGTGTTGAGAGTGCATAGGTTGAGAAGGCGAAGTAATGGGGGCTCCGGCGCCTGGATGTTGACCAGAATTTGGGTAGCCTCCTTGAATGTGCCCTTGACTATGGCCGTGCTGGGCTTGCGCCGGCGGTTGATATTGCGCGTACTCCATCATTTGTCTGGTGTTCTCCTAGTCCGTATGCCTAGGAGAAGAGTGTTGATGCTTTGATTGTCGGGGCGCAAGTTGGATGGCGCGTCGACCAAGGTGACTCGAGATTGAAGATGTACTTGATAGGCAGAAACCGAGCGTCCGCTGTTGGCGCAGGCTGATATTGGTCGGTCAAGGACGGGGTATCTTCGTCGGGTCGATGTGGTATATTAGGTTGAAAATGGAATGTGCGTTGACTCGAAAGGAACGCGCTGGTAACTCTGGTCGAAAAACTCGAGGTGGCCAGCCTTCAACTAGTGAATAAGCCTCGTCGTCAATTCAATATGTGGGATGTGCTGGCAGCTGGTAGGTGTACACCGCAATTGACCGCAGCACAACATATGCAAGCTGATGTAGTCCGGGGGCGTTGACTAGGCAGGTAAGGCTTGCGGATCAGGCTCGAATCTGAGCACCCACGTGAGAGTACGAGGCGGAGTCTGCGCTTGAGGCTATTCGAGGAGGAGCTGGCGATAGCTTCACGGGCCTCCGAGTTCACGAGCCACTGGAGGAACGAGGCTTTCCCCAGTTAATTATTGACTGTTTCGAAATGACTACCCAACCACACGTATTAGTTTGAGTGTTTGGGCCAACGGTCGAGCAAGCGGAGGGGGCGGATTGGGGGAGGGGGAGATTCGGGACGATGTTGTTTTTTTGCCTTGACCAGTGTGATGCGCTGGCCATGCATTGGCGGGCATGCAAAACTAGGCTTACCTTGTCAATCAGCTTCACACGCCGATTCCTATATTTGTCGACTGTGGCGTGAGATATTTGGGCGGGCGTAGTCCTAAAACAGACCAGAGCTGATCTGCGCGGAGCGGATGATGCTGAGGCTTTCTTGTGATGCTGTTGACGCGCCGTGCGGCTGTGAATTTTCGACCACCGGCCGTATGGAGTCGTGTTTGCGAACGCTGCTGCGATGCGCCCTCGCGACAAACAGGGTCACTCTGGGAATAATCGAGAACAGCGCAGTTCGGGGTTGCGAGTGCCTAAGGTCGAGGTCACACGTCAGTACAAATTGGCCTCGAGGTCCGCAAGCTGCGTGCACGGCAGTCTGGCGCGAGCGCGCAACCGTGGTGATGATGGCAGCAAGCGTGGAGGAGCTCCATCACCTGCGACGAGAGTAATTCTCCGCACAGCTGCGCCTTTGGGACCGACTCACCTCCAATACTTGACGACAATGGGCTCTAGCACCAGCGTTTGGACCAGAGATTAATCCTTCCCGCAGGGTCTTTCAATCACGTTATGTGATTCAGGCCAATAAATGCAGCGATGAAGCTACTCGCAACGGTGATAGGGCTCCGACGGTGATGAGGCCGGTGTTTGGGAGCCGTGAAGGATTGGCTGTGTTCCGTGCAGGCCTCGTAGGCTTCCAAATGCGATACAAGGGATCAAATTGGGACGCAGCAGGGCAGAAGTTTCGAAAGTGGTCTATTTTGCGGGCGCGGATTCGGTGCGGTGCGGTCGGTCGGTTGTGCGTTCGTTCGTTCGTTATCGATTCAATGGGCCTTTCTTTGCGTGTTCTCGAAGGTGATTTGATGGCCGCAGTGATTGGCTCTATAAAATGTTGATGGAGGAAAAGGAGGAACAGACGTGAGTGGCCGGGAATGGGAGGGAGGTGGACTAGTGGTGACTCGACTCGCTTGGGCTTTTTTGGGCCTTGGGCTTGGGGCTTGGGGCTTGAGCTTGAGCTTGAGCTTGAGCTTGAGCTTGAGTTTGGGTTTGGGTTGGGGTGGGAGGAGAGGGGAGGTAGGGGAAGGGGGAGGGGGGGGAGTGCGAGGTTCGGGTCCAAGGCGAAGCGAGGCGAGGTGAGGTGAGCCTGGTGAGGGAGGGAAACGAGCGAGCGAGCGAAGGAAGGCTTTTCAAGGCCAAGGCCGCGGGCCCCCCAGTCAGTGGCCGACGAGGGGAGGCGAGGGCGCACGCGGCGAATGATGAAACGGCTGGGACTCTGGGAGGAGGGGCGAGAGAAAACTCAGCGAAGCAGCGCGCGAGAACCCCAGCCCGTGCGGATGATGGGTCCGCCAGCAGCGTGTGTCGATTGGCAGCGTGCTGGTCGATCGCCCAATGGGATGAATCTGCGCGCCGTGCTCGGGAGAAGGCAAAGTCGTGATCGGCTTGTCTCGTGCCCAACGCGTGATTGTGAGGCTGGTGCTTCTTGCTGGCTGGCAGCACAAAAGCAGGATGAGGTCGAGAGTCGACGACTCGACAGATGCGCGGTGGCGGTCACTGGTGGACCGGGTTATGGGAGTGAGGTTGATGACGGGCTGCTGCTGCTGCTGCTGCTGCTGCTCCCTGACAGGTGGAAGAGCGGTGAGAGGCCCGATTGAGGCAAGCGTGAGCGTGATGAGCGAGCTCTTCCTCTCCAAGTCCGGCTCGTCGTCAGGGCAGACGGAGCGCGACCACCTGAGGTGGACAGCACAAGCGGAGGCGGAGGCGGGTGGGCAGGCAGGCAGAGGCAGGCAGGCCGTGGACACAAAAGTATAAGTTCGGGAGGGTCGCACGGCGTGATCGAGGTCCGATGGCCGGCGGCGTGGGTTCACCCAGTTTTGTTGCGGGTCAAGAGTGCTGGCGAATGTGTGAGCAATCAATGAAATAAATAGGGACAAATCAAAATAACAAAAGCGTGCGGCGCTGCCAAATGCAGGATTTCAGGCTGAGCCGGAGTGCTGGTTGGCTGCAGTGTCGACGGATTCAAGCAAAAGATGTCGAAGCAAATTCCTGAGTGGTGGATGGGCCTCTATTATATCTTCCAATAGGCCGTCGACCTGGCCTCGATTTTCGATCTGCACGTGCCGTGTGTCGGTCCACATCACGGCCTGTCCTTGGCCGCCCTCTGACCCACGACCCACGACCCACTGCCCTCTACCCTTGGCAAAGCAAACCTCCAGAGTCCGGAGTCCAGCCTCACAAGTCTGCACCGTTCGGCTGGGACATCCCCCCCCCCCCCCCCCCGATCCAGCATGACCGAGCGAGTCATCTCCCTTCCCTGCCCTACCCTGCCATGCCTCTTCCCTCCCTGCCCTGTAAGCAGAGTTGCAGCAAGGAACTTCCGGACAGGCCGATGACTGACAGACAGCCAGCCAGCTCCCTCCCGCGATCCCCCATCTTGAGCTCCCCCGGCTTTCCTCCTCGATCTTCAGGCTATTCTGCCTGCATACGTCTAAGGCACAGTGTTCCAAAACGACCTCCAACTTATGCAAGGCATTTACGCTGACGTTGCATCCTTGCCATCCTTGTCATTCATGTTCATAATCTGTTGCGATATGCATTTCTCACACTCATCCAGAGCGACGGATGGAGCTTCTTCACCACCATTATCAACATTCCGATCTAAATTTACCTCACCATAACGCGCTTGCCGATACAGTAGTGCTCACTACCTCGCATGGGCTGCCACGATCCGTCTTCGGTGTTTCTCTGCCTGGAGAAATTAGACTCTGCTCTCTGCAATTTCATATTTCTTCTTCGCTCTCTCTGCAACCAGGCTCCCCTTGCTCCCTCCATGACGCCTCCATCAGATAAACAACCGTCATAAGGCCCTGCTTAGCTCACGATGAAACAAGCTCCATCGAAACCAAAAGTGTCTTCTTCCTCCTCTTCTGTCGTCATTCTTCACTCTCCTGAAACGAATCATCCAAAGCCGGGCAAGCCTTGTGTTGGAGTCAACTTCGCTAAGGCCCAATCACTGCCCAGAACGCCACTTCTTGACTCTCATTCGGCGCCTATTGACCTCTCACTTCTGACCTACGCGCTGCTGTGGGTGTGATGACCATTTCTCACAGTGGTCGGGTTTCGTGTTCCTGGCGCTTAATGATATTGGTTCGTCGCAGGGAAGTTTTGCTGCTTGATTGGGGCTGTCACATGCTCCCGCCACCTCCTTTCTCTTCATTTCAAATCACGAGGTTTTGGCGAGGCTGAGGCCTTGTATCAGGAGAGTAATCTGTGAACCATCCTGTAACTTCCGACGATGACCTTCTTGGTGCAAGCCACTGTTATGATTTGCTCAACGTCTCAATCCTCATTTCAGATTATCTTCAACGTGAATGGATGTCTCTCCATCGGTGCATGTCTCATCCCCGTCTGTGAGACAAAAGGGTTCAAACCCCGGATTTCAATGTCTCTCCGCAGACTCCCGAGGCTTGTTTATTGCCCGAATCAAGTCGAATACGTCCTTCTGATCTTCTTCATACGTTGTTCGTCCTCCGCTGATCATAGGCGATAGCGGCAACCACCCCGTATTCTTCATAATAGAACAGTAAAGTCTCAAACTCAAGTTGGCCAGTCATTTTCAATACATGATTCATACGGCCGTGTATGCCGTCGACAATAAAGCTACTTACGGGGACCGAGTTGAAAGGCGGCAGCCTCTCCTCGTTCACTCTTCACCATGAAACAGTCCAGCTTGCGCTGTCCGATAACCTCCAGCAACTCGGCCAGATATCCTCATTGCGTCAGTCGATTGGGTCTCCTCTTTCATTCCACTCTGCAAATCATCGGGACTTACTGGTGATCAACTCAAACGAGTACAGCCGTGAAGTCTCTACTCGTTCTATCTTCGATGAGAAAGCATTCCAGCCTCCTCCTAGTATGTTTTAATAGATTGAGCAGTCAGCAACCCTCGCCATACATGAACCAACAGCACGAATTACTCTACCTAGTCTGCACGCTGAGGATCTGTTTTTAGACCGGCCGTAAAGCCTCTACCCGTTCGAACCTCCATGAGAGATCGGTCCAGCCTCATCCTCCCAGTATGTCTCAAGAGGTCGAGTGCCACTCACCACGAATCGCATTTTCCCCTCCACACGTTGAAGATCTGTTTGTAGATCTGGCTCGACGGTGACCGGTTTGTACAGATACGACCGTACGCCTCTCTCTTCTTCTGCACGGAAAAAGCAATCGAGCCAACGTCTTTCAATTTGTCCTGCAAGGTAACAGCTACTGCCGTGCATGAATCACTATCACGAATCACTCTGCTCCCCCCTCTTCACATCCGTTTGTTAGTAGATCTGGCTTGTATTCCCTCCCATTCCCTCTCCACTCTACTCCGCTCCTCGCGAGAGAACAACTTCAGTTCACTGTGGGCCTTCCAATACTCGCCTCCCAGATCAGCGATTCCATATCCATGCGTGGATCAATGTGTGTCTTTCAGACGTTCCACAACGGATCTGCTCGCCAAGCCACGTGTGGCGATCAAGTCAGAAGGACACAGCCTATCCTATTTTCAGTCTTCAAAAGAAAGTTAATCGAGGATGAGGAGGAGAGACATGCATTGTCACTGCATAGACCAATCTGCAGCTCCTCGAACCGCGCAGCAGGTTCGTGAATGGGAGTATGCATCCGAAGATGGTCACGAGCAGCGAAGGCTTCTCGAGTTCGCCGTGTCTTCGAATCGCGGGTCTTGATTGCACCATACCTGCTGAATATCACGGTTTGCTCGATGGTTGCCTGGTTGTTGGAACTTATGCTCTCGGAGTTGACGAGTGTTGACATCAGCCCCGGCGACGCAGCACAACAGGACAAGTCATTCTCTCGTGGTCTAAGTCGCGTCTCTTCCCACTTCCCAACCCCTCCAACAAGTCTCCCCAAAGTTCTCAATAGTCCTCACTTCATGCTAGACCCATTCATTCTGCCTCCGAGCGATCGAGGACAAGGCAGCATTGTAAGTAAGGAGGTAAGAGAGACTTCTCCATTCTCTTCGTTCAACCAGGCCGCATGCTCCCCAAAGCATGACAGCCCTTCTGCTCTTTTTTCACGTCAGTCTCTTACTGTTGCCCTGATCACCGCCAACGTTTGTGTCATCATTCTTTGTCAATTTCGGTGAAGTCTCCTCCAAACCCTTCAGATCTGCCACGAACTAAATAGAAATCACATGCGGCACAATTGACAGACTGGCAGCCAGTACCTCCTGACCACCTACTTATCTCAGGTATTCTAACCATAAAACCTGCGACCCACATCACCAACTGTATTCAATACATCTTCTACCAGCAGAGTCGCTCAGCAGTCAAGTCAGTCTCGTCTCCGCGATCACAACCTCGAGCCTCGAGATACAACAGGCTTTGCCCCATTTCTCGGATAAGCTGTCTGGTCCTTTCCAGAAACCATTTACGGCATTGGAGGCACGATCTTTAAACGAACAAGCTGCTGGAAATGATGAACAGAGGCGGTCAAACGACCAGGCTACGCACGATAATCGACAGACCGTCTTTCTCAGACATCTGTCAACAAAGCGTAGGTAACTTCCTCGTCCAACAATACACACAACCTGAAAATGGCAACCCACACCTTCCATCCACGTTGGGACACGCCCTTCCTTGCTCATCTGGCGGTATACCATCCAGCCCTTCGTCTCCTCCATCAGTATACTGCTATCACCTCCAAATCCCCGCCACCTCATATCCGGAGCCCCAAAGGCCTATACACTTGACCAATCGCGCGTCGAAGCACAACCCGAATCCTCTCGCCATGGACACAGAATGCGGCACTGGGATTTCGATATTCGAAGTTGAGCTGGACCATTCCAGCTACCTCCCCTTGGAATGTTTCCATCGATCTATGGCACATTCAAACTCTACTTCCCAATTGTCCCTGGCGTTTTAGAATATTTGAAAAGCGGCTCCTCTGCTGTCTAATGTTGACTGATGATATCGATAATATATATTAGTGCCGGTTTTTTTATCTACCGCGAACCCATCAAATTAGGTGAGAACCTGAAGTGAAGTTTCTCGGCTGCAGCATCCACTTCTGCTTCTGTCCCTTCGCGATAGGCATCTACTGCCTTAGTCAACATGAATGAACAATTTCCACGGAGACCGACCGCCACTCACTGGGCCTCTGCCGCCAGGAGAGGGAAGCTCCTCAAAGGTCGTATTGGCAAACATCGCAAGTTAGCCGCCAAAGCCAACAACACATTTCACTACCACACGGTAAATGAGCCCGATGTCGACTGTACATGGAAAGCCGCTGCAGCCTTAGGGATGCCGATATGGGGTTATAAGGAAGTGCAGAGGGTATTTTGATTGCGGATTTGGGACTCTGGTCAAGCCCACTCATCCTGCATCATAGATCTTGCATTCGATTACCTATCTATTGTTGCGACGAGAAACCCACGTTTACTTGGCTTCATCCTCGATGCCTATCCAGAAGTGGACATGCCGATGGCAAGATCTGAACAAGGGGCGCACCTCCTGGTCCGGGAAAAGGCCATCCAGACCCATCCATTACGTTCTGAAGACAGGCGGTGATGCTGGTGATAACTGGGCTCCTGGCGGATAGGAAAAGCGGCACTCATTTTCAACGTCCCAAGTCAAGCTGAACATTGCAAACACTACCTCTCTAATTGTACGCATGCGATATTGTACGTTCAGTCTACTCTCTCCACATATCTCAGGAATTCCAGGAACCAATTCCCACCCCTCTCCACTCTACTCCAAACATATGTCCAATTTTGACATGGGACAATGAGGATTCAGTGCCACTGTTCCTTTCCACCGCGAGCTAGGTAATCAAAATCCTTTGAAGTTCTTCCCCGCTAATAATTTGATGGGCTTCAATCTTAGTCTACCCTTGGCTCCGAGCCGGAGAACTCGCCACAAGTGTCTACTCAGACCTCGCAGCACCTCCTGTCCCGGAGAACTCAGGATGTATGCGTTTTATTGCACCAAGGAACCCTGAGTATTTCGGAGAGAGCTAGCTCTGGCTTAAATGCAGCGTTTTGGCCAAGTGGTCTTGCAATGATTTCAGGATACCCGGAAGTTTCTGCCCCCTTTTCGATTATTTCAGAGGCTCAGCGAGTCATCTTCTCTTGTGTCTCAGACACAATAAAAGTGCGTCATTCCCCCACGATCCTGCACAGGAAACAAACACATCTAGTGAGGAGGTGGATGTAGAACAAGATGCTCGTATATACAGCAGAGAAGGGGACACGCCTATAAGTGGAACAAGCGGAGGACCGATCCATCATCTCCCATAAACAGGAGGTGCTCACGGATCACCACAAACCCAAATTCCGCGCCAGGAACGCACTCAGAACCCCGAACCCGGGGTCCGCGAAACCTAAAACCTAGACGGGACCGATAGCAGGCAGTCCGAGAGGAGGAAACACATTCTTCCCAAACGACCCAATGTAATTCCCTAACCCCCCGCATCCAACCATCAGCCAAACCCCCACTTCTCCAAAGGTTTCACCCCCACAAGACACACACAGGACAGGGGAGGGAGGAAGGGGGGGAAGCGTACCAGGAGCAACATAATTACACACCGTAAACCAACTCTCGACCCCAGCGAAAACCGTCCCCGCCGCACAGAACCGGCTCGCACACCCCACCGTCGCGCTGCCGCTCCACACGACCTGCGTGAAGTGCCCATAGCCCGCGAACTTCGCCAGGTCCGGGGTCGGCAGGCCGTAATACGACGGCAGGAAGTTGTTGACCTCGCCGTAGTACCACTGGGTCGAGATGGATTTGGCGAGCATGAGCGCCGGGGAGAAGGTCGAGACCGGGCCGGAGGAGCCGTAGGCCGCGAGGTTCTGGCCGTAGCCGCCGCCGGCGACGGTCCTGTGAGCGCGACGGGGTTAGTACAATTGGGGCGTCAGGGAGGGGTCGAGGGAGGGAGGGTGCGTACATGTTGTGTGCGAATTTGCAGCTGGAGGCTATTTGGGCCGCGATGGCGGCTTGGGTGGGGTTCCATGTCATGATAGGGGCGGAGTGGTTAAGACGGTGCTTGTTGTGGTAGTACAGTCCAGTGCTTTGGTAGACTTGTGCTGCTGGGAGGGCGGGGCCGTTTCTTGACGAGATCTTGGTGTTGAAGGATGAGGAGCTCGAGCTCGACGACTTGGAGGACGCCGCACTTGAGCTGGTGCTTGCCTTCGTCGAAGTTGAGCTCTTAGCCGGGCTCGTGAACGTTGCTGAAGATATCGAGGTCGAAGTTGAGCTTTTCGAGGTGCTTTTGGAGCTTGCTGAGGATTGTAACGTGGATAGAATAACAAATGAAGAGATTATTGACATTGAGAGTGTTTGAGTCGTGGGAGGGCCTATTTGACCTTGTGTAGAAATCACATATAAGGTTTCTAGCGTAGTGAAGACATTGACTGTTTGACAGCTAACAAGTCCCGCCAAAAGTGCGGTAGAAAGTATAGAAGGCTTCATTTCGAGAGTGTATATCATAGAAATGTTGGGGGAAAGAGCAATTCTTTCTTCAAAGGGAGGGCTTGCGCGCCTTTATAACGATCCCTTTCAACATCTCAGACCATTTCTTGGCTCCTGGCCCAACCACTTTTACAAGAACCCCTCAAAAGACAGCTCTAAAACTTAACTGATTTACCGTAGCGTGTACGTTACCTAGTCACAAACCCGAGTTGAAACAGTTTATTCTAGTATCATGAAATGAGAATGCGCTACGCCGAGAACTACTCGAAGTGCTAAAAAAAATCAATACTTCGATACAATGGCCAGTGATCTCGATCAAACACAGAAAGAACGTTCCTCAATTGACATTCTCGGAAAGAGTGGCAAAGTCATAAAATATCACGAACTTGGCCTCGATGGGGGAAAACGCTGACTTAAAATCCCCCATCGGAATGCATAACACCTATCTTGCATACAGAAGGAGACAAGATCAGCAATACGAACAAAGACAATTTTGGTTTCGAAAAACTTCCAGTGACCCCACTAGGTACGTCATGAGAAGAGCACTCGTCAGCTCACTGAACTTTCAAGGAATGCGCAAACAAAGTCTCTTCATCGAAGATCCCAAGAACATCAATTGAGAGCCTAAGGGTGCTACATATAAGTCTAGATTTTGCCTTCCGTCTAAGGGCGTCAAAGAGGCTCTGAGCGGTACTGGACCCTTTCTGGGATCGTGTTCACGAGTTTGTATACCCATGAATCCTTGACTGGTATCGCTCCCCGGACCTAGAAGTGAGTGAGAACTTCGCTCGACATCTGAAAATTCGTGATCAGCCATTGAAGGAAATTTGCATAATTTTAGCAATATTCCAGGGCGACCTCTCTGGGATGAAGCTGAATGCAGTGGGCTCGGTCAAGGTCGTCTTTGCTAACTCCTTTAAAATGTGCTGAATTGCTGAGTGTGAAATAAAACAAGGTCCTGTGAGCTGTGAGTACAAAATAGACGTAACTCGCCGCCAATAGGTCGGCTTTTATCAAGTCTGTGAGTTTTTTTAGTTGAGATATGCTTCAAGGTTGAAATTAAGTCTTACCAATGCCAGGCATCGGAGTAGACTCTATACGTTGGTCTTCGACGTCCTGCGTGAGGCCCGAGATATCTGTGATCCTTCTTCCACATTTCGGCGGTTAATGGTTCTAGCTGTAGATTCCTGGATGACTACGCTTGCCATGTCGGATCAAGACTGGTAATTGGCTTCGGGGTAAGCTGACTGTACCAAGCGGAGTTTTGATAGATCAAAAATCGAACAAATATCGCCTCATATGATTTGATCCTGCGACTCTTTCCTGCTAGGTACCACATCGTGCAGCCTATCGATGAAGTCTTTCGAGCAGACTTGCAGGTCTTCGAATTTCCCCTTGTTGTGGATCGCCCACTTAGTTTTCGAGATAAGGCTGTGCTTTCCGGACGATGCAGCATTTCGATCCCAGAAGCGCTTATTGGAGGTCCTGGAGATATTCATACTATTTCGACTCAAAGGGTCGACGTCTGCGCCGCGGTTTCTCCCACAGGTGTGGAAGGTTTGAGGCCATATCCCTTCTCCAGTCTGTCTGTATCTAAAAGCAACACTTTAATATGCTCGAGACATTTCATGATCACTTCCACCTTGGTAGGATCTCGAATATCTGGCGCTCGTTCCGAATCATCGATTTTGAGGATGCCGAAAGCATTGCCCCAGATAAGTAGGCGTGTCTTCTCAATGTCGAGCTTGACAAGAAGGATCTTGAGGTCCTCCGCGAGGCTCTGGGGTGCTTTGAAGTAGCCGAAACACTTCCATGGCTTCCTATCTGATGCCAGGACTTCTGGCAAGGACGATTGGCTTCGACATCAGACAAAGAACGTCAGGGAAGATGCAGGCGCTGAAGAGGCTCGCGATACCGATCGTGAGGCTTATTGGCTTTACTGGCACCATCTTGAACATAGCAAACGCTCACCGAAGTATTATATGACAGTTGCGTGATGAATTGAAATTGTTAGTGAGAAGAGCTGTCGCCCAGCTGAGCCGATGTTCTTCGAGGCTGGAAAAAGCAAGGCTTGCACATGTGTCTTGCATTGCCACCACAACACTGGTGTTGGGCTTTTGGGCAAAGCTGTCAGAGGAAGACCTACCAATTTTGACAACCCTCGCGGTGGACAAAAAAAAGCGACCCCAAATTTTCAATGTCCCAATTCAAGTTGGACCATCCCAGGTGCTTTCCCTTCGAGTATGCCGTCGATAAATGGCACATTTAAAGTCTACTTCCTCCGAGTGTCCCCGAGCTTTTAGACCACTTGAATACTGTCTCCCCCCAATGTTCAACATTGGCTGGAGACATTGATTAGTGCGCTTTTTTCGTCCACCACGAGCAACCATAAGAGCACCTTGTGAAGATAGAAATAAGAAATAGCAAGCGGTAAAGACGTATGAAACTCGAGAATAACCTAGTAGCGATCGTGACTCTAAAACGGCCATGTCGACCTTGAAGAGTTATGAGGCACTTCACAATCTCACGGCTTGGTATATGCAGCCTGAAATGATACCGAAGGTATTGAAATTTGGGGCGACGAAGAGAAAACCAAAAGGAAGGAAGGAAGGGCTCGGTGAAATTGTCAATAGCCCAAGGACGAGTAAAAGGAGGAGTCGCAATCGAAGTCCAGCTGCGACTTCAGTTGTCAGCTCTGAGTTGAGACTTGCATCATAATCGCGCACTGTTACACAACTGCCTTTGCTGAACTGGAGTACATGGTACATTATGGAACGATGAATGTAGTGAAGAATAAAAAAATGATAACCCGAAATTGCCACCTCGCATGGGAATAGCCCGAGACCGCGGAGATGCTATCCTGTCCAAGTGAACACACTCGTACCATGCCATTGAATTACCCTTCCGGCGATCATAGACTAAAGCTTTATGCATATAAAGTTGTTGGCCGCTGCAACGGGAAGACGCAGTTCGAGTCAATATCTGCAAGCCAAATCATTGCAAGTCAAGCAATCAGGATGACTTCGCCTCGTCATTATCGATGAAACGTAGTAGACGGGCTGACGGCGCGGTGACCGAGATTCGCCCCTGAGCCAAGACAGACCTCAGCTACACAAAATGTTGCTCAGCATAACGCATTCGTTGAGCAGCTCGAGTTATTACGAGTTCATTCTCCACTACCCCCTCCTTCAACAAATCTGCGGATTGCCCAAAGCGGCAGTCCGGCGGCGTGGTCAGGAAAAGCCTCACTGCAAGGACTTTCCAAAACAGGAGGTGGATGACACCCTACGTACATATAATAGCACTCATTCCAGGGGTGAAGAGACAGACTTTCACATGCAATTCAAGTTGCAACAATGCTAGGACACGGACAGCCTTCTGGTCCGCTGTCGTCGGGCTCGTGCCGTTGACACGGCGGGTAAAAGCTCTTTGCCCCCGTGCACGCAAGGCTACTGATAGAGAATAAATGAATGTAGTTTTTCTATTTAGCGGCGGCAACTGAAGGAAGTTCCCTACCAGCTGGCATATGGAGCCGTGGCAATCAAATGTCGTCCCGACCCTGGCCGATTGTGGATCTCCGTTCCCTCCGGAACCAGGCCAGTACCCGAAACGAAATGTCGTGCAGGAGCTACCCCCTCCTTGAAAATTTCAAAGCATGTGCAAACAACTCTGATAGATCCTCAAGAACGATTGACAGAAAGAGAAGGGCGCGTATACGACCCAATTTTCGTGCCGTGTTATTCCCCGAAGGCTGGAGCTGAGCTGCTCTCGTTGAACCACTTGAGACACTGATAGGTCGACTACCTTGCCATTGCTTGGCCTTCCAATTCTTATCCGCATCTCTAAGATGTTGAATTGGCTGATTTGATCCATCTCCTGTTGCGTCGGCCCTGTGGATACGAACGAAGCGAGCGATGCAATTATGTTGTTCGTAAAAATCCTTCATTTGGAGCGGCCCCGCGAGAGAGATGTCGTTGCGAGCAATCAATAGATCTTCATCTCGGTACCCCCCTCTAGCAAGCCCATTTCGACGTGTCATATTTGGGCTGAACCGACCACAGGGGAACTTCGAACGGGCTGCCCGGCGATCTGGTCGCTTGGCCGCGCCCCCGTATATGCTGGGATGGTCTGATATCATCTCTCGATGAAGAGGGGTAAAGTGGGGATGTTGAGCTCTTCACTGGATGAACAGCAACACAGCATTTGTTCGATGTGGAAGCACGTTGCTTGATGTGTGCAGAAGCAATTGGATGTGATAGAGTAGTGTTGAAACGCACATATATGGCGTCGATAGGTGAGAGTGGAGGCAGCCCGGTTGTAGCCGCAGCGCACGGTGCGTTTGATGTACCTAGTACTTCCAAACAAGGGAGACAGCCCGCAATTTACTAAGTACACGGGAGATCGTCGGAGCTCCCCGCATAGCCATTCGGGAATTTTTGAGGCCGCAAGGGAAAGTCACGATCGTTCGGTGGGTTGGCGGAAACGCTTTCATGAGTCCTGAGTCCTGATGCCGGCACTGCGGCAGTGGAAAACACGAGATGGCATTTGGTGGGGCTTGGCCTGCAGCTTTCCTTGCAGAGCATGGTCTGCAACCGTGGTCCGTTGGAGCGACAGCGCAGAAAGAATAGGGTGGGTGAGGGTAGGGTATGATATGGCTTCCAGGATCAAAATAACCGCACATTGCTGAGTGCTGAGTGCTGCACTGCTAGATGCTAAGTGCTAAGTGCTAAGTGCTAAGTGCTGGGTGCTGGCAAGACCTGGAAGAGAAGGCTTCGTAGATAAGGCAACTTGGTGGGTCGCACATCCCGCAGCCTGACTGCAACACCAGCTTCTTATCTCGGGTTACAGCCTGACTGCTGAGAGAACAATGCGAGGGCCATTCCACGCTGGACTGCCTTTCAGCTGCCGGTGTCATCTGACTGTCGAGGGAAAGCGATAAGCGATAAGAACCCCCCGGATACTCCAGGCCCTGGCGTATGCAAGAAAGGCCGTACACAACGGCTTCTGCCAATAACGATTACGTTGTGTGAAAAAGTGGGGGTGGGATATCGCGAGGTTTCTTTGAAAGTGGTGGCTGCTCACTGCCCAGAATCCTCTTCTGCCTAGCACCACTCCCGCAGCGCCAAGGGGTTTCGTTGATTTGAATTATTTGTGGTGTCATGCAGCCCAAATACAACCTCCAAGGGTTCCGAAAGCAGGTTTATTTGGCGGGAAAGCCGGCAGCTGCTTCCCCGAAGCGGTTCCGCATCCTAAGGGGCTAATGTAAATTGTGGCTGGAGCCTGTGCAGGCCTCTCGTGCAGGCATCTGAGGTATCGAGAAGTACTAAAGTCCCAAATTCCCATAGCTGACCCTGCAACTGTTGTTATGCAACCCCTCAGGCTTGTCAGGTTACATCCCGAGCCCTTCAATAACGCCTCGCAGCAACCTGACTGATATGGAAGAAGCTGGCTCCGAATCCAGTCAGTTGTCGTGATAGAAGGATCCTAGTATCGCAGCTGAGCAGTTCACCTCGAGAGTCCAAGATGACTGACAGGGTTGGCATTCAACAAGCCGGGGCGATTTGTTCAGAGCCAATTGAGGATGCTATGCATTTCTGATAGGGTCGGCCAGGGGCCTGCTCGAGGCTTGCGCTCAACAGTCCTCCATCCCTGGACGAGATTCAAGGAGCTTTCCTCCATCGCCTTCGATTGGTATTGATTGCAATAAGTGCTCTTTGTGCGTCAAAGAAGTGGAGAACCTTATCAAGATGGTTGATTCAGCTTCTCAATCTTCTCCACTAGAGACCTGAGTCTCCATACACGTAGCATCATTAAGGTATCCACACTTAGCCGCCCCTAGGCATAGAATAAATCTTCCCCCGGTTTGAACGAGCGGAAGAGCATAGAGGGCTCCTCGAAAAGACAGAGAGACATAAACCTTCTTCAGAGTTGGCGGCTGGCCAATTTCGGACGTCTCATCACAATAAATGGTGTGAACTATGATTCTCGGTCAACATTAACATCTACCAAGTTGGCAAGATCGAGAATTGTGTCTGCCGATCATTTCTCTTACTGGGTCTAGATTGTGCCTCCAACAGAGTTCACAGCTCAAAAACAGTTGTGGATGCCGTGCACTAATTCGGGCATGAGATGCGGAGTCCAGCGAGGCTCACAGCTGCAGAACAGTTCAGAAACGCGGTACATAGAGCATAACCAACCAAACACCTGCACATCCACGAAAGACAGGTCTGTTAATCTGTAGAAGGCTACACAGCCTTGGACACAAGCATTGGTCAGACCCACGATCGGCCTCGTTCACCAGGGAACAACCCGGCTTCAAGTAGTGTCATCGGCTCTCGAAGAAAGGTTGGACTAGTCTTCCAGTTGTCTCTTAACATAGATCGGAGTTGCATGACAGCGTCCTGCCTTCTAGAAAGATTGAACAGTCTTGCTCAGGATAGAATGACTTCCTAGGACACCACAATTAGGAAGAGCTAATCTTGGAGACGCGCCAATCTCCCGTAGGCCCGCTGTCTTTCCCGATCCTATTTCGGGACACTCAGTAGCATGATGGCTTCTGCAAGAGTAGAAGAGAAGCGCCGAGTATTGGGCCAGGACGCTGGCCTCGGTGTCCACTCTGCTCTGCCGAAAATAGCAATTGAAAATGAAATTTCGAATTTGAATTTGGGAAAGACCAAGGAAAAGGGCCATGCGAGATAGACGCTTGTGAGTAAATTATTGCGCCATCAGGAACAGTACCCCGTGCAACATAAGAATTACTGTACATCCTGTGTTTATCGCTTGTCGTCTCAAGGCTGCCAGGACAGCTGGCTCGATGTCATTTCCAAGAGCTAGGAGATTTGGAAGTCTCCGAGATCTGCTAATTATGATATCTGGTTCTAGCTCAGCGCAATTTATTCCCTCACCCCAGGCTGGGCCTTCACTTGAGAGATGGTTGGCGGACGACGCACCAGCTGTGGCGGCGGTGCCTTCGAGAAAAGTTTTCGCGTCTGAGCCGTCCCAAAACCTTGCTCGCCCGTGACGTGCGGTACCCAGTGAACGTGGACTGTGGCTCGTAGAATCGCTCGCCGTTTTGCTTGGTGCAAGTTATTACGTGTTGCGAAGCTCAGACCGCTGAGCTCCTTCAGGCTCCTTTTTCGACAGCAAGAACGACAGCGATTTTAATATGAGGCTGATTGTTGGACCGTGATTCGATGAATTACCCAACGTGTGGTGAGGCGCCCCCACGGCCGACCCAGGTTTCTGAGGCCCGGTGAAACCTGCCGTGGAGAAGTGGCTTGAGAGCGTTTGTGTGTGACAACCCCCACACTCGGTTGTTCGGGTGAGATCGCTGGGCCAAGGTGACGCCACACAGTTTTTTGGCCAGACCGTCGTAGCGGGCAGTTTTTGTGGGGACCGTTTCGGTAGTGAAGGGGCCTTGCGTACTGTGAGGGGATTCCCTCGCCATCCATCATCCATGCAGCCTGGATTCCTGGAAGGCTGGAAGGAGTGATCTTCTTCGTTTGCGGCACTGCAGACCTGCCCCCCGGTGGATGATGCTGGCAGCGAGGGCAGCGAGGGCAGCGAGGGCAGTGAGGGCAGGGAAGGCCCATTCGACTGACACTACTGTACCGCAGCAGCATCATGCAGTCTGCACAGCAGCCTGCAGGCCTGCAGCAATGGGGAGACGTCGAGTTCTGCAGGTCTATCGAGATTCGAGCAGCTGGCGGTGGAGTCCCAAGCCATCTTCCAAGTTCCAAGGCTCGCGCCCTCTTCGATGGCGAAATATACCTGGACCTCATAATTCGTGTGTCATTTATATGCACCGTGTGAGGTTGCCGCAGCGTGCGAATCAGAGGCTGCAGGTGGCCTCACCCCCAACAACGTCTCTCGTTTGACGCTCAAGAGTCAAACCGTCTTGGCAGGCGTTCTCCGCAATTTGGCAGATGCGGTGCGAGTCCAGCTGGCTCGGCTTGCCTTCGGCCAGGGCGGTGGCCATGGACGTTGCTGCTGGTGCTGATACAGGCCGGCCCCCCGCGATTGCTGATGGAAGAATGGAAAAGCCGTCCGTCGAATAATGCCAGAACACAATCAACGACGAGATGGAAACGATACGGGTCGAGCATAGATTGGGTTGTTCGTCCGATCGGCCAGCAGATGTTACGTAGACAAATGTAGCAAGTGAAGTGAATAATAGGCGAGAGTTTCGCGATCCCCAGATGTAAAATTCTGGGTCCTGGTCTGAAGCTGCTCTGCCCTCCGTCGAGAAAATCGGCTCGGCTGGAGGGGCTTTGCCTCCCGCAAGTGATGCCCATTCGCCAGTCCCGCCGCAACCCCAACCATGTGGTGCATACCACCAAATCCTCCCAAGCGTCGAGACTCTTTTCCCTTTCCTCTCCCTCCTCCTCTTCCTCCCCCCCACAAACACCCGCAGCTCTCGATCACGGCGGCGACCTCGACCTTCGCATCTGCCACTTCCGTGTAATCCAATACTCGCATCCGTGTGGAGGACTCCAAGGCATTGCATTGCCCTTGTCTTCCCCGTCACCGCTCAGTCGCCCCTCCCGACTCCACGCGTTTTCATACCTCGAAATTGTCTTGATGACAGAGCGGATAGGAGAATTCGACCGCTGGGAAGGAGTGTGTGTAGGAGAATCTGGGCCAGCAACGTCGTTGTATCATACATAGAAGGAAGGAAGGAAAGCAGCTTGGCACCTCGGTCCCCAGAGACCTTAAATCTCGCGCCTGCCTGACACCTTCGACTCCCTCATACCTTCCACCAGAATGGCCGTAGTGCTCAATTCTGAGGAGAACAGCTACTTCTCGTCAGGTCCACTGCGACGGTCCCATTCCCAGCCCAAGTTTGTGGCACAACCGTCATATTCGAAATCGCCGTCAAGATCACAGAGCCATAGTGCTTTCAACACCCGAACTTCCCCCCCCAATTCAACTTCTTCTTCCGCGGTATCCTCCCCAAGAACCTTACACGCCGACTCCACAGCTCCGTCGTTTTCATCGACTCCCGCCAGCAGCCTCTCGCTCGACGCGAGTTGCGAGGACCAAGACGAGGAGGATCAAATCGTATTTCCTTCCTACGACGACGTTGGTTATTACGGACAAGTTGAAGACCTGGAGCCGCCACCAAGCCCTCGTACGGGTGATTCCTACACCGTTTCACCAACCTCAAACAGCACTTCGACGAATGTATCCCGACCCGAGTCTCCGGATCGATTTGAACACGCAGAAGACGATACCGCTGTTAGAAACCAACCTTCCAGGCATGTAGATTACCTATCCCACAACTGGAAGGAAGAGGATATTTGGAACTCATGGAAGCATATCGTTTCGAAGCGAAAAGCGTACAATAATAGTGCTCGGCTGGAGAATGCATCATGGCGGACGTGGGCAAAATCAAAAAACAAGTTGAGAACTGTGTCTCCAGAGACGCTCAATTGGTGGGTTCAGGACAAATTCTAATGGTAGCATTGGCTGGGAAGGTGCTAACATCTATCAGGCTCAAGGATTGCGATGTCACTTGGCTTTATGGCCCATTACAGACAGGATCCGGTAAGTCGTTACATCAAACTTCTACCTCGCCATCGAGTAGTAGCCGGATATCAAAGTCAAATTCCTTTTTGAACAAGAAGCCTATTTTGAAGAAGCGAAGCATGTCAGAAATCATGTTGCAAAGATCACTGTCGTCATCATCACTTCTCAAACAAGCTGCTGCAGCCGTACAAGCACAGCAATCCGAAGCCTATGGCGGACTTGGTCGTCCAATTATGGGCCGAGCAACTTCAGATTATACTTATCCCCTCTCATCGAGACGACTGAGCCGAGAGAACACGAGCATGCTCTCTTCAATCTCTTCGTCTGGGCTACAATCTCCTGGAGAAAAGAAGCACATCCATTTCAACGAGCAGGTAGAGCAGTGTATAGCATTGGAGATGAAGGGGGATGACGACGATGAGGCAGAGGCATATGCTGTCCACGGCTATGACGACAGCGACTCTGACGATGGAGGCATTATGATGAAGAGGAGTAATTCGAAGCGGAAATTGCCTCCGCTCCATAAGAAGAGGACAACTCCTCGTCAAAGTTTCAGTACCGAGAGCAAGACGATTGCAATGCTGCCGTCAACTACATTAAAATACAGAGCAGATACCCCCGAACCCCCGGAAACGGCGATGAAGCACAGCAATGGATTCTGGAATGGAAGCAAGTTGTCTCCTTCTCCTTCCCAGGAAACCCTGAGACCATCAAAACAATCGACGAGGATGCTTCTTGGTGATGATGAGGAAGATGATGATATGGACTGGCAACCGCCAAGCGCGTTCAATAACCGCAAGGACAGTGTGGCAGTAACTCAAGAGCGTTTTCAGAGCATACACACGTCTGGATCCTCGTCGAGCCTCACAGGCGAACCGTCGGGTATGAGAAGAACTCCATCAGGGATGTTCATGCCATATGAGGAAGATGAAGACGATGGTAGGTAGAGAAGCCCCTTTCCCATGTCTCCTGAAAAGACCTTTATTGAGCAATTGCTGACTCTCCGCCAGCTGTTAGTGAGGGCCTCTTCGGCAAGATCACAGATACTGTAAACACAGCAAAGGACATTGCACATGTTATCTGGAATGTGGGTTGGCGATCTGGAAGATAACCTTTGTGAGGAACAGAGCTACTGTATGGAGGACTCAATGTTCATCATCTTCATTTGGACCGAGATCAACGGCCTCGATCATCCCAAGGATTGCATATACGGCTGGAGTACATAAGGCGACCTCTTGCATTATACCGACAATATTCGGAATGGAGTGGGCGATTGGCGTTCAGGTTTCAATTTTCGTGCTCGGTTGGCGGCTGGATTGTGTAATTTTCAAGCAAAGAGTCAGGAAAGGAAAGGGTTTAGGAATGGTTTTTAAATGGCCGAGTTGCTCGCTGGATCATGGGACTGTCTATGGGGTTTAGACACGAAGTCTACCCTGAGTGAAGCAGGACTCCATGAATTTACGACTGGACTGGGTGGATCGTGCTTGGATTTGGGACAGTACACGTTTAGACGTACTTCGATTGAGAGACCCCAGATGGCGACAAAAGTGTATAGACCAATGCCGTCACTTCAAACCCTGCTCTCCAATAATGTGCTTGCTTAATGATTCAGACACATATCTGCATTTCAGTAGTCTTGATGATCTACTTCTTGAGGCGCCTGCCAACCCCGCAATCACAGGAGCACGGCATACGCCGCCATCAGCCTGGATACCACTTAGATGCCACAAACCGCCCTCGTATTTCGCACCTCAGGTCCACAGCATCTCCCCGCATCAGAAAACCTACACTTACCACACCACTCTGCCTAACTGAGCGGCTTGCCTTGCCATGCCTTGCCATGCCTTGCCATGCCTTTCCCCCTCAATCCTCTTCAAGCTGCCTACATACGGCACGGGTAAATCTCACAAACTCGCATGCAAGCCCACGACCGAGCCGAGCTGTCTCGGCCCACCGATGGGTAGATGGATAGCATGTGTGGTTTCCGAGGTTGTGATTGGGGATCCTGAGGGTTTTTGCAGGTGTTGTTGTGTTGGGTGTATTGAGGCAAGCCGGGAATTTCCGAGAGGGCGGACTCGGAAGGATGGCAGTGCAGGGACGCAGGAAGGGGGGTGCGCCAACGAGGAATCTACGGGGCCCAGACCGCGCCGGGGCCCGGCAGCATTTGCCTTTCTGGGATACAGGGACCTAGTTAGTTAGTAGAAAGTAGGAGGGAAGGAAATACCGGTAGATATTGGGGTGTTATCACAATAGGGAAGGAGGGAGCTAGTTAAAAGTCACCGCTTTTATGCTCGGTAAGGTTGTGTCTGGCTGCATTACTTTGCTAGTAAGTGCGTTTATACACTTTCTGAAAGCCTGTTTTTGAACGGATCCTTATACCTTGTTTAGTCATCTTAGTCTGTGAGTGGTCGTTTCCAGCGGTGCTTGTATTGTGGAGTTCCAGTAATCACTTGAATCCCATGCCAGTTTGATCCACTTCAGGCCTTTTGTACCTGCTTTGCGAGGCAGGAAATATGCTGATGTGCAACAGAACTTCTGGGCTCCCTCTGCTTATCTCTATCTACAAGTTCCATTCCCTTGGGGGAGGAAGTTGCGAGGAAAAGTTGGAGGAAGCGTGAAGTTGGGATAAACTGAAGGAAGCAGGGCTCGTGGTTCGGTTCGAGTGAAGTGTAGAAGGTGGAGGGGTGACGGGAGAGTGGCTGATATTTGAAGAGCCCGGTAGAATTGGAGGAGCTAGTTGGAGTTGTTTGGAGTTGTTTGAGTCAGTTAAAGCTTGGTACGTGCAGACTTGGTGACGGGACGGAACGGGCTGTTAGGTAGGAAAGAGGATTCCGTCCATGGCCGATGAGGTGCAGAGCTGGTAGGTGCTAACTGAATGGGAAGGTTTCGAGGACCTGGTAGGTCGAATACACATTTTTGGCTCTCCACTTGGTAAGAAGGCACTCCAGCAAGTGCATATCTTAAACAGCTTCCATAGGTGTATTTAAAGGACATTCAAGAGATGGGTTATCCAGTCTGATCTTACTTGAACGAAGCTCCAAGGAGAAATGCGCAAGTTATCACAGTTTGGTATTCTGGTAATTAGAAAGCGCGCCGGTCTCGTCCTCTCTACTTCTGCTTTGGAAAATAGTCTAGCTTACCAGATTTAAACAGGAGGAAGCGAGCTTCATTGACTCCCTTTCGAACAGCCCCTTTTATAGAGAGTTAAACAAGTGGCCGCTAGTAACATAACCTCCTGTCAAAGTTTGAGAAGGCCAATCCCCCTTCCCCGGACATTGCCGTCTTGCGTGGACTTTCGCATTGGAATTACCAAACGAGGGTGTCCTCGCAAGTCACGGATGCTTTTTCTGTTTCTTGATGTGATCATTTTACTCCACTGTCCCCCTCAGCTTCGGTCGTTGCTCTTGCTGGAGTGTCCTGCCTGTAAGCCTCCAAAGATAGATCATAAGTAGGAGATCGCAGAATCCAGCAAGATAATCTGCGACGAGGTTTACTGCCAACCACGGCTTGTTGAATGTCGACCGAGTGCTTTCGAAGGCGTCAGATCGGATGATTGCCAATGGGATGACCTTATCAACTCGGAATAGTTGGCGGTACCTTTAGAGGTGACAAGCTTCTTGGCCTCTGGCAAATTGTCAACTGGAGGTCCATAACCACCCCAGCAAAATGGGTGATGAACCAAATCTTTCAATTGATATGGAGTCCTCTGTAACTTCTTTAGGTCGAACTGCCATGTTTGAAATCCCGAGGCATGAAATTCTGTGCATTGGATTGTGTAGAAGCTGTCGCTCACCCGCTAACGGTCCACGGCACGCAGCTGGGGTCAATAGTAATTGGCTTTGCTAAACGAGCTACAGATATCCTACCAAGACATACGTCAGCTACCTACTTCTGAGGCCTGATTGAGGTTCGGCAACTTACATTACATGTTTGTGGAACGTGGCCATGAATACTTTCATTCGATTCAGCCGTTTACTCCACTTGCCCATATGATTGCGTTCGTTCTCAGCCCCACCTCCTTCAAGAGCATCATTACCTTCTGTGTCCTCGCCACTCCTTGGTTATGCTCATCAAGCTCTTGGTGAACGAGAGCTACGGGAGATAATCGGATCACTATAAGGTTGAGATGATTTTTGATTCTGTTTGTGCTTCAACGCAGGCTCCTCTCGACCGGTAAGCAGGGTTCGAATTGTTAAAGCAAAGACTCTAGAAATAAAAAATACCTTGCTATCAACATCACCGCGTCCATACTTTCGTGTACTCCTAGCCTGACCACCAGAACATTCATCGTCATTTCCAGAGCCAACAAAACTTTGAAACTTAGCAACGCTTTTGAAAATATTTGGCAGACTGGGAAGTCGAATCCCGAGTTGCCGGTCAAGTTCGAGAGAAGTATCGCAGGGTTGGAAGCCAGCAACTTCGGCAAATACTGATGGGAGGACTCCCGGCTGCATAAAACCCGCAGAAGTATGGGTGGATTAGGACTAGTAACTTTGGCAGACTGATACGAAGGCACATGTATAGAATTGATAGAGGCCTGGCTAGCTTGGACATCTATATCTATAGCAAGATTTGTGAAATGGAAGACATACTGTCTATTATCGATGATGTTTGGTCGCAGGAGAAGAGAAAGGAGGTCGAGTGACAACAAAGTCTCGTCAAAGATCATTTAGAAAAACAAAAGCCAAGCGTCCACCAATGAGTAGAAACCATCGCCCACCTCGCAATTTCAGTGCAGGGACTAGTAGAAGTCTCCATAGCGCGAGCTTATTACTTATGTAAACCTTGTCGCTCGAATTAGGCTCTTTACCTCGCAGGGACGGAGGGAAGTATGGGAAGGGAGCATGACTGAGTATTTGAATTTTGAGGGGGCGAGGCTGTTTATGATCTGCAGCATGAGGACGGGGGTGAAGGTGGTTGAAATTCTGATGAAGAGAAGAAGAGAAGCGAGAGGGGTCTCGAGAAGAAACAGGTGGGAAATTAGCGGGGAAGTTCTGGATTGTGGGGGAGTCGCAATGCTTCGTCTTAATGGAAGGTGGTGGTGGCAGGGGTAGGGGGAAAGAGCGATAACAACTCAATCACTGTTTATCGACGGCCCAGCCCCCTTTAAGAGAAGAGCGATAGGAGGTTGGCGAGGAATGGCTTGTGTTTGGGTATACACGCTGTTGCATCAGAGAGGATAGCGTACTCTTCCACAACAGAACATTTGTACGAGACGATGTCCGAATTCCCGGGATATTATGCTATGAAAGGGGGCTTAATTCGGTTGAATGGCATTGGGATGAGGCTTATGGCTTTACAAAACCTTGTGCCGTCGGCGAAGGGGGAGCGCTATCGCTGTCCGGGCCTGCCCAGGTACAACCAAGCTGGTGATGAGGGTAAAGAGAGAAAATGGAGTCTGCTTTGGAACTGCATAGTGATTTGATGAGATATTGAACAACTGAATGCATAGAAAGAGTGCGATGTGCACTTTAAACACGTTGACTTTTCGTTCGAGCTCAGTTGGGAAGTGAAAGGAAGTGACTGAGGTTCAATAGTTTCTACATAAACGGGAAACTTGCAACAAAACCTTTAGCCTTTGGGCTGAAGGGGAAAACTGAGAGGATGAGAGCACTGCAAGACATGAGTCAACAGTGCCAAATGTTCAGACAAAATGAGAATAAGGGTGATGATCAATGATCATGGTGGTATATTGCTCCTCTCTAAACCACCCAAATCCCTTACTATGTCCCGTACAATGCCAAAAGCAATTTCCTTCAAAGCTCCTCCGCATCGTTCCTGCCCCAAAGCTTGACCGTACGATCATAACCTCCACTACAAATCCATTTAGCATCTCTCGTGACGTCCACGCTGTGCACGTTCCCCGTATGCCCACTTAAACTCTGCACCAAACTCCAATCATCCGCTGAAAACACATTGACGTTCTTATCGAACCCACCAGACACGAAAAATGTACCCGCTTTCTTCGGTCTTCTCGCCCCCTGCTCATCAAGTTCGGGAACTATTCCTTCCGCAGGATCATCGATTCCTTTGTACCATCTCAGGTCAGAGACGACGCTCTTATGTGCTCCTATCCCACCAGCTGGTGCGACTTTCCGTACATCCCAGCACTTGATCCAACCGTCTCCTGAACCCGAGAGGACACGATGACCATCGACGCCCCAGTCTAGGGCGTAGATAGGTCGGATGTGCCCCTCGAGAATCATAACAGTTCTTCCGGTTCGGAGATCCCAGATACGGCCGATACTGTCCATTCCTGCACTTGCTAATAGAGAGCCGTCTGTGTTGAAAGCTAGAGCAAAAACTCCGCGAGAATGGCCTTCCTGTAGGAGAAGCTCGGTGGTCGTGTTGACGTCCCAGAGGCGCCAGGTCGTATCTTCGGATGCTGAGGCGAGGTAGCGTCCTGAAGGGTGGAATTCGACCCGGCAGACGCGCTGGTTATGGCCTGCCAAGGTAGAGATGGGTGTATCTTGGTTCAGAGACCAGAGATGGATATTGCCTTCTGCGCCGCCCGATGCTAGGTTGACCGAATCTGGAGAGACAGTTGTCCCTGGCAGCGTTGCGTCTGGAAACCAAGATATACCACCTATTCGATCCGTGTGTCCTCGTAAAGTCCGGATTTCGTCCATGACGGGAACGTTCAGTAGCTTAATACCTCCTCCCCAGTTTCCAGCAGCAATGATCTCCCCATTTGGCGAGAACCTTGTCATGCTGACCGGTCTCTCACCAGCTGTCTGACTGCCCTGAAGCTCGAATCCTCCCAAGCGCTCCTTGATCCCTTTCCTAAACTTGACATGCGTCCGCAATTGTATCGCGGACTCGATCTTCTGACTCGCCAATCTCCTCTTTGCCCTTGGCAGCGAATATCTTGCGATGTCCTTCCTCGCCTCGACCAACTCTTGTATGCCCTTGGTATAAAACTCCTCTTCCTGCTCGTTCTCACCTTGCTCAGCCGCATCATGCATCCGAGCATCTCCTTCCTCATCTTCCGCTGCATCAATCTCGGCTTGAATCGCGAGCAACTCTCTCAACCTGTCTCTGCGATCGCCAGGCCCTTCCCCGAACAACGTAACCGGCTCTCCCATCTCCCGCAATCGAGCACGCACCCGTCCGTCATCAGTCGGCACCGCTATCGCCGCAGCCTTCCTCTTCCTATCAAACTGCGAAAGAATCGCGCTCGCACGCTCGGGGGCAATGCCCGCTGTCGCAGAAGGCATGTCATAGTCGCGGTCGAGGGCTAGTCTTTGTTTAGCAGATGCAAGGCTGGAGGGGTTCTTGCGGGAAGAACTTACGCACGTTTGCCAGGTCAATGCCGATGTCCTGAAAGTGTCACCAGATCCATCAGCTGCCAGGTTCCTGTTTGAGAAGGACGCGACGCCTCTGGGATTATATGAATACTGGTTGAGAGTACGGGGTGAGGGTGAAGGGGAAGGGGGAAGGCTTACCTCAGGCTCTGCCTCCTCTACGTAGGCTTGTCGTGAGGGATGCATGATGGCGGTTGTGTGATTATGCCGTGAGAAGAATGATCTTTCAAGAGAAGGATTTCAGCTTTTTGTCATAGTTGGTTGTGCATGTTCAGATTGATATCACGCTGCCAAATTATTTTTCAAGTCTGACGTTCGGCTCGCTTAACCTTACAACGGAACTCTATTTCGACTTCTCAGCTTCACCAATTTTCAACCTCTCAACAACCTTTTCTTAGACTCATGTCTTCGTCATCGCAGGTATTGAATCAAGTATCTTACTCCGTTGAGCTTCCGGACGGTCTCTGCAGCATTCCCGAGTCCTACAGGTCATCCGCGGCCAGTCTTACTCGCAAAAAAACAACAGGCATCAGCATCGTCTAGTCTTCGGATGAACAAGCATCCTCATTGGCTTCTGGTGCATTATATTTCCCGTCATCCCTCTTCTGGGAAGCGTCATGCTTCCTAACCCCAAACTGGAACTTCCGCAGCCTAGATGTCTTAGCTTCTTACGTCAATCGCAAGTAGCGATTGGACTATTGACAGAAGATGGATTCTGGTTTCTCTGTCTCCTCATTATAGAGGGACTCATTTTATGACTCTTTCTTTGTTGTCTTGTTTTCTTGATTCTATAATACTCACATAACTCTTACCTCTCCAACCGAGTGCTCATGTCACCATGTTGGCGCCAGTGAGGCCACCCTTTGATCCCGAGCTTGATGAAACGCTCAAGCAATTCCCAGGAATTTCCCTTTTCAGCAGAGGGAACCTTCAAGAAGTCCGGGAAATGCTGAGCAACAAGAACCCAACCAAGGATATACTCAGTGATTCGGAGCTCGATCACAAAGATATCACCATTCCCGACGGCCGATCTCATATTGACACTCTTCCGTTCCCAAAATTCTTCTGGAAGCCCTCGCCCAGCGATGTATTTCATGCATGGAGGCGGCATGGTATTTGGTGACCGGTTTACGACCATGGCTTGGTGTTTTGCTTGGGTCAAACAATTGGATGTTGTGCTCATCTCCATTGAGCTTACGAAGGCACTTGAAAATACCGTCCCAAAGGTCGAAGGATGCATGGCAGGTCCCAAGTGTGTGGCCGAACATCATTCTGAAATTGGCGTTGATCCAGAAAGGATCGTTGTAACTGGAGCTTGGGTGGAGCTCCATGGGTGGCCTGGAGCATGGTACGTATTTGATGTCTTGCTCCAGCTCGGCGTTGGGGAAGTGTGCCATGAGACGCGGTTGGCTTGGATGAAGGATGCTTGCTCAGCACTAGACTCAAGGCTTTCTATTGCCGTGCTACACTGAAAAGTCATATGCAATATTCTTTTCAGGTGGGCCCGATAGGATCAGCAACAACAACCACATTCTGGATTTTACTGCCAGGGCTCACAAGGAGGAGGAGTACTCTGCACATCGAAAGCTCTTCTAACCGTCTCTGCTCATGGAAACACCAACCTCCATTCCAATTCACTTGATTCCAAATTCCCCAAATTCCCAACATTAAGACGTGATTTCTTTTTTGGTCCGTCTCGGCTGGGAGATGCCAGCGTCCACTGACCGGCCACACGGGAGAGACATCTCCAATCAGGAAAGCATCGGCATGTGGGGACCCCGCTTCTGGAAGCATTCTGAGATGCTTCCATGGAACCCGGGCTTCAATCTGACATGGTTGTCACAGCCTTCGACCTCGCCCACACGGGACAGACATCTTGGCTTCACATCTCTTGACCCCGCGAAAGGAAACGGAACTGACGCTATCTTCTCCTTTGATTTTGGGACGGCAAAAATCTTCTTGTATATTCGCCCCACCTGCTGAACTCCTCAGATCTCGGTCCAGTTCATCTGATTCTATTCCTGTCTCCAGTAGATGGATCTAGTAGATGGAAGGTGGAAGGTCAAAGTGTTCGCAGGGTCAAGCCTGTCTTCACGTTGTTGTCGTCGCTTTCTTGGTCATGCAAGGCACTAGCTTGCCGCTGCTAAACTATCCCCCACAATGCCACATGCTAAGAGGAAGTAGTGGCTCGGTCTGAGATGAACAACTCCACAGCTGGACACAACGCCGCCCATTTCCTGTACTTCTACAAGAGGCAAATAATTGATATTCTAAACACATCCCCCATGGGTCGGCTTGCAGTCTGCCACCTTCCCCTATTTCTGTGCGCTCGGACGAAGGGCAGGGGGTCCGAGCACAAGCAGTTGCGCTGATCTCCAGGACCGACCGACCCTGACAAAGCGGGCACGGCGGGTTTGCTCATGGGTCAAACACCTGTCGTCCTCGCAGACTCGTGGTGGTCACCGCCTGAAGCCAACCACCGTACCTCAATCAGCTTCGCCGCAACCCCAATTAACGGTCGATGCATTGAAATTAACATCTTGGATCTTGATCGTGGTACCAAATTGTAAAAGCTGACTATCGATCCAATGGTAGCGAAAGCGCGTCTACGCACAAAGTTAGGTTGTCTAACGTGTAAGTACGACACGGGCGGCTAGGTGTTCCAGTCGCTGGCGTAGCTAATCATATCGCAACAGGCCGCCAGCGAAAGAAGAAATGCGACGAGCTGAGGCCCGTATGTTCTGGGTGCAGTAGTCGCAAGTCACTCGAGTGCAAATGGCCAACGGAACACGATAATGCGCAGGATCGTCGGCTGCGAAAGGTCACTATTCGTACGACATCTCTCTGCACCGAGAACATCGAGACCAGCACTGAGGGTACTTCGGATACATCGGACAGCGGATATGCCTCGACCCCGGAGGAGCAGATGACGGAGAGCCAGGTGATGGTTCTGCATAAGCAGTCGCCGTCACCAAAGCAATGGTCAGAGAAGGACAGTCCGGATGTTACGGTTGGATTTGGGTGGAATAACGAGCCAGTGATGTTAGCTTTCTACTTCAAGCAGATGTTGCCGGGCTTTATTCACGAGCGATCGCACCCCCGCTTCATGGAGTGCCATTACATGTGCAACCTGGTGCAGGACTCACAGCCTCTGAGGGATACAGCCTTAGCTTGTGCTGCGATGACGATGTCATGGAAGCCATCTGCTGATCCCCGTTGGGGGATCAAGATGAGACGACAAGCGCTCTCGTACAAGACCTCGGCACTGGCATCACTCCAGGACCAGATCGCGAATGGGTCCGTGACGGGGACTGAGGACTGGCTCCTTGCTACGGCAAACCAGCTTACACTTCTTGATGTAAGTAGACCTGATTGTCAGTTGACATGCCCGATTCCAAAGCTGACATCGATTTCCAGAACCGAGACCACAATACCTTTGCCTCCACTTCCAACACCCATATCCGTGCTATGTTGAACTTGATCAAATTGAGAACTACGGCAAACCTCGCTCTCTTGAAAGCCGGTCTCCCACTTCCTGAGAAGTGCCTCTCCGCGCATGCTTTCGAGCGTGTGTGTTATGAAGCCGTCCTCTATCACGGGGCAACTATGATGCTGTTTGATCGAGAGTTCGACATGCTTAACGGGTCAGCCGAATGGCAAATGCTCGAAGATTACTTCCGAGATTCGCCAGTGCCTTCCGGCGCTAACGAGGAAAATTGGCCTGTTCTTGGTATGCCTTTCGATGTATTCCGTCTTGTCGTGATCGCCTCGAGACTCAGTCGTATTGCCATCCTTACAACTGAGAAGCTTGAAATCGCCGCAGCTGTCCTAGCAGAGCTTTCCAGCTGGTACGAGGTTATTCCAGCCACTGGTAAATTCACGAGTGGGCACTCTTACCTCGTGGCTGCAAACGCTCTGTTACGAACTCTCGTTGCTCAACAACCCAACGGAGGCCTTCTTCTGGATGACAAACATCCAGCTGACCTTGAGGTCGCTGCTGTTGTCTCCACGATTGAAATTGGTCATCAGTTCAACAAGTATCCGCTCTGGCCACTTACTGTTTTTTATCGTCTTTCTTCAGCCCCACGTGAAAGAAAGATTTTGGAGCATGCTATCTCGGCAGCTTTGCAGAACACTGATGGAGACATCGCTCGATTCGCACCTCGAGAGACGATCAACATGTTTCTCATGGCGCCAGGCCTGCGATCGATGCTGATGTAGTAACATCAGAGATGGCGGTGTGCCAATTCAAGGAGAGGGGATCGGCTGTGCTGACTCCAGTAACAAGACTTTGCCAGCACAGGTGATCTCTTCGACGTATTTTGAAAGGACGACTTCGGAACATCCCTTTTGAGGGGGTTCGACATCAACTTTTGTAGAGCTTCAGAGGGTCACTTCCCAGATTCACGGGATATCTCAACTGATATATCACTGTGGCTGCCGTATCACAAACGCGCCACCGGGTCCGGCCCTCCTCGCCGCGGTGAGACGTTACCGAGATAGGATCGGAAACTTCCATCCTACTCAGTGTAACGTCGTTGAGGGGCACGTCATGCCTTGCAAGACAAATCCTCTGCCACTGGTAAAGACGAGAATCAGAGCTGGACTTCACAGCAGTCTAGAAATTCACAGCACAATTTGCAAATTACATTGGGGACTTCCCACCCTTAAAGAATTCAGAACATTTCGCTTCCAGAAAACTTTCATTCCCACGTTCAACGAGTCAGTGTCAATTACGCCTGCCCAAGGCCCTCAAATCTGAGCTATCACAAAGGTCCCATCCCATTCCTCACCTACGGCACTTGGCTAGCAAATCGCATCCACTCCATGCCGAGACCTCTGAGCGATGTGGATTCGTTTATCCTTTGGTGCACTTTCAGGGTCGTATTTTTATGGCGTTTCAGGCGCAAAATGCATTGATTGGGGGAGTGTTAGCTTTCCCGCCGTATTGAAGGGGCAACTTTTCGTTTTTTTGGGTTCACTGGGGGGTACGTTGGTTTGTGGCTTGGCCAATCGTCTGTTTTTCCGAGACTGGCCCCTTGCGCTCTTTCTGCACGTTTATTTTTGTTCTGATAGGGTTTGACAACAGAATATTTTGCATAATGAAGCCGTGGAGTAAATATTTATATGAATGAAGATGAATTTGAATTTGAATTTATGGTTTGGTATTATCGTGTTTGGGTGGATTTGTTGGGAATTTTCTGCAAGTTTTTGCTTAGTGGTTTGGTTGCTTGCTTGGGATGGGAATTGCATTATTGTAATTGTAGTCTGGAAGTACCGGTATGAAACTGAACGCAAATTCGATAGCCCCGGAGTGCACTGACAGCACTGTGCCCTGTGATCACGGAGAGTTTGCTAGGAATTCCATTGAATCCTGGCCGAGTGACGTACGTAGGGATGGCTTAATTAAGGATTTAGCTTGACCATTATTATATAATTAAATATAATGGTATTGACCATTGAGTACCTTATTATATTAAAGTGGGCCAGTGGCGCAAGGGCTTCCTAAATATGTAAGCCCGAAACTTGAATGATTCTTGGGATTTTCTACATAACTCGAGAATTTCTTTTAGAATTATCCTATATTTGTATTAGCCTGGTATAATTCTAGTACAAAGGTAGTATAAAATTCTGCATATAATATTTGGCTTGACCATTATTATTTAATTAAATCATTAAATTTAGCGCGTCCCTAGACGCACGGAATCCCTCCTTGAGGCTGGTGTTTGACTCAAGTGGCTTCCTGTTCGCTTACGAAACATTAGCAAAGAAAGTATGAACTGGACGTGGTGCATGAGGTTACCTTCAAATCGAGGGAATTGAGAAGGCTGTCTTGCTTGAGAGCAGGGAAACATGAGAGGCGCGCAGAATGATAGGAAAGAGAAGATGACAGATCAAGACACCGCACAAGCTTTCTCAGCATTTTGTAAAGGGCATCGGGTCAGGAGATCACAATTGATGACTTGCAGCGCAACTCTTCAGCAACCTGTCTCTTGGCAATGTTACAAAGCGGTGTATGCATCTCACCACGGAGTCCAAGTGTACCAAGGCTTCAAACAAGGAAGGCCCGTGGGGGAAGACTGAAAATATTCGACGACAGTTGAGAGAAAGCCCCCTCTTTCCCTTGAGATCTGGAGAGCTTCACCCCCTCCTTGGGTAGCAATTCAACCTGCTCCACTGTGCTGCGTTCAGAGTCACACTGCATCAGAAGTCTCAGTTGCACTCTCCGGTTTTAGGAGAAGCTGCGCCGTTCGTGACCGCCACAGAATACGTCACTCTGCAAGTCTGGCAAAGGCCTCTCATCCCAACTCCCCGCCCCTCTCCTGCTGAGACAAATTCTCATCCCGTAATTCCATCTCTTCTTTTGAATCAGTCAGACATTGACAAGTAAGAGATTCCTGACAGCAGGAAGAGTATCAGCATTAGAGTACGAATCCGATTCTCTTTCATAGCCTCCCCCTCTCCGGATCAAGGGCCACCGAATCTTGGTAGGTTCGAGTCTCGACACCAGGAAACAAAGAACGCGGTTGGGTGCCAAAGGCTCTCCCATGAGCTTGAAGCAGTTGGTAGAATGTGCTTGATGTTACTGAGATGTCTGCGGGACGACAATAAATACTTGATCCGACGGTACTGGTGCTTGTATCGTCCCAATTCGGAAGTCATGTTCGCGCTACTATGGGACAGTGAATTATTATTGTCTTCCAAGCACTTTTTCTCCTTCCTGAATTCGTCTCTTATGGATACTAGGTCTAATGGCACTAATTCTAGTACCGCCTTTATTCGTAAGTCATTTTCGCATGCCTATGAGACGGTGGCGGGTCACGCTGTGTTCTTGCAAACACCTTCCCATCTCTCCTTCCATTTTCTGTTTCCTTGATGAGCGAGAAACAAAGTGTCCCTCAACTTCGGGTCCAAATGGGGAAACTGCCCTGTCTGAGTTACGTGCATTGTCCACCACATGATATTAACTAGCTGCTAGTGACAATGATCAAAGGCCTGAAGGAAAATTTTGACAACGCCGAATACGACATATACAGGGCTGCCTGGTCATTTCTTCAACAAGCAAGTTCAGCCGAATCCAGCAGCTGTATGAACACACAGAGGGTAGCTTGGAAGTCCCGCCAACTTTTGTTGACAACCTGTTGCATTATTTTCGGGGTTTCCACTCCCACGAACGGCCATTACAAGCTGCAAATCTACATTTCTCAGGTGACTTGGAATTGGAGATTAGACGGATCGGAGAATAAATTTGACAGCAAAGGGGAGTTGACAACAATTGCGTAACTTTGGTGAGCGGATGAAAGGTGCGCCAAGATGAAAGACCCATCAATGTACGAATACTGTCCAGGACTATGGATGACGATCTGGACTCCTAATTGTTCACAACCTGCTATGTACAATGCAACTTGGTCAAATTTCATTGTCCCACACAACTTGGGACATTCGTCTGATGTTCTTAACTCTCTTAAGCATCAAAGATTTTAAATGCAGCCAGCACATTTCTCAAAGAAGTGGACTAAGCCTGGAGATACTTATTCGTCTAAGTAATTTAGCCCACGACAAACACCACCTTGCTAAAAGAGCGGACAAACGGTCTAGACAGCAGCGACACTATATTACGAAGATTGGAATTTCACTATAGAAGCAGTCGATCTTTGACAGGTTTCGATTCCCAAGGAGAGTTTCAGAAAAGAGATAAATGTAATCATTAGCCCAGAACTATCTTCACCTCCAAGTTCCGAGTTACTTGTGCAGTATCATTGCTTTTCCTCATCGATCTCAACAAAATCCTCCGAACAGACTGGTCTTTTACCCTTTGCCCAAGCAGCGAGGTATGTGACAAGCCAGTGTTGATCATGATACGCTGGAGACGAGCATGGGATGTGTTGTCACTTGACAGGAACCAAATTTATAGAAGTTATGTAATGTTAGGTCAGGGGGTGAAGGACTTCCTGAGGGTTAGAGGAGCGAATTTTGGCGTGAGAAGAATCTTGATATTGTCATCAGATGATACATACATATTAGCGCAATCTATGCTTCTCTCACTCAGACGCCTAACGTGCCATGCAATGCGATGTAACGTAAACACCACAAACCAACATGTTGAAGGAGAAGAAGAAAATGCAAAGCACCAGGCTGATCTATGCGCGGATGAAGAGGACGGACAGAAAGTATGTAACAGGAAGGTACAATGGGTATCGCAGATACGGAATTCCACAACGACGATCAACCCCGAGTCTTGAAAGCTGCGACGAGCGGCGAAGGGCTTCAGATTTTGATCTTCTGCCCTGTGATCTTGAACCAGATGAGCGCCACAAGATCCTCTTTGAACCTCTCCCACCACGTGCGATTTAAGTAATTGCTCAGTTCCCTGAAATTATACATCTCACCCCAACAATCGCGTCCCCACTCACACCCCGCCATATTAACCACAAAATCCCGATCTTTCTCGCTGTAATGAATTTGAGTGTCATTTCCATTTTCAGAGCATGCTCCTTCGGGGAAGCTGTTGATTTTGCGTTGTGGGATGAATGCGGTGTGGGGTCGGATCCACGGTTGGTTGATGTAGAGGAATTCGAGGGCGTCCTGCTCTTTGTGCTCCCATTCCATGTGCTTTTGCTCGTACCCAACCGGGTCCCACCATACGTCAAGTAGGCGGTCCGTCCAGGCGCCGCGCTTGATGAAAAAGGAGCCCAAGTTGAAACCGCCGCAGTCTTGGGGGACTATGAGGTTGATGGACGAGGCTTTGCCGTCGCCGACCGGGCTGCGTGCCTCGGGGTCGAGGTGGTCGGAGGGGAAGGGGTGAGATATGTTTAACGGATTGTACTCGTTGATGTCGCGGTACGTATTTTTCGCGAGGTCATTGAAGACATGGGATTGAAGGGAGTAGGATGGCTCCATTATGAAGGTATTGAGATCCATCCACCAGAACCTGCACTCAATTAGCTTTATTCTTTCCGGACAGTGCACAAAATCCCTACCATTCAGCATCGGGGTATTTTCGCAAGCAATTCCGGATCGTGTCTACCTTTTCCCAGCTCTCCCTCCATTCATGTGCGTATCGTTTCTTCGTGCTCATATCCACGATTTCCAGATCGTATCCCCATCTATTGATGTATTTTTTCTTGTTCTTCACACTATCCCGCTCGATCGCCCATTCCCGCGGTCCTTTCCACTCCATAACACCACCCCCTTGATTCGCTGCGAGTATAATGACGAACTTTTTGCCGCCCCCAAAGATTTTTGATCTGCGCCACCAGTAATGTAAAGCTAAATTTGTCAATAGTGTTCCTTGCTGGCAGGGGGAACCTTACGTGTCATGTAGAAAAGAATGGTCATGAAAATGAAGGCCGTGACAATAAGAAACCGTATCTTCGCTTTCCTGCTAGTCTTCAATATAAGAATCCTCAACTTTGCAAGCTTGGTCCCCTCTCTTAGCATCCACCGTCCTCTCCCGAGCTTCTCCTTCTCTGCATAGCTCTTTTCTGCCCCAATATTGAACCGTGGTAAACTAGCGGATAAGTTTCGCATATGTTGTTTGATGAAGCCCTTGCCTTGCGTCGAGAACGATGGGTAGCCATTGACTCCGTTGCTCTTGGCCTTGGCTGATTCCCAGGTCACAGTATTTGGTCCACCATTAACGCCATATGTCTTCGTAGGACTCGACCGACCACTGACCGTGGCGTATGGGTTGGTAAGTCCAGGACTCGACCATCCGCCCCCAGGCCTTGGCGAGGGGCTGCGCGAGAGTGACATAGAATTGTTCGGGCTCCCTGCGTTCGGAGTTCCTGGAATTGGAGGGAGGGGTTGCGCGCTGCGCGAGGTTGGGGATCTATACGAATCACTGTCTGCTCCTTGCAGAGACAGGTTCTGCGGTACGTTTGAAGTTGAAGATCGTCGCCGGCGATGGGAAAACGACTGGCCTATAGAAGAAGAAGAAGATGCTGAAGTGGGAGTTAAGGACGCCAGGTCGATGGTGTTGGGCCAGAAGGTACCTCGACCGTTCTGGCGATTCCGAATTGGATAAATACTCCACGGCACCGGACCGCTGCCTCGTATGGGATCTGGCGATTCTCACTCCAGCAGCATCGTCGTAGGTCGGCGTATTGGTGCGATTCGTATGGGGAAGGAAGGCCAAGGGAGTCTAGGATATTTGCGACCACGAAAGCGGAGGCTGTGAGGAGCAGATGTGGCTAAATGTTCTTGATGTGGCTAAGCGCATTCGTATTGATAAGGCTTTCGCAGCGGTCCTGAATGATCTGACTGCACCACACGCGCAGCTGACCAGATTTGACCTGATGTGAGTACGATGCAAGAGTTTTCAACGGTCGAGGAGCGTCTGGCGTGCGAGGATACTTTTGCTGAGATCTTTGGCTTGGCGGTCTCGGACATTTAAGTCAAAGTAATTTCAAATGTGAGCACTGAGCAGCTACCGACCGCGCCTTATCAGCTTCCCAAACGCTAAATTGTCTGGCAGTTGGTCACTGTTTCGAGCAAGGAGAAAGGGGGATCTCGACCACAAAATCTATTCCGCTTGTGTCATGGTCTGTAGGACATGAATGTTGCCTGTACTTGTACTTGTACTTGTACTCTGAATATCTGCAGCGGGTGTAACGGCTGAGATTCTTACCTCCAACGGTCCGCTTCAGATGCGTGGATCTGAAGCTCGTTCAAGTCAGAGAAATGATCTGTAATATGGTCCCCACGCTATAGTAGGGCTTTCCGAGCTAAGCACACATCTCATCTCAGAAAAAGATACGCTCGATACGGATGAAATGAAGAACCCCATCTTTTCATAGCACGAGCAGAGACTTCGAGGATCTACAGACCCCAGACCGTGATTAGTAACGGCGGCAAAATAAGATGAGTACGGAAGGCACAGAAATACTATTCCGATTAATTTACAGCCGTCATAATTGATGACCTTCCATCGGCAAATGGTTTCGTCCATTCACAACCCCCACTGTACCCCTTTTCGAGGCTCCAAGCAGGCGGTGAGTGTTATTCTGCCAACCTTCGACATATCCACTCACCCCATCAGCAAACAAAGAAGTTAATCAAAGCCGCGATGAGCAGCCCTATTGACTCTCCAATTATGCGCCTCGATGCTCTTCCTTCGGCTTGTCGCGGATCCAGCGACTACTCCATCTCACACCCCCGGGATGATTGGCCTTCGTTGCATCGAAGCGCCTGCCAATCCAATGACCCACTTCCTGACGGCGGGCGGTTACGGCGATGCTTTGGACGAACCACGACCACCACAGCCAAGAATAGAGCGTCAAGTGTCTCCAGCTGCGACTGTAGTCGAATGAGATGGTTCCATCTTATTTTGAGTATGTTAGAAAGTTAGAAGGCCCCGCCAGCCTCCAGGGCCCAGGCTCACGCGAGTGTCGTGACCTCAATTTCCTCTGGCCACGACCCAACAGCCATGAATCTTCTGTTTCATTCATTGTTATCCTTTTCCTACGTGTATGATATTTCGTAATCATTGTCGCAGAATCTCGGCTTTTTTGTGCCCCGTTCACGATCGTTACCCTTTTTCTCGGGGCTTCCTATTGTTGAGTCGTCGAAAGCTCATTGTTACTGTTTCCCTATTGTCCCCAACACACATTTAGAACTGCGACAATAGTTATTTCTTTGTTGAATCACGATAATGCGGTCCCATCACTTGCAAAATTAGACTCAGTCATGCTCTCGAGTCTCCCGGTCATTCCTTCCGCAGACAGCAAACCTTCCACCCCAAAACACCAACGAACGCACCTCGCAGAACCCTACCATCGTTTCCCCTCATCTCAGACTTCGGCACCCAGCGAAATATTCTTCACTCTCTTGAGACAGATACAATTTCTCTCTTTCAACAGACGATTTCGATTTCAAACCCTCCGGCATGTCTACAAAAATACCCGTGGCACAAGAGCCACGCCATTCGAAAAACAATCCTTCGACAGAACGAGCCGATAATCCATTCGACACTATCTTCGATGGCGATGGCGATGATGCTGAGGATGAATGGTGGGAGGAAGAGGATACGGTTACATCGAGCCCACCAAAAGCAACATCAAACGTGCGAATTACACAACGGCCCACACCTCCAGAAGGTGTTGGTCTTGGTTTGAGTACGAAACCATTAAATCGGACCAGCACTCGAAAACCAGCGAAGAGATACTCGGTTCAGAAGCCAACACGAGACAAATCTAAAGGTCGACAAAGGAGGCAGAATGCGAAGGCTGGGATAAAGGTGGTGACAAACTTCTCAAAACACCAAGCAGCGGCTCCACCAGTACAAATGCAGCCATCGCGGACTGCTCCACAGATAGGATGCTTTGTGGACTTGGCAGCTCTCCAAGCACTTAACGGCGATATCACACAAACCTCGACGGGATTTTGGAAGTCGAAAAAGGGCAGAGAGCTGTTCGGTGCTGTGAATACCGCGCCAGCTGTCACAAAGGGTGTCTCAGAGACCTCTGTCGGCAAAGCCTCACACAAAGCCTCCAAAATTCCGACGCCATCAGAATTGGACACGACAAATACCCTTGCACCTTCGCCTCTCAAGTCAAGCGGCGATCTTTCACCAGATGATCGGCCTATTGTCATTGGGATTAGCATTCCCTCACGTGATGTCCAGGAACATACTTTCAGCCCACAAACTGCTTTATCTGAGACGACAAAGATAGTTCGAAGCTATGAGAACCACAGTTCAATGCCACCGGAAACTCCTACAATCATCATTACGCCTGCCAAGGAAGTATCTTGTTGGTCCCCCGATACGATGAGTGCCTCGACCGATCCTCGACGAGCTTCCAGCATCTATTCACAGGCCGCCCAGCAGGACAGGCATCATTCCCATAGGGATGCTCCCCCGGTTCCTCAGATGCCTGCTTCCTTTCTTGAAGATGAAAGACAAAGACTTGCTGCACAGAGAAGCTATTTTTCGCCGGACTCAGATGATGTTACCACGTGGGGCGAAGAAGACAACATGGATCATAGCGCATCAAAGTCTCGTGTTGTTTCGACTTGCACGGTATTTGAAGAGGATGACAGCCCAATCATGGCGAGATCAGCACGCTCTGCATCGATCTCGGCAGATTCTAGAGTAGGCAGGCATGCGAGCATCAGTACAGTAGCCACACGCCCACGTTCCAAGGGCTGGTGGAATTATATAACTACACCATTCCTGACAAGGTCGAATACTTTTGCGAACCGAGATATCGAGAACGAGCCACCTCCAGCTTTACCCAATCTGGCGATCGCGGCTGCAAAAGCACTGGAAGCCGAAAGAGACGCAAGATCATGGGAGAAGGAGTTCTCGCCTATGACACCTGAAACATCAGCTACGACTATAGCTTCAGATCCCTGGTGGGATTTAGACAGCAAGAAGCGGGATCCAGACGACAAGTCTCCAGTCCTTCGCGAAACAAGACATAAGGTTCAGACTTCTACCGAAGGGCTTCCAATCATCCATTCTGAAACTGCGGGTTTTGGACCTGCTGCCACGATGATTACAATGGCATCAAAGGATATTTCTCAACTTAGCCGAGACCCCACATTTACAACATTGAAATCGGCTTCTGAAGTTAGCAACAATGATCGGGAAGTGCCAGTGCTGATGGATGCTCCTCTTACTCGGCGGTCTCAGAACAACAATCCTTTTGTTCAACCTCGACTGGGCGATTTTGATGATCCTCCAAGCAACACTCAAGCGACGAGAAGACATGTAGCAGAACCAGTCCGGGCTGCTAATCCTCCGTCATCCGCTCCGGCCACCAACTCGCCTGGGGCCCCTCCGCCATATTCTCCATCGCCAGCTCGCGTGCGATATCGAGCAGTCTTTCCTCCTGGGCACGCTCTAGCTAACCAATATCCTATGTCTCCTGGTCCTGTATCTCCCGGTCTGGCTGCAACGATGTCTTCACAAGGTGCGATTCCTATGTCAGAGGTGCCTTTGACACCACCAGCTCGACGGCCAATAAATTTAAATTCCGGGTATCCACAATTACCAGCCAGACAGGCAGGATTACCTTTCACAGCCGAGGACCTTCAGGCACCTTCAAAGAAAGCTAAGAAGGCCGAAGCGAAACGTCGAAGACAAGAGAAGGAGGATGCCATGGCCCACAAAGCTGGAGGATTGTGGCGGGGGCGCGGTTGTATCCCTGACAGCGGATGCTATGGGCGCAAAGGTGCAGAAGGTCGTAAGAAACGTCGCTGTTACTTGGGTCTCATTGTCGGCTTCTTGTTCATGATTATTCTTGTTGTGGTTCTTGCCACGACTCTTCATCGAAAATCAAATACCGATATTGGACCTTCTCAGTGGTTGAACCTCACTGGATTTCCGCCAATCTTCCTCGGCCTTTCGACAGTAATCGCTCCTGCCAACATTCAGATCATTACTGGATGTGTGCTTCCAACCACCCAATGGAGCTGCTCTCTTCCTAAGGAGCTTCACACGTCAGTCTCACCGAATCAGCCGAATCAACCAAACTTTTTTCTAGACATCCAGTGGGACAATAGCAGCTCTACAAATGCTACATTTGCCAACGTTACCGGTAACCCGAACCTGGGAACTCGTGCAGTGGGGAATCCTGTTTCTGCTGGGCAATTCATCAGAACCATAATTCTCAAAGCAAGACAAGCTGTTACCTTTATTCCGATTCCAGCCCCTCCATCTTTCGCAGATGAGTTATTTCTCGGAAACACAACAGACAAGATCGCCTCAAACAATAAAGCTGGAGAGCCAACACCGTTCTATATATCATTCCTCTCAAAGCTGCCTACTAGATTTAAGCGAGAGCTCTTGGTCGAACAGAGAGCTTCGGATCCTTTCCCAAATATCACTGACTCCATCCCACCCCCAAGTCTCAATTCCGACGGCACAGCAGCGCCTGCAAATCTCCTCCCATTCCCCACCCAACAACCTATCAGACTCTACGATCGTGGTCTTCCAACAGAACACTACGGCTTCTACACCTACTTCGACCGCTCAATCTTCCTCAAATCATTAGACACCATCAACTCGACAAATACAGGGGATGTGCCTGATGACCAGAATGGAGGCGCAACAGAAGCAGAAGCAGCGTTTAGATGTACCTGGACACAAACACGGTTTCTTGTCCAAATGTGGACTCGAATGAGCGGCACTGCGCAACTGTTCAATTCCACTTCTCACTCCTCCTCGACAAATCAAACATATCTCACGCAGCCAGGTTCCTTCCCGTACCCAATTACCATCACCACAGATCGCCATGGCGGCAACCCTGCACAGAAACTGATCTACTGCTACTCGATGGACACTAGAGACGGTATTGTGGCAGGCAGTGGGAAGGTCAATGAAGAACTTAGAGGCTTTGGAGGCACGATCATCAATCCTGCCCCAAGCGTGTTCTCGAATAATTCGGATCCGAGCTTAGGTGGTTTCGATGGCGGGTCAGGGGGGTGTAGCTGTCAGTGGAGTAATTTCCAGACTGTTGTACATAGTACTTAGAGTCTTCAGGCTCTCTGACTTCCTTTTTATGCATTTACATAGCCAGCATAGCGAGCATAGCATGGGTGAGGAGGGTGGTTTGGACACAATCTTCATTTTAGGACGAACGACGGCACATAGTTAGATTATGGTAATGAGTAATTGAATACATGATTTCAGCATCAATGTCTTCAACGAAACGTGAAGACCGTTGTAAAAGGGGTAAAACAGCTAGAGTGGATGCTTGCCTAGCGCGCGGCTCTAGCCGACGCCCTCGAGGTGAACCTCGTTGGGTCCAGCTACAATCAACATTTCATTCAACAACCAACCACCTACTGGACCAGGCCTCGATCCAAAGATTTACTGCGCCTCCCGCTGTGCGAAATATTTTGGTGGTCGTTCGCTTCTGAGGTATTCCTCTGACGATTGGATTGAATTGCAAGGGAAGGGAATAAAATTACGAAGGCGCGAACGGAACAACAAGGCGAAGAATGCCCCCGATCTCGAAATTGACTGAACTCCGATACCGAGGACCGCTTCCAAGTTCCAAACTTTTCCAGCCTTTCTTGAGATCCACGGGGGTTCTGGGATTGTAGCCGAGAAGGACGTCGACGACCGAGGGACAGAGGAGGACCGGATCCACAGCGATACTCAAGATGCCGTCCATCTCCCAAACAACGATATCTCCGGCGAGCAGCAAGAAGCGGAGGAGAGATGATGACGCTGCTCAAGTACAAGTCAAGAATTCAAGGTAATTCCCCTTGCCTTCTCTCTGCCCATATGCACAAAGGGTCCATGTTGATATGGATTCTAGCCCCCGCCACGCCCTCCACGACTCCCTCTTCAACAATGCAGCGAATAGAGATGACTTCCTACACCTGAATCCCGAACGAAATAAAATTATCCCGAGAAGGAGATTGCATGAACAGAAGAGACAGCGGATTGAGGTCCGGGACGAGCACACTCATTCATTGCTACCCCATGAAGTTACGGGTGCGGGTCTGGCCGGGGAGAAGGGAGTGGCCAGACCGAAGATCGACCTCAGTCCGTGCCATGTATGCTGGCGAAAACCGACGGATAAGTCACAGCTGGATTCATATGCTTATTGTGAGGGGTGTGGGGAGAGGACATGTTTTGTTTGTATGAGGGTTTGTGAAGGGGTTGGGGGTTTGGAGAGTAGGCGGATGGGGATTATAGTTGGGGATGGGGCGTTTAGTTTTGAGTTGGATAACCCCGTGGCAGTGGATAGGCAGGACTGGCAGACATGCAGTGGTGGGAGTGGTGAAGAAGGCAGGGAGGAAGAAGGAAGAAGAGCCTGGTACAAGGATATGATAGAGGGTCATAGAGGTCGGATATGCAGTCGGTGTTGTGTGGAACGAGGCGCGGAGGGTGATGTTTGGTGCTTGGGGTGCTTGAGAACTGAAGAGGGAATGAGTTGAGATGGCGATCGAGGTATACTTCACCACTTGCGCAAGACTAGGGCCCGGCGTCCGGATATGGGACATGGAGCAAGGAGTACTGGCGTCTTGGAGGATCAATGCCTAGATATCTCTATACCTATCGGTTTTCGACTAAGAGGACGAAGCAGGGAACACCGATACTTCGTGGAGGCGCTATTGTATCTTGCACGCACAACACTACTGCGATTTTTGAAAGTTTCAAATGACCTCACACCTGGTTGAATACCTGTCATTCTCTGCTTTTCCAGCCCAAACACTTCTGCAAGGCCAGAACAGTCTTCACAAACAAGTGTATGAGAACCCACGCCACCTTCTATCACATTGCACCAGCTCAACACCTCCCCCTTCTCATGATAACGATAGTCAACGTCCACCTTTTGTTTATTTTCACCCTAGGCACAATAAGTAGGGCAAGCAAGGAACTTTAATTATCCCGCCCATCCGATTAAGGTTATTCCTGGAAAGGTCGTATTTAGCCTCAACTTCCTCCGTCAGACTCCTCCCACGCTCATCCCATCTCCAAGGTTATAAATTAAAATAAGCCTCCCCGATTCCAGCCTCTTCTTAGAACGTCACACACGAAGGAGGTTGATGAGGTCGGGATGTTGATTTCTCGAAAGAGTGTTGGCCGGTCGGGAGGAGGGGCAGGGACGGAACGGAAGGAAGACGGCTAAGCTTGCTTCAGATTGAGTTGTTCTGAGTTTGAAACTCACTGGAGAATGGAGATGGAACATTCTTTCCGTGCTTCTTCATTTTCGAGACCTCTGCCACAGTTCTCTCAGATCGAGCACTCAGGTGTTGAACATTCGTTTAGCCTCAGAGAACGGATAGCAGGATCTCTCACTCACAACTTCAATCCTCGGTGGCTGAAAGCTTCAGTTTCAACCCCCAACCTCCATTTCCACGAAAGCTTTCTTAAGATAAACCGTTCCTCTGATGTGATCTTGTCCGTCTCACATCTAAGCATGGCCCTCCGTCCACGTTCCTCTCGTCTCCATAAACGGTATCAACCTCATATCCTTTCCCACTCGTCTCCAAAAAGAGATTTCAGGCATCGCAAACGCCCTGGAGATCGACTCAGCCTCGCGTGTTAACTTAGCCGTACGATCCCGAGATCTATTTCTGAGGCTCTTGGCATCATACTTGTAAGGCTGGAGGCGGATTTGGAAGCGATGCCTCGATCAGCCAACTGAGAGTATGCCGTGAGGGACGAATGAGAAGCGGTGATTTGACGGTTTGGTACGCGGTGCAGTGACGTGTGGATGGAGTCGGCTAGGACGGATGTAAGGTATAATATGTTAATCAACATATAAAGGGGTTGAGAGTCCTCTGCAAGAAGTTTCTTCTGTACAGCACAACACAACACATTTTCAAAGCCTTCCATCTTATTCCTAGCCAACTCTATACCCAATCAATTGACCAATCAATCAAATTTCTTAATCATCACCCAATATTACCATCGATATGCAACTCACACTTCTCACCCCAATCATCCTCCACCTCGCCTCAGTCCATGCCCTTCCAACTCCAGTCCAAGCCACAAGCTCCAGCAACTCCACCGACTCCAGTACAAACAACACAGGCCATTACCCCCACGCAGCTCAAAATCACGTCGTTGCAATCGTCGACCTCTGTGGTAAAGGTGGCTGCCAACCCAAAGTATGCAACCATAATTTTCTAATCAATTTAAATGGGTATTCAGCTGTAACGGAGGGTTGTAGTACAAGTGTAAAGATTACGACGGGGAGCGGTAATTCCTACTGTGAGTTTCCTTTCTTGTTCTATCCTGGCTTATGAATTTCGAATTGGTGCCCGTCGACTTAGACAGACATGTTGCGGAGCTGACTGCTGTTAACCTCGGAGTAGGTGATAAACGCCATGCTTTGTCTACACCGGTTCTGCCTCCTATGTTTTTAGAACAGCTGGAATCTTTGGTCTCGACTTCCTGGATTGGCAAAAAAAACCTCTACAAGCTGCTGTCAACGGCTTCAAAGATGCAACTCATGTGCTGGAATGGTCATGGCCCAGCTATTTTTGGGACACATTTCAAAAGCGGCCGCCTCCATTGGACTTGAAGGAATTCCCACTATGGCAAGCACAAATCAGATCCTTCATGCTTTCGATGGTCATTTCCGAGGGTCTCTACGCATTCCCTACCACTTATTTATCCTCTCTTCCTCCATAATGAGCCCCGTTTCAAATCTCATTACCAGAAGTCAATATATAGAAGTTGTCAGAAACGGTCATGAAATATCTTAAGTTGACCAAGCACAATCCAAGAAGATTTAGAGTGGATATGAAGTGGTTGAGGAGATCATGAGACATATAGAATTTATAGATGATATGGAGTTCATGGAGGATATAGAATTGTCCTAAGGAGGAAATGGGGCGAGAGATCAGCCAAGATGGAGGAGTTTGCTTTTGCATGGCTGCCTATGAACTCGAGTAGCAAAATGGGCCGATCACGAAAGGAGGTAACAATGTTTGATCACGTGACGAGTGGTAGAATCATCCCCTGTCTCTCTCACTCTCCTTACGGCTAGTTGACAGACGTCGAGTAGAACATAAAAATCAAACGAGAACAGCCCAACACAATGGGCTAGGAACAAATACCCAAGTCTCGACTCTCAGCTGACCGAGTGTCAGCGCTCAAAGAACCAGATGAACTCGAAACATGTTTGCATGAATCGGTGTCTGCATGCTATCGATAGGAAGATCTTCCTCCGCACAGATCGTATGCCCCGTGGTGGATCCTTCTTTTCTTCCACCAAGTCCAGACCTTGTCAGGGGGGTGGATATCAAGTGTATTAAGAACTTTAGGTGTGGCTGAAAATATGGTTGATTGGCGAACAGACAGTGCATCCGTATCATGGAGCGGCACGTGCGGAGATCCAAGAGGTCCCTTCACAAGTTTCATAACTGCGGGTGATATGGCGGTTGTGCAGCCTACGTGGGAGAGAGGAGAGAGGTTTTGCTTCGATCCTATGGGGTTGTTTCAAGTCCGAGGCCCCCTGGCTAGCTTGCCTGAAAAGGAGCACCAAGCGAGACACTAAGAGGCAGATCTGGGACCAACCACAACCTCACAGCTTCTCGCCGTTTAAGTCTTGTCAAACACGCATTCGAATGGCCTACCCGCACTCAAGAAACAGGTCGTCCTACTGGCCGAGCACTCATCCACCTTTCACAAAGATCAGACGCACGAAATGTCCGACGAAGCGGGCGCGGGCTAGTTAGTTCTCTAGCATCTGCTACCACTCGTCTAGCTAAACCCGCGAAACATTTCCTTCGGCTCCTCAAGGCCAACACCTTTCAACGAGTGTTGTACCTCGACACGTACTCCCATATTCACAGATAATCACGCTGGGGTGCCTTGTCAGCGCTCGAGTGGAGCCACAAAGCTTGTCCCTATGTCGCAAACCGACTGGGGGGCAACAGGGAGGCACACGGTCCCCGAATCTGCCACCGAGCTCAGATGCTCAAGAAGGCTTGAGTATTATATGACTTCCACATTTCCCCTTCCGGAAGAGTCAGAAGTACTTTCCCCTTGTTTGTCGTACAACTGTCACTCCTTAAGCTGTTATTCACTTCTTTCTTGTTCTTTACAATAGGAAGGACATTGATTGTTCCACCTGGGCTTTGTCAGAACAATACTTTCTTGACTTCTATTCAAAGAACAAAGACTTCCACATTCATTGAATTATTCCCTACCTTTCTATATATTCGATTCGAAACCTTTTGCCTCGATCTTTCTACAAAGCTTCTGCAAATAATTCCCGCGATACATTGCAAAACCTTCAAAGAAACAACCTTTCAATATGCATTCCTCACAACTTCTCATACGCCTCGGCGCCTCTCTTCTTTGCGCTGCTGGCATCGCAAATGCAAATTACGCAATCACAGACAACTACGATCATACCAACTTCTTCCAACAGTACGACTTCTTCAACGGTGCGGACCCAACACACGGATTCGTCAAGTTCGCTGCCTCCGCTGCTATCGCCAATACAAGTGGTCTAGCCGGACTCAGCAACAATGCAATTTATTTGGGCGTAGACTCAACTACTGTCAATCCTGCTGGTGGTCGGGGTGCTCTCCGCGTGTCGTCGAAGAAAGCCTACACCCACGGCCTCATCATCGCGGACATTGTTCACATGCCGGGTGGAATTTGCGGCGTATGGCCCGCATTTTGGACTTTTGGGCCAAACTGGCCTGCTTCTGGTGAAATCGACATCATAGAAGGGGTCAACGACCAGACTACCGATTCGGTCACCCTCCACACCACACCTGGATGCTCCATGAGTGCTGCTGGCTCTCTCGCGGGTACCACACTTGCAAATCCTGACTGCAGCGGTGACACCGGCTGCAGCGCGAGCACAACAAACACTCAAGGCTATGGCAAGGGCTTCAACTCGATCGGCGGTGGAGTATACGCAACACAGTGGGAGAGTACCGGAATTTACGTTTGGTTCTTCCCTCGCAATGCCATTCCGTCAGATATCACTTCTGGATCTCCCAACCCATCAGCATGGGGAACACCCACAACCATGTTTGCTTCCGGCAGCGGCTGCAATGTCGACCAGCATTTCATGAATCACCAGATCGTGTTCGATACCACGTTTTGCGGCGACTGGGCGGGAGCAAGCAACATTTGGGGAGAATCTTGTCAAAAATCGACCGGAGCCGCTACATGTCAAGGCTTTGTGGCAGCAAATCCTTCAGCTTTCAATGAAGCCTACTGGTTGATCAACTCAGTCAAGGTCTATTCCATTGGTGCTGCTAAGAGAAATGCGGTCGTGCCAACGCCGTTCGTTGCTTAGAGAATGTCAGCCGAGCCGGACTCGAAATTTTCGCTTCTTTGAAAATACTTTTAGATTTGGAGCTTTAGCGTTGATACCTTTGTTTTTTTTTTTTTTGGCGACATGGCGTTGTAAAGAATGGGTGTCAGCGCTTGGTGGCGAGTTATGCGTACATATGACTACCTTTCTTGTCTAAAACATGAACTGCTTAGATTCATACAATTCTTTGTTTGTGGAAATGTGAATAATGCTTTTGATTGTAATGTCTTTGTACCCCCAGAATAACAGACCACGCTTACTTGCAGTCATGCAAATCCCAAGCGCGAGGTTCTTCCCGGACAACAGAATCCTTGAAATAATTCTTCCATCTCTCGAAGTCAAAAGTCCCATCCTCTAGCTCTTACTCATTGGGTCACCTCTCCAAACGAAAATTCTTCCCTCCAATGCCTCTCCACTTTCAAGCTTGATATCACGTTTGCACCAAGTATATGAAGCTGTCTCATAATCTTTTGACATCCCCCATTGCTATTATCTGTTCCAATACTAACTATCGTGCCTGAAATAGGAAGTGGAGAGACAGCAGATGGAACTAGTGCGGGACAGATACCCCGCAACTTGAGCATGAAGTCAGAGACGGTACCACGTAAGAGAGATGGAGGCTCGCTTAGGCAGGGGAGAGTCTGCAGGACCTGAGGGTCCATAAGAGTCCCATAAGTGAAGAGGGGACAGGGCGAGAATGAAGCTGAAGGCAACTAATCTTCGACGTCACTGATTGGTGCTTTGGGAGATGGGAGGTTTGAGCAAGTGGAGGTGGGCTCGATTTGGATACTGGGCCAAGGGGAGGCGGTGGTGAAGGCAAGGTTGTAAGAGATATCTGGTGATGGAAAGACCTTGCTTCTGCTTTGACATTCGTCGCATGGAACTATTTTGTCCACTTTGGAAACACTGTGGAGATTTCTAGCGTTCTAGATAGTTCGTGAAGTTTTATAGAGTTGGGATTAAAATGAGGAAATTCGCTGAGCCTGAGGGTATTTTTGTGCATGAATTGCGGCCTCGGAGACGACGTCACTTCGGGAAATTCTGAGAAACACTCGGTGATTTGAAGGGTCTTCCCAACCGCCTCTTTCACGACTACACCACGGAATCGCCAGTCACAATTTACACGAGGATAGCTTGCCGGATATCCAAATCGCCATTCCCTTTAAAAAGCGCATCTCCAGGAGAGACCAGTCCCTCAAATATGCGGTCCTCAATCCTACGACGAAATCAACAAGTCCTCCGCACTTGCGAAGCTTCTACCCGCCGAACCATCACAACGAACTCTTCACGAACCTCGAAAGCCCCGTTACCAATTTGCCAAGCATGCAGTAAAAAGCTTCTTCAACATCCAGCGCAAAGGCAGTCCCAAAGACGTTTCCAAAGCTCCGCCGCCACCCAAACCAACCCCTCCTCAAACGACTCAGTACGAACTAACCCAATTCCCCAAACACACTATGAATTCTTCCCCAAGACGCTGCCTCAAGGTCCCCCACCCTCTGGACTTTTCCATATCGACATCCGGGAACTGCGACGAGAGTTCCTGCAGCTGCAAGCGGTAGCACATCCTGATCGACATCCACATAACCTGAAGACACGAGCAGAAGCGACATCTGCACGGATCAATGAAGCGTACAAGACATTACAAAACCCTTTATTACGAGCACAATACCTGTTAAGTTTGCGGGGCATAGATGTCGCCGAGGACGAGACAGCGAAGGTGGAAGATCCGGAATTATTAATGGAGGTACTGGATGCGAGAGAAGAGATTGAGAATGCGAGGGAAGAAGAGGAGTTGGAGGAGATGAAGAGGATTAACGAGGAGAGGATCGAGAGGAGTGAGGCGATATTGGATGCGGCGTTTAAGAGGGATGATATTGAAGGGGCGAAGGGGGAGGCGGTTCGGTTGAGGTATTGGGTTAATATTAAGGAGAGCTTGGATGCTTGGGAGAGGGGGAAGCCGATTGTGCTTGTGCATTAAGGTGGGAAGGATGGGAATGAAGGTATTGGATATGGAGAACTTTGCTAGGGAGCACGTAGATCTGAGTGCTCGAGCCACATATTAGATCGAGATACCCAGTGTGTAAAATAGGGCATATCTTCACTCTAGATTTGGAGACGAAGAAAGATCAATCTCTAAAGATATTTCGGGGGTATTATGTACAGGCCCAAAAACTGCCGGGTCTATCTCCATAAGACGCCTCACTGCTCCAAGCCACCCACTGACCTATATGCACATATGCTTCCGCTTCTCATCCATGCTATGAGTAAGTGCCATAAGCAGCATAATCTTGTTCAGGCCGGCCGTAAATCCTAAGCAGATCGACAGCATTCTGATCAGATAGTGTTGACGCATATGGACTGCTATATGTCGTCCTATTCTCAGCTCCCAACGCTTCGAATATTGTCCCAGCCTGCTGCCTCTCCACGGATTCTGCCTCCGGTCCAGGTTTCCTCCTTCTCCTTGGCCCTGGCCTGCCCCTACCACCATTCCCCTTCGGCCCCCCTTTCCCCCCAATAAAAGGAATACCTCTCGCCTTGATAAACCGAGACATCGTAGTCGTCCCTAGCTCCACCCCGGTTCTCTCCTTCACAGCCCTCACCACCTCCTTCAACTCCATCTCCGCATTGCTCTCCACCACCGCCCTTACACTCCGCTCAATCTCATCCTGATCCGCCCCTCTTAGCGCTTTCGGGCCTGGTTTCTTCTTAATATAAGTGCCAGTAGCGTTGATAGTCCTTATGCGGCAGTGGATGAAGCGCACGGATTCGTAGGTGGTGTTGAAGATTGCGGCGATGGCTTTGAGGTCTGGGCGCTTGCCTTGGGAATTTGCTGTATTGATTGCGAGCTCGATAGCTGCGACGACTTCCTTGGGGAGTTGCGGAGCCATTGTACTGCTGCTTGACCTGAAGTGATGTCGAATGTACGAGGCTGGAGGGGACGACAGGGGTAATCCTCGGATGACGATTTCTAAAGCTTATTTTCCAATGGCCCGATCTTCGCAAACTTCACCACCGAGCAGTCTCTGGACTCTGGGAACCGTTCTTGAGACAGAAATGTAATTACACTATGGCACTTCTGAACATTCGTTTCTGTATCAATTGATTGCGAGCCCGCGGGGCTTCGCTCTCGAGTGGCTCAGAGGGATGGCTTCTATTTTCCGAACGGTTTCTTTCACGGCTTGCAGGACGGATGCTTTGCTCAGTAGAAGGATATATGCAAGTCGAATATCTATTACAGGAGCTGCTGCTTTTCACACAGCTCTACAATTGACCTCACGACATACGCAGCGACCGTCTCAACAAAACCGGGCACACCCATCACAGACATCCTCGAGACCCATCCACACCTCACAGCCTCTGCAATCAAATTCAAAGTTCTCCTACGGCATAGCAGCCTCCTTCTCCGCAAAAGATGAGCGCTACAACCCAGACGCAAACGTCTTCAACTTCAACCCCTACAATCGGATCCTCGCTCGTCGAAAAGACACACGGACACGCCCCCGCTCAGGCCAAGATGCCTTCTTCATCTCCCGAGTCAATAATACACCAGACGTTGCGTTTGGGATCGCAGATGGTGTAGGAGGGTGGGCAGATTCTGGTGTGGACCCAGCAGACTTTGCTCATGGATTTTGCGATTATATGGCGCATGCGGCGTATACATATAAAGCAGCAGAATGGAATGGTGGGATGGGAGCTAGAGCCTTGATGCAAAGGGGATATGAGGATATCTGTCGGGATGACAATGTGCTTGCTGGTGGGAGTACTGCCTGCGTTGGTATTGCGAGAGGAGATGGCGGATTGGAGGTGGCGAATCTGGGGGATTCGGGGTATGTGCAGTTGAGGTTGAATGCGATTCACAGTGCTTCGGAACCGCAGACTCATGCGTTCAACACCCCGTACCAGTTGTCGATTGTCCCGGAGAAGGTGCTGGCTCAAGCAGCAGCGTTTGGGGGCGGACAGCTCAGGGACTTCCCGAAGGATGCGAATGTTAGCCACCATGAGTTGAGACATGGGGATGTGATTGTCTTTGCTAGTGATGGAGTCTGGGACAATCTTTCAAGTCAGGAGATCTTAAAGGTTGTGAGCAGGATTATGATTGGTGTTGGGGCTTGGGAACATACAGAGGATGGGGTCAATGTTGGGAGAAGCTTGAATCAGTTTATACTTGCTGATGATGGGAAGAGTGGCGCGGAGGAGATACCCAGCTTGCAGAGCTTCTTGGCTGTGGGGATTACGGGGGAGGCAAAGGCTGCGAGTGTGAATACGAAGAAAGACGGCCCGTTTGCCAGGCAGGTACAGAAATACTACCCGTATGAGAACTGGAGGGGCGGGAAGATGGATGATATTTGCGTGGTTGTTGCTGTTGTATGCGAGGAGGGGAAATAAGACTTCATGGAAAGTGAAGTATAGGTTGTAGGATATTGCATATCTGCCAGGTAGCAGACTTTGTATCACTATCATATGCTATAGAATAGGAAGCTGCAATAGTAACTCAAATGGAGCGTGGAGCGACATTGGCCGGAAGTCAGCTGCAGACTAGACAGTCAAATGGGAGAGTGGTTGATTCAGCTAGGCCTGCGTTTAGCAGTCTCCAGCCTACAAGTGTTGGAACCTCTATTCAAGGCACTTTTCCTTCTACAAATCGTTCATGAGATGCTCTTGCCTCAAATGAGGTACCGACGGAGTGTGTACTAATTAAGAAACCTCATTTTGCCATGCCGCAACAGGCTAAATTTCTTCCACACCAGGCTGCAGAAAATTTGCTTAGTTTTGATAAACCTCGCCGTAGACACCATAAACCTACCCCTCTTAACTACGTTATACATTCTTCTCTAAATACGAAAATGATTTTGGCAAATCTGGCGGAGTCAAGTGCTAGTAGTATAAATAGAGGTCCCCTTCAGTAGCACAAGCTGCCACAACTTTCACCCTGAGCACTACAGAAGAACATATTATATTCTTCAAATTAATTTTCTAAAGTTCAGTAACAACCAGCATCACGACAAGCCTTACCACCTTGATTCTCGCCTCCTCATTTGTTTAGCAGCAACCAGCACCTTCAACCCCCATCCACATCCAAATTGCCACTCCCCCCACCGGAAACCGAACACTCACCATCACCGACGACGACTCTCCTTCAAAAGGGCTTGATAATCAATGCAACGTGGACTTGAGGACAACCTGCGGAGGCGACTTATCATAAGGGACCTGTCTCCCTCTGGTACGGAGAGGAGGGAGACACATTGCACCTTGTGTGTACGCTGTATACCGGCCGAGCAAATTTTGTGCAGAGCTGCCCTTTGACGGACAGCAGTTGTAGTGGGAATTTTGCGTTGAATCGTTATGCGTTCCTTGGTAGAGATTGGGCAGAAGCATTGAGAAACTTGGGGCTCGTATTTGACCAATTCTTTAGCATTAAAACCCTCGATTGTCTCCGCACATGAGATATCAAAAATTGCTTTAGAAAGAGTATCTGTCACTAATCTATTCCGTACTTATTCTCAAGGTATCAAAACATTTCATCCAATATTCTGATGAATATATTCCGAGGGATTGGCGATCAGGAGTTGGAGGGACCTTGTTCTATAACTTTCGGTGCCTAACCAGCTCGCGGTTCTATGTTGCCAACCCCTTAAGACAAAAGTCGTCCAGGCCTTTATTCGCTCGAGTTCCCAAGCGGCCTCTGAGACTCGAGTGTTTTGCTATTCTGGATCTTGCTGTAGCTAACTTTTAATATAGTGTTGAGTACTTTCGGGCCATTATAACTTTTTTTTGGCGACGTTTTTAAACGCCGAGGCGGTTTGAGAATCGTAGCCTCGCATTCTCAGCCTCGTATCACGACCCAGCAGGATGGATCCATCAATCAAAAGCTTCCATTCACGAAGTGGGTGCCAAGGATTGCACCAGCCACCAATCCTGATCATATTTTACCCCTGAGCCGACGAATAAGGCTAAATGTCTCTTATATCAACACTCACTTCTCCTTTCCATTCCAGTCTGTCCTTATTCTCTCGATCATCAATCTTACGATGATACCGACAAAACGCACCTCCCTCCCTCTCCTCCTCCTTCTCGCAATCCGACACCGATGGCGCCGAGTCCTCATCCTGCTCTCCCTCCTGTACCTGCTCAATGCATATAACAACCAAAAACATCCCTTCACAACCAAACCACATACCATCACCTCTCTGTCTCTCGAATACGAACGCGCACACCTTTCCCCAAGCTCGTCTCATCGCCAACTCCTCCCCCTGTCCGAAGCATCCGCCCTCTGCTCAGCACACAACTGGCGCCCATGGCCACACCGAGGGAATGGGGGACGAAAAGTCTACGACCTATTCATGCTAAACGATGAGTTAGACTGGCTTGAAATCCGACTCCATACATTAGCACCATACGTTGATTACTTTGTTATTTTGGAGAGCGCTGTGACGTTCACGAAGCAGGAGAAGAAGTTAGTGCTGAAAGAGAATTGGGACAGGTTTAAAGAGTGGCATGGCATGATTATCTATAAAGAAGTTACCGGGATGCCTGTCGATGCGCGGCGGACGTGGGATTTAGAGGATTTCCAGAGGAACGCAATGGTGCTGCAGGGATTGGGGAGTGTAGAGGGGACGGAGAAGGCGGCCAAAAAGGGAGATGTGTTGATCGTTAGTGATGTTGATGAGATTCCGCGGCCAGTTAGTGTGGTGTTGTTGAGGGAGTGCAGGACGCAGAAGAGGGTGACAATTAGAAGTGTGTTCTATTATTATGGGTTTCAGTATCGGCATAAAGGGAAGCAGTGGAGCCATCCGCAGGCTACGGTTTATGCGGAGAGAAGGACGATCTTGCCGGTGGATTTGAGGAATGGGGAGGATAGCAAGATTTATTTTTTCTGGACGTGGTGGGATAAAGCGGAGTTGTGGAATGGAGGGTGGCATTGTAGTACTTGCTTTAAGACCGTGGAGGAGGTGTTGAGCAAGATGAGGAGCTTTAGTCATGTCGCGTTGAATCAAGAGCCATTTAGGGATCGGGCGAGGATTGTGGATAGGGTGCGGAAGGGGCTCGATTTGTGGGATCGGAAGGGGGAGGTATATGATGAGATTTATGGGAATGTGGATATCCCCGAGTATTTGAAGGAGGATAGGGAGAGGTGGGAGTTCTTACTGGACCGGAGTGGGAGCAATGCCGCTTTCCAAGATTATGATCCCAGTGCGACTGCTGGCGATTGAGCGCTGGGAGACAGACAATCGATCAAGAAACTTGGAGTCTGTGATCACAGCACGTGAAAGCGGCTGCTACCGTGGAGACCCTTGGGTAGATCTGCTACCAGTGATCCGGGCCCTATGTAAGACAAGACCACAAGCCCCATGGCACACTTGTGATTAGTCCTCAGGAAACGTTTCATGTATAAAATCTCCCCCTGGTAAGATCGAGGGATGATCTATCCCTAGATTCAGTAGACTTGGTAGACTTTGTCCAAGCATCAGTCATGTCAGACAAGATTGTACGAAAGACATGAATCCCTCTCACACAACATTATCCCGGGCGCTCAGTTGTATGAACTATTTTCCTTGTTGAGATGGCTAGAAACTCTTATAGACAACGCATTCAACGCAAATTTGTGTTTCAACAGTGCAGAATGCAGCAGACGCGAACCATAGTGTGACGAAATAATCAGGACAGAAATCCTGGGTTACCTTGGTAATTCATCTGATACTGTAACACCAGGCAGTGGCAGTTCTTCTCCGCGCAGTGGAATACGGCTACACACATATTCCGTGATGCCTCGGTGAGTTTGTCGGCGATTTGCACCGATCACTGCTTTCTTGGAGGTTCTTCGGTGGGAGGAGAGAGGATATATATGGCAGGGGTAGGGAGCGATTTGTGGTGGCTTCGAGGAGACGTCCGTAACCTTCAGGGAGTAGGGCCGTATCTTGCATGGTGGAGGATTTGCCTTGCAGATAGCCCGTTGCAACGGGCGGGAGGCAGAAAAGTTCGAGGCCCAAAAGTACAATTGCTGGTCGATAGCCTACATCGTTAGGAAATTCCAGGACGACTTTCTTCTCCTCCGAGGACCATTTCGAAATCTATATTGGTGAACGAGGTGGCAATTTTGTGCTCCATGAGGTGTTTGCCTACTGGTATATCTGGTCGGGCTTCACCCACAGCGTTACAGATTCGGGGAACCGAGAATTGGTACTCGTCAGGTCTCTTCGGTGTGCCTCGAGGGAAACAGCACCGCGCAGCTTTGAATTCTCATTGCAGCGAATAGCCGCCATATCCCGGCCCGACGTCTGGAAATGTCTGGGTCTCGGCTCTGGGCGTTGGTTGATGACATGAGAAGCGTTTAAAACCAAAAAGCAAATCCGCGAATGGCGACTCTACCTTGGAAACGGACGCAATGACCCGTTCTTGACATCCAGTGGGACTGACAACGGGATGGTCCTCGGGGCTGATTTGATATCCTCCAATCAATAAAATGCAAGGAAAGCAAACATTTGAATTATAGTTTGTGATAGAAGTGCAAATGTGAGCCGTCTCTAAGCTTTCATTTGGTGGACTTGCTGATCTTCCTCGGAGCGTAATTGTATGTATATGGAGATCCGAAAAGGTAGACATGGTCTCTCCGGAGTGGTCGCCACCGCTGGTCTCGTGTGACATCTTCCGGGTGTCGAGTCGAATCGATGTGCTCAATGCAGCTTTCCTGATCTCCTCTGCGCCCCTTTCGATTGATTGGATCAAAATCTTCCCACCCCATGTCAAGAAGCATGAAACTCTAACCTGATCCGGAGGGCTGGGTCGGCTCGACGGCTGCGATTATGCGGGGATCCATCAACCTCACGTCTTCTCTCGAGCACGCTGGAGAAAGTATCACGAGCAACCCAACGAATCCTATCAACTTCTAGACCAAGGCTGCATGTGAGACCTCGGCGGCGAGATGGCAGAGGCCAGACACCAAAGGATGCCGAATACGTGGTGTTGTGGGCGGATCTTTCTGATCCGGAAAGAAGCAAGGAATGCTTTCTTTTGCAGCGCGTCATCCGGACTTTTTTCGCAGCCTTCTGGTGTGAGGTCTATTGCTTTTGAGTTGAGTGACACCGGCGGAGGGCAAATTGAGACCAACGGAGCCTTTTTGGTGGCCCAGGAAAGCGCCATTGGACTGTATTCGTAGGTGCCGGCGCCTCATCCTCTCTCCAGCCTCCTGTACACCATCTCGCCGTTTGAAAGCACCAATCGAGGAGCTTCGAGGCCCCTGAACCCCGCTCCCGATGGATTGACTCAAAAGCACGTAAACATCCCAAGGCTGTTCTGGGTGTGTGGAGGCGCCACGCTTGTCAGCTCGCAGCACATGCACAGCACGCTGCGCTCTATATGACAGGTGCATGACCCTTCATAACACGAATACTCAAGCTCTAGTTGAACACTAGAACCTCGAGATCTCCAGCCCTTGCCTCACCTACAACCCAGCGGCAGTGACACAGCGTCTGCAGTAGCTCGCGGCTGACAACTCCTACCAACGACACTGCATAGCTCGGCCTAGCGGCGCAAGAGGCGGGAGCACAGACAGTTGAGGCACCTTGACCAAATCAAGCTGGTTGTCCTTTGGAATTTTCTTTGCGAGTGGCAATTTCTGCTTGTTGTGTTGGCTGTGTTGCGCTGTGTTGTGTGGCCACGCTTCATGAGGCCCTCGAGTTCCTTCCCTCCTCAATACAGACATCGCCAAAGGAAAACACGTCTGGGAGGGCAAACATTGGCCCAAACCTCGCTCCGCGTTCTCTTCACTTCCTCCGCACCACACTCCTGCTCCACCTTTGCATTTCAACCCCTCCACAGCAGCATTCTCATTCTCAAGGTAGATTCTGCTTTCAGGCGAAGAGCCGTCCCGCATCCTGACATCAGCTCCGCTTGGAGGCTTTCGTCTTGTCCGGCCTCCCATTACAGAAGAAGCGCACCGGCCCCTGCCGCATTCTTCCTCAACGCGGACCCAAAGCCGGAAGGTACATAGTCCCCTTTCTCTTTCGTGATTTTCTTTCCTATCGAGTTTGATAACTTATATCGTGTTGTAAACTCCCAAATCATGAAGGTTTACGCTAACAGCCGTGGTTAGGTTGACTGTTGAACTCGAAAGAAATAGCCACAAGTACCTCTATGGGTCCAGCCCTACGTCAGCATTGAGGGAATCGACGGTCATTCATTGGGCTCTCTCCTTTGTTTTTGCTCCGGCAACAGAGGCTATACTGTGACTCTGCACCTCTTGCAGTAGCATATCTGAGTGGACCCAGGGTGAGCGAGCGTCTTTGACAAGCCCCGGTCCTAACTGAATTCACCGCGCCGATCATCGGCTGAAAGACGTGGCCTCTTGAAGGCGAACGGTTTTGGTCCTTTCAAGCTTGAGCACTAGCCGACCTCGCAACGGCATTATCATCCAGTAGGTATCCCCATCCGATCACACCTCCGTCTTCAACCACTTTCACCCCGTACCCTTTTCCCACAACTCCATCTCCTCCACCCCTTATGTTTTCCCCTTCATCATAGAACAACCGAAACCTTTTCCCAGGCTATTACCGCCTGGAATAACCGTTTGTCTCTTGTTGATTGCAAGAAAGGCCTACGCACCGCGATCTAACCTTTTGACAGGCACCAAAGCGCGCGTCATCCGATCTTTCGAGCCTTCTCCGGGGCGAACCAATTGATCTCACTAATGAGAACTACTGTAAACTGAACGGTAAGCTCTTGACAACCTATTTCCAGCAGATGTCGATGTCGCGTGTAGCTAATGTACATCTCCTTCAAGGTGAACGAAAACCGGCGGGGCCTTTTTTCAGACTCTTCCAAGGATTTCAATCTCCAGTAGTAGATCTCTAAATCTCATCATCATTGAACTTTCAGGATGGCGTTTTCTCAAGATATTGAAGACTCTGGCCGTCCAAAGAAGCTTCATAATAAAGCCTCAGTTCCCTCCATAGAGAGGAAGCAACCAGGCACAAACTTCATGGGCAAGTTATTTGGCAAGCAGCCAGAGAACAAAGGCAGACAGGAAGACTCTTTGGGACCGGAGATCGGCGATATTAGCCGAATGGCATACTTGGGCAACCTGAAGCCTGCTGTGTTCGTCCGGCCAAATGACCCATCACACCAAGGCTCTCAAATGCAACCTCGTAGAGAAGAAGGCCTTCCTCCCCGGGGAGCACGCTCGGAAGACGGATCAGATTCGTTTGTGTCTCCTATTACTCGAGCACGTAACCGTGCGGAGACGGATGCAATCCTAACCGGCCGCGTCTCAGAAGAGGACCCAGAGTTCGCTGCGGAGGAAGATACTTTCGATAATAGTGCCGAACATGCCGAACAAGAAAATTTTGATAACAATTTCGAACATCCCGAGCGAGAAGGTTTCAACAGCAATTTCGAATATGCCGAGCGAGACGCTTTCAACATTGACGAGAGTGACAATGTCAATGATGTTTGCGGATCCTCTGAGGAATGCACTGTCGAGTGTGTTTCTTTGCAACGTGATACGCCTCGTGCAGACACTCCCGATCTCAATACTAAGCAGCAAATCGAGTACGTCGCCGTCATCAACGGGCAAGGCCGCGCGGGAGCTGAGCAGTGGAAGCACTACCTCGAGTGCTATACGAATGTATGTGCTTTGGCCCTGTTTCCCTTTTCCCGTAATACTTGATGCTGATGCTGATTGCTTCCAGGGCCAATTCAGCTTAATCAGACCCCCGCCTCCACCTCAGTACAGCCGCAACTTTAGATTCCTCAGCGCAGTCTACCCTCCGAACGAGGCTGAGAGGCTGTCACTGTGCGCCAAGTATGATATTGTATGGGCCCACGGATCTGAATGTGAGAAGCTCGGTCTACTGGTTGCTCAAACCATCAAGAGATTTGGCGCGCTCTCCGGATGCGTCAGCTTCTTCGATGAGCAGAATGAGGTGGTCAAGATTGAGAGCGGATACCAGCGATCGCTGATTGACCGTAATACCAGCATTGCAGCTCATGTTCTGTACGCTTCGGACGTCATGGTTGTGTTGGATACAAAACAGGTTTGTGCGACCACTTCTTCGTATATTTCTTGATGCTGATGGTATAGGACTGGCGATTTGAAAACAATCCGCTCGTGGACTTCAAGCCAAGGATCCGATTCTTTGCTGGAGCACCATTACTGTCTACTGGAGGTGAGGTGGTCGGCGTTCTCTCAGTATTTGGAAAGGAGCCTCGAATTGCCTTCACCCCTCAGCAGCGTAGTGAGCTTGCAGAGTTCGGCAAGGATGTCATGAAGGAGCTCAACTTTCTAGCCGACACTTTGACGGACCCCGATTTAAGAACTACCCCACTTCTTGAACGGGACTCTATCATAAATGGTGTCTACAAGCCTCGAAACTTAAGGTCACCACTAAGACTATACAGTACAGAAGATGTAGAGCCGAACCTTATGCCATCTGCACTTCAATGCCAAATGAAGTCTCCGATGACAAACTCTCGACCCTTTATCAACAGCCAGAACAACTTTGGTCCTCATGGCGACCCAACGCCTCCTTCGTCTTCAGAGTCACACAACAACAGCTTCTTCAACAAGCCACAAAGCTTCGGCAAGAACTATGAGCAACTCTGCGAGGATCCGGTGCTCAACGGCCAGGCAACCTCGGGTTCTGGAAACCGTCGTGTTTCAACTCCCCGCCCATTCTCCTCTTCTGACCTTACCTCTATCCACCCGCATCCCCCGAATACTCCAGACCGTTCCCTCATGGAGGAGGACCTGTCCCAACAGACGCTGTTCGACTTGACTGTTGAAGGTTTTTTCCATCTTTCAGATGATGATTGTGCGGAGCAATCACGATTCGAGCAACCGAAGCAACAAGTTGACTACATCGACAGAGTAATTAGCGCACATCAGACGCAGACGCCTCGAAGCATTCCAGCCGATGGCACTGAGAGAGGCAGCCACAAGAGACCTGTCGCCAACGCCAAAGCGCGAAGTGCCGAACTAAACAATCCTTTTGTCGGACAATCCATGGGAGAAATGGACAGCAACCACCCGTCAAGTTCGACGGCACTCGCCCGAATTCCCCCTCCTCCGATGAAGACCCCTCCGAGCATGGCATCTTCGTCGGCAAACGAAATCCCTCAAAAGAAGAACAAAGACCGAGATATGGGTCAGGCGTGCAGTGACTTCGCTAATTTGTATGACTACGATCTGATTTATTGTGTTGTTCTCAAGGAAGACCTACATGTCGAAACTGGATTGCGGATGCGACCTCTGCTTGCCTATGGCCAACATGGCACTAAAGCGCTACCTGAGCTAACACCTGAGATCCACCTCCGTGCCCTTCGCTCCAAGGACTGCGTGGAGTGGCACAACATGCAATGCGAGTACAAAGCCGGCGACTACGCTATAGGCTACATGCTTCCTGTCCATCCAGAAGATGTCGAAAGTGGAACTGGTGTTGTCTTGGGAGCGTTCCGACTACCAAGAGCTCATGGGTATGAGGAGAGACACCCTGACCAGGAGAGACAAACCCTTATCGACTTTGCCAAGAAATTTTCCACTATGTGTCTACCCAAATCACGCCTGCCGACTGAGAGATGGGAGACCGAATGGTCCACGCAAGGCTTTAAAGGCCAACCTACGATCAAGAGATCCCACACCGACCATGTCGCCTCTAGTGCCTTTCCAGCAAATGAGGCTGTCGAGGTCACGTTTGGTGACGAGGCTTCCTACAAGTACTCGACAAATGTTAGTCATTCCGCGTTCACACCCAGCCCCTTTCCCGGAAGTGAGGCCACGGAAGCTTCCTTTGATGAAGAGCGTGTCTACCAAGCCTCCAGAAATGCCGTACCCAATCCCGTCTGGAATCCATTTAACCCGGTCGCGCAAAATCCATATAACCCGGTCGCCCAAGGTCCATTCAGTCCGATGATCCAAAATCCATTCAACCCGGTTGCCTATGGCCGATTCAATCCGGTCACGCATGATCCATTCAACCCGGTCGAACATGCTCCTCTTAGCGAAGAGGATTCTCACGGGTCCACGACAGAGGCAAGCCATGCCGACGTCTACCCACGCAAGATGGAAGTTGTACAGGCTAAAACCAGCAACGGCCGCAAGTTTTCAAAAACTGTTAAGCGATTCGGAGCCGAAATGGTTCAACAAATGGGTCGTGGAGGCTTTGCTTAGAAGCAGACACACAGTTAGGCTTATTCAACCCAAGGTCATCGAACAGGACCTCTTCCACCTTGAAAAATCTCCTGGCTCTCAATTGATCCAGTGCGTTGACGGCATCTGTGCAGCTCCATCCTATAATATAAGGACTCATCGAAGGCATAAAAATCTTTCACACTATTGAGTCCTTTTTCAGTTCTTGTCGCTGGCATGATCGACGATGTCAACAGCTACTCGGCCAATGTCATCCACATTCGTTCCATGATTCTTCCTTCTATTCTCGGAAATAATTGAAAATGTCGGCCTTCTCAACAGCAAGCTGTGGGATTAGATTTCCACTGTTTTCACGAAAATGCTTGCATGCCTCTGTCCTTTTGTCAATGATTATAAGCACCAAGATACCCTTGCTTTACACTCAGTTATTGCTCAGCTGCTGTTTCTCTTTTCCATCTCAGGGAAGGAATGAGAGGGTGGATTAATGAAAAGAAGGGTGGCTTTTATGTACTTACCTTGCGCAATCCTTCCTGTCAGTATCAGCTGACGTTGGAAGCGGTCACTTCATCAACTCGCTTTTATCGTGTAAAGCTTTGTTGCTTGGAACTTAAGAGAATGGCGTTCTTGCTTCCTGTCAGTTCTAGCTGACGTTAGAGGTGGTCGCTTCTTCATTTCTCTTTCACCGTGTGCAGGCTGCCGCTTTGCTCTCTTTTCTTTGCTCTTTGGGGAACGACGCGCCTTTGTTTACTAAGCGAGAAAATAAACAGCCATAAAACGATCTGCCTGTGCCTTTTTGTGACCTGCTTTCGTGACTGTATTGGAGGTTGTGAAGTTGGATTCTGCATGACCCTTTCCTTCCTTATGCACTTTATCCTTTCTTTCTGCCAGTTACAGGAGTCTGCAGCTCTGACCGCAAGTCGAGCAGCTCACATCTCTATAGTGTGGTTCTTCTAAACATACAAGAGCGTATTATTTTTCTGCGTTCGGGAAGACGAAACAATGATCTGGCGATAATGAGACTTGAAGATTAGACATTGCATCTTCCTCATCCCAGCAATCAAGCAACCGGAGAGGTTTATAAAAGGTCTTGAGTCACGCTTCCACATAAGACAATCCAATTGTCTCAATAGACATCACCATGTGCTATGGGTATCGTGGAAATCACGCCTCCTCCGAAGATCCACAATAAATGTTTCGCTGTCTCGGTTCGATGGTTCCTGTTGCTGCTCGAGTTCCTGCTGCTCTATGTGTAGAGGTAGCAGCATTTGTGGTCGACAGGCAAAGGAGGGACAAAGCGTTGTCATGATATCGCAGTTGTCTGTCTTTGTTTTGGCACGGACGAGAGGGGAGGTGATGAGCGGAAAGAAGATAGAAACGGCGGACAAGAGAAGAAGATTGGCGGAAAGGTGGAAGGGTCGGAGGACATCGGGGAAAGGAGGGTCGAAAATGGAAATGTAGATTAGACTGCGAGCTTTCCTTGACAACAAACAGAAGTTGATACCAGTGTGTCACTATGGCGCAGGGTACTGGATATATTGTGATTTTGCTGGAAGGCTAAAGGTCAGAGAGTTGGTCACTTGCGTGTGAATAAGAAGAAAGCCCGCCCCCGGCGTTGGCGAGATTGTTGGGGTTGTTAAAAGAAAGAAGGGAGGGAGGCTGCACTCAGCAGCGAGTAAAGAGGAGGGGTCTTTACAGGGCGGGTCTGAGCACTGCACTTGGAATTACATCAGGGACAGGAGCTTGATTGATTGATCGATTGATTGGCGGGAATCAGGCTCCCGATTGTTTAGTCGGCGCGTTTCCAGCAGCTGAGTTGAGCAAGAGAAGAACCTCCAAACCTTCACATTGCAAGGCGCACCTTAAGGGTGTCCTGTGAAGTGGGTCTAAGGAAAGGAAAAAGAGCCTGGGACTCGCCCTAGGACCCCACTGTGTGGGTGACCAAGTCGGGCAGTATCTAACTAATAAGGACAGCTATGTACAGGAAGTGGTGCGGGGCACCAGGGCAAGGTGGGTGGGTCGAAAAGTGCCTTGAAGTGAGAGAGAAAGTGCTTGAGCAAGAGAGGAGAGCAGAGAAGGGGCCAGAGGCCCATTATATGCTCTTCCTCGCTGGCGCTCAGACCTCTTCTGCTCTTCAAATGGGATGAGACTGCTTTAGTTGTTAGTCGCCATCGGTCAAAAGACAGCCTGTACGTAGCTGACGAAGTACGTTCTCAGAGTTGGACTAGCTGAGGCAGCTTCATTGCAAGGGGCAATTGTACAATATAACTGTTAGGGGAACGATTTCAAGAGCGCAACATTCGGTCTGTAAAAGAATCAAGTCTTTGAAGCCTGCACGGAGTGTAAAAGGTGGGGCGGCTCTCTGTGGTCAACAAAATCAACGGACCTTACACTTGAGGTTTTCTGGAAAAGAAGCAAGAGTGTGGAGGCAATTTCACAAGCAGCAGATCACCCAAGGACAAAGAAAGAGCTCAATATTCCGGAAGAATCGACGTCATCTATTTTACAGCCTCACCATCTATCAACCTTCCATCGTCTCGACTCTTCCCCCTCAATACACTTCTTTCCACCCACCACAATGCCAGAACAAAGAGAAAGATAGATGGAGCAGCATTCGAATTGGCAGACTTTTAGTTTAGTTGAAAGCCTTGGTGAAGGTTGTGACAACGTCCTTCAATCTCGCCTCGAGGTCCTTGCTTAACGCCCCCTCCTTGTCAATTGTAGCCAGAAGATCCGACTCGTTAGTCTTCAAGTGTGCAATGAAGTCGGCTTCCCATTGCAGGATCTTATTGACTGGAACACTATCGAGGTGACCATTGACACCGGCATAGATGAGGGGAACCATTTCGTTGACGGCCATAGGAGAGTATTGCTTTTGCTTGAGGAGTTCGGTCAACTGCAAGGAGATGCTATTAGTTACATTTCTTACTTAAAAATTCAGGAAAATATAACTTACTCGTTCGCCACGGTTCAGGGTTTGCTTGGTAGCGGCATCCAAATCTGAACCGAATTGAGCGAAAGCAGCAACTTCACGGTATTGGGCCAAGAAAAGCTTCAATGAACCGGCAACTTGCTTCATGGCCTTAAGTTGGGCAGCGGAACCGACACGAGATACGGAAAGACCGACGTTAATGGCAGGTCGAACACCCTTGTAGAAAAGCTCGGCCTCCAAGAAGATTTGACCATCGGTAATTGAAATGACGTTGGTTGGGATATAGGCAGACACATCACCACCTTGGGTCTCGATAATGGGAAGAGCAGTCAAGGATCCACCACCGTGTTTGTCGCTCATCTTGGCGGCACGCTCGAGGAGACGAGAGTGGAGGTAGAAAACGTCACCGGGGTAAGCCTCACGTCCAGGAGGACGACGGAGAAGGAGAGACATTTGACGGTATGCAACTGATCATGACATTAGTTTGTGAGATCTCTTCAAGGGCGGAGAATTACTGACCAGCCTGCTTGGAAAGGTCATCAAATATAATGACAGCGTGCTTTCCGTTGTCTCTGTTCAAGGAGTCAGTAGGTGATCAATGAGATTGGAATGGAGGAGTATCTTACCGGAACCACTCGCCCATGGAACAACCTTTATCAAAATGAGTTAGCAGGATAAACAAGGTAATGATGTATTAATGATAAGTCGACAACAGAATGAAAGGTTAAGTTGAAGAATTGGCCGCCAGTGCAGCCTTCTTCAGATGACGTTTGGAAGTCTTGTGGACGGAAAGCGCTGCTGGTGAGGCGAGACTCAACCCATACACTGAGCAATGGTTCTTCTTTGCCTTCCTTGCTTTGTCGGCACATCTGCGCAAAGCAAGTGTACCAGCTTTGATCAGAGAATGGACGCCGTCGATTACGGCAAGTTGACGGGCATGCGCAGCAGTCTTGGGATGTTTCGCCAATGCCCCAGGAGAATCGAAGGGCATTTGGCAGTCATCGCAATTGTGGCGCTTCTCTTTCTTGACTTTGCTCCTGGTTTTCTTTCGGATAGCAACGATTTTCTCGGGATTGTTATGAGCCCATCTCTTTGATTGTTCACGGGCACGAGACAGATAGCCTTCAAGGTCTTCTTCACGTTCGCGGTCGAACCTTGCCTTGTTGCATTTGTTGATGGATTGTCGGATTTTGGCCTTGCGAATCTTCTCCATGGCTTCAAGCTGTTGTGGTGTGAGGTTGAGTTCGTCACCGACGCCTTCAGACGGTAGAAGGTGGGAACATAGCGGACCCCAAGTGACTGAGTCTCGAGTCCAAGGCATGAAACCGCTCCAGATAGGCTCCATGATGGATTTGAAGCAGGCATAGAAAACTGCGGTGAAGAAAGCTTCGAGACAGAGGAAGAGTAGTCGTCCCAGTGGGACGCGTACAGCGCCTGGCAGAGGAGCCCAGCACAACATTCCGATGTGTAGAAGTTCGTAGTCTCGTTCATAAGCAAGACGAACAAAGCGAGGAAGTTGAGGGTGTGTTCTGTCTTTGTAATGGACAGTTCGACAAGTTACCCCATATGTTGCATTGGTGCCACAGCCAATGTATAGGTGGTAGTTGTTTTCGAGGTCGACGAAGACAAGAGTATAAACGCCCCATGTTCTCTTCTTTGGTGCCGGCAGACCGAGAAAGAAGTCAATTGATGGAAGAGTATCAGAGGATAGCATAGCAAGCAAGCCCTCGGGGAAGAGAAGTTGCAATGTGAGCCACAGTTGATTGATGATTGGCTCGAGAACCACCTTGTAGACTGGATTGAGGTACCATTCGGCGGCGCCGATGTTGATCAACTTCAAACAGTAGGCAATGATGACCTGATGCAGTCTTGTAGCCATGGTGACCTATCATATATTAGCACAAGCTTGATCACGGAAGGATCTGGACTTACTGCTGGGGCACGTATGCTCAATGTCTTGCAGCTGCTGAGTACCTGGGAATCGACGGTGGTGATTTGGACGCTGTCCAGACTAATTCTGACGCTGTCTGACAGGAGGTGTGCAGATATGGCACCGACACCCTGAATTCCTCCAGGCAGTGTAGTATCGAAGACAATATAGTACAGGAGACACAACTGAAGGGTGCTCGTTGAGGAGGTGGGGAGGTTGTCGTGAGGTTGTCCAGGAGAAGAGCAGAAGACGACGAGCAGAGGTTATAACCTCTGCCTCTGCCTCTGCAAAGGCAAGAGCATCCAGGGCAGTTGCCATCATCTGAAGGTTGATGGGGAAGGTGCACCCACGCCTTGCGTGGGTGCTGGCACGTTGTACCACAAATGAAGAAAGAGAGAAGAGAAAATGGGGGGAACTTACCAGTAAACGGGGCAATGTACTGCAGGGGCTTTGAGGTCATGGAATTAGTATGGACTTTTTCTTAACGTCTGAGGATCGAAGGACGGAGACAACTTACTGCGGCTTCTGAGGCGGTAGCGGCAACGATAATCGAGTACTTCATAGCATCGTTCTCCTCGAGGGTCTTGACAAGCTGGGCAACGGTAGATCGCTTTTGTCCAACGGCAACGTACACGCAGTAAAGCTTCTTGGTCTCGTCGTTTCCGTCGTTCCATCGCTTTTGATTGAGCATGGCATCGAGGGCAACGGCAGTCTTTCCGGTTTGACGGTCGCCGATAATCAATTCACGCTGACCACGTCCAATGGGCACCATGGCATCAACTGACTTGAGACCAGTCTGTACAGGCTGGTTGACAGATCGTCGGGGAAGAATACCGGGAGCCTTCAGCTGGGCACGACGCTTTTCAGTGGTCTTGATAGGTCCCTTGCCATCGATTGGGTTGCCGAGAGCATCAACGACACGACCAAGCATCTCAATCCCGACTGGAACATCGACCTGTACATTGTGAGCTATGTTCCGAGTTCTTCCCGTATATCAAATACTTACAATTTCTCCGGTACGCTTGACGGTCTCGCCTTCCTTGACCAAACGATCAGAACCGAAGAGCACAACACCGACCTGGCCAGCTTCCAAATTCATGCACATGCCCTTGACACCTGAGGCGAACCTATGTTTTATGAGTTGCTGAGGGATTTTCGTCTGAAGCTGTGGACTTACTCGACAAGCTCCTCAGCTTGGACGTTGGCCATACCGTGGACACGAGCGATACCATCACTATTGTAAATACAAGTTAGCACCCAATTCCATGACCCGTCATCATTGTAGGGTATGCGTGGTCGATGAAGATTGTTTCGCACTGTTGCAACGTACCCTACAGACAAGACACGACCAGTCTCAGCAAGACTGGCCTCCTCTTGCACGCCTCTGATTCGCTGCTCGAGAATGGATGAGACCTCGGTCGGCGAAGCCTTTGCATCTGCAGCATAATATCGTTTTGCTGCGTTGAAAGCAGCTGGGGCAGCGGCCGGTCGTCCCTGGGAGAAAACGTCAGTTAGCCGAAGCCCGAAAAACATGAACCGGAGCTGCTGGAGCTGTGTTGAGCTCTCCCAACCATCAACACGCATCGGTCTCCTGGGTGGGTTGAGCTCAATTGAGCTTGCAGAAGCAGCGCGAGCTCATCAGAAGGTTTGATTGCAGCTTGGAAGTCGGCAATCGAGGCGGTTGGGGTACTCACGGCGGATCTGGCAGAGATTGCTCCCACCGTCCGGGACGACTGGCGCAGGGCGTTTCTGAACATGATGAGCGGGTCTATGGATTAAAGGAAAGGTAGTAGAGGCCAATTGACCAAGCAATTGAGGAGAGGAGATGGGTTGGATCGTGGTGGTCGAACCTTCACTACTCGAGGTGAAGAAAGAGTTCATGCGAGAACTGGCAGATGAGAAAAGCGCTAGTTGGCTATAATCACGTGATGATCCAACTTTCGCCGATAATTTCGGCGGCCAATGAGATGAAACGTCGACCTCTTTCTTGTAACTTGTATCTTGTATCTTGTATCTCGCGCAACATGCTTCACTCCTGAACCACGTAGTGATGGCGACGGATTGAGAGTGAGCAGTGCTCAGCGCTTCGGGACAGATCTCTTCGTCCTGTGATTTGCACTACTTGGCCCTCCCTGCTTACACTGTTTGTCTCGAGTCCGAGCGATGCATCCTTACTGTTTCTTGCTCTGTGTTGTCTACTTGTCCCGCTGGTAGCATTTCCACTTGAACAGAGCCTCCCCCGAGTGCTCCGGCGTGCACCCGGCCGCCAAGTCATGGTGGATGGCATCATCAAGCCCTGTTCTGGTTGGTAACTTGTGGCTGAAGATATGGCCGCGACCAATGGGTGAAGACACCCGTTGGATTCCCACCGCCATATGGTCGTTGAGTCGCCGTTGTTGTCTAATATCCAACACTGCAGCCGTAACTCCGTGTGCGGTCGTTTCGTGCTCTCTCACTTGAGATGTTCAGGTCGAACAGCCCACGGCCAAGGGCGATGACGGGGGACCCACCACGGCGCGAACTTCGCCCCATGGTCATTCAATCCAACTTTAGACAGATTTGCCGCGACCCCGCAGTTGCCCTTTGTGTTCGCTCTTGCATCGTACCAGATGGGCGGGCCAATGTCATCGACGACCCACGAGGTTTGGTTTCTGGCTCTGTTTGCAGCATGCTTGATTCCACCTGGCGTTCAACGAGATTCATGGTCGAATAGAACAAATTCCTTCCATCTGAGCGCCTCAAGCATCCAGACATATGAGGCTCCTGAGATCGCGAGACCGTTGTACTTTGATATCTCGCGAGTCCAGATCTATCGTTTGCGAGAGATTTTCAACAACCCGATTCAGAAGTTCGTGCAGATGCTAATCCCTGGGGTTGCATCCAACAGCCTCGCTCCACATTCTATCGGTCAACGCCAGGCTAAGGCTGATGACTGATGCATCAGCTTATCCGTTTCCTATCTCCAACAATAGAGTCAAGTTTTTCTTATTTATGCTGAAGTTTCGAGGTTTCATTGCCAAATATCACCGCCGCATCTCAGTTCTCGAACCGAACGGTGACAGCCTAGCAAGATGGACCCAGCCGGAGAGTGATCACCACAAGAGCTGCGAATTTCGAAGAGGGACTATACATGAATGTCACTAATCGACTCGCCCCCAATACCCTTGCATCAGAGTTGAGTCCTAGGTCAACCTGATTTTCCCGAACCACGCTGTTTGGAGATCACTTATTGGATCGTAGAGTTACACACAACTTACGAGGTTGCCAATGAGAGATTCTCAGCCTTGCGCCCCTTTCCCCTTATTTGTTACCGGATGCATGGTCCTGCCTCCTGACAGCACAGGTGGTGCAGTGTTTTGAGCGCAATTCCAAAACAACTTTACAATTCGATTTGGCTGCTATTTCTCGCCAATAGCCCACACGGCCCGACCAACAAAACCAACGCATCAAGTGCAGATTAACGTTTCCGGGACTGATTAAAGCCAACTTCGAGGGATAACCGGGTCGGTGAGTCGATTGTGGGGTCGGAGTTGGACAGCAAGCTACACAAAGTGACAAGAATGTGCCGAATCCTTGGATTCCTGTTCATGGTCTGGACATCGTCATCTGGTTTCCACTGCCAATAGACTGCTATTGCCCCTGAAATTCTTCCTCCCACACGAGGCTGCCACACTTTACTTACCACTTATATCTGCCATTTCGTCCATGTTCCTTAGCTTCTCACCATCCTCCATGCTCCGCAGAGACTTCCAGCCACCACCTTAGAGATCATTGGAGGAGTCCTTGGCCGCTGTAAGTGTCCTTTGGGAGATCATACCACGTTTCGAGCTGAAGTTCCATGTCGATATCTAACCTGCTAGACGACTTACTTACATCATTTGCAGTGCTGGCAAACTTCGGTCTTCTGGCCCAACCACAACCCGCAAGCTGAAATACGCCCGTTCCCTCTGGTGAAAAGCCTCCCTTGTGTTCAATCTTACGGGCTGGTCCACTGCCCATCTCCCTAAACTCCAGGTCTTTCAACTTCAGACAACATGTGTTCCCTCCTTACATACTCGAAGCTTAGCGGAGCTATTAACCATGGCTTGGTTTTACACCGCATTCGCTCAGCAACGAAGTTAAGTAGCAGTGTCTTTCCCGCCACCCAAAGCAGCTTGTTTCGGTCAGCTGCCCAGAAACAGAGCCAGGCTGGACTTGCTAGAGCTCCAGAGCCAGTGTACTTTCCAGAGCACATCATTCAAGGCCTTCCTCAAAATATCACACATCCACCAGTCACCTCAAAAGCCTCAGCTCAGACTGTTGACGATACTCTAAAGAAGAGTGGCGCAGTGAAATTGCAGGAGATCACAAAGCCCGTGATTGAAACCACTTCGTCCGAGTCTGCCATTGACACTGCCAATGTTCCTGCTTACCACCGTGACTCCAAGTATGACCGGGTTCCATACTGGCAAAAGATTGGACGCTGGAAGGATATTACCGAGAAGCAATTTCTGTCTTACAGATGGGGTGTAAGTCAAATCCACACTCCCGGCCAAGTCAGAAGTAGTTGTTAACAATTCAACAGACTGCGAATGACATTCAAGGCAAGATGAAGCTCCATGATTTCCTCAGGGAAGCCTTACCAGAGAACATTCCCCAAACTGAAGAGCATCAACACATCCGTACCCGTGATGATTTCATCAAGGATGTCATGGATGGTATCGACAGAGCCCCGATGTCAATTCGTATACCTCCACATATCGTCAGCTCCATCGACTGGACAAAGCCTATCGAAGACCCTCTTCGTCGCCAGTTCATTCCTATGATGTCCGGTTTCCAGCCTGACCACCCGAAGTTAACTCTGGACTCGTTGCATGAGGCTGAGGATTCGCCTGTTGAGGGCTTGGTCCATCGATACCACGACAAATGTCTCTTCCTTGGTACGTTATCTCTCCAACCCCTCTCACTGTTTCTCTCCACCGAGCTGACAAGTATACCTACCACAGCATCATCCCACTGCCCACTCTACTGCCGCTTCTGCACACGTTCCTACGCTGTCGGAGCTAACACCTCAACCGTCACTAAGTCCTCCCTCAAGCCTCAACTCCGCCGTTGGGAAGCCATGCTCCAATACATCGCCTCCAACCCCGTCATCAATGATGTCGTCATCTCCGGAGGAGACTCCTACTCTCTCATGCCGCACCACTTACGCCTCATCGGCGACCGTCTCCTCGCCATCCCTCACGTCCGCCGTTTCCGCATCGCTACAAAGGGTCTCTGTGTCTCCCCAAGTAGAACCCTAGATCCAGAGGATGATTGGACCGACGAGTTGATCGCTTTGGTGAAGCGAGGCAGAGAGTGCGGAAAGCAGATTGCCCTGCACACACACTTCAACCATACAAACGAATTCTCCTGGGTCTCGAGAGAAGCTTCTCAGAAGCTGTTCGCAAATGGGGTTACTGTGCGAAACCAGTCGGTTTTGTTGAAGGGTGTGAATGATAGTGCTGAGACGATGGGCTCGTTAATTAGAGAGTTGGCAGATAACAATATTCAACCAGTGCGTCCGCTTTCCTCATCACCTTCCCCAGTTATCTCTTCTACTCTAATCTAGCACAAATTGACAAACAGAGCAGTACTACATCTACGCAGGCGACCTCGTCCGCGGCGTCGAAGACCTGCGCACACCACTCTCCTCCATCCTAACGCTCGAACAACAACTCCGCGGCACAATCGCCGGCTTCATGACGCCCCAATTCGTTGTCGATCTCCCTGGCGGCGGCGGCAAGCGTCTCGCTGCCTCGTACAAATCCTATGATCGCGTCACAGGCAAGTCGACCTTCGTTGCCCCTGCGGTTAAAGGCGGCGAGACGGTCTACGAGTATTGGGACCCGCTGGCTAGCCTTCCTGGCAACGGCGGTGACATGAGGGATGAGCCGTAATGCGGCTGATGACTTTCTACGACTCGTGACCGTGGCTTGACGAAAATCGGTGCTGCGAAGCTATTTAGTTAATTCGTTGTCTCCTTTTATTCCTCTCTTCTCTTTCCCTTCTTCTATTTCCTAGCAAAAATTGGCGCTGCGTGTTTTTATTTTGGATGGAATTTTGAGATTGGGCCGCGATACTCAAGATGTCTTCGGTACATTTGATATGCCTACCTGGTGCGGGGATCTGATCTGAGGAAAGGAGGCGGGCAAACTGTTCTTCGTGGGGCTACCTACCCACCTACTTGCTTTTCGGTGGAGGCTTGAGGTGTTTTGGTTCGTGGGTGCTTAGATTGGATTGGACGGCTCTGGATTTCATTAATTTGCCTTGCTTTGGGTTGGAACGGCGGATGGGGTGATCTTCAACAGACCGAATTGGGAGAGAACAAAAATGGTGCTGGGTTTCTGATTTCAATACCCGGGGAATTCAGAGTACATTTTGATTTCTTGATAACTTTTGCCTTGATGTGCTTGTTAATATTAACCTATTGAGTGACATGAAGTGAGAAAATATTAATCTTACATGCTTTCAAACTTTAATCTGCAGAAGTGTAGATTGGAATGTGGGTTGCGTTATAGCACCCCAGCGTCAGGAGCAGCGAAGTGCCTTCATCTACCACGATCCATCAGTTGACGAAAATCCAGGAGGCTTGAGATGTCTGATGTCCGATTTGGGGCGAAAATAGAGATCGAGAAGCGCCACCCAGCTTCCGTCCTCACTGCAACTCTGACCGCAGATTTCTGCAAGCCTTGCCACACCTTTGAGGGGAGTCCAATTAGATCGTCTTATGAGTCCTGAGGTCAATGAAGATAGGCCAAAGGACGCAGGCTGAGAGTTGGCAGGTCGCCGGTGGATCGGTGTGCTTGAAGCTCCGAAGATGAGTTCGAGGTGGATGTCTTGCAGACATGTTGGATTGATGAGTAAGATGATACGCTCCGAATAGGTTCGAAAATGAGGTCTTGCGCACCTCTTGGATCGGCGCGCTTTCAGCTCCGAAGATATTATCTTGCGTCCATGCTGGGAATCCAAAGCCAATCCAACACTGTGCTCATAACCATCAGCTCAAGAGAGCCACTCACTCACCAGTCCTATCCTATTAAACGACTGTCGGCCTCGATCTAGCGGCCCCGGACTCGCAAAAATCTTGGGGGTCGGTGCACTCGGGGCTTCGAAGTCGACATCGAGCTTGAGGATCGACTTGCAGAGAGCTGAGCGACTGATAGGTGAAGCTTACCGTAAGATTTTGGGGCCCATAGGTTTGGAAAGCCACTCGCTCCTTTCACCAGTAGTCTTAAGCCATTCCCAGCCACGAAGTTGGCAGTCAAGAAAATCATTGAACCCAAAAATATCAAGACAGCGGTGGCGGCCAATTCCATAACGTTCGGATCATTTGCTTGCACATCGAAAGCTTAAACCAATTGAAGTCCTGGTTGCAAAAGTCTTGGATCGGGGATGATGTGCTTCCGAGAATGAGATCTTGCGAAGAGACATCCTCGATTATTGAAACTTCCTTTACCTACCTTTCATTTTGAACCACTTCTAGCCCCAAATATGGTGGTCGTGAGTGCTATAAACCCTTCAAATACGTATGCTGGAGTGGCAGTGACCTCTGCACGTGAGCTATTGCTATCTTGGATCGGCGAGGCTGAACCTCTGTAGTGGAGGTGCTGCAAAGTTCTTAAATGGGGCGGTCAAGACCCCGAGGACAAGAAGAGGTCGTGTAACTATCTTGAGTCTTCAAATTCCGATTACCTTAGTCACTAATCTACAAGCCGTTTCTTGCGTGACCTCCACCCCCACCCAAACCGAAGAATAGAATACCACCCCCCAAGTTTCGACATGAGACTGAAATCATTAACAACGCCACGGCGCTTGTCATGTTTGAGCCTCTTCACAACGCTCTCACGGCTGCACGCCAGTGGGTCGGTCACCAGCATGGTGGCGCCCTCAGAAGCTGCAAGCCTGCAACAATCCGAAGAACGGAAGCCCGCGGAACGTTTCGAACTTTCTGGAGCTTCCATACGCTGGTTATTTCGGGGACCACCACGTGGCGGCAATTGCTTTACCACAGCCTTAAAGTTGTGTAACCGTGTGGTGTTGGGATGGAGATCAGGTTTTGAGCCGTTGAATGTTCCCCCGGACATGGGGGGGAGGGGAGGGATTGTTTGAGGAGAATGATTGTTCCTCAGCGTTCTCGGGGCTGCTGAAACTTCGCCAATAGATTTCTTCCGAGAGTTTTGACATTGACGTGAGTATTGATTTCAAGATCATGCTGTAGAGTTTAGGAGAGCGAGAGCGAGAGCGAAGAAAGGTCACGGACCGATGAAACCGATGAGAAGGATCTCTGCATTCCTCGGCAGGCGAGAATTGCCTTGCAGCACACCATCATGTAGATATTTATCTGAGAATGAAGGGAGGTGCAGCTGCCACTCGGCGAGGAAGAAGGAATGCCCGCTTGGACTCGGAACTCATGTGTGGACGGACTTCTTCACCAAAAGCATTTGGACGAGAAGCGCATTCTCTCCCAATTGGAAAACAGAGCGCCTCATGGCCGGTGTTCCAAAGTTACACGCATATATTTTGGACAAAGCAAAGGGGGTTTGTTTTCCAATGGTTGCAGGCAGCAACATTGTCGGATGACTTCCAATAGGCTTGGACCGACGATCTTATTGACATACCGTAAAAATATTGGGGCCCCAGTCTGGCTGCATTTATCCCTGAGTTCATGCTATCGAGTGCCAGTAAGGGACTGCAACGACTGCCACGCGCATTGGTAGGCTTCAGTCGACTCTGAAAAAGGCGTTATCCAGGAAAATGTCCTAGTTCGATCGGAATTAGCATCCAGGAATCCTGCCCGACTGCGATCATACCGAACCCCATACCCTATATTCGCTTCGGAGTATGACTGAGTTGCACAAGTTTCCAACGTTTCAGAGCCATGGCGAAGTGGCGAGATAGAGGACGCCAAGGGAAGGCGACAATAATGAGGTGTTAAGCCCTGTGAAACTACCCCACCACGAGGGAACATGGTTTTATCCCCCGGTGGTGGATGCGGCACGTGAGTATTGAATAGTGGTGGAGATTGAGGGTAAAGTTGGGAACCAGCGGCAGCAAGATCAGCCGCAAAAGGGTTACATTTTCGGGACACTATTGCGGACGGCCATTTAGCTCGGGCAAGTTTTGTCGTGCCGAAGGACAAAGACCGTTGAAGTTTGCCGTTTCGAACCGTGGATCCATAGTGGTGTGGAAATTTGGAAGTTTGTAAGATGTTGGTGATTCTCTGGACGAGGTCTGTGTGTTATTTTCTCCTCACTGAACGATCCAATCTGAAGGACTTGTTGACTGGCTGTAGGAGAAGGAAACCCCGGAGTTGACAGAAGAACGGGCGAAGGGAGAAATATGTAAATGCAAGTGTACGCTTCAGCTCCTCAATTGGTCTCTCACATGTCCCCCTTTAACGCTCAGTTAGCAACTTCCAATCCTTCAATACGTTTTTCTGTGGTACAGTATGAAAGCGTCGACATCGTCAGCCGGGAAAAGGAGAGGATTCCTCAGCCTTCTGCCCAGATTGATTGCACCTTGGCAAGGATAGGGGCCGATTATGCAGGCACGCCGCACGCCGCAGCATGTGTTCATGGCCCCTGTATGGGAAAAACAAAGCGCCACACATCTCGATACAAAGAAGGCTGCACGGCAGCTTGCCGTCAACGTTGAACCGGCGTTGCAAACTTGCGCAAGCTCAGTCGTCACGGCGTCACCCGCAGGTGCAGAGAGTGGAGTTGGAAAAGGGGATTTCCGAGTTGAATTTGCAGTTGTCTCAGGGGGCTTCGGCCAGCGGTGAAGGCTGGGAGGGGGGAAATTGAAGCTGTGTGAGAGAAAATGGGACCCCTTCGGATGAGGGCCTAGGGACCGTGTGACGAAGACGTGGAAGACGAGATGGACTCGTGTTTTCGATGAGCTGTGGTCGTGAATCGTGATATTTGTCAATGGCAAGCTGCGACTGCTTGGACAAATCAGAATGTGGTGTTTCGGGCGCTCCCCTCGGGCAGCTGTTCCAATGGGTGCCTCGTCAAGGTTGGGTTGGGATGCCAATCATGCCAGCAGGGGGACTTTAGTCGCTTGCTCCCATCAGCCCTTGCATATTGCCCTGCATCAAGCTCTAATCTCAGCGAATCTGGGGCCGATCGTGAAGGAGGTAGATGGGGGTCCCGAATTTTGACGGCGGAGAAACGCTGGAACTTGGACGGAGTGTTGCACTGCTGGCGCTCCGAGAGTGCAAGAGGTGCAGGAGTGCATCGGGTGCTGCTGGGCGACTTTGGGCGGCGTTTTCTCCGCCCAATTGACCATCCGGTGCATACATATATGCAGCTCCAGTCCCGCACCGCACCCCCCTCCCTTGCGTGAGCTGTCTGTCCGTCCGTCCATGAAACCCTCCGCAGCTGCATCTTGCAACCGCCAGTCAGAACTCGGCCATCGCAGCAAGAGACCCTCTCGTGAATCACGGCGGCCCCCGGCAGCACCCATCCACCGGGGAACGAGTGGCCCATCGCGACCTGGGCTGGCCGGATTGCGTCTGACAGGCCCAAGCAGGCCCAAGCAGGCCCAAGGCGAGCAAGGGGAATACTAAGTAGGGTCGAGGGTGGGCCCTAGCCACCCTTTGGGACCGCCAACGAGAACAGACCTGCCGGTTGCTGCTCAGTCACCTCGAAAAAGCACGTCCTGCATGAAGCTGCAATATTAACCTCCATATCTCGACTGCTCATCCAGAGCTATGGCGCCGCTGTCACAGCCCAACGGGATCACTGCCACTGCCACTGCGAGACTCGAGTTCCCTTCACTGTCGGCGCAATCCTCAGTGCATCCCTTCTACTCTTCAACCACGCTCTCCAGCTCGACCTCCGACCTCAGCAACTTCAACGACCTCTCCGAACCCCTCTCCCCTCGAATTCTCTACGCGCAGTCCTTCGATCGACCGTCATCAGCTCGCAGCCTGCCCTCTTCGAACAGATACAGGAAGAACATGAAGGAAATGACGGGCTTTGGGACAACGGAGGAGGAGTTCGAAGCACTGCCAATTGCAGTCCGAAGAAAGGTACGTCGAGACATCCTTTGTCAAGTCGAGCAATAGTCGATCCCGGGCCTTCTGCTGGTGGTTGCGGCTGCATAGCAAGCGTGTTTGGAGACACTCGAGTCCTCCCCGACGTCGCGACCTCGAGCTCTCGAGACGCGGGAACCTTTTCCATGGCTCTATCGCCTTCACCACCAAGACTGGCCTGGCGATGCACACAGTTATTTCGATTATGAATAATTTTGTGCCGGGACGAGAAGCCGGGATCCTTTGAACTTTAAGTTTTGCTACGCTCGTCTTGCCAGCGCTGCCGCAGAGTCCAGTGGGCGATAGTTCCAGACTATCAAGCCGGCCGACAATAGACGAACGTTGCTCGGCGACCATGGCCACTATGTGCAAGAGCTACTCGATTGCCGCTGCCGCTCCATTTCCCTAAAATGGCGGTGTAGTTCGCGCCAGGAGCCATTGGATTGCCCCCTTCCCGCGCAGGTGCAGCTTTTGAAAGGCGCTATGCCACGGACTCATGCAGGTTCCACGTTCGCGCCTCACGAGTGCGAAAGTACCTGGACGGACAGCGACTCCAATTTTCTCTTCTCAGTTGCTCAAGGTGTCACGATGGCTGACATTTTGTCTCACAGTATTTCTCGACATTAGAGAGATTAAGGTTCGCGCAGAACAGCCGATCGAACGCTCTCAGCGAGCTCCCCATACAAAGCCACCGCAAGAGCTCGCTGGCGGATCGGCGAGGGATCAATGTTCCACTGATCGAGCCTCGACGAAAACTGTCCACGTCTCGGCGGTTACGGAGTATTTCAAGACAACAGTCCGTATCGAGTAATGAAGCGTCTTGGTTCCTGACGCTTCCGGAAAAGATCAAGAAGAAGCAATTCACAAGAGAGGAACAAGTGGTATTGGCTGCCCGCCTACGAGAGAGTGTCATTCTTGACGCAGCTGATGAAGCAATATACAAAGCTAGTCGTCGAGCAAGTCGCAATTTGACGCCTCTGTTCGACCCTTCGATTCCATCAACACCTCGAAGTAGTACGGATAGCTATCTCGACCCCGATAGCAACCTCGACTCAACCTCTGTCATGGCAGCTGCGATGTATGAGAGCTTTCGGTGGATGGATGAAGACGACGACCTGGATCTGAAATTGGTGTTGGACGACTACCACGCGAACCTCCCTGGCGTTGTGATTCCCACATCATCGAGCGACAGACGACCCTCATTTCGACGACAAATGTCAATATCGAAGATGCCTTTTGGCAGAAGCTCCTTCTCCTCTCCTCGTTCTCCTAAGTTCGAACATACACCCACCAATCACAATCGGCAAAAGTCTCGAGCATTGTCCCTCATCGCACCGAAACATGGTGCCCACGACTCGGTGTCATCGATAGACCCCAACGCCAAACATTACCAAGATCCCGAAGCACGATTGAAGCTACGTGTATACCTGGCATCACCACAAAAGTTCGATGAAGCAATTGAGTTTGGATTTCCTTCTATAAATGGAGTGACCGATGGAGACAAGGAGAACAAACCACCGAAGCGAGTATCGAAGGATTTGGCGACGGCCAAGAAATCATCAAGCACCGAGAAATCTTTCCTGGCCGACGACAACGCCTCGTTATTCGAAGACGACGTATCAATGAACGACCCCGACTCCCCAATAACACCACTATACAGCGAATTGCGGTCTCAGTCTCGAGCTATGGTAACACCAGTGACAGGAGGCAGCAAGAGTTCCGCAGACTACACACATCTCGGGATCAGCAAGCCGACTTTAATCAAGCAACCCGAATCATATGCACAAGCAATGGCAGGAAATAGGGAGATGACACTGAGGATGACACTTACAAGACCTGATCTTCGGGCCGATGAGAGTACAATTTATGGATGGCAGGCTACGAAGAGTCCCCTGCGAGAAGGATCCTTGACGCCAGAAGACGACGAGAAATTCGCCGTGAAAGGACCATTTGGTGGTAATGATGGTTGGGGACTGATGGACAAGGAAGACGGCGTGGTGAAGCGGTTTTGGAACAAGGTGAAAAGCACCCAGCGAAAGACATCATAGAATGCCCAGGGGTGTCTTATTTGCATGTTTTTAAGCGTGGATTTGATTTCCTTGGGAATGCCTTGGGGCATGGCATGGCATGGCATAGCGGTAATGCATCCGGGCTTCGACTTGATACCACGTATGAATATAATCATTTATCGTTTGTCTATCTTGATGCTTGGGATGTGACTTTACCTCAGCCAGGGAACTAATAAAAGACATGCTTTGAACGACGGAAACAGTCTCTGCACCTCAGTCCCCTCCATCCCAAATCCCAATTTATCTTCAACCATGAGTAATAGTGAAGACCTACTATTCCCTCCTTTGAAGAATTGTTGGTCACGCTATTTATAATACCACGCCTGCACGGGCCAAATCGAGGGTCGACAGCAAATAGGAGCTTTCGAAAGCACATGATATTTCCTAATTCGGGAGTATTAACGAAGTTTCAGTGTTTGCGTTTCCAAAGGACCAACCCTTAATTATCCAAGGGGGGGGGGGATTCAAGCAGGAGCCTAACTCGTGCTCGTCTATACTTCACGTTATGGTAAAGCCGAAGCTACAAGCTAATCCAAGAGCCTTCCCCTAAGAGTCCAGGAGATATTTTTATTCAGAAAACAAAAAAAGACCGCCAGTTTGAGACTCGTCTGAGCAATATGCATGTGAAATGCCCCTATCCTCATCACGTGCCTGTCAGCCTGAATCAACCAACTCGGAAGCTGTGATCAACATCGTGCGGCGTGCAATCGATAAGGAAAATTGAAGTTGACGAATTATAGTCATACTAGTGTCTTGAGTGCTTACTCTACAAGAAAAGACGAATTAAAAGGCGGGGAGGGGAGAGTCCTCCTGGCGAGCCCCTGCGTCATTATCAGGTAGCAACTGTGGCGTTTGAAGCGAGACTGATGAGAGGCTGTTTCAAGCTCCCAGAGCGTCAGCTACGCCACTGCAGCTGTTCGACTTCGACAAAGACCACGCAAGCAGCAAACCAATCCCTCCAACTCGACTTTCATCCCCCATCAACCGAAGAATTCCCATCTTCCATTCATCAAGGTTTCTTGATGAGCCATCTGCACATCTTGATGCGCTTCCAAACCATCACCATCTCGCGATTATGAGGTTGCAGCCCGCAGCAGGATGGCGAAGCCTCCTGTATTCCACCCTCCTCCTCACCGGTGCCTGGGCAAAGAAAGACAAGCCCTCCGTCAAGTCTAACAAGTTCGCCTTCATCCCCTTCAACGTGAACTACTTTGATGATTCGGACGTGCTGCTGTTCGAGGATGGCATCAGCCACAATGCATACCGATCCGACAACGCGGGCGAGGACTGGGAGCTCTTGAAGGGCGTGCCCGAGGGGAAGATGCTGGAGCTGACGATGCACCCGTATGATAAAAAGAGGGCGTACATTATCACGAATACGAAGACACATTACAAGACTGATGATCGGGGGAAGACGTGGGAGGAATTCTCAGCGGATAATCTGGCTACGTTGTTCCGGGAGCCGCTCACTTTTCATGGTGGGGACCCAGATAGGATTATTTTTAATGCTATGGATTGCTCAGGCATATTCTGCGAGGAATTGGTGAGTCTTCCGGGCATTGTTTTGGGCGAGGCTGACGGTGGTAGACGATGTATACTACGGATGGCTTCTCGAAGAAGGCCAAGCTTTTGAGGCTGGACACTTCCGGCTGCCATTGGGCTGTGTCGACAGAGCTGTTTGATACGGGGAACCGCGATCTTAATGCGGATAGGATTCTGTGTGTGGTGAAGGGCCGGTTTTCTCCCTGGAGGAAGGACTATCGACTTCTCATCTCAGACGAATTCTTCCAGAACGATCAGGAATTCGAACCCGAACTCGAGCCTGGAAGGACAGTGAAGGGAATTGTGAACATGGCTGTGGTCACGAAATACTTGATTGTCGCGACATCTGCAGAAGGTACTGATGAGATGGCCCTATACGTCTCGGACGATACACTTAAGTGGCACAGAGCTGTTTTCCCGCATGACCATAAGTTGGTTGAGGAGGCATATACGGTGCTTGAGGGAACGAATTATAGCATCCAAGTTGATGTTATGACCTCCAGACCAAACCAGCCCATGGGAGTCTACTTCAGCAGTAACTCCAATGGAACATACTTCACTAGGAAAATCGAACACATGAACCGTAATACCTACGGCCTTGTCGATTTCGAAAAGATCTATGGGATCCAAGGAGTTGTCTTGGTCAATATTGTGGATAACTGGGAGGAGGTGGAAAAGTCTGGAGCTGAAAAGAAGATTGTGTCCAAGATCAGCTTTGATGATGGACGGACTTTCCATTCCCTGAAGGATAATAAAGACGAAGATCTGCATGTCCACTCTGTTACAGATCTCTCGAATTCTGGTCGAGTGTTTTCCAGTCCCGCACCGGGAATGGTAATGGCCGTTGGCAATACAGGCAAAACCTTGAAGGGTTACGAAGACGGTAATTTGTATGTCTCAGACGATGCGGGTGTGACATGGAGGCAGGCATTGAAAGGGCCTCACAAGTATGAATTCGGAGACCAAGGCTCGATCCTTGTAGCCGTCAAAGACGCTGGCTTGACGGACGAGATCAAATACTCTCTGGATCATGGCAACAAGTGGCACGATGTTGATATTCCAAACGGCCTCAAAGTCAAGCCTGTCCAGCTGACCACTACTCTTGATTCGACAAGCCTCAAATTCTTGCTTGAGGCGGTTGATGATGCAAAGCCTAACGCCAATGGCTATATCATCGCCATTGATTTCGACGATATGCATGAGCGGCAATGCGAGGATGATGATTTGGTACTATGGCACGCGAGAGTTGATAAAGACGATAAGCCGACTTGCTTCATGGGACACACGCAATCCTACCGCCGCCGCAAGAAGGATGCAGACTGCTTCATCAAGGAGAAAAACTTCAAGGACCCGCAGGTTGTGTCAGAGCCTTGCGACTGTACGGCCCTGGACTTTGAGTGCGATTATAACTTCGTGAGAACGGAAGATCGCGAGAATTGCGAGCTTCCAGTTGGAGTGCCTATGTTGGTTCCAGATGGGGCATGCAAGTCTTTTGATAAAGATACCACATTCAAGGGATCATCCGGTTGGCGTAAGATTCCTGGGAACGACTGCAAACAGACAAGCGGACCCCAGAAAGATGATCCTGTTGACAGGCATTGTGTCGATGCAGTGGGCCAGCCATCCTCTGGTAATGTCGAAGTCAAGATTACACTGCACAAGGGACAGCATTTCATAAGCAAAACTTACCTCGAACGGACAGAATCCAGCTCTGGTTCAGACGAAACGATCCTCATGCGCACAGATCGTGGCGTTTTCATGTCCACGGATCATGGAAAGAGCTTCGACTCGATTTTAGAAGACGCGGATATCCAGGAAATTGTCCCTCACCCTTACTTCAACGACATGGTATTTTTCCTGACGTCGACGAGAACAGTGTACTATTCGACGGAGCGTGGAAAGAATATCAGAGAGGTCAAGGCGCCATTACCACCTTGGACCGACCCTCACTATCCTTTGCCTAGAATGGGCTTCCATCCTAAGAATAAGGACTGGATCATATGGACTGGTGCAGCCAACTGTGATGCCCAAGGAGGTTGCCATGCTGAGGCCTCCGTTACAACAGATCGATTTGACAATTGGAAAACATTGCAACGCTTCGTTGGGCGATGTGAATTCATCAAGGAGAGTGAAAGTATTTTCCAACAAATACCACCCGAGGACCAAGATCCCGACAAGGGTCGCGACAAGCTGATCTATTGCGAAGTCAGAGAGCGTGAGAGCAACGAGAGGGAAAACAACCCTCTCAAGCTTGTTTCAAGCGACGACTTCTTCACCGAGCCTCCGACGGAACATTTCACGAACGTCGTTACGTTTGCAACCATGTCCGAGTTTATGATTGTTGCGACCAAGGATGACGACCACCAGACAATGAACTTCTCCGCCAGCGCTGATGGTATTGATTTTGCTTACGCCAAGTTTCCTTACGGCTTTGTAGTTCCTCATCAAATGGGCTATACTGTCCTCGACAGCTCGACTCACTCGGTATTCATCCTGGTACTGGTCAACAAGGAGGAAGGCTACGAATATGGATCGATTATCAAGAGCAATTCAAACGGTACATTCTACACCATGGCCTTGGAGAACGTGGACACCGATCGTATTGGATATGTGGACTTTGAGAAGATGTTTGGTATTGAGGGAGTGGCTATGGTCAATGTCGTTGCCAACACCTGGTCCAAGAACTTCGATAATGAAGGGAAGATGCTCAAAACTATGATCACGCATAATGATGGCGCTGAATGGGATTATCTCCCTCCCCCAAAAGCCAACAAGGACGGAAAAAGGTATTGCAGTGGCTCCTTGGACAAGTGCGCCTTGCATATCCATGGGTACACTGAACGGGCCGACAAGACTCATACCTATTCGTCAACTTCTGCCATTGGTTTGATGCTTGGAACTGGTAACGTTGGCGAGTACCTCGACAGAAAGAAAGCAGGCGATACCTTCATGACAGCCGATGGGGGCATCACTTGGAAATTCGCCAAGGAGGGAAAATACATGTGGGAATTCGGTGATCAAGGATCCATCGTTGTGCTTGTGAAGGATGGTTCGCCAACCAACGAAGTCTTATATACCCTGGACGAGGGTGACACTTGGCTTCCGAAAAAATTCTCTGACGAGGAGATAAGAATCATCGATATCACCACTGTTCCAAGCGATAACTCGAGAAACTTCCTGCTCTGGTCCTCGGGGGTGAATGGTGGTGATCTGAAGACGATCAACCTTGACTTCACAGGTCTTGCAGAAGAGCAATGCAAGCTAAATCAGAACAATATTGATGATGCGGGAGACTATTACCTCTGGCAGCCAAAACACCCAAAATTAACGGACGATTGTTTATTCGGACATGTCTCGCAATATTACCGCAAGAGGACTGATAGAAAATGCTACAATGGGCGAATGATCCCTCATCTGCACGATATTGAAAGGAATTGCTCTTGCACGAGACAGGATTACGAATGGTATGTCTCTAATCTTAAAATGACTGAATCTCGACTAACTTTCCGCAGTGACTGGAATTACGAACGCCAAAAGGACGGCACATGCAAGCTTGTCAAGGACATGCCACCTCCAGACCACTCTCTCTTCTGCAAGGAAGATACGAGCAGAATTGAGTACTACGTACCAACTGGCTACCGTCGAATCGGCGGTACAACTTGCCAGGGAGGCAATGAATTCGACAAGTCCGAGGCCAAACCCTGCCCTGGACATGGCGATGAGTTCAACAAGAAGCATGGTCCATCTGGATGGGGCATCTTTTTCGCGATCACGATTCCTATTATCGTAGCTACGGGTGTTGGATATTGGGTTTGGAAGAACTGGGCCAGCAAGTTTGGCCAGATTAGGCTTGGTGAACAATGTGAGTCTCCTCAATCCAGAGGCATAGTTTTCGGTACTGACAAACGGATAGCGTCCTTCGATGGCGAAGCACCATACATTAAATACCCCGTCCTGGTCATCTCAGGCATTGTGGCGGTCGCGCAAGCATTCCCACTGCTACTCGCGTCACTCTGGCGCTCAACTATGAATTTGATCGGCCAAGGACGTAGCAGGAGATTTACAACTAGAGATAGCTTTGCGAGAGGTAGAGGCGACTACGCGATTGTGGATGAGGATGAGGGCGAGTTGCTCGGGGATGAGAGTGATGAGGAAGTGTGATGTACCATTGTATACCACCGGGCGGGGAGTTCGGGTAGGGACTGGGAAAGGGAAAGGGAAAGGGAAAGGGAGAATTACATATAGTCCTCAGATTTGAGACATAGAGGATTGGAACGCCGATGCATTGAGTTCCTGTTGTATATCGGATGAAGCGCTTGGTTTGCTTGTACCCTTCTCTGAATTCGTCGATGAAGAAACGTCATTCTCTGTTGTATACTGTCAACTCTCTTTTCCGTTTCGTCCCATGTATATATTCATATCGACTCAATCATCGAATGAAAATAGGATGCCAGTGTAGAAAAAGCAATCATCACGTGCAGCCCCACACTTCACCTTATCACTGCATCACCAACCAACCATCCTCGGAGAAGCTTCACCAGCGCTCCTCCCGCGATTGTAGATCTCCGCGTCCATGGAAATCTCGTGCTATCATGATCCAATTCCCGTTTTGATGTCAAGGTAGTGTATCTCTCACGCTTCTTCTTCTTCTTCTTGGCTCTCTATTGTAGCTTTTCTGTTTTGAGTTTCTTGAAGTCAATTGATCGAGCTGCTGGTTTGTTGTTTGAGAGAAGAGAAAAAAGAGAGCAATGGCAAATACCGAGATGGAGGCAGAGCATTTCAGTCCGTATCGTGCGGATGGGAAGTTGGTGAGTCCTAGGAGCGTGAGGAGAAGGACGAGAGGGGCTGATGAGTGTAGTATGGCTTCGTGTGTGTTGTGACGGGAGCTCAGCAACCTGTTGGACAGGCTATTATTCAGGAGTTGGCTGGTATGTTGAGCTCTTTCCTTGGATGTTGGGTTGGAGATGGGGATGGGGACCCCGCAGAGGAGTTGAATCGTGTCTGAGCCATGGAGAGAAGGGAGGAGGAGGTTGCGAGAATGTGCTGACATCAATTGATGTAGCTCATGGCGCTGCTTGTATCTACGGTACATCCCCCCTTCTCCCCCACACCACCGCAACATCTAACCCTTTCCAGCCTGTGACCAAGCAACGTCGACCTCCTACGACGCCCTCATTTCCTCAATCTCCCAGACCTCCCCGAACACCAAAATAATTCCCTACCCCTTAACTGTCGCCTCCGAAGCCGAGACCCTGACCCTCATCGACGAAATCCTCAACTCCTTCGGCCGTCTCGACGCCTGGGTATGCTCTTCCGGTCTCCTCGGCCCACCCTCTCTCGATGCTACGACTCCGGGTGATCTGCAGAAATGCTTCGAGGCGAATAGCATGGCGCCGTTCTTTGCGCTGAAGTATGCGCCGCCTGCGATGGGGAAGCTGATGTTGAGGAAGGGCGATTATCCAAACGCGGAGATCAAAGGGGTGAAGTATGGGAGTATTGTTGTTGTGTCGAGTGTGGCGAGCACGTATGGTGGGTGTTGGGGGGTCGGGTATACGATGAGTTGTCATGCTGCGCTTGGGGTTGTGCGAGCGGGGGTTGCTGTGCTTAAGGGTGGGTTCAGATATGGGCAAGAAGGAAGGTGGAAGAGGATAGATGCTGACGGGAATGTGCAGGGACGGGTGTGAGGATTAATTGTATCTCGCCCGGTCAGATTGACGTTGGTGTCGACTTGCATAACGTGTGTCCCCTTCTACTCTCCATACACTGCAGCTAATAATATCGTGGGAAGTTCGATATGCGTGGCATGACAGCCCAGTTCCCTCCTGCGAGTTTGCAGTCGAAAGAAGTAGGTCCTCCTTTCCTTATATTTGCTGAGAAAGACTAACGAATGACAGAATCAACAAAAGGACATCGGACTCGAGCGTGCCGGGCTCCCGATTGAAGTTGGCCGTGTAGCTGGGTTCCTGGCAAGTGGGTTCAGCAGTTATATCACGGGTGCGAATCTGGTGGTTGATGGTGGTGCGAGGTAACCTCTTCTGCATTTTCCAATCTGTGATATGCCACTAACGTCTAGCAGTGTGATGAATCCGTTGACAGTTCCCATATAGTCCGATTTAGTATATGAAAATGCTACGAAACCTATATCCTACATCCTTAGATAGTTTGGAGAAAAGTATTATTTGTATTGAAATATATAGAAGCACACACTCCTGAATCGTGAGCCCAGGGTACCTTTGCAACGCCTCTGCCTACTATACCGAAACTCCTAAATCAACTTGAATGAAGACTCTGCTACTGCCTGGAAAATTCCTAGATCCTCCGGAACAGACATCAGACCAACGCGTTCTGACAATTGCGTATCCAAAGAAGAAGGCTTCAACACGAGAGTACACTGGTACCGAGTTTTCTGACCAGATTCCAAATCTGTGTTGATCTTATTTCCTACTAGTAAGCAGTGAACTGTAGTGCCAGTTTCCAAAGGGCAGGCATTTGGGGACTTCCAAGTGAAATCGATGTTTATCTCTGTGACAGTGATCAAAACAATATCTTCAATATCTTGTTCGAAGACTAGGACTACATCTTTCCACGTGAGATCATCCAAACTGTAAGGGTGTGCTGTGGCAGCTACAAACACCCCGCTGAGGGAGATAGATTCCAATGTTGGCGTGACGAGACTGAAGTCTGTGGTAGCAAACGGAATATCGGTATCGAGAAAGCGAAACCGATCATCGACCTGGAAAGTATCATCGTGCCCAGCAGGAAACATGATGCCGGATCCTTCGACACCCAGTATCAGTGAGGCCCAAGACCACGTAGGCGCAGGATCATGTCGACGAATACTTCTCTTAGATCGCACGGACTCATACCTAGTTACATCCCATAAAATACCTCGAGCAATGTCGTCCTGCCAGATCCCGGCGAGATATCCACATCCCAGCTTTCTTTGAAAAATGGTAGCGACGCCTGTGAGTGCTGGCAACCTGTCGGATTCCCGAGTAACGCGCAGCTTGGAGTACTCTTCCACCACGTGGAGCCAGGTGGTCAAAATATCCGATCGATCGGAAGACTGCAGGTGCAGAGAACGGCATCTGGTCTGAGGGACAACTTTATCGAGGCCGGAGCATTCGCAGCAGAGGGAGGAATTACATTCCATGACCATTTCTGATGGGTGGAAGTGGAGGGTTCGCGGGGCGAGCTGTCGTTCTTGGAAGGCCCAGGCTCGGGAGAGTAATGGCACGGTTTGCGAGTCTGGGAGGTCGGATTCGTGACTCCTGAGGGTACTGTAACGTTTGTGAACACGCTCGAGAGAAGGTCGTACATATATCGTTGGCGTTTTGGGGATGTCTCTGAAGGTGGATTGAGAATGTTGCTGGGTGTTGATAGCAAACGACTTGACAGCGCAAACGGGAATGACGTGCTTCAGACTTCTTGGATAGAGGCAGCCCCCACGACTATCAGAGGATCCGGTAGCCGCAATATTGATATAACTATTCGAGTAGATGACGGCCATACGAACTGATTCTTGCTTCCAGTCAAGCATATTATCTTGAACGATGCAGAGAGAGTCGATCCAAAGAAAGCGGACACCTATGGCTTGAACAATCGCGATGGCATCCTGAAAGGTCTTTGGCAGATGGTCCCATTCGATGCCTTGCATCCTGAGGGCCAGATTCTCCTTGGTCGTTTGTATAACATGAGCTTTGCCCCAGCAGTGACTTAAGGTTGCATATTGCTCAACATGACAGTCGGTATTGTCCCGAGCCTCGACCAAGACCACGGCTGCGCCTTCCCGTTGCTTGACGTCCAGCAATCGTCGTGGAAGCTCGTTTGCATCGGATTTTGAAGCAGCGCAGGCTCGATGGTTGAGACGACAATTTGTAATCCAGCCGGAAACTATGGAGGAGGACCTCTCCACCGAGAGCTCGGGTGGGATGTCCCTAGCGGCGGAGAAGGATCCGCCCTCGCCCTTGCCTTCGCTCTCACCATCATTTCCTGGCCACGTATTAGCCTGAGGCGCTTATTATACTACAATGGAACACACCTGGTAGCGTATAGAACTGGATCCTCACCCGCGCACTTGATGGAGAGTCCTTCTCTTCTTCATGCTCATCGTCGAAAATCTCGACCTCCAGGGGAAACTCTGGCTGTAAGATGAGTCGACCCCGATACGCTCGCGAAACATCAAAAAGCGACAAATTGCGACTAATCAGCTCAAGACCACTCGAAACGATGGAACACGTCCTGCATCCCGATTCGACCGAGGTACTCAGCTGTGAGGACTCAAAGTCCAGAGAGTACTCCACTGTGCGGTCCGCCTTGATGCCACGTTGCCAGCGACCATCTTCCACCGAAAGCCGGTCTAAACCAAGGCAAACACCGCAAGGCTTCATGTTACTGCCTGTTGAAGAAAGACTGATAAATCTGCAAAGTTTTTCTGGCCTTCTTCATCCTCTCCTTCACATCAAACTTTTGAAGACATCAGCTCTAGCTTTTATATTTGTTTTGAGTGCAAGGGTTGGGGAATGGTTCTTGGCAGGGAATCTTTTCGTCTCAAGTGGGAATCTCTTCGTTTTTGTATCACTCCGCTCTCTTTTTTCCTGCCTTGGCGAATGCCTTGGGATCACAAATTCAGAGTTGGGCATTCCTGCAGGGCGCAACGATGATTGGCGGATGCAGGTCACAGGGGCTAGGCAAGCAAGGCTCGGTCTGACCCAACCAGCCTCATCATTTCCCCCCTAAATTATCTCGTTAACGAATGTAAACATTGAAAACATCAAGGAAAAGCTCCCCAAAATCAGAAATATGGAGGAAACCCCAGAAGATCAGAACTTCTATGAGAGAATGACTGGTCAGCGAGGCTCAGTGCAGCACTCACGCCATTTGGAAAGTTCCCCCAGAAATACACATTCTATCCGCGACAACGTCCACCCTCAGCCCCGAGCCGCCCCTTGAAATTCAGATTACACTACCGGCAATGTCGTCTCCCAGCCTTGGCCCGCAAGAAGATCCTCCGCCCCTCAACTCTTCGAGAGCTGACAGAGATCAGGAGATCTCTGCACGCTATTTGGGGACCTAGGACTGTTTTGTGCTTGCTCGCCTGCTCATTTTAGCATAGTTGTCTACCTGTAGCCCAGGTCTAGCCAGCAGACGACGCTGAACTTACCTCATGGCATCTCTGCATTTACTGCAGGGTGTTTCTTGCCCTTCCTGCCGGACTTGCGGTGGACTGCAGACGGCTTTAGTGCCTGCCTTCTCTGGGCAGTTATGCACCACTACTTTGGTCCACCGGTAGCAGTGGGCGCAGAAGTACTCAATGAGCAAGCACATCACTTCCAGTATCTCGATTGTTCCAGAAAGGGGATCACGGCTGCTCCCGAGGGCCCAAATGGATACCTCTCTACACAGAAGCTCCTCGCAATGACCCCTTTTCGGAAGGGATGGCGTTTGTGTACACTGCCAGATCACATCAGTTTGAGTCTCAACAACGCGCGCAGCGTAGAGATATTTTTTCAAAGTTGAGCTAGCGGATTCCAGAGGAGAAGGCATACAGATGATTCTACTTTGGTCTTTCTAGCTGCAGTGGAAGCCTCCAATTACGCTTTGCACCTTGCACTCGGACTGCCTTCAACTGCGATGATATTGGTCTGGTGGTGATGCAGCGCAACGAAGGGCGTCAAGCCAGCGGCGGTCTTGACTATGGGAGCGACAAAGACGAGAAGCGTTGAGAGAACACCAAGTATCGAGTATGGTTCGTTCGACGAAACCGGATCTTGTGTTGGTACTGGGCTGCGTACTTCTTCGTCTCCTGGACGTGATGGTTGATTGATGGTTGTCGCAGATGGCCACGTCATTTTCGCTTTCGAATCCATTTTACACTTGGAATACACGATGGGTTTGGGATTGGATTTGGGATTGGATTCGGGATTGGAAAAGGAATGAAGATAGGACCACAGCACGGACTTTCCGGTGGCGTTTCTAAGAACACATAGGTTCGTAACTGGAAATACCCAGATTGCAATTGAATGGAGGCTGAGTTCTAGCTTCATTCCAATCTTAGATTATTCTCACGATGGATCTGATGGTGTTTTGTTAGACGTTGATTTCACTCGTTTTGCCGTTTTGGGATCCTCGCTTAATTAGCACTTCCCCTGTCCCCAATTCCTATTCCTATTCCTATTCCTATCCCTCTCCCTCCTCGCTAACCAGACCACCGCATAACCATGCCAACAAAGAATCAAGAAAGAGAGATGGATTTCTATTTAATCCTTCTACCCATCGTTTCACGGCAGATACATCGTATCGGCACCCATTGCTCCCTAACCCTTCCGTCGCATGATTTGCTGCATCTCACGGCCGTTCTGCACCAGCTGGACGCGTGCTACTTGTCGCTCAACCTGCTTCAAAATCTAGCTTCGGCATCAATTTCGCTCAGAGGAGACTCTCGGAATGACAGCGGAGTCCTTTGCAATTTCTAATCCCTCTTTAGAAAATCGTCTTTGAGACCGTTTATTGGCATATTTGGGGCGGCCGCAGGATCAGCCTCTTTCATCCATGTCATACTTTGCAGCTGACGTCGTCGCAAGCGCCGACAACAGCTGCGAGCCTCACTCCAACCTTCACCATCAATCGCCATCAATACTCCATCATGGACACCACGGCTTAACCACACGACATCCATCTACGGCAGCCCAAACCCTCGGCAACGATGGAAAACTTGCGACAGCAAACCCTGTGCTATCTGCCTCCGGATTAATTGCTCACGGGGCCCTCGACCTTGAGCGCTCTTCAAAATCTCATACCATACCTTCTCTGCCCTTCGAGGTGTCTTCTGTCATAGGCGGGCCTGCAACACAATTTGGCCAGAGTGAAGAGCCAACCGAAGATATGTCGATGGTAATTTGTCCTTGCAGTTGAATGGAAAGGGCCTGGGACGCTAACTGTTCATGTGCCAGTCAAACCAGAATGTCAACGTAAGCCAACCACCGTCTGGCAGATCTATACACAACAACATCCAAGGATCTCCAGAGATAGCTGGTCAAGACATAACAGAGGAGCTCCAGGGACAAAAGTGTCTGCGATATACTAAGATCGAGGACAAATTGATAGCTTTAATTAGAAATCATGTCAAGGATCCAAGGGCTGTCGACCCTGGCTTACAAAAGATGAACTTGGCTGAAGCATTGTTACCATTTTATGAAGCTGAGGCGCAACCTCCGGACAAGAATCCATACATGCCAACCGTCGAGGACCTAGAGACGAGGATCTCTCCTATCCTCAACAATGGCCCCATATCAGTGGACGATAAATGTACTCGCGTATTGAGGAGGATCGATTATTGGTATGGAGGCTTAGGTTGGGCCGCTCCTTTGGGAACATCGAAACGCGAGCATGACTCGGCTGTGTTTCTCGACATGTCTCGATCTTCTCAATCGCCAAATATTTCCAGGAACCCCACCATTGCAGCCCTCCCTCAAGGCAAGCATTTTAGAGAGGGAACGGTTTCGGCGGCACCGCCTGCTAAGCGTTCTAGAATGGAACCCTTTGGGAGCCAGACAACACTTCAATCACAGATGACCTCATCCAATCTGTCACCGGACCATACATCAGACCTCTCATCACAGAACCTGTCGCAAGGTTTTTCACAGTCTAAAAGTAATTCGGAAGATGAGAGGTCAAGTTGTCTTTTGAAGAAATGCCGCAATGGGGACATAAGGATCTGCAAATCGAAGATTAAGGATCAGCATGGGATGATGCTCCACATCGAGCGCACCCATTATCCTCCCAAGATCTTCATATGCGACCTCTGCCACCACATGTCTTATGAGAAATATAATGTTTCCACACCTCACTTGCGGAACAAACACCCAGAGATTTACGGAGATGAAGCGTTGCGGAGTGCATTCGAAGACCGACTGATTGTCCAGGAGATTGACGACACGTTCTGTGACATCTGTCCCCTCTGTGAGGGCATTGTGCCACTTGGGACGTACAAAGATTTCATGCAGCATATCGAAAAGCACGTCAGAAAAGAACTCACTAATCATCCTTACCGCCATCGCTGCACCGGCAATGCGAACCACGATTGGACAAAAAGCAGGTGCATTCCCGAGAAGTATCGACAGAAAATCGAGGGGAAGAGGAAGCCAGGGAGTTCTTGTGGCCCCGCTGACCCACGTTCTCGCGGCGATGAGGAGGACGACAATAGTGATGACGACTCCCCACGTCCACCTCCGCCTGGAGGTAAATTTTATCAGGGATCTCCAGGGCAGTATGGGAGTGGGGTCGAAGGCCGAGGCAACGCGGACGCGTATTCCAGCTCTGGCAATTATGTTGGAACTTATTGTTTCCGGTATTCGTCTCAAACTTCCACAATGCCATTGGGCTTTGCCCGAATATCCGGCAACTCAGACTCTAGCCTCCGGGATTCCTCTCAGAGCAAGAATTCACGTATAACCACACCTGGCATCAATCTCATCAAGAAATGCTTCAGATCCATTCGTAAGCTTGGCCGCGGAGGATTTGGCACCGTGGACGAAGTTCTTTGCAAGCCTACAAATAAGACTTATGCTCGCAAGATCATTCCTCTGGAACAGACAGCTGCGAAGGTCTCCGCCGAAGTCGAAATTCTGAAGCAGTTACGCCACCAGCATATCATCAACCTTGCCGCTTATTGTACAACATCAGATCAACTGTGGCTGTTCATGACACCGGTCGCTGAGGGGAATTTAGCTACATATCTTCGTGGCGATTCCAACTTCAGCTTTGGTTTGCCTGATCGCGAACTCCTTCGGACGTGGGAAAGTGACTTAATTTCTGCCCTGAAATATCTTCATGGACGCGAGATCCTTCATGGAGATATCAAGCCGCAGAACATGCTTGTTTCGTCTGATATGAAAATCTACCTGTCCGATTTTGGAAGTGCCAGGGCAAAATACATTGAACAAAGTCACGGAATAGAGCCACAGCCAGCCTCCGCCTTGACTCCCAAGTACTCCGCCCCGGAAGTTTCCTATCATAAGTCTGTCGGCTATAGTTGGGAGATAGGAGCAGCCGCGGACATTTTCTCACTTGGATGTGTGTGGGCCGAGATTGAGACAGTCTACACAGGCCTATCGATTCTCGTTTTCGAGACCTTTCGCTCAGGTGGCAGTTCATACAACTCTTTTCAGGCAAATCTTCCCAAAACATATATCTGGCTCGACTTCCTGTGGGTGCTTCAGGAGTCGAATTGGCAAACATCAAGACTTTGGGGTTATGGTCCTAGTACTTTGCAAAAAACCAGGGATATGTTGAGTTTCGATCCTCAACAGCGCCCAAACGCCGACCAGCTTACAGCCAAGCTTCACTACACTGCTAAATTCGACACTGATGCCCAGTGTTATCCTGAAGGCTTATGTGAAAGGCCGTCCTCAGCGCCTGTTCGCAAATCAAGTGAGCTTCGTTGGACTGATGACCTCGTGGCCAAACGTATCAATACGTTCAGTATCAAGCCATTCAATTGCTGGAAAGCAACAACAGAAGGCTTCTCCCCTAATGGTTGTATCGATACATTGTACAGGTGGGATACAGGGACAACGCCAAAAGGGTGGTCGGCCTGGCTGGAAGGTCGGGCGACTTCAGCCGAGCCAGTCTTTTTCAAACCACTATCAAATATTCCAATCACATTTAAAGTAGTCGATGGTTGCCACACGCCGTACGATATGGTGCTTGGAAAGAGTTTTCTTCAGGTAATGCGAACAAGTCCCGGATCTAGCCGCGCTAAGATCTTCCAGAAGGACCATGCAGTCGCCCTTCAGGACGCACGGAGTCTATTTGAAACTCGACCTCTGCATGTGAAGGGCTTGGCTAAGTCTCAATGCCTACAACAACACTGGGAAATTCCCCAAAGTCGTCTCGCCTTTAGTCAGCCTTCTAGCACTGAATCACTCCATGGAGATCTACAAGCCAAGCCCGCATATTGGATGGTGGAAAGTCTAAGCGATTACCTTCGAGAGACATCCCCTCCTTCATCCGCCGAGGATACACTCAACCTTTGGAATAGTGCTGCTGGGATTTTCAAATGGGTAGATCTTCAGAACGATGAACTCTCGTATGAATCTCTATCCAGACGCTCTGCTACTTATGCTAACTATTTCAGCCGCCATAAAGTCACATGCGGGCACTTAGACCTCAAGCTTGAAAACATCTTGGTCTACAGGTCAAAAACAGAATCCCCGTATGTGTGTCGGTGGAAAATTAGCGACGTGGGCATTAGCCACATCAAACAAAAGGACGTTTTGAAAGAAGGTATACAAAGTCTTGGAGCTGTTTGAATTTAAGCTAATATGCTCTCACAGATAATGGTAACTGCAATGACTCGCCGGATGTCTGTGGAACAGACACCCGCGGCACACCCGAGATAACGAGATCCTCAAGTTCAAGGGCTTGTGATAAGTTCTCTCTGGGCTGCATTCTCTTCCAAACTTGCGTTTGGGTCACTCACGGATCGGAAGGATTCAAGGATATGAATGCAAAACTTAGGTCTCAGCCGAATATGCCTCTAAGACTCACCAAATCCGACGTCCTGCCTGATGAATATGAGTCCTACTTCAGAGAGAGATCAAGAAACGCAAACAAAGATCTTCTCGAAGCTCTTGCGGAGGATTCTGATTTTCTTACAAGATCAATCGCAGAAAGTGTAATTGCGCCAATGCTCGAACCACTAGACAAGCAGCCAAGTTGGAAATGGATTCACGAGAAAGCACAAACACTTCTCAACGACGCGCGGGATGCCTTGAATGACTACAAGAAGACTGTAACGAAGGCTGCCGCTCCGTTGCTATCTTTCGTACGATCTAAGATCACAAGCACCTGCATCTCGTCAACGCGTGTAATAGACGGGAGTCGTTCTGGCCCAACGGAGATCTTCGTCCTAGATGCAGAGAATGGTCCCGATGGTCGAGTTGAGGATGACGCATGCCATACGGATGTTGGCATTGATCCGAACATATTTCCAGATGGCTCGGGCTATTCCTATTGTCTTGAGAGATATCTCCGAGATAATAGTGACAGCAGGTACCTTTTCCCAGCACGCGGCTGCAATGCTTCAAAGGAACTGAATAAGATTTATCTTGGAAATGCGATCGAGAGGTTCCAGAGAATGTTCATTGATGCTAGGTAGATTGAGATGTGTTGGGTTTGTTTGAGGTGTTCATGGGATTGGAAAGATGGAACCTCACGGTTACGAGGAATGAGACGGATTCTGCATAGATTTGGGGTACGTTTTGTATTAATCAATCAATTCCGTCTTACCAAATGGTTCTACCTGGTTATTGCAATCATTCGGTACGAACCAGTTCTATTTAACTGCCACTACCATACAGAGCGGTTTCAGCTGGCACCCTCTGTCCCTGTGAACGGCTTGAGCTCAGAGACATGGAGCAATCGAATATGCAGGCTCGGCCAAATACTCATCTGACCATTCTGTGACCGGTGGTGAAGTCGGAGCGATCGATCTCCTGAGCTTCGAGTTGTTATTTATTCAATGGGTTACTGGATGTGCCATTCCCAACCGCACTGGCCCCATCTCCAAATGTAAAAACTGCGACTCAATATTTGCCGTCCCTTGTGCGAAGAAAGTCTCATGACTATACGGCCCTGCCGCGACCATCAAAATTTCAATTGAAAGTCTACAAACATTGCCGTTTAAAAGTGGTTTGAAGAAAGATCACCAATTACATTGGTCCTTCCTAAAGCAGGTATCCGGAGTTGACCGAAGCCTCGCAGCCAAGGCTATGACTTCTCGCATTCCCTCTCCTCTCTCTCCTCTTCCCCTTCTTCCATCCTATACTCTCTATCAATATGTCGACCGACATCCTCCAATCCAATGACGAATCCCATGTCTCCCGCGCCTGCGAAACATATTCCCTAACCACAACCCAATTCCACGCCCTGCACTCCCGCAGCTCGGCCGCGAAAGCTACAGCATACTGTCCGTACTCCCTATTCCGCGTTGGGTGCTCGATACTCACGGAAGATGGCCAACATATCGACGGCGCGAATGTGGAGAATGCTTCGTATCCGGTGGGCACATGTGCGGAGCGTGTAGCGTTTGGCAAGGCCGTTACGGAGGGGCATAAGAAGTTCAAGGCTGTGGCTGTTGCGACGGATATCTCGCCGCCCGCGAGCCCGTGTGGAATGTGCAGGCAGTTGTGAGTGTTCCCTTCACGTTGGAAGACTTCTCAAGGCAATGATTAGTCTTGGGCAGCGCAGTGCAGGCGGCAATAGAAGTGCACACTCCGCTGACATGTGGATGTCAGCATTCGCGAGTTCTGCGAACTCCCGACTCCCGTTTTCATGTTCGATAAGGATGGAGCGTTTGTGGTGATGAAGCTAGAGCAGGTATATTGTCTTTCACGCAAAGTGAGGTGGAAGCTATGCTAAAATATCTCCAACAGCTGCTCCCATTGTCGTTTGGACCCGAGGCCCTTCCTCCACGAGGCGAACTGCCGGCTAAGGCCTGATCCATTGTTCCGGGAGCTCTGCGTTCGCAATTTCGGATTTGAACAAGATTGAGCGGGCATTATAGGGTCTTTAAACGGCGTTAGGAGAGCTTGGGCGATCGAATCATTGGGTGTCAGGGTATAGAGGTGCATTTTGGAAACTGCTGGAGTTCGCAGATTTATTAGCCCTACGAATCATCAACACATTCTTGTTTGGAGTACTGGAGCACCATCAATGCAGTCACATTAAATGGAGGACACGCGGAGACATGGTAAGGCCCTGTCATTCCATCAACTGTCTTCCGTTTGTTGCTTCAAGCTTTCATTCACTCTACTGAAGATATCCACTTCTCGAAGGATAGCTACATCATACCCCAATTTGGACGTTGATGCACACCTGGATAAAGTTAATTCAAGCTGCATATGCGGCGTCAAGAGCTTGACCCCGGCCGCTGAGATCTCCATGCGCACGAATAGGAGTCGCTCCTTGATGCTTCCCCAGCATAATAATTTTTCCGAGTCCGAGTCTTGGTTCTTCCCGTTCAAATATCTACAGGCCTGTCTGTCGGTCCTTTCACTTTGACTGCCCTAAGATCACCAACCCTACGCTTGTGTTTGCTGATAAGCTTTGCCATTCTTGCTCAGACGCAACCTATGACAGGAAGGCAAGGAGTCCTGGGTCCCGCTTTTCGTCCCCGAGGCCCCCAGATTGTTGAGGACTCAGTCTTGTGACGAGTCAAGATCAAGGATATGATGTGATGAACCCGTTCTCGGTGCCATCTCTATATCCACGCTACACTCTCGTGGCAATCACGAGCGAAATCTTCAAGAATGAGACTGTGGATACATCGAGATGAAGCTGACAGCTGCAGTAAGAGGTGAAGAAAAGGCAAACCCCATCCTCACAGGATCGTTGGCACTTGCCATAGAAGCAAAATACAAAGTGAAAGCTTCTTGCTGTTTTCCTTGCTCTTTTTCACTTCATTTGTCTTCCAAACGAACGAGTCCATCGCCTGGATGTCAACGTGGGTCTTCCTAAGATCTACAACACTTACTTCGTGGTCATGATTGCAACATTTGGTAGGATGCTGATAGTATATCCCTCATCTCAATCTTCACTCCCACTCACAAACCACAGATTTGGTTTCGACATCTCATCTATGAGTGCTATAGTCGGGACCCGACCAGTATCTAGAATATTTAGACAATCCTCATGGCTGCACTTCCATTCTTGCCTCTATCTCCACGTTGGTTGGCCAAAGTTTGCAGAACCGAAGAAGGTATCCAAATCCTAGCCGACATCCGGGTTCATGGTGATCAAGACGACCCCCTCGTCGCTGCGAATGGGAAGGGGCTGTGCTCCAGGCAGAAAGAGAAGGCGGAAAGGGATGGTGCAAGTTCATTCACAATGGCATGTGGAAACGAACTCTGGCTGGGATGTCCGTCCAGTAAGTCAACCTCACTCCATTTCAAGCACCTATACTGATATTCCCAGAACATGGCAACAAAACAGATGTCAGGATTGTGCATTTGGAGGAGTAAATTGGGGAAAGAAGGGGTGGTGTGTGGTGCGAATTATGAGAGGGGGGTGTGATGGTGTCCACTTGCAACGCTGCAGTTGATGGTCATCATACTTATCATACATGCCCTTCCACATATCAAATGAGGCAGATTCAAATTTGCAAGTACCCACCGCGTGCTTAATTGAAATAAGAAAAACTATTTGCAAGACTTCTCAAGTTTCAGTTCCGTGCTTCCTGTCAAACTTGACACCCCGCCACGTGACATCCACCACACGTGGTTGATACAGATCCTACTTTCCGCTGTTGCACTTCCGTTATGTGGGACTCTATTTTAATATAGATCAACTAACAGCATAGAAGCCAGGGATTTGAATCCATCGGAGAGCGAAAGGGAAGGGACTTTCCTCTTCCGGCTATCGCAGGCCTTTCTCTCCTGCTGCCGTTACACTTGTACAACTTTTGACTTGTTAGAGTGACATGTCACCCGGGTACTGGGAGCTTAGTCACAACACTACTCCTGAATTCAACGTAGGGGAGATCATGAGACGGATCTTGTTCCTCCCGTACATAATGCACTCTGCTCATGCAAGGCCTCTGAGACGGCCGCTCACTTATCTCCTACACAACACTTCAAGATTCCACCATCTCCCTATTTCTGAAGTTTGATCTACTTAAACAAATGAAATACCTAGCACGCAGAGTCGTATCCGTTGAACATTTTTAAGTTCTGAACAAAGCAGTTGTGTAGATATCTTGAACTATTGTAAGATTACATGTGGTAACTGATTCCTGTCTCGTATGTAGCTGTTACGCTTGTCACACTTCGGGCTTGGATAACCTCGATATGTAATGAGTGTGTGGGATCACATTAAATTTGTGAGTTCTGTACAGCTGACAGTACGTTTCTTCTTCTTCTGAGCACCGATGAGCGGCTAGCTATCTCTGGTAGAGATTTTCGGCTCTCACCTCTCGAAACTGGATATGAAGTAGCACTTCAACGAAAACGGCGGTTTAGGCCTAATAAGTGTAAGTAAAGCTAGATAAAGATCGGTAAATAGGCGTCGCAACCGCCCTTTCTTGATTAGTCGATCTGAGGCTGTGTACCGCCGCCCGAGTGTTTATAAAATCCCCAGAAACACCGCCGAGTGCCGTCCCCTCACTAGAAATAAACATCCGCATTCAGTCATTGACATCTCTACATCCACCACCGCCATCGCTGGATAAGATGAAGTTGACTGTGTACATTACTGCCGCCGTTGGTATTCTTGGCATATGCCACGCCCAAACTGACCGCTTCGGAAATCTTCTCAACCTGCCTCCGGAACTAGACGACTTGTATTTCAAACTCGATAAATTCTGCAAAGATCAGGGAGGAAACACTGTAGGTCCTTATCTTATACTCTTACTTTGGGCAGCCGAATTCTGAGCTTGGTAATAGTATGTTGGCGTCCAATATTATGGGATTCCAAACCCGGTTGCATTCAAGAACGGGGACTGCTATCCCTACGAAAAAGACGGAGACTTGGCTCAAATGGCTGTTTTTTGCAAAACAGTGGTTTGCACCAACCAACTGTGAGTATTCTGTGAATATGATCTTCGATTTGCCTGACAGAATACTCGCCAGTGAACCTGACTGCTCGGGTGGTCCATGGCCGCCAACTGTGGTCCCTTTATTTTCTGGTCTGGCATTGATCAATGCACTGGATTTTGTGCAGTTGATAGGGCAGGGTGCGTTATGCAGGACACTTGACATTATCTAGGGAGGTTGGTTTGGTTGGATATAGTCAAGAGTTCTATCTGCTATATTGGTAAACGAAGGAGAGATATCGTATGTGATATTGGCATAACCACAAGCAGATTGATGTAGAATGGAGTTGTCGATCGTATTGATGCATTCATATCCTGTTCCAAGAATCCAAGTGTCTGAGTTGCCGATGTTCACTCCGACCAGTATTGATTGCTCGCCAAAATCAATTTCGACATTGACGAATTGCCCAAGCCCGCAGAGACTAACGATGTCATACCTGAGGGGAAACCTTGCCTTGAAGCTACCGACATTCGACGTTGAAGTGGGAGAATATTCGAAGGGCGGGCAAAGATGGGGAAGGAACGCGGAGCTAAACAGCATGAAATACAAGGACGACATTTTAACAGATATTTTGCCTCTGAAAACACGACGAAGTTGATAGAGTAAATTGGAAGGTCAAAAACGTCCAACTTGAACGGGTATAGCTGCAACACCCCACTCGACGCACAACCTGAAGACACATTCGAATTGCTTCAGCTTTCGTCACGGTAGGAACAAACATTTTTGGTTCTTAGCTAGAGCATATAAGATTATCTTTGCAATCTGCTGCGGTGAGCCCATGGCAGGCAGCTCTCGATGAAGAATTGGAGCTCGGAGGCGGAACTCGAGGCTCCAACGAGTGCAAATGGGAAAGGTGGCTGCTGGTGACGACTCGCAGCAGACGGCTGGAATGGGATGTTCCATCACAGCCAGATTTGCACCTGGAAGAGTGTGAAAGAGCCGCAGGAGGAAGGGGCAAAAAGAAACCCGCGCCGTTGATGAGGTTGAAAAATGATATTGTTCCGAAACTCCGCTGAGAATCCAGTGTTCTTGGCGCTAAAAGCCGCCATTCAATCAGCGGAGCCAGTCACCAAAACCCCCGAATGTCTGAAATGGGGGGGGGGGGCCAACCCCCCCCGCCAATTTTCCAGGCTGAGTCAATACAATGTCCATCGCAACACACGCGTCCCTGTTTCTACCAACTTGATTGTTCCCTTGATTGTCTTTGCCAAGACAACACTCCGGGCCATCCTTCGAATATCTCGCTCGTATAATAGTCGTATTCATACGAAATCGGCCTCGTCTTGGCAAGTGATGTTGAGATTAGGTTGAGCCACATCCTGATCAATGCATCGCGAAGGTTTCCGTTGCCAAGAAGAAACAACATTTGACCGAGAAAGGGACAGAAGATCACAGCCTTTCTCGGTACGCACACAGCCTCACTTGAGCTTGGCTTTAATTCACTTGATCAAAGGGACATGGGACAATGCCCACGCGGCTTGAGGTAGCCAAGATCTCAGCAAGGCTGTGAATACGCTGGCAAGGCTTTCTGTATTGAGAGAAAAAAGTCAAAATTATTGTATTGAGACTTGGGCTTCAACGACGAGGTATATAAAGCATGTTTTTGCAGTTCTGTCGCAGTCATCAGAACACACACCTCTCACAAATCAACCCCTTCCCTCAGTCTTCCCAACAATCTTCTGCATCGCCGTCACTTCGATCATGTTTCGTCTCCTCCTCAGTCTTGCTGCTCTGACAGCTGTCACCGCCTGTCCTCAACATGAAATCAACCAACATAGCAATACCCTCAATAAACGAGCTGGCGGCACCCAAGACTGGACATATGAAGCATCGTATAACTGGGGCATGATCAACTCCAGTAATCACCCCTCTTTCCCCTCTCTCACCAGACCCCACTGACCGGACTCCTTCAGATTACACACTCTGCCAAACCGGCACGAATCAATCTCCCATCATGCTCATGATAACCCAAGGCCTTTCTCAAAACCACGCCCCCTCCTTCACCACCGGGTACTCCTCCCCCGCATCAGGAACCTTCTACAACTGGGGTTACGGCCCTGCATTCACGACAAACAGCACGGCTATCACGGAGGCACCTTCCATGACATACGACAACGAAACTTTGTACCTAAAAGGATGGCATATCCATTCCCCCGCTGACCACACGGTGCAATCCGACCGCTCGAAAGCGGAGCTACATCTCGTACACGCGGACGCCAACGGTGTCGAACGCGGGGTCGTGGCGATCCGGATTGATCCTGGGCATTCGGACTCTTCTTTCTCCTCCCAATTCACGTCATCGAGCTCATCAATCCCAGGTTTCGATTCGCACGAGGGAATACAGATGGAGATTGATATGTTGCAGGCGCTGAAGGAGGTCAATATGTTCAACGAGTTTTGGACGTATGAGGGGAGCTTGACGAGTCCACCATGTACGGAGGGGATTAGGTGGTGGGTGGCGAGAAATGTGTTGTTTGTGGGGGTGGAGCAGATGCAGAGGATTTTGGGGGTTAGTACTTATAGTGCGCGGGTGGAGCAGGAGGTGTGGATGCATGGAATTAATGTTTAGAAGAGGAGATAGATATGCTTGGGCGGTGGGGAATTCAGCTGTCACTTCTATGCCGCTACTGCATTCGGAGGTTATAGGACAGTATGGAAATGTATGTTATCGACTTGGGTTTCAGCTACAGATCTGGGCCTTGATTCTCAGCAAAATCTCCCGAACTCTTATCCTCCATGGCAAATCCTTCAGCTAACAGCGTGATGTGCAATGCGTGTTCTCGACCCGGATAGTAGACAAGCGCTCCTGATTCGCAACAAGGCTTCCCAGGTTGCTCTCATGCTCCTTCGGGCAGTACTTTTCACATCCCGTCAGTTTTTTGCAGACTCCACTAAAGCAATTCGACTTACGCAATGAACTTGCAACCACCGCAGACCTCAACTCGGGACTTCTTTCAAAACCTCAATTATTGCAGGATTTGGACTCGACCCAGTCTACCATCGTCTTTCCCGCCTTGGTGACCAAATCCTTGGCGTATTCATGGACCATCTTCGTTGCTTAACGATCGCATGCTCCCCCAGAGAAGCAAATCGGCGCAGCAGTATCGAAGACGATTGGGACCCAACATGGTGGAGCTCCTCGACTTGGACGATGAGAGAGGGGAGAAATAGTTGAATGGAGGATCTTCTTGGAGGGTTTGTCGCATGTGACATAGCGCTATGCCTGATCATGGATGATTTCACAATTGTAAGCTTCGACTAGGATATTGACAAACTTCTCGCCAGCGTCAGGATCGAACTTCGGACTGCAGAGGGAGGCTGGTATTTGGACTGCAAATATGTATGCTTTCATAAATCCGCCGCTGTGTTCGCAGCATAGGACGATATATTGACCAGGAATGGTGTTTTCTTCGGTCATCTTGAACTGATCTGACAGTCGAACAGCGTCGGTGGACGGTGGCGGGGTGATGAATCCAGGAAGCTGGGTTGTATCAAACTCAGTGAGGTGTGGCCTGGCGGTAAAGTTGAAGGTTGAAGGTTAAAGTAAAGCTTTGGTCTGATGACTCAAGTCGACCAGTCGAGGGCGCATCATCGTGAAATTAAAATATACTTGATTTGGTTCAAGGGCTGGGATCTGTGCTTGCCGGCTTAAACCTGAAGTCGGCTGCTCAAAGCAGCGAGACCCCTAATCTGTATAAATTACAAGACGACTCGAAAAACTAATATCTCTTGTAAAACTACGGGCTGTTCTGGAACAAATTGTTGACACTCTCGCTAAAGAAAAGGGGTTCAAATAAGGTCACGTGAACGGCAATCCTCGCCCCCTTTCTGTTTGTGCCATTGGGGAAATGAATTGAGAACGTGATTCTGTTTAGACATATCGGTGCAAAAGTGGTTTTTATTCAGTGGTGTGGCGAGAAAGCCACAGCTGGAGGGTATTGGTGGACACTTTTGGGGAAATATGAGTAATGACTTTTGCAGAACATCTCGCGGAACCATTTGTGTGGAGAGTGGCAGAGGCTTTGTTTCAAAGCGGTTGGGCGTTCACAATCCGATAACTAGCGAAACATAGAAGAAAGCCCTTGTGCGTCAAAACGTCGCCGAAATAGTATTGAAGATATGCTTGAAAATTGAGGAAGAATGGAGGCAATTTGAAATCCACCTACTAAAAGAGCCTTGAACTACGCAATCAACTCATGGATATAGAGAACTTATAAAAAATCAAGCAATCTCTACTTTCCAACCAAGAATTAGGGACACTGCGGCGGTTCCACTGGGAAAGTGGTGCTTTTGGAGTAAACCATGGCTTTTCCAACCCCGAGATCGTATATTCTCTTGGTCAATAGGAACTGAATCACCATCATAATAGCGCAGTCTCCGTCCACCATCGGCAGGACCAGGAATAATACTGAGTTGCTCATCACTGAGATCCACTCTCGTTCTGTCAGGATCGACGGTGACTCCAACGACGACTCCACAAGGAAGACGAAGTGGTTGACACAGCATTAGTCATGGTTGGTGAATCCCGAAGGTCATGAGCTTTGAAATCAAGGCACTTCAATCCAGCGATTCATAAGGGCCGTTCTACATAAAACCTCTCACCACACTTACTCCAGCGGCATTTCAGACGCCGTAGGATTAGAGTTCTTCCTTCCCTCCCCTTTCCGTTCTTTCATCGCGGCATTGCTCCTCCCCACTGGTGTCCCCTCATGAACCTTCTCCAAAACCGCATCTTCTTCTCTCCCAATTTGGCTAACTTCATCGACAACTCGAACTTCTCTTCTCTCTTCTCTCTGGTGTCAAGGTATTTTCAGACGTGCCATCTGACTTGAGCGTGGTTGTGGAGGAGAATGTTGAGGCTGCGCCGTTGGTAGTCGCATCGTTGGCGGACTAGGATCAGGACTTTTTGAGGGGTTTGAATATCGTGGAGGACTTAAATGCTTGGGGTGCATGAAGGTGAGGGGTCTCGAGTAATTCGTCTATTGTGGATGAGTGGGCTTAGTGCGTAGGGTTGAATAGCGCGAGATGCTTTGCTCTAGATGCTTTGCTCTAGATGATGACTAGACCCACAGGTCGAATAACCAGATGTACACAGGATCAAGTGAATGTATATAACGATGTTCGGCACATTACAGTGACAATTTCAGTGGCTGTGGCTTGATTTGAGAGCAGTAACAAATGTCATTCGTCTTAGGATATGTTTGGTTGTGACGATGCGGTGCATAACGCCTCATGGAATGGCATGCTCGAGGCACGGCGGAGGCAGTGAAAGTCGCTCAAAGTTGCTGGAACAAGTGATTGTGCGAAAAGTTTCCGGTTAAAAAGGGGGACGGGCGTGCTTGTGATGTGCATTTCTATTCCGCCTCGGCCTGCTTTATCAAATTTGAAGTCAGGACCATCATTGGAAATTCTGTGAATCTCAAATTCTAGTACTTGAACCCAAGAGGCTTTGGGGAAGCAGTTTGTTGGTCCTGTTGCCTATTGCTGGTTGCAGAACTGGACGGATTTGCTCCACGGCTCCAACAGACCTTCGCTTGCGTAAACGTTAGGGACATCCTAGACAGTGTGCTCTCAAAATCCCTCGTTGTCGACCAAATGCTCTTAGAGACTTCCCCGCCACGCATTATTTTGTTTTTCGAGTCTCCTCGCCAGCCACAGGCTCGTTCTTAACCTGTGACAAGGAATGCAAGCTTGGCCAAGCGAGAGAAGCGCTCCTTATTCGCAGATCTTGAACATCCCCAAGTTTGCAATGGAATCACTAGCCAATACACGAAATCGAGAATAGGGCAGAACGAACACGCAAATTCATGCTTGGTCAAGGCAATAAAGGTGGCCGAGAAAAGTAGAAGGCAGCGCGCTAGCGCCAGCACTAACGCCCCCCTTCCTTCCATTTTGGGATGCTCGGCAACACCAAGTCTGAGAATCATCATAACTTCTTTTTTGACAACCTGCGGGCTTGAAGATTCCATCCAATTTCGAATACTGACGCATTGGAACTAAAATGTCTCCAACTGCTTAAGTGATCAGCCCAGGACTTCACCCGCCCACGGGCGTTCAACCTGTACATGTGCTGACACATCCAAAAAACTTGTGCCGGTTTCCTCAACGAATAGATAAATCGAGCGCTGGCAAGCTTCGAGTATAGATAAAGACCTAAACACAGTCTGGCCAGACCTCATCTGGTCAAGCGGCCATGACTGAAGATTTACGGCTACAGGCTACAGCCCACCAATTCAGCGTAAGCTTCGAGGCAGTTGACCAAAGCAGGCGGTTATGGGCAAATCTACAATTTTTACAACTCTTCGAGACCCCTCTAAGTGCACCACATTTAATTTCTTTTGAAACCCTCAAAGGCACCAAAGGCTTTTACCCAGCAACCTGCCAAACGAGTCTCTGCTAGGTGCTCTGCCGTTTACCGAAAGCAAGAATCATTCGGACAATTCGTTGTCGTTTGCTCCAGCTTCTTGGCCCTACTCAAAGCAGACTTTGAAACACCCTTCCTCAAGTCACACAACACTTGGAATTCCGAAGCCACGAAAATGGGATCAGTAATTGGCCCTTTCAAGGCCGCTAGGATGCATGTTACCCCTGAAACCTGCCAGTACCCGGGCCGCTCTGTGGAGATTCCATCAAGCCATAACCACAGTTGGAGAAGCAGCCTTCAGGACTATTTCAGCGACTCTTGTAATTTGCAAACGAAATGCTTTGATCGTTGGATGCTCCTAGATGGATGGAATCCAGCGGCGAGGAGGCAAGGCTACATCACGAAAGCTTGCACAGTGCTTGAAAGAAGCCCCCAGACGGGCGAAGAAATTCTTTCTCTTATCTTCTGTGGGACTTGTGTTTTTCTTCTGAGGCAATTCACCTGTTTCTGTCCACGTGCCATTGCGTGGTGTCCCCATGGTAGAAAGGAATAGGGGAACAACAATTTGAGATGACCTTCACCCTTGCTCTTTTGCGCCTTGAAGGACGTCCTGACGAAATCATCACGTCACTTAAGATATTCACTATTGGTGGCAAGGTTGAGTTCACGTGGAAAGCTCGCTAGCTCGGAAGGCGGTGATTTGATCATTCGATCTGAGAATAAATACTGCCAAAATTTTCTCGTCAACAAACGATCTTCTTCCCTCAACCACACTCGTTTTCTTCGCAAAACCCAAACACGACGTCAAGTCTTCAACCTGCGAGAACACCATCGTAGCCGCGTCGTACCTTATTTCTCATCCCCCCAAAAACACTTCTTCAAAGCCCAATCGTCGTCATCGACAATGCGCGCCGCAATCATCTTCGTCGCCCTCGGCGCCGTTGCCGTCAACGCTGGTGTTCTAGCAACTGAGACCGATACCTTGAGCGCCACCACGACGGTTACCATCTTCTCTTGCCATCCTACTGTCACCAATTGTCCCGTAAGTCCACTCTCTCCTCGTTTCCCGCCTGCCTTGCGCGTTGTTTACTTTCGGTATATTTCTTGGAGAAAGTGACCCTCAAGCGACCATCTACAGTCCGATCTTTTTACGCAATACTAATTCGAGATTCTCTGATATAGTATACTACTACTGCGGTTATTGCCACCACCACCACCGAATGTAGTACTTCTACCACGCCCGTCCCGCTGGTTCCAAGCTCCTCTTCTGCTCCCAGCTCCCCGGTTGCTCCCAGCTCTCCCGCTGCTCCAAGCTCCTCTGCTGCTCCCAGCTCCCCGGTTGCTCCCAGCTCTCCCGCTGCTCCAAGCACGACCGCTGTCCCGATCTCGCCTCCAACCACGGCTCCGGCCAGCGTGTCTGAGAGCTTGACCCCAACCATTGCCACCTCCTCCAACCCTCCTCCGGCCGCCTCCACCCCTGAGTCCTCGGCTGCCCCGTCTACGCCGGCACCGACGAGCCCATTGACCACTGCCAACTCGACCTCTGAGGTTCCAAGCACCACCGCGACCCCTACAACCCTCACGAGCGTCACCGTCGTCAATGCTTCCACTCAGCTGAGCACCACGGCCTCGCCAACCACTGCAACTCCGACCAAGCAGACCTCCGCTAGCTTGGCCGGTCACCTCGGGGTTCCCGGCTTGACCTTGGGTCTCATGGCCTTGAGTGTCATCTTCTTCGGATAGATTCACTCTCGATCTCATGAACACAGGACGGAAGGGAGGAAAGATGGCATCTGCGTTGGTGTCCTAGGATGGCTTGCTAATTTGTAAGGCGTTGTGGGTTACCGATGGTCTTGCTTCTTCTTTCCTGCCTGTTCTTTTCTTCGTGGATCGTCACACAACGGGGGGAGTTAATGGAGTTAATGGATGTATTGCAAGGTTGACTGAGATGAATGGATGGTATTTGCAGAGCGCTTTTGCAGCGTGGTGCCATAGAATTGAAAACAGAAAATCCAAAAACACTACATACAAAACAAGAGTTCCCCCATTCATTGCATCGTGTCGTCAAGGTATTGAAGCCAGCTTCAGTCCATAGAAAGGTCTAGTCTAGGGAGAGCCTGCATATCCACCGCGTTGATAGAATCTCCACTACTGCCTCCTGATGCTGTCACTATCCTACTCAAGAGTATCTGGTAGGAGCCGGCAACCAGTTCCCGTACGCGCCATTGTTCATTCCATACGCGTTGTTGTTTCCTCCCCAGATAATTCCATTAACCTGGCCCTGCCTCTCGAGCAACCTCCTGTTAACAGCCGCATCAAGCTCTCTCTCCTTCCTCTGCCTCTTGTTGTCCTTTGTCTGCTCCTCCATCCACTTCAACATGGCATCAGGAAGGGCCAAGGACCTGGGATTGTCCGCCATTCTATCACGCTCTTGTTCCAATCTCGCAATCCTCTGGTCATGGTCGCTCTGTCTCTTATCCCGCGCTCTCTCCTTCTGCCTATTGTCCCGATTTTGGTCCGACTCCGCCAGCATCTTCTGAAAGTCCTCCAAAGTTGGAATCGGGGCTGGGGCTTTAGCAGGTGGCGGTGGCCCAAGTTCCACCTTCAAATGATTGAGATTCTTGGCATTATTGATTACCATGTCGTAACCTCGATCGTTGCTTTGCTGGACGTATTTGTCTTTCTCGTCGTCCCAACGTCGGTAGTCTGAAAATGGGGGAGGAGGCATAGAGCGGCCACGGCGATGGGATCGGGAGGATGACGATGATGAGCTGCCTCGGCCGCAGCGGGATGGACTTTTCGTGGGCTTTTTGGAGCCGAAGAGGCACATTTCGAGTTGCGAGGTTGCGGGAATCGGGAAAGTTGAGATCCGATTAGGAGAGATGGGCCAAGGTTGATCACCGAAGTTGAAAATAGAGGATCGACCTCTTTGATATGGAACTTCTCTTGAGCCTGAGAAGGAAGAGGGAAGAGGGAGTGGAGGCAATATCAACTATGATTAAAACTTCAAGCCCACCCATTCATTCAACAATCAACATCACTCGCCAGCTACTGCACCGCCACGTTCTGCACGTTTCGTTCCAGAAGCCTGTGCAATAGAGAGTACCTTCCCTGGCAAACGGACACTTGCCTTGGCCCCTCTATTCCAACTCCCCGGTTTCAAAGCATCCACACTCAAAGAATTTGGACCAGTACGAGGAGCGGACTTACTAATGTTTCAGCGCCCAGACGAGACGTCTGCAACGTCTTTGTCTCTGTCTCTCTTTCCAAATTGTATGATTTATACGTGGATATAAGAAGTCTATTGGTCTAAGGCGCCATCATATGCAGGTTCCCGCCTGGCTCGCTCTCAGCCACCATTTCCCCACAGATTCTCAGGATTGCTGAAGGAAATCGTCAAAGCTTGGCTTCCTTTCTCTTGGGTTTTTTGCCTGTATTTTGCCATGCGAATTCCTGTCAATCACACCGTTAGCACAGCCCTATATCTGCAACATTACCAACCGGAACCTCCCCGCCAGCTCCAAGCGCGTCTGTTTGAGGATAGGATTAGAACGTACCAATTTCTGTGCTTTCCCTGACTCAATAATAGCATTGACCACGACCGGGACCCCCGCCTTAAACCCCTCCTCCGTAGCCCGAGCCAACCCCTCTGGCGTGCTCACGAGGTATCCCTTACCACCACACATCTCCGCAATCTTCTCATACCCTACCTCCCAGCCTAGACTAGAGCTCCGCAACCCTCCCTTGCCGCTTCCCGCAATCGTCTGTTTCTGCATTTCGAGCCAGGCATCTGAATCTTCGGAATCGCCGTGGTACACACCGCTGTTGTTGATGACGAAGATCAGGATGTCCATCCCGTAGCGCGCCATGGTTTCAACTTCCGCGAGGGAGAAGCCGAATGCGGAGTCCCCTTCTAGACAGACGATTTTCTTGTGTGCTGTACTTGGGCCTGATTTAGCTTCAGGAGAAGGGAGGTTGTAAGCACAGTGTGCTGCAATGGCGTAGCCAAGTCCTACACCCATGGTGGCGTGTGTTCCTGCATCGAGACGTAGACGTGGGTGATGTACAGGGAAAATGGAACGCGACATGTCCATGGTGTTTGCGCCTTCGGAGACGTAGACTATGCCGCCGTCTTCGGGAGGTGAGAGTTTGTGAAGTGTTTCCTTGATGATGGAAAACGTTCGTGCGTAGGTCATGGGGATTTTATCTACTTTTGCTGCTTTTGAGGCGGTGGCTTCGTTTTTGGCCTCGCTGGCTTTGAGGGTCTTGATGAAAGGGGAGGAGGAATTGTATTTCCATCCTGAGAGGGAAGAGAGGAGTTGGGCTGTTACGACGTTGATGTCTCCTATTACTCCGAGAGAGGGGTCACCGTTATTGCGTCCGAGTTCTTCTGCTGAAATATCAACCTGGATTATCCTTGCTGCTGGATTCCATTTTGGCTCTTCGCCGTAATGGAGGATCCAATTCAGTCTTGCTCCAAGCACCAAGACCACATCCGCTCTTTTCAGAGCTGCAGATCTTGCTGAGGCGGTGTTGGAGGGGTGGGAATCGGGGAGAACGCCTTTTCCCATAGGTGTGGGTAAGAATGGGATGCCGGTCTGGTCCATCAATTTTCGAATTGCAGCCTCTGCTTGGGCATATGCGGCCCCCTTTCCAACAATAACCAGGGGAGCCTTTGCGGACTTGATGAGATCTGAGATGAGTTGAATCTTGGCGGGATCTGAGGCTGCTTTTGGGGCAATCGGCACAACATGCGTGCTTGTCTCCTCTCCGTCCCCTTGTATCACATCTGCTGGCAAGTCCACAAATGTTGGACCCCCTCTTCCGTACCATGATGTTCTGTATGCAGTTGTAATTGACTGTGGTATCGAGTCGAGGCGGGGCCTAATAGCGATCTTGACATGCGGTGTCAAGAGGGATATGGCATCCATTTCTTGAAAAGCCCCCTTCGTCACCAAATGGGTTTCACTGGAGCCAGCCAGCAGGAGTAAAGGGAAGGCATTTGCAGAGGCATTGCCAATGCCAGCCATAGCATGAAGTACCTAGATTAAGTGAGCATTGAATCTCCCATGTTAAGTGGGATATATAGTTTCCAGGAGGGACATTTTGAAGCTATTAGTATTCCTGCTAGCTGTCTCCCTTAATCTGATACCATAAACAAGAGAAATAACTTACTCCAGGGCCTCCTACAACTAGACAAACTCCTGGTCTGCCGGTCAAATAGCCGTATGCTGTGGCTGCATAGCTCGCAGCTTGCTCATTGCGGAATGCAATGAACCGGATCCCAAGGGCAATTGCCTCTTCAGCAATTTGCACTATAGGAATCCCAACGAGACCGAAGACGACCTTCACTCGCAATTCCTGGAGAGTTTTGGCTATCAACGCTGCTCCTGTTGGTGCAGCCATAATTTATGGTGATGGGACAACGTTGCTGCCGAGGCTGCCTATGACTTCATTGCAGCCCGCAACCACTCGATAAGCGCTGAGACAGGGTTCCTTTGCTCCCTGCAGTTACCACAATTACTGGCTGTCGAATGTATCGCATGTCCATCGTACCCGTTGGCAATGTTTGCAAACGTCTAAGAATTTGGTAATGCGTTGAGTCAATCATGGCCCATCGCATTCAGCCGTCAGCCTTCTGAAACAGAGAAGAGCTTCGATCGACATCACCAACATCACGTTGCGCACTTCACCGCCCTCCATACCCACGACTACACCTCAAGATGGCTGAAGCTACCCCGCCCAAATCCTACTCCTCCGACCCGGTGCTCTACCTATACACGTCTCTCACGTCTGGCTCGTCGCACATTGTCACTGCCACATCGCGCATGGAAACCATCCTCAAGGCGAACCGTATCCCGTTCAGAGCACTCGATATTGCAACCGATGAGAAAGCACGCATGCTATGGGGCCGGAGAGCGGGAAAAGACGAGTCTGGCAGGGCGCGAAAAATCCCAGGCTTGGTGCAGATGGGCTTGGTAGTTGGGGTAAGGCTTCGTCTTACCGGGCAAAAAGAGTACAAAGAGCACAACAGCTGACCTCTCTCAGGATCTCGTGGAAGTTGAAGAATGGAATGAGTACGGAGAGTTGAAGCAACATATCAAGATCGTCCCTATTCCTGGAACTCCCTCTGGATCTGCGGCTCCCACACCCACGACGACCCCCTCGAAAGCCCCCGTTGCGAAGGAGAACATCAAGCCTACACCTACTGCCGAGCCCTCGAAGCTTTCTCAGCCGGTAGAACAAGTTACTGCACAAATGTCCTCGTTCTCGTTGGCAATGAAGCAAGTGGGCCAGGAAGCTGCACAGAAGGCGAAGGATGGCAAAAAGAAGGCCACTGAGGCATTGGAGGGAGTAGGACAAGCAGACCCCGCGGAAGCATCGAAGAAGTCAGCGGTCATACCACCTCCCCTTGCTGTTCTGAATCCACCACACAATGCCCCGAGCAACACAGTTCTGCAATCGCCGACCAGCTCGGCGTGGAGAAGCGCTCCGAGCAAGAGCTTCCACACACCGAAGAGTTCACTAAGCAAGCTAGAACCGATGCAATCTCCAACATCTACGGCTTGGAAGCCTTCGGATACAGATGGACCTGTGTTGACACATAGGGGATCATCGATTTCTATGGCAAGCGATGAGGAGATTAAGCAGGTTGAGGAAGATGAGAAGATCGTTGAAGAAGATGAGGATGCTGTGGAGGATTGATTGATGATTGATGGCTTTGGTACTTGAGACGGTCTAGTTGGTGAAATTCCAATAAATGATTTATGAGTTCAGTGTTCTGTCCCTATTTGATTTATCTTTCAAGTTCTCAGACACCAGAGAAGGGCATAGTTGCTCGGAAGTTGTTCATGGAGGAAATAAGGCGCAGCACCCGGCCCCAGTTTATACTAGTTGTTAAGCTTTAAGAGGAGCTAGGTTTATACTTATGTTGCTGAACAGAATCGGTCGTTACGTCAACTTCAAAGTTTCCAATAGGTATATTTGCTATTTTAAGATCAGTCTATTTGTTGTTTGAGAAAAGAAGCACACTCCCATGTGACAACCCCATTGACTACCCCCCTTGACTACCTCTCGTTTTTTACCCCCACCTGCTCATAACCATCTTTTCACAACTACTCTCATTGCCATTTAGTCTTTTGTATCTATATAAAGCAGTTAATTTAAGACGCCATCCAATTAATCTAATTTCTACAATATAGTGCAGACAAAGGGAACATTGTCATTCTGGGTCCATGCTTGTGTTCAGAATATTGCCTCGAAATAAGAGTCGCCTCAATGAGTCAGCCGTGATAGCAAGCGCTGTGCAATTCCCTCTTTCTTTGACGTCACAATTGTTCGACGACATTCGTCTACTTGACCACTCTCTTTGTCTTCCCAAAGCATTTCGAGCTCTACCCTCGACCCGCATCCGGACAAGAGCCTTTGTTAAAGACCCTCATAATGGACATGAGAATTATCTTTGCTCCATCACTGGAGCTCAAATCGCCAGTTGTTGGCTACCTGAGAAATTTTTGGGCCATCATTCGGTCTTCTGTTTGCGAGTTAAAAGGCATTTTCAAGTATGGATTGTACAGGGGAAGCCCCTCAAGGGGGGGCGATCGATACGCATACGGAGAGAGATGATTCAGCGATCATTCCGTTAAGCAATACCAGGTTGACTTGGGGAGTGGAACTGGAGTTTGTTTTTGCTTTCCATGAAAGCCAGCTTGAGTTGAGCCCCGTAGTTCTTCTCGATGGAGTCTCGCATCCAAGTACACCCCAGAAAAATCTTCCATACAAGTTCAGAAGGGATACCAATGGGTTCAAGAACGAAATCCCCAGGGTCGCGCTACCGAACCGAGTCTACAATAGCTGGGGGGTATACAATGAACACAGACATAGTAACAAGAAGACCATACCTTACCAATGGCAGGTACACAACATCCTGGATAAAGTGCTGGATGAAAAATGCTCGACAATCAATCACCACATCGAGATGGCCCATTCAATTGACGAGAAAGAGGAGATCATGTATAACGAATGGCTTATAATGCGTGACCACAGCGTCTGCGGGGTTGGCTCACAAAATATCCCAACATGGCTTCCTCGAGTGCAGTCAACGACAAATTGGGACTCGTATGGACTCGAGCTTGTCTCTCCGATCTTCGGTACTGATTCAAATCAAGGATTCAACGAAATTGCTCAGATTTTGGAAGCCACGAAAGGGACATCCTCCGAGCTGACAGGAGCTTTTATAACGAATCAATGTGGACTTCACGTCCACATCCAAGCACCCACTGACCTCCAGGTCCTCAAGGAGCTAGCAGTTCTTGCCATCGTCTACGAATCCGAAATCTCCAAACTCCATCCACATTGCCGCCGTCCTGAACATCTCAATGCTCGTTATAACATCGAGAGCAACCGGCTTCGATTCCTCCATAAAGACAAAGAACGTAGGGCTCGACACACATATGGCGATCTCGACGTTTCCAACACAGCGCTTGCCAGACAGCCGGATGATTTCCTCGACACGGTTAGGGAGCAAATCAATAATTGCTCGGATGCCAAGGAATTGGCACTTCTGATGAATTGGCCGAACCATGGCTTGGGCCATGAACTTGGGAATAGAAGCCGGCAAGTGAACTTCACAGCCGCTGCGCGTCCCAAGACTGCTCCATATACGATTGAATTTCGCCAAGCTCGCGGCGCCTTGAATGCCACAGGTGTGAGGAAATGGGTCGAGTTTTGCATTGGTTTGGTTCGAGTAGCGCAATTTTATGTTGATAATCCGGGGAGGTTCCCGATGAAAAGTTTCAAGAGTTTTTTGGTTGATGGAGATGAAGAGTCGGTAACTGAGAGGTTTTATATCTTGGATTTAATGTGGGACATGGGGATGAGTGAGGAGGATAAGAGCTATTGGAGGACGAGGATGGCGAGATTTGCGGGGAAAGGGGGACGGCTGGATAGGTTGGATAACGAGAAGGAGCCGGAAGAGGGACAGGAGGGGCAGGGTATTTCTGGAGACGGTGGCGGCAGTGATTCTGATGATCCAGGGGAAGGCCCATCTGGTGGTGATGGCCAGGGAGATAATTCTGGAAGTGGTTCCCAGGGCGGAAGTGATTCTAGAGGGAACAACTCAGAGGGAAACAACGGTGGCAGCAGTGGAGGGAGCGGTGCCCAATCACCGCCCCCTCCCAATTGGCGTATGAAACCGTCCCCCAAGACAGGTGACAAAAGACCAACTGGAGATGACGAAGAGAACGACGAAGACCAGCAGGGGCCTGGCTCCAAGAAACAGAACATGGTAATGAATTGATCTTTCCTCTTACCTCGAACCGAGCGGAGTACCTTATGTTTTAAGAAGAGCTGCTAACTGTTGTCAGAATGGAGGTGGACGATCTGACAGTAAGGGAAACAGTTCAAGAATTGACCAATCTGGCGGTGACTCAACCAGAGGTGACAAGTCAGAGAGAAGCCATGTCGGAGGAAATAAACATTCTCCTAAGACTGGTGACAAAAGACCAGCGGGTGGTGACGATGATGATGAAGGCCACGATGGCCAACAGAAACTTGACTCCAAGAGACAGAGGAAGGAGAGTCTGAAGGAAGGCGGAGAGGACGAAGATAAATCGGGAGCGAACCACTGGCTTCCATTACCCCAAACTAACCTTGCGAGAATGGCAACGACTCTTGCAGTTGTTCTAGGCTATTTTGCGCCATTCATGGCCGCTTTATTTGTATCTGCAGCTCCGGCCGCCCCAACACTTCCCGAAGCACCTCTCGATGGTGAAGCGCCACCTTCTGCCTCAGCACCCGTAATTCCACCCGACTTTGGGAGACCTACGGAGGGAATGATAGCCCCGATTGGAAGCATGTCTCCAGATGAAGCACACGTCTTTCTTGACTCTGTCTGGGCAGTCAAAGACTTCGACAAGAGATGGTGGATGGCGAAGTGGACGGATACCAATATTCAAACACCAACCGGAACGCGAAACTTCGTCTGCGCCATCAACGCCATACTCCAGTCCATGCGTGACCAATATCCAGACTCACCATACGGAGAGATAGAGGCACATGAACTCCTGGCTCTGTTTGATCGTCTCGTTGGCCGAATGGTCTGCAATGATGAAGATGACCAAGAGCTTGCCACGGTTGTGGATAGGTGGACTGGCGGCGAATATCAGATTATCGTCGTTCCTGATGCTCTTAACCATAATATCGCTCATAGGGGTGGGTTTTTGAGCCAGTACCCGCAGCAGCACTTGTTTGGACGCAATTTGTATGTTCATCACCAAGTAGTTAAGAATGGAAAAGGAGGTGGGCATTGGGAGAGCATGTTCAGGAGGGAAACCCATAGGGGCGGTTGATGACAACAATGTTTAATAAGTTTGATGGCGGTTTACTAAGTGGTAATCCTGCTTCTTATCATTTGCACTGAGGTGAACCCAGGGGGCACGATGCTTTGGTTTAGACGCTTGATAGGAGTGCAATTTACAATATAATTTGCTGTAATAAGCCTCTTTAATATTTAGCTATAATGGCAGAAATTAAGCTATAATTAAAGGCAGATACTAATTAATATAGAGAACTATATCGGATTTAGTATAAGTGTAACGACTGGCATAACGGCATAATCTGCCAGGAACAGGGAATCGGAAACAGGTGCAAAACGGAGCTAAGCCTGAATGCTTGGGCAAGATAATACTAAAAGGTCGAGGCATTCCTCCCTTCTTTGCTTCCCAGCTTAGTATTTTCAATACATGAGATTATTGAACTTTGAGCCTTCGACCATTGCATTGATCCCGCCGTCACAATAAGAATGCAGCTATATAAATTCGAATTGCTTTTAAGCAAGTTCGGAAGTATAGGAAGAAACTATTTAAAGGTAATAAATTATATTTGAGGTATATAGAAGAGAAATTGGAGCTACTAGTAAAGAAGGATCCTGACTACTTATTATTTCAGATACCAAGTAAAAGTTTTCTGTTGGGTTTTAATACTTAGGGGACATGTGCAAATGAATAGGGGATCGAATGTGGTATGGCAAGCTATACTCCATTAAAAATTGCGTTGTTTTGGGGTTTTAATTATATAATAAAGGCTAGGGCTTTTATTATGTGACTTGAGGGAATTACATAAGAAAGCTAGCTTTTTCCGTAGTTCTAGACAAGCAACCTTCCTTAATATTAATCAATTGATATTTCTGCAATTATATACTGTTTATGCTTTACTGTGTATGCCCTTGTTCTTGTTGTTTTGCTGTCAAGTCACGTTTTGCGCTCTGGTGTACTTTTATGTGGGTTTTTGTCTTGTCGCAGTTTCCCTCCCACAGTACCAGGGGCTAAAGAATAGCAGAAAAAGAAAGCCTTACTTTACGATAAAATTACAAAACTTAGGTTGCTAAGTGCAGGGGAAGGGGGCTAGAATGGAATCAAATTCTCAAATGCATAAGCACCCTTCCAGGACTGCCCTGAAAGGGTGCTTATATATATCCTAATCAGAGTTGGCCTCCTGTCATTTCTCCTTTGGGCGTACACCCATGTTTTAGGAATGCTACGCGAGCAAAACAGGGGTGTTGCAGGCAGGCTTGGCAGTAATACCTAATTTCTGGTATCGATAGGTATCGATAGGTATCGATGCCAGAATCGTAAGGTATCGATTCCTATCGATTCCCGGAACCCAATTCCCCCCTTTAATTGCAATTAACTTTAGAACCACTTCCCTTATAAGAAAGCTTTTGGTAGCGCAAATATTCTACTTAATTTAGGCTTTCTATTTAGCTACTTATCTTATAGTTTAGACTAAAACTCGTCTCAATGCGGCTATTTTAAGCAAAAAATAGCTTTTGAGATTTTCGTGAGGCTCGCTTATAATAAGCGTTCCGATAAGAGATACGAATACGATACTAAATTTTCCGAATACGAGAGCTTTTTTAAATTAAAATAATATTAACTTTTATTAATAATATTAAGTAATTCCTTTAATAGAAAGACTAGAAAATAAAGAAATTATATATAAATATATTATTATATAAATTAAATAATAAATGGAAGAGATAATTTAAGGCTAAGTATCGATTCTTGCGATACCTAAGTAATACCATCCAGTATCAATACCTTATCGATACCAAAAGTATTTTTGCCAAGCCTGGTTGCAGGGGTTGGCAGGGGCAAGCACACTGATTTTGTATCTATTGGCAGCTAACAACCTTCTCAGCCATCACCGAGCTACACCACAAGCTCGCCAACATCGACCTGCGACGATGCGACCTCAATCCTTCCACGTTATCCACAAGCTCCGACACACTTCAGCTTTCGAAATTGTCTGACCATTGTACAGTACCTTCACATCAGCATGTATATATTAGCGGTATCCTCAAGGATCTGACAACATGCGGTATGTGCTGTATCACTAGATGTTGTAGAATTTGCTGACATGGAAAAGTTACATCTGCCAGTGTTCTTTGGCAAAGAAGGCACCTGAGAATGTTAAGATAGAGACTTTGGAGCTTTGAGGGTGTCTTAACGATCGAGACTAGCAGTGGCCATGAGGAATATTTATGACACTATATATCTTCGTTTCGGGAACGAGTCTGCTAAGACCAATGCTTGGTTGCTTGAGAAAGAAGATTATCAGAGACGTCTTCAACGACGGTCCTGTGGATCGAGCTCGAGTCTGAATGGGGCGTCTTGGCCAGAGGGCGCTGGATGTACGTTATATACAGAACAATAGAGGCTCTATTCAATGCTTGCTAGCTCCAACTCCAGGGTGTTCTCCGTGCTGCCGATCATTCTGCATTCCAGTCGTGGTAGCAGGAAAGAGACTATTTTGGTGGCCTTGGGCTGACTGCTCTTCGCGCAACTTTCGAATTGTCTCTGCTTGAATATCCAGCTGCTTATCGAGATCTCTTATAGACCACAATCTAATTGTTAATTGTCAGCAAACGACCCACAGGGACATAGACATTTGTACGTACCCGCAGATTGAAGTGAAGGTGACAGTCGTGGCTGTTTTTATCGGGAAGGAAGTGGGTAGAAACCGTACCAAGATTGAGGAATGCATATTTCATATGAGAATCAAGGTGGTTGATGGAGTATTTGGTTCAGATCGAGTTCTGAAGACACCTGTGGGGAGCTCGAGGAATCTAGCGGTCAGTTTCGCTTAAAATAAGGCTGGAAAAACTACTGTAGTTTCGCATACAGCGTACCACACTCGGGATTACGCGGTTGCATTTACTAAAATCCCCATAGAAATTAAAACAAAGATCTGAGGCTTGTCGTTCGAATCATTACTCTCATACACATAGAATTTATGTACTCTTCCAAATCCTCATTCGCCATAAAACCCTTTGCACTTCCGAGGATATTGTTAGCAATACATATACCGAATGCCGCTTCCCTTGTTCGCTCGCTTCGTCATAGGACCAGTATTGGACTTGGTCTCACGAGTATCCTCATCACGTGAGTCACCTTCTCTCAACCTTTTATTGCCTTCCCAAATGCTTATCAAGATAGGCCATCGTCTTAGTGGATGAAAAAGCAGCAGCTCAAGAAAGGAGAAGAGGAGATCAAGCAGCTGCGGAAAGCAATTTCGAATACGAGGGTGGAAGCAAGGACAGATAGAGATCGCTGAGAGAGAGTTCATACCAGTGACGTCAGTGACTCACCAGAATCCAGCGCGATGAGTGGCTACTAAGGAGGATGATTGACTGGGATTACTGGCGCGAGGGTGTCTTTAAATTCGTAAAAGCGGAGAAAGGGAGTAGAGGCAAGGTGGCTACAGTACGCTACTTGGGCAGTGGGATGAGTATGAAGCGCAGACTAAGTTTGAGAGTGTGTAACTTTTTGTCGTTATATTTACTGCTCTAGCTAAACCCCCCTCTCCGTTGTGTCCATAACCCTTGCTGTCTCTGTGTCGTTGTTTTTGTCGTCTAATGTGTCGTCCTCGATTGGCTATGGTGTCTCGTCCCATGTGGCGCCCTCCTCGAAATCAATTTCCTCTTCCATCTGATTGGCTGCCTCTGGTTCGGCAAGCTTGTCCTTCATCGCAAGAAGCTCGTCCTTTTGTCTGAACTCATCTTCCCACTGCTTTAAATGCTCTTGTCGTGCGTAAAACTGCCCATCTGTCTCTTGTCCGCTCTGATACAGGTAGTCTTCCTGTTCCTCCTGAAATGCTTCTCTTTTGGCGACGTGGTTGGCGAAGTATTCGTCCATGATAGGGGTGACTTCTTCGAGTGTGTACACATTGCCCTCAGGATCGGTGACACGGAGGTCCGGGGCGATTTGGGTTGCTTCTAATAATACGTCTTTGACGGAGTCCGATATGTGGTGGAGTCTCCAAGAGCAGGTGTTGTGTTGGCTCATTTGTTCAGGTTCCGGATTGGCGGCATACCAGAAGTCGTCGCCGAAGTGTTTGTCAGTGATGTTTCGGTACTTCATGAATTCTTCACTCAGGTCGGTGATGAGTGCGTTGATTAATCTGAGCTCATTCTTCTCCTTGATAACGGTGGGCTCTGCAATTTCGAATGCTTCGCCGGGTTCGAGGTATTCAATGTCGTCTGGGTTGAAGAATTCCGATGTTTGGGATGCCGGTTCGTCGTCCTCAATGATGGGTGTGAGTGGTGGTGTCATGGGTCCGTTGAGAAGTTGGAATAGAGCCTTCGACCGGTCCGTGGCACGGTACTCTTCGGTGGGAACCTCCATTGGTGATCTTGGTGGAGTTGGGATATCCGTGTATAAGTGTGGAAATTCGCCCTCATCCTCAGATTCGTCGAGTTCGTCGTCACTTCCAATATCCGACTCCGTAGCGTCGTCGATAATTGCACTGCTCTTCTCAGCTTCCAAGCGCTCTTGCTCTTCAATTCTCGCCATCTCCTCCGCCCACTCAATCTCCTTGAAACTAGGCCCCATACTCTCCAACTTCTCTTCCATCTGTCCCTTAACCCACTCGAGACTCTCCCAATTTCCAGCAATGATTTTCTGGTCCTCTAGCCAAACTTCCTCGGGATAGATATTCTTCATGGCAGCGCCAACGATATCGGTGTGTTTGTGATTGACACGAACTTGCCACTGCGAGACTTCCTCTCCCAGTGCTCGAAGGGAAGCGTAAAGGTGTTGATTTTTAGGGTCCCGGGTTGCTTTTGTGAATTTTTTATCTGATTTGTCTGCACAGCAGTTCTCTGTACAGGATTTGTCTTTGCAGCAAGAGTTCTGACGGATCATCTCTCTCCGTTTTCCGACGATGGCGTTGACTTTGCTGAAGGCACCGCGTTGGAGGAAGCGATGGTAAGCGTCTGACCGATTCTTTGCTCCCGGTGACAGCGAGCGGAAACCTGGTTCCAAAGGACTAGGTTTTCGAAGGTTGTTGAAGTGGTCGACAAGTGATGTTCGTTGGTTGTGTCTCTCATGAATGAGTTTCCATGCTTGTTCTTGCTTTTCTTTGAGTGTGGGGACTATTTTGTTTGACTTGGTATTGTCGTTGGTATTGTCGGTTTCGATTCCGGTGGCCTTAGTATTATCGTTGGGGTTGACAATAGATTCACTTGCTGAAGCTTGGCTGGCTTGCACGTGATCACCCCCTTGATGGGATGCCTTATTAGATTTGAGGGCGTCTGTTAACAGTTTGACCAGCTTTGTTCGCTTGTTGGGGCCGATGGCGTTGTTTTTGGTGGTCGAGGTTGTTTGGGTGTCGACTTGTGATTCGGTCCATGCGATATCCACGGGTTTGGAGATATTTCTTTTGGGAGTGAAATTCGGCATCTGGTCGTTTGATGGTAGCTCTTCTGCTGTCAGCTCAGTTCTGTCGTTATGCTGAAGTAGCCTGTTGCTTGAGGTGTACTACGGGGTAACAAGAGGTCGTACTTGTTGCGAACTTGAAGAATGTGACAGGAAAGGCGCAGAAACGGAGCTGAATTAAAGGAGACGCGATTGCTTGGGTGTTAGTGTGTGAAATGGAGAGGAGAGAAACGCACGAAGGGATGGGCGACTCTAGTAGCTTTTATATGAAAGTACCATATTCGCTGTTGCGCGTCAACCATCTGTGAGAGTTTATGGGAAGACGGACGTAGGGCAACGAGAGGTAACCCGTACGCTGAACCCAATGGAGAAGAGAAAATTTGACTATGACGCTCAAGTGGGAACAAAAAGGACATATCCACGGTTGTATATCTCTGGGTCGTCGAGGCGGGTGAGCTAAACTTAATCTCAACCTTAGTTAGAAAGGAGATCTCGACTCCCACAAAAGAAAACACAAATTCACTTTCAGAATGGGAAATGCGGTCGGTCACGGTCAAATGTTGTCCATTCTTTGCGAAAATGTCTAGTCTTTTTTTCGTTCTCGAAAGTCAATTATTCACATTTTTGCGGCGCAAAGCGCTCGCATTCGTTTGAGGATTCGTTGAGTTAGGGCTCGGGTAGACCCCGTCTATGACAGACAGTTGGACCCGGCGTCGAAGAAAATCGAACTTTCCAGGACCTGCGTCGATGGTATACATTTTGGGAATTTTTGCTCGAAGTGCAAACACCATTCTATTTTGGGGCAGAATCAAGAGCCTTGCAAGCAGCTAACCAGGGGTCAGTATAAGGCAGTGAACCATCCGCGGAACACGTACCCAAGGTAATCCTCCTTGATGCTGGCAATCGCATACATTCCGCCGACTTCTGCCCTCGTGCCGATCAATTTGACTCGGACGTGGGTGCCGACCTCGATTACCGAGTCCTCATTGTTCGTGAACTGGGGAGGAGTCGCGTTCGGGTCAAATTTGATATCTGGAGGGATGAGCTGATCTTAATGTTAGCTTTGTTCTCCACCTCGAGACTTGGTGCTCACATGTGACGATACGAAAAGTGGCAGAGGGCCAGCATCAGCGAAGAAGCCCATCTTATTGACGGAGGTGACGATGGCATCAACCTAGCACAAAATATGAGCAAAGCACAAGAAGCCATCGTTCCAACCGGAAGCTCACGGTCTCGCCTTTGAAAGGCCTCCAAACAACTGCACGGTATCCAACCGTGAACTCAGCCAAGCCGCTCCCGGGGAGAATTCGTCCTTCAGAGATATTGAAAGTATCCATGATTGTAATTATAAAGTATCGACCCGTGCATGTACCCTCCACATCTTTCAAGAGCTTCCCTGTGACCAACTCGTGCATGTTCCGGCCAAAATACGACGGGTGCAGTGTAACCTGCCGCTCGAGGTTGTAGAGGAAGAACATGGTGGGCGAGACTCGCAAGCGCTGCTCTTTGCGCGAGGTTTTGCTTGGCGAAGGTTTACGATCTCGAAGATGCTAGGTCGAGGGGTAATATATTGACTTGCGCCGCTGGGGCAAAAGTTGAGTGAGGCTCTGGAATTTGCTCGAGGGCGAATCACTCGCGCCTCTGGTCCTCAACGCACTCCTCCAACCCCATAAATACCACGCCCTGAGTCGCACGAGCTGCCCGAGTCCTGTAGATATGATGCGCTCGATCACTGAGTAGTTCTGCAGTTATCAGTCCAGAACGCCTTGAAGCGCTGGGTTAGCAACATGACGTACACTGCTCAAAAGAATGGCTTTGCAAAGACTGGACGCTCTGGCGCTGCTCTGGGGTTGTCACAGAGCGCACACAAAGGTAGTCGATGCTGCGTTCGGTCTGTGGACGAGGACTGTGGACTTGGTCGCCGGCGAGACAAAGGGATGTTGTGAAAGCAGTTGCGCTAAGAATCTCCGTATTTTATTGTTGGTGCTGAGAAGTGCACAGGGGAAGTGTAGCTCTGGTCACTAGCGGCCGCCACAATGGTTCACCGTGCACAGGGATCATCATGCAGTGGATTGCGCCCGAGGCAAAACGCCAGCCATTATCCAGCGCACATGCAATGACCTGATTTGACTTTCTGGCCCGAACAACGGCCACTCCTTCTCCAGCTACCCCATAAAGACTTCGTCGTCACCACATCTCCAACTGAGGTCTCACATCAGTGATGATTCTGCGGCAGCTACGGCCTCTCTGACATCCCCCGCATCCGCATTCCACCATCAGCAAGAACCCTCCGCTTCTACGAAGGAACAGCTACCTCCCTCCCCACCATCACCTCAACATGTCTCTCGACCTCGAAAAGCAATTGCGCTTTGTGAGTTGGCATCGACCGAGACCCGCCGGCACTTGCTAATCGACAACAGTATGGCGCCTACCACCACAATCCCGTCAATATCGGCATCCATATGACCTGCGTGCCTCTGATTCTGGCATTTGCGATACTTTTGGTTTGTTCCCCCGGCCTTTTCCATCAACCCATGGACAGAAACTGACCAGAACCAGGCAACCAATTCTCCCACGCTCATCCCTCTGCCAGAATGGCTCACCATCCCAAACCTACCTCTCAACCTCGGAACGATAGGAGCAATACTCTATAGCGGCTTCTATATCCTCCTCGAACCGGTCGCCGGCTCCGCACTCCTGCCCCTAATCATTGGCTGGGCAGCCTACGCCAACCACCTTACAACTACCATGCCTTCAGCGATCAACAAGATTGCCATCGGTGTTCAAATTGTTGCTTGGATTGCACAATTCGTCGGACATGGAGTATACGAGGGTCGTGCGCCGGCGCTGCTGGATAACCTTGTTCAAGCTTTGGTCCTAGCTCCGTTCTTCGTTTTTATGGAAGCTTTGTTCCACTTTGGATATCGACCTGAGTTGCAAAAAAGAGTTAGTGAGGCTGTGGAGAAGGAGATTAAGAAGGTTAAGGCCGAGAAGGAGGGGAAACAAGCAAATGGTGATGTGAAGAATGGCAAGGCAAATTAGGATCGATCCTGAACCATATCACCACTGGGCGGGCCTGGATATATGGGCTGCGGGATTGGACAACAGATTATGGGGCAAAACGGATGGATCAGTTCACGGGAGAGGGAAAGAATGATGAGCTGGGCGATTTATGTGAAGCCTGGGAAGCCTGGAAATAATGTGAGTGATCAGCACAAGCGATGCATATAATACACAGCAGTAAGCTACGGTATGGGGAAAGAAGTGAGTCAGCATGGAAATGAGGTGCGAGGCGTTTTCAATTCTCATGATATAGTTGCGCATTCAACGCCCTGATGGATGACAACGACACGATACGTTACTTATAGGCGGCTTTCATTCTCAGAATTAGACGGGACTTCTCTAGGAGTTCTGTTATGGGATTCGATTCATTCAAGTCACATTTCCAATTTTTGGAAGGTACGAGAAGCGTTTGAGTTGTACAAATGACAGTTTCAATTTGCATTACTCTATCTTAATCTCTCGCCCTCTTCTCTTCCCCTGTACGCCGTACGCCCAAGTTGATCGTGATACTGTACCCACCGCCGACGCTAGTGCCAACGTCTTGCCGGTGGGTCCTCATCTGGCTCCGAGAAACAATCCATCATATCATCTATCTCAAGATACAGCTCACCCATAGTACTTCCCACTGATCTCAGTGGATGGCTACTCATAGAAGATACGGATGAGTTGTTGCTCACTGGTGACGAGAACGGCGAGATGCCGTTTCCGTCGGGTGTTGGGATCGGTGGTCCTCGTGATGACGTTCGGCTCAAGCGACGACCATCTTGTAATGCTTTAGTGTGGTATCTGCTGCCCGTAGGGGTTGGCTCCTTCATTGAGGTTGGTGGATTTGACGCGGTCTTTTTCGACGAGTTTGATTGGGGTGAAGTGGGGGTGGCCTTCTTGAATGTTTTTGATGATTTTGAGGAGCCTGATGTAGCGACATTCTTTTTTGATGAACCTGAAGCCGCAACAGGCTTTCTCAATGGTGTCGATGGTGCTGTCAAACCCGAGATCTTCCTATTCTCATGTCGAAGTTGTGGGCGTGGGGGCAATGACGGCTCTCTTCGGACCGAGCGGTTTCGTGGAGCCTCTGCGGGCCTGGAGAAGTTCGCCGGTGTTGACCTTGTCGCTGGAACTGTTTTTACCTGGCTATGTTTCGTTCTCAGCGGCTTCCATGGAAGCGGGTCGTCCGGTGGTGCACTTGGCGCTGGGTAGCTCCCATGATCAGTCCTTCGTGCTCCTCCCCATCGATCCAAGTCGATACCAGGATTTTCATAGTATGGCTGTGGCGGCGGCAGTGGTGGTGGAGAAGGGTCCGTTCCCATGAATCTTGGATTCATTCCCGACATCAGCCCAACAGCAGCCACAAGGTGTGGTTCAAGACTCTCGTTGTCAGGGTCCCGTCTGTTGTCTCTTGCGCCCTTGTCATCAATCTTGGGATGTGAGAACATATTTTCCCGAGTGGCTCTGGGCTCTCTGGGAGGGTCAGCTCGTGGAGCTCGAGAAGGGGGACGTGGATCAGAGGAATGGTACCCTTGTATTTTCTCCCACTCCGCGAACTCATCAGCACCTCTTGCACAGCAAGGTCCGTCATGCGGTTTTCTCTGGTAGCACTGAACGACCCTACCTTCCGTTCTACAAGCCTCACAGACCCATCCCCATTTTGTTTCCAAACGCCTGCGTTCGGTTTCTTTCTGGGATCTGGCTTCTGATTCTCCGTCCTGCCTTCGCCTCTCCCGCTCTGCTCTTCTGAGCAATCGGTGGCGCAGTCCTTCTTCTTCGGCCTCCCTCCGCGCTGTGCACCCCGGGCAGATGTGATACTGGTGATGTATTCTGCCAGCTGGGAAGGGGCAGACAATTTTGCAAGCACTGTGAAAGATGGACTTCCAGAAGCCTCTCTTTTCCTTCTCCTTTCTTGCATCACTTTCTGCTTGTCGATACCATCTGCACTCTTCGAGCTCTTCCTTCTTGCAGTCGCAAGCCCATGTTGTGATTCTGACGCACATTTTGATGGTTGTTTGTGGTGAGTCTGGGATTGTGTACGCTTGTGTGATTCCTTGTATGAGGAAGCGTCGGGATACTGGTAGAAGAATTGTGAGAAGTATGAGCAGTTTGCGGAAAGGCATAAAGGGATTGTTCGTGTGCATATAAACTTTCCAGCGGCATCTTGTTCTGTGTTTGCCCTCTACAGAAAGAGGGACATATTTTCATTGTTGGCAAGATAAAGCTTCCTTTGAGCAAGAAGAGAGTGACAAGAAGGCAATTGTTCTTCTTGGGGGCTTTGTTGTGCTTCCATCGTGGGGTCCCGCCTGTTCTAAGGAGAACCGTTCCGTTGAGTTATGCGTGAAAATTCCTTTCGATGGTTTCAATTGCTTGAGGCTATTCATGAAGGATATCAAGTGGCTATTCTACAGTAATTACTATTAGAATTAACATGAAAGAGCTACTTTCTTGAAAACGAGTGGACTACGTTCCCTCAGCAGTCTCCTTTGTCGTCAAAACATAGCCCCTGAGCGTAGACCCGTATAATACACGTGACCTCGACTTCTCTCACTTGTTCTATGGGATGTCGGGTGGCCGCATAATGTGTGGGAATGAATAATTGGTTCTCGTGCCTTGTTTTGATATTGAGGAATGCTGTTGTTGCGTTGCCGAGCATTCCAATGTTGCGTTTACAACACCTCAGCTGGACTGTTCCTTCCTCGTTAAAAGTGTCATCCAGGGGATTGTAATTGGCGCAAGACTCTTTCCGTGATATAGTCAACGCTCAAGTTGTACTTTTAAGTACCGCAATCCTACGAAAGTACCGCTTCTGCAATGGGTACTGTGAGGTCCTGACAAGACACCAAGTATCAGAATGTCATGTACGCGAGTCTCGGATTAGATGGAGAGGTTGAAGTGAAGGCAAGGCCGTACAATCGGACCGGCAAGAAGGTGACTTTGAAGGAGGAGGGAGAAATTAAGTTTAAGGATATTGAGTCCAGGGCCTGTTTTAGCGGTCGATGGTCCGTTGCGGTGATATGGGTGATGTTAAAAGGTGTGCGAAGGGAAGGTTGGATAGGAAGAAAGAGTTCTATTTGAAGCGAGAGAAGAGATTCGACGAGGATGTGAGGAGGTTTTGGAGGAACAAGAAGTTCAATATCGCCTGAGGTCGAGCATTCGCAGCTGGTCAGCTCCAATTTCATCATCTTTCGTTTTGACTTTTCCACCATCCCTCCATGTGAATGTTTGATACGTTTCTCTCCGTCGGAATAAATACAGTGCAAGGTCACATATATACAGATTCCAACCGCCTATATACAGATTCCAACCGCCTTCGTCATCCATTATCCATCTTTACCTTACGGAAGTCCAAACCACGCCTCACTCGCCGCCAAGTGTGCAGGAACCGAGTGCCCAACTCCCGTCGCATAGATCCCTTCCACATTCGGCCCATAATCACTCATCTTATAATTCTTCTCCGGATGATCTGCCTTTTCAGCCGTAGCAGTCGTACTCACACCAAACACATTCGTCCACTGCTTAATCTCCTCCATATAATTGTTCGGGCTGATTGTAGTATCTACAGAACCATGCCAGACTTGCATCTTTTGGCGAGTGCCACTGTAGCCTGGGTTCATCGCGCGTGCTGTGTCTCCCCATTTCTCTGCAGTGTCGATGGACTGACCGTGCGTGCAGGTACTGTTCCATTGATCGACTCCCTCTCCAACGAAGCATCCTGCTGGGACCCCCGAGTAGAGGGATGCGGCGACGAACATTTCAGGGTAGCTGGCGGCGAGGACGTTGCTCGTCATTGCTCCGGAAGAACCTCCAGTCACATAAACCCGCGAAGGATTGACGCTGTACTTGGGAATGGCGTATGTAACCATATTCGCAATGGCGTTTGAGTCTCCGCCTCCATTGCGGCTGAGAGATGATTTGGAAGATACATCCCAGCAGCCTCCGCTATTAGGGCTGCTTGGCCAGAGGGTGATGTACCCCCCTTTGTCGGAGCCTTGTGCCCACGGAATCAAGGAGTTTCTGAAGTATGATTGGGCTGAGGATTGGCAGGAGTGGATCACTACAACAAGTGCTGGGTTTGCCTTTACGTTGTCGGGGACGTAGATCCACCTTCGAAAGTAGTGATTAGTGTCAATGCTTGAGATCTGGATTTATCACGGGGGATTTCAAGCTTACATCTGAGCTTTTGAAGTTGCACTTCCACCATAATTGCTAACTTGAGTCAAAGTTGCTGCCAACACAGCACTTCCCGACAGCACCAGCGCTCCAAAGACTCTAGAAAAGCGCATTTTGTTGCTGATAAAGCCCACTCAGTTGAGAACCAACAAAGTAGACCCTTATGTCTGCCAGGTGGGCCTCCAGTCCATTATATTCCTGCTCAAGCAAAGTTCCATACGTGGCCTCCTCTTCAAAAGCCAGCCATCCCCTTCATTGTATATTAAACCTCAATAGTAGACATACTTATACCCCATAGGCTAAAACGCACATCAAGCTTTCCCTTCCCCACAGCCAAATAGCCGAGCCCCTGAGTCCACACAAACCCCGCCAAACACATGCGGCTGAAACCCCATATTACTCTGCCCCGTAAAATGTTAATTGAGGCGTTATGATTGAAACGAGCAAGTCCCTTTTCCAGGAGGTGACCACTCAATTCGGATGCGTCGTGTGGAAGGAAGATTTATGTCACCGAGGTGCCTGGAGATACCGATTTTATTGCTGCGTGACGAATCGGATGGGGTGGCAGGAGGAGAGAAGGCGGACCCCACTTCTGGTATTTATCCCGACAGGTGGAGTATCTTGCCTTTGATGGATTTATTATCTTGATCTCCCTCGAATGAACTGAGCCAAAATGAATCAATTTCTTCTTGTTGTGGGACTTTTGGGGTGTGTTGCGCATGGTGGGACTTCGAATTATACGGTGGATGGAGTGTGGTATGGTGGGTACGCAACGTACGTTTGAACACTTTCAAAGTTGTGTTACCTCTGGGTTTGTCTTGATACTTTGAGCCCGGCGAATCGCTTGGAGATATGATCCAGATACACCAGGAGGGTTACAGAATGGCCAGCCGTGGCTTATTCAACGAAAACGGACATCAATCAATCCGATATTCCAACCAGACAACATTTCAATTATGTGCAACTGCCCTGGAGATCCAGCACCCTCCTCGGTACCCATCCGAGCAGGAGATAACATAACAGCAGTGTACTACTACTGGCTGCACACCGTCGGGCCAATGGTTCTCTGAATGGCAAACTGTGGCGCAGACTGAGGACTTTCAACGCCTCTCAGGGCAACTGGTTTAAGATCGCACAACGGGGTCTCATCAGCGGTACGATACAAGAAGGAATGTGGGGACAAAAGATATTGGGGAGGAGAGAATTGGGTTGGAACTCCTGAGTTGTGGACGGAGACGATTCCAGCTACTTTGAAGCCGGGGAATTATTTGATTCGGCAGGAAATAATTGCGTTGCATATCGTGAATAAACCGCAGTGGTATCCACAGTGTGCGCATTTGACGGTCACGGGCAATGGGACCCAGAGCCAGAGAAGGCGTGCTTGGCGAAGGTCCCCGGGGTGTATTCTATGGACCGTGAGCTGTTTTTTTTTATGTTGAAACGATAGCATACTGATGATTTTTAGAACCGGAGATCAACATTAATGTTTACGCTCCTGGGGTGACAAATTCCACTGTGAGTGCTCTCTTCAATACTCGACAGCCTTTATTTCCAGCTTTCTGGACTTAAATCAGGACGGGATGTACGGTACAAGTTTGGCGGGGCTCTGGCTAATTGTTTCGATAGGTTTACGATATTCCAGGACTTCCGGTTTGGAATGGAGAGAAAGTTAAAATGTCTAGGTTGGTTAACGGTTTCAAGGGTCCAAAGGACAAGAAGATCAGGTTGACTTAGTTCCATAGGCACGATTAACCTATTGGCAATATAAGAATATCTCAAGAAATATATATCAAGCTTATGTAATTGATAACAGAGTCGGACTCTGGAAGGATACATTAGAGACCATATCCCCCACATGTTGGGAAGTGGAAAAAGCCGATATGTCTCTAATCGTGAACAGCTTCCTCGCACCCTCCCAACCACTTCCATATAATCCCCTGGAATCCGTTTGAAGTTATTCCATGTCCTAGATCTGCGCTTGCCCCTATTTCCTTGTAGTACCCAGGACCATTCTGGACCAACTTGACAGCAACACATTCATCCGGTGCGCGTCCATCGCTCTTGAAAACACCCTACTTCAGAGAGGACTGATCCCCTCCATTCAATATACTGTTACAAGCAAAGAAGCCTTAAGATGCAGCATGGACACTTCCATCACTCCCAAGCAAAAATCCAAAGTTTTCCATTGCCCTGTCCAGGGGCGTAGATTGCGGTCACGGTGACAGTGAAGCGGTAGTTGCCTTCGAAGAACATAGCGTGTAGGTTTGGGTCTTTGAGATTAAAATCGAAGTATGTGCGAAGACGTGGAGAAGCTTAGAACAGCATACCGGCAAGTCCGCGGGGACAAAATCCAGGGAAAAGTTTGCGATCTCGCGTATGCGGATGCCCATAGGTTCAGGATTAATTCTCCCTTTCGCTGGTTCCGTTCTAGTCTGCGGACGCGAGCAATTGCTGCTTTAACCTGAGCTGAGGGTGGACATCCGTTTGGAGTTTAGAGAGTTACCACTTCTCAGGCAGTGTCTAACAGATGGCCGTCAAATCCATATTGCAACTTAAGAGAATAAGATCGGCCTTGCTAAGATCTGACCGCCCATAGCTTGCCAGCTTTACCTCATTTGACTGACCAGAGGAGCACCGGCAACTTGACGAACTTAGGCGGCCTCAATTACTTATGTCCAGCAACACATCTGATAATTTAACACTTCAGGAAATAAATCAGTTGCACAGCCTTTATTTAAATGGATATTTTGAACCGATGAAGGGATAAATACTGGCATCAAGCACCACAACTTCCGCTTCCGCAACCTCCCCCACATCCTGCACCACCGCATCCCGTCCCGCATCCACCCCCGCATCCACCCCCGCACTGTGTATCTGGTGCCTCGAACCCACGGACAGATTCATGAGAACCGGTTTCCTCAGCTCTGACTGGACGCTCATCCCATATTGCTGAATCTCCGCGTGAGGTCCAGAAGCCTGTGATAGCATGTGCGTGGAGACTGTGTAGTTCAGTGCCTCCATTGTCGTTCCCTAGTTGCTTTTTCATTTTCTTGTTCTGCACACGAGAAACGAAGAACCAGCCAACCATTACAGCTGCGGTCAAAATCACTGTGATGACCCAATAGAGCCATGACCACGCTGAGACAATACTTGAGTCTTCTGCTGGTTTGAAGTTGAAGAAGCTCGACCCAAGAAGCGTCTGGAATAAGTCAGTATGCGTCTAAATATCTGCTTGGAGGATCCGTTTGGACAGAAGAATCATACCGCAGTAAAAGTGCCGGGGAGGAACAGCATGGTGATAACAGTGATTATCCGCATATCAGTGCTATCTCTTCGAGTCCAAATAGCAACTTTTCTCGACTCGTCCGCTATTTTACTGGAAGCTCTAGCGATGACCAAATTCTGACGGCTCTCTTTCTGTGCAATAAGGCAGTATGTCTATCAAAACTTGTTAGTGCCATTTCATCCTCATGTTCGCACATTCCTGTCTGTGGACTATACCGTTTGTGCTAAACCTTGGATATTCTGTCTGTCTCTCTCAATATTCTGCAGTGCAGAGTGAAATGTTTGCCTCAGAAAGGCGATCTCTTCTTGAAATGCATCTGCTCCGAGGAGACCCCAAACTGTTGACCCCGCCCCGGAAGCCTTCTGTTGCTCACCCACCATCTCCTCGATGAGATCAAGGAACCGAATCTGAGTCTTTGAAATAGATTCAGTAATAGCATACTCGTCATTCAGGAATGTAAGCTTTCTGGTGGCTGTGTCCAAATCAAGCTTCAGATCGGGTCGAAGGCCGCGATTGTCTTGAGCCTCTCGAACATTTATCTCTTTCGAGTTCGCAATGGCCAGGAGGCTAAGTCGGTTGTAAGTCAACCAACGTGCAGTCATGTGGCCCATAAAGTCTACAAAAACCATGGGTAATATCATGTAGTTGGTTGCATAGTGTAGCGAGCCCTTCAGGTAGAGAAGAAACTGCTTGTATTCACCGGTGCGGAGTCCGATGCACAGTCCGCTGATGCATTCTGTAGCTGGATCATATACGAGACAGAGGCCGTATTGAGCGAACGAAAACGCATCAGTTCGTAGAATCAAACCAACTGATTTAACTTTCAGTCGATGCTACAAATTCGTTTCATGGCTAGTCATACCTGATCCTTCAGATTTCCCGTCGTGTTTTGGGGTGAACCGCATTGCAAAGGGGAGATTCGAGAGTAGGACTCGAAGGAAAACCCGAGGCAACCTAAAGGCTTCGAACACTTGCTCAAAGGTATCCGATGAGACAGGTAGAGGTCTGAAAGCTTGAAAGTCCTCCCGAGGGCTAAAATGTCTATCGGCACTATGTTAGCAGTCAAGACATCTTGGATCTCAGGCCTCAAACTTACAGCAGCCGAACTCTTGTTCTTGAATTTCCATTGCCTTTTGGGGCCTATAGCAATTTGTGAGACCCTATTTAGTCTAAGATGGTTATGCTTACCTGATGGAGCCAGCTAGAGATCTCCGATTCCGAAATTTCCTTTTCCGATAGGCTCAATTTCGAGCCATCTGCCGACTCCTCTATTTCTATCGTGCGATGCCTATTTTGAGGTAGGAAATTTGACTTATCTTCGACGAATCTGTCGAAATGAAATCCATAGAGGTCGTTGGGGATAGTTCGCGTTGTTGAAGTGCTCGACGAAGGTGTAGTTTCTGAAGCACTCGAAAAAGATATAGTTACCGAAGTACTCGAAGGGGGTATAGTTACTGAAGCACTTGAAGGGGGTATAAGCGCTGCCTTTCTAATGGGATACCCGCCCATATTCTAAGGAGGAGGCGAAAAAACGCAGCAGAGAGTGGACGGAGGAAATCGGAGGACGGACAAACAGCTCTCTTTTGTAGAGAAAGAGAGATTGCACAGCCTCAGCCACTGCAATTTTTCGGGTTAAAGCAGGCAAGGAGAGATACTCGAACATTGCGCCTCTTTGGTGGAGTTGGGTCTAGCTGCGCGGTGTGCATTATTGGCATGCAGGGCCCCGTGTCGCAATATTGGTTCTTTTGCCTCACATCGCCGCACCGACAGAAAATCCAAACCGCCCCATCTTTGACTCTTTTACCACGGATCGGATGTCTTTCATACTTACTACAACGATGAGCACAATGTACTCCCTATGTCTCAAAAGCGTAAACATTGGTGGAAAGGGCTGAATCATCAAACTGCTAAATTTAGGTCTTCCAGCCTCGTGACACAGCCACCACCTTCACAATTTCAATAGCCGCATGCGCCAAAATCGTAGTGTTCAGTAACAATCGTCTCAAATTGAGATCCAGTTGGTTGGGCGTTTGATTTAAGTGCAGGCAAAGACTGTGAAGATGCAGGACCAAAAGATGTCCCAGACTATGCGGGTGGTGCGCACCTGGGAAGAGAGGCTGAATGTCGTTGAGTTTCGCGACATGGTCTTGCCATGGTACCCGGAGTCCCTCTGTTCACGCCCGTTCGTCAATACGAGCGGTTTACCAATCGGGCGCTACGATTGGTCAATCGGCCTTCCGATTAATCAATCGTAGCTCCCATTGATCAATAGGAAATGGAATACGATTCGCAAGCCACAGTGGGTCCCGATTAATTAATAAGGGGGCCGATTGATTAATCGGCTAATATTGAGGTCTCGGGAATAGCAAAAGCTTTACTATACATGCCTCCTACTACGTCTAGGCGCTCCTATAGCTACCCTAGCCCTTTTTGGTACCCTCCCCTCCACTTGATCACCTGATTCTCCTCCTTCTCTAGCTCCATTCTTACGTGCTTGCTCCTTAGCTACTCTCTTCTTTGCTCTCTCAGATGCTCTTCTAGCCTTCTGAACTAATGCAATTGAACCACGATTATTCTCCTTTGCTACCGCTTTAGGGAGGGTGATTTTATCCCTCTTGTGGGTTATACCAGTAGTAGGTAAATCAGGATAAGTTAATTAGGAGGTGATTTTATTGAGGGCACTATATGGCCAGATAGTAGTAAGCTCGCCATACTTAGTAGCTAAGCGGTAGCCCTATTTTAATTAGCTTTTATTAAAAGTAAGGCTTATAAACTATATACCTTTGGAGTCTTTTCCAGAACTCTTACTGGAATTCTAGCCATTTCCGTACCGAATCTGTATTGCTTTGGGATCTGGAGGGTTATAATCTCTTGAATATTATATTCAAGAGCTTTGGAATTCGCTCTCTTTACCATATTCTCCTTCTGTTTTCTTATATACTCCGCAACCCTCCTAGTTAGCTCAGATAAAATCATCTCCTCAGCTACTTCCTCCTGTTCTGCTTCCTTATCTACGAAAAAGCTATTCTCTCCATCCTCTCTATTCTTTCCATTCTCTCTATTCTCTCTATTCTCTCTATTCTCTCTATCCTTTCCATCCTTTCTAGAAGCGCTACTCTTAGTAGTACCTTCTATAGGCCCTATAGCCCCTAGGGCCATATGTATACGGCGAGCACTCTCCTTATGGTCTAGGAAATCAGTAGGTGGCTTTCGTCCAAACCAGACCTCGTATGGTATATTTCCCTTAGGAAGAGCTAGTATAGCTATGGTATTAATTACCCATGTGATTAAAGGAAGTAACTATATCTATAATTAGATACTAGTATTCGCTCGTACGGCCCGTAGTCGTTTTTTAAAGATTTAATTAGCCACTTTAATAGAGCCCTGAGATTAAGGATAATAAGCTTATCTATAAATAATCTTTATCCCTCTCTTCTTGTAAATCTTAATTACTTTCCCCTTAAACTCACCCCTATTATTACAGGCTAAAATGGAAATATACCTATTATTATTTAGCTATTTAATAAGCTTGTCTGCAGCTTCGTCTATAGTCTTAGCCTTAAGCCTACGGATCTATACGAACTTGGAAAAGTGGCATTTCAATTACCAGATCTATATATATTCTCCGTCCCGATCATACTATAATAGTATTAGTAATAGTAATACTATAGTATTAATAAAATGTGAATAAAAAGGTTCGGAATTTACGAAAATTACAGGAATTGCGAAAATCGCAGGAAAAGCTTAAAAACGTATGAAATGTACGAAATGCAGGAAATACAGGAAATACAGGAATATAGGGGTAAATCATATGACTTAAGGGATACTTATATGAAAATCTATTAAATCCAGAACTATACGCTCGCCAGGATAATGAGATTAGATAGGTATAATCCCCTTAGGATTCTTCTAAGCCTTTTCCTTATTATAGTAAGTATAGCGGGCACTTATCCAAGTATAGTTATTACAGGATAGGCTATACCAAATACGTCTTATATACTCAAATATAGTATTAAAGACTATTATATAGGTTATTAGTATAAAAATTAGTAAATTCAAGGGGTACTTACCTGTATATATTAATTTCTTATAAATAGTAGTCAAAACCTCAAAGGCATTATTATAGTAAAGGGTATACCGGGCTGGAATAATCTTATTACGGCGGGTATTATAGTATTCCTTATAATATACCTGATTATCCTGAAGCTCGTATAATTGGGATTCGTACTTAATATTAGCCTGGTAGTGCTTCTCTACTTTTATTCTACTAGGGAGTAAAATATCAGGATTTTGTAACTACTATCTAATATCCATATGCTTCCTAGTAGTAAGAATTTTCCTACTACCGCCCTTAGTAAGCCTTTAATCCTATATAGCTTCGTCTTTAGCGGACTAATTATTAGTAGGGTCTTTAGTAATAGGGGAGGGCAAAAACTAAGTATTAGAGAAATGTACTTCTGGTATAGTAATATTAAAATATTACTCTGCTCGGCTATAGATATGTTAATAAGGTATATATAGGGCTAGAGATAAATAAAGGGTTAAAAGAGATATATTAGAAGTAAGGTAATTAATTAGGAGATATATAGAATTAGTAATTATACTTGGAAAGTAGGTGCTTGTACTATAAACTATATACTATAAACTATATCTAGGTAGTAAAAAGGGAGCAGAGGCCCTATATATATCTAGAAGCTCTAGAGAAGTGTCTTTACCCCTATTATATACTGAGAACTAAAGGGTTTCAGCCATTAGTCTTAAGGATATATTATTATATACTGAGAACTAAAGGGTTTCAGCCATTAGTCTTGAGGATATATTATTATATACTGAGAACTAAAGGATTTTAGCCTCCTTAGCCCCGAAACCCCAATATTACCCGATTAATCAATCGGCCATTCGATTGATTAATCGGCCCCCTTATTAATCAATCGGGACCCACTGTGGCTTGCGAATCGTATTCCATTTCCTATTGATTAATGGGAGCTACGATTAATTAATCGGAAGGCCGATTGACCAATCGTAGCGCCCGATTGGTAAACCGCTCGTATTGACGAACGGGCGTGAACACCTCACCAAAACACGCGAAGAGACACGCCTATCACCAGGACAAAATGCGCGATAAATTTATTAAATCACGTTATATTAATGATGCAATTGCTGCAATTCGAAGAGGGGAGTTTAGTAATTACGCTAATATAGCTAGAGAGTATAAGTATAATCGTGGGGCGCCATTTAAGTGAATTCGTAGTCTTTGCTAAGTCCACTAAGTCCAAGAAGGATACTAACTCTTTTTGGTACTAATGCCTTATTACTAAGCAAGAGGAGGTGCTTATTTATTGAATTAATACTCTTACTAATTAAGGAATGCCGCTAACTAGCTCCACTATTAAAAACCATAAAAGAAATAAGGAATAAACTAATAAGGAAAACTAGGTTAGATGGTTTATGAAGCATTATTTAATATAATGGGCACACGTAACGAGGCACGGGCGGTGATACCCGGTCGATTGATTTTGCATGGAGGAGAGGTAGGGTCTAGAGGACTTGATTTCTAAGAAGCTACGTTTGGCAAGGTTCCTTAAATAATCGCTCGCTCCTAGGGCTTTGCTTAGAACCAAGCTAAGCCCTCACAACGGACATCAGGTGTGATGGATTGGGTTTCCTATTTGAGTCATTGCTTATACCGGATCGCACGGATTCTACAGCAATCTGGATGTGGAATGAGCTGTTTCTGCTCCCATGATGTTTAACGTAGTGGAACGACCAGGAGTCTAGAAACGGGAATGCTGCGGCACTATTTCCCGAAATAGAAATCCCGTAGGGGACCCCATTTTTGACAATACCCCGTGGATAACAGCTTTGGATCCTTGAATTATTTCCAGCCAAATTCCGTAGCTTCGGTCTTCGAATTTTGAGTCGCAAGCACAGAAGAGACTGTACTTGAGCATTTTCTGTACGCCTGTTCGTAATGGAGCAAAAAGAATTCAACGCCCTGTCCCCGCTCCCTCCTGCAACTACCTCCCCTCCATGGATTCTGTTATCCCGGGGTGTTTGGGAGCAACATCTCAACGGCCCATCGCCAACATGCAAGTCTGTCCTCCAGTACTGGGAACCTGGAGCGGCATCACCGACGAATGAGATGATTACACACGATTATATTGAGGTACTTCCTGCATGAACTGAAATTGGTCGTACAATGCTAGGATCTCCAAAGATGGCTTTGCAGGCCATGTATAGGCTATGTGTTGACGCAATTCGCTCCCATTTCGAGGAAAGTCGAACGTTGCGACTCACCCAGACGGGCTCCTTGATCAGGCATCAATACTTCATCTATAAGCCACACCAAAATTATAATTTTGCTCCCAGCATAAGGATGACTAGTAGCACAAAGTCCTGAAACTTGATTGAGACTATATTTTGATGTTTTGGTTTGTGAACAATGTGTCGCTTTGAAGTGTTGGGGCCGAGTATGCTCGGGTTCGGAACCAATCACTTGGTCTCCGAAAGGTCGGCAAGCCATCGATGTATTATTTTAAACCCTAAACTCTGCTGCTTCGCATGGATTTCACTGAGATTTAGCTAGGCATTGCTTGCTTATATTTTTTCTTGGATTTACAAAGAGATCTATTAACAAGCCACCTTCCGAAAAGCTCCGGGCATAACACATTACTTTCAAGGACGACCTTATCTTTGACTTACACCTTCCTCCTCTCCTGGGAGCATGTACTCATCCTCTTAGCTCTGGTCTCAATCAGTGAAAACGGGGTCATTCATTAGCCCCTCCACTCCTCCTGGTAGCAAGTGCCCATCCTCCTGGTTCTCGCCTCCATCATTGAGAACGAGCTCATTCCTTAGCAAGCTTCTAGCCTTGACATTATGAAGCGATTCGGGATCCTCGGATATTGGAGCAGATATGGCTACCAGGTTTGATTGCATCTCTTCCTGCTCCTCGTCGTCTGAGTAAGAGTGATCAAGAGGTTCGTAAGAATTCAGTGAAGCTTCTAGATTGTACGAGTTCTGCCTTTGACTCTCTCCAGTCGGTGTGTCTGGGCGTGGTGGATCTGGATTAGAAGCTTTAAACCCAAGATAGACAGGAGCATGGAGGTGCTCGTTGGACATTTCTCCAGCGATTGCATCAGAAATAGCCTTGCGTCTTGCTTCTAGTTCATCACCATCGTCTTCATTTCCGTCTTCCCAGCCGCTGGAGTCGTCACCAAGCTCGTGCCATTGGACCCTACTGGAAAGTTCCGAGATCTCCTTCTTCTTCTGCATATCTTCATCTCCACTGTTTATGAGGAAGATGATCTTCTCCCGGTCAGACGTCAGAAACCAAGGGAGTTCATCAAGCAGTCCAGAGGGAGCGGATTTACGAGAAGCAAATGCTCTTCCTAACCTTTCCATTGATTTCAAAATCCGAGGTCGAGCATAGAAATATTCTTGGTAGCCGGATGGCTCAATATGGGATGGAATGTGGAAGTAATTTCGGATCTGTTTAATAGCTTGAATTCCGAGTGGGGAGAAAGGATTGATCGGTGGTGGGTCGGGAGATGAGAGGTAACGGGGACTTGGAGGCCGGCTTGGTGTTTGCTCCAAGTCTGTGGTGTCTTCAAGTTCAAAAGTGGGTTCTCCCAGAGGCAATTGAGTTGGTGTTTGCACTGATGACTTATGAAGAGAAATGGCATCTGAGTTAACTTGAGTATCTCGTAGAACAGTACTGGTGCCAGTTTCAAGCGGTCCCACATGCCCCAGGCTGCTTGTTTGTGCAGACTCGACCTTCTCTACATAGGACTGCCCAAAAGTTATGTCAATCCAAGTTCCAGGGGAATAGTTGCTTGAGATTGCGGCTGGACATGCGTGGTGATCATCAGATTCTAGTGTCTGGAGCTCTTCTTCTTCCTGTGGTGGTAGTGGTGGAAGACTTCTTGCCATTGCGGAAAAAGCAAGCCGGCGTAGCGTCTGATCCAAATTTGGTCCAAGAAATTTGAAATTCAGTGTTTTTGAGTCCAAGTTATCGAGAGAGGCGGAGCGGGGTCTTTTATGGTTTCCCACTTCAGCTCCAGGCTCTCTCTCAGGTTGAGATTTCCGTCTCGTCTCCTGAACCTCCAAGTATGCAAGGCCCAAACTTCTTATATGAGAACGTCTTTGGATATCATACGCTTGACGTTGAGGGCCTGATTGAGGTGCTTCGATACTGACTTGATTGGTCCATTCTTGAACTTCGGTCCGGGATGTGAGACTGAGGATGCTTGATAGATTATCAAGAGTACATTCTGAGGGAGTATCGGCGGGAGAATTTCCGGGCCCAGCTTCAGGGCCGGGGGTCGCTTCCTGAACAGCATCTCGTGTATTTATGCTCTCAATGGGAGCTTTGATAGGCTCAAATGGACACTCAGTACTCCAAGGATCCCCCGCAATACCATTTGTTCCATACCATGTGCCATCTGACAGCTTGACATCAGGTAGTCCTGATTGCCGTCGGAATGAAGGATCGGCTAGAGAGGTTTCCATCTCCTTACATTGCGAGCAAAACTTGGGTCCACTCCGGCAAGTAACTCCTTTGACACGACCAGCGTGTTCATTATGGAACTTCTCCCAGAATCCAATGACGCGATCGAGGTCTTGTTGAACCTTGAGAGCTTTTTCTCCTTGCCACTCTACAGTGTGAACGAGTTTTAGCTCTTCTTGGCCACAAAAATTCAGCTGTGCACTTCGTAATGCTTCGATGATCGCCTTGTCATTAGGAAGGGCCAGTGCGGCAATCGTCTGATTGACTCCTTGAGCTGGTGGTGCGGCCAGTCGTCGCTTTTGTGCTGCCAGCTGCCTTGAAACATTCGCAGCCATTTGAGATTGAAGTTCCGCAGCTTCTTCAATTTGTCTTCTCTCAATATTCCGACATCGTTCACAGAGCGAAGCAGATTGCTGATGTTTGGTTCCAGTTGGTGTTGATGACGACCACTTCTTGATTCTGGACCAGAGGTTTCGATTCTGTTGCGATGATCGTTTGCCATCAATTATAGTAGTCTCTGTATGCCCGCAGACAAAATGAATTACTAATTTGCTGTTTTGAGACATGTTGAGGCATTGAAGCCGAGAGTAGGTTTCGTGACAAAAGCAAGTGGCAATAAAAGACTAGACATTTTTACCAAGTTGTCAAATTTGTAGAAGGAGTGAGAAGTAAGAAGTAGTCCACTGTTCTTCAAAACAATGCTATTGTAAAAGAGAACTTCTTTTAGTATAATTCCTGTGGATAAAGACAAATATTATGCACGTCTTCACTGACAAAGAAATCGGCAGTCCGAGAGCAACGCTAGATCTTTTTCTGATTGGTGAACATGAATCAAAACTATCAATGACAAATCATCAACTGGCACTGGTCCTTCGTCACGGCCTTGGGCTTCAAAGGACATATTGACTAGGAACGGGCGAGTAAACAGAGACCCCTGAGCCCCCTCTTTTTAACCGAGATGCTCACGTGATATCATGAGTCTTTGAAAGCGAGCACGGATCTGCCCCCTCATTCATTTCCAGCAACTCCCCTCCGAAGAAAATGAAAAGCCGTAGATATGATTAAATTTAGCAAGTGGCACTAGCATCTCTTGGTGGTCGATGCGTAGAGAGGAACTAAGTATCTATACCCTAGTCCTGAAAGGTCAGTTTGGGTACGGTGGTATATATAAGGTATATAAAGGAGACAAGTAGCCTTTCAACCAACACAAAAATGTCGAACATACTAGGCTACCTGTAGGGTGCTCTAGGCCTAGATAACCTCTTTTCGCACCCACAACATGTTTGGTTCTGGTCTTTCAATCTCCACCCATGTATTGAGATTCTGTGTCCAGCGCTTCGTAAAGACTTACTCTTTGCGTAACGTTGAAAGTAAATATTTGATAGTAAGTGTGACTTTAATAACAAACTTGTCTCTAACAACAAAGCATTAAATGTAAAGTAATGAAGGTCTGTGAATGACGCTTTGGCTGCTTTCACAACCGTGACTTTATTCTCCTCCAATATCGGTTTTCCGCCCAGTCTTTCTTATTCTTTGCCGATGTCATGCAGGACAACCAACTTCAGTCTGTTATCTTTCTCTTCCTTGTCGTTGAGCTTCTTGGTAAAAGTGTTGCGCGTATTTAGGTACTCGAGGTAAAAGAGCGCACGTGACACACCCTTCCCTTCCCAGTTCCTCATTTCAAATACCATAATACACCCGAGATTCAAGCATTGACATCCGTCGCCGCCATCTCCAAGAAGCGAAGTGCAAGAAGATTCTCTTCAGCCAGCATTGCTTTCCACGTTCCTTGTTCACACGAAATGGGGATCGGTTCAGGTAGTCCCACACCGGAACGTCGACATCATCACTTTCAATTTCTGTCTTTGGACCTGAGCTGCTGCTGCTTTATCCTGAGCCATGGGTGAGCATTCCTGAGCACGGCCTGAGCGCTCGCTAAGTAAGTCTGAGCATGCATGAAAGAGCCATTTTTAGTATCCGAAGGGGCCTCCTTTTGGCTTCCTTAAGGCCCATTAAGCGGGGTGGGGGCCTTGTTTAGGCTCCGCGGGTATGCCTACCACTAGCTAAAAGTTCGAATAGTAAAACGAAAGTAAATAAGTGTTTCTTTAGGGCCAATTCCAGGTCCTATTAATAAAAGTATATAAAACGAAACAACTAATTATAAAATTTATGATTTAACTATATTATTAACATCGCATCTCTATTCACAAAAAAAGAAGGAAAAAAAGAAACCCTGGTTAAGGGGCCAATCACCTGAGAAAGAAATAGGGGTTGGTTTTCTCCACTTACTCGCCTTCGTATTGGATCGCTTCACTTCCTAAGCTTTAGCTTATGCAGCCTAGGCAGCCTAGGGTGGGGGTCGGGCGCACAGCAAGGCTCCCCAAAAGAAAGTTGCATGATCTGCCGTTCCGACTTTTCTTTCTCTTCTTCTGCTACCCATTTCCTCATACGAAGCCGATGATGTGGCCACTCTCTTTTATTCATGATGAATCCCCTAGACGCCGCGACCTCCCTAGTAGGACTCTTGGGCTCGGCTGGGAAAGTGGTGGTTCTCCTTTTAGCGGTGAAGAAGAGCATTAGTGAAGTGCCCCAGATGATGGATCAAATGATTTCCCAAGTCAGGGAACTTGAGATATGTCTTTCGGCGGTACAAGCTTTCCTTCTTGGAATAAACTCAGCTCCAAGAGGACGCATTTCCATGATTCGAGTCGAACAGCTCGTTGCAATCCTGACCGAGGCTGTACTCACCTTTTCTGAGCTTGAGGCTTTGGTTACATCAATTGCTAAGGATAAGGGGAAATTGCCAATAACGTCGCGTTTGATGTCTCTTTGGAAACAAGATATAGTGACCAGTATTTTGCTACGATTGGAGCGTCACAAATCCTCCTTGTCTCTAATGTTAAATATCGTACAGTGGTAAGCAATTAAAACATCTACTTTAGTTCTCGATTATTAATTAACCCCTATATTAGCAAATCAGAAATTGAAGCGGAACAATCTCGACAAAGACTCCAAAGTCTTGTCGAACAGCTTTTGAGAAGTAATTACGATATCTCTTTGCGATTACAGAGTATCGAAGAAACTTTGGAGACCAGAAGTATCCTTACATCCTGCTTCAGAAACAATGATATGCCAGATATTCTAGAGGACAAACCACACGCTGAGCAAGCCTCTCTGTTAGAGCCTTATATAGCAGCATTCACCCTTGATGGATCCGTTTTGGCAACGGACAGCTATACAGGAGATTCAACCGGATTTGAAGTTGACCTCGAAACATCAAGAGTATACAGAAGAACGGAACAGTTCAAGTCAGATATATCATTTACGAGCTCTGCTATGAGAAGCCACGCTTGGTCGATATTCTCTGGCTTGAGTCTATCTGAGGTGTCTGTAATATCAGCAATTGCTTTGCCCTTATATCTAAATGAGATATACAACAATGAATGGTATACACCTAACGAATTCGACTACGATGTCTCCCGCCAGTGCAGTCGAAGTCGAAGTCCTTGCCCTCGCTTGCCACTGTCAATGCAACCATTTGTGGAAGACGAGCTGGAATCTCTACCCAAGGAATTTTCTGCTTCACCTATCCCATCATACGACCCTCCTGAACAGGGTATCATCGACCAGATCCCAACTATAGTCGAGGCCAGTATCTCTGCGGCTGAGCTTGCGAGGTTACATACACAAATACACCCTGCGGAGAAGAGTAGGAACCCGGGGAAACCAAGGTCTGTATCCAAACCAGAGCTTAAGAAAGCTCGACAGCAGAGCAGCCCTCCTTGGCCTCCCAGTTTCGTAGGATGTCTTCCCGAGGCTCACTCCCAAGGCGCTACTCTGGCCCAGGGAAAGGAAATGTCCGCGACGCCTGTTATGCAGGCATCATTACAGGTATGCGGACTCGGAGCTAGAACTGCCAGTCCTCCAAATACTCGAATATACACTGATCGGTCCCAGGGCGCTTCTGCAGCCGGTAAGATGGCGCTGTATAGATTAGTTATGCTGGGAGATGGAGGTGTTGGAAAGACAGAGCTTAGCACTGCGGTTGGTTTCGGTGCGCTAAGTCTTGACATAACTGCTGACACACTATCCAGTTGACCCTTAGCATCCCCACTCAATCATGGGACCCGACAATCGGGGACTCATACAGAAAGCAAGTTGTTATCGATGGTCAAACCTGCTTGCTAGAAGTTATGGACACAGCGGGCTATGAAGAATATACCGCCCTCCAAGATCAATGGATCAGGGATGGTGAAGGTTTTATCTTAGTTTATAGCATCTCGAGTCTATCTTCATTCGCACGCACTCAGCGGTTTCACAACCAGATTATCAGGGTAAAAGAATCCTCAGCGTCTTCAGCTTCGTATCCTGGCACACCCATATCATCTCTTGCCGAGGGCCTTCCGATAACGCTAGTGGGAAACAACAGCGACCGTATCACCGAACGTGAAGTATCGACACAAGAAGGACATGCACTGGCGAGGGAACTTGGGTGTGAATTTGTGGAGGCTTCGCCAAAGAACGGCACTAATGTTGAAAAGGCATTTTACGATATTGTGAGGCAAATACGCCGACAACGGATGCTGAATACAGTACTTAAGCAATACCAGGAACAGCGTTTCAAGGGGAAGCTTCCTAGGCGAACAATTTCGCTATTGGATATTGTAAGGAGGGGAAAGCCTGCGAAGCCACCTCCTCAGTGACCGTACTGCGAACAGTACTTGAATGATTCGGCAGCCGTTCCTTCTACCCGCGGAAGATCCCCGAAATTACCACCCTAAAAACCGTATTACCAACAGTACTTGAATGGTTTGGCAGTCGCTCCTCAACAGGACCGGCGGACAAGGCAGTTAGACTCTGAAACTCGGGCACGAGAGCGGCGCGCGGCACGCCCAAGGGCCACGCAGACGAGATTACGGCCAGGACATTGGTTTCGCAAGAGGCTCTATCCAAGATGGACAACTCATGGATGGACAACCTTGATACCTTTCTCTGAGACCCGAGTCAAGCTCCTTCTCTTGGAGAGCAGTCAATGCAACCCTTTATCCATGAGCCTGAAAGAGGCTTTTTTTTATTACCGCTGCATCTCTTCCAAACCAACGTCAAGGATTCCCTGGTTTGAATAGGCCGGTACCTACTATTTCATCTTCTCTAAGAGTTCCCCAAGCTCGCACGGACTCTCCATCACCGTCTCAAGGCGGCCTCACGTCATTTTGCAACAGTGCTTTGAGCCTACCAGCTGAAAATGACTGGTCCTAAGACAGAATGTGCTCCCCTCAGACCCAGGATAATTATTCTCTCCCTATGTCTCGATTCAGTCAAGGACACCTATATCTCTGGTTCGAGCAATTTCAACAACCCATCTGTTCAACTCAGTCAAATCCAAGGCTTCTTAGACATGCCCCCGGAAGAAGTTCCTTATAACGGCAACGAAAGGTTATAATGAGATGGCAATGACAGCCTACGCCACGGAGATCGAGAACCGTATGAGAACTAGGCGAACGTGGCCAGCTACCCTCCGTACTACCCACTTGTGGTTGGTCGCCAAATATCATTTGCGATGGGGTGCTAGTTTCCGTCTTTGGACCGGTTTCTGCTGCTTTAGCCTGAGCTGTGGGTGAGCAGACGTGAACCGTGCCTGAACCGTGCCTGGCAGCCTGGGGTTCTTATGGTGCCTAGCACTTGTTTCAAGCACGTCTCACCTGTTGACCCTATATTTGGGCTGAATGACCTCATAGTTTATTCTGTATAGTTGACAATATACTTGATTGGCCCTAGTTGAGTCCTCCATACGACCCTGAGATCCTCTTGCCTGTATTGATAATACGGCCCATCCAATTGGCTGGAGTCGTGAATCCATACTGAGCAATGGCGGTGCTGATCATGTGAGACAATAGGCTAGGAAGAGGAAACATGCCAGTGGGGGAACACTATTGCCACTGCCCGTCTCACTGCTGAAGGTGGAGGATTATACTTCATTCCCGAGGAGGAGAGCCATCTCTCCAATGCAGATGATCACAAGCAGCCATTCGTTGCCTATCCCTGGCAAGGAAGAAAGCCGTTTAGCACATCCAAACGTTGTAATGACAGTTGATTGGTAAGTGAATGAATGACTTGAGCGACTTGAGCCGTCTCTGAGATGAATACACTTCATGCATGGCGCAAGAAAAAGTATGATCGTCAAAAGCGTTGTACGCGGACATCACTGCTTAGGGGGTTTGAGTTGGCTTGTGAAGAGAAGGAATGCTGCTCTTCGGGTGTTCTTTGCGGGGTTGAGTAATGGGTCGGAAGTTTTCTGGAGCACCTGGTCTGGGCGACGCTTGAAGGTGAGAAAGTGGAGGGAGGAGGGAGACAGTGTGACAGCAGAGAGATACTTGAAAGCGAGGAAAATTTCGACAGCCGTTATGCAAACCTATCAGTATACGGTACAGAGGCGAAGACGAACACGGAAAGAAACAATGAGGGTGCGATTTCGACGCTCGATACCCCTAGACTCAGGATTAATTTTCCCTTTCGCTCGTTCCGTTTTAGTCTGCGGACGTGAGCAACTGCTGCTTTAACCTGAGCTAAGGGTGAGTATACCTGAGCCGAGGGTGAGCAAGCCTGAGCAGAGCCTGAGCAGAGCCTGAGCAGAGCCTAAGGATCCTAAGTACTATAATAGAGCCTATTTTGGCCTCTTATATACTTCGGCTATAGTTTCCTTATCGGATTTTATGCTCATATTCAGGAATTTTACTACATCGAGCACGCTACGTGCGGATTAGTCGATACTCAACCTCAGCTGCGTCCTCTGAAGTTGGCAGAAGACGGAGCAGAAGAACTCCATTGGAGCCAATGATACATGGTACGAGCTCAAATTTATGCACGTGTGGTCTGATGACAGCTTTCTCTGTCCCTCTCATTGCACGAGCGCTCATGCACGCTGCATGTCGAGCTGCATGTCGAGCTGCACGGTGCTGATAATGTGCGCCACGAATAATTAGAACTTGCGAATTCAGCCTTGCCAACTTCTTCATGTTATTTGAACAATGGCCAGAAGAAGCACTTGAAATCTCTTCGCGAGCTATCCGGATTAATATTTCGAACTCTTAGCGGCTTCAGCGACTGTTCCACCACCATGGGCAAAGTCTCACCGCCTAGAAAGGCAGTTCCGCCATCAAAAGACTCCAAGGGTCTCCAAGTAGGAGTCAAAGTGCGAAAAATCATCGAGAAATTGTCTGTATTGAAGATTATTCGACCTGGGAAGCCAAAACCAACTGATGAGGGAACTGCTCTTCCTGGTGCTGAGTTGTCCGCGCACGATGTCTCTGAGGACGGTAGTGACTTTACCACTCGGCACGTGACAGAAATTCCTGTCAGGAAACTTCCAGCGGATGACGAGGACATCGTTGCAGATCCTCATTCTGTGGCTACCGCCGAGCAAGAAATTCCAGCTCAAGGTTCTACCTATATTGATCGAGCCAATGCTACTTCCCCTCGAATCGTTGAGCTAGAAATTGCCAATCATGATCTAGACAGTGGAAAAAGTTCCAACTTAAGCGATGTCCCTGGAAATCTTCGCACAAACACGACAGCAAACCGGGCATCAACTTCAGATATATCGAATATCTATCCAAAGGAGGCTGAGAGTTCTGATCCAGGCCCGATTTCGTTACACTCCATCTCAGACAGAAAGGCTGCTTCGTCTTTTCCCAGTGAAGAAGAAACGCGAAGTCTTTGGGGAAAAGCGTGCGAAAATGTGGAGGCTCGAAAAGAACAATCTAAATATGTGAGTAAGAGATTTGACAAGCATATCTCAATTGAATAAAGCACGCGCTGTGTAGCCGTCAACATGAAGGATGATTTGCTTCAACCAAGATCAGAATGAATGCTGCCTTAATGCTTACTGACAATTTTCAGCTTCACTGCCTTCAAAAATCTGCTCAAAATCCTAATGGAAGTGGCGTGACCTCTGATTTGGCACAGATCCTGAGTGAGAGGCAGAAGAAATCTCAAGCCGAAAACGAAGTTTCCGAATCCTCAGCGAATAGTGCAATATCTCGGGCATTAAGAAGCATGAGTATAGCCAAGGTTCGGTCAGTCAGATTCTTGATGTCAACCAAAGACTTGGCTATGGGTCTTGCGCGGCTGGATCCTCATGGAATTGCCCCTATCGTGCTTGGCGGGGTTTACACCGTTGTTTCGGTGTTTGATAACAACACTGAAGAATGCCAAGCCGCGCTTACGATCACATTAGAACTTGCCGGAATTGTGGCAGTGTGGACCGGGGTCGAGAATCATCAGATCTCGAAAAACTCGGATCAAAGATTAAATAAGCTCTATGCAAAACTCAGTGATCAGATTGTGGGCCTCTATGAGGATATTATAGTGCTATTTGGCACCATTCTGACCTGGTTGGACAGAAATCAAGTTCGTAAGTATCTTAGGAGTCTCTCTCCGAATCATTACTGACTTCAACTCGGTAGGTAAGATTATAGGGGGAGTCGTTCCTGCTCAGACCGAGTGGAAGAACTCCCACGCGAAGATCAAGTCTCTCGAAACAAATTGTAACAATGTCCGAAGCGAGATTACTATGAAGAAAGAATCTCACGACAAGTCAAGCGAAATATTGAGATGGATATCTGAGTATGATATTCGAGGTTCGTATCAGAACATACTCGAAAAAACTGGAGTACTTGAGAAATACAGCGACCACGGTCAGTGGCTCATCGACCATAAGGACTTTCAAGAGTGGTCAAGCTCCGGGGCGAGCTCTGTCCTCTGGCTAAGAGGAATCATGGGTACCGGAAAGACAACTTTAGTGGCGCGTGCTGTGCAACAATTGAAAAGATCTGCAACGGTCGAAATCTTTGGTAGCCGCTTGGCAATTTTCTTCTTCCGAAAGACCGCCGGGGCTTCAATAACATCTGTCACGGTCGAAACTTGCCTTAGTTCCATACTTCGCCAGTTATCCTGGGATAAGACAATTGAAGAGCTCGATCCATCAATTAAAAGCGAATATTACAAGTTCAAGGCTGAAGACAGCAATGATACTTGTTTGACTATCGGAGAATGTCGACAACTGCTATCCCGATTGATTGGTCTCCGCGAAACATATATCATGATTGACGCAATAGATGAATGTGAGGATCCTTATGGACTGTTGAAGGAACTGCAGAAATTATTAGATCTGATCCAGGACGCAAAGGCCGTTTCGAAGCCCTTGCATGTCATGCTAGCGAGCAGAGATGACCTCACGATCGACGATTTCTTCAAAGGATGCCGGAAAATTGCAACAAATCCAGAGGATGCGAAACAAGATCAAGAAGAATATATCAACCGTGAGATCGATAGCATTTGTCGAACCTTAAGAGCCTCTAAATTCGCCACTTCTCCAAATGGGCATTCTGAACGGCTTAAAGAATTGTTGAAGGAAAAGGGCGGTGGTTCTTTTAGATGGATTGAGATCCAGCTTGAATTCTTCGGGAAAACATCCTTCAAAACATCGGACGAGATCACAGTCCACTTGAATAATCTTCAAAGCCATACCAAGCACCAAACACTTTACGACGAATACGAAAGGCTTTTCTGGCTTCTTCAGCGTTCGGGTCCAAATCTTGAGCGTGCACTCAAGATGTTTCGACTAATGGCTTGCTCGAATATAGAGATGACTGCTAGCGATTTAGCGGAAGCCATCAACACAAGCGAGCCATTAGTCGAGGAACTCAGCCCCGACAACATTCGAAGAATATTGGTTGGTTTCGTCACCGAGCCGTCAAGATCGGGGAGTCGTGAATATTGTGGCAAAGCTTTGGACGGACTTGTTTTCCAATGGGCTCATGCGTCCGTCCTCGAGTTCTTGATGGAAAGAGCCTCTAGCATCAATTTTACAGTGCTGGCTCAACATTCAGAAGCGGCGTCACTCTGTTTTTCGCGAATCAAAGCTTGCGACGATCATCCAGTAGTCCCTCCACCCCAAGAGATGTCAATATTCCTCAAGTACAGTCTTTTAGAATGGCCAGAGCACTGCAAACAGGCTTTTAAAGAAGATCCAAATTGCTCACTCGTGGAAAAGACAAAGAAATTCATCTTGGCAGACTCGTACAGAATATGGAATCGGCTTGCCCCATCTCTAATCACTTGGGGGAACCACTATCATTTTAGCGGCCTATGCTGCGATCGTCCATCCGCGATGCCGGGATTCGTCATTGTCGATTTTGAATTGTCAGAACTACTCAGGCTCGCCGACATTCAAGCCCTCATTGATCTTCAACAGTGCAATCTTACGGGACGAACTCTCCTCCAATTCTGGATAGGACGTACTGTACGTGCACCCAAAATGATCGACCAACTTGTTGACCTCTTTCCCGCCCAGATTAAAGGGACGAACGGAGGTCGTGAACTTTTCGAAGCTATTTACATGGGCTCTGCCCGAGTGGTCGCCAAACTGCTTGAAAACGGCGAAAAACTTCTCCAGGGGCAACGATCTACTCTGGGCGTTGCCGTTGTGCGCATGTTATTCGTGCGACGCCTTGAAAAGAATACGGAGACTAGAAAAAATCGTCTGGAAATCATACGAATTCTTCTTGCAAAAAGATTCACCATATTTGATCTTCATCTTGATTTTGAAGAAGGCGATAAGTTTCTCAGGCCGGTCATGTCGATGGCTGTCCGTTCCAATTATGATAATTTGATCAATATCTTCATAGAGACCATAGTCGATTTTGATAAGCGAGGACTCACCGGTAGCGTTCAAAGACTACTAAGAACGAGAGACATCTTTGGGCAAACTCCCATTGAAGCAGCTCAGAGCCCTTTGAAAGAACGATTGTCTCAAATACTGGGAGATACAACTCACAGAGATGGAAGAATATTGTTTGAGTTCGATGAAACAGAGGTAATGAAAGAAATGAAGTGCGATGTAGAGCAGTGGACGAATTTCAAAAAAAATCTGGCACACGGTGGGTTGGCAGAAGTGTGTTCGAAGAATTCCCGTGGCCAACATTGGCACTACGACGAGGGCAAACGATACGAAGAATGGCTTCTGTCAAGATACAAGGAAGTAGACCAGGAATATCGGGAACTCAATCGACAGCTTCTGAAGGAGATTACATAAGACTAAATGGAGTAAAACATGATCCTATAAACATAACCCGCGCAAGAACTCTGCGCTTCTGAATAAGACCACGATTGCTACAAGTTAGAACATTCAGTCAAACCGACAAGCTAATACAGCCAAGCTTCCCACCATCACTTATGTTTGCCACTGGCGTGTACACAATACCCCCATTCCCGACCTCAGCAAAAACCATCTTTTTTAAAATGTCCGTGGCGGATCATTCCCCGATTTAACGCCCAAGTATGTCCTTGCCCCTACATAGAATTTTGGTTTATCATCTCTTGAGCTGCAGCTTGGATCTGTAGTTGCCTCTGATGTTGTTGAATGCTGGCCAGATGATCTTGTCTCTCACTCATTTGCTACAGCTTCAATTGGATCTAATATTTATATTGTGCCTGTGATTGTTTTTTAGCCAGTGTTTCGGGGGCTTAATTCCGTATTCCGTACTTTGTTTGGAGACTTCTGGAAGATTTCCTTCTCGAATCTGATCACAATTTCGGTCATTCGTGGAATTGTTGGAGGCATAGAACTGTATTGACTAGCCAAACGAAGTCTTTCAAATCTAAAATGATTACGTCAATCAACCACAGAACACACAACATGGATCACCCTATGAAGCGAGAACTTACACATTATATATATTACCCCCGCGTTCATTGGGCAGAACCATCGCTTGTCAGCCACTGAGAGCTTCAGCTTGTTGGTATAAGGCAGTTAGGATTAGCTGTTGGATTGAATCCGGCTTTGGATTCCAAGGTACCCCTTCCTGTTGTCTCTGCTGCTGCTGCTGCGCTACCTGCGGTATCATATATGGTTGACGCCTAGCTGTTGCCTGTTCATGTTTGCATCCATTATCGGTGGTGGTTGTTGACCAGGTCTTGCCACAAATTGGCCTGCACGATTTTGTTGATTGAAAGAACCTCCTTGGGGATTTTGCAGACTAGATCGAACCTGATCACCGGCTTGCATGGGAATTTGAGGTCCACGAGTCGCTGAGTCTGCGCCAGGACTCGAATGTTGAGACGGTTGGCTGGACTCGTTGTGAAAAAGTTCATCAACTGTGCAATTCGTCCTGCTGTCGAAACTGGTAGCAGCATTTACATCGAGGATAGGGAACTGCCACTCATCTAATAATGAGCTCTGGTTGCCACTGGGACTGTGTCCGGGCACTAGCGGCGAGGGATCCAATGCACTGTTAAGTGTCCAATTCGCAGCGTTGATCGAGTTTGTGATACCAGCATTTGGGTTTTCGACCCTATGACGACGTCGATCGGTTGATTGGTCTGCTAAAACAGACGTTGGTAGCCATGGAACTGCATTTTCTATTCAGGATGGGCCGCTTCTAGCTATTGGATTGGCCGTCACATACGCACATCAGAGAGAGTAATTGATTGATCAGATTAATTAACAATTAATTAAAGAGAAGTAAGTATAAAGCTGATAAAGAAAGAAAGATAGTATTATGTAGGAAATTCCCTCGCTTTTATACCCCTAAAGGAGGCTAATTATATAATAACTAGAGAAGTAAGACTTTTAGTAAGTAATATAATAACTAGTGCTTTTTGTATATAAGTTATAGAGCCAGGGTTAGAGTGGATAACTAGTGGTTTCCTAGGCTATAAGGACTACTATAGTGACGCAAAGCGTACTATTTAATAAAAGAGATAAGCGTTAGAAGAAATATTTATTAGAGATCAGGAAATAGCCCTTACTAGTCCCATCGCGCTAGGGCACGAGTATAGTTTTTCTTTATTCCTAGCTAGAGATCTTTTTTCACCTTTTTTCAGTTAATAATTTCTGACTTGATACCAGAGCCTTTGCTACGGGATCGTGCAAAGAACTCCTCCGTTAACTCCTTTTTAGGTATTAAGGATACTAAAATAGTAACTTGCACGAAGTAGTAGATAGAAGGGAATTAATAAAACGAATTTTATAAAGAGATTTAGAAAGTCGATTAAATAATAAAATTAAAGAAGAGAGGTATTTAAATCAAGACAAGTACGGAGTATAAAGGAATTTATAGAGGGAAAAGAAGTACTCTCCTTAGAGATATCTATATTAATCTAACTTATATCGTAAGTAAAATACTAAGTATATTTTTGGGAAGTGTCTATTTTGGGTTCCTTAGGAACTTGTTTAGGCTCCTTGGGTATCGTTATTAAAACTTGATAAAAGTGATATAAGAGAATAGAGGTTAGATCAAGTACAATTAGTTAAAAAGCGAGAAGTCAAAACACGTGACGATATGATAAAACCTTGCTCAGGATACTTAGGCCTGCTCAGGTGAGCTACTTAGGGTGCTTAGGTGAGTTACTCAGGGTGCTCAGGGTGCTTAGGTTACTCGGGTGAGTTGCTCATGTAGCTCAGGCGAGTTAACTGAGCCGAGGGTGATTAGCGCCTGAGCAAGAGCGGCAAGCTCACTAACCGAAAGCGAAGGTCAGAGAAAGAGAAAATTAATCGACAATACCTGTAAACTGTAACTGCAACGAAATGGCAGGTTTATGGATTGCGGGCAACTACTGGGGGAGAACGCAAGGTATTAATAAATAGTGAATCACGCCCTGGAGTCTCCAGTGTCTGAGAGAAGGGTTTGTTTTTCATTTTGGGTAGTTGTTTGCTATCATAACATATCCATATTTGTAATCTAACATCCACACCTTCTTCCTCTCTCCTGCACCAACACCAACACCAAAGACGAATCCACCGACCCATATCTACCCCAATTTTCTCTTCTGCCCCTCTCTATCAACAACTCCCCACCAACGAATATCATCCAACAAAGACAAGGAGATAAGTAATCGCAAAGAAAGACATCGCGCGTCGCGTTCATAGACTGATAGCTATCCATCCATACCATACACGAAACGAGACGTGAAAAAAAAAAGTAAGGAAAGCAATCTGATAAACGAATGCTTGCTGTTCATAACCTCATACTCATTAGGCATTATCCAGCCGTAAGACACTCCTCATCCAAACGCGATAGACAATACGAGGGGTTGGGGTTTGAGCCTCCCAAGATTTAGAAATCCCAGAAATCACCTCCAGTAGCCTGATTCTTGCCTTGTTGGCGGCCAGACACGAATTTTGGCTTATTCGCGTTGGCTTCCTCGCCGTCGCTATCATCACCGAAGCCCCATTGTCTGCCGCTACCCTTCTTGCCGCCCATACCGTCGCCGCCTATGGTGATGCCCTTGGGGTTGTCGTTTCGGTTGCTCATGGTGTTTGTAGCTTCAGCCAAGGGGCCTTTGCCTGCTCCGGTCGTAGGTTTAGAAGTGGTGGGGGAGGCAGGGACGTTCTCCTTTTGGTTGGGGGATTTATCGTAGGCGGACCAGTTTGCCTCCATCATCTTGACAACCTTGGCACGATCCTCAGAGACTTGGGCAGGAGCAGCTGACTTGTGAGCGGGGGAATCGTCGGTGATGTTGAAGTGGGCGTCGAAATCCTTGGAACGGTCTTTGACATTGGCGATGGTGTCAAGACGCTTGGGTGTTTCGCCACCAGGTCCACCAGTTGCTTCGTCATAGAGGTTGTTCTTGTAGAGACCCAGACCGGTATTTTGACCCGTACCGCGAGGACGACCAACGATGCGACGTTCGCCCTCTGGAGTGCCATCATCACGGAACTCGAAATGAGCCTCGGCGTCCTTACGTGGTTGATGAACGTTCTTGGCCTTGATAGGGCTGTCATCAACCTCATCATCACTGTTTCCCCAATGGCGGACGTCGTTGGTGCGGAGCACTTTGCTAGGAACAACCTTTGCGGGTGTGTTGAAGTCATCAAAGTTCCATTGGCTGCCATGCTTGCTGGACTTGACCTCCTTCAGAGGAGTTTGCTTGACTTCTGGCTCCTCATTGCCATCACCAAAGTCGAAGTGTTGGTATTTCGTTGGGTTGGGTCGATAGAAGTGGTCTGCAGAGTGGTTCTTCAATGGCGATTCAACCTCGGCTTCCTCCGTGTCGAACAGCCGGGACGGTGCATAGTTCTTGCCAGCGCCACCCTTGGGAGCAATAACGCTCCCCTTGGATGGGGATTCCGAGCGGATGGCAACTGGAGTCTTGGTTGGGGAAGCTGGAGAGTTATCTGAGTCGTTGCCAACGAAGAGATCATGGTAATCGCGTGGAGGCGGCTTGGCCGATGCGCGAGGAGCAACGACAGCTGGCAAGGAATCATTGATGCTCCTGTCGCGAGGCGCAAACAGCGACAAAGAAGCATGGGGATCGCGAGTGACATTTGTAGAGCTGCTCCGGGATCGAGAATCCTCCTGCTCAGCTGGGCGTGCCGCAGTATCGACCGGTGTCTTTCCAGCAGCCTTGACACTTGATGTAATCAACTTTATTTGGTCGACGCCATCGCGAATTGGCCAGTTGCGTCCGGTCTTGCCAATGACATCGATCAATTTGAGGAGAGAGCCTTGATCCCAATTTTGTCGGATTTGTTGAATCTTTCCGCTCGAATCGAAGGTAACGATGTGGATCTGCGGGCGGAGGTCAGCGCGATGCCATTAGAGATAGGGAGAGGTACGTACAATTGGGAAAGTAACAACGCGATCGGTGAGGAAGTTGTCGTCCAAGCTGGGAAGATATGCGCCGCCTCCAGTGAGAAATTCGAGGGTGGTGTAAACCTCTACTGCCAGAGCGTTGCCGCCATCAATCACATCCAGAAACTTCTCCTCCTTCTTCTCGAGCTGATGGCCTTGGCTGGCAAGATGCTTGAGGACTTCGGAAGAGCCATTGAAGGTGACGAGAGTTGTAATGTAGTGGAGCGACGCGTTGTCAGCCAGGAGCGAGGCGTTTGGAGCATCCAAAAACTGCTTGTATGCAGCCTGAAGCGCCATGATGATCGACAATTGTTTATTCGGTGTGTCTTGATGATCGCGCAGGAGGTGGCAGATGCAAGAGGAAGCGTTGTGGAGAGGGCAGATCCGTAACGTGGAAGAATTTGAGTAAGGGACAGAGAGGGTGTGGAGAAGCGAGAGGCAAAGGCGTGGGTTTGTTGTGTCGCGACTGCTCGCCGACGTGTCTGGTTGGCTAAATGCGCGTGGAAGGGGGGGGTCTCTGCTATTACTTTTGCAGCAATATTGAAGCCGGGAATTTCGTTCTTTTACCTCCCTTACTGCGAGGATCCTCAGATGCTGTTCTCAGGGGGCGCGTCAATGGCTGTGCGGGGCCAGGTGGCTTGGAGAACTGCTCCTTTCTGGGGGTGATGTTTATTATTTGCAGTCCTTGGATTCCCGGTTGCAGTTTAGACGCGCCACGACTTGCTATTTTGAAGCCGGCAGTAACTGCTTGCGGGCTAGCAATGATCCGCTGCACGTCAAGGATGTTTCACACATGCAGGGTTCAACGTCCCACGGTCCCACGGCCAGGTCCCACGCGTGCAATGGTTCATGGTTCATTGGAGGTGGAGATGATTGGCCGTAGATGTGGGCACGCCAGATCGGCAGCTCCCGTGATTTGGGACGAACTTGGCCAAGGCCTCGGTCTCGGTCTTCACTACTTTGGTCCTCTCTTCGTGAACGAGTCACTCCACCCACTTTGACCAAGACTGCTCTTTAAAACATGAACAACGTAGCACGCACGGCACGCACAGCACGCACAGCACCCACAGCACCCACAGCACTCGTCAAGACCATGAAACCCTCTTCATTCTCATATAGTTGCACGACCTCCTGTTTCTGTGCCTCACTGCTACTGTCCCTTCGCCTCGTCACCGCTGCCTTCACATTCCATCCAAGCCAGAATGGGGACTGAGGCCCCTCCCTCATACGGCAGCCAAGGTCACAGACAAACTGTTCCAGGTCTAAGAATGTCTTTGGTAAGGCAGCCATTTCAACGAATGGGACGCTGCACCTGCAGTGTCACGGCACCCGTCCTCCCCCTGTGGCGCCTTCTCTTGTTTCAGGCCGCCCTCACCCAGTCAACCACCACGAGATGTTTCTCCGCCCCCTCCCCACCCCCCATCGCCCTGAACCTGAATGTTTCCCCGGGAGACCAGTCACGAGCGGGAATTTGTTTCATGGCGTCCCTTTCGCCCTTCTGACTGCCAATCCACTCCTGTTGAGCCTCACGATGATTGAGGGCTGGATGGCAGGCTTCGGTATGCACGCATCACTCTCGCAGCTGTCACACGCAATGGCTTTTTCTCGTGGTACACAAGCGCTTCCCCACCATTTGACTTCCCACGATTTACTTTCGGTCCATATCTTCTTCACTCTGCTTCCCATTTCGAGTGAAATGGGTCGCGTCCGTCATCGTTCTCATTGATCTTCACGTTCCAGGACTCACTTTCAGCATGGCCTCGCTTGTGGCGCTTTTCTGTGGCTGCATGGATAGCCTCAAGTCAATCCTCACTTCCCAGGACTTCGGCTCCGAGTACGAGATATTGTGTACTGAATTGTCGGTACAATGGCTTCGGATTCGCCTTTGGGGACAATCGGTAAGTCGGTCTCGTCGTCATCTCGTTTAAATTTAGAAAAGCACTCACACCTCGCAGGTTGGACTTCACCTCGACGGTGCTCCCCATGCCCAAAGCTCGATCCTTAACAGACCTGAAGTCGAAACCACCGTCACCCAGACTATCAATAGTATCGCCTTGCTCCTTGCCGAGATTGAAGTTCTCCGGCGACGATACGAACTCAGGCCGCGTCTTATCCCGGAGAGTCCTGAAGATGAGAAGACGCGACGCGATTCCAAGCCTCACAGTGGCCTGTTTCGTCCAGCAAGGTATTTGCAGCAACGAATAAGGGACAATCAGAAGCAGAAATCATTTCTCGCCTTGGCCAAGTGGGCAGTCTGTGATGCAAAGAGGTTCGATGAGAAAGTCAAGCGCCTGAAGAACCTCATCGATGGCCTTGAAGACATCTCGAAGGCTGCAGGAATCACTCAGTTCCAGCCATCTCCACAGAACCTAACACTTCCCGTCCCTATTCTAGCCGAGAACCCGCCGCCCTACTCGGTGGAAGCGCCTGTCGAGCCCTCTATTCGGCAAGCTCAGCCAATCGAGGTAGAGGTTCCTGCAGCTATCGCACCAGTCTCCGTCCCAGATCCTGAGTTGTTTGAGCAGTATATTTCACTCAAGAAATACGCAGTTTCGCTTGAGACGAACGCTCCGTTGAGGCTCAGAACCCGTGAAAAGCTCTTAACGTTGAATGATGGACAGCTCAAACAGCTTCGGGCAGATGTTTATGATGAGCTTTGTCGTCGACGGCAGACAGGAACACCCCCTCCCTTCTTGCTTCCAATGGGCATATACCATACCAAAAGGAGCCAGGCGCAAGAGAGAATATCCACACTCCCTTGGTATCGTTTCGCCCATCTCGTCTCGGACGTGGTGTTTGAATTGGAGAGGCGTTTTTCGCCCTTGGAGAATGGTAGAGAAGATGCCAGTCAACCCGTCATCGCCCCTGAAGAGCTCACTCAAACGTTCACCAGTCGGAACCGCCGACATGGGCGTGCTTTGCCGTATGAGGCCCTACCACCGGAACCACCCGTGCTTAGCGAGTTACAAGCCCTGCAGCACCGGACGAGATACAACCATGCAACCTCCAGAATACTGAACGGGGTCAATCGCACAAACAACCTGTTCTGGCAAATACCTCACCATAGCCAAACTTCTACGACGCTTGGTCAGACCTCGGGTCCTATCTCGTCTGCTTTCCATACTGATAGCTTCTTCGTTGTTCGTCCGCCCACTTCCCTCCCATCTTCCCCGACCTTCAAGTCTTTTTGCGTCAAAATGGACGATCCGACCTCGAAAATAATCCCAACCGCAATGAAAAAGTATGGTATCGATATGCCTTGGCATAACTACTCCTTGTATCTTGAGTACGGAGGCACCGAACGTCGATTGGAGTTGGATGAAATGCCCTTGTCTTTGTTCAAGAATTTAAAACGCAAGGGCCATAAACCTATCTTCCGACTTCAGAAGGTGCCAAGCACCATCGGACAGGGAGCCGCCGAGGGCTAGGGGGGTATCGAACATGAGGTAAATCCTCGACGGTTGAGTGCATTTCGTCCCGGCTTGTGGTTTTTCGTAGTTTCAATTGACCTCCTGGTGGAGTGGAGGGGCACATCCAGTACGCACCTTTCCCCATCCCTTAGTTCCTTTGACCAACTTCTAACTTGTTCATTCAAGTTCCATTTATCTGATTCATAGATTCTGCAACCTTCCTAATAACATCCTCGAACTTCTTACTCGTGCATTTCATCCGTGCACTCGGCTACAACTGCAATTTGTTTGGTGTTTTGGGGCTGTCAGGAACAGCCACATTGCAGATTGGGGTGGAGGAACGTCAGGTACTGACATGTTTCCTTGCCTGCGCTTCTTAGATTCCCTCTGATATCAATTGTGTCATGGGATGCTCAGTCTATCTGTCCGGACGCTCAAAGGGGTTCCTGCACAACATCACTTACCTTCCCTCTACTTCTTCAACCCATTGCTAATCTCTTGCTCTGGTAGGGTCCTCTTTAACTCCTCGACAATTACTCCTCAATGGCATTCTATTACTTTCATATAATCAACATCCCATCCGGCTTCCCATAACACTACAATCGAGGATGCTACACTTTCATATTGAGGTCACAGCTTCTCAATTGCAGACGTACTAGATGGATGCGCTTCGTTGTGCTACCACTAGCTTCTGCAACTTTTCTTTCTCTTCTTGCTTGCCATTATGGCTTCTTTCAGGCGCCTTCTGCCCATTCTTCTTGTTTGGACTTACCTTTTAGGGTTTATTACGGAATAGAAAGACTTGGAGTTGGCATGGTTGCCTCAGTAGGTAACGCTTTTCAGGCTTATGGCTTATGATTGTTGCTAATTAGCTAACGAGCAATCATAGTGTTGGAGTTCCTCGTGGCGGCTCAATTGTTCTTTCCTCGGCGTTGACGAGTATATCTATTATTGTATTCCTATTCTTCTTTCATTCGGCTATGGGAATTCAATTTCTGTTTAGCAACAGCTGGAAGGGTATGGACTTACCATGGTTACTGCAATAGGTAAGCCTTCTGGTACCCAATACCTCATTTGATAGCTGATTGGCAATCACAGTGTCCTAGGTCTTGCTGGCATCAATTGTTTTCTTCTCGTTCCGTACAAGCGATTATTATTATTATTATTATTATTATTATTCGATTGACTAATAGGAGGACTTCGATATCTGTCATCTATCTGCGGTCGCAATTCAATAATATTCCCCTTGCCGTCTCGAATTGTCCCCGTTCTTACTTTCTCTCGGACATGGAGTGCTTCTGAGTCTCGAATTGAATTACGATTTTGCTGTGGTAAGAAGTCGAACTTGGTATACACTTGCGCTGCTGATATTGATATTTCTTGCAATAAATTTTGGCTGGGTTAACATGAATGCTGTGACTCTCCGTGCAAGTAAGCCACTCGGAAATATTTAACGTTCGATTGACCTATACATTTAGCGATTCAACTTATAAGTTCGAGACCATCCAGAAGCAATAAATCATAGCAGCAAAATTGCGAAATGGGGAAGTCGCCTACTTGTGCTTCAGAAAGACGAAATATAGGTACCGCATCCTTTTTCCTTTCTTCAGGTCAAAGAGATAGAGGTATCTTACGCTTTAAAGATAATCCGCTAATGAATAGGCGAGTTTGTTAGAGCCGACGCCGGAGTTTATACCTTCAAAATTGTATAAGGAGACAAGATCGTCGAACAACACTTACCTTATCGACAACGCACCCTCTCAGTCCAACTACATGAAGTAATATGACGACTACCGGGTCCTTACAATGAACTCAAGCACGGTATCAAGAACAGAAACAATGGCCAACTCCAGAGGAACTTGCCTTCGGCCGTCCTATAACTGTCATCTCCAGCTCCTCAACTGTCTACAACCCTGAAAGGAGTCATGGTCCATTCTATCAGGTTTATTGAAGGCTAGTCACCCCCACAAAATACCTAATGGAGCTCAAAAGCCTACGCAGCATAGAGGCTAACCGGCGAGCACCTTGCCCTGATGAGCAAGGCATTTGCTTCCGACTCCTTCAAGGTTGCTCTCTATCTCTGTGACTGAGACAACACATCCTCAAGCTCCGAGAGCTGTCTAGACCTGTCCACTAGGTGATCTAGCAAGCTGGCAAAGCCTAGGGCCGACGCCTACTCTAATAACCACAGGGGAAGGAAAGTATATCTCCATTCTATCTTCCCACGGAGGTTGTCCCGTGCTTTCTTCTATGTAGAACACAACGGACCAATTCCAGAAGCCTGACCTGAACGAAAGGTAAACGAAATCTCCCCGACTAAGCGAGCTTGATGCTGATGCAAATTCCTAGAGCATGAATGAGTACTAGAGCTGTAACAAGCCCTTGGAAGGTGCCAAGATACCTTCATTTCAGACGAGATCTTTGACAACACCATTGGGCACTTTCCAGGAGCCCAACCCAACGGAAAGTAAGCAGCCCCTCTTTATATAAGCTGAACGGGATGCTAACACGAACATCCGGAGCCTGAATGAGCTCTAGGACTCTAACAATCCCTGCCACTAGGCTATACATTCTGGTTTGGCAAGATTTCTCAAAGACTCGAAGTTCGAGAACTTCGAAACCCCCAACTTAGATGTGAGAGGATCATCCTCAATACAACGATCCCCCCCCATCTCAGTTTTCTCTCTCGGCCTATCGACCTTTCTTAGACCTGCCAGCTATATACGGGGAGTTGCGCCATAAGAGACACTTGTCAAGAGTCGCACAGTCGTACCCTCGAAAACCACCTCACGACTATACGAAACCTCTTTCACATTGTAGATTGCAACAGTGACTGGAAATTTACCGCCGAAGTATTTAACTGAATGACGAGAAAACCCTTACACCGGCATGGAAGTTCTGCCAGAATTTCCTCTGCCCACACAATAACTACCTTCAGTATTGGCTAGGTTTCTGGGCTGCAACAAGACAACTATCTCGGAAAGACTTGGAGTAATTTCGACGACCTACTCGGAACTACTATACTAGCTGGGAGACACCAAACCACCTTACCTGAATTGCTGTATACCGACAACCGAAAGTTATGTTCGATTCAACACGACTGTATAATGGTCAGGATTGGATGCGAGGAAATCGTGGAGGCAACCATATACCGAGGACGTGGAATCAATTGGCCCAAGCAAAACGCGTCAAAGCCCTCCAAATAAAGCTTTCCCATTTTAACGAGTCGGGGTTGCCTGGGGAATGTATTATATCAACATTTCGACCGTGTCGTTCAAAATCTCGTAAGATAGGCCAGTTCGATCCCGACGGTGAAGGTGTGGTGAGGTGCCGAGACGCGGCGGCTGCGAGGGGTGCAGTCGAGAATAAAGTTAGACTCGACACTTACCCAAAGTTAAATTTATCTAGAGGCACGCCTCACTCAAGGTCGCCAGGCCTTAGGCCGAACTCGGCACCCGAAAGCGCTTCTTTTCATCTCAACACTTCGGATGGGTGAGAGGACCAAAAGGAAAGCTGGATGCTGGGATCGAAAAGAAAGATCGGATCGGGGCGGTCGGCGTGGGTCACGTATCGGTTTGGAACTTCGGCTCTCTGATTCCACGTCGCCATCTCGGTGGTGCGAGGTGACAGAGGCAAGTAATCGAGAACACTTCCCTGGAATAAGCAGATTTGACAGCTTCTAGATGCAAGGCTTCGGAGAGGCGGAGTCGAGATGCAGTTTGTAGTCGTTTCCCGATACTCTTTGCCACATTATGGATTTTATCCTTCGTTTTCTTCAATGATTGCCCTCGTCTTTATCTTTGAGCCGATGTTTCTTCTCGGCCCCGGGAAGACGAATTTAAGAGTAAGAGTAGCGTGGACGAAGATGCCGTCGACATCACCGAAGAAGTCAAGTCGCCACCGAAGGTTTGTCTCCTGAACCCCATCGACCAAAAGCAATTGAATCTGAATTGATACTCAACGACGACGATAGAACTCAGATTCCACGGAGAAGAAATCGATCCCATTGGAAATGAAGCCTTTTCGAGGAGCCTCGGTCGATAGACACTCTCTCAGCATCTCAATTCGTTCCCTGGAAAATCTTTGCACCGTGAAACCACTCCAGCCCAGAAAATCGGCCCAATCAGCAGCCGGAGCTGCGACTTCCTTGTATGGTTCGGAGATGATGTTGCTATTGGAATGACAAAGAACACTGCGAGAAGCAGGCGTTGATAGCTTTGTTCAAGGAATTCTCGATTCGGGGATTGAGGAGGGCTTTGTTCGGCGAAGACACTTCAGTATCCGTTACTCCTCATCTTACAAAGTGTCAGGTCTTTGAATCGCATCAACTGCGAATTTTTGCGGAATTCTACATGTCACCAGCTCAGTCATCCCGGCAGATTGCAGCACAAGGTGTGAAGAAGGTCTTCTGCCTTCATGTCTTGCCAAGTCCGCTGCCCAAAGCTGTATGGACGATCGAGGGGTTGGGCCTGTCAATTGGCGGGAAAAGCCCGATTAATGGATTTTCATCTGGACGTTTGCAGGATATGCAAATGTGGCTGGTGAAGGGCTGGCGGAAGGTTGTCTTCCTCCAAATCTTGCTAGCTTGTGTCAAAGTGGTTGGAAGTAGTTGGAGGTGGCTTCCAATCTAATACAGCTGGAGTCAGCGCCCCCGATCTTGATTCAAATCCTCAAGGGTATAGAGCCCTTTGCAGAGAGTCCAAGGAGTCCAGTTCGAAGATTGAAACGACGTGAACTCGAGTGAGACGGGACTTCACTCCATCAGTGAGGGGTTGGGACCACCAATCGAAGAAGCCAGCGCCAATAAACCTCAACCAACGAGTCTTGAGAAGGGTCAAGGTGTTGTGCATGCTGATTTGCAAAAAGAAGTCAGCGCCGGCGGGCCTCGAGAAAATTGCTCCACAATACTCACCCCCGGGACCGACGAAACTGTGACCTGCCATGGTGGAAGGCAAACACGAGCAGCGGAGATGAAAAAGCAGAGGATGAAGACTTACACCAATGGAATCGCCAAAGAGATCAGAGTTGCCGATGGCTCAATGAAGTCGGGAGTGCAGATGAAGTCACTTGCAGAAAACTCGGCAACGAGAAACGTATTTAGCCACATGACCTGCCAACTCCACAGAGAAGGGTCTTCGAAGATGGCACGTGCCTCTCGTTTCGAATTCAAGATTGCACGATCGAAGACTGCTATGAGATCACGTTGAGGAGGACGGATGTCATGGATGCGGTGGTCGATTAGGTATGTTTTGGTGGTGGTGGCGCTTCGGGAACGAACTTCCGAGGTTTTATATTATGCTGTGGGTCAGCAAGTCAATGTGGCCGCCTGGATGGGACGTACTAACTTTTAATAGAATTTGCAAAACTTCTGGTGATGTTGAACAAAGGAGATAGTCAGTTGATAAGTTTCCTCCTTTCGTCGACGAATCAGTGGATGGTAGAATTAGAGCGAGTGCTCTCTTGATGGAAAAGCGGCCATTCACCCTTTGCGAGTGATATGGAAAGGAGGTGATATATATATACCGAAGATTTGAAAGAGAGATATGAAACTTGGCTAATTTATCGTCGCAGGTCCCAAAACTCACTCCACTCCGCCCAGCGATATCACAACATGTCAGCATCTAGACTTCGCGGGTTACAAACCATGGGGCTGCCATCATTGCCATCATCGTTATTTCCTGTTACGGAATCTTCCAAGAACCAAGAGCTAACTGCTACTCCAAATACGTCTTCTTGTCCAAGACAAGCCCGGGTCTCCACGAGAATCCAATATCCATCTTCTTTCCACAACCCAACGGCAAGTACCGCCTGCCTTTTCCAAGTAAGTGTGAGCTGCCCGAAAAGAAACCAAAAATGCGTCTAATTAAAACGATATGTCCACCCAATGCGCCGTTCCCAGGGGTATCTTAACTCCAACAAATGCATGATCCCACGTATGCAATACCATTACGCCACCTGCCCAAAGGTGGTGCCTTCCCAAAGCTCTCGCCTTCCTTTTTCGGCAGACGCTAGTGCAAAGCTCGATTAGCCCAAGAAGGAGGCGAAGAGTAAATCAATCCGTATGCACTCCTATCCAAATGCTCAATCAACTACAAGACAACAATATTTCGTGCTGACTTTTCCCTCAAAAACAGAACCGTTTCCATATCAGCAGCTCTTCCAGAAGCCCTCTGTTTGAGCGTGTTTCTTCGCCCCTTAGACGATCACGTCCGATGATGCTTCCTACCTCGGTTCATCTCGTAGGCTGAGGAGTCATCATCGTAATCATCAACTCGACTCGACTTTCTCCTGTTTCTACGCATGGACGAGCCTGTCTCATGCATGCTGCCCCAATGGTTACCGAAACCATTCACGAAACCGCTTTGTGTCATGCTTCCTCGCGACTGATATGGCTCGGGATGAGTGTAATCCCGAGCAGCTGCCGGCAAACCGTTATGCTCAGGAGGCTCAGAATCCCAGTTCGACCGATTGGTGTAGCTGTCCTGAGCCTCAAAGCCATATTCAGACCGACGGCTCGGCTGTACGGATTGGCTGTATTCGTACGCGGTGGGGTCTGGGTAACTACTTCTGGGTTCTTCCCAAGCCTCTGTAGTGGAGTATGTCTCACCACCAAATCCCTGGAACGGAGGCTGCTGGGTTTCACGAAGCCCATCAGAGGATGTCATGACTTGAGATTCCACATCGGATCCGCTACTTAGGGAACTGGCAGTTGGCGCTTGGCGACCATTTTGGGTCTCAGTTGGTGCTGGTCGATATCGATTTTGGGTTTGAGGACGCCCCATCTGATCTATCTGCCCCACGTCCGATTGGCTCTTCATGAGGTCGTAGTATTCCTCTAGGGTCATTCCAAGGGGGCGTGTTCCATCGAAACCTTGCACGCTTGGTTCAGGCATACTTGGGGTCTCCACCTTGATGGTCCCACTATCAGATCCACGAACCTTCTTCACTGGTCGAGGTGGTACCGGCCCAGAGTCGGAATCATCATCGATTACGATGACATCGTCTCGCTGGCGCTTGTTTCCTGGGCGAGAGGACTCGTTTCGGTGTGGAGGGAAGGGAGGAGGTAGCGGATGTTGCACTCCAGAATTTGGTTGAGCCAAGAACAGACGAGCCTTCTTGCTGGCTTGTGCCGAAGTCGACGGATCCTGAACATCGGAATCGGAATCTTCGTCAACATCTTTCACCAGTCGATCGCGCTTTCTGCTTGATGGGGTTTTGCTTCCCTGAGAGGGAGGTGGAAGAGAGGGAGCATGATAGCCAGCCTGTGCTGTGTTCGCTCCATTGTATCCGCCAACAAGTCCAGCCTTTCCGACGTTTGGTCCACCAACAGGTCCGATACTCATTCCACCTATTGGTCCAGCAATACTACCATTCCCCATCCCACCAGTTGGCCCGCCGCCTCGTGCAAACGCCATTTGGTTCATTGTATGGACACCTGGGTTGTTAAGGGCATTGAAGCCACCGCCAATTATCTGGCTGATCCCATTGTGCCCAAGATTCGCAGGAGGATTCAACGAACCACCAATAGGAGGAACTACAGTCTGCTTCAATTGAGCGATTGTCTGCGCGAGGTTGGGCAAATCGATTAGAAGCTGATTCTCGACCTGCTCCATAACGAATCTGCGAAATCTGGCTTCCTCGAACAGGCCATTTGGGCCTTGGATCAGAGCAATATACCAATTCCACATGTGACGATGCATTTTCCCCCCTCCGACGAAAATTTGCGCCGCTGGGCTATGGTATCTGCGGATGTATGAGTTGACACAAGGCCCATGTGACTGGTTGATCATTACCGCAGACAGAAAATCGCCCTTCAACTCGCCGTTCTTTGCAAACGGTCCATTGCTGGTCCCATTTTTAAATCTCAGACACCCCGTCAAGTTCGCCTGGGCTAATACATTGAAAGCCCGGTCATGTCCTGCTGGATTTCTTGCGTACGCCACGGGGTCGTAGAAATCCCCCGGAACCAAAGGTCGTGCATATGCTGGTCTGCGGGGACGTTTATACCGGGTCTGAGCAGATGGAGTAGGTTGAGGTAGAACAAGACCGCCGTTCGGAACCAAAGCAGTTGGTTGAATTTGAGGAGCGGACGGAGTAGCTGCGGCAATGTTCTGGGCAGCAACCGGTTGGGGTTGCGGTTGGACTGGAGGTGGAACACCAGCGGTAATGGTCAGAGCCGTGGCAACGGGAAGTTGTGCTTGAGGTGCAAGTGGTGCGGCAGCTACAATATTTTGTAAGACGGCAGGCTGGGGTTGAGGCGCGCGCGGAGCAGCAGCAGCAGCAGCAGCAGGATGTTGTGCCATGGTCGGCAAAGGTTGTGGTGGACATGCCGGCGCCGCTGTCTGGGCACAGGTATGAAGATGATTAGCTGTTGCCGTTGGGGCTGGTTTAGGGGCCAACACAGGAGGTTGTTCATCAACTGGGCTGTCTGAAGACCCAGCATCCGAATCTTTGTTGATCTGCTGCCCCTGGGGGCCGTTAGCTTTTGGAGAAAAAGGATGTTGATTGAGGTTACTTACGCATGGAATGACTCTCCTTGCATCTTGTTCGGGAGCCGTGATGGGGATTAATGCTAAGCGCTGCTCCAACCAAGCAGCATCGGCTGGAGTGTGTACGTCCTCGGGGACTGGCGCATAAATTGCTGACGAGAAGTCCTCGTCCGCCTGCGTCCAGCCAAAGATGGAACGGAAGGAAGAGAACATGATGTCAAAGAACTCTTATTGTGTTGGCAGAGAAAGTGCTTGTACCTGTCAGTCTCGAAGTCACCGTCGCGGGGACTGGAAAAGCTCGGTGAGCAAGGTACGTCTCTTAAGGACTAAGGACTGCTTGCAGAGCGATGAAGAGATCGCGTTGCGATGGTTCTTGTTGAAGAAATTCAAAGTTGGAGTGGGTGGTGTTTGGGGAGGAAAGGATTGAGGATGGTCGCGTGTTGTTGCTTTGATATACCGCTTTAGCGAGGCGATGGGGTCGATGTAAATTTGGAAGCCTCGCGCCTCAAAGAATGGGAAAAACAGGGCCTGAACAGCTCCCAACTGATCTATGAGGACTGGAAACGGGAATTGGAAGGAATTGTGCTGTAGGATATGCTTTTCGAGGTATGGACGGAGGAAAATGTGGAGGGGAGGTGGATAAGAGCATACGGCGCAATCAAGTGAGGGTGTGTCCACGGCCGATTGCTGCATATATGGGAAGTAGAACTTACCCAAACTTGAAGGAGGAGGATCGTTAGTTCTCGCGGTAGGTATGTATGGCCCGGAGTCGTGCTCGTTTGGGTTCGAGGGAAGGCTAATCGCGATCTAATAGTTGTTGCTAGGTTAGCAGAGACTCACTATTGCGTCTGATGAAGAAAAGACGGAATATTTGATACTAACATGTAGAAAAAGCCTCCACTAACTTTATTGCAGGCAGCTAACCCTTCGTGTAATTCTCTACTCGACGAGGAAGAATGCCGTGGCTCTGCTGAGGCAAGTAAGCTGTCAGCAGTAGCTCAGCCAAGACTTCGGAATCCCCTCAAAGGAAGGCTCTCAGAGTAAGTAGTTAGAGCTCGTTCCTCTCTGAGAGTCTCGTAAATGCTGTGATTGATCTGAAAATTGATTTCATTTGATGTTTGCTGAGTGATTGTGACCCAACCGCCCCTGAGCCTAGTGGACAGAGAAGCTAGAGCCTCCCTACTGCGCTTCCCTCAAGAAGCTAGACTTGCCTTGATGCCCTTGCAGTTCTACCCAGGTCGATAGAACTGTAAAGGTATTGAGCGCCAGGTAGAAAGGCTCTGAGCGTTGGGCTGTGGTGTTGTTGCTTCGAGCGGTGTGCTTTGGGCTGATGAGGGAAGAGGGGAGAGGGGAAAGGAGAGAAATTGTCAGGAAGAGAGGCTTCTTACTTGCGAGCAGTTACTATCTTTGCTATTCCCTCTGAGGAAGGGAGGGAGCATCGAGTGCTGCCTTCCTGGTTGTAGCGGACCCTGTATGTATCCCTGAGCGCGAGGAAGCTAGCAGCAGCTGGAGTGAGAGGATGGAAGAAAGGCTGGGAGTAGCTAGTCTTGTTTCGAGTCCCTCGCAGATCTAGTCTAAGTAGATAGAAGCTGTTTGGTCCTCAGGGATAGTGGCAGAGTGCTCTGTGGTCGATGATGGGGAGAGTGTATCTTGAGAGGAGAAGAGACGGCAAGAGGATCGACGATGTTCGTGCAATGGATGTGCTTTCGAGTATCGTGGAGTTTGAGGAGGGACTTCCGTGCTCTGTTGTCTCAAGGAGCAAAGAAAACGTCGATAGAAAGCTCTGTCGGAGTTAGAGGTTGGTCGATAGTGATCTCGAAGCAGACGCAGTCGTATCTGGGAGGAGGGAGAGTAGGGAGAGGAGAACTCGTAGTCCAGGTCTCTTTCGCAGGATAACGAGTGTCTAGATCTCATATTAACATAGGGCAAGAGTCAAACCTGCGCGCCGATTGTTATATGTGGTCGCAAAAGAAGAGGGTTTAGGTAGCGCCGAGGCGGCGTATTCTCGAAAACTTCGATCTTTAGGGAGATGAGGGGAGGAGTTAAATGAACATGGAATAGCTTACCAAGGTCTCTGATTAGTGCATACTGCAGCACAGTTGTCGATATCGCCGTTGTTAAGGGCGAAAGTTGTCGATGGGGAGGGCAAAGCGCGATATCCGTCCGACCAGAGGAGCGACAGGTACGTTGCAAGAAGTGCAAGAATCTTTGAAATGACTTGCGTAGTATCGAAAGACAAGCGTCTATAGAGCGTTCCTTACTTGCTGGAACGCAGAATGGAGTGTTGTTATCGAGCTTGTGTTACAAAAAGAAGAAGGGTTGGCGCGCAAAAGAGTTTCGCGGACGTTGTGTTTACTTGAACTCTCGGCAAGGCAGCTGAGCAGCCTTTTCTTCATCTGAAGTTTCTTTGAAGCGACGAAGAGCGGCCCACTATGCGGTGGAGCTTGAGATTCGTATTTATTTTCGCTCATATTTTATATACCAGGCGTCAAGCCTCGCTCACAGCTTTGGATTTATGAGAGCTCTTAAATCAAGACTCACTCAACCCTAGCAGATGGGTTTGGAATTAACCTTTCAATCCAAGTTGAAGAAATGTTAAGATTGGATTCTATGAGATATGTGTAGGGGGAGGTCGCAGGCTAATACAAGAGGAGGCGATATGCATATGCTGTGAATTATGTGTCTGCTGACTCGTGCAGACTGAAATAAGGGAGGGCTTCTCTTTAAAACAAACTTCACATCGGGAAAAGAAGTGGCTCTGAAAGCCATGAACTCCGTCAGAATATCTCATGGACCATATCCCAGAACCCTTGTACGATCGAAAACTCTCTTCCAGCTCCGATTTATATATGACAAGGGTAATTTCCCCTTCTGCATCGAAATGTTGATCTCCCGTTACTATCTACTCATCGTTTCAACCCAAGTTGCACTTCCTAGATCAACACATGAACAGATTTAGACCCACAACCCTTTGGTTTGTCAATGTCGCGATGTCCAGGTATGTTGAATACTTGGTATCGGCACTTGAGTTTTCCTCTGCTGACGCTCAACTCAGAGTCTTTTTGAGCTAGGACCAGCTGTCAGCATTGATTCTGACATTTCAAATAATGCCTTACCTGAGTTTTGAAATTGTGGTACTTATAATAAGTGGCAGAGAGATCTAGATGAGTCTTCGGTGGGGTGTCTCGGGATGCATGAAACTGGCTGACCCTTTCTGACTATTGCAGGCTTCGGACTTCACTCAAGGCTATAAGTATTCATGGCGTAAGGAGGTCTCAATAGAGATAAGCCCCGGGGTTGTATTTTCCCCCATTATCTCCAATTCTGATAGTCTTCGAGAATCAGGATCAAAGATCGACTAGCTGCTACTCCATATGTTGGCAAAGCCGGAGTGAGAATTGGAAGCCAGACCCCCAAAGCAGCGGCCACTGCAACTGTCATATCAGTGGCTTTCACATAATGTCTTCGCGGACAGAGGAGAATATGTCCTGGTGTCACCGGAGCAATATCGAGGAATGCGATGACTATTGCCGTTGACAGGACCGGATATGCGGAACCCAGCGGGTAGTCAAGACCTTGGGCTTAGTGGTTGGCGGGATGGAATCAGCGATCATGCAGAAAGGACAAGGCATTTTGAAAGTTTGAATGTTATTCAAGATGTTGGGAGGTTTGTAATTTCTGCAGAGTCAAAGAAGAGAGTTGACGAAGTGAGGTGAGATGCGACCGATGAGCTAAGGCACATCCCTCTCAAAATCAAGGAAGCTCATCTCCAAAGCAACCAGCTATCCAACTTCTTAGCGCCCTAGATTCCCCCGAATGCCACCACTTCTTCGTCAAAGAACAGCACGGGTCTCCACGAAAATTCCAGAGACAAACTACTCAACAAGCCTTCTTGCTCTGCTCTCTCCAGGGAAGGTCCCACTACCGAAAAGACCTGACTTTCAAAAAAATCACATACACCTAAACCAACTTAAACCAACTCGCCGTTTTCGTGGGTGTATGAACTCAAATAAATGCATGATATATGGCATCATATCCGCCGAGTCTACCTTTCTGCCTTTGTAGACGCCACCGAAATGCTCGATCACTCCCAAGAATGAAAGACCGAGAGCGGAAGAAGACCTCGGTATGTCCAATTTGCACCCAAATGCCCCCGATATCGAGCTGCCCTCCAATTACTGACTCTTCTGTCTGACTCCGAGGAATCTAACCCCCTCTCAGGCGATTCTTGCCAAGCCGATCCCTGTAAGCCTGGCTAGGATGAGTGATTCGTGCCAGTTGTTCCATCTCCTGCGCATCACTTGTGAAGTAGTCGGCGTCAGTGACTACTCGTCCCTCTCTCCCAGCAACAGGAGGAGCTTCTTGACTGCCCAAAGAGCCGGCACTATGGTCCGTCCGCGCCTCAAGGTCTGCGCGTGAGTTTGCTCCTGTATGTTCGCTGCTGTGGCGAGATTCAGCGCCACGGCTGGATTGACCCACAGAACTAGTTGGATGCTGGTATATGTATCCAAGTTGCTCATACTCACTTGGATCGGGGTAGGCTGGGTTGGCTGCCCCTTCATACTCCGCCGTGGTTGGCTCATCGAATCCGTAACTTTGGGGAAGTTGAGGCACACGAAGTTCATCAGTCATACTGGTGTACCCGGGACTTGCTCCTTCATTTGGGAAGCTCGAATTTGGAGCCAAGGGCCCATTGGTGGGGCTGTTGAGCCGCGGCAGTCGGCGTTGGGTGCCATTTCCAGGAGCTTCCTGACCTTCAGTGATCTGGCTTTGTCCGCGATACCATTCGTGGAGTGGCATACCGGGTGGGGGCTCAAGGAAGGGTTGGTCTTGCATCAGAGCTCTTATCTCGTTCTGCGCATCTATCTCCGCACCACCACCAACTGATTGACGACGCTTCTTGTTTGGTCGAAGGAGTTCCTGGACATTACGAGAGCTGTTATCCTCATCCTCCTCGTCTTCGACCTCTCGATCACGCTTTCTGCTTCGTCGAGAATTGTTTCGGGAACCACTGCTAAGTCTAGTTCTCGGTCCAGCTTGACGTCCGGGAACAGGACCATTACCACTCCGACCGGTCGAATCGTTAGCGATTCCGCCTCCTGCAACATTCATCGCCTGCATGCCGGCATTCGTGGGGGCGCCCATTCCACCACCTAGTGTTGGGTGTGTCCACGTTCCATTAGCCACAGAAGAATTGAATGAGCCGGGAACAACTGGCTGTTGTGTATTCCGCAACCGCTGAACCTCATCTCTGTCATCGTCCTGGAGGCCGGCTTCGACTATGGCCCTAGCCCAGATCCGGAATTCGTCACGCTCCTGCTCAGACCGGCTGAAGAACCACTCATTTTGGGCTCCGTAATCTTTCATGCCCTGGGTGAAAAGCACCTTGTTATGTTTGTGCAGAATCCAAGCATTGAGGAGATCACTTCTGATCCCTGCCTTCCAGTCGTCCTTGCCTTTAGCTCCGGTTGACTTGATGGGTCCGGATGTCTTCGTGTGCGACGCCATGCCGAAGCCCTTAATGTTCTTGGCGTTGGCAATTACGTTGTGCGCAGCCTCCCAGCCTCCAGGGTTGTTGCGTACTGGAGCTGGAAGCGGAACGGGATAGAATTCTGGCCACACTAAGCCGGTTGCTCGGGGTCGGGCTGGGGGAGCCTTGTATGGTGGCTTCGTTTGTTTCTTCAAGTTCTTTTTTCTGGAAAGAACTTGGCCGGGTACGGAAGTGTCGGTGGTAACATCTTCGGAATCATCTCCTTCGGCCTTGATGTCCGCACCTCCTTGGGCATAATGTTGTGCGATGTCCTCTGCGACATCTTCACCAGGTTCGGCACCATCTTGGACGATCTCCTGGCTTGAGCCACGATTTGTCTCGTCTTGCGGTTGCTCTTCCGCTGACTCCTGAAAACGAACATCGTCCAAACCCTCAACTCGATCTCGTGGGACCACCTCAGAATGAACTACAGTGTCTTCCCCTTCTTCTGATCGAACAAATTGCACCAATACTGAATTAAGAAGGGCAGTAATTACTGGGGGAATTTCATCCGAATAATTTCCGCCGGGAACATTGGCTTGCAGCCCGGACGGTTGATGAGATCGTTGCTCTGAACTCTCTGCAGTCAAGCCAGCTTCCGGTAGGTCAATTGCCTCCTCGAATTGGTTGGCACCGACACCGTATTCGTCCCCATGGTTGCCATCATCTCCCTCATCATCAACCTGGTTCTCTTCATCCTGGCCATCGACTGCAATGGAAGCCTAAAGACCGTCAGCTTCTGGAAGTTACGCCAGTTAATAGTACTTACGGAAGTTGAATTGTTGGTGGTAATAGTATCATCAACCTGCTCGCTTGCAGCTCGGGAGGCTGCAAGTTGGGCCTCTGCAGCAGGACTGCCGGGTAGCGGAGCGTGGGCTGGTTCCTCGTATGAAGTCGATGCGATGGGATGAGTCTGACTTGATTCTTGGTCGCTGAAATAGTCGTTCTATCAACGGTCAGCAAATCTGGAAGCATTCTCAAACCAAAAAAACCTACCAAGTCGAAGTCTGAAATAAGCCTATCGCTATCGTAGTCGAAGAAAATAGCACGCGACGAGGAAGACATTTTGCCAGAGCTTTCTCTTGTTCGTTGATGTATGGGACGGAAAGTTTGAGGGCCTGTCAGCTTTACGGAAGTGGTCAGCCTCAGTGAAGGTCAAAACAATCGCTCAACGGATGCGTCTTTAAAATTGTAAAGACTGTATGAAGAGCGATAGAGAGAACAAGTCGCTGTTCTAATTTATTGATGGGAAGTAGATGTAGTGCAAAGGAGTTGATGGTAAGAAAGGATTAGGGAAGAGGAAGTTGTGTTGTAGATGGAGGAGCATCGACCGTTGCTTTTGGGGAGCGGGTGAGATGGAATTGGTAAATGTGAATTTCCCAACTCCCAGGCCAGAACGTGATGGATGGCAGCTGGGAGGTATCAAGCAACTGCTTATGCCGTACGTGATCGAGGACAGGAAATGGAAGGGGATGTGGTTTGGGATGTTGTGGAAGGAGGTTGCGAATATGGGAAGAGGGGCAATTAAAAGGGAACAGAGTTGGGATGGGACGGTAGAGAAAGCGGACTTACGGAGTCTTCGACGGAGTATGGTTGAGCCCCAGGTGTGTAGCGCTTTTAATTGTGCGCGTTGGTTGTTAAAGGTGCGTCGCGCTCGATCTTGGAAAGCGCTTTCGGTTGCTAGGACAGCCAGTCGTCCATGGCGTGGGATGTTGAGAAGTAAGGACGGGAGACACTAATGTGTGAAACAACTCTTTCTAAATGACTTGGATACAAGTAAGAAAGGGTGTAATGCTCCACGCTTTCAAGAGAGGCGGCGTTAACCGATGTTCTATGGCACAAGAAGTTGTCAGCGCTGGTTCAGCATGGCCAGATAGCGATCGCAGGATCAATCCAACAGCCTTGGACTCAACAATAGGAGGAAAGCCTTACTAGATGTTACTCGTAGATTTATAAGTCAACTAGCCAAAGTCTTAAGAACGCCATGATTGGTGTTGACGCTCGATATTGATACTGTTGATCGTAATCCTAACCCAAGTCGGGCGAGTTAGCAAGACCGAGAAAGCCGAGTCGCGGTGTCAGAAATAACTGCAACTGTCGCGATAGCTTTATAGAAGTTTACTCAATGGATCAAAGCGGTGGAGATATCAAGAGTGGCTGGGGAAGTTTCAGGTAGTGGTGTTGGGGTTTGGTGTTTGTTGTTGTGAAGGAAAGTTGGAGGGAGGCGCCCGCGAGGAGATCTGGTACGATTTTACAGTGTCGGGAGCATAGAGAAGACAAAACGAAGGGCGATGAAATTGAGATTCCTTACCTGCGATCAAAAGCTTTGTCTCTCGTTATTTGAATTAGGGCAGGGAGTATCAACCAGAGGCTCTATTTTCGTTTTGGAGGCGATCGACGTTCGTGCTAGTTAGCCGGTCAGCCAGGGGACGACTGAGGGATCACGGCAACGAGTTGAATAAGAAGCAAATAAGTATGTTTTGGCACTCTCGTAGATCTAATCTGGGCAGATAGAAACCGCAGAGATAATAAAGCCAGTTGTAAAGGCTCTGGACTATGGTATTCTGGGGAGGGATCTGAATAGGAGAGAGAAGTAAAGGATATTGTGGTTTTTTCGACGCCGATTATATATTCTTGAGGACTCTCAGATTGTGACATAACTTACCGTTGCCTTCCGCTCGTAGAGGGAGAGATTTGAATAGTGCGCTCTTAGTATTCGATGTCAAGTGGAGGAGGTATTATTCGAAGTCCCAGAAGGGAGTTGGTATCGCTCTCATGGAAGGAAGGAAGAAGAGACCGCAGTAGGCTTTCTTTCGAAGAGGATCGGGCGAGTATCTAGAACTGTTATTAGCAAGGCGAACAAGAGCTGGACTTGTGCTGCTGTATGCCGTTATGTTGAGAGGGTTTGTGCTATTGTGGCGAGTCAGGCCGCGGGCCTGATCCTAATCTCGACCCCTTTGCATTCGATGGGAGAGGAAGTCTGAGGTAACAACTTACAAGATCTATCAGTAGCTCGAGATAGTTGACAGAGCAAGAACTGCCGCCCCAGTTGCTACGGTCGAAAGCCTGTTGCAAGCGGCAAGGAGGAATGCCACTGTGTCGCTTCGCGAGTTATCAATTGTTGTTTTGGCTTAGGTAGTATAGTTTGGAGTTAGTTTTACTTGGTATTTTTATATACATGTACCAGGATCCGACTGCTCTCTCGACTCACTACATTCTTGCCAATGCTGGGGCACTTCGGGCGGCATTAAGACTTACTAGGTGACAAATCACACAGCTCTTACTTGTAGAGCGGGTTTCAGCGAAAGGGGAAGTGGGAGAGGTTGAGATGAGTTCAAACTTTGTGGACTGAGTAAGGTATGTCAACATTGCGAATCAAGGTTGATTCGAGGAATTATAGGACGTAATTGCGTTTGTTGAGTGTTTGCTAACTCTTGCAAACTGGGTCTCGGTTTGAAGGGTAATCTTATTTATAAGAAAGCCAATGTCGGGAAAAGAAATCGCCCTGAAGGCCATGAATCCCAATTATGCTTCGGCCCATAACTCATGGGCCAAAACATGTACATCTCGCACTCTATGCCAATTTGAGGTATGTAGTAACTCTCTCCACGAACAACTTACTCGGAATCGCCATGTATTCTTAGGTATATCACGCCGTCATCGCTCGCAGCAACTTGGCTCAATGCTGCCGATTTCTCTTCGCAGCTCCGCCAGCATACTCATTCCCTTCTTCGTCGGCCAGTCTTCTCTTCATTCCAGTATTCTTCTGCGCCACTACCTGGTGATGGCCAAATAAATCCCATCTTCCTGTCATATTCAAGACTGACATCATGAATCCGACTTCTCCACACTCCGCAATGCGCTGATAAACCCATTCTCGGAAGGCGCTTCTTTCCATCTGGCGGATTTGATATCCTGCGCGATCTGTGGCGGGTCCTCTAATGCACTCTACCTGTTCAAAGTACTCGGTCTCCCATATTTTCAGCGCGACCTCGGTCTTGGTGGAAAGCTTTTGTGGTGCTCGTGGAGGTTGCGGAGGTTGGAAAGGGTGTGGAGACCTCCACCAGAGAACCCCCGTCCGATGAGGTTGTTGTGGCGGATGCTGCATGCCCAAAGCCGGACCGCCAGAGCCTGGGATTGCTGAGAAAGCCCCTCCAGGGGAAATTGGCGCGGAACTCCACATTTGCGGTTGCGTTATAGAAGAAGGAGCGTTCGGGGCCGGATGCTGTACAGCGCTTTGGACATATGGTTGAATGGAAAGACTAGAGACTGAAATTCGAGGATCAATTGCTAGCCTGCCAGGTTGAGAGTAAGGAATAAATTGACTGCTCTCAGCAGAACCTGCTACACTCATGTCAGTCTGCCCCCATCTAATTTCAAATGCTGGAACTGGAGTTTGCGAACCTGTTTCGGCCAGTCTTGTATCTTCGGCTCTCGTCGTCTCATTCTCATTGAGGTTGTGCCGTCTCGTCTCTTCGTCATTCCTGCTCGAGTTGTTGCCCACGGCAGGCTCGCTGCCAAAAACAACTTCTTCGTCCAATTTTTGCGAGAAGGCGTGATACTCATCAAGGGCGTTATGACTATGGTCGACGGAATCGACAGAAAGAACGTGGTCTTCACTGTCAGCTCCATGAGAGACGGTCCCGGTCTTGGGCTCAAATACTTCCGTATCCGGTGTTGTACGTGCGAAAAAGCCAGTGTTTATAGACAATGGCTCGACGGAACTAGGGTTCTGTCTCTCTTTGATAACTTCATTCATCTGAACGCCATCACTGAAGTTTTCTTTGTTAGACTCTGGGCTCGGAATTTCAACGGATTCATTGTTCTGGGAGTGGTATTTCTCACTTTCCACGATACCACCGTCTCTCTCCTCAGCGTTGCCCTGCTCCCCCCTCATTCTTAGTTCGTAGTCCACACTATCTTCTCTTTCGTCACACATCTCGGTTATCTCATTCTTTCTATGAAAGTCCTCCCGGTATTTGACGATTTTTTCAGCAGCTTCCTGTAATTTTCATCAGTTTGAACCTTTCATGATTGAAGATCATGGACATGTGTCTACTTACCTCCATGAAGTTTCGAAGGAACTCTTCCATCCAAGGAAGCTCCGCTCGTCCATTGGATGCAGCGTGAATTACCTCAGCCTCTCGTATTGTGAAGTATTGGCCGAAATCTATCCATCCTCTCTCTGAATATTTCTCCAGGATGGCGTCCAACTCTTCCTGGGTGTAATCGATATTATTTCGGGGAGTCGCTCCGCTCGTCGCCGGGGATGGTCCAATCCCTTTGGGCATCGTAGTTGATATAGACATGATGGTGTTGGTCTCGACTATGGCTGGCTGGAGGCGATCGCTTGGATGGAGGTCCATGAGTTGCATCCAGCGCATAAAATAAGTCGCTGGATCAAGTCAAATATTGCTACGAATCTCAACAAAATATGCAGAAGAACAGCGCCTGTATGGTTCGCGACGGAACAAATAGGTTGTTGGATTGTTGGGCTCATGAGTTTCGGACATGGTGTTGTTTTGAGAAGGAGAGGAGGCGAGTGGCTCTGCAAGGGCTATTTAAGTTGTGATGCTGAAATTCCATCACGCGCCTTTTTAAAAGCACGGTATGGTTGACGGAAGACAGGGGAAGGTCTAAGCCTGTTACTTTGGTTATCACACTTCATTTTTACATACCGTGAGAAGCCAAACCAGACTCGTGTGGAGGAGCAGTGGTCTGAGCCTGTTTTATAGGCAGTCCGGAAGTGGTGCGGAACTCACTGCTTCCATAACACACGAGCTCTTGTATCGTGATGGGATCTGGAAAAAATTAGATACTTCGCAGGGTATGTGATACTTCATGTTCGACGGATTGGAAAAACAAGTAGTAATGGTTTCATTTGCTGACTTTCCTTAGTTACAGTAAATTCCAGGAAAAGTATAGTTTACAACAAGTCCCGTGCTAGAAACTGCCCCTGGATCTTAATTAATCATTCGGAATGCTTTTCTAGCCCGAGTTTCATTGAAGAACAACGGTAGAATCCCGCTCTGTACCGAAATAATAACTTCCTTTGTTAATTCCAGTTAAATCCAAAGTTACCATTCCCAACCAGAGGTATATATTTGGTCTAGGGGATCAACGCAGCGGGGAGTGGGAACTGCTTAATGGTGTGTTCTTCAATGAACCCTAAATAAGAGACTGGAACTAATAAATAAGAAGTTCTAGGGATTAATGGTTCTTGTTGAAATGAGGTGGTTGGAAGCCTTAATTCTCGATTGTCAAAGGATGGGAAGCCCTTTAATATAAGTACAAAATCCGGTAGTCTCTATTAGTCTCCCAGCCCCCTAGCTGCCTTATGCACTATAATCTTGGCACCTTTTATCAGTTCTTTGGCAGGAACACGCAATAATGAAAATAGTAGGGTAATGGATATGAATTAATAGTTGGGACACTAGTGAAAGAGTGAAATTCTGTAAAAGAAAGTATCATAGCCTCCCTGGCAATCAAGAATCCACAATTCAGCTCAGCTGAGCGTTAAGGGACAGGCCTCCTTTCCTTAACCGTATTATTTCATGTCCACCCCACCAGGGCTAAATCATTAGATGAAAGCTCGATTACAAGATTCTCGAGACCGAGGTAACTAATTCCGCTCCCCAATAACCAACCACAAATGACGAGTCCAACGCTAATGCTCTACCCAAAACCCATATATGAAAGACACAGCCAAAATCATGTCTTGATGACATCCCCACCTGAGAGTCCCCTCAGTAGAAACTCAAGTTCTTCGTACTCTCTTCGAGGCTGGGCCATCAGCTTGCTCATTTTCGGCATCTTCAACTGCGTTATTGTCTTCCTCGGCCTGCCTTCTCTTTCGGCCATAAATTTGATTCGTCCTCAAGGAGTTTTCCGCATGTCGATGTTGAGGATATTCCATGGAAGGACTACCGCCACGGGGGCTGTTTCCCCAACCTTGGTGGTTCAGTCTAAGACCAATTCCCGTACCGAAATTCTCCGTCGGCGATATTCCATTAAATTGTTGATGGAAATGGAAACTGAATGGGTCAATGGGAGGATGCGCACTACACATTAAGCCATTTCCGTGCCACTGTCCTTCAGTCGTGTAGCGATATGCCGACATTTGATGTTCGTGTTGAGTCATGTACGTCGGGTATCCTGGTAGAGATGCGGTTGGGGGATACATGCCATGCATCAAGCCAGGATTTGGCATTCCGAAAGTGCTTGCATTTGTAGGTATTTGCGCCACACCGTGGCTCACCGGAAAACCATATGGCATGAACAAAGAATTCTGACTCTGTGACATAGAATTGCCGTTATTGCAAGCAGGATTTTGGATGTGAGATTGATTCATTGAATATCCTCCACTTGCATGTTCTTGGAAGCTCCCAAAAGTCTGGTTAGGATCGGTCTGGCTCAGAGAGGGATCCAATGGGTACTCTCCTTGGCTTGTTGCATAATACATACCCTGCGCGTGATCTGGATAATGGTTGATTGCATCCTGAAGCACGCTTCCATAGCCACCATGCTGGCTGTGTCGTGGTGGAACGGGGCCAGTGCGCTGGCCGAGGATTTGCGCGTCTGCGAGATCTTGCATGCGAGCGCTAGGAAGGTTTTGCAGATGAGCAGTGGAACTTGCACTTCCCTGGCGCTTGGCGCCATGATTGCACATCGCACTGGGAGCGAGGGAGACTTTGTACTGTGCAGTCCCATTTGATCTCCTCTCTGCTTGCTCAGCTTCAGCTTTACGAACCGCAAACGCATTGGCAGCTTCTCGTTCTGGCGGGGAAAGGCTATTAAAGACTCTGCTCTGTTCCTTGAACCCTTGTCCTGATGAATCTGGCAATGGGATGTCAGGACGATTAAGTCTCAACCATTCATTAAGAAAGGCGTTTCTGACTACCTTCTTTGGATTTCGAGTACCTCGGAGATAAGGACCATGTGGTGTGGAGCGCCAAAGTTGCTCTTGTCGTGTTGCTGGGACAGTCTGGAGGGATCCGGTTGCGGCAACATTTGGGACAGGACAAAGAGATGTTTGAGGAGGATTTCGAGACGGACAGAGCGAGTACTTTGTTTGACGTTTGCTAGGTCGAACAGATTGAACAAAAGTGGGTATATTCGTGGCGTGCGATCCTTTTGTGTGAAGGTGTTGAGCGTGAGGCTGCTGGAGATAAAATCTCTCGGGATAGTGTTGTTGCACAGAGCAACCCTGGTTGTAAGATTGAGGATTATGGGTTTGCTGCATATAAGCGTGCTGGAGAGGAGCATTGATGAGCGGTTGAAATATTGAAAGAGAGCTTGGATTATGATGGCCAAAGTCAAACTCTTGGTTAGAGCCTACTTTAACCTCAAAAGTTTGATCCGGGTGGGATCTCTCCTTGCCACTGCTAGGACCAACAACAGACTCCTCAGAATATCTTTCAAGGGGTCGTTCCGCGGGTTTCCCAATTTGATAGTTATCGATCGCTGAGGAATGCAACTGGCTTTGAGGCATAGTTGCTCCGGACTGGTGAACATCCGCCCAATATTCGACATCAACGTTATTAAGGAAGGCGCTAGAACCAGCGGACTGACCAGGGCCAACAGGAAAGTCGTCAAAGAACCTCTCGTTAACATCGCAATGGTTCATTCGATTGTTGCTTTCGATTTTCTTCTCAGCTGAGTTTTCGCTGCCGGAACGAGAACCTTCAAGTCGTTCGACAACGGGATCTTTCTCGCTGACGAATTCATTCGCCGAACCTCCATCACGGTAGATCTGATCGCCGAAACTCTGTGTGCCTTGAGATTCTTTCTCTTGCTCCTCCTTGCCCTCGAGTACCCGTATCATCTCATCTAGCACAGGTTGGTGAAATTCTTGCTCATTTCTCTCGCCAGCTCTATCAGGATAAGCTTCTTCAACAAGCGGAGCTCCTTGCTCGGTCTGCATGAGGTCCCCGCTTTCGTCTCTGGCTTCATCAATCCGATCAAAGTTTTGAATTTCAGACTCATTGGACGGCTCACCAAAGAGTTCCTCTAATAGCTTTGGAGTTGACTGAACATCACCGGAGTTACCGTTGTCTTCCTACAGATCATTAGCTTCATTCAGACGTGAGATTTTGCGAATACACTTACGCTATTAGAGATCCGCCAACCAAAGACTTTCGCGATAGTTCCAGGACAATTGAAGTCACTGTAAAGAGTTGTCGGTTCAGCACTGGCGTTCGAGTCTTGCGCAACTGAGCCCATCACCTGTCGCTCGCCGTTTCTGCTCAAGTTCTCCATCACGTAGATAACGCTGTCGGATCTCGGTAGAGTGCCGAGAAGTATCCTCGAGTTGGTCAAAGAAGGACTTCGGTCGTTGTGTCTCAAGTAGTACCGATCGTGCCTGTGATGGAAAACAAATCGAGGTTTGATGAGATGGCGTGTTTCCCGTCGAATTTAGCTGTCTCTGCTTACTCTAAGATTGAAGAAGATTTGCAGAGGTTATTGGAAGGGTTGAGGGGAAACTGTGTGGCTATGAGCTCTCGTGGTCGGCTTGACATGGTGGGGCTCGCTTAAATTCTGCCCAGAATTTAAAGAAACAATACATCGTGGTGAATTACTTAACTTGCACGGACTCTCAGAGAAAAGAAAGTCCTTGAAAATTTAAACATGCGTATTACTCTATTCAAAGCTTAAGCAGTATAGAACCAAGGCAGAGCCTGTCGTTTCTTGCTACTATAATAAGAGACAATAGGGGAGGAGGTTGGCCAGTGCGCCATTAAGCGAGAGAAAAAAGGGGCGAAGCGAGTAAGAGAGTCGTACCTGACTAACCTATGAACACTTTCAGTGAACTTAATATACCCAGACCATAGGATGGCGGTACTTTCACTAAAGGTATGTGCCCTTCTATGTATTTTTTCTGCGTTTAATGCAGCCCATCACACAATTGAATGCAAGTAATTCTGAATGAAAAAATCTCATTTCGGTTTGGAGCAGCTACGCAAATGAGACAGAAAGAGGATTACCGCTGATGGGCGGGGAGGATAAAGAGTCAAAAAATGCTTAAAACATCGAGGGTCGGGAAGCGGTAAGCCAAGCATACACTTTTCGGAAAATCCCGATCTCCTTCCCGTCAAGAGTTCCAGAGCAAGGTTGTTTATCTTGGCACGAAATAGCCCTATATAGTTCAATTCTGCTACTCCATACAACGCACACACTCTCACTTCCAATCGTACAGTTCAAAGATACTGCATGTCTTTCAATTACCATTCTCTCGAGTTCATCACTGGTGGAAACGTGGCCAAGCTCACCCATCAAACCCCTTTGCCGCTCAGAATCTCAAGAGCAACTATTTGTCGAGTCAATTGAGCTTCGAGAAAACACCTGGTCTCTAGAATATAATTTGCGGAGAAGCCATGACAGTGAAGGAAGTGTGGGATAGCAAGAATGAAGGGGGAAGGGAACCTGAATCGATGAAAGGTTTGCAACTGATCCTGGTCGCTTCTCTAACCCTCAATGCCGGAATTTATCTCTCCAGAACCACTTAATTACAAGGCAAAATAAACCCCTGACTGGCAATTTGCCCTGGGAGAGGCATGACTGTGTGATTACCTAGCAAGGTAAACGTCACATTCGAGAAACGTGTGTACTTTTGAAGTGCTGGATTAGAGTTAAGCAGGAAAGCCAATTCTCACTGGCTGAATCCCCCTAGATGTTTCAGAATGATTAAGCATTTGTTAATTACTTGCTGCTCAGCATAATCAGGCTTAATCGGTTAAGCAACTAACTTCAAACACTAATGGACGAGTAACAAGATATTCGATACTGCTATAGAATTCTCAATAAGAAGAGAAAGCCGACCAAGCAGCATGCAGCACTTTGAATACACCCACGGAAGAAGAAAAAGACTACGGGATTGTAGATCTACAAATGTCTGTAGATAGGCTTGATGGAGAGAACACAAGGCGGTTGCTCTCCATGTAGCAAAATTGGCATGGGAATTTTTAACGAAGAGCATTTAACTCAGGCAGTGGCACGTGGACGGAAAATAGGGGAAGAGAAAAAGGTTCAAGTGTACGTTGGACCAGTCTATACGTACAGCTCAAAGAAGGTTCCTTGATTCATCCAGACACGAGACAAGAAGGATCCAAAATCTTGATTTTGACGCTATGAACTTGTAAGACTGAGACAATTAAGCTCTGTTATTGAAGGATGAAGACACACGTCAGACGAGATCCTGTATTCAGTTGGCGATAAGGAACCTATTTCTTCAAGTAGTCTATTAGGAGATGAAAGCAATTTAAGATGGAGAGGACAACTTCTGGGAGTAGAACTGAGGTACTACTAGTCAGATTTCAACAGCCGATTTCTTTGCAAAAGGTTTGGAATTTTGAAAGAGAAAGAATTAACCGGTTGCTCTAATACTTAATTGGAGACCCACTCGTGTTAAATTTATGGGAGCAAAGAAGACATCACCGGGAGTGGAGGCTGTACTTGAGCACATTATGAATCCCAATGACTCAGAAGAATAGAAGGAGAATGGACAAGATCCTCGTTTTCTGGGTAAGACTTATGGTCTATGGAGGAAGAGAACCTGCTACATCTAAATACCCGAAAGAACCCGATTGACAATCCAGCTCAATATCCAAACGCACACGCATCATGCTCTATCTGCAGCACCAAACACATGGTGACCAAGTCAGCCGCCATACAAACCGTAAATACTAGCCCGCTGCTTCCATAACGCAAACCTCAACACAAACCGCAAAGCAAATAATCAAATACTCCCGACACATGTTCCAGTGGTGTCGGCGAATAAGTAAAGGAAATGCTATCCAATAACCTGAAAATGTGTCTCTGAACTCCGAGCCTGACCTATTCCGTACTCCAAAGTGTATGTGATTGCGAAAACGCACCTCGAAGCAGTTCTAAAACTGGACTTTGGGAAGTTTGTCCTCAAAATCAAACCTGTGATTGGCTTCCTCATCATTGGGGGCCGACGGGTAATCGTGAAGGAAGCTTTCAAAATCAAAACCGCTAAGGTCCTCGAATCCGTTGGGTGATGGCGCTTCGTTGGCAACCTGGGTGCCCCAGCCCTCCTCTAAAGCTGCTTCTCCAGTAATTTGGGAAAGCGAGGTCGGCACCTCCGAGAAATCTGTATGTTCCATGCTAGCTCGGGGGGAGACCATGCCCGAAGTCTCCTGAGCCATGGGATGATACTCACCCTCCCAGTTGATGTAAGGAGGTGTGCTCACAGAGCCGTATGAATTACTTCGCTCGCCATGGGTAGGTTGGAAAGCTCCAACATGCTTGAAGTGGGTAGATTCGACGGCAGTGGAGGCATGTAATACTGTCCCCTGATATCCAGGGCACCGTGTTGAGAATGATACATTGCAACTGAATCGCTTTGCTTGCCATGGTTGATTGGGACATGTGTAAAGTCGTTGATGGTAGAGGGTCCAGCAGTTGAGAATTGGCGATGCTTATTTCCTGAATGTGTCTCGGTGACTGCCTGCTTCTTCTGAGAGGCTCTCTGGGTCTTCGATTGAATCGTCTGCCTTCTCGGAAGTGCAGACTGTTCCTGAACGTCAGCCATCTCCGCACTGCCAGTGCGGTTCTTATTGATGGCTGACCCTATCGTCTTGGTATTGCCTCTCTCTTCGGAGTCGGTGCGAGCCTTGCGTTTTCGAAGGTTTGAAGATTGTGTCCCAGAGTTGCAAGAGCTTTCAAGGTGACGAGTGCTCACATTGATTGCTGAGGGACTATTGAAGTCAGTTCCGGAAGAAGTGGTAGAACCCGAGCTAGGCAATGGTGTGTCTAATGAACAGGTGAGTCGAATTATACGGCGGCCTTTGCTGGCAAGATGCTCATTGACCAGTTCGAGGAGTGATGGGTGGCCTTCTCTCGCCATATGTTCATCGACGGCTTTCAGACTGCCGAAAGCAAGTTTTGCTTTTCCATTACACATAGGCTGTTGTGTCTTTGCCTTTTGAGTAATCTGTGGTGTTTCTCTTGGAAGTTGATTGGTTCTGATTTTCTTGATGGGGCGAGTATCCTGAGTAGCAGCAGGAACTTCGGTGGATTCCATTTTCCCATGATCGCGAGATCTCTTCTTCGATGCAGTCATCTGTTGCTTGCCAGATTTATCGGCCGAGCCGGACTTGGGTTCCTCCTCATCAATGCTCTCATCTTCATACCGACTCGCGTATCCCTCCTCCTCACTCGAAGTGTAGGCGACATTTGGTGGATTAGGCAGCTCCTTATACTCACGCCAAAACTTTTCTGCCTTGACAAAGTCCATCAGGAGCTTTCTGTCAGAAGCAGAAAGAGATTTAATGGTGTCAGTCCGCTGTGTAAATGGGGTTCTGCCAACCGGCGCTGGAAGAGCCGGTCGTCCATGATATTTGAGGAAAGCCTCGTAATGGTTCTGCTCCGTATTGACATCCCAGTTACCATCTTCCTTTTTCCTTCCACTTGTGCCACACCCAGCAAAGTCTTGACTGTTGTATGGGCGGTAAGGCCGTGAAAGGATCATAAGAGGTTTCTGGGTTTGAGCCACAGCCTTCTTTGAAGATTGTTGAACTCGTTGTTGCTGCTGAGGAGCGGCAGCTGCCGGTGTCATTGACGCGTATGACTGAGTACTTTGTATGTTAAGACGGGGATCTGCTGGGTGTAGATTCCTCAATTCAATATAGGGTCTCATACTTTGAGACTGAGCTGGATGGAAATGACTAGTTGTATATGGAAGAGTATCCGGTTGAGCCGGTCCCGCCCCTTGAGGCAGGGCTTCATAGATCTGATTGGGGAGGTATGGGACAGCATCAAGCCCCATTTGTTGAGGCTGAACTTGATGAAATTGGCCAGCTGGGTCGAAGAAGCCCCCAGTTGCATTTGGCTGGGGGTGAAAGACGTCGTATTTTCCGTTACGATGTACCGTGAACGGGGCCTTCACTGCCTCATCCACGTGGAGCATGCCGTATTGTTTTGTGGGCTCTCGAGTTAGATATGGCTGCTCTCCCATCTGGCGAAGTGCCGGATCGGTCGCGTTGTTCGCAACCGTTCCAGGGGTGCTATTCCCACGGCCATTCTGATTTACTTCGCAATTTGTGCTAGCATTTTCGTTGTAGAAACCGAGGTTGCTGTCAAAAAAAGCCCCCAGCTGACCCACTGTAGCAGCGCGGTTCCCAAAAAGTTGAGAAGGTAAACTTGTTATCTGGCTACTTGTCTGAAGAGTTCTACCTTCAACATCAAAGGAATCAAATTCGTTCTCACAGTTGACAAATAGATCATCGCTAGCGGGAGGTGGCGTAATCCCTACGCTCATTCTGCGACGCTGATCGAATGGTTCACATTGGCCTTTTTGCCAGGAAGTAGCTAGTTGTTCTTCTTGTTGCTTCTGAAGACTCGCGGCCATATTGGAAGTGTGACACTGTTGCTGCATTAGTTGATGTTTTATTTGACCCAGTGGTTGGTGACTTACAGAGTTGTCGGTTTGAGGATGTAGACTAGCAGCGCGCTGCGGTTGGAAGTTCTGCTGAATGTTGCCGTGTAGTTTCTTTTGCTCCATTTCGGGGGAGAATACATGAGGTCTTTGGTTTTGAAGAAAGATCATATGAGCCCAGGATGGGCGACTGTTCTGAGAAGGTAACTGGGCTGTTTATCGTTAGCGCCTGATGCGGTGGTACAGTAGCAGAACAGAAGGAGAACAACCTACTCAGAGTGAGTAACTTTGTTTCGAAGAGAGATTATGCAGCAAGATCTGCGGTTGAGGTCGTGAGAATTAGCCGTCCGTCTCGTATTGGTGGTCGTTGTTGTCGAGACGGGTACAAGAGCTATGGCAAAGTATGCCTTAACCTCAGCACTTGAAATCGGGGGTTTGAAAGCTTAACGAGTCGAGCTGCCTTGGCTAACAGTGTATCAACGTATTGTGCCTCCGTCAAGGGCGCTGCGTTGCGCGTCGTCGCGATGAAAGGCTGGCGGGGGCTCAGCCTCGCAAGAGGCTCGGCCACTTCACTTTTCGATTTTCGCGCCAGTAAAGGTGGAGAAAACTCTTTATGACAGGAGGTTAACTAAGAAGGTAAGGAGAAGTAAGTGCAAGTTAAGAACTTGCTCGGATCGAAATTGTGATGCGGGAGTTGGTTTGGGAGAAAGGATGGTTGAGGAAGCGAGACTCGGGAACAGCTCTGGGCTTTTGTATTCAATTACCAAGACAACGCACGTTAAAAATTTGCAACCACGATTTAGCAAAACTTACCTATTGATATATAAATTTGCTTTCTTCGATCTCTTGGGCTTGGAGGAATCGTAGGGAAAGGCATAGTGGCCTTGCGAGAGGTATAGGACCCCAAGAGACTACGCAAAGAGCAAGCCACAAGTCTCAAGGGAAGGAATATATCACATCTCAGACACGATGTGGCCTAAATTGGTCTATGGTATAGATTAACGCCATGGGGGAGTCCGCAAAGCTCCTGAAGCTCCTAAAGTCGATGTGTATCCAAAGAGAGAAACGCGAGATCCATAAAGCTGGAGACAGCGGCGATTATGCTAATTACAAAAGCCATCAAAAGCTACCAGAATCTTAAATCCTTCTCCAAAATACCAAGAACTCCAAACCTCTATTACCCATTGCCAAAGTTGCTTGAAGCTCGCCAAGAGCCTTCAAAAGGTCAACTCGGAAGAAACCTCACTAGTTCTAAGTAGCCACGTCTTGGGAACCCCCTTCATCTCAGAAAAGGAGATCTGCGATGTTTCGTACGCCTCGTTTCTATTTGCTCCTGCTATTATTCTCATTTCTTTCCGCTTTGTTTCGGGCTCCAGAACTTTCTGTGCTCAAGTAGAAGGCTGTCGTAATGTTCAAGGCCGGCGTGGACTCTGTTCTGGGGCGGTTCGTACATATTTTGAGAAGCGCCGTGATAGCCCTTGTCCTTAAAACCTGAATGGAAGGCGCTATTTCCATTTGGTGCACCATCCTGTGGCTCTTGAACATCAGGGAATCCATAGCCATTCTCTTCCGTAGCGATCCGAGGTTTGTTATGGTTCCCAGCATACCCAGAGCTCTCCCATTTAGCTTCTTCCAAATCTCCATGTGTCATTGAGATATTGTGATAGCTTCGAGATGAGTTTTGCTGCTGACCCCGAGTTGCAGTTCCGGAGTTCTCGATGCGCATTCTCTTTGCAGAATAAACGGTATTAAACTGTTACATCTGAAAATCATCCTCCTCAACTCCATCGTGAGCCCTCTTCTTTGAAGTGGCAACTGCAGCCACACTGTTCCCCACCGTGACATTTCCTTGTGTACCGTTCCGCCCTTGTCCAGAAGTATTCCTCACGCTATCTTGGCTCTCGATAAATTCGACTAGCCTCTTATCATCTGCATCAGAAAGAGCTCTAATAGCGTTGCTCCGTTGCTTAAATCGAGAGACAAGCTCTTTACCATCCGCTCCTCTTGGAGGCTTTGGGATGGGAGCTCGATTCATTCTGCTGAGAAATTGGTCAAAATATTTTACCTTGACCTTCATAAAATCCTTTCCGTCGTTTTTTTTCTCCACCGCTGTGGTCAAAGTCTGAGGAGTCGAAGGGAGCGGGGTGGTGGAGGGTTGGGAAGGTGTAATGAAGTTGACGTTTGATGGCTTGACGGTAAGAGAAGCTACAGGAGTATTGGTGGAATGGTGCTTAGAGGTGGGTCTAGTCGTCTGATTCAATGGGTGAGTCGTGAGATCAAGAACTCCAGCCGTAGCAGCCGGTGCGGGAGTCTTGAGATCCGCAGGGGCCTTAAAGCTTCCCGTCTCTACAAACTCTTTGTGTTCCGTATTTCCCTTTAATCCGGAACCGCCTTTGTTGCCATAATATTTGTTGTCAACTTCCGCTTTATTGTCAATAACAGTCAACTGTTCTTCCGTTGCATTGTTCTCCTCGAAAGGAGCAGCATCAAGTTGACGGTAGCCGTATGCGTAGAAAGGGTCACCATACTGTTTCCAGTACAAACTTCCCGGCTCGTTTATTCTTGACAGATATTCGTAATTTGCCAAGTATTCGGGGTCCGTCAAGGGGTCGAAAGCCTCAAGTACCATTTCCCCGGCAGCCATTTTTGCTCTGGCTTCTGGAGTATCGAGCATTTGCTCCTTCCAACCTTTAGCGTCTGCCCTTTCACGTGGTAGTTGACAAAGAGTTACTTACAAATTCAAGAATATCCAATCGCTGAAAGGGTTGTTGGAAAGCTCTCTCGACGTGTGTATGTCTCTCCAACTGCTCTTTCCTCAAGAACGAAGCCATTTTATTGAGGGAAATTTATGAGGTTATTCTAATACATCGATTATCGAGAGATTAGAGTAGGCGTTTGGCAGGAAGAGATCGTCCTGTTAGAGTAAGTTATTAGCAAAAGCCACTGATATGTTGGTGAATCTGCATAAAACTTCCAGACAGCCGCCCGAGAGAAAGAAAAGGGAATTGGGAACTAAAAGGAATTTTCAAGGTCGAATCATAGGGTGAGAATCTAGAAAGAGAAATTTGAGAGGACAATATGGTCGAATGGCATGGAAAACAGTATCTTTCTGGTCGAGAACGGGTGGAAGGGGCTGGGGTAGGGCTAGGGAGTAAGATAGCCATAAGGTAGGAAAGAAGGATTTTGCGGCGTTGTAGCTATGGATACTGAACTTATAGATCAAAAATAGAAGGCACCAAACGTCCAGTCCTGGTGGAAGTAAATGTTACAATTATAGCCCCTGGCTTGCGACTGAAGTGGAGCTTTTGGTGCTATCGCCAAGTCAGCTAGAAGCTTAGCGTCTCAATGAGGCTTCAAAGCACGAGGAAATTAACTTACAATTGGAAAGGGAGCCTCCAGTTTCTCTTTAGGGTGTTTACCCAGGCTGAAGGAGCTTCAAAGAGTGGTGGAGTTGATGGAGTTGAGAAGGAGGACGTTGATATTCGCAAGATCGCTGAATGCCAGGCTCAGGGAGCTGGCCAATCACTTCAACGAATTTTGCCCTTGAAGATGGATAATTAATTAGTGCTTTGCAAATATCGCAGATGACAGTCTCGAGAAGCTATGCCAATCAATTGGTCTTGTGGTTAGTAACGTCGCACTGTGTAGAAGAGGTTGGATAGGAAAACATGTGTTGGGGGGGGGGGGGGAGAATTTCCAAAGTGGAATCGGCTTCGGCTCAAAATTGTCTAGTTTTATAAATACCGACGTCAGCGAGTCGACTTTGGTTACCGAGAGATCTGGGAAACTTGAACCTATCGGCGAGATGGTTTGACGTCACTGGGACTGGACCTCAGACAGTGGGCTATGACAGCCGGGACATTTATGAAAGAGAAGACATGTTTGTCTCTGTGGTAGGAAAACCACCTGTCATTGGCCATTTTCCTCTCTATCCTCTAATCAAACAACTTCGTACCATGCCTGCTCAAAATCTTACACACGGGAAGTGCCACCACTCGTCTTCGTTTGTGCTCGCAATCTACATACAACCCATGTTTATGCTTGCCTCTTCCTCTTGATTTGTCAATCTTGTTGCCCTGAACGCACCCTTCAACTCGACTTGTTCTCTTCTTTCCCCACCAAACTCGAGGATAATTGTTTGGTACGTGCATCTCATTCCCCTCATTCAGATAGATGGAAAGAGCTGCAGGCTGAGCAGGCCGATTACTTGTCTTTGATTCTGCTCCGCTATGTTTCTCTTCCTTTAGCTGACGCTTTTCCCCTCTGGATCCCCCTACTATATATATCCTTTCTCTTACTACGAAATCACAATAAGCGACATCTCGAAAAACTGCCGAAACCACGAATAGAACCCACAGGAGGGCATTCGGGTGCATACAAGTGCGGAAATAAAGCGTATAAAGAGTGGATAATGGGAAGAGAGGAAACGAACTGCGACTACAAAGTACAAAATGACTTGTAGCTGATAATGGCTAGTTAAGAGGTGGTTCTTAGGCCGCGAGGGAGGATGTATGGTTCTATTAGATGGACGATCATTAGGAAAGAAGAACAAAAAGTCAAGGGCGTGGCAGACAGCTGGATTTCACATGCCCACGGATATCTCTGCAAATACCTAACGTAGTGAGTTTCAGCCTTTTGTCTAATGAGCTTGGCTGGGACTGGACAGCTAGAGATCATATATGGTTGGCCTCTACTCTAGACCGTTACCGCAGCTGCAGATACCCAAGAGCAGCAAAGTAGCCAGCAAACGCTCAACTCCTGTGGTCTATTTACCCCCGTTAGCTCGCCTCTACCTTCTGTAGTCAAGTGAACCTGCCGACCAACTCCTCTCTCGCAAGCCAAGGGCTTGCAGGTGTTACTGATCCAATGGCGGTTCTTATCCAGCGTCAGCGCTACAAAATCTCTACTTTCAGTATCGAATCACACTTTGCAGCTCCTCCGCCTATCTTGAAGACTCAAATCTGGTCAGGATCTACTAGTAATCGTCCAAATCACGGCACTCTATTCGCTATCCCGCCATCGTCCACTGCATCCTCTTCTCAGCCTATCACGCCTCGATATTGGGTACAGGCTGGGTTTGCTGCGTTTCGGGAGGCGAGGGTTGATTAGCGCAGGGATAATGCCGTACGGGATACATACAAGGATACAAAGACGAGGTCCTCATGGGCAGTCGAACGGGAGGATGGTTTGAGCCCAGTGGGGGGCTCCCACTCCTGAGGATAGAAAACTGTATCAGAAATTCTCCGTAATACTGGAAGGATACTCATTTTGCTAGCTAGCAGACCAAACACATTTGAATGGCAGTGCTTCAAGGCCCTGCTGCAGCTAAGGTCGAATGGACGAGAATACTTCATACTTGTGCTGCTTACTCCTACTACAGGACCATCTTTTCAGAGCTACGAGTTCGTTTTGTCAACACAAGATATGTCGATGAGAATTTATAACCACTAAGCAAGGCAACGATGAGTAGCTCCAAAATGCAAGGAAGAGAAGGGAAGAGTAATCAGAGGCCGTTTTTGGAATTTACCGTATGTATCCACATGTATGGGCAAGCAACTTGTATTTTTTAGAAGTACAATCCCCCCCGAAATCCTATCATTTCTCATCGCTTGCTACTTCTTCGCCTTCATATCACATTAGTTGAACTTCACCCATTACAGCTCCTGATGGCAGCGGAAACAGATTAAGCACCACCAATAACCTCCTTGTTATAACGACCAAGGACTACGTCCTCGGAAGTCCCGTTAGTACCTTGGAGATCACCTTCAAGCAGAACGGTGTCGTGGAGCTTCGTAAGGATGACACGGTGGCACAGACGAGGGTTACCATGAGCAAGACCGAGACAATCTCGGCCTTGAAGGCCATCTTGTGAAAGTCGCGGGACCACATGGCAAGTCTATCTACGTTGGAAACTAGCATGTGGACTAGAAGCGTAGATCGCAGGCAGATTTCAAGGGCTTGAGTATCGTGTGCGGTGCTCGTACGGGATGTACAGTACTTTCCTTTCTTGGAGAGGAACCAGAGAAGCGCTGGAAACTTGGAAATACACGAGAGATAATCGCCGAATAGAGTGAAGCCAGAGGAAACTCTGGTGGAGGCTCGCAGCGGTTCTGACAAGCAAATTGTTTGTCCCGCCAGGTTCCTGCTCGAGTGTCCAAGAAGTTCGCGCCAGAAGGCCGCTCCAGCCTTTCTGTCGACCAGAATCCAGCGATTCTTTGGGAGGAGACAGGAGATTTTGTAATTGATTCTTCCTTCGCACATGAATTGGATTTCGAGTGCCTTGGAGACAAGGGCCGTTTGGTTTTCCGATTGAATGGCTCAGTGAGGCTTTCGGACTGGTCCAGGGACAGTGGCATCTTGGCGTTTCCGAGCTCTGTGTGCGGACTATTTAGCTTCTTGCCATTACCATGTGCTTGATTTGCATGCACCTACCCTTGGCTCCAATCATGTAGTCGTTGTAAAACCGTGAACGAAAAGTTTTGTCTGGATTTTTGGGTTTGAGCCGGGCGTGAAGTGGGTTTGGTCGCGCTGGGGTTTGCCAGAAGGAAAGAAGTGGATGTGAAGCCTAATCGATGTATGAGCTCCCCGTCTTCGTGGGGTACTAGACAGCTTACAAATATTGGTGTTTAGGAGTTGCCTGAAAGTGTGACCGCGGAGGTTGGGGGAAGATTATTTGGGTGTTGAGAGAAGCACGTCCAGCTCGAGGAAGCTCAGCTACAGGCATCTCTCTTGTGAAGTAGCTCGCTGCAGAATCCTTTTGGGGAAGGCGCGACCGTGAAGAGGAAATTCGTGTGTAGGAGCTTGGCTGCAGGGAGATCGAAATAGAAGACTGGTATTTAGGAATCAGGATTGATGAATTCATCTTGCTGAAAATCCCTGCAAGAGATGTATCGTACTTTTCTGTGAAACTGAAGGCCAATTAGCCTTCGGAATGTCCACTCCGCTACGGATTAATGCGATTTGCTCTCCCACCGAAGAGCAGCAATTGAGACCATAAAAGTTTTATTGTTTTCTAGGTACATCTCAGTGCTTCAGAATCACCATCCAACTAACTCAAATCTGTTCCGCAATCACCAGATAACTTAAGACCAGTCTGCGAAACTCACTGAACCTCTGTTCATTTTGTTGTGCAAAACGCACCATTATGTCAAGGAAAAGAAAAGTTGCTCCACCGTGGCCAGATCAATCAAGATCAGTCAGCAGATTGTGTCAGAAACCTTCGAGGTAATCTTCCGGTACGACCAGATCAATTAAGGCCAGTGTACACGAACCTCAGGAAGGCTCCTTATATGCTCTCAACATGACCAGATCAATTAAGACCAGTCGATGGAAATCTCGAAAACCACCAGTGTGTGTCTTCATAATCACCGGAACACTTAAGACCTGACTGCAAAGACAACGAACCCTCCCAGTATATTCACCATCCCCAACACATGTACCTCAAAGGAGGGTGATATTGCTAGACTTTTCGACCCCGACATGCTCCTTCTTTACTCCCTTGCGCTTTTTTGAAGGTGTCTCGTCGTCACCATTACAAACATCATCTGCATTCTTCTCCGCGGTTGTCTTGCGCTTCTTAGCCGGAGTGGGGGTAGTGGTGGCAGCGATCTTCTTGGCAGAAGGCTTGCGGATGCGGTTGGAAGGCGTGGTGGGTGTCTTGAATGGAGCATCTATCATCTCGTAGTCGTTTTGCTCCTCGAAGGTCAAGCCTGCAAAGTTGAGCTTCTTGCTGGGTTTGTCGTTGGTAACCATCTTGCCAGGAGTCGTAGTAGCAGATATGCCGGAAGTCTTGGTCTTCTTCTCAGAAGCCGCATTCTTCTTGGGAGTCTTGCGTGCCGGCGTTTTTGCCTCCTTGACTGGAGCACCCATCATCTCTTCATCATCGTTGCCTTGATAAACAGCAAAACCGGGAAGGATGAACTCCCTGTTGGGAACTTGCTCAACTGTAACCATTTCGTCAGGCTCCTCAGCAGTCTCTCTGAAAGGCTCGGACTTCTTGGGAGCCTTTTTTGCGAGATACTTGCGCTTTGGAGCAGGTAGTGCTTCCTTAGTTGGAGCATCCATCATCTCCTCATCGTCAACTTCCTTCTCAATAGCCAAGGCAGCAAAGCTAGCTTCCTTGACGGAAATGTTCTCAGAGTTCTTTGTAACCATCTCTTCAGGGTCTTCGACAATCTCCTTGAAGGGTTGAGACTTCTTGGGAGCTTTCTGTACGAGATATTTGCGCTTGGGAGCTTGCAGTTCGTTCGCGAAGGTATTCGATTCTGCAGCTTTCTTGAGCATTAACTCGTATCGCTTCTCCAGGTGGAGATCTCCCTGGTCAAAGATATTGTTGAAAGCCTCATTGGCAAAATCCTCCTCAGTATCCGCCTCAAAAATCTCAGTAGCCTTCATGGGAGTCTGGCGCTCCTTAGATGGGGTTATATCAGCAACAGCCTTCTTGCCACTCTTCTTGCTGCCTTCCTTGGTCGGACCCATACCTCGAGAGTGAATATCTTGGGTTGACTTGGTAATTTGAGCCAGTGTTGGCTCAACCAAAGGTTCATCTTGCTTATTGCGGTAGCTTGCTCTGCAGGCGCAGTTTCTCTCCTTGTGCCAATAAGCATCGTGCATCATCTCGAACCAGGCCTTGATGGCATTATCCCTCTCTTTCTTCTGAGCAGCGGTCTGGTGAGCACTGACAAAAGCATTCCAGGCATCCAAGCCGGGACTGGTCAGTGTTTGACGCCAGATCTCGAGGTCCTTAAAGGAAGGGATAGGGAGATGCGGCGCATGCTGAAACCAAAACACCTTCAGAAGTTCCTTCTCGAATTCACAGAGGTTACGGCAAGGACGGCTAGTCTCGCCATTGTAAAACCGAAGTTCGCCATTCTCATCCTCTTCGCAAGTTGGGGGAGTCTTGTTCGCATCGTTGTCCTTCCACGTCTGAACGTCAATGCCGTAAGGAACGCAGCCCAATTTCTCCCACATCAAGACGTCATCAATAGTCGTGGTTTGGGTAAATTCCGCCATATTGGATTAACTTAATTGCTCGATTGCTACTTGTAAATTCGATGGGCAGTTGTGTCTGTACCAAGGAGGAACGTTAGAAGGAGTACGTACGTGGGGAAAGTCCTAAGTGATTCACAACATACCTAAGGTGAAGCCTTGATTATCAAGTAGATTGGTCTTATCTTTGGATTGCACGATATGGTGCTCAGGCGTCGGAATCTGGTGGAACAATCGAGTGAACAGAACTGGATCACCTGCCACTGAATTTGTTGTGCCCCGGCCTCGAAGCTTACGAGTTTACTGACTGAGGGCTGAGAATGTGTAGAAAGAGATTTGTTCTGACAGATCGAAGATCGGATCTGAGGAAGCGGTTGGTCTTCAAAGAAATTTTCGTCGATAAGTGAACCGGTGGTAACGGAGTAAACGGAATTTTAACGAAAGGTGACGAACAGTCGGCTAGCGTCAAAGGACGAGGCTTAAATATTACATTGCAAGTGTAACTTAGCCTCGCCTTCGTACCTTAAAAGCTTCCTAAATGACGCCGGTATCGGCTGGCCAGCCTTGCAATGACAACTGCTCATCTGATACAGCTTTGTTCACCAGTCTCATTTAGACAAGGAAGCCTTGCTTCAGGACTCATAAAATTCCGCACTGCACATGCTCACTAACAGCCACGACACAGTGTCATCTCGCATATTAAGGGGTAACTCGCTTGTAAGGAGTCGCTACATCCTTGCAGATCTCGTCAACACTTTCAATCTTGGTCTTCACCGAGTGCTTTTGGCATGAACAGTTGCTTGCTCCTGTATTATAAAGCTTTTTGGGAGAGATCTGGATGAGAAGTGAGGACGGGAATATATAAAACCAAGTAAATTCACCTTGGGAATTGAGGTACTTCATTTGAAAAGAAATCATGTCCTGACTCATTATGCCGCGCCTCAACCCTTCCCTCTGATCAGATGTTATTTTGGCTTTCTCATTTTGCGATATCTGCGAAAGGGAGATCAACATGGGAATTCCCCCTTCCCAAATGCTAAAGACGCCGTTCCCCATTCTTATTGGTCCAAAACATACGGCAATTTGTCCATCCATAACTGTGACCCCCGGTCATCAATTGTGCTCGTCCTCCGACTCCAAGCCAGATCCATATGCAGATCCCATTCCATCCCTATATTCTTGCTTCTCCTCGAAATTTTCATTGCTCGCTCCCTCAACTTGATCTTTCCCTTCGTCCGAGGGTTCAGCTATGTCTATGAATTAGCGAGTGCTGATACAAAACGATCTTAAGTTGAAGTCCGAAGATTTGAGGGATTTCTTCACTTACAAATAGGCTGCTTCTGTCTCTTCTTAGCTGTAGTCTTTTTCGGATTGGTACTCTTGCTCACACGGGAGCCTTTGACTGGAGCATCAGTCTTCGGCTTGTTCTTGCTTCCGACTTTTCTGCCCACTTTACCGTGTTCGCTGCCTCTGTGGAGGCTCCTTGCCATCGCCACTGCCTTTTGCTTGATAGCCCACAGCTGGTTTACATGTTTCTTCACAGCTTCGGCTCTATCCTTGGCTTCCAGCCTGCTCTGCCTGGAAAGAACAAACCTATTCCACTCGTCATATCCCCTAGTGGGCAAATCGAGCCACCACAACATTGCCTGGTGGAACGTCGGTGTGGGAGCAGTTGGATTTCTTATCAAGTAAAAGGTTTGGAGGAGAACTCTTTCGTGTGGCAAGAAATCGCGAAGTGGCCGACTGGTACCCGGATCAATGTACTCGCGTTCGGATTCTTCTTCAGGTTCGGAAGAATTGCGCGTGTCGACTCGAGAAGGAGATACACCTGCAGTTTGCTGTGGAGCATCAAACTCGCTGTCCAATCTTGTATGGCTATTGTGATTATTGGGTTGGTTGCTAGGGGGCGGGTTGTAAAATGGTCCGTGCAATATGGGCAGAGTGGATATTGCCTGATGGTTGTTTTGTGTGCGAGCCTGCCCTGTGAAGGTCTGATTATGGAAAAATTCCTGACTAGAAGGCCAGGAAGTGTTCATCGTTGTCTGGTTGCTTGGATGTATTGGGAGGTTGCTGCTGGTAGCTTGCATATGGGTTGAAGGGTCATGGTGATATAAATCCAGCCGATTCGGATTGATAGCAGAGGAAACAGGAGTTTGATGACCAGGGTTCCCAAATAGCTGAATGTGTCCTTGGGAGAGTGAGGTCAGTCCTTGGTCGTGAGGGTATTGCAAACCGCCTATTGAGTTTGTTTCAAAGTTGCTCGGATTTTGAATACCAAACTGAGTGTTCTGCTCTTCTGATTGTTCTTCCCTGTGCCATCTCGGGTTGCCATTGTTCTGATTACCGTAACGGTCCATGTCAAAATCTCTCTCAAATGATTCAGGTTGGTCCTGTGCCCCGCTTGAATCCTATTCAGTATTTGCGGGCTGAGAGAACTGGCGGTTTGGTAAAGACGTCAGTAAAGTTCGACTTTGCGCGGAGTTATTCGAAGAAGCGTTGAGGGAGCTACACTGAAGAAAGTGTCAGCCAATCACCAATAACGTGAATTAGGTCTTGATCAAAAATAGTTGAAGGAAAGCTAGGCGTTAGTGAAGATCGAAGATGGCTTGAGAAGAGGAGGTGGATAGGATGTGCTACTCTTGAAGGATGGATGAGGATACTGTAGGTGCTTGTAAGAAGGAGACTCACCGAAAGAGAGAGTCGAACGGACAGACAGGCAAATTCAAAATTTGTGATAGTTGCACTGGTTGAAGTGCGATGAGGAGCAGAAGACGCAGGCTTGCTGAGTGAGTAGGTTACACTATGAATCTCTAGCCTCCTGTAGCTCACCAGATCCAAAATGTGCAGATGCCAAATAGATCTATCAAGATGTATCGAAAATTTTGGTCATCGAAAGTTGTGATGGAGTTGAAAAATGGTTGCCTGGTCGGAGTTCTACAGTCTGTAAATATGTGCAGGAGGAGAGCGCACCCTGGTCGTTTAAGCGAGGTGGGACTGTCTCTAATTGGACTAGCCGTCGGCTGCTGACCAATAATGGATGGGATGATAGGGGCAAAATCTGAAGTAAATAAAAAGCCTGGGTCATAGGAACGGCTTCCAAAATTTATTAACAATGGGTCAACACCGCCTGAAGGATTTCGTTGACGTCATGGGAGGCAAGTAACAATGGAGCGGTAGAAATACAGTTGGAATATGCACGTCGTGCTATTATCTACAGATTTGGCATGGTTTCTATCAAGGTAGTTCTATATAGACTACAGAGTCGTCTAACGAAGCTAGTGGCCCAATTCAAGTTATCACAACGACCGCATATATTACATGGCATATGTGATTGAGGGCATTCTTCAGGATTCCATTATTGCCAAGAACACAATCAATTCTGCTTTGATTGTGAGAGCGGTAATCATTAACGGAAGATTTTCCCTGACCTAGCGAAAGAAAAGCACAGTAAAAACTGTGAAAATACAGAGGCTAAATGCTCTTCACGCATGCTCAGCATTTCTGCAAGTCGAGTTAGAACCCCAAAAAGCCTCTCAACTAGCTCCAAATATGCCTTGAGACCCATAAACCCCATCTTCTCCTGCTCTGTGACATCTACCCTTATTCTATATTCGTAAATTATTTGAGAACTGCGTAAACATTCCCTCGTATGCACCATCCTTTTTTCGACCCTGAGAAGATGTGGATGTACTGCCTTGGACTGGGAGGTCATGGTAACTGCAGCAGACAGAGAGCATTTTCCCACTGCGCATATTCCACCTTCTCTGTATGCCTCGCTCTATCGTCAATTTCTCTACAATGAATCTGCGCCATTAGTCTTGTTGTTCCTTGCTAATCCATTTCGACGTATCGTTGCCAGAGTTCTTTGGAATGTCGGATTTTTTGCGGCGGTAGAAAGTTATGAGAAGATCTTGTTTATGCTGCAGAAGCTTAAAAGTTGAGTGAAGTATCATCTTTTGGGCCTGAAGGTTGATGTCAGGCTGCTTTCGGTGGTAGGACCTCTCGAAGTCCGACGTACCGCCCTAGAAGCAATAGCAATGTCGATTCCATGGTTCTTGGCCTCACGGATAGGTCTGGCTGCGGTGTAACAACTATCGCCTGTATTTGATGAATCTGCAGGAAAAGGTTTAAGGCTAGGTGAGGCTTGGTTTGGTTTGGTTTGGTGAAGGTGGTTGATGCGTTATTCGTTGGAATCCTTTGCGTTGATGCTGCGATTCTCGTCAGGCCCTGTTGATTTCTAGTTAGCTAAGATACAGATTTGCATTTAAACCGCGTAGATATTTCAGATTGTCAGTATGGTAAAATAAATTTGCCGAAGCACTTACGAGGAGCGGAAGTTATTCTAACACGTTTATCTAGGACTAGATGTTTGTTTTCTCCTATTGTCTGTAGATTGGTGTTGGACACGAAGGAAGCTGATTGTGTCACTGGCCTCGTGTGCTGGCTGGGGAATGGTAGTTTCCGTGTTGATGTGTTTGCGTCCACAGAAGCTGCAAAAATAGCCGCAGGGTAAACGAAAACTGGTCAGGTTTGTGAGATTCTTAAAAGATTTAATGTTTGGAGGGATTGGTAAGGGTTTAAAGGATGATGTCCCATTCAAAACACGGCGGTGAAGTTTGTAGAAGAGCTTAGCGATGTAACAGTAGTGTTAACAACCTGGCAATCGCATGTGGTGTTGGTTGATTGGCTTTTCAATTGTGATTCGAATCCGAGAAAGATTGGAAAGCACAACAGGTCTGGGGAGTTTGGGTTATCGCAAGTGGAATCACCCACAGGGCTTTCTGAACAAGTTTGGGAAGTTTTCTTTTATTTGCTGTGGTTAAATTGCTTCTACATGGAAATGCTGGACGGACAAGCGTCCATTTCTAAATTGAAAAGTCCCGCACTAAGTGGAGGATAACCAATAATGCCAAACTTGACTCACAGAAGCCTAGCGCCCACACATTTGAGAGACTTTAGTTCGAGGATGACTCGGTACCTTGGGCCTTGTTCGACAGGCGAAGTTCTTTCTCTCGAACTTCGCGATCTCTTGCTTCAAGTCTTTAATATCCCATTCAAGATTCTCCTCCATATATTCTATTTCTTGTTCGAAGCCGCTAAACACGCGAAGAGTGACACTCTGTCTGAGTGGTGACTCTTTACCTCGTTTAATCACATGCTTCCCCAGATTAGGGTCGTTCCGGAGTAGATCTGACTTAAGGTTTGAAGTGGCGATGCTTACAGCGAAGCATGAGGATACCCTAACGTCATCCACTTTCATCATATTTGCAACGTAGGGGCGCTTGAGGTGTGCCCTACGAACAGATTTTGTCTTCGTGAGTTGTAGCGGGAATTGCCCTCTCCGGTCTGGTCTCAGCGGCCCTTCTTTGTATACTTTGCCTTTTTGCAAGCGATCTCCTGCAAAGTCAAAGTTCTTCAGGATTTCGTCGTTTTCTTGCTGTTTTTGAACATACGCTCTCATTCCCGGATCAGTCTCAATTCGCTCATTGAGCCGCTCCCGTGCAGTGTTGAGTGATGCTGCTGGCCCCGGAGCTTTGTATGTTGCAAGAGAGTGGACTCTCTCAGCGGCTTGTGCTGGCGTTTGGCGTGCTTCAATATAGTTGTTCCAGAGTTTTGTGGCTGTTGAGCGATCTCGTGTGAGCCTATCTGGAAATTTCAGCTTATTGTGGATACCAGTCATGCGTCTGATGAACCTTTTGAGCACACTCATCTCGTGTCCACAAAACTTCCTCTCCCCGTCCTCAACAAATTCTCGCCACGAAGCTGTGTCCCCGGTCTTGAGGTTTTTAGCAAGTTTGTGAAGTTCTTGCTCTCGGGGAATATCTACTGGAAACATTGTCCAGATGCGGTGAAGTGAGCGGGGGTTGGAGAGGTTGAATAATTTGTTCTCTCTGGGATGGTTGCAGTGGAGGGATACCGAGTGGAATGACAGGCCCCTGATCAGCTTGCCTGTTTATGATGTGCCAAAATGAGATTGTTATCTTTATAAAGAAAGAATTTGGAGAACCGGGTGTATTGTTTCCTTTGTTTGATAACAATACGACCCCGCAAGCGCAAATGCATTGTGATGAACAACGAAGTGTTAATAAAGAAGACGAAATGATGTCTCACTACAGGTTGTAGATGTCAGGAAGACCAACTCCCCGGAAGCCTGGGGGTGTAGTGGATTCAACTGCTGCCGGGTATGATTGCTGCCATGGTCACACGAGACTTAGGGCTATTAGTTTAAGAGCCAACTGAGAAATGTGGCAGAAACTCTGCGGCGCAGAGAGTGGATACACCTATATAGGCTTGTCAGCATAGAAATTCATTAGGGTGTCCGCGAGGTCTGGTCAACTTATGGTTTGCTTTTTTTTTCGTCACAGAAACCTTAAAGGGTGTTTAGGATAGATAGGCCTTAAATAAACTTTATGGAGTGAGGAATCGATTTATTGTACCTCGGCTGGTGCTTTCGAGATTCTTTCCCGGCTTTAATTCTTTTGGCTCTTATCCTTCGATCTCCTCGTGGTTCTCTCTCCGTGCAGCTCTGAGCTTTTCTGCTGCATATTGTGTCGTAGGGGGATTCAGGGGATGGGGATTCCGAGAACGAAGACGTCCTCTGGAAACCTTCCCGTTGCTTCCACTCCCACTACCAGACAGGACCTCCTCTGGGAAGTTGCCTGGAACACTTCCCCCTCTTCCTCTGAGTCGGAATCTTCATCAGTACCGTCGAAGGTGGGGAATACGTTAGGAGGCTGGGAGACTAGTGGGAGATTAGTAGATTTTGTACTTATTAAGGGGCTTCCCAGCCTTTGATAATCACAGAATCAAGGCGTCCAACCACTTCAATTTGACACATGCGCTATTGAATCTCTTGATGATTAGCAAGGTATTTCAGTGCCTATCCAGTCGCAAAGGCAATATTCTCGTGTCCAGTGTAGAGGAGATCAAGGAGTTTGTCTGTTAATGCCTCATCCGACACTGTCACATTATTGCTTCGATTGCCTCGGTCAACCCACAAGGAATGGTTGGTCGCCCTTCACTAAGTAGCGTGCACGTATAATTTAGAAACCTTTGCAATACCGCTTCCGTTCTCTTCTTTGCGACAAGGAAAGGTGAGAAATTATTGCAGACCGATTTGTACATTGCTGAGAATATTCTAGTAATTATCGTGAACCAATTTGAAGGCTCGAAAGAAGTCTGGGGACTTGGGACTTGATATGCCAGCAATATCCGCATTCATGTTTTCTTGAAGATGGCAGATGCTGGCATCAGTGAGCTCAAGCTTATAGCCCAGAAGCAGCCTCCACAATACCTCCCGAGTTGTTCGACGAAGGTCTGCGAGGGCTGCAAAGGTAGAACCACAATCTTGGCTTTCAGTTTCCAAAGGTTGACCAATCGTCGAATCTTAGCGTCAAAACATGGGCTTGCAACGCTTTCCAGGAACTCGGGATTGAGAATGTAAATTCCACAGCCGTTTCTGGCAATTGAAGGCATCTGTGCTCTGCGTGCAAGGTGTGGCAGACGGAACGGCGACCTCGAATCCGTGTGTGAGCAGCTTTGATCGCCCGACCTCATTAATTCTTTTCACAGCGATGTCTTTGATCTCGGGGAGATCTGCGAGAAGTAGGATTGGGCTGACCCTTGAAATGAGGTAACCAAGACTTGTATTTCAGACATTGCCAAGAGAATCAACTCAAGACCGATCCCTTCCGTAAGAAATGAAGACCAGCGATGTCCCCCATGGCATGAAGCGTGCAAAGCGATTTTGAGGAATTCCAGGTACGTAGATCGCGGCATAAAGTAACCGGACTACAGGGGATTTCTACCAAAAGGTCCACTATAAGACCCTATAATCGTAGGCTGTTGCCTCGAATAGCACGCCATCCGTTCCGCTGCCACCATCTGAGCCTTCCGTCAAGACTTTCTCTCAACGTCAAACGTGAATACACCTCCACATAATAATATGAGACTTAGGTCCTCTTATCAAGTAATAAAAAACCATCTAGTCAGCTCTCATACTGCCTTTTATTTTACTTTTATAAAGAGACTACAAATGGATATACGGTGGAAGAGTCGGAGTTTTGATGTTCTGTATATTTAAGCGAAGGACGTACAGTAGCTGGCGGCAGCGGAGCGGATAAGCCTAGATAAATGGTGCCACACCCTTTGGGGGCTTGTTCCCTGTACTTACAGGGGATCACTCGCTAATAGGCCCTATCATGGCAACCCTTATAGCATCCGAGCGCTATAGTTATTCGGCCAGTAGCAGAAACACCCCTAAAGATCGCCCATAAGCTCGCGAAGGTCTCCTGGTAAGTGTACGCGGCCTATAAATATAGGGCTTTATAGCGGACCAGCCCCTTGAAACACAAGCTGCAATGCAGGCCGAGACTAAATGCCCTGTATTCCGTCACTCTACGCCGCGCTCTTCGTAGGGGTTTTGGGATCAGAAGTCTATTTGCGAGCCACGAGAAAAGGAAGAGGACAGTGATCGCAAAATACCAGCAGGTAGTGATAGAATAAAGCATTTCTTATTATCAATAACCGAAAGGGGTTTTGTAGAGATTCAAATTGAGAGGATGGCCCGGACGGAAAATTTTATCAGTTAATCAAGGAGAGCAATATGGTAAAATCTGCTCAGACCCTAGAGTTGGGGGTCAGCAACGCAGTCAGGGGTCTTCAAGCAGAAAGGCCACATACAGTGAGATTGTAGCGTTTAGCCTGCCTCCCATTGGGGGTTACGAATAGCTGCCTCCAAGCTAACCTGGTGAACTAATGCATGGTACGAATACGGACACGACAGCCAATTGGGGGAAGCATCTTGCACTTCGTAACAGGGAACAAATCAAAACCCTGAAGTAGTGCCAAGGGTGACAGTCAAACAAATCCCAAATTCTTGGGATCTCAAGGATACAAGAGGTTGAAGTAAACATGAAGGTTGGATTCTGGAACACGGGAGGGATGAAGCCAGGTTATTTTATTTGACTTCGCAGAATCGTTAATATTAAAGCCTGCTTATTTATTTGGATTCAGTGCTCAACTTGGAGGTTCATTTCCAACCTTAAGCATAGGTCCAAGAGTTTCTTAGCGAACTTGGTCTACATCTTCATCTCCCCATTTCTTTATCTCCGGCAAGTAGAATCTGCCCAACCGTCAGCAGGGTGTCTGTGGATTTAATTCCTTCCTGATACAGACGTTCCCGCTCTTTCAAAGAAGTCAACGGGAACCAAAAATTATTGGATTGAAGACATATAAATGGTGGCGAAGTTCTTGGAGCACGATAGTCTTCGTCTAGCACATGCAGGCCTATATTCTGAGGAATGGTTATTCCATCATCATTCCATTCTGGCTCTTCAGTTCGATATCGAATCAGACTGATGTGTTGGTAGCGAGGAGTTTTGACCTTTGGACGGATAATGTCGTGGTACTTGGTTTTTGTGGGAGACTGCTCAAAAATTCGATCCGAAGACATGTTACACTTTTGGGATTTGGGCAATTTCCAAGGGTCCTTGGGGACACTCGCAAAGCCCTCAGGTCTGGTGTGAAGTGGTATAGTATACTTGGTCAAATTGGAACAAAGAATGAATCTTGGAGTTAAGTTGGGTCAAAGTACTTTCCTAGACAGGAAAGATCAAGACACCGTGATACTGGGATTGAGGCGATTAAGTGCACACAAACCCAGTGGAAAATGAAAGAATGGTACTATTCTTTATAAAAGATGGGGTGGACTCAGATGGCTGGGAACATTCAGTAACCGCCGAGAATATGTACTCAAATTGTCGGGAAATATGAGAAACCCTATAAATAATTGTACTAGAGGTTTCATGAACATTCAATAAAGGTTCTGAAACATTGCACCTGACTTAGAAGAATAATAAGTAGAGCTACAGAACCATTGCACTTGAAACAAAAGGAACAATGAAGCACCTGCCTGAGCGAAGTACGTGCATTACGACTCACGAGGAACAATTAAAAAGAATACTGGACCAACGTACTTAAGTCACAAGAACAGCGGGTCTGTCTGACGTCTTTATTGTCCACTACCATCTGGAACAATCTCGCCCCCTCTCACCACCAATCTACCACTCCAACCAATGACAAATACCAACCTCCCTACTTCATTGTACCATCGCCTTCCCGAACAATGACCGTACAGCAAGTTCGCAGGCAGCTTGGTGACTTGGCTCGGTATTGCTTGTAAGGCAGGAGCTCTTGGAGCCACCATTCCGCATCCGAGATGAATGCATCGGTTCGGATGAAATCTGCGATTGAGTATTCCTCATCCTCCTCGCCTTCCCACTCAAAGCGCTTGGAATCGAAAGGCATTGTACCCGTAGAAGTTGGAACATTCTCCTGGGCGTTGTTTGAAGCTGGCTTGGGACTCTTCGGGCGGGTTGGGACTTCCAAACTGGGAAGGAACTCGTCTGGTTGCTCCTTCTCGAGTTGCAGTAGCTCGGAAAGCTCCACTTCTCCTAGAGCTTTATCGTCGTTATCCTCTCTCTCCTTTATAGAATCGCTTCCATCATATGTAGACTCCCAATCCATATCAGCCTCAGCCTCCTCCTCTGCGCTGCCATCCGCTTCTGCCTTATTTGTCGTGTTTGCTTGCTTGTCTCCACCACCAATTTCATTGTTTTGCTTGTCATTTGTGTCGGAAGTAGTAGCGACAGTGATTTCCTCCTCTAAAGTCTCCCGGTTGCTATCCTCTCCTACCCCTTCGCTTGTATCACCGCTCAGGGCCATTGTATCTCCAGGTGTGGTTTGGGTGTTCTTGTTGGAATTTACCATAGCTTGGTTTTGTAGCTTGGTATACCGCTTCTTGATCTTCCTGAATGAGCGTATCTTCCTCAGAATATGCGACATTTGGATGTGGTTGTTGATGAACAGTCAAGCTGAACGAAGTTGGGTGGACAAGGAAAATTTTGCTCCGCCAAATTGTTTTTGAGGTTATTGTGAATACACCTAATAGCAAACGAACAAGCCAGTTAGAAACAATTGACCGAAGTTAAGCCGGCGTCGCTTTCTAAAAAAGAAGTCAATATGTAAATTGTTGCAGGCATAACGTAGTTAACAAAAGGCAAGCTAAGCTAAAAGGACAGGCTCTTACTGTGAGGTCTAATAAGTGACGCCGAGCCGTCGGAGAGTAATATATCTGAAATTAATAAGAGCCACAGAAGTAAGACTTAAGTGATGCCGAACTATCCAATAGTAAAAGCTCAAAGACGCCAGAGAAGTCTTGTAAGTGACGCCGATTTGCCGCATGATTGGACTATAGCAGCCGAAAACTTGAGGCGATGGCGACGACGAGTCAGCATTACCCTTGAAGAGACGCTCAGTAACACTTACTTGCTCCGGGAATAGATAGATTGCTGAAGGCAGGGGATCTTGTAAGGGGTTTTATATAGGCTTCCGAGCAAAGAGTCAGCCTGTCTCTTGGACTGCAGCTTAACATTGGCAATGTCTTGCATACTCGAAGGTAAATCAACGGCAGAATAAATGGAATGAGTACAGGAGGGTTGTTCTGGAATTGAGTTCAATTAACCCTACAATGACAAAACATGCAAAGAAAGTTTCTAATGGCAAAGCCAATCTGTGAAAAGCAAGATCTCAGCCATGCAAATCCTTCATTCCTAATCCATTCCTTTAATCCCACATAACACCATCCAATCGTTCCTCGTCAGTCGTCTCAAAGATTTCCTGAACTTTGATTAGGAGCGAGAAGGTTGAATCTGAGAACGTCTTTTCTTGAGGATGTGTTCCAATTTTGGAACGGCAACCAGAGGAACGGTTCTCGGAACCTTCGGCTCAACCTTTCTTTCTTCCTTTCCTAGCTTGGTGGCATTCTTTGAATCGCCCAATTTCTTCCCAATCCACATCCCAAGGGGTCCCTACTTGAGGTTAGCAAATCTCTAATGTACTGTACAAGGAGTGGATATTGACTTACATCTCGAGCGCTATCGTAGCATTTCTCATCTGATTTAAAAGATTGCGTAAGCATGCCGCGTACCATTGCGTCAATGTCCCCAACTCGTTGTGTGTCATCATCTGTCGCTGGCGGGCTCCGCATAGGGCTTCCCAAGGGAGTGAAGTAACCTTCGCTCGCGGTATAATATGAGCTGTCGTCAGAGATAAGGAACTTTAATTGAGCGAATCCTTCAATAACAGCTTGAAGTTCTGTGCTGAATGTACCAGCGACGCTAGTAGAATGAAATGGAGCAGTCTGTGATGCTGGGGACTCCGACCGAGCGACTTCACTGCCGCCTTCTTGAGCACCTGTGCTCAATGTACCAGTGGCAATGGTAGATTGAGATGAGGCAATATCCATTTCGGGTGTTTCGGACTTCGCATCTTCTCCACAGTCATCCTCTTGATCGCTTGTGATCAATTTACCAGTGGTAATGGTAGATTGAGATAAAGTAGTCTGCAGCCCTGGAGATTCGGATTTGACAACCTTTTCACGGCCGCCTCGTTGATAGACTGTGTCATTTGTACCAACAGCGCTGGTTGATTGAATTGGAGCGGCCTGCGCAGCTGGCTTCGCCTTTGCTCTGCAAGACTTCTGGTTCTTCATATTAGGGCGGCGTTGGATGGTCACCTTCGGCTTCTTCATTGAACTGCCTTCAGCTGGTACAATGACTGTCTGCTGAAGATCACTCTGAACTGAAGTGACTTCCTTTCCGGGGCTAAACTCAGGAAGAGCACCCTTCTCGTTTTCCTCGTCCATTTCGTCGGCCGAGGTAGGACCTTTAAAGGGTGTGGCTTGGATTGTCAGCAAATTTCGAATCACTGCGGGAACATCTAACTTACTAGTTGCGGGCTGGTCACGCATTCTCTCGATCTCCTCGTCCTCCTCGTCCATCATGTCAGCCCAGCTAGGACCCTTAAAGGGTGTAACTTGGATCGTCAGCAAATTTCCAATTACCCGAATCATCACTGGGAAATTCAACTCACTGGTTGCTGGTTGCTCCATGACTGAAATATATTGCTGATTAATCGGTGTTGGTTTGGAAGATTGAACTATCGGAGCTCTGATGAGTAAAGTCCAACGAATGAAGGTCGCGGGAACGCTGGGAAGTGATGTTCTCTTGTGGTCTTGACTGATCGTGATGTTGAAAGATGGGGAGAAGTTCCAAAATTTTCTAAGAGGGAGGATTCTAATATAGGCCTCAAAAGATCCAGCCCATTTCAAAATGGTCGGCCAACGGCTAGTGTTCCAGATTTCCATCCCAACTGCACGAAAAGGGTTTGGCCCACAGCAAAACATGGAAAGTACGTTTGGATGACCTTGAAATGATTCATATCTGCATTTGCGCTGCTTACATGATCTGCTGGCCGTTGATATGCAATGCCCTCCCGATCGCACCAGACTCACGCCAGATGAAAATGGCTCGCCTAATTTCCCCCTGATTTTGCTCGCTTATCATTCCTCCTTCGAAAATCCTTCACTTTCGCACTCCTCAACCGCGGTCCAGCTCCACCTCAAATAGCTCGGTCGGAAGCAACCATATCTACCCAGCGGATTGTTCCAGATGAATTGATGCTCTTTCCATGTGAGTGGTGTATGCGACATCTCAATGCCCAACGGCTGCAGAATTCGATGAGCTTTCTCGACGCATGTTTCCGAGATCCATTCATCGCCGGTGTTATCATCTTCAATAGTTTCATCCATATTTAAAGTAATAAAAGTACGACGGTTATGCATGGTTTGGGTTTGCTTGATGATTCTGCGTGCGAGAAAGCGGTGGTATAATTTGTGATAGATTGAACCTACGGTGAGGCACGGAGCTGAGGGGGAGATTCTCCCTTGAGACAATGTTGCAAGAGCACAGCCTTGGGTTCGATTGCTTTCGAGTTGCCTCTGCTTCTCGAGCGCTTCGATGATGTGTCGGACCTCACGATCCACGCGGGAAGGTGAAGGCGAGTTCGCGGCAGCGAAGAATGACCCGTCGTGGTGGGGATTGGAATTCAATGAGGCAGCTTCCGACTGTCGCTTGAAAACCAGAATATTCTCAAGAGTATAGAGTTGGCGTTCGGCTTTCTGACGAAGGTACTCCGGAGATCTGCGGTCCTTCTTTAAAGAAGGAGAAGGAGAGTGTTTGATCACATCATGATACACCTGCTCATCTTCGCTGGTCGATGCGTCTCGTCCCGCCCAGATGGCATTGAAAACCTACTCAAGGTCAGCTTCGACTTACAAGACTGGCACGTCAAGGGAGTTTACTTCAATTGAGGTCTCCTCCATTTGGTGATCAGCAGCCAGCATGACACCTGAATCAGAAGTCATGGTTGGCAGCGCATTGAATCAAAGCTAGAAATATGAATACAATGTCTTGTAAATGATGCAAAAGGTTGATTTGTGCTATTGGTGGTCATGAAAAGTGAGGCGATGACTTGAACTGTCGAGGGCTGAATATGATCGAAAGGGGAAGTCGCGCAGTTGCTTTCAACGTCGCTCCTTCACCGTGCGATTGGCAAACAAATGTTGGGATCCCCCAATAAACATAGAGCAATAGAGGTTGGGAAGATGAAGTTGTGTCTTTGGAGACTGAATTAATTTGAAATCAGGAGTGAGGTTTAGCCCACGACATGTTGTCCGTCTACAAGCCATTAGTGTGAGTACCTGCTGTGTGCTCGGCGATAATTATTGAGAGGCATGAAGCCACAGACCTGCGAACTTCAAGCCCGGCCATGGCAAAACAGGGCAGCTTTTCTAGATGCCCATCGAAGATCGAGATGTCTACCTGGTGATTGTCTTGGTGCCCTCACCCCTAGCGGAAGCTTTTGATGACTCCAAGCGATTCACAGCAACACCCTCACGTCAGCAGATGAGCAAAAGAAGTGAAATAGGGGAGATTGTGTAAGGAAATTTTTGTTTCTGAAGGCTATATCAAATGTCCAAATCTCGTGCTCATCAAGCTTCAGGCTGCATCACCCCGAGGCAAAAGCCTCGTCTTTGCCATGCCGCATGCTGAAAACCGTTATTGTAGAAGCTTCCCTATCTCGATTATCCTCTCTCGAAATTGCACATCTAACCGCCAAGTCTCCCATCTTTCTTCCGTTACAAACAGTGCATGCATACTCACTTCCTCTGGGGTGGCTCGAAGGAGCGAGGTATCGCAACCTGGGGGGCTCTGGGGGGAACCATTATACGGAGACAGCGGCATAAAGTGACGGGAATACAGGGCATGCATAATTCTAGGGCCTCTAATATGCCCTGTAGTGTCTCACTTGGCCCTGCAGCCACTGTAATTACACTGAGTCAAGGCCATAAGACCCCTGAAGGCTCACTGAAACCTCATGCAGCTCGATTAGGACGTTGCATTAAGCCACAGCGTTCTATAGGGCCTTAGCCCCTATATTTTTAGACGTACGTCCGTGATCGGTAGCGGGGTAAATTGAGCTTTTACCCCCCCATTAAGCTCTCCCACATTCTTTATTCTTCTTTACTCTCGCTTTAATTTATTATGGCTACTTTTGGAGGTCTTTTTGACTTCCCTGATTTATCAGATGGGCAATCAGAGCTCTCGTCACCCCCTGATTCGTCTGATGACGAGCATTCCGATGAGCATACTGAAGATGAAGACGATGCGTGGTATAATTTACCTACTGATTCAGAAGACGAGGATGAAGACGATGATTCAAGCCCACCGCTTTTGGTACTTCCCATGCGACCTGCACCCTCAACTGAACTTGTTGTTTCTACTGCTATACGCAAAGAGCACTCTACTGGTGCGAGAATCAAGGCAATCTATATGCTTGAGGACAGAAAGACTCCGGCTCAGATCAAAAAGGCTACAGGAGTGCCCAAAACAACCGTTTATCGATTACATGCTGTCGCTAGAGAGCGTGGCTGGAGAGAGAATGAGGATATGCCCTTGGAAACAAGTCATGTCCTGAATGCACCACGATCTGGAAGACCTCCAATTTCAATTAATGCGATTAAGTGTGTTTTGAAGGTCGTACTTCAGAACTCGACTACAAGAGGCTTTTCTTGTGCTACAATTGCAAAGGAAGTGAGAAAGCGCGGGTACGAAATTGCTCCCAGAACTGTCTGGAAAGTCCTCAAGCAAGCAGGCTATTCTCAGTGCAAATTGACAGTAAAGCCTGGACTGAATAAGTTCAATAAAAAGGAGCGATTGGAGTGGTGCTTGGAGCGAGCACACTGGACGTTAGAAGACTGGAAAAATGTGATTTTTACAGACGAGACTGCAGTGCAATTAGGAGGCACGAGAGGCAAGAGACGTGTATAGAGATTACCTGGAGAAGCGTACGATAAGCATTGTATACAAAGAAGGTGGAAGGGCTTTTCTGAGTTCATGTTTTGGGGAGCTTTTTCTTTTGATAAGAAGGGGCCTTGTCACGTATGGGAAAAGGAGACTGCAGAGGAAAAGAGAGAGCGCAAAGCTGATCTTGATGCGAGGAATTCGTTAATTGAGAAGGCTAATAAACAAAAGTGGGAGAAGGAGCAAAGGAAGTGGCTAAGGGATTGGAAGAAGGTCCATGGCCGGGCACCAGGAGGCGTACGAAAGGTATGGAAGCACAATGAGAAGACTGGGGCCTTTGTTGTAAAGAATGGACGAGGAGGAATTAATTGGTATCGATATCAGAAGAGGATATTGATTGAGAAGCTCTTGCCCTTTGCAAGGGAGTGCCAAAAGGATCGCCCTGATACGATCGTGCAAGAGGACAATACACCGGCCCACAAGTCACATTACCAAGGGGAGATTTATAATCTATGGAAGATTATGAAGATGCTTTGGCCAGGAAACTCACCTGATCTCAATGCGATTGAGAAAGCATGGTTTTGGATGAAAAAGGAAACTACTAGGCGGGGGCCTACAAGTGATAGAAAAAAGCTCAGAGCAAGGTGGGAGAAATGCTGGGCGGATCTTCCCCAAAGTAAGATTCAAGAGTGGATTGCAGCAATTCCTGATCATATACAAGAGATAATTCGTTTGGAAGGGGGGAATGAGTATAAAGAAGGTAGAAAGAAGGGCCAGGAGAAGGTAGCTATATATTAGTATAGTTTAATATTATGGTTTGGCTCCTATTTACTTCTTTTGAGGGGGTGCGGGGTTAATTGATCGCTTCAGGGGACCCTTACAGGGCTTACAGGGACTAGGATATTATTATGGGGAGATGAAACTAAGACCTACAGGGCCTATTAGTGGTCTTCATTAATATATTATGAAATATGCCCTGTATTCCCGTCACTTTATGCCGCTGTCTCCGTATTCTCATCCATTCCCAATGCATGTCGATATGGGTAGGGCTCCAGCTTCTTCCCCACCAACACCTCCACCTTCTCCAACCAAGTTTGGGGTATCGAAGATGAAGATGTTGGACTATTGCCGATTTCGTCCCAAGGAGCCTTCTTTTCCGTCTTTAGGGTGACTGGATAAGTGTCACTGACAAGGTGCTTGTTGTTGTCACGAAATCGGTCGCAGGGGTTGATGCGAGAAGTTCCAGGAGGCATTTGAGGGTATTCGTTGCGGCGCTTGGTTGGTGTAAAAGCCGGCGCCTGGGCTCTCAGAGTGGATGAACGAGGTCGTGTAGGCATTGGCGACGCAATATCTGAATTCGGGTTTTGCTGTTCATGCTCTAACTCGCGCTGCTTGCGAGCTTCGTCTGTCCTCTCAAGTGTCAGCTCGTAGCCAATGGGCTTCGGCGGGATCACTTGGCGTGGACCCTACTTCGGTTAGCCTGCTAATTGGTCAAAGGGAAAGATCGACTTACAACACGCTCCATCCACTCGCCGTCTGCTACAAGAGGCATAATTTGGTTGTAGTCCTATGCAGGTTTCGGAAACCCGAGAGGGACTCTGAGACGAAAAGTCAGTCTAGCAATTGGTATGTGTTTCTCTCGACCCGAGGCTGTACTATTCCTTTGTTGAAGAGACTCCGTGCTCTTGCTCGGATTAGGGAAATATGAAGATGGGCGTTGCGGGTTATGCACAGAATATGGTGTTGAGGTTGTGCAAGATTTGGAGGGTCCGCATTGAGTCGATGACTTGAAAACATTTGCACCCTTGAGTTCAAAGAAGGTGGAAATTTATAAATGCGAGACAACGCAAGCCACAACTAATAGAACAAAGAACAACTTGGTGCTAATTTCATAGCAAAGTCTAAGCGAGATAAACAAATACAATATGCTCAAGTTACTTGCAACATTGTTATTATAAAAACTACATCCACAACCACGCTCTTCAAACATTGTTAGAGTCCATAGGATAGACTATAATGTGCAGTCTACCCACGTTCAAGCAGAGGATGAATATCTTCACGGGAGAATTTTACTACTGCTCCCGGGTTTGAGTTCCGCATAAAGAGGTCGCCCAAATTAATTTTAGTGATTCTGGAAGATAGTATTGAGTTACACTCTCCACGATTGTCGAAGATGTATCTAAGTGCAAGTTCCTTAGCTGTCTAAATAGGAAAGGGACAGATTGCTATTGTCGGATTGACAAACACTGTTAAAGCCAAGAGCGGCTAGAGGAGATGGCCAGATGACAATGTGACGCTCACCTGATAAGAGGAATCCAATGTCAATGAGAAGATTGTTCTGTTAAACTTTTATCCTTTGAAAAATATTCTGATCACATTTGGGATTATTGATTCCGCCAGTGTTGGCGTCTTCCATGACTTGAAAAAAGAATGCAAGTCAAGTAAGACCTTGTGGTTGGGAAGAAAAAGAGAGATATTAACAATATTCGGACTTCATCTCGCCCTTATAATGCTCTAAAATTTCCGCTCTTATCCCTAAAGGAAGCCGTATCTTTTGATGACCTAATTCTGCCTCCACAAACCCCCGGCTTTATTGATGAAAGAGAATCCAATTACCCCAGTGCTAGCGGTGGCGTTGCTGAGCAGTATTATTCATGAGTAGAAATCCTTGATAAACATGAATAGTTGGTAATTAAAGCAATACACAAGGGTTTGGCCAGCAATAAGAGATAATAGATCTTTTGCCATTCCGAGCCGATTATGGAGATTCATCCACCAATACACATGAAGTCCAAAACAGAACCAAGACTTAACTGAAGCAAATACCGCCATCAATGATCAAAGTCTGACCCGTCATGAAATCAGAATCGGGACTGGCCAAGTAGCTCACGGTCTTCGCAACATCTATGAAGCATATTAGTCTTTGACATCGAGAAATGTTTGGATAGCCTGAGGGATTGCAGTCGTCTCAATTCTTCCAAGACCAAGGGACCGAGGTCTGAATGCACTTGAAACAGCGCTCAGGTCCCCAAATCCCATCGGATTGATAGCAAATTGGAATGAAACAAGCCTACCCTCGGGGACGCTGACTCTTCCCAGAGCAGTCAGTTCTGTTACATATTTATTAATTGTCTCTCCCTTCTGAACACCCTTCTTCTTGCCCAGCTCCTCGTCAATGAGATCCCACATCGCAGTTCCGACTATACCCGGAGCATACCCATTGACCGTGATCTTGTGCTCAGCCATCTCCATTGCGAAAGCCTGAGTGAAGCCACGTACAGCCCATTTGGATGCGGAATAGTGGGAAAGCATCGCGAAGGGCTTGAATGCAACGATGCTGCCATCTCCATCAGCAAATCTTCCCCAGACATGCATATCACGAGACATACCTTGCACAACTAACAAGTTTTCCACCAGTGCCCTGCTTGATCATTTGTTTCGCAGCCGCACTAAACGAATTGAAAACACCAAAGACGTTAACCTCAAACATACGCCGCAAATCATCTTCGGACAAATCGAGAAGAGCTTTAACTTGTGCGATGCCCGCATTTGCGATCATGACATTGAGGGGCCCGAGGTGCTTGACCGAGGCTTCGATTAGGCCTTCGACTTCGGAGAGTTTGGAGACGTCGGCGGCGTGGCCGTAGGATTGGCGACCGAGGGCTTGGATCTCTTTGACGGCCTACGAGACGTATGTGTTAGATTCTATTTCAAGATTCAAGAGGGCGAAGAAAAGGGGGGTTGTTGGAAGTAGCAGACTTCGTCGATGCCTGCTTGGTTGGCGGGAACATCGTTGATGCAAACGTCGAATCCATCTTCTGCCAGCCGGATTGCGATTGCTTTGCCTCTGATGATTGATCAACGAAGCACATAATTATTCCGGGGGGGGACAAACGTACATTCCTCTTGAGGATCCAGTGACAATCACATGTCTCTTGCCGTAGTCCTTCGTCACAGCCGTGCTTGTGCTTGCCGAACCCTTTCCGTTGCTGCTGCTAATGCTCGCCATTTTTAAGAATGTGTGTTTTCAGGAAGTTTGAGATTGGGAGATGGAATGAAGAGTCATTAATTGGTGTGAGTAGTTGAAGTTGAAGGCGGGAGATCGTTGTCGGGAGGGGAAGGAGTGACCTGCAGCTTCCGCTTGTACCCCTCAAATTTATTACGTGCATGACGATCAACGAGGGGTTCCCAGGAGCAACGGAAGCTAACTCACGAACCACGCGGAGTGAGCGGTCGCTATTCCGCAGCAGCATTACTCAGTGCATTTACCCCACCTCTCCCTTTGACTGGCTTGACCCTGAAAGATGATTCGGCGACCCAAGGCAGTGCAGCTACCCGAATCGTACGTATTCTGACTAGCCTAGAAATAGGATATAACCCGTGTCAATGTTCCAGCTAGAGGCGACCCTGGAAAGTCGAACAGCGACAGAATTTGAAGTTGTTCCTGAGGAAGCTATTTGGTTGCGTCCTGCTTCCACAGTTTGGAGGTGATCTCCTTTATTTTGTTCACCTCCTCCGGGCCCTCCTTGCTCACCAAAACCTCCAATTGTTTCCCAGCAGCCACCATTATTGGTGGGGCATTTCCAACCTCTCTTGGCTGAGGAGTGTCGGGAACAGGAATGCCTTCTCCGTTTGCCATCAGCAGAATTGGGTGTCTCAAAAGCTGTAGTTTGCCGCCGTCCAGGTTCTCCTTCCTGATCTTGCTGCTAAATATTCTTCGTTGTTATCATGAAGAGTCTTGAGAAACTCGTTCCATCTCATGTGCATGCTGAGGCGGTCGAAGTTGAGGGAGAATGACTCGTGTAATTTGCTAAGAGTGCGATAAGAAGGCCCACGGGAGCGGGTATATATCTCGAGCTATATGCCGCTTGGTCTCTTTCCTTATAAAATATATTTTAGCGGAAATCCGTCTCCGGAAGAGCAGCTGCAGAAGGCGATGAGGAGAGAGCAGGTGTGGATAAACCTGAGGAGATCGCCATGAAAGCGAGAACAGAGAGGAATAGACGGGAGTTTTGGAGGTACATTGGATATTTTTACTCCTTTTAGATCATTCATTACGGAAGATGATCGGTTTTATGGAGTTTGAGAAGTTCCCTGGTGTTAACAGAAAGGTGCTGAGCGTATTCTTGGTGGGAAATTCGGAGACGTGATTGTATTGCATTCTGACCCTGGACTCTTTGCCATTGTCGCCTAGATGAAGGTTGAATCAAGCAAAAGCAGGATAGAAAGCAGCACTTGCTGGCCCGAACCTTTGGCCCTACTTGAGAGCCATAATTAATTGACGTCGACAAGGAGAACACGAAAAAGAGTGCACAACGGCATCTGTGCTCAGGTATGCGCGTTGACCAGGATGTCGCGTAGATTTGAGAACCTCCCACCCTTCGCGACGCCATGGAATCTTGTTCACACTTCACCGCGTTCAAACTTCACCGCGCCCACACTTCACCGATTTCTTAACTTTGCACCATCGACGACCCGCAGATTAGTTCCGAGATACCGGTACAATAAAAGACGCGCGTGCGAACCTTCGCTCGGAATCCCTCGCTGATCCCCCGCACTTCACCGGCCAGGCGGCCATCTCGGCGAACCTCATCTCCGGCGATATGTTGCCCAACCTGAAGGCTGAACCTTAATTCTTATCCTATCGCCGGCGGTGACAGCAGTGGAGTGTGGAAATCTCCAGCCTCATTTCGGCGTTCACGATTCAAGTAGGTGGTCGGTCCCGGCAAAAAGGACTAGCAGGGATTGAAAATGGGGGATAACCCGAGAAGAACTCGTTCCGATGCGGACTTGCTTCGATTTGTGGGAAATTTAATACACCCGATAACATCACAAGATGAACATCAGTCAGGTTGAAGGTAATATGGGACGTTAGTGCGAACCTGCTCTGAGGTATAAGTATATCATCCCTTGACCTCTCGCCCAGAGACCTCACTCCTCTGTTCAGCTCGCAGTCTCATGATGTTCTCCCTCAAAAGAGCCATTCAATTTGCCTCACTGCTTGCCATTCCAGCAGCATGTGCTCCTTCTACCCACTCTTCATATGTCTCCAGCCTCCCCAAGAACTCCCAAACTCTCTTCACCGAGTCTATGGAATGGATGGATGGCTTCTATGACCCCGCAGCTGGCTACCTCTTCGACGAGAGCTCAGCAACAGCTCTTAGGCACGAGACCAGAAGTTCGGCTTGGTATGCAATTGGACTTCTGGCACGAAATACAGGCGATGATGTGAAAAACGCTTTGCAAATCATCTCCAATGTCATTGATAAGCAGTACAAAGATCCTAAGGACCAATGGTTCGTGCCCCTGATGTTTGGGTTCCATGACAACGACGAACTGACGAGAACAAGGTATGGTGATTATCAAAAGGAACCAGAAGAGCCTACTGTTGGAACTGCAGCGTATCCAGAAAAGATCTACAACAGTTGGGACCCCAACTGGCGTGGCTTCATTGGCACCTGCTTCATCGTCGGCTTAGAAGAATTCGGTCACCTGATCACTCCTGAAGTGACCGCTCTCATGGAGAAATCCCTCTTCAACGCTACGAAGGGCGACGAATATCGAGTTGGTGGTGTGGACACTGATAACCTGTATCCTGCTTATACGAACCCTGTATGTCTGCTTCCAAACCATCAGGAGAACTCGGCGCTGACCAAGGAAGTCACTCATGCGAGCTTTTGTCTCTGGCTGGACTGGCCGCCGTCTTAATGACAGTAACATGACGACCTCTGGTGAAAACTACGCAACTGCCGTCATTGACCTGTTCAACCGTGCAAACACGCTTTCCGAGTTCAATAGTGGGACATACACTGGCGTATCATTGTATGCCTTGACTCTCTGGGCGAAGTATCTGCCAGAAGATTCAATCATGAAGCAAAATGGAGCAAAAATGATTCAGTACACTTGGGAAGCAGTCGCTGAGTTGTGGCATCCACAACTGAAGAATGTTGCAGGGCCTTGGGATCGATCTTACGGGTTCGACATGAACCGATATCTCAGCTTGCTTGCACTGCACTTGTGGAACGTCATTGGAAAGGAAAAGTCATCCATCATCACCAAAGTAAGTCATCCAGCGTAAAATATGAAGCTGTACAAAACTCACCAAAATAGACAGCAGCCATGTCGCACGTGGCCGACTGGGCTTACGGACCCCAATTTGCCATCCTCTCAAAATTCCATTCAACCCTGATCCCCGCAGCAGTAGTAAAGAAACTCAACACCTTCCAAGGTGAACACACTTTCAAATCCTCAGCCTTCTCTCCTCCATTTGACATCTACCCACGTAACATCACCGCTTGGCTAGCACCAAATATCAGCATCGGTGCTGAGGCCTTCAACGAAACGACGATTGGTGGGCCTGCGATCAATCCTGGGACTTTCAACCCAGCCATTATTCAATGGAATACTGGAGACGAGATTGGGTATATCACTGTAAGCTTGATTTCTGTTACTTATGAGACAGGGTATTAACGAAGCTAGTGGTATGCCACTGAGCACGCGCTCACAGCAGTCGCGAGCCCGAAGAACCTGAACCTGACCTATCCCTACGGCACCGCATCTTCCATCTTCTCCATCATCGTAGCCACATTCAAAAAGTCTAGAGATGTCTCATCTTGGGATGATGTTCAAGGCCTCACGGTGAAGGTGTCTGGTAATGTGAATATGACCTACTCGGTTGGATTTGCTGGGAGTAATGGAGGAGCGTATTCGCCCATTAAGTGAGTTCATCGGGGACAGAATTGTTGATGAATAAAACTAATGAGTGGGTGTGCAGTGACTTTGAATTCTGGAACTTTACATACACAATGCCGAAGGACTTTGTGGGAACTCCGAACTTGGTGTTTGATGTTGAACTGAAGTAGTAAAACTGGGGGGGGGGGAGGTGATGAGAGTTCCAAATGAGTTATTAATGATACAATGAATGAATTGTAAAAGTAGATAGTATTAATGCAATAGTCTTGATCGCCCACACAGAGCTATTCATTCCATACTAAAAAGGGAACCCGCAACTTCTACAAGCAAAGTCGAATTTCGATGCTCCGATTCAATCAATCCGTCGTTTCGCTGCTCTAGACGGCATGAAGGAAGTCACCTGCGCGTACAAAGTGGACTCCATCAACCAGTGCCCGAGCCATTTAGTGCGGCAGTAGACAGAGCCGCCAGCCCACCCAGCGCCGGGTTGAGGAACATATCACGAACGGTAAGAGAAAGACCCTTCTGAGGAGTCACCCAACGGGTTGCATGGCACTGATAGAGTCCCCACCCTCGCCATTCACCCCCTTCTCCGCCAACTCGGAATTCCAAATCCGGTCGAGACCTCCTCATCCTCCTCATCCTTATTATATCCATCGTATTGTGGGTGGTCCGGTGAGGGTTTCCACGGAGATAACCTAACAGACGCCAAAACCTCCTTAGCTGGAGATGAAGGCTTTATGACTACCGTTCCTTTCTTGGCTGGAGTTTTTCCATCTGCGGAGGGTGCTTTCGCAGGGGATTCTGAGCTTGTTGATGCTGAGCTCGATGTTGATGAAGCAGCGGGAACTTTCTTGGGTTGCGCTTTCGCAGCAGGTTCTTTTGCCGTGGGTGCTTTCGCAGCTGCGGCCTTCTTGACGGCCGTCGCTTTGATGGCTTTCGCGGAAGCAGTTTTCTTGGCACTCGAGGCTTTCGCGGCTGGAGCTTTCTTCTCAACACGAGAGCCGACCTGAGTCGCTGGTGCATAGAAGCCCGCAGGCTTAGTAGCGACATTCCTACTCGACTTCCTTAGGCCAGCGTTTTGGGCTTGCTTTGGGGCCATGACGAGGAAGGCGATTTGATATACAAAAGTGTCAAGTTGATGCTGAAGAGAGGAGAGAGGAGAAATTGAGACTAGCTTGAGGATCTGGAAACCACGGTAGAAAGGAAGTAAATAGGAAGACGAGGTTACATTCCTAGGGAGAGATACAGATGAGTGCATTCCTCGATAGAAACATAGGGAAACATTCCTCAGCGAATGAGCAACTTGCTTTTCCGCCTCACTGTTCTCCATTCATCGGATGTTAGAATGCGGCGAAACAATTTTCTTTTGCAGCACAATCGCCGCTTATTATTCATTCTCAGATCATCAAAGCTATAGCTTTGGTCCATCCTCGAACAGATTTCTGAACGCGACGTAGACCTCTTCCGTCAAATCACTAGCCTGCAAACTCCTCCCCTTCTTCTTAAAAGCCAACCTGGAGCATTCCTATCACTCGTTAGCACGTCTTTCTTCCCACAAAGCACATTAAACTCACCCTCGTGACAGCACTCCCCCCAAATGCCGCCAGCGCCAACAACTCAACCTCATCCAACGCCCCATCATGCTCCCATATTTTGTCCAAATAAGCCTTCCTCCATCCCAAAAACGTAGCCAACGTCCCCGTTAACGTATCTCCCTGTCCCCCACTTCTCTTCAATCCTCCCTCAATATCACTAACAAACGTCCTCTCTCCATTAGAAATCCAATCCTCCTTCCCCTTCTTCACTATTGTCACGCCACCAAACGCATTACTTAACTTTTCCGCCGCCTTTCCACCCTCTAAACCCTCGGTATCAATCCCCTTACTCTTACATAATCGCCCAAACTCCACCACGTTCGGCGTTAATATACACTCTTTATAACCTTGTACCAGCTCTGGTTTCGTTTGCGCCAAATTGAGACCATCGGCGTCGAGAACAAAGGGCATGCCTCTTTCCCTCGCTGCTTCTATAACCTTCGCACATGTCTCTTGCATCAGCTTATCCCTTCCTAATCCAGGCCCGATAACGAGGACGTGAAGTCGGGGCAGCATTTCGATAACGGATTTTGCGATTGAGGAGGCGGAATCGGTGGTGCTGGCGTGTGTGGATTGGCGCATCAGGGGGTGCACCATAAGGTTCGGGGAGTAGGTTTTGATTACTTGTGCTGCTTGGGGTTCGCAGATTACATGACTCTGTTCAATTGAAGTGGTTAGTTGGTGCTTGGTGGTCTAGTAGGAGGGGCAGATGGAGAGCTTGCCATGTCGCATCCCAGTCGCGCGGATGCCATGGCGGAGAAGTATGGCGCGCCGGTATAGTCTTCGCTACCTCCTATTACTGCTACTCTGCCCATTTGTCCTGGGAAGCGTGAGATTGGAGCTCGAGAGGAGGCTAGATGGTGGGGTCGGGGTACCTTTGTGGAATTTCTCCAGCATGGGTGGGATCATCTTCCGCACTTTTAGGAGGATATCTTTGGTAGATTGAGACATCTTGGGTGATTCGGAGGACATTGGAGAAGGTGAGAGGGGAAGTTGTGCTGTTGTTGGAGCTTCCAAGGGAGAGGTTGAGGTGGAGAGATGGCATGATGTCACCGTCGAAGCGAACCTTTTCGCAGGGGATGTCACCCTGGAGGAAAGATTCCAAGCTCCTTCTTTTCATCTCATCCGATTTCATTGAACTTCGCCTCAATTTCTTTGAAAATCCTTGCGCTTTTTCACAGAGAAATATACACACTCCCATATTTCAATTGATGCTCTTTCGAGTTGGGCTTATTTAATGCTCCGTTCCTCGTCTGTCAAAGTTCTATTCCACGCATGTTACTCGAGTCGACGCGTCGCATCGTGTCGCGCTTATAGTATTCTGCAATTCTTTTCTCCGCTCGATTCCAGTTGGGTCGATTCCCGTTTTCCAGGTGATTGCTTTTTCGCCGAAACATCAAGTAGCTTGTCGCCGCAAAGCACTTTGGGTCTTCCGTTTGGATGGCAAGCGCTGCCCAAGGAGGATGCGGCGGCAGGAGTGTTTGAGTTGCCCGGCTCTCTTTTTCCACAACCTCATCGATGTCGTTTTCTCCATGTTCGGAAAGTTCTCAGACCACAGTGTCGTTGGCGATACGCTCTCCTCCAGAGATGTCTTGCGACGTTTGCCAGCGTGGACATGGAAATCCCGTCTCCCCCCATTCCCCACCACGCTTCTAGCCATCGAGCAGGAGGCGCACTCCGGATGTGAGCTCTGCCCCATTGTGCGAGATACGATGGACAATACGTCATCCTGGCGGATGGCAATACCCTCAAAACAGCCAGAAACCCTGGAGTTGGCCAACACCTATTGACAGAAAATTTTCATGTGCCGTGAGAGTTGCGGTTACCTTGATCGCTCTTTTAGGCCAGATGACCATGAGCCGTTGTTGAGTCTGTTGGTTGGCGAATGGAGAGGTGGCAAGGACGACTTGCATACTTTGGAGAGTCGTGGTCTTTTGCTGCAGAAATCGAAGACGGAAAAAGAGTCTTAGAAGAGAGTAGGCGTTTTCATAGGCCTATTCACTGAGGGGAATATTCATTAGTACAAACGGATGTTCAAAAAGGGGCCGGAGACAGTTGTGAGAATTATATAAGCAGCAGCAATTCTAGCTGGTATATTTGATAATCTTACACTTCTCCTGCCTCAAGCCAAGATCCCCTTGCAGCCAAGTTCAAAGTACTACTTTGACTAACGCTCTCTCCTAACTCTTTACCGGTACCCTCGGTCTCTTACTCAATGTTAACAACTGCACAACAGTCCCCCCCTTGGGCCCGGCCTTCCTCTCCGCATACTCCAATACCGTCTCCCCATTCTCTCCCACCCCACCCGCCTCAGGATCCGCTCCATTGCCCAACAGCAGACTAACCACACTCCTATCATTCCTATAAACCGCCCTATAAAGCGGACACTCTCCCCCAGGACTCCTCGTATCCGTCCTCGCCCCATGGCTCAGCAATAACGCCACCACGCCCGAATCACCTCTGAGTACAGCTCTATAAAGCGGCGTCTCTCCCGCTTCTGCATTCTTCGCCTCTGCATCCGCGCCCGCTCCAAGCAAGAGGGAAACGATAGACGTACTACCCTTAAACACAGCGCGATACAACGCCCACTCTCCCGTAAGCAAGCTCCGCGTATTCGGATCCGCGCCCTTTGCAATAAGGAGACTGATGATCGAGGTATCGCCCTTCCCGACAGCCTGCAACAAAGGCGTTTCCTTGGCTCTGTTTCTTTCTTCGACATCTGCCCCTCTTTCCAGCAGCAAATGAGTGAGACTCGAGCTCCCCCTCTGCACCGCAAGGTTGAGCATGGATTCCTGGCCCGGCGGCACGTGCCCTGAATCTGCGCCTTTGCGCAGCAGTTGTTCGGCGATGGACGTATCGCCGCGGGAGATGGCAGTGTAGAGTGGCGTTTCGCCCTTCGCATTGAGAGACTCGATGTCGATTTCCTTTTGCGCGATGAGTGCAGACACAATACTTGAGTCGCCCCTTGAGGCAGCTATTGATAGCGGAGCTTCTCCTTTTGAGGACCTCGCAGCCGTTGACGCGCCGAATTCGAGCAGCAGTTTCACCATAGAGGTATTCCCGCGCGAGACGGCGCGAATGAGCGGTGTATCACCGTCCTTATTCCTCTCTTCCGTATTTACGCTTCGCTGGAGAAGTGGCCTCGCAAGGGATTTCTGGTCAAAGTTCACCGCTAGGTTAAGCATACTTTCCTGGCCTTCCGGACTCGAATTCGGATTTGCGCCATACTCAAGCAGCAAGCCCGTGCAATCCTTCCTCTGCTTCTTAACCGCCAGATAAAGCGGCGTCTCCCCTGTGAAAGACCCCTCTTCGAGAGAAAGTACGCTTCTCTCAAGCAGCATTTTCAAGATCTTCTTCCCGTCGTGATACACCGCTGCATGCAGCGCCGTATTCTGATCCGCTCCCCCTCTCACATTCGGATTGGCACCTGCCTCGAGCAAGAGTGCGACGATGGCTTTCTCGCTTTTAGAAACAGCGCGGAAAAGTGCTGTCTCGCCCTTTTTGTTAAGCGCTTCGAGGTCCTCCCCGCCTTTAGAAAGGAGGGCTTCGACTTCGGATTTCTTGCCGCGGGCGACGGCTTGGTGGAGGAGCGTCTCCGATGCTGCGGGAGGGGGCCGCTTTTGCAGGACGTTGGTGGAGGAGCGGCGGGTTGTAGTTGTGGGCGGGAGAGAGGGGGATGAGGAGGGATGGGTGTTGGTATCGGCGCTTACGTTCAGGCCTCGGGGGCGGAAGAAGCCTTCATTCCATTGGGATATCACGGCTTCGATTCTAATCTTTCGTAATCTTTCTCCAGGACTGGGACTTCGAGATCCAGGGACGTTGGGTCCAAGTAAAGGACGCGATTGCTCGGATGTTGAGCGACCTCCTGAGAATAATGACCCCCCTGAAAATGATGGCTCAGCGGAAAATACAGAGCCCTTGGAAAATAGCTGTGTTGATGCCCCTAACACTTTATCCTCTTCTCGCTCCAGTCCCCTGTCATCCACAACACCCTGATTCGGAAATAAATGGTTAACAAACGTCATCCAATCATGATCATCCATATCCCTCCTCTTCCATTTTTGCTCTGGCTGCGGGAACGGTAAATCATCAGTTGAGGTGTTGGGCGTGATGATCATGTGATGGAAGATCATATCAGCTGGTTTTGGCTGCGAAGGGGAACGCAGCTCGAAATATGGCAGGGCGGAGACGAAGCCAGATTTGCGCAGTTCGTCGGCGTTGTGGTTGGGTGGAGATAATGCACTGTTGGATGGTGGTGCGGTTGTGGTTGGAGGTGTCAGGATCGGGATAATGGGGCTCCGAGCCGGAAGGGGGCGAGATGGGGCTGAGGATGGGAATGGAGACGGGGCGGCCGAGGGGTGATAATGAAGAGCAGATGCCGCAGTCGCGCTGATGGGTACAGTTGTGACAAATGCGTTGAATGAGGCAATCGAGTCTACCCCGAAAGGATTCGAGGGCGGGTTAGAGCGGTGCGGATCCTCTGGGGAGTAGGGTGGGGGAGGAAGATCGTCGTCCATTTTGAGTTGGGACTGGAGTGAGGGATGAAGGAAGAGAGATCGAGAACTTAGAATGGATTGAGTTGAAGACAAGACAACCTTACCTTTAAGGTGCTGAGGTTCAGCTCAGCTGAAGGAGGTCATGAACTTGAGTGGTGGGGGGTGGCTGTGCCCTTGACGCGTCTCCAGGCAGCAAGTTAAGAACCAATGAGCAATGATTCCTTCCCAGCCACTTGGATAGAGATATCAACAACGAATCCTCCGTTGACATATTCTCAATTTATTCTGGAGGAGAGAAAGCTTGAATCTCATTTCAACACGTACCTCGTTTCGAGAAGCATAGCGCCTCGCTCCCTATTAGAAGAGGGCAACCACCACTACCTAAAGCAACCCCTTGAGCATCTTTGTGCCTGAGTAATACTGCTAAGCGGAAAAGGCGTGCTATCTATATCCTGAGAGCACGAAGAGACATCGAATACTCTCGTGGACTCAGCTCCATTCCAACAGCTTCTGAACACTGTGCTGTACAGTACAGCAGCCAGACAATTTATTGTCAATAACCTCGCTATTGTCAGAAAATCTTGCCCTCTCAGTCTCACACCCTACCACCTCTCTGTTCTCCACCGTATCGTAAAACGCAAGTCCGCGACCCTCAGACTGGGCCAACTCGGAAAACAAACTGCAACAGGTAGAACTCGATAGGTGATACCGCAACCACGACCGTGGAGTATTCTCCTGTGACAAGTCTTTCTACGATGTTTGAAGGGTGTCTCAAGGGACGTGTTTATATCCACTTGGAGTTCCTGTCCAGTGACTTCGCAACGATTAAGAAAGGGGTAGGGAGGGAGGGGAGGAATTGAAAAGTATCGCATTGGATCTAGAGTATCAGTCTTCTTATCCTGAGTATGTCCCAAACTGTATAAATATTTCGCTTGTCTTGCCTGAATCACATCCCAGCAACGCCATGCATGCAGTCCAATTCCAAAAGCATTCCAAAAGCATTCCAAAATCAAGGCCAAATCACTTTCCTCCCCCCAATTAACCATATCTCACATCCCTCGGCTCTCCTCACTCTCCTGGACCCCCTTCCCACCCTTCCTCTTCACAACAACCAACAACGAATACAGCACCCCCACAACCCCAGCAACAACACTATACCCAACAATGCCCCCCTTACTATTGCCCGCTAACTGTAAGCCCAACCCTCCATTAACAATCCCACATACAATCAACGCTCTCCCGTACCAGATATGTAGATACGAGACTGGAGAACGGGCTGATGTGCGTTTGTATTGGATGTGGTGAGCTAAGCCGAAGAGCGGTTGCAATAGGAAGAGGCCGATGATTACGGTGCCGAAGATGGTGTGTGTTGTGTTATATAACTGCCTCTTTGTTAGATATCTCTTATTAATTTAGGGGGAATAGCAAGTGATAGAGAGAGTGCATGGGGTGATACTAGCCCTTCCAATCTCCGACCGCCTCTCGAACTCAACTAAAGAACGGGGATACGGAAACCCTAGCCTGCTGCCAGGAGAGAAAGTAAAGTCACCACCTCCACTCCCTCCAAAATGAAATTGAAAAAGAAAACCTACCAAAGACCGCATTTGCGCTAACTTAATCCCAAGTCCAAAACCACACAACATAGCGCAAAGAGCGAAGAGCTGCCATGCGCCATGCAGATAGATAGATGCGCCGAGACGCATGAACATTGCTCCCAGCGGGAGCAGCAGCACCATCGTCGCGCCCATGATAACACCGTGAGCGGTTTGGTAGTTTGTGATGACTTTAAAAGTATTTCCTACGACCGTTACACCGCTATTGCCTGCACTTGCTCCAGTATTCCCACCACTTGAGCTCCCCGACGTCGCAGCTGAGCCACTTCCTGTTCCAGTGCCGGTTGGCGAGGAAGTAGAGGATGAGACGAAAGGATTACTGTCGGAAGAGATAACGGCAGTAGAGAGATCTAGGTCGAATTGCCGCATGTTGTTTGCGGCGTGCTGGGTGATTATATAGGATGTCGATTGGGAGTTTATTGCTAAGCCTTCGTTCCAGGCGCAGATCCAGGGGGATGCTGTGCTAGTTCTCGAGGAGTCGAGTTTGCATGTTGTGCCTATTTATCGTCAGCCATGTCCCCTTTCTTATTTCTCTTCTTCTCACTGCACTCGGGGGTCTTCAAACGTACAGTGCACATTTGCAATCATCCTCCCATCCACAATCCCACTCCCAGCTAGCAGCGTAACTCCAGATTGTAAGCTGCTATCCTGCGTCGGCTCAACATGTCCCTGTCCTCCATCCCGCGCCGATATGGTGACATTGCCTAGTCCATTCGCGTACATGACGAAGATACTAGCGCCCTGCATCTGGCCACCGATACCGAGGCCGACCCATTGGTATGACGTGGGTGCAGAGAGTTGGAAGTAGATCCCTCCGGAAGACGTTTGGGAGATGGTCGAGGAGGAGGGGATGCCGATGCTGTAGGAGGGGCCGGGGGAGTATGTTGCGAGAGAGGAGGTCGTGGAGGCTACATTCACGAGTCAGCTTGCGATTGGGTCATTGCGAGGGAGAGGGGGAGAAGGGGGAGAAGGGGGAGAGGGGAGGGGAGGCATACCCAGTCCCACGATGCCTAGCAATGCGCGAGATACTGATATCGAAAGCTTCATCTTCATGTTGTCGTTGCTTGGTAGCACGAATTCAAATGTTGTTACAAAAGAAAGGCGCGAGGGTTCTTACTCCAGTAATAAAGGAATGTCGGAGGATATGCGCATGGATGTAAATAGACCTGAGCCCTGCCACTCACTCCCAGCATCCAAATCAATCCTCTTCGCCTCACCCGCTTCGCATCTCACTCTGTCCTTGACAAAGCACGCTTATGTTCCCTCGGTCCTGGCGCAATTGATTCAAGGAGACGGAGAGCGAAGAGATGTACAAACGCAAAATGACATTCTGCATAGAAGCCACGGGAATGCTGATAGGTGGGGCTGGGAGAGTGGTACAAGGTGGATGGACATCGTTTTTCCTCTGTCCGGGGTAATGATGTTGGTTCCGTACTTTGGTCCATAGCCGAAGGATACAGGCCATCCTCTTGGGCTTCAGCGGCAATGGTGTAGATGAGCGCTTCAGTCTGTGACAGCACGCCGGCGATGTCAGCTTCTCATGAGGAAGCACATTTCTGATGCCGGGATTGGCTGGCGGCAAGAATCATGTGGCGCGCTTAATAAGAGGAGGCGCGGTAGTACAGTCTTCTCGACGTGTACGGCGTGCGCTCGACCTCTGCTCTTGGGCGGAGCCAGATGCCTCTTGCATGAGGTCGCCCCTGGATTGGAATGCAGCCCTGTTGGTTGATGACGTAACCACACATGTGCCGTGTGTGGTGCGGCATGAGGCGTATTGTATGTGGCGCGGCACGTGTCTGTAATGTCAGCACGTGCCGTGTGTGGTGCATGTGTGGCGCCACACAGCGATATAATTAAGCGAAGAGGATTCTATCTCAGTTTAATTGCATTCCACCTCACCTACGTGGCGAGTAGTGATTGCTGACTGAACAATATCTCAAATACAGTTATGTTTAAATATAGGCAATCCTGATTAGAGTATCCGATTCTGATTGTAACCGTATGTAGCTAACTTGAAAGTAAATAAGGGGCAACGACGCTTGTGCCATAGAACGCTATAAGCTCTAATTCGCTATAATACCCCTGTAATTTACAGGGTATCTCCTTCAATTGTAGCGTGCTACTCATGTAATTACAGGGATCTAGTAGAGGTTGCTTAGCCAATTAGAGGGCTACAACTGGCTTACAGGGCGTATGCTGTTACTATACAGCGACCCGAGGCTCTGACGGGGTGCTTGGACGCTGCATTACCCAGACGTTTGACTGCGACCGCCGCAACTAGACTAGCAATCGAGACAGAGGAGGTGCCTCCCGAGGCCGCCGGGTTGAATAATAGTGCTTACAATAGCCCCTTTCACAGTCTGAATGTAGTATACCCGTAGTCCTGCTTAGAAGTATATAAGCTGCCACCTTCCCCATTTCCAACTGAACTGCATTTTCCCACAGTCCAATTTTGTCCTCCTTAGATCTACCAGGCCTCTCCCGACCGCTACAACAAACAGCCACGATGCTCTTTTGCGCAACACTCTTGCTCTTCCAGAGCTTCATCCATGCTCAGTCTACCCCTTCCGCGATTCAGGTGGTGACGGTAGGACAGAATGGGCTGCTAGCGTACAGCCCGGATACAATCACGGCTGCTGTGGGTTCCAATGTCGAGTTTCAATTCTATGGTCCAGTGCATTCGGTCGTCCAGGGGTCATTCGATCAACCATGCTCAGCATACAATAATGGAACCGGGTTTTTTGGTGGTCTAGTTACAACAGGCACTGCCCCAAATGTGAGTTGTATCTCTGAAACGATGAAGCTCTATGCTGAACAGAAACAGCCAAAAACTTTCACCCTTACTATTAACGACACAACACCCATTTGGTTTTATTGTGCTTACCCGGGCCACTGCCAGGCAGGCATGGTTGGTGTAATCAACCCATCGTAAGCCTACGTCAACAACAGCACTGTCATCATATAATTGGCTAAACGCACTATCTATAGCTCCAACACATCCGAATCCCTCGCCATCTTCAAAACCAACGCCGCCAACACCTTGAACACCACCACTCCTGCGCAACAACAGGGCGGCGTCTTTGGGCCCTTCATAGCTACCACCAACAGTTCTCTTGCCACCCCCTCTACGTCTTCTACTAGCCCCACCATCGCTACTAGCTCTACGACCTCCACCACGAGCGCGAAGCCATCTACCGGCAACGCAAGCCAGAGACAAGGCGAATTTGCTGTGCTGGGCGGTCTTGCCATAGCGGCGGCCGTGTTGATAATGTAACTGTTTTCTAATTCAGGGCACTTCACAAAGCAAATGCTGTAGTGCTATTCATTGAACCCAACTGGCGATGTTCCTAATAGTTATTAGAATATCAAGTATGATTAAATTGAGATCTCAGATCATGACTGACACGCTAGTAAGATTACAAATCCAAGCCCCGAGTGTATGGCTTCCTTTAATCCGTCCCGTCATTCCAATGTTCCTGGAAATGTATCATCCCGATGTACATTATCTATCTATGCCCCTTCTCAATAAACATCGTCAATTGTTTTTCTCATAACGAGAGAAGTCCCCAGAACAGTCCAGATCTTAGGAGAACTCTATGGCCATCCTTGTAGAGTTTGTTTTCAGCATTGCAAATTGCGTTGTTATAAAGTTGTAGGGTCTGAGGCATATAAGGAATGTATTCAGATTCGGCAAAGATCAAGTAAAACCAACCAGCCTGTTCAGAATTGTGCAAAGAGACGCAGTTTTTCGCATGAGGGAGTCAAGCAAGCAACCTAATAAGTTGCCTCCCTTATCTCCCAATGTACCATTTACCGACCCCATCCAGCAAGCCACGAAAGCAGCAACCAAAGAGAAAACAGCAAGCGCATGTCAGGATGGTTACATCTCGCAGTCAGCACCAATATATAAATAAATACCTGGACTCTTATATAAAGAATACTATATTAGTATTACTTAGCCCTTTATATTTATGAGCCTTTTTAATTAAAGTGTACTTTCTTCTTTGAGAGTTCTCTCTCTTGCGATTTTGTATACGAGATATGATTATTTAAGGAAAGCAAATATGTTTGAAAAGAAAGTGCTTTATATATTTTCAAGAAGCTCAGATTTAATTTAGCGTGCAACGGATTTTTGCAATAGGTGTGACGGCTGGCATAACTGCATACATATTCTGCCGCAAATATCACACGAGAGGAAACGCGCCTGAAACGGGCAAGTAAGCTAGAGGTTGGCAAAGCACTACTAAAGGTCAAGGCATTCCCTTCTTCTTTACTCTCTAGCCTGGTATTTTCAATACATGAGATTCTGAACTTTGTGCCTCGACCTTTGCATTGATCCCGCTGTCACAGTAGGTCTAAGCGATAGAATTATATGCCGACAGATCCGTAGCTAATAAGGCCTCGGCCACCCGACAGATTTGTGACCTGGTATACTCCCAGGAGCTATTTGCTCAAAGGAATTATCTCCTGTAAGCCATTTTCTCTTATAAACTATTTTCTCCTGTGAATTTTCTCCTGTGAGCCCCTGGACTACTAGGAGCTTTCTAATAGGAGCCATGGTCTCCTATTAGCCCTACCATCCCAGGAATTTGCTTTTGTAGCTAAAAACCGCGGGGTAGAACGCGGCTGGTATTTGTAGCTTGGCTCGCAAATCATGCTTAGCCTTATCCGTTACGGGCCGAACCTTAATTATTTTTAGTGTATGCACAGACGGCAAAACGAGTCAGAATTATTGAAACAGGGTTGATCACGTGATACAAGGCATCTGGAGGCTTCTGGATCCCCCTCCCCCGGCTCTTTTCATGTTGTCAGGCTCTCAGCTCACCTGAATGGTGTGTCGCACAATAGGAATGTAGTGGGTACAAACCGAGTGGTGTGCAAAAACCAAGTAGTGTGTAAAATTCAAGTGATGTGTAAGCACCAAGTAGTGTACAGAAACCAAATGTGCAAGGGTCTCAATCTCGCCTCGCTTTCAGCATGGTCTCTATCAGGTTGATCCCTTACCCTTCATTTATTTGGCCCGTAAGCTTGCATATCTCCTATAGAGCACCTACCAACATGGCATCCATTCGTATCTCTGTTGCAGCATTTGGCCGCCCCTGCGCCAGACATCAGCTAACTTTCTTAGTTCAACGAAAACCTGATCCTCCAAAGCATCGAAGGAGGAAAACAAGCGGCGACTGCCCTTCCAAATCCCGTCCTCGAGCATTGCAGCGCCCTTACAGATCAAATCGAAGTCACTTCGTTTCAGGGCATGCCTACTTCTTGAGAAACTATATAGGGACTTGCTTTTACAGTCTTAGAACAGTAACTCTTCCGCTACTGATCTGTTGAAAATGATAGGTAATCAACCCATGACCTGCTGTGCTAGCAATATGGAAACTAATGGGCAAGCAAAACACGTGCGCCTGGTATTGACCGAGTGACGGGCTCAGCAGGGTCGAGACCATCTCGCCATCTGCCTCGTGGTCGCATTATCACGACTTACTGGTCGAGCATACGTCCTGATTTTCGTTGCACCACCATGACCAGTCACTGAAAGACACGTTGTGTCAGCCTGGTGTGCTCGTTGCCGCAACCAGGCAACCGATTTACCACGCACATATTATAAACAGGGGTAGGAATATTAGAAGGCTATTAGGCCAGGCACCAGCTGATTGGACGTATCAGCAAAGCTTGTCTCACGGGCGGGATGGAGCACACCATCTGTTCCACATACTCAAGCCATTGTCTCTGCTGTGCAATCAACCCCGCTACTCGATTGTCCAATAAACGTACGGTCTACCAGCCTCAATGCAAGTGAGAGCACACAAAGCCAGCACTGCCGCCTTATCCTTCCCGATTTTCTCATGCAGGTATTTCGCTTCTTGTGAGATCCATCTCTTGGGACGCCGACTGCTCTATAAGGCCGTGCTCCTTGAAGTCTCTGCCTTGGATCTCACTACAATTCGTGCTCTACACGGAAACGATCCAGCCTCATTACAACCTGTTAAATCGCTTATATTTTTATCTGAAGGCATTTGAACAACGATGCTCAAATTCAAGTGTCTTATCCAAGACGAAAATGATGATAAGGCCAGTATGCATACCCCATCGATAACAAGATCAGGTCAAGCCGTATGTTAATAGTGAAAATTAGCTAGATCCGCCGATCGTCGGGTTGATATAGAGTAAAAGGGAGCGATGGAACTTGGGGAGTTTGAAGCCTGGGTCAAAACCTACCATCAAATTCCAGGCGATTATCTCTCTATTACGGGCGGAAAAACTCGAGAATCCTCATGTGGCGCTTGGTGCCGTCTTGGTTCCCGGCGACACTCTGACGGTCGCCTTCGACAAGACAGTGAGAGTCGGCGGCAGCGCCTTAGGCACTGGTGGTGAAGCCGGGGGTGTGAATACTACTGGTGGAGGAGGATATGGAGTAGGTGGACAAGGCAATGAGAAAAGTGTGACTGGAGTGTTGGGTATGGGGGGGGGGGTGCAGAAGGGGACAAAGGGGCTGCCGGTAAGGGTTACGGCGGGTTGTAAATACGGGTTCCGTCCGTGGAATTGCTACAGGTGGAGACGGCATAGGTGGGGCGTTCAAATGGACTGGCAAGGATACAAACAAGCAAGATGCAAAGAAGCAAACCCGACCAACCTAGGTCTAAGAGACGTAATGACAAGGCTCTAGATAGACGAGTGGCCGGTATCCGTAGTTAAAGCTGTTTTGAAGCTTCAAGACCTTGGGAAAGTGGGTAGTTCGCCACGCTAAAACCATAGACTTATGTCGGTAGGCTCGTAAGCAAAAAATTGAAATTTTTTCAAAGTGCCTAGAAAATTCCCAAAATTCCCAGGATGACTAAAACTGAGTCGGAGATTACGAATACGCACTTATTTGTCTTATTTTATGTCGTTGTGGTGAAAATCGTTTTTGGGCGGTTGGCCCGTAATATCTTCTACGAGATGCGGCCAATTCCAGGTTACAATTTCAAGTCATCGATCTGAAGCCAATGTCCTGGCGGCCAAATTTCGGTGGGCCTGACCCGTACACCGTATGGGCAAATCCGAGCCTTTTCTGCGCCTCTATCTGGCTCTGAGATACAATATCCACGAACCCAACTTTATCAAGGGCATTTTTCTCCTTATTTCGATTTTGGTTTGCTGGTGTTCTTTCGTCAGTTTCGTCGATTTCGTTCCCTATCCATGTCGAGTTGAGATCGATGCCAAGTTCGCGGCTCAGCTTTTGTAAGCTCAGATTCAAGCGTTTCAAATGAATTTTGAGCACCTCAGGATCTATTGTGTCCTTGCATTTATCAAGTGTTTGGATGATATTATGTAAACCAACCAAAGATTTGACAACAAAGGCTGTGGATGGCGAGAGGTGCCAGGCGTCATGGTTGAGCCCTTGCAGGTATCGATTCTCAAGTGCCTTCGGATAATCTGGCGAGCCTGGTTCTGTATAGGTTCTATACCATGCAAGAAAGCCTTCTTGTGATTTTTCCAGTCGCTTTGACAGATGTAGAGGCCAGTACATAGATGCATAGTGTAGGAATTCGTGGTTTGGAAGGGAGAGACATTCGCTAGCGTAATTCTCACCCATTCTCATTCGCGTTTCGTGTTCGGTCCGAGAGCAAAGAAGATACATCGTTGCGATGCACGCCCTCAGCGACATGTCGTGTGCCGAGTCTAGGTCAATCAAGGAGGCTGGGATAACCGAACGGATCAAAATCTTGCTTTGGCGGTTTTCCAGCAAATATTCTCTCGCCGTTTGGTGGACGAAATAGACTTTGGACCGAATCACCCTCAAGAAGTGTCCACACAGTGACTTCAGATAGTTCTCGAAAGGATGTTTGAGATCATCATCCAAGTCGTCGAATATGCGCTTAGTGATGTCGGTAGCTAGTGCGCTGTTCATTTCCTCGAGTGTCAGGGGTCTTGCAGCACCGACGACCAATCGAAGCATCTTTGTCGCCTCAGACAAGTTCGTACTCCTCTCCAGTAATCGATCATACAAGGCATAAATATCTCGACTTGACAGAATGGCAATCATTTCCTTCCGAGAAGCTCCCCGAACACTTGCGTCCTTGAGCAATTTGATCATCAGTGTCGTCCAAAGGAATGTCCGATCTGCGCCATCAACAAGCCTTTTCTGCAGATCCGTTAGGGTCTTCTTTGGGAGTCCATGGGCCACCAGATCCTCAATATTTGCTAGAATCACACGTTCAACGTCCTTGCTAATGGCTTCAACTTCGTCCTCTCCTCGCAATCTGATCGTAGGTAGCTTTAGAAATGCAGCTTTTATAGCGTTCTCGGGACGACTGGTGACAATAAACTTTATGAATGGGGGTTTTTCAAGTTCGTCGGCGCCTCTCGAATAGAATTGGCAGAGCTTAGATGTCAAAAAGCCCACCGAGGTCTCTTGACATTCATCTAAGGCGTCCAAGATAACGGTAATATTTTGAGCTTGTCGTTGGCGTACTGTAGTCTCAAACATCTTCCAAAGGGTATGAGAGTTTTTTGTTATCCCGAAATTCGTCAATTTCTCGTCTTCGATTATTTGATGGAGTAACTCTGGCTGTGTTTTAAATATTTGATGCAGGATTGCGCTTAAAGCACAGGAAAGGTCTCTTTGGTCTTCGTTGTCGTCCTTGAAAAAGAAGTGGCAGACCGAGTCTACTGTTTTTGGAGTAGTCGCAATATCTTTCTCTCCGCTGCCCCTCCAGTTATTCTTAGATTTCAGATGATTCACGAGGAAGGACATGAGGACGGATTTTCCACAGCCAGGATCTGCTGAAACCCACAAAACTGCGGAAGAGTGTTTCTGTTCCCAGTCTTGGTACTGCTTGTGATTTAAAAGCCATTCACATGTACCCTCGACTCTTTCGGGGTTTCGCTCTCTGTAAGATTCATAATCTCCTCTCAGGAGGCTGTTGTAAAATCTCTCGTCGTCGTTAGTCCAAGCTGAAGCACTCGACTTAGTTTAAAAATTATTCCCTGCTCTCGCATCAATATCACTCACGTTTAGCTGTCTGATCAGCCATCGTTTTCAGATTAGTCCAAACATTGCGAAAAGTATTCGAGTTTCTGCTTGAAAATTGACAAATACTGCGGTGGTCTCCGTTGATCGCAATTGCTGTCTCATTTGGCAGACCAAGTACTGCTGAAGGCTCGTCCACTACCTAGAAATATGTCAATGGTCGTCTGCCCTAAGCCAAGAGACATGCAGACCTTAGAGTTTAAACCTTCCATTTTATCCGTTTCATAGAAACTCAGAATGGATAAATCCTTTCCGTAATCGACAAACGATCGAATGGTATCACTCAGCATTGCGGAATTCTGTTCCAAATCTCGCACCAGCGCAGCATTCGTATGAAGACCAAGACTCGATGCCTTCAGAATATTGGCAAAGATACTACCCCATGGTGCCAGAGTTGATCCTCTATGAGGCGTTCCGAAAAATGCGACACCGCAGAAATTCGACCGAAGGAATTCGAATCGCTCTCGTTGATGTGCCCTGATGATCGCCTGGTGCTCGATGTCAGCATTGCACGATTTGGTCTCGAGCCGTAGGAAACAAATTTCCTACTTTCTTGAAGACAATTCCACCTAAGCTGTGACAGATGAACAGAATAGGTCGCATGCGTTCCATGGGATGTAGCCGGACTGAGAGTATGTCTTCGAGGAGTTGCTCGGCGAACGTGTTGACACCTGCCGCAGCCTTGCTGAACTGCACTGTAGAATTATACCCATAACTTAGAATTCTAGCGTACGGGATTCTCTGCGGTAAGAAGTCTTTCAACCAATTGACACGGTCTCCTTCTGCTGATTCCGTAGACCAGGTTTTGTCGTAGTGCCCATTGAGACCGTGGATCGCAATGATGTCAACGACACCGGGCTCGTCCGAAGGCTGGTCATGAAGTATGAAGAGGCCGTACTTCTCCACATGTTTAGAGTCTGAAAAAGTCCCTTGATGCTGTTGGGCATCCTCCTTCAACGGGTTGCTCGCGTCACCATTTCTCCCAGCCTTGTCTTGATTGACCTTGTAGTGAGACTTTGCAGCAGTTGCTTCTGATATAGTCCCTGGGACTGGATAGAGGATATGAGGGTCTTTTTTCCTCTTCCAGAATAGCATAATAGGCCAAGATCATTATAGTTAAGCGTGTAAGTACTGTAGGCCGCAACGCCGGAGGTTGCAGATCACGTCCTGCCATGTGACGTGGCGACCTCAGGTCGCTTATTAAGATTTTCATATCATATCTGGGAAAAAGTAAAACGACCCCCCCGCCCCCCGCCCCCCAAACCCCCCAAGTATCGAGTAGGAGTAATAATAAATTTTAGAGTTTTAATAATGCCTAATTCATTATTTATATATGCTTAAGCCTTTCTCTCGAATCAGATTTCTTAATATAGGTAAAGGAAATTTATATGTAAGAGCTTTAGTTTTGGAGTATAAGAGAGCCTAGGTAATTATTACGCACGAGGCAAAAGTTCCAGGTACTTTATCGCTAAAATTTCAGGCTCTCTTAAGGTCAATACCGCTAATCGACACCCCCTCCCCCAAAATAATATTACTAATCGACACCCAAATTAACACCCCAAATTAATATCCTGGGAGGTATCGCTTTATATCTTCCTGTTTTATAAGAGGTTAAGAAGAAATAAGCATTACTATATGCCTATAAGACCCTTATTTTTCTGACTAATTGCGATATAGCCAAATTTGTCTGGAAATGACGACAATAACGACGACGATAATAATGTGCTATTCAGAGAATGCGATGCGCGCATTAGGTGCCAATTTACATTGATCTGTATACATTGGTACATACAAAGTAATATATACGGGCACCTGCCACCGCCTGCTGATTTCGGTTAGTGTGGCCCCCATCGACACCCCTAATCGACACCGGGGGGGGGTGGAGGAGGTGGGGGTCGTTTTACTTTTTCCCGGCGGATTCGGCACCGGTGGAAATGGAGGGACAGGCGGACAAGGCGGCCAGGGCGGCAGTGGCAGCGCTGAGCCTGTGAGGCGGCGGTTGCGCCAGAGATGGAGCAAATTCGCGTGAGCCGTCATACAAACAGTAGTATGTAGCAGTTCAACCCTGTCTATCCGTTAATCAGCAGCTCTAGAATTCTAACTGGTCAGTAGATGTTGGCTACCTTGGCAGCCAAACAAGCACGACCTAACCTCTTTCTCTAATCGAGCACTAAGGCAATCAATCAATCCACTTCCCCACGTCCCCGCTTCTCCAGACGCCCCGCCAAACCTCGGTAGGAATGGGAGGCCTCGCCACCTCGGACATCATTGGCATCGCCATCGGCGTGCCATCCGGCGTACTCGCCCTGGTCGGCGTTGCCATCTCGTTTTGCGCCTGGCAGTTTCCAGACTCGCGAATTGGCAAGGCCGGCGTCGCGATTGGCAATCGATTCTCCGTTCGGGGTGGAGATGCTCGCGGTGGTGATGCCAGCGGTGCTGGAGCGCGCGGCGGGAATGCTGCGGGTGGGAGTGCTTTCGGGAGAGGTGCCCAGCATGAAGACTCTCGGGATGATGATGCCGGAACTCATGGCACGTACGACATCGAGGCCCATGCTGAAAGCGAGGCCAAGGGCGGGGATGCCCAAGGTGGGAATGCTTACGGCAATTCCTGCTGGGGGAGATGCTAGAGGTGGAGATGCTAGAGCCATGCGAGCCAGGGGCGGTGACGCTTTCGGTGGATCTGCCATATATAAGGAGTGATGCTCGCTGTGGAGAGAGTGGTACCTCTGTTTATGTCGTTTGAGAGAGATCGGAGATGTTGCTGGGATGGTGCTGAAAAAAAATTTGACCTCGTTCGTATCCTTGTACCGTTGCAGTGCTTGTCAGGCTGCATTTGATAAAGGTATGCAATTCTTCCCGTACATAGATGCGAGTGGTAATGGGACGTCATCAACATATAGCTCTTCTTCGCACTACCACGAGGAGAGTTAGAGCCAGTTCCAAAGTATGAAATTAAGTTGAGAGGGTTTCCTCAGTATTGTAATAACCAGACTATACGCATTTGTTCTGGCGAACAGATAGACCTCTGAAGCAATCCTACCATTCTTTCTCGATCAAGAGATAGGGACCCTACTCACCGACCAGAATTGGAAGTCAAGAATGGAGCTCATTACGCTCCGACTTCAACGAGGGATAGTGAAGTTGAAGTGGAGTGTAGTCAATTTAAACTAGGAACTTGGAAAGGAGGACGGACCAAGCCGCTTCCGGAATAGTCCAAGTTGCCCCTCAGAATGGATATCATATCAGTCAGTGTACCCTTCCAACCCCTGCCAACCCCCCCTCGTTTAGCTCGCGCAGCATTCCCAAACCAGGATTGTCCGCCCAAAGGAGTCATATTCGCGCTCGACAGTGGCCAACTCTCTTTTAGTTTATAGATGATAATAATACTAGGTAAGACAGCCCTAGAATCTAATATTAATGTAATTTAGAATTTCATACCGAACACATGAGTGGTAGGGTGCAAGTAAGGCGACTCAAAGTCCCTTCAATATCGTTTACCGGACAGATTCAAATTCGCTCAGCCACCCAAGTGAATCCCCTAGTGCCACAGGCCTTTGTGGTTTGTGGTGTTTCAATATTTTGATAGTACGTCTACGCGAACCCCCTTCCCTCTGTTCCTCATGGTAAATAGCGACCGGTCGTATTCTTCACAGTTTGGTGGCCTTTCCCCTCAATTTTTTTGACTTGATCATATGATTGACTTGTTCATGCATCAATTGTCTCCTGTTTCTAGCGTACAGAAGGGTTTAATATCAACAGAACACCTAGTGTCCGTCTTTTTGTAGGTTCAACTCTCTGTCCTGAATGTGCTCAACTACTTCCTTCCTGCCTCCACGATGTATCATATTTCCCTAAAACATCAAAATACCAGCACCGACCATGACAATCGTTGCCAAAAGCCCGCACTTGGCATTGAGCATTCCAGCACTACTCTTGGAGGTGCTCGACGCCGCGGCAGCAGACGAGGAAGTGGAAGCAGAAGCAGCTGCTTTAGTTATCGAAAGATCAGTAAAGACTTTACAAAAAATGGATGGTTTCACATACCAGCGCCCTTCTCAGCCTTCGCCGCTGCCTTCGCCGACGTGATGCTAGTACAGGCGTCCGTAAGCGTAGTGTTTGCCTGCAAAGTCTGCAACTTGACCGCTGCAGCAGAAGCCTTGGCCTGGTACTCAGCAATCTTCGTAGCATTGTTCTTTGCCTTGTCGGCAAGCTTGGTTTCGTTGGCGGCGAGAGCCACAAGCTTCGTCATAGATGTAATCTGATTGCAATCATCCTCCGTCTTCTGAGCTGCAGCGATAACGGCACAGGTGGAGACGAGAGTGGTGTTTGACTCCATGGTGGTAAGTTGCGTGGAGGCATCGGACGCCTTGGCTTGGATCTCGGCGATCTTGGTTGCGTTGTTGTTGGTCTTGTCTGCGAGCTTGGTTTCGTTGGAAGCGAGTGCCACAAGCTTGGTCAGGGTGGCCATTTCTTTGCAGAGAGACTTATCGGTGACGGCCTTGGTGGAAGTCCCATTCTTGCCTTTTGCGGCAACCGCTGTAGTGAGGAGGAGGGAGATGAAGAGGTTGGTGAACTGCATTTTGATGGTGGGAAGTTATCAAGAAACAAAATTTGAAAGGATTAGATATTGGAAGTAAAGCGGTCCTGCCGAAGTGTTGAGAACGGAATGGAGATTGAAGATGATGAGATGATATCCAGATGCTGTTCTTTGAATGAAAAGGCCGTGGTATATATCCTACGTCGCAACCTTGCAACCCCACCTGCTTTGAACCCCTCTTGAGGATCCATTCTTACATGAGCTCTAGCTAAGAGCATCACAAAGCAAGCGCCCGTCTGGAACACAAGTGTCGCCGCTGCAGCTCCAGAATGTTTTGGATGGCACATCAAGGCGGTTGTCCGATCTTCTCATCACCACGTTTGGAGACAAAAAAAGATGTCGGAGGGTCCAATGCAAGACTGATCTGCCGATAAAACGCCGCGTAAGATCTCCGCGCAGCTCAAAGTCATGATCCGGCACATCTTCCAGTGCGTATCTCACAGTTTGGAAGGTAGAGCCGCTGTGTTTCGCTGACGACGGAGAGTTATTTATACTCCTAACAGAGTGGGGCGTTTGCCGAACTCCGGGGAGGTGGTTGGGCACGGGAACACGAAACAGATCTCGTCAGGAATCTGACATCCCAAAGCGTATGTGGAGAGTGAGGGGAGTGGACCGTACGGGAGAATTCCGTTATTTTTCCATCGTCGAAACAAAAGCAGCTCAGTGAAAGAGCGGGCTGGAAATTCATGACACTATTCCTCACAAAAGGGAAAGAAACACTGCTATGCTTCGGTTCTGACTTCAAAATAAATCCTCACCAAGTTACTCCAAACCCATCTGACGTAGCCTTCGAGAGGCTAAGAGCTCAGTCATTATGTGCTCCATCCATGTTGAGCTCGTCAAAGAAGACTGGTGGTTAAGTTCAAGAACTGGAGACAATTTGACGTTCGTCACTCGGATGGTTTCGAGCCTGAGAACACACTTCGCGTCGCCCCACTCTTTTAAATTTACCGTCCACTCGGGATCCACCCTGATGTATGAAACTCTGGCCCCAACATCGGCTTGAAACATCTTGAGGGGAAATTTCAGCGACTGTCCAATTTCCGTTGCTTCTGCATCCCCAAACTTCCAAATTCTCCGGCGAAGGATTGTTCCCTTTGACGCCGTACTTGACTGGCCAAAGCACAGAACAGATTTCTCACCAAGCATCCTGTACATCAAGGTCCAGCATGTAGGACAGAACCTCGAACTCTCGGGCTAACAGCTTCATCAATCGACTTTGCGGGGTTGGTCACGGGATTGGTCTCCCTTGTAAGGCTGATCTGACTCGAGCAATCTCGGCTCATTTGCCCCTGAATCTTCGCATCCTCTCTAGAACCTTCGTCATGCCATCCAAACCTTTACACTCATTGGACGAAAAGTCGGGGCTACACCAGGCAAGCTCTCCTTTTGGGAATCATCCAGAGTAGATGCAATCTATCATCCCAAGCTCCCCAGACTCTCCATCACATAGATTGAATATGGTCCAGAAAATAATGTATATTTCCTCATCCGAGTCGGGGGGCGGAAACATTTCTGACCCGCAATTTCGCCTTCATCTGGCATCACCACTATGGCAAGCTTTCATCTTCCACCGTATATAAACCATTCTGGGGCTGCCAAGTACTCCCTCTCCGCACAGCCTTCAAGCTTTCCGGGACTTTTCATTCCAACCACTCATTTTCACATTGCCGTGCTGGTCATGATGCGTTCCTTCCTTTTCCTTGCAACGATTGCTCCTTTGGTTATCGCGTGCAATAGCCCAAAAACTGATGGTTGTGCCTCTGCTTTTACGGCCTCGTCTTCGGATGCGGCGGCTTTCTGTGCAAGGTATACGACAGCTCCGGTGACACAGACTACGGATCTGCCCGCTTATGCGAAGTATTGTTCAATGAAGCCGAAGAAGCTTTCGAGTGTTTGTAGCTGTCTTGTTGTGCGGACGACTTTGCAGACTGTTGCAGCGAATTATTCTTCCACGACAGCAGCGAAAGTTACTAGCGCTACTGGTGCAGCAGGAGGAGATGGAACGGCTTGCACAGCCACGGAATATGCACAGATCACCTCCGTCGTCAAGTCATGTACTAACATTGTCCTGGACAACATCTCGGCACCAGCCAGCTCCACCATTGATCTCATCGCTCTCCAGACCGGCTCAACGGTCACTTTTTCTGGAACAACCGTAAGTAGGACAGGGTCTAAGATGTTATGCAGAAACTGATACAACCAGTCCTTTGACACAACTTCCAATGATAACTTTGATCCTATCGTGATCGGCGGTACTGACATCACCATCACGGGCGCAGATGGCCACGTAATTGATGGCAATGGAGCAGCATACTGGGATGGAAAAGGCTCAAACGATGGAGTTGCAAAGTAAGCCGTCTCTTCTCTCTACCCCCAACAACCATGCTGATTGTGATAGGCCTGACCACTTCATCGTCCTCAAAGACATTACCAACGGCCATATCTCCAACTTGAATGTCCAGAACTGGCCAGTCCACTGCTTCGACATCACGGGTGCTGATGGCTTGACAATCACCGGTCTGACTCTCGACAACTCAGCTGGTGATGCTTCTAACTCTGCGAGTGACGGTAAGGCAGCTGCACACAATTCAGATGGCTTTGACATCTCGGGCTCCACGAATGTGGTGTTAGCAAACACAGTGGTGAAGAACCAAGATGACTGCGTGGCCGTCACTAGTGGAACAAACATCACCGTGACAGGAATGACCTGCTCTGGAGGACAGTGAGACCACCCGATCTCCTGAAATCGGGCAAATAGAAAGCTGACTACGACCTCTTCAGTGGTTTGAGCATTGGCTCTGTCGGCGGAAAGAGCGACAACTCAGTCTCCGGCATCACCTTCTCAGACTCCACCATAACCGACAGCGAAAATGGCTGCAGAATCAAATCCAACGCTGGCAAGACTGGTACAATCGAGAACATCGTGTACCAAAATATCGTTCTCTCAGGTATCACCGACTACGGCATTGATGTTCAGCAAAATTATCTGAATGGAGGAGCAACAGGTGACCCAACGAACGGCGTCACGATTTCGGGCGTGACGTTCAGCAATGTGACGGGTACTGTAACTTCCTATGGAACGAACTATTATGTTCTCTGTGGCAGCTCAAGTTGCAGCGATTTCAAGTTCACGAATGTTGCCATCACTGGAGGGGGAACGGCCAGTACTTGCAATTTCCCTTCGACGGGATGCCTGTCGTAGAATGGTGATTGGGAAGAGAAATTCTATTCTATGTACCTATTTTACCCTTGGCCTAGATTTTGGCAGCTGGGAGGAAAGGCTGGGAGGTGTTGCACCACGATACAACTTCTCGCAACGAGTTGCTGTCAGATGGACCCGCCAAGTCACATATTTCGTGTATTTATAAATTTTCACTTGGCTTCAACCGAAAGGCATGCCAAACGTTTGAAACTTGTGAAGATCAAGTATTGGGGGTTCCGGTTGAGAATGTTTTGGAGACGAAGGGATACACGAACATGGCACTGTACATTCTCTGAAAAGGAAAGATCGCCCACAGTTACGCCACGCGAAACAAAGAACGCCTCAATTTCTACCTACGATTTATTAGGGTTGATGACATGAATCAAATGTCCGCTGTATCCACAACAAGGTTTGTTCGTGGAGTGACTCGCCTGTTCAAAGACTATATGATCACTTGTCACTTTATTAGACGCTCTCAACATCCAAGATACTTCAAGGATATGTAACACCCACATCTTCGTGTACTTCATGCAATAAAAGCCGCCAGAATCTTTACATCGGCTTGTACAGTAAGGAATCGAACTTCTGGGTGCGATTTGAGGGTCACGTGATGTGACTGCATCCAGCCTTTGGGGTCCCAAGCGTGAATCGCAAGGGAAACAAGGCAGAGCTTCTATCTTTCGTTTGGCATACCTTGCACTCACAGAAGAGAATATTCAGACGATATTGATAGAATTCATGCGACGGTGCAATTAAGATGAACGTGTCAAAGTACCCCAGCGGTGCAAGGTCTGCCAAGACAGGCAGCCCGCCCATCGGCCGGGGTCAACAAAGACGAGCCCCCATCAACCACAACCGCATCCAGTCCTCAAAGGAATCACTGTCGCACAAGCACATACCTCGAGATTGGCGTAGGACGGAAGCTTAGCCCTGTAAGATGCTGTGTCCGCAATCTTGAGCAGCCGCACATGTCTCTTCGGATGGAATCGCATTGACCCGTACTCTCCTCCTGAAACCTCTTATCGTCGTCAATGGCTGGGCACCCCGAAGAAGCCGCCCAGCTCCTGCCGGGCTTGCAGGAGGACAATGAAAGGACATCAGAAGACTCGGTGTCCACGGCTTCGACCACGAGTCTGGTCTTCGAGCGCATTGGATTACGGGTTGATGCCGAGAATGAGAAGAAGCTGAATGGGAACGGCAACAAGAAGATGGTGACGCCGAAATTCCCCCCGAATCGCGAGCCCTTGGCATACGCAGACGACGAACATGCACAGCAACTGCTCGAGGACGAAGAGAAGGATGATTACGATGTTGAGAATGGGCCGTATATAAATAATTCGAGCGATAGGAAGGTCGACAAGAACTTTAGGCGGTTGATGTTCATACTAGGAGGCATATTTATAGGAGCTTGGGTCGTGGCACTGGTTATATTTTTGAGCAGACAGGCGTATCGGCATCCATCCACAACTCCTCATGATCCTGATGCAATGTCTTCGAAAGGAAACGGGAAGGAGGTTACCCTAGATCAGGTTATGGGTGGACAATGGAGGGCTACACATCATGATATCAGTTGGATTGAGGGAGCAAATGGCGAGGATGGGCTGCTGCTGGAACAAGGTGCTGGAGGCAAGGATTATCTGGTTGTCGAAGATATCAGAGGTGCAGAAGGCGACGCAGCGGCCGCTGGAACGAAGACTCTGATGAAGCAGTCATACTTTGAAGTTGGTGGCAAGGGATACTCGCCAAGTCGGGTTTACCCAAGCAAAGATTTGAAGAAAGTTCTTATCGCGACGGACTACAATTCGAATTGGAGGCACTCATTCAATGCGAAGTACTTTATCTTTGACGTCGAAACTCAGACAGCTGAAGCGTTGGATCCCACTGCGCCGGACGATTACATACAACTCGCAAGTTGGAGCCCGCAGAGCGATGCTGTAGTGTTTACAAGAGAAAACAACCTCTTCCTGCGGAAACTATCATCCCAGAAAGTCACCCAGATCACCACGGACGGAGGTACAAATTGCTTCTACGGGATCCCCGACTGGGTATATGAGGAGGAAGTGTTTGGAGGAAATAGTGCGACTTGGTGGGCCGAAGATGGAAAATACATTGCATTCTTGCGGACCAACGAGACCGAAGTACCAGAATACCCTATTCAATATTTCGTTTCCCGACCAAGTGGTGTTCAGCCACCCGAAGGTGAGGAGAATTATCCAGAAGTAAGAGAGATCAAATATCCCAAAGCTGGCGCACCAAATCCGACAGTGGACTTGCAATTCTACGATGTAGCTAAGGGCGACGTCTTCGAGGTCAAGATTGCTGGCTCATTTGCTCCAGATAATCTTTTGATCACGGAAGTTGTCTGGGCTGGCTCGACTGGAAAGGCTCTTATCCGCGAAACCAATAGAGAAAGCGATATTCTCCGAGTTGTTATCGTCGACGTAGAGACGAGGACCGGAAAGACAGTCCGCACTGAGGATGTTCAAAAGCTTGACGGGGGGTGGTTTGAAGTCTCCGAGAACACTCGTTATGTTCCTGCTGACCCCTCCAACGGTCGACCACACGACGGGTATATTGATACGGTGATATATAAAAACTATGACCACTTGGGATATTTCACACCAATGGACAATCCGGAGCCAATTATGCTTACATCTGGCGACTGGGAAGTTGTTGATGCTCCTTCAGCAATGGATCTGAAGAGGAATTTAGTTTACTTTCGAGCCACAAAAGAGGGATCAATCCAGCGTCATGTTTACAGTGTCAATCTGGATGGCACAAATATGCAGGCCCTTACGGATACCAACAAAGACGGGTACTATGCCGTTTCATTTTCGAGCGGCGCTGGCTATGCACTTCTGAGCTACAATGGACCCAACATCCCCTGGCAAAGGGTCATCAGCACTCCCAGCAACACGAATCATTACGAGAAGACCATTGAGGAGAATCCAAGACTCGCAGAGATGGCAGCCCAGCATGAGCTTCCCATCAAAATATACTCCACTGTAAACATCGACGGATTCGAGCTCAATGTGGTTGAGCGTCGCCCTCCTCATTTCAACGAGAAGAAACAATACCCCATCTTATTCTACTTGTACGGCGGGCCAGGATCTCAAATGGTCGATAAGGCCTTCACCGTCGATTTCCAGGCTTACATTGCAGCCAATCTTGGGTACATTGTTGTGACTGTCGATGGACGTGGCACAGGATATATCGGACGAAAAGCTCGAACAATCATCCGTGGAAACATCGGCTATTACGAAGCATACGATCAAATCGCCACGGCCAAAATCTGGACTCAGAAGAGATATGTCGATGCTTCAAGAATGGCGATTTGGGGCTGGTCGTACGGCGGCTTTATGACACTAAAGACTCTCGAGCAGGATGCTGGAGAGACATTTTCCTACGGAATGGCAGTCGCACCTGTCACAGACTGGAGGTTTTACGATTCGATTTATACGGAACGATATATGCACACTCCTCAACACAACCGAGAAGGATACGATAACTCCAGCATCTCAAACATGACGGCTCTCCACCAGAATGTCAGATTCTTGATCATGCACGGTGTTGCGGACGATAATGTTCACATGCAAAACTCCTTGACCCTGCTAGACAAGCTGGATCTCGCTGGGGTGGAGAATTACGATGTCCACGTTTTCCCAGACAGCGATCATAGCATTTATTTCCACAATGCGAATAGAATTGTTTATGATAGTAAGCTCCTTTCCTGATCACTTCCCTCTCCTGTTCCCTTTCCTTCGCCGTGTCCCTTGTCCACGGCAAGCTAACAATAAATCAGAACTCAACAACTGGCTAATCAATGCATTCAATGGCGAATGGCTCCGCACAGCAAACGCCAGCCCCCTTCAACTCGACAGTATATCCGACAAGCGGGATCTCATATTTTCTTGAATCGAACTCACAGCATTGGGCGGCGTTCACGGTTTAGGATGGGCATTGAGCGATTTAATTGATTGTAAGAGTAAAAATATCGCTATAGTCTTTGGCTCTACTATGCTAAACTCAAATCGTGTCTCGATCTCATCGTAAATACAGACGAGAATGTCTTAAAATTCGCACTTGACTTATGAGTCTGTTCAGGTCTATCCAAAAATCCAAGCCTCCAAGCCTCTTTTTTTGGTCTTTTACTGTTTTCGTTGAAATGTTGATGCTGGATTTGCACTTGCCTTGACTTTATATCAATGCGTTTAGACCGCCTTGTGGGCATATGATCGCGTCGTAGAGATCGTCTCAATTGAGGCACATGCCTTCAAGACGCCTTGATCCCAAGTGCAAACAAGCTCCGTCTCAACCCCACCCCTTCCTGCCTTCATCTTCGAGGCAGATGCAGCTGGTAGCTCCTTGGGGCTCGCGATATAAGAATCACAAAGTCCTGGTCGACTGATGCGAGACGACAGTCTGATTTCTTCCTTTCTTGTTTTTGGCTTTCCCTGCATGCTCAAGCTCAACGGCTCGAGCTTGGGGAGCTTGGGGAGTTCAAGGTCAAATCCCAGTTCTCCTGCGATCTTCATCTCTGGCGTGGTAGGGTGCGCAGAGACGAAACATTGCCAGGATTCTTCTTCCTGCAAGGAGAGCTGGGCATGCCTGTTGGGTTCCTTTCTGTCATCAGGACTAGCGGGGTGGGTGTTGAAGTATGCGGGGATTTGACCTACAGTTGGTGAGACGTAGGTCGAGTCTGGGTGTCCTGGACGGAGTACAGTTGGTGCCCGTGCTACCGGTGCTTCTGCTGAAAAGTGGTAGCTGTAACGCTCGCCAGCGAGCGTTGTGGGCTTGGTTGGCCTGGGAATGCCTTCCGGATAGAAGAGTTTGGAGTTCAGCTTATAATCACGGGCATAGGGTTGGCTGTTTCGCGGGCCAGCGCTGAGGATAGTCGGTGTTCGATTTACCTCTGTCGAGGCCGTAGTCGCATTGTGTTGACTTCCTCCGTGCAGGGCAGCGAGCGCTTTTGGGTCGTATTGCCTTGTGGTGTAGTCACCCCCCAAGAAGAGCTCTCCTGCTTGCTCATCGGCTCGAGAGTGTCGATTGACCTTTGGAAGCATGGCCTTGCCATCGATTTCCGTTGCGGAAAAGACTGGGGGTGCGGCGAAGGGCGGCTGTCTGAATTGCGTCTGGTCGGAAAAGTATGTCGAGGCTGATGCAGGTAGTGGCTGCATGTGAGTCGTGCCTTTGGCAGCAACATGTTCAGCAAAGGATTTCTTTACCGTAGTTGGCGGCAGTAGCTTCCGAGGTGGCATCAGCTGAGTAGCAAATGCCGTGTTCGGCTTCGTCTGGTAGGTGTTTTCTGAAGGCAATTCAATTGCATACTTCTCCTGTGGCCGTGGTGGAAGTGGTTTTCTCGCCAGTTTCTGCTGGCGAGGAGTTGCAGCAGCAGTAGCAGTCGCTGGCTTTCGTCCGGTCTCTCCTTCGACCTTACAGATTGTCGAAGGATTGGGTTGTCTCTGTCGAGTACTCTGTCTCTGAATGCCGCGTCCAGGCGGATTCTGGCGCAGAGGATGAAACTGCGATGGTAGGGTATCGAGTTGAGAGCCAGGTGCCGGCAGGGTGATAGTCTTCACCATGTAACAGGGTTCCTGCTGGTATGGCAGGTCATCCCCAATTGACCAGCTCTTCCCAAGCTTTTCCTTGGATTCGTTCTCTTCTGGTTCCTCTATAATGATAGAAGGAATATCACCTGGGCCTAACAAGGCCGTGACTTTGAGTGGGCGTCTCCTTCCCGCCAAGTTCGGTGGTCCTGGTCGAATTCTTCTTCCCCGAGTCGGATTGGGAATATTCGCCTCATACTTAACGACGCCGGCAGCGGCGAGAGGAGCGAAAGATCCTGGGTGCTCCCCAAGAACTTTGTCGCTCAAGCTCAATATCTTCTTTCTCCACGACAGCGGTGCATAATGGCCAGCATTTGCGGCTGCGGCCTGTCTGGCCTTTGCCTCAGTCTTGTTGTGGGCTTCACAGACTCCACATTTGCCATCAACTCGTCGAATCACCTCGGTGGTCCCGCATTGTACTGTATGCGGAAAGGGGATGCCGTTCTTTTTTGCTTTGCATAGGCCGGTTGAATGGACCAAGTCGTGCTTGCAGGCATATTCTGTTATGTGTTAGTAGTGGGTAGTTTGAGAATGAAGGGACGGGGGGATGTTTTACCTGTTACCACGTAGCTACACATCTTGCTTCTTTGCTATTTCAGTTGATTCAAGTCGGGTGTCGATACACAGGATGAAGACTGGTCGTTAAAAGGAGCGCGGAGAATATAAGTAGGTCAAGGCAAGTCCGGCTTGCTGATGTCGAGAGAAGTTGCTAGAGAGTAGGGTGAAGCAGGAGTTTTATTCTGGATTTCGAGTATTGTTTTTGCAATACAATTGGCACCTGCTAAATTTAAAATGACTGGAATCGATTACAATGGGACAAATATATCGATTATGAGGAAATATGGCCACGGCATTGTTCTGGCAGAACAAGTCTGCTGCTGCCTTTGTCGACGAACAATCTCGACGAACAACAGAACAACGGCAACGAACAGGAACAACAAGTCCCGCTATACAACGCCATTGTCAAGAAACCTCCACAAAGCTTCTTTCACAATTTCTCCGTCAATGGCGGGTCCTATATAGCAGTTTGCTGTTCCCCGAGCACAATTACTTTGTATCATCAGTACAACTTCTCATTTCTCGACCTTGAACAAGACTCTCTTCTTTCGACGCTGGCGTTTTTTTTATTAACCAACCACATTTATTCAACTATATTTCGTTACAGCCTCAAATCCATATACTTGCGCTCAAAATGGACGCCGCTTCCCGTTTCTTTCCCAGCCGCACTTACTGGGAGCCAATCCGACCCTCCGGCGAGGAAGTTGCTGAGCGCGTACAAGCGTACAAACACTGCGACACTCATCCAAAACGAGGCTCCCAAACAGACACCCCACTTTATTCATCAAGCGTGGATCCTGCCCAGCCATTTCGGACCCAAATCAAGGCCCCAGAATTCAAAGTCGCCATGCGCGACAAGAAGTTTAAATGGTGGAATGCACCTCCTAAAACGGATCCCAAATCGAAACTTGAAGCCGCCAAGTCTGGTAAGCTCGAACTCCACGTTCCAAGTGTTGAGGCGCTCGAAATTGATGCCCCTTTTCTCTCACCAAGCCGCGATGGCCTTCGCTCGTTTCGTGCTGCTTCCTACCAGTTGGTGGAGCGTGACCGGTTGTTTAAACTCTACAACGGGAGTGGGCGCTCCAAAGAGCCAGTTGGGGCCTATGAGACTCATTATCTTGACCACAATATCCACGCCAAGCTTCCTGCTGCCGAACCCAAAGAAGAGAAGCCTAGTGCCGAAGCCGAAAGGATCGGTACTTGGTGGAGTTGTGTGGTAAGTATTGAGTGGAAGACGAACTGGACGCTGTTTTGGGCGTGCTCTACGTGGATTGGCCTTTTCATCACTGGGGCGGGCACGTTATTCTGGGGCATGGAGCCCATTGTCAAGCCGGTCTTGGCTTTCATTTCCCAGTGGGTAGTGGAACTTGCTTTCGCGTGGTGCTTTCTTTTCCTCCTGGCTTTGCTAGTAATATAATATAATATAATACAATGTAATATAATCTCGGTTGAAGTTGGCCTTAGGACCCCTCCGTGAGTTTTTGCGTGTAGCGTTGTGATTTCCATGTGAATAATCGCCCCTCCCGGATTTGGGTCCATTTTGTGAACAAAGGTTTTGCCCAGCAAATCTTTGTTTCGAGGATCGAGTGAACTCTGTGTTGGTAGGATTAGGAATGGATTCTTTGTTCCTCAAAGGTTGCACGTGATCATTTCCGACTGATCTGAACGCAGAGTATAACCCCTTGAGTTGCAAGACTTGTGAATAGATCAATAATGATTTTGGTGTTCCGCCCTGTTTGTTGGAATCCGTTTCCTCAACTCTGCTGGGCAGCTCCTTCCTGGTTGCAACATGACCGGATGCCGCCAACTATTTCCGGCCCTGGCTTTCTCCCCATGGCACCTTCCCAATCTCAAACCATCTTCCTGTTCTGTTTTGTCCTTCTCCTCGTTTTTTCATCCATCATCCATCAACAAAACTTGCCCAAACATCATCAACGTTGCTATCATTTCGCCTCCAGACATCTTTAGATCATTCTCTGTATACACAAAGCAGCAATACACCACTCACGAATCACTTCCTCAACATGGGTGTCATCAACCGCCCTCCAATCTACTTGAACGCGCACCCTCTGCCAACGCCTCCTAGAGACCTGAAGCACGAGGTATCCGAGCTCTCCGTTTCCGAGTGTCCGCGTCCGGGCAAGAAGCAACGGAACACATATGAGAAGCTCACCCCGCTACACAGATCGCAAGATGAACATGGAAACCAAGGAGAAGGCGAACTCGTCCAAGACCACATGAGAGGTCTCTCACCAGAGGAGTGCGACCTTTATTCCTCACCAGAGTTGCTGGAGAAGCAAGACGAGCCGAAGTGCAACGCTCACTCTAAAGACTTCGCGGCTTGCTCGCCGGATTTGCTGAAGGATTGGGAAGAGAAATTGGTCGCCCAGTCAAAAGATCTCGGTCGTGAGGCGGTTCCACTGGACACGGAATATAAAAGCGGCTTCAATTGTTTGCAGAACATGGGAGATAGTGTCATGGAGTCTTTGAAGCGGTACCAAGAATGGTATCGAAAGAAGGACCAGCACATAATCTTCAAGAACAGAGCGAAGAAATTGCTCGACAAGAATTGGGAAATTGAATGTAAGGCGATGTTGCATTTATTCGAGGCCACGCTGCGCTGCCGGAATTGCAACGAGTGCCACTTGCAAGAGACGTTTATCGAAAAGTGCAACGCTTTGAAAGCAGGACTCGAAGGTGTAGATTCGAACACGGTAGATCAAGCTCTCCTTGACCGCATCAAGGACGAGGCCCGGAAGATGGGCGGGGAGCATCTTGCGGCGGTGAAGGAATCAAGATGCCAGGGTATTAAAACAGTGTGGCAGATCGGTCAGACGTTCTCGCGAGATAGAGCAGACTCGGGAGTCGATTTGGCAAACGAGCTTGAGACGGAATAATGGTGCAGAGCTTCTGGGCAGGAAGATATTGATTGAGGAGGAATGCAAAGAAAGGAGCGGGGACGATTGAAAGTTCGGAACAAGAATATAACATAGAGTTGGTGCTTCTGACATTATTAGCTCCGAATAACAAGCACTGGCACGCATTCAACACTTTCCCTGACCATTACAATCTTGCAAACCTACCCCTTCTGGCCCTTCATGCGCTTCTGATCTTCAAGCCCAAGCGGCGGCACAGCCCAATCATCATCAAACCTTCCCTTCTCCCCAAAGCCTTCCAGCAATGCCTTCACATACATGTTCTCCTCCGGCCTCTTATAAAACACACCCCCACTCATCTCAATAGCCTCACACCTCTCTTCCGTCGATACCGCATTCCTAACCCTCAAACTATGCCCCCGATCCTCCCCCCATCGACTCTGCCTCCTCAGTACCCAAACCCCACCCGTCTCCGGCCATCCCAGCGTCAACACCTCCATCTCCTCAGGCTTCATCCCCTTCGACATCTGCACATACTTCGCCCACCAATCCCAATGACTAGAGAACCACTTCCCGCCGATCTTTCGAAGTTGCCGACAGAAGATGTCCTCGGCGGTTTGGTTGAGAGACCGGGGCGTGGAGGTGAAGCGTGGGAGGTTGAGGAAGGTGAGCTCGACGGGTGTCACGCGATCGGCGATTATGAGACCGCCGATGGAGGGCCAACAGATCACGGTATTGGAACCGCCGAGGGTGGAAAGGGAGAGCCGCTCGGTTTGGAAGGGTTGTGTGTCCGAGTCGTGGTAGGTTTCTCGGTAAGGGTCGTAGTCTGAGAGCGTGTTTTCGTGCTTGGGTGGCGTGTGTTGAGCTTTCTCTGGCGGGGGGATGGGGAGGTCAGGTGATGCTGATTTGTTGTTTGAGAGAGCGATGCCGAGGAGGAAGGCGAGGGGGAAGAGGAAGAAGATGAGGATGAGAGGACGCCGGTTTTGCGGGGGCTCCGTTGCTGGCGCCATCCTGGGGTAGGAGCTGGATGTGTGTTGAGAGAAGAACGCGAAAGAGAAGAAAAAAAAGGCTCAAGCAATGACGTCGGAACTGTGAGGTTACACTGGTGGATCCTCGCCAGAGCCACGCGGGGGCCCCTGAATGGTCCAGGCATCCACCAGTGATGAAAGGCCGCTATCAACAATGCTCCTACTTGATGAAATGTCTTGATAACGCTTCCGTTGAGTTTAAAGCTTACACTTCAAAAGCTTGCTTCGTACTCTCAAAAATAGAGATAGTCCCACTTGGGCTGCGAAAATCCAGAGCTTGCCCCTTGTCCTGTGGCGTCCAATGGCAGCATTTAATATATTTGAGACACAAACAGGACCAGGGAACACGTGTTCAAATCATAAGCAAGCTTGGAAAGCAATTGAAGCATAAATACGGCAAACATATTAAGCAAAGCAACGCGGCGAATGGAAGATATCATCAAATATCTTAGATGCAATCAGGGAAGCGCTACACACTCGATCTCAATATCAGCGCCTTTAGGTAACTGCTTGACCGCAACACAGCTTCTCGCAGGTTTGTGCTTAATCCACTTCTCATATTCCGCATTCATCTCGGCAAAGTCCTTCATATCCGTTAAGAATATTTGAGCTTTGACAATCTTGTCCAGCGAGGAACCGGCCTCTGTGAGAACCGCCGAGAGAGCTTTCAGACATGACCCGGTTCTTTGACCCATTGTTCCTTCAATGATATTTCCTCGTGAATCTGCTGGCAGTTGACCTGAGCAGTATATTGCGTGTGGTGTCTTGATGGCTTGGGACTGGAGGTGTCAGATTCGACACGTGATGCGGATGGAGGGGTGCTCACATATGGCCCAACAGCTGCAGATCTCGTCAGATATTGAGGGCCCGATCCTTAGGGTCTAATGGGATATAGAGACTAACGAGGCATGGCATTTTTGGTGAGAATTGGTGTCATGTTTGACATGATTCGCGGTTGCACTCGAAAGCCTCTCTTGAAATATGTTACTGGGACGAAGTTGCGGAGAGTCCTTGAAGTCTGTGAGACTGCCCTTAGCAGGTTCGCCATATTGGAGAAGTGAGGTGAATTAGATGTACTTTCAATACTCAATTGAGGGTGGGGAGATGCCGAGACGTAATTCTGGTCGACCCATCAGGAAAAGTGGCAAGGCGGGTCTTAGTCAGCATACTGCACGTGAATGCCCCTATTTCTTGCGGTCAACCACCAACTTTGCAACGCTCAATTTACAGTTCTTGGGTGGTCATCAAGTTCCAAAATCATCTTATTGGAAAGAGGGGTTCATAAGCATTTTGTAACATTTAGAGTTTCCTTTTTCTGACCCCAGCACGCCCTTGCTGCTGGCCAATAAAGTCGCGCTAAGAGACCGGGAGAAGGACACCTTGCGCGGCTTCAAGTTCCAAGCCATAATTTTTATGAAGGAGCTGAACAGCACCTGTTCTCCCTCACAACGCACGACAGCAACGTCGCCTCTTGATCGCCCTTTCGATCGATGCTCCTTTCGTTGCATTGAATCTTGCGTTGATCTTCTTCTTTGGTATGTGAATCCGCGAATACACAATCAAGCTCGGATTAAGAGCTTTGCAAGCTCACCTCGAGCTCCAGCTGACTGACCTTTTGACACGCAGATACTTTCCTTTAGTTTGATCCCTCGGGATTCCTTCAATATGTCCCAACAAGGTTCCGTGCGGAAACGGAAAGACGGCTCTGTTGTTGGGAAAGCGAAAGAGCCTGCGGCAACTGGCATCGCAGCTCTTCGAGAACCCGACCTCGATGCGTTAGTCAAGGCGAATATGGAGATCAAGGCCCCGGGTGTAGAATGGAACTACCGGATCGCACTCACACTCATCACGATCTTGGCCTTCGTAACACGATTCTGGGGCATCAGTCACCCCAACGAGGTTGTCTTCGACGAGGTGCATTTTGGCAAGGTAATGTTCACTCTGCCCAACTACCCCTGATCCAGGGCACTCTGCTAACATATCCTATGATAGTTTGCGTCCTATTATCTCGAACGAACATACTTCTTCGATGTTCACCCTCCTTTTGGAAAGCTTCTCTTCGCCTTGATGGGTTGGTTCGTGGGCTATGATGGACACTTCCACTTCGAGAACATTGGCGATTCCTACATTAACAACAAGGTTCCATATGTTGCATTCCGCGCAATGCCCGCTCTTATGGGGGCTCTGACTGTACCGGTAGTATTTGACATTATGTGGGAATCCGGCTACACACTCCCGGCCTGCATCCTCTCAGCCTGCCTGGTTCTCTTCGATAACGCACACATTGGACAAACGCGCTTGATTCTGCTCGATGCTACCCTCGTCTTTGCAATGGCTTGCAGTCTGCTGTGTTACATCAAATTCTACAAGCTCAGACACGAACCATTTGGAAGAAAGTGGTGGAAATGGCTCCTTCTTACAGGCTTCGCCCTAAGCTGTACCATTTCGACGAAATATGTCGGTGTATTCTCGTTTGTCACAATTGGATCGGCTGTTGCAATTGATCTCTGGGATCTTTTGGACGTTAAACGGCGCCAGGGTACGTTGAGTTTGCCTGAGTTCGGTCAACACTTTGCTGCCCGTGCCGTTGGTCTCATTATTATTCCGTTCTTCTTCTACCTCTTCTGGTTCCAGGTCCATTTTGCCATCTTGAGCAGGTCTGGTCCTGGCGACGACTTTATGTCCCCTGAATTTCAGGAGACTCTAAGCGACAATGTTATGACAGCTAATGCAGTTACGATTGACTACTACGACAGCATTCAAATCAAGCATAAGGAAACCCACGGTTATCTGCACAGCCACCCGGACAAATATCCACTCCGATACGATGATGGCAGAGTCTCAAGTCAGGGTCAGCAAGTCACCGGATACCCATATGCGGATGCAAACAATCACTGGCAAATTCTTCCCCTTCAGGGCGGCGATGAAGTGGCTGGCCGTCACGTGAAGAATAATGAGATTGTCAGACTTCGACACATCGTCACCAATACCATGCTCCTCTCCCACGATGTTGCCTCGCCATACTACCCAACAAATCAGGAATTCACTACCGTATCTATGGAAGATGCTTTAACTGATCGCTTCAACGACACCCTATTCGAGATCCGAATCGAAAATGGAAAGCAGGGTCAAGAATTCAAGAGTCTCTCGGGTCAATTCAAGCTTATCCATAACCCGAGCAAGGTTGCAATGTGGACTCACACAACTCCCCTCCCGGACTGGGCCTACAAGCAACAGGAAATCAACGGAAACAAGAACCTCGGCCAAAGTTCCAACATCTGGTTTGTGGATGAAATCCCATCGATTCCTAAGGACAATCCACGTTTAGCGAAACAGGAACGTAAAGTCAAGTCCTTACCCTTCCTCCAGAAATGGTTTGAGCTGCAACGAGCTATGTTCTACCACAACAACGCCTTGACCAGCAGCCATCCATATGCCAGCGAGCCTTTCATGTGGCCATTTTTGTTGAGAGGAGTGAGTTTCTGGACTCAGAACGATACCAAGCAACAAATTTACTTCCTTGGCAATCCTATTGGATGGTGGCTTGCTAGCAGTCTTCTCGCTGTCTTCGCTGGCATCCTCGCGGCTGATCAATTATCACTTCGCCGTGGTGTTGATGCACTAGATGAGCGTGAGTAAATCGCTCTAGTTTCTTGCTGTATTCGTACTAATTGTATCTAGGTACGCGAGCACGTTTATACAACTCCACCGGTTTCTTCTTCCTTGCGTGGGCGACTCATTACCTTCCATTCTATCTCATGGGTCGTCAATTGTTCCTTCATCACTACTTGCCAGCTCATCTGGCTTCAGCCTTAGTGACGGGCGCACTCCTCGAATTCATCTTCAATGTGGAGCCCATTCTTGATGATGCCACAATGAAAGCCCAAAAGAAACTTACTGGCCTTAAGAAGCATCTTCCAGCTCGCCAAAAGATCGTTGGCCAGAATCTCCTCCCGTCATGGGCGGCTTTGGGAGTCATTATGGTCGTGATCATTGGAGGGTGGTACTTCTTCCTGCCATTGACTTACGGCTACCCTGGCCTCACGGTGCCCCAAGTCAACGCAAGAAAGTGGCTTGGATACGATCTGCACTTTGCGAAATAGAGGAGACGACGCATGATTCTGGGCGGATGTATGCTTATGGGATGGCGAAATAAAAACAGGTTACGGAGTGGCGCCTAGGGCGCTGCCACTGCGGTCACGATTGCGTTGTAAAATATCACCCGAAGAATTTTTTAGCTTTTTCAAAGAAGTTTCCTCGTCTCTGTCTTAGCCCTTACCTCAAGTCGCCTCTCCTGTCGTGACATCTCCTTGAGTCATTTCGGAAACTCGCTCGCTCAAACGAAGGCACGCGAACTCGCTTAATCCCAATCCCTTCTCTTCAGTCCCCCACACTTCCCAACCTTCCTCCAACCTTCAACCTTGGCGTCTTCATTGACATGAACAACGGCATCAAAATATAATCTCTTCATCAAGACGGTGAGTGCTCCAGCGCTCAACCAGCGTGCTGCGTGACCGTATGCGGATTCGTCGCGCGGCTCGGAATCGTCCCGTCTCCTCTGACCTCGTTGCAGGAATTCACCTTCAAGCCAGTCTGAAAAGACAATACTTCTCATCGAGGAATCAACAAAGGTTCGTGTCCAATCATACCATCGACCAGGAATGGCCATTGCTAATTTTTGCATGCAGAATTTAGGTCATTCCTAAGATTTATCACGATAATCGCGTTCCGTTGGTATAATGGGTGCTGAGCTGTCCGCTGGGGTGGCTCAGATGGCCTCTGGTCAACAAGCCTCCGGTCAGCAAAATACGGCCAAGTACGAAACTGATCCCAATCTCCAGCGTACCGCAGGTATCCCGTGCATCGTCTGCGGCGAAGACGCACTCTGGATTCGCGACACTTGCTCGCAGTGCAAGGAGGCCCAATACTGCTCCGAGGCTTGCAAGGCCACCGACGCCCGATTCCACAAGCTCCTATGCACGTCTTTGAAGTACTTTACCGAACCCCCGAATAATGGCTACAGACGCGCTGTCGTCTTCGACTATGACAGTGATGAGCCTCGATTTGTCTGGATTCTTGTCAAGACGGTTGGTGGTGCCGAATCTCCGGAGCACTACTTGGCTACGTTGATCGAAGGCCAAGTGGGCTGTATTCCGATCGATACGAATGCTGTCCGCGGCCGGGTCTTGCAGAACCGAATTACCGTCTACTTCAGCAAGGACGAGAACGTTATCAAGCTTGAGAATGAATGTGTTGCTGCTGTCGTCAAGGCTGCTAAGCCTTGGGATGGCATGACCGAGAGTTCGACGTGAGTACCCACCGAAGCCCGCTGACATCGTTCCCTTTGACATTAATACATTGGCAGCGATGCTTGGCACGGAACCTACGTCTTCATGGCCCACAGCGGCTTCAACAATTTCAGCTTTCGTGATATCACGTTCGCCGACTTCAGACATATTGTCGACTTCCTCTCGGTCCACGGTCGTGTCTCTACTAGTCCTTCTACCTGGGTAGGTCGAGCTAAGAAGATTGAAGCCGTTCGCATTCACGCCTTTGAAGCGGAGGCGCTACAATTCGAGCAGCTCTACCTCCCACAAGACCACCCCAAGGTTCTCGGACGCCTCGAGAATCCAATCAAGGACGAGAAACGCCTCGCTCACTATGATATTCCTGGAGCATTGAGTATTCCCCTTTGTTGGACTGAAGGACCGCGCGATGGGCACGTTGAAGTTTGCCCCGATCACGCGCCCCTTACAAATGAAGTTGACTTCGTGCGATGTTGCTTGATTCCGGAGATGGAGGTAAGTGAACGGAGGAAGTCTGAGGCGATCTGTTAACATAACAGTACTGACTTCCTTGCCACAGGATCGGTTCCACTCTTGCGGCCCACATAGGCAAATGGACTACACATTTATCCGAGAGGATTTGGTCGATCTTAAGAAGGAACATATGATGGCCATGAGCGACTTCTGTGTCGATAAGATCATGGGCCTGCAGGATAACAATACATACCAGACCGAGAAGGCTAGGAAGTATCGTGACATCGCCACAAAGAAAGCCTTTGAGGGGTATTGGAAGAAATGCAAGAGAAACTACGGCTGGGACAAGAAGCTTCTGTCTCCGTATGAGGCGGATACACAGGATGAGATGGAGGAATGAATGCACGATCCAATATTTACGTTCATGTCTTCTCTGGAAAAGGGCACGGGGAAAAGCATACGGTTAATTTGCTTATTGAAGGTTTTGCTGCATCGCAGCGACGTGGGAGACATGTCGTCATGTTGTGTTGTTATTGTGGTCTGAGTACTGAGGATCGGTGGAGTGGAGCATCTCTTGCCCGTAATATAATTTGCAGGACTTCGCAGTGCAGATCTCGCTTCTCGGAGACGAGGCAGAACGTGTCAATCAAAAAAACGAACTTTGCGTCTAGTCCCCTCCTCGAACAAAGAAAAGAGCTACCCAAGTGTGCAGACCAAGTTTCAATTCTTCAAGACAGCTAAAGCATCGCCCTTGCCAGCTTGTGGATTTTGATGTTCCTTGAAATCTGTGAGGTGTTAGTTGTTGCTTATTTCGCTTAAGCCGTCCCCTACTATCACACTTCTGCATACCTTATGCTCGTTTATTTAACTATTCCCTACTATTGGTTAAGCTATCCATACTATGGTTCAGCATATGCTAGAGGAAAATAGCAACGATAAAGCAAGGTATGTCTAACTTCCTTATGTGCTTCTTAGTAGTAAAGGTCAAGCATATGCTAGGAGTATGCCTGGCAGGCCGTTGGATAGAGGTCGGGAAAGAAGAGAGGGGTAGTGTTCCTTTAGTAAAATAAGTATTTGTTATATCTTAAGGTCGAGCATATGCAAGAAGCTAATCCCTACTATGGAAAAATACAAGGCTTTTTGCGCTAATTAATAGTAGGGGATAGCTTCTGGCTCGAAATCTGTTTCGCCTCATTGACGCTAGTCGCTCGAGAGGACGCGGCTGTCACTTTGACTTTAGCTGGTGAGATTGTGATGGCAACTAGGAATTGTTTCTTTCCATCAACAATGGTGGCCCTAATTGCCACCGCCGCAACAAGATTGTTAGATAGTGCACAAGACACGCGATCAAGCCCCTTCCAACAAGCAATATTTCTTCTGCTAGAAGGTAGAGTGACATTTCGTTCCTTAAAATCTTTGATGTCGTCATCCCAGTTGAGCCAATTTTGAGGCGTTGGCGAGATGAAATAACATACGATGTCTGACCAGACCTGAACATCAAACTCAGTGAGTTGCTTTTACCTTACAGGAGTGAACAAGCTTACTTGATGGTTAAAGATACCTACTGTTACCACAAGATTCTCGCTGCTTTCTGTGTGTTGGAAAACAATATTTCCGTCCTGAACGCTACCATCGATGGCTAGCGTCAATCCAAGTGTCTCCTGGTTTGTTGTCCATACAGCATATTTTGAGGAAGTAGAATGCTCCTGCAGGGCAAAGCCATGTTCGAGAACTGAGGTGTACGTAACATCAAAGACGTATAGTCCTAGCGGAGCCCTCATCCATTGTGAAATATCGAAGGTGGTGGAATTTGGTTGGGTGAAATAGAGCTCCTGTACCTTGGTCTTTGCTTTTTTTGGTAAATGCAGTGTGCCCAGGACCAACTGTCCACATCGAGCACGAACAAATTGTCCAGGTCGCTTCTGCCGGAGATATATACTGACAGATCTCCCGTCCGTAAGCCTACAATCGAGCAAGGCCGCAAATATTTCTCCGTACGGATACAACTCGCACGGGCCTGTGAGACGGAACTTAATCCTCACTCCCCTGTTCGTCATTGTATACTCCTCTGTGTTCTTTTCTGCAGCAATGCACTGCACAGTACCTGAGTGCTCAAATTCAGACGGATGGAGTGCCAGCGGGCCACGCTCCTGTCCAGCCCCTACCCACGCAAAGATACTATGATCTTCACTCGCTCTCATAATTTCCAACTGCAAGCGTCGGAAAGCCTTTTTCCCCTCCCCGTAGATCATAGGCATATTAACACCAAACAATCCAAGCAGCGAGTATGCCATATCCTCCTCTCTCGTCGTCTCCCGCTTCGCAGCCCAGCTCATTATCTGCGCAACGCTGAACTCTCCTTTCGAGTTTGTCAGCAATACAACCCTCGGGATACCAGTAATAGTGGAAATCTCTTCCGCAAGACTGGCTTTTGTCCCAAGTTCTTCCCAATCTTTGTTAAAGAAGATGACAGACAGTGGAGCGAGCAACTCTTGTAGTGTCCAGCCTCGCGTGAACCACCTGCTTTTTACGACCTCATCCACGGTCTCAGTGTCCGATAAATACGCATAACATTGCACTGCATTACGATACCATTCAAACATCGAATTTATCGCCTCGGACAGCTCAGCGCTGTTTGTCTTGTCAATGCAGCAGGTGTCGATCCAAACCCAGGCAACACCGTCCTGTCGTGCCTGTGCACAGCAGTCTAGGATCTTTTTGTAGCCGGAGAGATGTTGATTTCTTGGTGGGGTGCACTGTAGGTCTTGGACCGTGACTTCTGAGGAACCCCAAGTGTGAGAGAGGATTGCGTATGGTGGGGTTGGGGTGCTGAGGATGAGGTGCAGAGTGATTGTGCTGGTGTCGAGGAGCCACATTTTGATTGTTCGGCGGTTTGAGGGGACGGTTATGGGAGCGTATCACAGGAGTTGAGGTATTTTTGGTTGAATGAAGTGAGTTGGGGATGGCAAGTTTGCGGCTGAAAACCGAGGAGTTCTCATGCAGAGTTGACAGGCTTGGCAAGCCACCAACTGGAAAACGGCATCTCTGATTGGACTCACAAAAGAAGCTTCATCACAGAAAAACGATTATTATATTGGACAACGGCAACACCGAAAATGATGAGGCGGAGAATAGGATGTGGTCGACTAGTAATAGAGAAATAATACTTGGTACTTCGTCTCCAGTCATTTGAGCGAGAGACGGAGATATTAACTCAAAGAAACTACCCTAGCTCCTTCTCGAGCTAAACTTTTAAATAGTCCGACTTCTATTCAATAGGTAGGAGCATCATCATCGCCATTTTTTTCGAGCTTCATGCTTCGTTCTGTCTGCGATATTTTGTATTATTCACAGTGCCATGTGGAAGTACAGCAGATAAACTGGGATATAGATTGTTAAGTATGATTGGAAGATTATCTTGAATTTGAGAGTTCAAGTGAACATCTCCAAGCCCTGGTTCAGGGGTTGAGCGAGATTAACGAGAAACAAGCGAGTTTCTCCTCAATCAACGGAATCAACTTCCCCGCCACTCCAAAACAACACACAAACTCCAGACGTGTCTCCTCCGAATACATCATCCGAATACATCATGGATCCGCCGAAAGATCCGATACCGTCTTGGGAGTTTTGAGCCGATATTCTGTTCCTGGCAAAACCCCATCTATCAATGAATCAGTCACAGCTGCGATATCGATGAATTATGGAAAGCTCACTGATGTCGAGGTAATAGTACTCGAGGAGCACTGGTACCCATATCTTTGCTCCAATTATTTGCCCGAATGGCATACTCGTGTCGTTCATGTTAAGGGAGGAGACGAGGTCCGTAATATTAGAAGCGAGTTGAGTCATTCCACGGCAGTTCCAGAAGGGGGTTGAACGTAGTCCCAAGTTCGCAGTCTACCAAGATGAGGAGTAATATATCGAGACAGACATGGTGTGCGCCAGAGATGCAGTATTCGTTCCATATCTTGGAACGGAAATCTTGACGTGGAGAACCTGGCACTTTCGAGATTTGACCACAAGACGCCAATATACCCGTCACTTGTTTCTATTTGCTGAGACGAAAAGCTGGACGATAAGTTAATATTCCGAAAGTATAAACCACATGGCTTTTTGGGTATTTCCTGGTGGCCATAATATTTCGCTCGTGTTATGGGGCTAGCTGCTTTGCCGAGAAATGTCATTGAGAGCGAACCAGGGGGCAATCTGTGCTATGTTTGCACATGAATTGATAGGGGCATATGGATTTGCATGAATGTAGTAGCCTCCTCTCTCTGGATATGAACAGAACCAAGATACAAAAGTCCCAAGTGTAAAGCTCACGCTTGGCAGTATGAAGAGATACCAGGAATCTCGTCTGCTGTGGAAATTGATTGTGCCAAAGTCAGCGCAATGGGAGAGAAAGCATTTGTAGATGAAAGCTTGAGGAGAACTGCGTCTTCTGCTTGTGTTCCCAAAGGTGAGGTTGATGAGCCTCAAATTGAGGGCGAAGCACTGGAGAGCTGAGCGCGGTAAGCCCTCAAAAGACCGTATGGGTGCTCAACCTGGGTAAAAGCCGTAGAGGTTGTCCACCGAATAAGGGGAGTGCATGGCCATCACCAAAACTAGAAATCCAGCTGAGAGTTGTCTACTGCTGAGGCAACTTAGATCAGAGCAATATAAGAAACATTAGCTCCTTTCATCAGTGGTAGCGTGGGATTGCCAATGTTTTTCTCCTTACGTCTCGCATTCGCAAGCCCAATTCTTCGATATGTGTTAGGAAGACCTGCTCATCTTCTACGGCAGCGTCAAGAAGCAGGAAAAACGTGAGAAAGGTCGTCGGCTCATCCTCGAAAGTCCCCAGAACTTCGAAGTTGCAGAGTTCAATCAAGAACGTTGTCCTTCCCAAATAAAATTCCCGCGGATAATCCATGCTAATTGTGAAGTCTCGCCAAGTCAAAAGTGGTGAAGCCGACTCGCTGGAGAATGGCCCGTAGTGAATAATATCGGTGGCGTCGATTTCGGTCAGGTCAAGCTGCTGGAGAGGGGATATCAATTCTACGAGGCTCGTTTGGTTGTCAATGGTATCGGCCTAGTCACTCTCGGTGGCATCGTCTGTACGACTATCGGTATTGTCCCAAAATTTCTCCGGCAATGGGAAGAAAGGGGCTGTGATTGGGAGCCACCCTTGCACGAGTTTTGCTTTCTTGCTCCAGCTACTCATTTCAATGTTTTCGTGGTCGACTCAGGCAATCTTTCGGAGCAGAAATTGGTACCTGTACGCCACCACCCAAATAACTTCTCGGTTAATTGATGCCCAGCTCCAAGAAGGTGCTCGATCTGACACGGCGGGCACACGAGTCTCTTCATCTTTGGGGTTTTGCCCCTTCGTCCAGGTCAAGCCTAACAGAACGTCGTCCTCCCACAGCCCAGCAAGATATCTTCCTGACGTGAGTCCTTCCTCCTCACACTTCGAAGCAAACCCAGCAATGGCGGGAAAACGGTCTTCTTGGAAAGTCAACAGCCGCCTGGTGTAGTACTGCACTGCAATATACCACGCACATTTTGGCTGACCGAAATAATCTTGGGGAACCATGCACTTCAGGAAAGGGTGAAGACTTTCTCTGTCCGACATAGAGGCGCAGAGTAGTGCGCTGTAAGATTTGCATTCCCAGAAGGGCCCGGCATGGCCAATGTGGATGATGGATGTCGCAAAGGCGCGCTCTTGGAAACCCCAGCCTCGACGTTCCAGAGGAGAGTAAGCACCTTCAAGGAGAGTGCTCTCCGCCCAAAGAGACGATAGGCGTGGAAACGAGACCGAGCCGGATCCATATACTGAACCAAATGTCAATTATGTAGAACGCTGGAATGACAGGCTTCCTTGACTTGAATCAACTCAGCATTCTCATATACTGCAGCCATCCTAGAAGCCTCCCGATCCCAATCCACAGGGTCATCCTGAATGATGCACAGTGCATCGATCCAGAGGTAGCGAATCTTCAGCTTTTGACATAGCTGGACGGCTTCCCGAAAGCACTTCGGTAGGTCCCGGATAAAGATACCCTCCATATGAGACCGCATGTTTTCCTTGGTTGTCTTTGTCTCTCAAATTCCACCCCAACAATGACTAAGAGATGCATAAACACCTTCAAAATTGCCCACTGCTAATGCAATCCTTTCGATGCCAGCACCGTCCTTGCTGATATCCAAGACTCTGGATGGAAGACTGCAAGGGTTTCGTTGACATGCCGTGTCCTCAGGGCATTCCTCGCTCCTGCATTCAGCCATCTTCTGCATGATTACCGAGAGACCTTCAGGAGAAAATGTAGGAGGTGGCGATGGGTAATTCCTGTTGAAAAGCTGGCCTTCAATGCGACTACTGATACATATGCAGCCAAAAAAGGTCCGCGAGTTATTCGAACCCGAAGCATCGCACGAAATCAACAGCGGTGGGGTGAATTCCGATCATTCAGACAACCAGGTGATATGCCACGCCACGGTGAGGATATTTGCCTGTTGGCAACATCGCTCAGAAGCCTGCAAAATTCGCAGCCAGCAGTTGCGGAAGCCTCGAACGAACTTTCGTCGAAATGATGAAACCGGGCAGGGAAAGGAGGTCCTCCCTTGTCTGTATGATAGGCGCTGGGTTCACGGCTCCAAAAATTGTTGTACCCCTTTCCCATTGTGCGCATCTTTGGATGAGCCCCAATTCCCCTACATCCCATGATTCCGACTCCGATAATTCTCTGAATATCGCCTCCGACTGTTTCCCTCGGTCAATCTTCAAAGCAATTCTCAATTGAAGTACATCAATGACTAGAGTGGTGCAAGTAGAACAAAGTGATTTGTTCAGCACATTAGCGATTGCCTCTCGACTGACCAGAAGTTTAGCATCCATCACTTCATCTCCTGGGCCGAGAAGAAGATCTTCCCACCACGGGCTTCAATACTTGGGGTAGCCTTTCGCACTCGCCTTCGAATTTGGCATTCGGGCGATCGCAAAATCCTCTTGACTCATGAATCGAAAGAGCTCTTTGAGAACAAGACCACGAGGGAGTGCATCGCGGTTGTGTGATCCGTCGACCTACAGTTCGATCTATATTTAGAACGCCCCAAGCGAATGAACCCCTGAGTTTAGTTCTGCTTCTGATTGGACACGACACACTTCAGTCAATCTACGGACATTGCTTTTATCTTCAGACCTGGAAGTTCAAGAATGCGCAAATACCAATGTTCCAATGTCGGGTGGTCGAATGGTCCGGTTGAGAGCGCCAAAGCATGGCCTTCGATTTCTAATCAGGGGAGTAAGTCACATGACCCTCCTGATGTCGTTCCTTCCCAGCAAACAAGCGTCACTTGCCCATAGCTGCCACTCTGATCGCCTCGGTCTCTTCCTCTGCACACATCACCATCGCTTGTGATTGCGCTCCATCATTAGGAAAATTGATCCACGTCTTATTGTACACCATCGTTGCGAACAACCATGTGGTGCTTCAATCGACGTACCAGAACAATATCATTCGGAGTAGCAGCATCACCGGAAGGCGGTGATCCCCCCAGACAGGGACCTTCCGAACTATGCACAATCTGTCAATCACCTGCCGATCGAGAAAGATACCGTTGCAACCGCTGTGAAGACGTGAGCTACTGTAGCTCAGAATGTCTCGAAACGGACGAAGGTGTTCATGCTCTGGCGTGCGAGACCTTCGAAGCCTACCCGCCTCCGCTTCTCCCAGAACAACAGAAGCATGGAATAGCCATGGTCCGTTGCCTCATCTTCGAGGCGAATGCTGACAGGCCGAAGTTTGTTTGGGTCAGCGTCAAGGCTGAAAACCCGGTCGGCATGCAAGAATATCTGGGCACCTGTCTCTGCGAGATCAAGATCGACAGTCTTTGTAAGGACAGCCGGCGGAATGCGGTAAGAGATCGACCACTAAGAGACCAGGTGAAAGTTTATGCTCAGCGCGGGTTCAATAAAATGGAGGATAACAAAAGCATACGACGAGTGATAGGAATGTGCAGACTGTGGTTGGAGGTTGAGTTTCAACGCACACGAGGGCATGGCGGACATCAAGGTAAGAACATCCTGTGGCAAGAATCCCCTGGGTACTGCTAATACATCGAAGAGATCGGGAAGCGCATCGAGGACGTTGAAATCGACGTGGAGAGGTGAGTACCTGCTGATGCCACGGAGACAGGCACTGATGCCCCGTAGGTATCCGTGGAAAGGGAGCGTCGCTTTCATGATTTATAGAAAGTCTGCGCAGAAGAATATTCCGCACTTTCGAGATGTTAACTTAACTGACTTTCGGGACATTGTGGACTTCCTTTCGGTCCAAGAATATGATGGGCAGTACGATGAACTCTCGTCCCTGCGGGCGCGGCGGGCGAGAAAGTTCAACATCGTGCACATGTACACGGAACAAGGAGTGAGGAAGATGTTCCGTGCGAGACAACACATTGTGCCTCAGGATCATCCATTAATTCGCGATCAGGGAGCCAGCAATAACTGGGGCACACTACTCCAGTTTTCTCCGCACATTGGGATTCCACTGTATGCGGTTCGGCTGAACAATTACCTGCGCTCGCAACCGATTCACCAAGACCCAGGATCATCAGAATTTCCTTGGGAACCACTTGTACTTCGAAGCCTCCTCGACCCCCGCGACAATGACCTTCCTTTGGCTTCTAACAGTCCCAACAACGCCCAGAACAGTGCCATTACTTCGGCTTCTAATAGTCGCATCATCTCCCTCCTGCAGGGCATTGGCATTTCTTCGTCAGCTTCGGCTGAGAGAGAGTTGTGGAAAGCAGGCTACGAAAATGACAATCATCTATCTGTGGTGCTGGTCCGGGGTGATCGGAAGGACTTGAGATCCGTGGACATTGAGGTATTGGCAAAATGGATGTTGAATTGTGTTATTCCAAGCATGGGACACGATCATTCAAGGAGCTGGACTGATGGAAGATATGCACAGTTCTTTACCAAGCAGGAGTACGATTGGCACTGGCACAAGTTAGAGAGTGTAGCGCTCGGACTTTCGTCTGTCCTCCCTTGTGGGACGGTAGTCGCAGGGCATGATCGTCTCCCATGCCCATACAATCTTTGATTGTAGCGGAAGAAGTCGAAAGGTTGCTATTGTGCGGTAAACGGTAGAAAATGAAGTATTCTTTTGAAAAGCTAATTCCCCTTGTGCCATTTTGGGGTATTGAGGTCAACGGAAGAATTTTCGGATGAAAATGGCAGGACGAACTTTCCTCTCAAGGCAGACTTGCCATTAGTGCAGTGGTTGCCGAGTTGTACACGGACACGAGGAACGATGAAAATCGAGAGAAGGAATTACGTAAATGAAATTTAATGCTTCTCTGATTCGATAGTGCGTAGTTCTGTTCATACAGGTACACACTAACCTCATGCATGCATTCAACCCACTAAACAAAATGCTGCTCTAAACGCTGTGGACTTCTATGCAACCCATACCTTGTCACTCTGTAGAATTTAGACATCATCCTCATCCATCAGCGCCAAGCAGTCCAGCTCTGTCCTCACAAGCCTTTCGAATTCCGCCCTATCGATGCCCGCCACCTTTGCCAGGCGGTACAGACTCTTGATGCTCGTTCCAATGTGCTGCTTTATGCCTGTCTCACTCTGCTCGCGACTATCTCTCGCTGCGGCTCGCCGCTCAAGTTTCTCAACTGTGTCGCTCCCGCTGCTTCCAGTGCTAGAGCCAGGTCGAGGATGTGCAAGGCCTTCCATATGGTCAACGTCCATACCATCCATTCCCTGCACCTGGCCATTCATATACACCTGCGCAGCAAGGTCATCGCTCCACGCCGCGCTCGAACTATGCAACTCGTGCTCCTGATCGACCGTCGGGTGCGAGAACTGCCTCACATTCCTCTCCTGCAGTTCCCGCGCAATCTCATCCTGCCCTAAGCTCGATCCAACGTCTCCGTTCTGCTGAGCCTCGTCCGGATCGTGATTATCCATCGCCGGCTGCACGCTCGCGTATTGCGCATAATAACTCTCTTCATCCTCAACGCTCACGGCCTCTCTCTGTATAGCGGGTAGTGAAGGCGGCGCGGGACTGGCTTTCGGAGCTGGTGTCCTGGCCGGCGTATTATCGTACTGGGCCCAGTAAGCGTCGTCAGCGTCTTCCTCCTCCGCTTCAGGCGTGAGCAGGGGATTTGTGCCATTTGTGCGGTTATAGGAATTGAGATTGTTGTAGTGGTAGGAGGGTTGCGAGTGGAAGGCTTCTCCGGCTTGGCCTATGCTTTCGAAGCCCCATTCATCGTCGGAGGGGTTGAAGACAGACACTTCGCCGATTCTCCACCCGTCGCCGCCACCCAGCTCGTCGTTTGTGCACCAGATTAGCTTTACGCATAGCTGGAGATCGCGGAGGGTGATGAGGGATTGCAGCGTTTCGGTGTCGATGCGCTTGTAGGATGTGCTGAGCTCGGTCTCCCAGTCAATTTCTACTTCTCCTGAGACGGGATGTGGCTCGAATCGCTCGTTGCGCACGAGGGATTGCAGTTTGGAGGATTGCGAAGAGTCGTAGCAGAGGAGGGGAAGCCAAGGCTCGGAGGAGGAGGTTGAGGTTGAGGAGAGGAGCTGGACTCGTTGCCGCAGGATCGGGGAGAGGAGAGGGAGCAGCGCCGTTGGTGGTTGTGGTGATATCGAGGCTGCTGGTAATGATGACAGCAAAGGGGCAAGCAGCTCCTCCGCTCGCGGGGGCATAATTGGTGGTTGCATCGTGCTGTTGAAGTTGTCGGGTGTTGTGTATCACATGCAAATTCCTAAGTCTTTGTTTATCGATTGTCGAGACGAGCGACATATGAAAGAGAGTGAAGGAGGGGTGTTATATTATGGATGCATTGTGCGTGAGACGGGAAGAAAGCAGAGGTTACGAGATGCCTCTGGCTGTGCGATGATGTGTTACTCGTGCTGCCATCGTTGTGAACCGGTGACTGAGGTAGATGAGGTAAGGGCTCCTTTTGTCCGTTGCAGCGAACGATGCAGCGGTCTTCGGCAAAGCACGGCTGGACCCGGCTCCCCGGAAACAGGCTCGAGGGGGAATCCGGCGAACGGGGAGCAACTGGTTCAGGGGCCTGCAACACCGGCAATTGAAATACTTTTTGTTCCTCATTGGCTCTGTTCGGGAGAACCTGCCGGGTTGCGTGTTATGAGGAGTACGTCTTATTAAAGAGGTTGAGTTAGAGGTTGATTCTCCATGGGGAGTTGTTCATGTTGAGTGCTTGCAATGTACATAATTTCAAGGTTGTACTTCTGTGCTGCGACTGGCCCACGTTGGTGTCTCGGGCATGTGGCGGTCTAGGCTCTGCTCTAGGATTCAAGCCTTGGTCATGTGCACTGTAACCTTACATTGAGCGGCTCCAGGCCTCCCCTCCACTCGCAGTTTATTCATACACTTGGTGGTTGAAGACTGCATTTGAGAACAAATCAATCCTCTGCAGCCTTCTCACTCTTCTCCATGTCAATCAGAATGCGAAGAACCCTCTCATAGGTCCACATAGTGATAGCACTGGTAGGAGCAGCTTTGAAGAGACTGATACATGTTAGCAAAGTCTCTGGAAAACTCAATGGGGCTTTACCTGACTGTCAATCCCCTGTAGAGGCCGCGAACGCCCTCTTTCCGTCTAATATCAAACATCGTCTTGACAACTCCTTTGTAAACTGGAATATTCTTATGCACATATCGTGATCTCGTTGGCCCCTGGACTTGCAATCGCTTCCTAATCAGATCCAGTGGAAAAACACCGGTCTTTGCAATGACCGAGGCGATAATTCCAGCCGTGGCATCTCCCGACCCGAATGGCATCTGCAAGGTACCCAGAGGAAGCCGTAACGTCTCGTAGGTTGCAAAGAACGCCCCCATATATGGTATGATTTGTCCAACTCCTGCACCCAGACCTTGGAAGAAGCCTCGAAGGCCTTCACTGCGATGGATATCGCGGATCGAGGACAATAACGAAGAGTACACCTTCTCTGTGCCTTGTGCAGCAAATCGAGTCCGAAGAAGATCAAGCGGATAGGTTGCTGTTGTCGCTATTGCACCAGCACTGGCCCCAGAAATAAAACTCTCGGCGGCTGCGGGCAACTTTCGTTCTCCAAATGCCGATTGTAAAGCCACGGTGACGCTTCGATAGGCAGTGAACTGAATAGCGCTGTACGAAACGTACATCAACTCTGCCGGAACGTTTCCCTTCCATAATCCCGTAATTCCTTCCTCTTTCAAGATATGTTTGATAGTCGGGAGTGTGCCTTTGTAAATCGGGGAACCACGAAGGTCCCGATGGGAAAGAGGATCGGACAGGGAGTGCGTCTGCAATTGAAGGCGGATCTTCACGACATCGAGAGGAGCGATCACGAATCTGTGTACAAGAAGTCAGCGCAGAATTCCAACCCGAATATAAATAAATTCTTACCTTGCAATTAATCCAGCTGTAGCTCCAGCAATGACGACCTGGCTTTTGGAGCCCTTGTTCCGTCAGCAATTGGTTCTCAAAGATGAGAAGCAATTGAACCGTACCTCATCCTTCAGGTGCTCTCCGCTTCCAGACATACATCTGTCGACTCCAGACCCCACGAGAACTCGAAATCTTCCTAGTTGAAATGGTTGTGGATTTTGCGTGAGACTGGCGCGGTGGAATCGGGGGCGCGTCGAAAAAGGCTGAAGAAGCAAGAAATTCAAATTTCGCGAGGCTCGGCAGATTGTCCTCGACGACAAAACTCTACCTTCCCTTTCATCTCAGCAACATATCGACCCAGTGGCCCAGGACCACTCGCCCGATACGAACGCACTATGACAACTTGTTTCTAGCACCAACAAGTCCTCAATTGCTGCTCAGAGCGGCGACATACACAGCAGAGAACCGGGTACACGACCACACGTGACCACGCATTATCCATCATGCAACCCGTTCGATTAAGCAGAAGGCTCATCTTGGGTGCCCGCATCCTCACTCGGCCTCCTCTCACCAGTAGACCTGCGGTTTGCTCTTCACAGCATCAACGTCGTCCCTGGAGTCAATCAGTATGCCTCCACGACCGGGGCTTTGCTTTCCCGACGGAGGCACGGGAACCTGCATCTCAAGATGGCCACCCAACTGCCCAACCAATTTTCGAATCATCAACCGCTGCGGAACCGTTGAAGATACACCGATATGAATCTGGTATTATTCGTGAAGATGCTATTATAACCCCGTCCAGTTTCATCACCACTGCCAATCCGGACACTGCTTGGCATCCAGCCTACCTTCGCGACATGTGTAGATGTCCTCGATGTAGAGATCCGTCATCCACACAAAAGACCTTCCAAACAACCGATATACCAAGGAATATTAAGGCACGCTCCGTCGAGGTGGACGAGGAAGGGGACACCAAGATCACGTGGGATAATGACATCCCTAGTTTTGGGCCCGACCACGTCTCCACGTTTTCAGTCCATTTCCTTCACAAGCATTTAACCCCAAAGGCTTTGCGTGGTGCTCGGTTTGAGCCTCCTGAGCCTCGCTTATGGAGCCGAAAACGGATTACTAGGGAGCTACAAACGATCAAATATGAGGATTATATGAAAGAAGACGAGGCCCTGTACCGTGCTCTCCTCTATCTGAATATGCATGGAATTCTACTTCTAAAAGACGTCCCGGAGTCTGAGACAGCGGTGGAGGATATTGCAAGCCGCATGGGAACTCTCCGCGATACATTCTATGGACGAACCTGGGATGTCAAATCCGTTCCGGAGGCCAAGAACGTTGCCTACACCCAACAATGCCTTGGTCTCCACATGGATCTTCTCTACATGGCCAACCCTCCTGGATTGCAACTTCTCCACTGCCTCAAGAACACCTGCGAAGGTGGCTCCTCCTTGTTTAGCGACGCCTTTCGCGCGGTGTCTGAACTCCACCCGAAACACGTCAAACAACTCACTGACACCAAGATCGGATACCAATATAAGAATGCTGGAGAGTATTACTACCATGAACACACTGTCATCGAACCTCAATCCTATCGTTCCAAGATATGGCCGGATAGCCGAGTTCTCAAACATGTCAACTACTCGCCTCCATTCCAGGCTGACCATCTCTCCACCGCCTTTCACCAGTCTTCCACCTTCCCCTCTTTACTCAAGTCTCTCAGGAAATTCGCCGATCGAGTCGAGGACCCCGACAATTTGTATGAATACAAGATGCAAGAAGGAGAGTGCGTGATCTTCAACAACAGGCGGGTACTGCATGGCAGGAAGGAGTTCGATGCCACTCATGGAGAAAGGTGGTTGAAGGGTGCATATGTTGATACGGATGTGTTTATGAGTCGGTTCAGGGTACTGAATGAGAAGTATGAGTTGAAGGGGATTGAGATACTGGAGAATTATGTGGATCTGGATTCAGGGATTAACCCGCCAGCGGAGCCCAAGAAGAAGAAGCCGATCAATTATGGGTCGCCGTTCAAGAAGAAGGAGAAGAAGGGCCCCATAGGAAAGACGTACGTTGATGCGATAGCGTAACGGCAAGCTATGGGTCCTTAATAGTCGGGTTGTAGATGGAACCTGTCGGCAGGATGCATGCTTGCCTACATGAGTCTTGATGTGAGTCGAAAACGTGGCCGTGCCAGCAGGTTTGGTGGCGTGCTAGATATTGTACGAACACTCCCTTTTGTAAGATCTTACCAAAATACCTGGAGCATATACCATGAACACCAGACAGAAAATCATCTCTCCCTATCCGTCTCCTTCCTTGAATGCACCCCATGTGACATTCATCACGTGACTATTATTTTCCGCTCTAAAGCAAGAAAACAAGGATTTCGCTCGTATTTACCCTTCCTTTAACTCTTTCGGACTCCTCGTCGGCGATGAGATTTTCTTTTGTCACATAATCAACGTTGCTGGAAGCTGACCGGCAGCAATCCCAGAGAGTATTTTCTATCGTTTTGTAGCCTTTGGCAAAGACCACCTTGATAGATTCTTACACTTCTGGAGGAAATTTTTGTCAGGTCTGAGCTTGCTTGCAAAAGAGCAGCGACTTGGTCAGGGAGTAGAACTTCTGACAGTCTTGAGCTGGCGTAGCCGCGTACCGTATTATCAGGCGTATATGACCCCCCCCCCTCGTTCAGGACCACCCACTAATAAAAGACCATTTCCAGAGCAATTCCTCAAGCTATTGCTTAATTGGCTAGTTTGAGGTAATTCAAGTAATCTCCTAGCAGATTTCTTAGCTAATTCTCAATGTATATAATTTGTGGCACGTAATATCAAGAGCAATTGGTGGTGCGGGTGGGAGTTTAGGAAGGAGAATGGGAGAGAGGAATAAAGGGGTGAGGAATTAGGGGTGTGACGGCTGGCGTAACGGCATGATCTGCCAAAGACAGGATATCGAAAACAGGTGCAAAACGAAGCTAAGCCGGAATGCTTAGGCGGGACAATACTAAAAGGTCGAGGCACCCTCCCTACTTTGTTCCCCAGCTTAGTATTTTCAATACATGAGATTCTTTGAACTTTGAGGCTTCGACCATTGCATTGATCCCGCCGTCACAAGAGGGGTAAGCACAACACCATACACTAAGCGGTTTTTAGTGGGATCGACGTATTACTAGACCCTCTTAGGCTTAGGACCATTCCCTGACGAATTATTTAGGTGTGGAACGGGCTATAAGACCATGGTCATATACACCAGATAATACGGGTAGTTCAGAACGATCACTGATATGAGACGACCTGTTGCCCCGCCCAAGTAACGAAACTGATTCAGGGAATCTATAGCAAGAGCTAGTTAAGAGGGGAAACAGTTAATATACGGCTATGGAGTCATTAGGCGTAACGAGACATCCCTTGATCCGTTATATACGAGAACGCTGGCACCAACTGGTGATAATTCGTTTACGATTTGGTATCTTTGTGGGGATCTGGAAAATCGCTTCTATCGAGGGAAAATGCAGTGCTAATAGTTTGTGAGCTTCCTCTCCCCTACCCCTATACTTATATACATAGAGTGAGAATGAGAGACAAAGAGTGAAGAATTAAAGAGAGTAAATATTTTGAGTAGTAATAGAGGCAAAGGGAGAGGAGGCGTGGTGTGCGTGCGTGGGCGATTTTGATGCGGTAAAGCAGGCACATGCCTAGTGCGACGTGCGAAGTTCGCTTGGCCTTCTGATTCCTTACGGCTTTCCGTAACGTCCGCTAGGGCTAGATTTTAGGCGGACTGCAAAACTGCGGAACGGCAAACCATTAAAACCGCGAAATTAAAACCACGAATTGCATGCTACTTAAAATTAGATATAGAATTACACTGAAATTATACTTAGACTCGTACTTACTATTAATTAGGTACTTTTTATATATTATAGTAAGCTGCCCCGTAAGGTACTATTCTTTTCTTCTCTCTTTTTACCCTGCCCTCCTTTCCTAAAAGAGCTCTTTATATATTATAGTAAGCTAGCCCCCAGAGAGCTTTATATATATTATAATATACTATCTTTAAAAAGCTACCCTTCTCTCTTTCTAAAAAGCTCTTTATATATTATAGTAAGCTATTTCTTTAAGAAGCTGCTTTTAAGAAGCTATTTTCTAGATTTTATAAATATAAGATCTAGGGCCCGGAAAACAGAGTTAGACTATCTCTATTCTAATAATTTAAAGCTAAAGAGAGAAGAGGATTTTAAAGAAGCCTCGAATCTAAATAATTACAAGTTATATACGTGCTCATATACTAGCTTAAGCTCGTAACACGTGACTTTATATATAACTATTAGGTAATTATAAATATTATATTTAGATATTAGATACCTTACTAGTTCTAGTCTAACTCCTACTAGTACCATATATTATAATAACTATAATATTACTTTTCTTTTCTTAAAATAAACTTGTTTCCGAGCTTTAAAAATTCCTATTAACTTCTCAAATTATAGGTTATATATTAAAGGCCAGGGGCCTTTTATATATAACTTAAAGGATTTTTATTTATATTATATAATTCCGGTAATATATTATTCTTAGTATAGTCTAATTAATAAAAGAGGTTCTAGAGCAGTTTTAACTATTCGGGATTCTTATTATAAAAGCTTTAAAAAACCAGAATACTATTATTTAATAAGAATATAAGATATTATTCCGGATCTAGATTTTATTCTTTTTACTAGACTCGGTATTTTAGCTTCTTATAAAATAGCTTTATTACTAGTATTTCTTAAACTATATATTCCGTTTCCTTATTTTATAATTCTAATAATAGAAGCTTTGAATTTATTTATTTAAAAAAGAAATTACCTGGGTTTTTATATAGCTTTTTTATATAAAATACCGGATATATTCTTATTAATTTTAAAAGCTTAAAACTAAAAAAATATTTTATTTATTTTAGGATTTTATATAGTTCTTTTATTTAATAGACTAGCTTATAGCTCGGATAATTATTTTTCTAGTATTTAGTAATAATTTATATCTTATTTCTTATTTCGAAGTTTACTAGTTAATAGTATTTATTAGCTTAAGTAATATAATATTCTTATATTTATATTATATTTTCCTATATCTTTTACTATAATTCATAGAGCTATATTATTAGGGCCTTTATTTCTTATTTATTTAGCTTTTTTTTCGAGATATTTAATTATATTTAAGTTTTCTAATTAAATAATATTTATAGTTTATAGCTCTTTTTTATAAGAAATAAGAACTAGCCTATAGTTTTATAGATTAGAATAGTTTATTAGTAATTAATTATTATTACTTATTTATTCTAGTTATTCTAATAATAGTTTATATAGAAATATAACTATTAGTTTAGGAATAATTAGTAATTAATAATTAGTAATTAATAACTTGAATTTTATATTAATATATTTATAGAACTTGCTTTAGAAATCTAATATAAACTAGGGCCTTTAATTAGATATTATAATTTCTGAAATACTAATTTAGTAAACTATATAAATAAGAAAAAGAAATATTAATTCTTTAGCTATAATTATATCTTAAATAAGAATTATAATAGAGTATTTATTTAGATAATTAATAAAAATTATTATTATATTATATTTATTTTTATTTTCTAGATATTTCTTGAAATTTACTAATATATATTATTAGAAATAATTAGAAACTAGTAATAGATATAAGAGATCTAGCTTTTTATTTCTAGAAATATAGAATTATTAATAGATATAATAGTTATTTCTATATTAATTAATATTTATTTCCTGGCCTAGCTAATAATAATAAATCTAAAAAAGCTATTAAAGCTTAGTTTTTTCTAGATATTTTATTAGAAACTATATATATATCTTCTAAATAAAAGTAGTATATAAGAGTATTTCGGGTATTATTATATTATTAAATATAAATAGTTTATTATATTATAAAGAAAACTATTTTATAATATTTAAGTATTTTTATTTTTATTTTTTATTTTCTTTTATAGCTTTTCTAGTTTTAGTAATTCTCGGTTTTTATTTAATAACTTATTTATAAGCTAAATACTATTATATTAGATTTCTTTCTAAGTTAGGTTTATTAAGGCCTTAACTAGAGCTAACTAGAGATTTTATATAATATTATTATTAATCTTTTATTATAGAAAAAGAACTTGAGTTTAATAAATTACTATTATTTTATTTTAGATAATTATATTTTTATATTTTCTATTTAGGGTATTTATTTATTTATTTAACTTATTTATCTAATATATAAGCTTAAAATAATAATAGAAAAAATACTTTATTTAATAAACTTATTTTACTAAAAGTTTCTTTATAATTATAAAGTATTTAAAAGCTTAGTAATTATTAGTATAGCTATTTCTCTAGAAGTTATATATATAGTTACGGGATACGGGATACGAGATATAGGTAATAGGATATAGGTAATAGGATATAGGTAATAGGATATAGGTAATAGGATATAGGTAATAGGATATGGGATACGGGATATAGTTATATAACCTCGCATTTTATTAATAACTTGACTAGTAAACTAGATTCTTTTAGGCTTAGTAAATTTAGGAATTATATATTAATACTATAATACTATAATTCCTATTTTAAAAGAATAACTTTATTAACTAATATAACTAGTACTTTTATACTTATATAATAGTACTATATATTTCTAGTAAACTAATACTAATTAGTTTATATTTAGATTAGAATAAGGTCTATTAGTATTTATAGATTAGGAAGAATTAAGCTATACTTGCCTAAGATTTGTTATTTAGGAATAAAGCTATTATTTTAGTTAAAAAAGAAATAACTATTAATTCTATTACCTATAATTCGGTTATATAAATAGGAAAGATATTTAATTTTACTAAGGCCTAATTATATTATATTAAAGAAGGAAATATCTATTAGTTCTATTACTTATAATTTGGTTATATAGACAGGAAAAATACTTAATCTTACTAAGTACTAAAACGGTTAGCTATTTAATTATTCTATTTTATTCCTATTTAACTTCTATAAAACCCTCTTAAAAACTATCTTTTTTTAAATCTCTAGAGTTTTTGAGTTTTAGAACTATTAAGTTCTTCCGGAATTTTAATATTTTACTTTTTAAATTTCACTTCCTAAATTTCTTATTATAAATGAAATTTTTATCTCAAATATAATACCTATTATAAACTACTTATCTTATAAACTACTTTTTTTCTTATAAACCTATTCTTCTTATAAATTATTATATTTCAAATTAGATATAAGCCTATAAAATATATAATAGCGGAATATACTA